CCTAAGAAAAACCTCTACCTCCCTAAGAAAAACCTCTACCTCCCTAAGAAAAACCTCTACCTCCCTAAGAAAAACCTCTACCTCCCTAAGAAAAACCTCTACCTCCCTAAGAAAAACCTCTACCTCCCTAAGAAAAACCTCTACCTCCCTAAGAAAAACCTCTACCTCCCTAAGAAAAACCTCTACCTCCCTAAGAAAAACCTCTACCTCCCTAAGAAAAACCTCTACCTCCCTAAGAAAACCTCTACCTCCCTAAGAAAAACCTCTACCTCCCTAAGAAAAACCTCTACCTCCCTAAAAAAACCTCTACCTCCCTAAGAAAACCTCCCTAAGAAAAACCTCTACCTCCCTAAGAAAAACCTCTACCTCCCTAAGAAAAACTCTCTAAGAAAAACCTCTACCTCCCTAAGAAAAACCTCTACCTCCGGGATAATGATTATGTTCTAGTTGATATTGACTACATCGACACATGGAAGGCTATGGAGAAATTGCTTGACACTGGAAAGGTGAGAGCTATTGGGATCTCCAACTTTTGTCACAGTGAAACACAAAGGTTATTGGACAGCTGTACAGTCAAGCCACAAGTCCACCAGATGGAAATGCATCCTTACTTGATGCAAGATGAGTTCTTGGGATTTCACAACTTCAACGAGATCCATGTTACTGCGTATTCGGCATTCGGAAACCAAAACCAGCTGTATGAATTAACAGGTGAACCTCGGACCTTAGAACATCCTACAGTTGTGGAAATTTCCACCAGGTTGGGATGCAGCCCTGCCCAATTGCTAGTTGCATGGGCACTTCATAGAGGAACCTCGGTGATTCCCAAGTCTGTTACCCCGAGGAGAATTGACGAAAATTTGAGAGGAGTCTCAGTAAAATTATCCAATGAGGATTATGCGGCGATATCTAACTTGGGATTTCTGAGAAGATATGCTGATTTTGGTCCATTTGTCGGATACTGGTACTATAAAGATTTGGAGTGTCCTGGAAAGAAGCCACAGGATCACTAGTTACCGAATAGAATGTTTTAATCTACAGATTAGTAGACACGATGAGTAATCAAATTTGAGCGAGGAGAACACCACACAAAATTACAGATAGACTCGTCGTATCAGTTTCCAGACTGAATTATCTCCGCCTTTCTCCACACAAACTGTGGTTGGCTATCTCTCCACCAAAACGTCCAAATTGGGTAATGCCCACCAAAGTTCACTGAATAGACTTTTCGATATGGCGAAATTGATAGAATATATTAGACTTGCTGATGCAAATTAGTGCCCCGGACTATGACTATTCCTACTGAATTTCCCCAGGGGCAGTTCTCCGTGCCAGTGATTGATTTCAAGTACTTCCTCAATGGGTCACCAGATGAGAGGTTGAAGACTGCGAAAGAAATGGTTAGGGTGATGAGAGAAGTTGGATTCATGTATGTGATAAACCATGGAATTTCTGAATCCGATCAGAAGAGAATGTTTGAATGGAGTGAGGCATTTTTCAAGCTTACTGATGAACAGAAACTGAAATGCGAGCATCCTCCAAACGGAGCACACCACAGAGGCTGGTCTCTGGTAGGAAAAGAGAAAGTTGTTCAAATGGTTTTTGACAAGGATCAAGTTGAAGATTTGCGCAAGATTCCTGATGTAAAAGAATCTTTTGAATGCGGAAATGAAAACCAGAAAGTGTTCTATAACATCTGGCCAGACGAGAATGATATCTATGGGTTCAGAGAGTATTGTCAATACTATTTCAAAATCTGCAATGCTACATCTAAGCATCTTCTCAGGGCAATTGCCCTTGGAATGGGATTAGAAGAGGAGTTTTTCCTTCCTTACCATTCGGCTTCAGGTAATCAATTGAGATTACTCCACTACCCACCAACTGATGAAAAGTCTTTGAAAGATGGTAAAGCAGAGAGGATTGCTGCTCATACGGATTTTGGTACGTTGACAATGTTGTTGCAGGACACATGTGGCGGGCTTGAAGTTGAAGATCCGCATAACAAAGGCACCTACGTTGCTGCACCCTGTATCCCAGGGTCTTTGGTGGTCAACACCGGTGATTTCTTGATGAGATGGTCCAACGACGAGCTTGTTTCTACTTTGCACAGGGTGAGAGCTCCTCCTATTGACTCCAGCACGGGTGTATCCAAAGTGCGTTATTCCATTCCATATTTCGTTTCTGCTGACGACAATATGGTGGTGGACTGTTTGCCGGGTACATTCTCGGATTCGAAACCTAAGAAGTACTCACCTATTACGGCGGGCGAATATCTTGCAATGAGGCTTAATGCAACCTATTAGGCAATTAGCAAGATTCAATGTATTGATCATCCCCTAGCTAGTAATCTGCGAAAATAGTAAATCCTATACTGCTTATGACTGAATGATGTCTTCGGTCAAGTAACGAATATCGGGGGCGCCAGGGTTAGGATTACGATTTCCGAATAGCATTCTCTCGTTCTCGTAATCCCAAACCGTGTAGACGTACTTGAAAAGACCTGGCCCCTGCTGCACCATCTTGGAAGAACTTTGAGCGACACCCTTGAAGAAGCCAATGGGGTTGCCTTGCGGAAGTCTCTTGTAGAGGTCGACTGTGAATTTGAACTTTCCTCCTCCGAGGGAATAAATAATCACCGGCTTTCTGCTTTTAATCACCGAACTCTGAAATTTACCATTGACAGTTCCCAAGATTCTCATGACGTCGGAATATGCCAATTTGTCAATGGAGAAGTTGATTCCACCAGTGTCAAACATGGTGGTGGTTCCTGGTTGGTAAGACAAGGTGAATGGGTTATCAACAGTATACTCCTGTGCTCCGTCACCACGCTCGTAGTAGATGGGGTTGTCTACTTGCAATCTACCATTATTGAGAGGAATTGCCACGAGCTTTCCAATGAACTTCGAGTAATCTATGGCTCCAAACATGAAATTTCCATCGTAATTGTCTGGAGTGTCATCGTTGTAGGAGATGGCAAAAGATAAGTTACGGATAAGTCCAGCTTCCCTCATCATCATAATAACCGAGTCGTAAGGCTTTCTTCTGACACTGTTGACATCAAGACCAAAGATTGGAGTCTGGAAGGTGGTTTGCATGACGAACGAGGTGTTGAACTGCCCAGCACCTTGACCTTCTCCAAAATAAGCCTGATCAAACACAAACCACTTGAAGTCGGAGCTGGTGGGCTGATTCCAGTACATGTTAGGCAAGAATCTCGTCTGTGAAAACGTGGAGGATGAACTTGCATTGTACACCGAATACTTGTTCTCAGGGTACCCATTGATACTGCCTGGAATGAATGCGTTCCAAGAGCCAGTATCGAGCAACACCGTTGTATTTTGCGGGGGTGTACCCAAGGCGATATTAGCCTGGGGAGTGTTGAGATTTGTTCTAGCTTGGAAATTCTGCGAGATGTACTTGACAGTCTCACCATTAGCTACCTCCAAGTAGAAGATAGCTAATAGAAGCAGCACGAGGCAATTCATGGATAAAGTTAATGATAATGAAAAACAAGTGGAATTATTGACAATTTGAATGCCATCTTGGACTTTGCAATTTCTTTGTCAAATCTAGTGAAGGAACTTACTAAATGCATGAGTACATGAGTGTCGATCGTTATGCACAAGCAATGACGTCCTATATGAAATCTGCTAATACATCAAGACATTCTTTTGTCATGTCAGGCGGCAATTTATGGAATTATCAGTCAAAAAATAAAAGCGGTCTTATGCAACCCAAATGAATAGTCTATGATTTTTCATGTACGCTTGCGATCTACCTGGTGTCCTGACAAAAGAATAAACCCGATTATTATTTCACTGTACCCCTACTGTGTCCAGATTTATGTCCGTCTGCACCTCGTATAAGGCATTTAATAATAGTCGACTACTACTATTGAACCTTACAGGCGTCGTTTCATTGATGGGCAGATTCGTTGCTAGAAAGGTAAATTCCGTGCGAATTGTGTTCCGATAATTCCGCACCAAAAAGTTTAATAGAAAAATACTTATGGTGATCTTCTTGATTCAGAGAGTTTAGGAGATGATGATTTCAATGTGAAAGTTGCAGAAACCAATATACGTGTTCGAAGTTCCATCTACCGATCTTAACAGTTTCGAGAAAACTGGCCCTCAAAGGAGTCTTCTTGGGGTAGGTATCCAAATTTCCGCATCAACATGCAATGGCCACTAAATTGAAGGATCAAATCCCAAAATGCTATTATACCTCGGCAAGAGAAAGCGGAGAAATCCCTTTGCATTCTATGGCCGTTGTTGCACGGAAATTGACTTTCGGACAGGATATTGATCACCCGATCGTATAAATCAAGAACATACGAGCGAAAAAACATTCATACAATGATGCCCGAAAACTTGCACTGCGCGATTAGTGTGATGAGATTGATCGAAATGGTTCTGCTTGGCGTTTGCTTTGAGTTGGTTGCTCGGGCGGACCACTTACGATCATTGGAGGTGTGAGCATATTTTGTTGCGGGCTGCCGTTGTAACTTCATCGACAAATCAGGTTGACCTTTATGGACTGAACAGTTATTCATTCCAGAATTACTTGTAGTTTCGATTTCTTTTCTTATTTTTATTTTCATCTAATTTTCACTTCAATTTTTTGATTGCCAATTGAGAGGCTTCTATTCTTACTTAAGTTTCTTTATTGCTAACCAATTCCGCTCCTATATCGTTTTGGTCATTGTGCATGTTTAAATCCGTTAACAAACGGAAGTTAGAACAAAGCTAGGCATGGTGGAAGTAAGCATTGCAATGATGCAGTGCCAAGCAGTATACACGTTTCGGAATTGACAGAAGACCATAGTGGGTCACGGAGAGGTATTGAGTTAGTAGCATTAGTCTACAAAAGGTAATTGACTTGACAGAATTGGACCATGCACTGAAAACAATGAAATCTATGCGCAAGCACAGAGGAAAAGTATGACGATCAATGAATTTTCTCCTTACATTGTATATTTCTGTTATCTTGTTACGTTTAACGTCTCCAAATTCCAACCTCGGATCTCGGAGCTCGCTTGCTCGATACTATGCAGAGAATCGCATGATCAACTCAAAGTGGGTTGATGGTACTTGCGTGATATTCGATGGCATAGAGCCCAGGTCTATTGGATCATAAATGGAAGTTTGAGAGAAGAGAACCATCGAAGCGCTGCAAGCCAGACGGAGGAAAGCGATGGTATTGGAGCTTCATCATGTGGAGTGCTGATCTGGTAGAACAGCAAGGTTGTTAAAGCACGTTTCCCACAGCTCTTGGAAGCTCACTTCTCTAAATTTGTACGTAACAGTAAAACTCATTTCCTCTTTTCATGTGCTCTTTTCTTAGTTATGTCACATTTTAAGGGGCTCATTCGAAGGTGGAGGGAGCAGAGTATTAACCTTTGATATTTTCTTGTATTTCGTTTTTCAATCTATACTTCTAAATGTCATTGTTCTTACTCTCGTCCGAACCTTGCAAGAATCCACATATTCTTCTCTTAGGATCAAACTTGGCCCTTAATTCAATAACCCTTTTGTGTGCTTCTGGGGACCAGAAATCAGTAATACGCTTCTGAAAATCGGAATCTCCCAAGTATGAGCCCACACTATGCTTCTTCAACACATCAAACTTGTCAGACAACCATTCACCATTGATCTGGTCCTGCTTCTCGTCGGCAGCAATCGTGTAAACAACAATGTAATGATTCGATCTCATGGTCACGGCCATATCCTCCAATGGAACCAAGGGTTCCAAGGAATTATAGAGACAGTATGTATTCTCGTTGGGAATGGTGGTGAAGGTCGACTCCAAAACCTCCGCCGGATCTGATTCTGAATCCAAGAACACATTTTCAGCACGATAGTAGTGTTCCTTTGGATGATTGGCAGCCTGATCCTTGTATTCGTCGGTGATGGAAGTTTCTTCTCCGTAAGTCTCAAAAATTGATCCTGAAATCTTAGTTGAATGGAAAATATCCAATTGCTCCAAGCATTCCTCCTTAGTATCCTTGTAGGCTATAAGAAGTGCAATGACATTTACTTCATTGGTCTTAGGATCGCGTTTGGACACAACAACTGTTTCCACGTCCTCATCAGCAGATGGCGAAGTTTTCGAAACCCAAGAGAGCACCTCCTTGAATTTGTTGGCAGGGTAAACGTAGACCGACTTGAAAATGCGCTTAATAGGGAGGGTTTTTAATTCGAAGTTTACTACCACACCTGGGAATCCCGGTCCGGAGCCTCTAGCCAACCAAAACAAATCAGAATTCTCAGTCCGGCTACATGTCACCAATTGACCATCGGCAAGCACAACCTTTATCGATTGGATCCTTTGACATGCCCAGCCCCAGCCTCTACAACCCCAACCCATTCCACCTTGAAGCAAGAACCCACCAATTCCCACATCAGGGCAATGACCTCCGGGAAAAAATCTTCCCTTAGGAGCTAATGCTTTGGTTAAAATTCCTCCAGTGACACTTGTTGTGGCGGTAACCGTCTCAGTATCTTCGTTGTAATCGATTTCCTTGTAGTCTCCCAAATCAAGTAAGATGGCACCATCACGAACACACCAAACGGGCCAGCTGTGGCCACCGGAAATCACAGAGATCTTCACATCCAAAACATTGGCCAATTTCACAGCGTTTACGATATCTGCCTCGCTGTGCACTTTGACAACTGCCACTGGCAACCTGTCCTGTCTTCTGAAATTAAAGACACGGCTGTAGGCAAGCTCTTTGAATCCCGGTTCGCTGTTCCATACGATGTCAATGTCCTTTGTGAGCCTTTGTACTTCTGGGTCGCTGGTGTTGATTTCTCCCATGTTGAAATGTTCAATGGTGAAAGAATAGCAAAGATTCGATATTGAGCTCTCGAAGTCATGCACTGCACACAGTTGGGAGCTGCCCAGAAAATATAACCTAAATATAGGCATGGGCTAATAAGAAAATTGGTGGTGGCCATGCTGACACAAAATGGAAGAACCTGTCACAGCATTGATTAAATTCCTTTCTGTCAAGAATTCTCTTTGAGTTGCCCCAAAGGGCAGTTTGGTAACCAATCGAGGTAGTAACTCTGACCATTCGGACTCCGAACTATCTCAGATCTTCTTGCCATTAAACGACTATCTTAGCTGACGAAATAAGAGACAAGTCTGGCAACATGGATCTCATCCTTTTAATTGACCCCGCTTCCTCTGGGCTTGAAGTATAAATTGGCACATCGGACCTTCTCGTCCTAGCCATATTGGAAGTCCATTTTTCGCTGCTTTTAATGAACTAGTATCATCCAGAGGAAACGAGAATGTCCAATATCAAAAATTGTTGAAGTTTTGAAACTGCCATGGTTTGAGGAAGCAGTGCCTAATCTGGAACTTGACCTCCTCATTATCTCATTCAGAATATGTCATAAGTTGACGAAGGACAAACACCTCGAAATAATTTGCGAACTTTAAAATTAAAATCTTCTGCAAATTGTAAAACTTGTAGTTGTCTTCAAGGAAATCTTGTCCCAGATCAGTTCACTATCCTGGCTATTGATTTCGCTCGACATTCTCGAATCAAAATTTCCGCAGCTTATCAGTGAAAATTTTCCGTTTGGTGACAAACATCTTTGACAAAACGCCTTATGCACCCCTTTTCGACTTACCTCAGTTAACAATTTGCCATAGGTCTCAGACAAACTCTCCTTAATATTCTCCTATCTCCACTAATCAAACCTATTGAATTGTACTTTTGCCCAGCAAATTTGTGTCCTTTTGACGTTATCTCACACAGGAATCCACTTTTGACACATTTTACAGTAAGTATCCAACAAGCAAAATCGCAATATTCTACATTCTAAAAGTGGTTTCTTCGAAAAGTCGTTTTTGGCATCATTATTCCTATTTTGGATTAATTGCCGCTCAGTGCGGTCAATGTTGCCCCGGTAATCACCGTGCAAACTTTGATAAGCCTTTCTAATACGCACTCACAATGCCTTATCTCGTATGGCTCCAAATTGCCCATCGGAGCTTCTGGTACTTAACCACCACGTTGTACTCGTAATTGATCCAGTCACTCAATCTTTTCTCTCCCTATTTCACCTTTAATTTTTTGTCTAAATTCTTAAAATGGTTTCCTTGAAGGTCGTTGCTCTGACCTTCTTCGCAGCCTCTGTGCTCGCTACTAGAAAAGTTTTCATCGATAACGATGGTTTGACTCCTTTGGAGGTCGTGCTCCCACTTCTTGGAGACATGGAAATTGTCGGAATTTCTGCCAGTTTCGGTGACCCATCTCTTCCAGACGCATTGGGAGTTGCATCCGATATTCTTGCAAACTACTCCATCTCGAAGTGTATTCCTTTGTATGCTGGTGCAGAGAAGCCTTTGCTCAGAACGAAGAAGACTTTCGACATCTGGCAAATGCTCTATGGTGAGTTTGTCTGGAAAGGTGCTTGGGCTGATGACTACGAGGACTCGTACAAAATCTCCGAGGTGTCCTACAATGACTCATTACCTGCTGCCATGGCCCTCATTAATGCCGTGAAAGCTTACCCTGGAGAGGTGGAGATCTATGCTGCTGGTTTGATGACCACCGTTGCTCAAGCCGTGTCCATGTGGCCAGAAATTGTCAACGAAGTGAAAGCTTTGTGGATCATGGGAGGATACATTGATGGCCAATACGTTCTGGCAACCGGAGGAGATCTTGTGGACGACCTTTTCACTGACTTCAACTTGATGTTTGATCCAGAGGCAGCACAGATGGTTTTCACTGCAGGCTTTAAGGATGTCTACATTGGAGGTAACGTTACGAACAATGCTTACCCATCTCAAGAACTTTTCGACTCGTTAACTTCCAAGTTTGGCTACGAGAACATCACTACTGAGGACAAGTACTTCGCTATTTCCAGTTTTGTTGGCAACGACAATGCTACCGATGTGTCCCTTCCATTGTGGGACGAGGTTGTTTCTGCCTTCATGGCTTTCCCAGACTTGTTGGAAGACACCATGGAGGTTTGTGTTGGTGTTGATACCTCTTTTAACTCGCCATTCTATGGAAACTTGAGAATCTGGCCTGCCAACCTTGCTCCAACTATCGGAACCTGTGGAAATGCAACTTACGTCAACTCTATTGATCTCAATGCAGCCTTGGGTAAGATTGGCGATGCGTTGTCTTTAGACTGGTCCCAATACTGTTCTGCTGGTGGACCAATTGCATTTGAGTTGTAAAACAAGATAAAAAAAAACCTTCTGACTTTCTCTCGATACCATTTTTTCGAATTATTTAGTTAATTTATGATCCGTATAGAATTACTTCGTTGTTTTCAAGCATTAATACTTAAACTAGCAACAGTGATAAAACCTTAAAAATAGAAAACGAACTTGGAGCTTGTCTGTTCACCATAAACCCTGTTTCGACTTGAGAAGATCGCTACAAATGAATAGTCCGCATCACATTATTTATCGAGATCTTTATGGAATGACTTGTCGATTGTGCAAATTGAAAGAAGTTTCCACTAACGGATAAAGTTAATTAATAATTCTCAATTGTCCCCAAACTATAAGAGTGAGGTTTGGCGGTCTATTTGCTATCATATGCTTGCCAGAAGAAAGATAAGTGAGAGCCTACATAATCAAGTATGATTTTCTCAACGATTCCTATCAAAAGAATTAACAGAACAGGAAATTTACTTAATTGCAATCGATTGACGAGGAGAAAGATGCAATTCCTCAGCCTCAATCTTGTACTCTGCAAACTGCCGTGTTGGGACGTCACGCTCAAACATAAGATCCAACTCTTCGTAAGTTCTGCCCTTTGTTTCAGGCAATCTGAAAAAGGCCCAAATTAAAGTAGGGAAAGCTGTTCCAAACCACACAAACGCAGTCTTTCCCTTCAAATTTGCATTACCTGGGTTCATCAAGTAAGGCTCCACCACGTTGGAAATCAACGAACACAAATTATATGAGTTTCTTGCAAGTGCAATGGACTGGGAACGCAAATTCGTTGCAGAGATCTCCGAAACAATGGTGAAGGCTAACGGTCCAATTGTAAGCGAGTATGTTCCCACCCAACAGATGGTGATAGCTGCTTGGGCCCATTTGACTCCACTTGAGTGCTTAGCAGGGAAAGCCAAAATACCGATAAGCAACAACAAAGTGACAAGCACGGCGTACCCCGTAACGTAAATGGTTCTTCTGCCAAACCTATGGAGCAAGAACCATGAACAAAGAGTACCAGTGAAGGCAATAGCAGTGGTGCCTAAATTCAATTTGTAAACTTCAGACAGAGCTAATCCAGCCTGAGAAAAGAAGTAAGAAGGTGAATATGCAAACGTTGAACCAGAAAGAACTTGACCAGCAAATGCAATACAGGCAATTTCAGTTCTTCTTCTGTTTGGACCTTGGAACAAACGCAAGTATGCTCTCCAGCCCGAGTTTTCCTTATCAGCAGACTTCAATCTTTCTTGTTCTCTTTCCAACTCGGTTGTTCTGATCATCAACGCAACTCTAGCCTCAACTTGGTTGTGGATGGATTTGTTGGTGATTCTTCTCACAACCTTTTTAGCATCTTCAATTCTTCCTTTTCTGACCAACCACCAGGGCGAGTCAGGAGCCAACCAAGTCAAAATAAAGAGAGGTGGAATCCACACCCACTGAACAGCAAATGGAATTCTATATGACCATTGTGTCTTGTTCTCAACCAATCCCTTCAATACACCAGCAGCAATGAACTGGCCTATAGCCCAACACATATTGACATAAGCCAGTAACTGTCCTCTAAGAGCCAATGGGGCAATTTCAGACGAATAGGTTGGACCCATGGTAGCAAAAATTCCCCAAGGAATACCACAAAGAATCTGACCAATAAGCAAATGCGTGAGAGAGGTAGCAAAGAAGGTGATGAAGATGAACGCACCCATTAGCAACAAACTGACCATAATGACCTGACGATGTCCAAATTTCTCAACAAGCCATCCGTTAAAAATCAACGTGATGATAATACCCACAGTCGAAGCCGTCGAAAGACCCACCTGCCATGGACCCGTAAGTTGATAATTGGTTTCGTCCCCATGAGTTGGTTGTCCATACTTCTTCTGGAAGGAAGGATATGCGTAGAAAGATCCAATCAAGATATTGTCATAACCTTCCATGATAATGGTCGCACTCATTACTGCCGACCAGAGCACAGCCCAGGTATGAGTCTTCAATGCCTCTCTAATGGTGAGCGCATGCTCAGTTTCAGTGGCATCGTTTGCCTCGACATCGAGGACGGGCATCACATCGTGGATCCTATCTGTTTTATTTAACGAGTCATCGCTGATTCTGGAGACGTGCTCCGTAATTGGTTTGTCGTCAAGACTAACAGAAGACTTCATATTTGGTTGGCTTAGAGTTGAGCAGAAATCAGAGTTTATAAATACTCATGCTCGTAGGAACTCTACGACAAAGAGGCATCAACAATTTTTGTCTACTCCGCATCTTGTGGGCTAATGGAAAACCGAATTGCAGACTCCATGTACCGAATGTACAGTGAGTGGTTACTAGTCGACTGTGCAGAGGGGACAATAGTCCAAAAATATCGTTAAAACCACCGTTTTGCTGAGGACTCAGGGCTTTTTCATGCTCTATAATTCCCAATTGGATGATTGACGCCGTGCGCGTAGGATGGACCTTCCATGTAAAATGACAAGATTACTTAACATCTGTCTATTTTATTAAGCACTCATGCAACCATACTGCATATAATTGACTAATGACACTCGGATCCCCCATATTTCCCCCACATATTGCCCCACATTTGCGGACTGTTCCCAAAATAGGACAAATCTTAAATCCGGTTTTCGCAATTCATACTTCATTCGAGAATTTTGGTGGGGGAAGGACCCAAATTCAAGGATATCATTGGGTTTCAATCGAAAATTCCGAGGTGTCAGTGCATTTCTGCTGTCAATTACTCGTTCGAGTCCACCCACTTCTCTTGTACCGGCATGGACAAGGCTTGCAAAGAACAGCATTTTAGACCACGGTGCCATTTTTCAATGCGGGATATTTCACATATAAATTTAGTCATAGCTAGAAACTAAATTTTTTTAGCTAATCTTGGATTCTACCAGATATTTTCCATTCAATTACTGATTGCTAGTGCACTATGTCTTCAGGAAGAGGTTTTGTCGATAGACACGTACCTTCAGACACCAGATTCTCTCGTGGAATGTGGGAATTAAAGGAATCCGTGGCCATCAAATGGGCCAATGACGTTGTAAAGCAGGAATTAAAAGACGGAAAGGTGTACAGTGTGGCAGGAACTCATCCTATTCGCAACAGAGCCGACACGCTTAACAACCCACTGATCACTGCAATGTTGCAATCTCCAGCACCTGGAGTGGTTTTGGGTGAAACTTACCACTATGTTTCTGCTTACAAGAACAATGGCGAGCCAAAATTTGATCTCACTCATGATGGTAACCATGTTGCCAAATTAACCAAGTCAGAGAACAACGTTGACGTTGATGCTGGCAGTGGATTGGTTGCCAAAGTTGGAACCGAGAAGTTCGGTATTGAGTATGAGGGAGATGGCAAGTTGCTTACTAAATTGGGCTTCAGATCCGTGGGGTGGGTCCAAGACAGCCGTTTCCAGGACAAATATGGTCGCCCAACGACCTACACCACTCTTCAGTTCCATCTCTCGGTAGGTGAGAAGATCTATGGTCTTGGAGAACGTTTTGGCCCATTCCAAAAGAACGGACAGAGAGTGGAGATTTGGAACGAGGATGGAGGAACTTCGTCAGAGTGGACCTATAAAAACATCCCTTTCTACATCTCCAGCCGTGGCTATGGTGTGTTCATTGACTCTTCATCTGATGTGATCTTCGAGGTTCAGTCCGAGAGAACCACCAGGGTCAATGTCACCATTCCATCGGAAGGAGCCAGATGGTACGTGATCTATGGTCCAACACCCAAGGAGATTCTACAGAAATATGCTAAATTGACGGGATTTCCAGCTCTTCCACCGGCATGGACGTTTGGATTATGGCTCACCACTTCGTTCACCACTGATTACGATCTTAAGACTGTTTCGTCATTCATTGCAGGCATGAAGGACAGAGATATTCCACTCAGAACGTTCCACTTTGACTGCTTCTGGATGAAGGGTTTCCAGTGGTGTGACTTTGAGTTTGACCCAGACATGTTTCCCGATCCAGCAGCTATGCTCAAACAGTTGAAGAAGGACTTTGGAATCAAGGTATGTGTGTGGATTAACTCTTACATCGCTCAGGAATCAGCACTTTTCAAGGAGGCCGATGAGAATGGCTATCTCATTAGAAATGTAGATGGATCCCTGTATCAAACTGACTTGTGGCAGGCTGGCATGGGAATAATTGACTTTACCAACCCAGAGGCGTACAAGTGGTTTCAGGGGCAGATGGAGAAGTTGATCAACATGGGAGTGGACAGTTTCAAGACTGATTTTGGGGAGAGAATCCCATGCATTGGAGTTAAGTACCATGATGGAAAAGACCCTGTCGCGATGCACAACTATTACACCTACTTGTACAACAAGTGTGTCTTTGAAGTGTTGGAGAGAAAACTTGGTAAGAATGAGGCCTGTCTTTTTGCTCGTTCAGCCACTGTTGGAGGTCAAAAGTTCCCTGTCCACTGGGGAGGAGATTGTGAATCATCTTTTGAAGCAATGGCCGAAAGTTTGAGAGGTGGTCTCTCGTTGTGTCTTTCTGGATTCGGTTTCTGGTCGCATGACATTGGCGGCTTTGAAGGCGCAAGACCCGAACCTTCTGTTTACAAGAGATGGTGTGCTTTTGGACTCTTGAGCTCTCACTCTAGACTTCATGGCTCATCCTCTTACCGTGTGCCATGGCTCTTTGATGACGAAGCATGTGATGTGTTGCGCAAGTTTACCAAGTTAAAGTTGGAATTGATGCCTTACATTTACTCTACGGCAATTAATGCCCACGAGACAGCAACTCCTGTGATGAGAGCAATGCTTTTGGAGTTCCCAAAGGATAAAGAGGCTTACAGTGCTGACACTCAATTCATGTTAGGTGAGAACATTCTCGTAGCCCCAGTTTTCAATGAGGAGGGTGATGTTTCCTACTATGTGCCCAAAGGTGAGTGGTATGGATACATTGACGGTAAAGTCAGAAAATCGACCGGAGAATGGATGGAGGAGAAGCACGATTTCCTCTCCTTACCAATTCTTGTTAGAGAGGGTTCTGTGTTTGTATCTGGCCCCAACAATGCTTCTGTTCCGGACTACGATTACACCCTGGACTTTGTGGTGAACATCTTCAGAAGCCCAGGAAAGCAAACGGTGAAGATCCCAGATGTAAAGAAGGCTGGATCTTTTGCTGGTGAAGTGATTGTAGATGCTTCTGAAGAGTCCATCAAAGTAAACGTTTCCACGAAGGGTAAGTGGCTGGTGAGACTTTTAGGTGTCGAGTCTGTCAAGTCGGAGTTTTCAACTGACTCATTTGGAAATGCTGTTATCACTACTTCTGGTAAGACTTTGGAAATCTCCTTATGAGTGAATAGATCTTTTTTATGTTTGATTTGGAAGAGAAATTTGTGAAGTGTTAATAAAAGATAGACTATTACAGAGAAGTAGTTAACAGTAGAGGAATTTCAATCGACGGAGTAGTCTAAGGGAACTACAGCATTCGATTAAACTTGGAGTAGTTTTGAAGTTGGTTTAATATGATCAAACGTTCAATATATAAACTTTTGTGCCAGGGTATTTCGATCAGTAAGCCTTAATTACCATGTGAACTTACTCTATGAAAATCAAGTTATCTAAATTATCCGTTCCAAAACATTTCATTATCACAAATTAATTATTTCTTGTACAAGTGCTCCTCTTTAACTTCCTCCACAGCGGAGGCATCAGTTCCAATGCTGGTAGTCTCATTGACTACTGGAGCAGGAGAAGCACGTCCAATCAACAGCTCGAAAATCGTCTTCAATGAGTGGCGGCCCTGCCACAAAGGAATAAGAATGATATACAACGCAGCAAGCAAAAGCCAAGCCAACATCACCACAATGAAACCAGTGAATGAGCTCTTGCTGAAATCGTGTGAACTAGCATACAAAGCACATGGAATAATAATGTAGCAGCCCACCAAGATGAAGATGTTAATGAGAAGACTGAGCCATGACTGCTTCTTCAAAACATGCATGTCGGAATCTGTCACCACCACTGCCTCCGTCTCTTCTTTGTCAACATCATCCCCCATTGTGATGGAAATGTTCATCATGTTCAAGTCGTATGGCACGACGTCTGGCTTCAAATAGGACACGATAGCGAAGTAGATTGGAGTTGAGAAAAGAGCGGTAATATTTCCAATGAAGGTTGCTTCAGTGGTCATTACGGTATCTTTATTGATCACTCCACCAGCGAAATGATAAGTTGAGCCCACCCAGCACACAACACCGGTAATTGTACCCAAAGGACATCCGATTAAAAGTGCAGGCTTCGTCAATTTTGTCCAGAAAAGCGTACAGACAACGGCACTAACCTCCGGGGTCAAGACAATACCTAAGAAACTCAATAACCAGCCAGTTGTAACACCAACATAATTAAGTACTGTCGCAACCACAGCCATCATGATTCCAAAGGAGATGACAGAAACATGTGCAGCAAATACCAACTGCTTACCAGTAGCGTCGGGTTTGATATAGGTTCTGTAGATGTCGTAAGTTGTAACAGACGAAAAGGCAATAAGTTCAGCAGAAGTTGCCGAGGTGACAGACATGAAGAGCATGACCAAACCAGCGGCAGCACCAGACTTGCCGAAAATGGCAGCCATTCCATAAATGACAGGAAGACCAGCATTCACCTGAAAGTCGGTGAGGGCATCAGGATATGTGACAGAGGCTGGGTTGGTAAGAAGGGCTCTGCATGCCAATCCAGCAGAAGAGCCAAGAGCAGTAGGAATAATCCACCAGCAAAGGCCACCCATGAGGTATCCAGTGAAGACACTTTTAGCATCAGAGGCAATAGCTCTTTGAGAGTAGCCTGGGTCTCCGAAAACGGAACTGAGACCTCCGAGACAGACAGACCAAGTCAAAAACATCATGCTTTGGTCTTTAAAGGAAAGGTAGCTCTGGCCAGTTTGTGAAGGAAAGACTTTCTCCACCTCTTTCAAGAGATCATACATCTTTCCTGGTGATCCAATAAGATCTGATGAACAATAAACAGTGTAGCATGTGACCAACAAGATGACATAGATGATGACAGTATGGATCCAATCAGAAACAAAGGTAGCCTTCAAACCTCCCAAAGCAGTGTAGACAACGACACCAACAGGCAAGAGAAACGAAGCAGCAACAGTATGCATACCAGTAGTGGCAGCAAAGCCCTGAGATCCACCCAAAAGCAAAAGGGCCGAGATGAGAACGTTGGTGCTCATACAGTAGAAGAGGAACAACCAGTGTCCCGCCTTTCCGAAACGAATAGCAAAACATTCCGATACTGTGTGAGCTTTAGGAGCCTTTCTTTTGATTTGAATGGCCAAAAACAAAAAGAGCGTGATCTGGATGGTTCCTCCAACACCATAGAGAAAACCTCCACTGATTCCATGAGCATACGACCATGCACCCGAAGTCAAGAGCGTGGCAGGCCATGTCCATGCCGAAACAGTACTGGAAGCAATCAAACCTGACTTGACGTTTCTGGATGCAGTGGAAAATCTTTCAGAGTTCTGTACTTGTCCAAGATATCTTGATAACACTCGAGTGATGACAGCCATCAAGAGTGCGAAGGCAGCACCGATACCTAGAGCAAAGCCGTAGCCATAAGCTTGTGAGAGAATGGGCTCCATAGCAAGAAGTCTAGATATGTGAATGTGTGAATTGTAGGAAAAACGTTGAGGTGGAGCGGACCCCAGATATATATATAGAAAAGTGATTTTGTATGACGCCCGGTGTGCATAACTGATGATAAAGACGATGCGATAAACTTTCGAGTGTGAAATCCGAGATCCGACAACACACGAGGGGTAGAGGGGATACGCAAAGAAGAGAGGAGAATTAAACACGAGAGGAGATTTAAATTCGAGTGGAGTTTCGATGACGAGAGGAGTACAAATGGAATTACGACGATGCCTTGAAGATTGAAAAAAAGTTGGTGAAAATAATGCGAAAATGTATCCAGTTCATTGTAAACGAATGTTGTGAACAATGTCTGATTTTAGAGCTGAAGGTACAAAGATCCCAGAGATTGGAAAAGATACGTAAGGACAAGCTAATCAAGACCATCGACTTGTGGGAGGGGCATGTTTAGATCGATTTGCTTGGTCGTGGAGAGGTCATCTACGTCAAAAATTAATGTAATTGGTCTGTTGGATTGTAACTCACTAGTTCAGTTATTCGCATAATTCCAAGCATTAATTGTACCATAGGTGATTGTAACACTATCTCTGTGTCTTAGACTTGTGTCGTTGTTGCTCATTGATTACTAGAAACTCTTATCTCAAAGGTTCTTTGTTATCTATGGTTTGAAGAAGTGCCGAGTTCCGACATCCGACACCCGGATAAGCAGCATTTGACACGAACGGGGCCGCAAACCGATATATCCACCTGTTCAATTTGATAGTTTCACCTACAAATAAACCAAAGCTATGGAAGTTTGAATCTTTCTCTAATTCCAATGTATTGTATACGAAAAGTCTGTTTTTTACGACTATACGATGCGATTGCCTGATGCTCATTATCATGTCAATTTGCACACCCAAAATTTATGCGATTAGTGAACTTCACGTAAAGTGTCACTTAAAGGGTTGAAATTGTTGAATAGTGAATTTGGCAAATACTAGACAATTCCGGTGTATATCATTTAATTCCGCTTCAACATTAACCATGGCCCAATTAAAACCATTAGTCACACGCTCTACTAACACTCACTGGGTCATTCAATGACTAATGCGGCAATCCGATGCGCTTGTCTCTCTCTTTGTCGTATTTCATGACATGGCCACTATCATGCTTCCCCACGATTATACACACTTAGGCGGCAATCAGCGCTGCTAATCAGGAACCGGATCAGTTGAGCCAAAAAAAGATAAAAAAAAAAAAAATGGTTTCCGTTCTCCGTCCACCGAACACCGACATCCGACACCCGTGATCGCGCGGGGGTCTTTATCTTAAATCACACTTTTGCACCCACACAGACAAATCTTTTAGTTACTATTGCTTTCTTTTTAATCGTAAGGCAAGTAGAAAACTCCAATGACAACAAAAGATTGGAAAGAAATTGCAGCCTCCAAGCAACGCTCGGTGCTGAACGCCATCCCTTTGAAATGGACCGTTCTTGGAATCAAGGATGATATGATATCTAAAGGGTTCGTGAAAACAAGCGACTATCTTGATCTGATACTTGGAGAATTCGAGGTCTCCATTACTAAGCAAAACGTTGCACAGCTTCAACAGGCAATTGAGTCCAAGAAACTCACTGCAGTACAAGTCACTGAGGCTTTCTGCCATCGTGCGGCTTTGACCCACCAAATCGTCAACTGCTGCTCGGAGATCTTCTTTGACGAAGCTATCGAGAGAGCAAATGAATTGGATGCTTATTTGAAGGAAAACGGAAAGACAATTGGACCTCTCCATGGAATTCCTATCTCTCTTAAAGACCAGGTGGATCTTCCAGGTAAAGACTCCTCCATAGGTTTCTGCTCGCTAGTTGACCATCCAAAGAGCGAGTACAGCTTGTTAGCAAAGAACTTACTGGATCAGGGTGCCGTTTTCTACGTGAAAACTACCGTTCCCATGGCCATGATGGCTCCAGAGACAGTGTCAAATGTCTTTGGGTACACTTACAACTCAGTCAATATCAACTTGTCTGCTGGTGGCTCTTCTGGAGGTGAGGGGGCTTTAATAGCCGCTGGAGCTTCTCCACTTGGCTTTGGAACCGATATTGGCGGCAGTATTAGAATTCCGTCATCTTTCCATGGGCTTTACGCCTTGAAACCATCCAGCGGAAGAATTTCATACTTGAACGTCACTAACTCAGTCAGCGGTCAAGAATGTATGCCCTCCGTGATTGGACCAATGGGACGTTCGCTTGAAGACGTTACTGCCATTACTCAGCTTGTGGTAAACTCTGAGCTTTGGAAAGTGGATCCTAAGGTGTTGCCTGTGCCCTGGAAGAATTTAGACTCCATGAAAAACAATAAGTTTGTGTTCGGAATGTGGCGTTTCGATACCATGATTACTCCCCATCCGCCAGTTTTGCGTGCCTTGGAGGAAACTGCTCAGAAGTTGAGATCTCAGGGCCATGAGGTCATTGACATTGAACTTCCAGACCCCAGGGGATTCATGGACACTGCGAACAAAATCTACGGTGCCGACTCCGGCTTTGAGCTTGCTTCAGAGTGCAGAAAGACCAACGAGCCTGTAGTTCCTGTGGTCAGAAAATGTGTTTCGGATGCTCTCACTGAAATCCCAGCAACAGTCAACCAGTGGTGGGATATTTGCAATGAAGCATACCTGCAAAGGCAAGCGTTCCTTAAATTTTGGGAGAATACGGCGAAACTATCGGTTTCTGGTAAACCCATAGATGCCATCATCAGTCCAGTATGGCCTACAACATCAAGTTTGCCAGATGGCCCACCTACGATTAACTACACAGCTCCATTTAACCTCTGCGACTGTGCCAGTGTGGTTGTTCCAGTTACAAATGTATCTTCGGAACTCGACAAAAAGTCGACAAATTTTGTCCCTGTAGACCAGGCGGACCAAAGTATCCAGGACTCGTTTGATGCAGATCTCGTAGATAACATGCCTGTATGTGTCCAGGTTGTCACCAAAAAGCTCGAAGAGGAAAAGGCACTTTTGTTGGCGGAGATATTAACACGAAACTAAGCAAAAAAAGAAATGCACTAAATGAAAATGATCGATTGTAGTCAGTCATAAAGGATAATTGTTAGTCCTAATATTTCACACTCTTTTCTTGGTTCCCGCAATCACCTCACATACAATCAAGATTCGAAGAGTGCACGTGCAATGCGCATGATAGCTATTTTAGTAGGGAGTTAAGCTTTAGTGAACTATGTGAAAGCCTCGCCGCGGCATATGGACCGAACCGAAACGAACCGAAGGCCTCCCTCATATCAAATAGAAACCGAAAAAAAAAAAAATATAGCCCGAACCGACGGTAATTGAATACTTCAAATTTTTTCGTCTTCTCGTTTCTTCTTTCCTTCTTTCCTTCTTTTCTTCTTTTCGTTCAGACTTCTTCAAACGTAATGAGTGAGAATTCACCCTTGATCACTGAACATGAACTTGACCATCATGGATCTACTGACGAACAGTGCAAGAAGAAACGTTTGGCATACTTCTCTGATGTGCCAAATTTCTTTTGGATTGAATTATCTCTTTTAATAAACGTTTTCCTTTCAGGATTTGATGGCACAGTGGCAGCATCAACCTACTCTACTATTGGAAATGAGTTCAGGGCCATTTCTTTGGCATCATGGATCACGTCGTCATACTTAATCACCTCAACGGCATTTCAGCCGCTCTATGGGTCCATCTCGGACATCTTGGGAAGAAAATCATGCATCATTTTTGCACTCGCTGTGTTCAGTCTTGGAAGTTATGGCTGCTTTGCTTCTGCTTCCATGATGTCACTTATCATCATGAGGGGGTTTACTGGTATTGGTGGTGGTGGCCTCATGAGTCTTTCCACCATCACAAACTCGGATATAATCTTTCCCGAGAAACGGGCTTTATTCCAGGCAGTTCAGAATTTGCTTTATGGTCTTGGTGCCGTTTCTGGCGCATCTTTTGGTGGTTATCTCACCAGTCTTCTTGGTTGGAGATGGTGTTTCGCCATACAGATCGCTCCAGCCCTTTTGTCAATGTATGTGACTTTTGCATTTATTGGAAAAAGTGAAAGCCGTCATGCTCTGGAGGGACAGTCTCTCTGGAAGAAAATCGATTTCGGTGGCTCGGCAACTTTAGTGTGTAGCTTGACATCCCAACTTTTGATTTTGTCTTTAGGGGGTAACAAGTTGGCATGGCTCGACTGGAGGCTCATCGGGCTTGGTATTTTGATGATCGTTTCTACGCTCACTTTCCTTAAGATCGAAGTGTCGACCTCGGCGCTTCCAATCATTCCAGTCCAGGATTATAAAACTAAGTATGCTGTGCTCAACATTGTACTGAGTTTTGGCGTTGGTTTAGCTGCGTACTCGTACTTGTTTACGCTTCCATTATTGTTTCAAATCAATCTTGGAGACTCTGTGACGCAGTCTGGCTTGCGTTTGACTATTCCTTCGTTGGCCACCCCCATTGGTGGAATTACTACTGGTTTGTTAATGGCCAAGTCTGCTCGCTACTTGCCCAACTTACCAGTGTGCGGAACATTATTAATGGCAATAGGAAATTTTTCTGCTGTTTTTATTTCAAATAAATTGCCCAACTGGTTAATCAATCTTCTTTTGGTGCCAGCCAATTTGGGGCAGGGAATCGCCTATCCGAGCTCGTTGTTTCTGTTCATTTACTTTTTTGAGTCATCCAAGCAGGCGTCATCAACATCAACGGTCTATTTGATGAGAAACATTGGAGGCGTTTGGGGAGTGACTTACATTTCTTCGGTGACACAGTTCGTTCTTCGGAAACTCTTGAAGGAGGACTTGTCCCGGTTGTCTTTTTTGACTAAGAAGGAAACCAAAAAAATCATTGCCGATATTTTGGAGTCTACCGACGTCATTAAGACTTTGGATCCTAGGGTCCGTGAACTTGTGATTCAGGATTACACATTTGCATTGCGGGTCTCTCAAGTTGTACTGGGAACTTGCTGTTTTGTCGCTTTTGTGTGTTTCTTGGTGGGAAAACGTTTGTTCATCAAGGGGAACAAACAGTGGAACTAATATATATTTATATGGTTGTGTGCCGAGGGCGTGACACCACACTAATACACTGATTAAAAGTATACTTTTTTTTTTAAGCTACAAGCCACAATCATACGATAAATGTCTAGTCGACTTTTTGGAGGATGTCTCCAGGAGCCCGCACCCCTTAAGGCTGAAGCTGGGCATTACCAAGCTGGTTAGGCGTTTTTCGCAGCCACAGTTTGTGAGGCACATACAGTTGTGTGTGTCCGAACCGATATGAACCGAACCGAACCGAAACGTTGCACCCATAATTCTCAATTTGGTTGCAAACTATATAAATATGGCTAAAACTTCAATCCCAGATAATTCTAATTAACCAATATGATTTTTAATACACTCAATTGGTATATCTCTACCTCTTTCTTGCTTGCTTCGGCATTTGCAGATTGGCAATACAAGTCTAGACCAGATTTGTCTCCTCCAAAGTTGAACATCACCATTCCTGCCAAAAATACTTCTCCAGGATACTTGTTCCTTGCTCCATTTAGTGGATTTCCTGATATTGGAGTATCTCACGGTCCTAGACAGTCTGCACCATACATTTTCACTGACGAAGGAGAACTTGTCTGGTCTGGTTTCAGTTACTACTCTATCTGGGCTACTAATTTCCAGGCAGGACGTGTCAATGGAGAGGATATCTTATTCTCATTTGAAGGGTCTCATAACCCCAACTACGGTCATGGACATGGTCATATTACCTTTTTGAACAACAAATATGAAACAATCAAGGAATTGCGCGGTGGAAACCATAAGATCATCGACAAGCACGAATTCCACATCATTGGTGAGAAGACGGGATTGATCCAGGTGTACCAGCCAACTCCAATTGATTTGAGTCGCTGGGCCAGTTCCAAGGACCAGCAATGGATTGTGGATGCTATTTTCCAGGAATTAGACATCGAAACAGGCGAGTTGCTCTTCGAGTGGTCTTCTTTGGACCACATTTCGCCAGATGAGTCTGTGCTTCCTGTTGATGAAGGGCAGGCTGGTGCTGGTTTCAACTCTAGTGACGCATGGGATTATTTCCACATCAATTCAGTGGACAAGGACGAAAATGGAGACTACCTTCTTTCTGCTAGAGACGCTGCAAGTGTCTACAAGATTAGTGGAGAGACCGGAGAAGTCATCTGGAAGCTTGGTGGCTTACCAGGAATCACTACATCCGATTTCGAATTGCAAGGCTTCAACTTTTCCTTCCAGCACCATGCTCGCTACCTCTATACTTCTCCAGACAAGAAGATCCAAGTTTTCTCTCTTTACGATAACTCTGCTCACGGCACCGAGAACAAGGACGGAAAAGAAGTCCATTACAACTCTCACTCCAGTGGTAAGATTATTGAAGTCAACACAGAAACCTGGAAGGCCAAACTTCTCTTCAATGGAGTTCCTCCTGACAACTTGCTTTCCAAGTCTCAGGGATCTACTCAAGTTTTGCCAGATGGCCATGTTATTGTTGGCTGGGGTTCTGAAGGCGCTGTCACCGAGTTCGATGCCGACGAGAACGCCATTTTCCACGCTTATGTTGATTCAGGTGAATTGGGTTTGAAGGCTCAAAACTACCGTGCTTTCAAGTTCAACTGGACTGGTATTCCAAACGAAGAGATCGCTTTGGTGAGTGAGAATAACGACGACCGTTCCACCTCGTTGTATGTGAGTTGGAATGGAGACACCCAGACCAAAACCTGGAGATTCTATGCCATCAACAAAAAGAACGAGAAAACCTTAATTGGAGAGACTTCTCGCTCTGGATTTGAGACCTCTTTCAACGTTAAACATGGCGTATCGGGCACTGTTGTTGCTGAGGCTTACAGTGCTTCTGGTGACTTGTTGGCAACGTCATTGGAAGTTTCATCTGCCAAGGCAATCAAGCAGTACCACTCCAAGGACACTAAGAATGTTGAGCCCAAGTTCAAGGGTTACTTTGATTGGAGATCCCAGGCAGTCCTTTCAACCTGAGTAAACTGTTTATAGTTTGCTTTCTATTCTACAAATTGTCAAGTCCTTATTTTTATTATCCCGTATGTTCTATATGATTCCCTTTCTTCTTTATGTTTGCCCATTTGCGTCCATGATCAATTCGTTGAAATCACTCTCGTTCCATCCAGGGTAAATACTGGAATATTTGGTGGAAAAAGAGAAGGCTGGGATAGCAAGTAGCTGGATTGCACTTGATGGCCCATTTTCGTTGGATTGCAGCTGATTTTGTCCATCACTAGAATTCTCCTTATTCAAAAGTCGAATAATCTCCCTCTCACTTTTATCGTACATCTTGGCCATGCTTCCAGGAGAATAAACTTCCAGAACCTCACTGCTTCCATAATCATGCATTGAATGGCGGAGGTAATCTGAATTGAACTCGCTGGACCCACTTTGTGCTAATTGGCCAAAAAGAACTCCTAATTTTACTGCAAGTTTTTGCCATTTGCGTCCCAACTCCCATGCCAGTGACCAGCTGGATAACAGCTCCAAACATGTCAATGCAAGCTTCTTATACTTGAATTTCCAAGTCTCAATCTCATCCAATGTGCCTTCAATTCCATATTCTTCGATTGGAATGTTCTCAAGTAATATCTCATTGGGAAAAGCAGAGAAGTAGAACGAGGTTACCACACAAGTAAAGCTCTCAAAGCCCGTGAAAGGTGCAATGACCAACATTTTTCTTGCTCTGAGCGTTTCCATCATTGATGAGATTTGTTCGAGTGAACCGAGAAGTTGTAGAATGAGATCTTTCCACCAGCCATCAGGGAATGAGCGTGGGTTGCAGAATAAGTATTCCCTGTTCAAGAAAATTCGACAGGTAAGGAAAAGACCGTGGAAGTAGCCGAAATGTGTTGCAGTGCCGAGTTGTATGTGCATCTTCAAGTTGAATTGGGTAAGCTTGAAGTTCAGAGGTAGAAGCTCCTCAACACGATCCAAACTCAGGGACAATTCATGAAATTTCGATTCTGGAAGCCAGGGAGAATCCGTTTCGTATTTGGCACCAACTTCGCCTACCCATTTTGCTATTTTGGCCCAGATCTCGAAGGTCATTATGGAAAACCCTACCAACGGTACTTCGAGTTTGGAATCGTTCTCTGTAGAGCCCAAGTGGTCTTTGAATTGAGTATATGTCAACGACTGGTTGGCATTGCCAAATATAAAATCGTTTTCCAGGGACGGCAAATTGATCTTTATATCCTCAATGCGAATAGCCGGTGATCTTTGGCGGCCACTTGAATTACACCTATCCATCATGTAAACAGACCAAATAGACCGTCTCTTGCTCTCAATGACGATTTGTCTGATATTATTGTCAGTGATAGTATCGTCCTGTTCATTAGTTTCGTTTCCGAGGCCCAAAACAAGTGCCATTCGAGCAGCTATTCCAATGTACAAGAAACTTCTCGAGTTGTTTCCTTCACCCCACTCGTGGCTACTAAGGAGAGTGAATGCCTGGATCCTCTGAACCGTCGGACTATCGAATACATCCTTCATGAGCTGACGAGCATGCCAGCCAAAGTACTTTGACGCATTGGATGCCGATTCCAAGTCAATTGTCGGTCTATGCCGAGTTGGACGGTGCCAAGCAGATACATCTGGTTGAAAAGTCTCCGGAGAGATGTCTTCCAGAAACCCAGCATATGCCAAGGATGTCTGGTAATGTAATCTGGAGCAGAGTGCAAGGATGGATAGTAGCAACACGGGGTCTGGATGCGACATATTGGACACATAGGATTCTGATTTGATATGCGAATGGTATTCTGCAATGTAGGAGTCAGGGTTGAAGGCGTCAGACAGGAGGAAATCAACAAAGGATGGTTTGTGAATGAATGGAAAGATTCCCTGGTATTGGTTGCCAAAAAAGATCTCGATAACCTCGGCGAGGTGGCTCTTGGGAGGAAGAACAGGCCAATTGACCCTTGCATCTCGTGCAACAAGAGCTGGACGCGCCATGGGCTGCTGCATCGACTTGACAATTCGTTGATTGATTGCACCCGAACGTTGCGATAACTTCATCTCAAAATGACATGGCAAAGCCAAATCCGAGCATCTTTTGCATGAAGACGAGGAGGAGGTCCTAGTGCATCGAACTTTGCTGCTACGACATGCTGAGCAGGCGATCAGGGACCTGTTCTGTTTAGCATAAGGTTTCATGTGTGATTTTTTGCGCATTGGAAAGTGTGGAGAACATATAGGAAATATACCAACGAGATGTGGATGCGATGTGGACGAAATGTGGATGAGAAAACGCTTGGTACGTCAGATTAAAAAATATTTAGAACAAGTGGAGAACACTAAATATTTATGTTGCATTGGTGTGATTTCAGATTTACTGAAATGTTAGGATGATTATATACTTGTAATTACTATGAGAGAAGGTTAGTATGTTAAAATTGTATCTGAAGGTTCAAGCGTACAAACAATAATAGAATACAAACAGTGAATTTATACAGAAACTGAAATCATACCAAACTTAATGCAATGTAGGCAAGTTTAGAGTTAAAAGCAAAAAAATAAAAGTACCATATGGTGATGCTTTCATAGTAATCATTAAACATTCAGCAACTTACTACCATTACCAGAGTGAAGACTTCTTTTTATTGCCACCAGAATCTTTTTCTCATTTACTTCTTGAACATTTTCAATTAAATTCACCATGGTTAATCGTTAGGTTTCTCGAGTCAACTCACAACACTACCGTGGCTCTGCACCAGTCTCATCACTGAGTCAGTAACCTCGAAAAATTCCAACTCTGGGCCCTTGTATATCCTCCTAGCAGCAAAGAGCCACCAAAATGAAACAGCAACTGCGAGTCCCACAATAATCACACTCGAATAGTTCATTAATTCAGGCGTCACGGGCATGTTATATGGGAAGCAATAGATGACAAAGAAGACGATCATATAAAGACACGCCACGATGTTAACCAAAAAGCCCCATTTGCCCAACCAAAATGGACCAGGAGTGATGATGCTTCTGCGGTGGAGGAGATGTGGAATGATGCAGAGAAGAAACGACGATGTGGTCAAGAGAATAAAGCTTCCAATGAACGCAGAGAATGCTGTGGTGGTTCCAACATAAATGGCTCCGATGCATGTGCTGATCACCGCACAGCATAACGTGGCATAAAGTGGACTCTTGAAACGCTTATCAATAGAGCCAAAATAGGTGGGGAGCGGCGTGGCGTTGTCCCTGGCGAGAGCGTAAAGCGTTCTTCCACAGGTGATGTAGCATCCAATGCCCACGCAGAAAGTGGGGAGAAGAATTACGATGATCAATCCAAGGGCACCTCCTTTACTTCCTGTCGCCTGCAAGTAAATGTCTCCAAGAGGAAAGATCGACCCAGCAGCGAAAATAGCATCAATGTCGGTGATGGCGTAGAACATGGCAGTCATGTAGCAGATAGCCGTGACAAACCCTACACTGATCTGACAAAGCAACACAATAGGAAGGTTTCTGCCGGCAGAATCTATTTCCTCTGCCAAATGGGTCACACAATCGGGAGTACCCACGGCATATGCTCCATTCAACATTCCCAATAAGAAAGTGAAGCCATCACTGGAGTAGCCCAGTTGGTTGTCCCAAGTTTTCCACACAAACTTGCTAGATGCATAGCCAGTGCCATTAACATGGGGCATTACAGCACAGACGATGATAGTAATGAAAAATCCGGCCACAATGAGAATACATCCAATGGTATTGATGGTAGGCAACATTTTTGTGCCAAACATCACGATAAATGCCTGGGCCCAACAAACAATTAGGTATACAATAAACACTTGGTAACGCTCGAACACAGATTCGGGATGGAACAACTGGTAGCAATAGACAATGCCCTGGCCAATAATACAACATGTTGATGGCACCGTGAAGAGCCACGCACAGAAGTTCAACCATCCAGCAAAATATGCACAAGCAATGCCATATTTCTTTCCAGCAGTAGCTGCTGCCCAATGGTAAACACCTCCAGATGCTGGAATGGCCGATGCTAGTTCAGCAATCGATGCACCAACGAACCAGTAACAAACAGACACTGCGATGAACTCATGTAATATGCCCGAAGGTCCACCATTGTAGAACGACGTTACAATGGTACCACCCAACGCAGCCCATGTATTTCCCGTGCAAATACCAGTTGCAATTGCGGAGCCTAAGCCAAATCTGCGTTCTAGATGGATATCGTCGGCCACAGCCACTTCCACATCCACGACGTTGTTGTTATCGTCAACAACATATTTTTTTTCGGTGTGAGAATTCATGGAACGCATTTTTTGAGTCCTCAGAGGCTTCTACAGGAGTATCTACTAGGGTTTCACAGATTGGCATATCATACGGTTATATGTTGATGGAGGAGTCAATGGCACACAACCAGCGATAAGTGGAATATATGACGGAATTAATTACAAGACACTTATCTTAGCGCGTTCGGCATCTCCTGTCAATAGAATATTCAGCTTTTCATACGTTTTCCATTTTTTGATTGAAAAGTCCTTGAGTGAGTCAATGGAGATGGATAGCGGTAAATAAAAAGAAAATCAATGCAGTTTTGGTAATTTTTCGATGAAGGATGACAGCTCTAAACTTACAGTAAGATCTAATGCGCTAAGTCGCAAGATTGTACATAGAATGTTGATAAACTCAGATGTAGATTTGCGCTTTTTGCTTTTGCGCGTTGGGTTAATCATTTCCTTATCTGTCCAATTTCGCTGTTTATCCCTCTTTAGGTTGACTGCCGATTCTATAAAGGAAAACGGCCATGTAACGGTTTTCATGTCTACTTTCACTTACCCCGCGATATGTCAAGATTCAATTGATAAAATAAATGTGGAAGCTATTAGCAGAAATCTTCAACAAAAATCCATGGATGTTGTTTACTCTAGTCATCAACCCTTATTTGCATTCTGATTCATTCTCTTGTGGTACTAGAAGATTCCCAAAGAAATGGTACTAAAAGATTTTCAAAAGAATCCTAAAGAAATTGTAAGAGACTCTAACATCACCTGGGTATCGTTATACATTGCACATCTAAATAAAATAATCGGTGATTGTCTGCCTCACCTTGGGCCAACCCTTAAGATTGTCAAGATACTCGTTTTCCAACTTCTCATCCTCGGTCTCAAAGTATCTGTCGGTCTCGAAGTCCATATCACTGGCACGGACCCACTTGTCACGCTTGTAAATCCACCACACCACGTAACAGAATGGAAACACTCCAAGTTCGACATAATTTTGGAAGAAACTCGACGCATCAAATGGGTATACTGAAGACCAACCTTGAACAAGAATGATCACAATGATTAAAATCACAGCAAAGTAGTTTCCGTATGGATATGTCCAATTCTTGAATTTTAAGTAGTGTTCTTTGCCTTGCACTTTCAAACCTCTTCTGAATCTGAGCGACGTAATGCCAATACACAACCATGAGAGCTGATTAGATACTCCAACCAATGCCTGGAGCCACGACCAGAGAGTACCGGTAGAAATAAACGATGACCCGAAGCACAATCCTCCACAGAACCAAGTAACGATCACAGCAACATATGGAGCCTTTTGTCTGTTTCTCCAAGTGAAAAACTTGGGAAGATAGCCATCAGTACCCAAAGTATAGAGCAATCTTGAACCAGCATAAAGTGCATGGTTACCTGCTGAAATCAACGACGTGAAGATAACTGCATTCATGAAGGAGCCTCCAGCCTTGGCTCCAACCATCAGGAAGACGATGGTGAATGGAGAAGTGATCACAGACTTGGTGGAGAGCTTTGGGTAGTCGTACGGCACATTCATGCCAATGAAGAAGACGGTGAAGACGTAGAAGATCAAGATTCTCCAGAACACAGACTTGATCACTTTAGGGGTATTTCTGACAGGATTCTTGGCTTCTCCAGCAGTCAATGTGAGTGATTCAGTTCCTCCATAAGCAAAGGATGCGGTCACAAAAATGTTGGCGAATCCCCTGAAACCGTTGACGAATGGAGCATCTCCTTGTGACCAGTACCGGAAACCGATGTACTCGTGCATGTTGTTTTTTCCAGCATTGACGATAATGCTGACAATGAAGAAAATCATGATGGTCACCACCTTGAGCAATGCCAACCAATATTCGGTCTCTCCGTAGAATCTGACGTGGAAGACATTGAGAGTGAGAAGAAACACCCACACAATCAACGAAACTACCCAGTAATGAAAGTCTGTCCAATACAGCAAGATCATCTGAAGTGCAGTCAAATCACTTGCAACAGACACGGCATCGTTGAACCAGTAATTAACAAGAATGGTGAAACCGAGCGATTCAGAGCCGAACTTTCTGGCATAGGTACAGAAAGATCCAGCAACAGGCATCAAGGTACTCATCTCTCCGAGAGACAAAAGGGTGATGTAAACCACAACTCCAATGAGTGAGTAACAAATCAAGAGTGCTGCTGGACCTCCAGCAGCCAACGACTTTCCTGTTCCGAGGAACAATCCACTTCCAATGGTTCCTGCAATAGCAATCATGTTAATTTGTCTGGTAGTTAACGATCTATTCAAGCTGTTAACCACTTCCTCATTATGGGAAGAAACGTCGGAGATTCTGCTTGTCTCAAAGTCATGAGTCTTCGCTAGAGATGCGGATTCGTAATCCACTTCTTTGGCCATTGTTTATCAATTGGGAAACGACAATTTGGAGAAAATGATGGGGACAAAGGAAACGGGCAAATATATACAACAAAGAAGAAATGCAGAAATCTTTGTGGCGTGAAAGACAGTATCGTAATCATATCTTCTTTAGGTTGAGAAGCATGGAAGCCGTGGAGTCGTGCTAGAACGTGACCTTGGGAGGTGGGGAATATTTAAGTCTGTTGACAGATGTGAAAAGTTTCGAAATTTCGTTTTTGGGGAAATTTCTAAAACTTTTATAGGAAATGAAACATCTGACCTTCTTTTGCAGGTTTTTGACAGGTTTTAGCTTGGCATTTATGGGTCCGAAGGTTATTACTCCTTGGTTAATGCCGTGTGATGAGTGTACGGGCTTCAAATCTGTGTTTGACAGGGTTCAAGCAACGGCGTACAAGATGCAGGTGAAGAAAATATGTCAAAAATGGAAGCTAAAGACGAAGAAGATGGTGTGGAAACTTCCATGGAGATTTACTTCCCTATACGTGCAAACTTGAATAGGACAACTGTTGTAATTCAATAATAAAGTGAGATGAGTTTGACACTTCCCTGGAGTATTAAGGGATTTTTATTTTATGTTGGATGCTTATTGAGAAAATGAAAGGTTGATAGAGTGAAGGTGTTGTATCCGTGGATATTGACATGGGAAGATCCGGGGAGAAATTGTGGGGCTCAAGAGATAGGCGAATAAATTTTGTTCTCACGGGATGCCAGATTGATATCAATCTGCATTCTTATTGGTGTACAAGACTTCCCGAAAATTAATGCTGGCGCCACCTTACAATAATGTCGATTTGGTACCAATAGGGGCAGAGAAGTTCTTTCTGAAATTATTTTTTTTTCTCCTGTCTGGCTGAGGAACGTCTTGAGAATACACTGCACCCATTAGAGAAGATTCTTTGAGACCTGCGCCCCCCACCTGCGCCTCGTATTCCCGATCAAATCGATGAAGGTTTAATGAGATGGAATTAAGAAATTCAATCACGTTGAATGTTCGTATAATAGCATATTTGTAGTATGGCATGGAGCATCTTCACCTAATTTCTCTAATCAGCTACCCTTATGTGAATCTCTTCCAGTTCATTCTGGTTACGAAAACGAGGCTGGGAATTGAGGCTGAAGAACATCCGCCAAGGAGGTGGCTATCACTATTTTGTCCAATCCTACTTTTTTATATAATATACAATTGTCCTTTGCTACATCAAAAGCTACACTATGAGCTTCTACAACTACGTTCCCTCCTTGCTGGCTTCAATCACGTTTGCCGGGTTGTTCATTGTTGCAACCTTAGCATTGATTATTCTGCTAGTTTTAAATCTCCTCAAGAATATCAAATCCTGGACAACGGTTCCTTTGATTTTAGGTTGCCTATTTGAATTCGTCGGTTATCTAATAAGGTACATGTCGTCCAAGAATACGAATTCGTTGGGCCTATATGTCTCGCAGTTGGTTTTCATCTTGATATCCCCTTGCGTCTGGACTTTATTTCTCTACATCGTCTTTGCAGAGATTGTCAATGTTATTGATGCTCATATGTATTGTGTAATACCTGTCAAATCGACAAGATTGGCAATTATTGTGATAGGTACAGTGACAATAATTATGCAATCATTAGGTGGATCGTTAAGGGCTCAAAATTCGACCACCTTAATAACTGTGGGGAATGTTTTCGTTTTCACAGGTTTGGCAATCCAATTGATGTTCTTGGTTGTGTTTATCTTTGTGGCTGCTTTGTTTCAGCTAAGGATCATTCACGTTCCCACGATTCATGCTTTCCAGTACAGGCAAAAGCCTTCAAAGTTTAGAAATTGGCAGAACATCTTGGCGATTGTGCTCATAAGCTCCTTACTTTTTCTTGTTCGTACCGTTGTTCGAATTGTTGAATTCTCACAGCATTCAAAAGGGTCTGTCATTTCAAGTGAATTCTATTTATACCTCTTTGATGGAGCTTTGATGATCTTAGTTGTGATCATGTTTACTTCGCAAGATATTGGAGCCACCTTGAGTTACATTCGAGAGGATATCAAACCTTTGACTAGCATGACCATCGAAATGGAGCCGGAACTTAACTGGGAGTACAGTAGGGAATTCCAATTTAAGGCAAACAAATATGACTTTTGAGGATATAAAGGTGATCAAGGGATCTAAGCTCAATGACCAAACAAGCACATGTTTATTACATTGAATTATGTCAGATGGTGTTCAAATGAAACACTTTCATGTGGATTATCAAACACCTTTAGAATGTATTTTCATTCATAACCTTTGAAATATAAAGCATGATTCATTTGTAAGCTCTTGTAATAATGGTTGATTTCTTCGTCTTAGAGGGTAAAACATACTTCCTGATTTGCGTTTGTGATAAGAGCAAGGCATCTCAAAAAGGAACCATTTCGTCCAATGTTGGCATTCAACTTACTGGATTTACAAGATGTCAATAGACTCATTTGCCAGAGATGGAAATATTTTGGAAAGCATCACTGAATAAAAAAAAATGTAAAGAAGAGATTGAAGGTATATTTTTGGAGCATGGTAACAATTCACCTATTATTTCATGATTTAGTGTCATAAAAAATCTGATAGGCAAGATAGCCAGCCTACCTTGTAAGCTCTTCACTTCATTGCAATATGGTGTCATAGACATTTATTCGTTGGGCCGAGCCGCTCTCTGCTCTCAACGCTAGCTGAACTGTGAGCATTAATTTGCGGAGATGAAACCACAATGCTTCCCATATTTGTAGTGATTCTTCTACAGACAGGAATATTGTGTTACCCTGATTGTAATTCGTACAAACTACACGGCCCACGGTAGAAATATACGGATATAACTTACGCCACTCCGTGTTATCGTGGGATGTTCATTTTAGGAATCTCCACACCAGTTTAAAGAAGAAATGGACTTTTACAATCTTTTAGAAGCTTATACATTGTATCACTAGCAAAATCCGAACATGATTTCGTAGTTGCCTATCGTTAGAAAACGCATTTCGTCATCGGATACTTCACCATCGCTTTCTTCTTCCCTTTGAGGCGAAGTTAGAAAGTATTACTTCCGTCTTCGAGGACAGGGCCAATAACCAGAAGCTGTCTATTTTTATGTCAACAGCAAAAGTCAAGACCGCGTATGCTAATGTAATCAGAATGATTTCAGTCGAGTGTACGCCATTTGAACAATACTTTCAGGATAATCTTGATCAACTGGCTAATCCAACCAGATGAAGATTCCCGCAGATCGAAGTTTGGCTAAAAGGACTATGAACACTGAACTATAAGGCTGATTACCTGATGCGAGGCGAGAGCGTGATTGAACACTTTCTAGGAAGGGCGGTGTTAAAATAGTAAATACATAAAGGGACAAGAAACCCTGAAATGTACATTTGAACAAAGTAGCCAACATGTCTGGAAACAGCCTCTACAACTACAAACCATCTCAGACTGGTGCAGCGGTATTTGCTATTCTCTTTGCTATGGTAACCTTGGTGGCTGCGTTCCAATTGGTTCGAATTCTCAGAAGGAATACTGACTCGAAGGTTTGGGTAAATTTTCCATTTATTTTGGGTGGAGTGTTGGAGGATCTCGGATATATTGCAAGGATATTCTCTGCAAAGAATCCTGCTTCACTCGGACTATTTGCCGGTCTGGTCGTATGCATTTTGGTGTCACCTGCTCTATTTGCTGCTTCCAAATACATGGTCTTGGGAAGAGTGATTGTGGCTGTTGGAGCAGAGGGTTACTCACTTATCAGGCTAAAATGGCTCACAAAAATATTTGTTCTTGGTGATATTCTCTCGTTTCTTTTACAAGGTTCAGGTAGCGGCTTGATGTCACAAGAGGAGAATGGCCCACAAAGAGTTGGAAAGGCAATCGTCATTATCGGTTTGGTATGTCAGATTGTATTTTTTTCATCATTCATGATTGTCACTGTTGTCTTCCAATACCGAGTAAAGAACATTCCAAAGTCAAAATCTTTGTATTATAGATACTTACCATCCAAAGGCAGATACTGGCAGATGGTGATTGTGACTCTTTTTGCATGTTCTCTTCTTATTTTGGTGCGTTGTATCGTGAGAACCGTTGAGTTTGTTCAAGGTTGGAATGGGTACATCATGTCTCACGAAGTGTACTCGTTTGTATTTGATGGTGCGTTGATGTTCTTAACGATGGTAGTTTACGCATGTCAAGACGTTGGAACTTTCTTCCATTATTTCTATGAAGAGCTGATTTCTGGGAGAGAAGAGGATAAAGAAAAATAGAATTGTGAGTGTTGTGCTTTTGTTTCTTGAAGTTGTATTTTGTTTACGAGGATCATTTTTTGCTTCTACTGTAGATTACTGTTCGCCCCTCATTGCAATTGGAGCTGGCGTTCTGAGAAAATACCAACCTCAAGTTAGAATTAAATGATTCTGGGCAGAGCTTGCTGACTCAACCCAGCTTGAACCTCTCCCTTGGCTATGATGATATAGTCTTGTATTAGTGAATTGTAGTGTTATCTCCTTGTAGCCGTTCAAAGAAACGAAAAGTCATAACATTTCATTCGAAGCATTCAAAAAAAAAGAAAATACTTATTCTACCTTCTCTAATTTGTTGTCAATTACTGGCTGGTAATGAAAACATCACATCTACCAGGTTCTTGAGTCGTCTTCTGCTAAGTCTCTCATTCATTACACAATAAGACATCTATACCTTATTGTTCTTCCTAGTCTACCATATTATAGTGTGTTTGTTTACAAGATTAATCTTACAGAGCCATAATAAGATTATTCAAAAGGGTAAATGATGTCAGTCAATCAGTTCATCTACATCTAGGCTCCTCTCTGTCATCACAGCTTCCTTTTCAAGATTTTCTTTCGACTGTTACCAGAATAATTCTGGCCATCTCATGTGTCCGTCACAAATGGATTGAAATCCGTAGATGACAAATTTAGCTTCACTGGACGAATTAACAAACTCTCCTTACTGGGTAATTCGAGTGAGAACTTTGGGGTCGATTGTACAGCGAAACATCAAGTGTTTAGTATTGTCTCAACCCAATTAAGAATAAAACAGAAGTTACAGTATATAAGAATTTAATGAAAGCATCAATCTCTAAACTCCATGCACTGAACCTATAAGGAAATCCGTGAAATGTGAATTTCAATGACTGAGATGAATTGAGACTAAATCCTTTATCGTGAATTGTAAAATGAAAGTATCTTCAATGGACAAACCATTGTCATCGGACCAGACACTCCACCGATGTTCGGCAAATGAAAGGCCAAACCTGAAGTTGATGCTTCGCCCAGCAATCTGTAGCATATAACCCTAAATCAAAGCTGATTTTCTGTATAAAAGGAAGCTTCTGCATGTACCCATTGCCATCCTTGTCATTCACATTGCTCATTTATTAAACCTCTTTGCATTAGACATCTTTTCTGCAGTTCACTAGTGTGGAACTATTTGTTGCGTTAAAAGCCGCGTGGCCCGTTTCCAGTGCTTAGCGATTCCACGCGCGTTCTTCCGTATATCCTGCATGTATTCCGTGAGATTTACTTCTTTTTGTCTATATACCGGTTAGCAACGCGGATTTAACCCCCATCTCTCCGGCCCGGCTTATACCCGATTTCCGTCCTTATAATGGCTCAAACACCGGTAGCCGTTCCAGAAATTTCAATACTACATATTCTTTCTTCTTGATGTTCAGCAAATTCAAATCTAAGGATAAGAAATCCGAGCCCGTTGTGGAGGTTAATGACTCCGTCACTTACGTTCCATTTACGCAACCGGCCCCAGAGTGCCATATTACCGAACCGGAACCCTTGGATGAAGACCAGAAGGAAAAATATAACAACGTATACCAGCATTTTGCTGCTGAAGACCTCAAGGTTGCCAACAGCGAGGATGAATTCAAGAACAAGGAGGTGGACAAATACACACCCTTGACTAACAGTGAGAGGGCCTGGTTGACCAGAGAGTGCTTCTTGCGGTACTTGAGGGCTACCAAGTGGAATGAAAAGGAAGCCATTGAAAGGTTGGCTTTGACGCTTGCATGGAGACGACTGTTTGGTATTTCTGGATTTCTAGATGTAGACAACGAGGTGAACGGAACACTCTGCTCACCTGAGAATGAGACAGGAAAAGAGGTGATTTTAGGATTCGATAACGACTCTAGACCATGCCTCTACTTAAAGCCGGGAAGGCAAAATACCAAGACAAGTCAAAGACAGGTGCAACATTTGGTTTATATGCTTGAAAAGGTGATTGACTTCATGCCAAGCGGACAAGATTCATTGGCATTACTAATCGACTTCAAGCACCTGCCTGAAGGAACAGTTTCCAACAAAATTCCGCCAGTTAACATTGGAAGGCAGGTGTTGCACATTTTGCAGACTCATTACCCAGAGAGACTCGGAAAAGCACTTTTGACGAATATCCCATTGTTGGCATGGACCTTCTTGAAGATCATCCACCCATTCATTGACCCACTTACTAGAGAGAAATTGGTTTTCGACCAACCATTCCCTCACTACGTACCGGTGTCGCAGTTGGATAAGGACTTCGGTGGTAAAGTGGACTTCAAGTATGACCACGCCCAGTACTGGCATGAGATGATCAGCATGGCAGAGGAAAAGAAGCGCAAGTACATCAAACGGTTCGAGACTTTTGGCTCGAAGGTGGGATTGTCAGAGGTTGATTTGCGTGGTGACCACGAAGAGTTGAAGTATCCTGTTGCGTAATCGGAAAAGTTGAAGTTGCACAGGTTTAGAGGTACTTTGAGGTGTCTGAATCGATGGGTGAAGACAGCCCTTGTATTCCCCGTCTGAAATTTTGTCTTGGTCCAAGCCTATGCTGTGAGACCTATGAAACAGCCATGTAGTTAATTCATTATATAGAAGCAACATGGAACCTATACATTCTTGAATCTAATTGTACATCTAATTAAAAAGCTTAGCACACTTACGTTTCTCCACCACCCCTGTTTTCTCACAAACCATCGTCTCCCAATCGATAGCAACCATCAAATCGCCGGCTCCTCCTTCGCTCTTTGCGAATACAACGCCCAAGTCGTTTCTGGCGGTAGTCAAATAATAGTTGGAGCCATCTCCCAAGGACAATACGGCAGCCTTCACCACGTCGCCCGGACGGAAGCAGTCAGCGATCTTGACCTTATCTCTATCTGTCGAACGCACATCCTGGCTTCTGATGATGCCCTTGAATGTCTCACCAACATCTAGAGGTTGGGCACCCAACATTGTACCTTGGAATGATGCTACAGCACCATATGACGATAAAAGTTGGGCTCCACCGCCCAGAGGCAAAGAGAAGTTTGCAGATGTTCCGTTTGCGCCTTCTCCGCCGTCTGAAAGCACGTTTCCATGGCCGTAGACACAGAGAACCTCGCAAAATGCTTGTTTAGGATTGAGACGGGTGATCTTCACGAGCACCTCGTCGCCTTCACGAGGTAAATTGGTAGATGTGGCAGATACAGCCTCAGATGCAGAAGCTTCAATTTCACGAGCGTATTTGGAGAATTCATTGGAGTTTCCACTCACGACAGAAACCAAGAAGTTGCGTACTGGAGCATCTTCGCCAGAATCATCTTTTTTCGTCTTGGAGTCCTCATGATCCTTTTCAGCGTTTTCTGCCTTTGGTTCTTCACCCTCTATGCTGTCCTGACCCTTTTCTCTCGGCGTTATTTCCTGGACTAGCTGTTTTCCAAGTACGGTAGCCACGATGACGGGGATCATTGTGGATCCAGATTGAATGTGCAGAATGGCAGTACCTTTTCCAGGGTAATAGCGGAAGATCTCACGACCGTTCTCACCATGGTGGGGCTTGAGTTCCGGTTCAAGGTATTGGCCCGGTACTACTGTGGATGACATTGTAGTTGAGATGAGAAAAGTCAGCCATCGCGAACTGTGTAGTAGGTGGGGATAGTTATGGGGAATGATACACGAAGTAAAGAAAAAAAAAAAAATAAGTGGTAAATGGAATGCAGTAATAAAAAGTAATTGAAATTCTTGAGATTTGTGGATCATGGAATGCTTCTTTATTTGAGTAATGGGAAAGTACTCAGATAGTACAAGTTCGCTTGAGTGAGGTAGACATTGAAGAATGAAGTCTATGGCCAGTGATCGACTGGAACCGAAAAGGAAAGAAAATACGAAGAAAAAAATAAGCCAAGATGTAACATACTGAAATGATAGGGATTATATCTTTTTGTTAGAGTTTTTTTAAAAGCTACACTTGCTGTGATTTCTGTATATGTCTAGTGAATGTTGAAATCTTAAAACAAATGCGAACTCTCGTTTAGCTAACCATGGCTAGGAAAGATGAGTTTCATTTTTGGGACTGGTGGAAATAAAAATCCGTACAAGATTGAACTCATTCGGACTTGTATCCAAAAATACTGTTCACTGAATCAGCACATACCAGTCAGGAACAGACTTTTCTGTTCACAATACATTTGCTATCCACTCCTAATCCTACATACACCTAACTTCACTGTTAACATTCCAACTCATCTCTTCCCATGTCTTACCCAGCTTACGTGAACGGAGAACCTCCCGTTGTCACCTTGAAAGAATATGACGTTGCTCCTTGGGCGGGTACTACTTGTGTTGACAGAAGAGGAAACACTTTTGTCATTGTAGTGATGGAGAAACCTGAGCAGGTGGTAGCCACGGTGGACGCTGGTGACAACGACACCTTGAACACAATCTTCAAGAGTGCTCACAAGGACTTTTCTGATCAGTTGGTTGAGAATAAGGGGAATGTTCCAAGAAAGTCTAACTAATGTGCGTTTGTTGAAATAGGTTAATAAAGCTGCTATTTACATGGGCGGTTTACTACTTAGTTGGACGATGATACAATATCCATCTGTAGATATACTTTCATAAAACCCATGTTGGTGAAGATCACTTCATTATCCTAATTCCATTTTCTATGTACGGGCTCTGATTAGTTCTTTAGAAGAAATGCGTATAGCATTGACTGTCCCGGTGAATATGCATCCCAGCCTTGAACTCATTCAACTCATCTTTGATCTGTTGTGCCAACGTAGGCGTCAATTGGTTACATGTGGCAATGTCGGGATGTCTGTCGTACTCGTCTCCGTTATAGGTATCGTAAAGAACGATTCGGGACGAAAAACGAACACTAGCCTTTGGTGCAAAAGCAATCTTGGGCGAGCCCATGGGCGACTTCTTGATGCGGGAAATGAACGATGTCAACAGTCTTGGGCTTGAGGTTGTACTGTGGTCGCTGAGCGAAGGAATGCGATCGTGGTGGAAAGGTCCTGGTGGTGGGTGAAGACTCAAGAACTTGTTGGATGGCTGAGTTGATTGTCTCTTATTGGTAACTGTCTCGTTCTGTTTGAGAACAGGAGAAGCAGACACTTGAGACTGGCGAGTTGTAATTTGATTAGCGTTTTCATCGTCAAAACTGAAATTATCTTCGTCGTCAGACTCCTCTTCAGAAGAGCCAAACCCTTTTCCAACGGCCAGGGATTCGTTGGATGAGTCGTTGTAGAGATGGACCAGTTGGTGTGATCCTGATTGGACAACCTGTTGATTCTTGAAAGCTGACCCGCTGAAGCCCTTAAACGACATGGAAACGGGTCTGGCAGCCGAGCTGGGACTGTCTCTTGTCTGGTTAATCGCCATATTGTAGGCCGCATCTAAAATTGGCGACTTGAGAGAATCCTGGCGAGGACTCTCCGGCACGCGTGGGGGAGTCTGTGGATCCTCATCCAGACTGGTTTCGGAATTAACAATAACAACATCGGGACGGAGGGCAGTCTCCTCGGAAAGTGGAGGCACTTCCGGTTGTAAGTCTGCACTGATATCTGCGATGGTGTCTGCGATTGTAGGCTGGTGAACTGGAGCTTCCAGCTCGAGGTTATCACCAAAATCAACTTGGACGGCCGAAAATGGCAGCTCCTCAAGAGCTGGCGAACGAGATAATTGTGTAGGAGATGTTGAGAAGTCGAGATTGTCCACGTCGATGAAGTCCGAAAATTCAATGAAGTCATGAATTGACTCGTCAATGTTAAAGTCACTATTGTTGTCCCCAACATTTTTCTCAGCCACGGTCTGTTCTTCAAAACTCTTTTTTTCAACATTCTTTTCTTGTGCATCCATGGCTGCATCCAACAGTTGAATCGGTTCTGGCTTCAAGCTTTGCGAAGACAGAGAGTTCTTCAAAATGCTGCCCGACCTACGAACACTTCCTGAACGAGCAAGACTGCCAGATGAAAGGCCTAGCACGTTGTCTCCAAGAACAATGTTCTCATCTGAACCGGCGTAGTTAATGAACGAGCTTCGTTTGCCATTGGATTTGATTGATCTCATGGACCGGGAGCGCTCCAAGGACACGATACTTTCAACCTCGTGAGCACTCAACGACTTGGGGAAAAGTGCTTCGCCAATAAGCAGATCGTTCGGTTTTGGCGATTGCGATCTGAGGTTATCTAATGGCGGTGAGAGCGTCACGTTTGGAGTGGTTTCAAATTTTTGGTTTGGATGCACGATTCTTGGGCTTCGTGCGCTGGAAGGCGAGTATGAAACTGCAAAGGGCGAGCCGAAAATGGTGGAAACATGCTTTGGATCAAGAGGCATGCGAAGCATACTTGGTGAAAGTGGCTCGAGCGAGAGTTCCTCGCCGAAACTTCCGTCACTTCTCCTCTTTGGGGAATCGAACAATTGTGAAGCTTCTGGTTGGATCTCTTGACCGGCATCTCGGAAATGCCCATCGAGAGCACGTCCCTTTTCACCAGCATCCACCTTATGATTAAGATTCTTCAGATTTTGTTTGGTACTTTTTGCTGCATTCGTGTAATCGTTTCTTCCAGTCTCGACCTCACTTTCAAACTCGTCTGTTTGGTCAAACGCAGGCAGGTAGTCCAGGTCATCAACCTCCCTAATTGTGTTAGGATTCAAGTCAGCAGTGACAGGCGTGAATTGACTGGCTGCACTGTCCAATGTGGCTGGAGTTCTAGGAGCACGCTCTTGAAGGATGGTCGAAGGATACGGAGGAAGATCCAGTTGAGGAGGTGATGACGATGTTGGTGAAGTCTGAGCTTGCACTGGAGCGGCGGCCCTCTTGGGTGGCACAGAGATCTGTGCCTGTTTGACAGGCCATTGATTGGCTGCATCAGAACTATGACCAGACTGATGTGCGGCCCCCAGAGACTTCTGTGCCTTTGGCTTGGGCTCGTCAACTTTATAGGCGGTCAATTCAACCTCACTCTTTCTTCTCCCATGGAAGAAACTCTTTCGTGATTCCTTTTTCTTTTCCAGTTTCGCTGGTTTGTCGGCTGCTTTTTCAAGTTTTTCGCCCTTACCCTTTGACATCTTGAAATCTGCAAAATTTGGTGTGGAGAACGATTTGCCTGTAATCTTTGATGGTCTACTAGGCTCCATGTCTTCCTTCACACCTCCTAGCTTATCAAGAGAGTGGTTCTTCGACTTAAACTTGAACATTCCACGTAAACTAAATCTTTTAGATGTCTGGGGGTTTGTTGTAGATGCCACGGTCGACGCAGACGTGGAAGTTGAGTTGGCAGCAGACGAAGATACCGACGAAGAGGTGCCCTTTTTCAATCCCGCGATGTCACTCATTGTATTACTTCTCTTGTGAAGGCTTATAGTTGGACTTTGACCAACAGTATTGTTGAAAGGTGACGCTTTGGTAATCTGCGAGCGTGGAGTAGCAAATGCTGACGACTGAGACTTCAGTCTAGATCTCTCCGAGGCACGGAGCCCTGGTGTTGGCCGGAATGGCTCTTCGAGTTGTGGTGAGTCTGCTGCATCTAGCATAGACTTAACCGGTGTATGTGATACGTGCCCAACTTTATCTGGCTTGTTTTCGGAGACCAGTTCCTTTCCATTGGTTTTGAGGTCCTTTTCATTACCTTCCTTCAGGACCTGTTGAGGCAACTGATGTTGCTTGGCTTCCGCATTAGTTGGTGGAGTTTGCGGAACTGGATCCAACAAGGAAGCCACAGGCTTCTTCTTGGGTTGACCCATCAAGGTGTTCTGGTCCAGATTACTTGTCCTGTCGTCTTCATCAAGAAGAGTCTCCTCTAGCTCCTGTTCCGAGTCGTGCACCTTGGTGTCACCGCTGTCCACTTCCTTTTCCGGAAAAGAGTTGGTCAACGACTTCAAGTGAGGCGAAAAGTCCTTGCTGGTGTGTTTCACCGTGTAGAACGCTGCAGGCTCATTGAGTCTTGGCGTGCTATCGTTGGAAGAGTAGCCGGACTCCCCGATGGTACTGATGGAAGACGAGTTCCGGTGCTGAGAACTGTGTGTGGGTGGCTTGTACAATTGCCCACTTCCAGGCACGCTTCCGATGGTATCAGACGACTTGGCGGTATGGAACGTCTGGACAGAGCTGGTGGGGTTACCGTGCCCACTGCTGTAGATCGAGGTGCCCGGGGTTAGACTCAGAACAACTGGATTTTTCTGTGGGGTCTCTGGTTCGAGCTCAAGCTCAAGTTCAGGTTCGGGTTCCTCTTCTAGAATCACATCTGGGGATGCCCGGCCTGGCAGTTTTTCGTTCAACACGCTCTCAAGTGCTTTCATGGACGGAGATACTCGCATTAACGACGTTTTCTTAGTGGAGGTGTGGCTCCCCACCGATGCAGCATCAGTGGGATCCAAAAGACCGGCGCTGACCAGAGTCGTCAGCATCAGGTTGGGAATATTGACCGTCCGCTTCAAATTCACTATGTGGTGGGACAGCAGCAGCTGTGAGATGACACTCAGCAGCGAGTAGAAGTTATTATTCCAAAGGGCATTTTCGTAGTCATCCAGAACAGCAGACATGGCGGAATTGGACGAATTCCTTGGGTGGAGTCTGGACTAAGTAGAAGTAATATGACAACGATAAGGTGCTGGATACCTGTACAAGGAGAGAAAGGAGAAGTCGCTATAAGAAAAAAAAAACTTGACCACGCCTAGAACTTGGTGCAGTATGGCTGTGTGAACACTTTTTTTTTTTGGCTTGCAGAATACGAGAACTAGAAGGTTGCGATTTGGGCTAAGAATCTGCCACACCACACCTACAAAGTAAAAAAAATTTATCTTGCCAATTACCTATGATATCTTCGACCAAGAGATTCTCTGCGTCAAGACACAGAACAAGATACATAACAAGACTCAGGGAACTACCAAGTTGCAGCTTGCTACCTTGGAGGAGCCCGTGCCTGTGAGAATCGTAAAGAGATTATTTCCTAATACGGTTATATTGGAACGCGTCGCGTGCCTCGGGAACCTTTCCCTTCGTTGGATGTGCATATGGTTGCAGGAAAGTGCAGGGCTCCACATTGTCATCCAGCACAAAGTGGAGTAACGTTATGGTCCTAATCCTGTTACTGGGAGATTCTTAACAAAATGTCAAGACGCCGTTGTGGGCCGTTTTATCTGAGCTTGGCACAAGGGATGGGGATGGGAGTCGGGAGGTCTGGAGGTCTTGATTTGTCGTCTCCGTTCCCCACCGAAACGCAGGAACCTCGATCTTAGCCGTCTAAATGTATATTTTTTCTCTTACTCGTCTAACAATAGACGATACAAAGATTGGCGACTGCGAACAGTCTTCCATCTACACTCTCTGAATGTTCCCAGTCAATCAGTTCATATGTAGTTTCTATAGCGGTTTCTATTGTTAGCTAACCATTGTTAAACAATCACGCAATCTCCCTTTTTTCCAAAACGCTTCTTCTTACGTCCCGAAGCCTGCTTCGGTGCGTCCAAAGTTGGTTTCACAGAGGCTACCGAGGTCATTGCTGTGCTTGTAGACCGGCGGCGCGAGGCATCCATCAACGACGTAGTATCTGTGCTGGTCGAGAACACACTCTCTGTATATAAAGTATTCCGTCCATACACCTCGGCATCCATACGAAGAACTGGATCCAAACCAAACTGAATGATTGAGTTCGCCAAGTATAAGTAGAACTTGATCCACAAGATCTCGAGCTCGTTGTTGAATCTCGTGCCGAATCGTTGTGTAAAAGTCTGGATGAGTGCTTCTCCCATCATCTCAAACTGAGCAGGCTCAATACCCAAGATTCGTGAGTGTCTCTTCCCCAACTCCATCAAGTAGTCGTCAAGAGAAGCCAAGTTGTCCAATGAATTGATTGCCAACAGCATAACACCTGCCATGGACGTGGCTTGATGTTTGAGTGAGGGGAAAGCTTTCTCCAAGTCAGGATCCATGGAGAGCAAGTTCAGGTAGAGCTGGGTGCAAAAGGTCGACAGTGCACCGAGCGACTGGCGTGAAGAGAGCGTAGGCAACGGCTTATCCTTGGAAGATGACCACATGGAGCCAGGCATCGGATAAGCCGGTTTTTGATCGTATGTGGTCTCCTCTGCCAACATTCTGTTCCAGGTGTATCGTAAAAGTGAGATTTCCTTAGCCGTAAGCTCCAACTGGACTCTATATTGGGTTTGGGTGGAGAAGTCGGAGCCGAGCGATGTCTGTGAGTTGAGTTTCGTAAGGCGGTAGTTTTCATCGCGTATTGTTGCGTGTGAAGTTACATCAGAGTTGTCCAGAGCATGAGACGGGACGGAGGAGACGGAATGGACATCATTATTGAAGGTAGTCGGAACCTCAGGACGAAGCAAATGCAGGCGGAAGGAGGAGATGTGTGAGAGTCTAGAGGACTTCCTGACTGTTGGTAAAGACGGTGCAAGCATTGGAGAAGACAAAGAGAGAAGAAAATGTTGCTCAGAAAGTAAATGGTGGTTTCCGAATCATTCTTAAGAGATGTGAGATGCACTCACTCCAGATCGGGGCTCGTGACTTGCATTGGTCAAAAACTAATGCCACCCATTTGTGCGTCCCGAATGCCGCGCGATCTTGTCTTTTCAAACGTCATAGCTACTGCAGCAACTGGTCAGGGGGTGAGGTCTTTATACCCGATCAGAGCTTGTAAAACGATAGCGTTTGGACACATGGTCACTTGACGTCAATCACTAGGCCATGCATAGTTTTGCACATCCCAACTACCAATTAACACATTTGCTAACTTATTGTGGGCATATGCAGGCAAGTGGGCTAGACGCGATCTTGCGTTTTTCCGTAACCTAAATACACGGCAAGTTAAGATAATGCAGAATAGAAGCGAATGGATATAGGGCGTAAATCAGGACACTACCACTTGTGAACGTCCGCCCCCTAAGTCATAGATCGCTTAAAAAGTGGGCTTATCTTTTAAAGATTTCGTATGGGGTGATGCTAACGGTGGACAATCTTGCGTTGCGCTCTGCATGCAATCAATAAATCTGGACATAGTTAGTGGGAGACGACGTTGCGTGCCTTTGGATCAGGCTTCCCTCATAAAAGTAGTGGCCTCGCTTGTAAGGTTGTCCAATTTTTTTTCACATTTTCGATTCTATTGAGTTTCTCATATATCTCTTAGCAATTAGCAGTTTGCTTTGTTTTACTCACTCGCGTGGAAACTTTAGTGCCATTGATACACCTCATGCTGGTTGGAGCATGTAAGATTCCGAACTTCATCGACTATCCTGTATTGCAACTACACTTTGTACATATATGTGCAAGGAGCTAACATAGTGGCGGGAATCCGCATGGGGGAAAAGTTGTCAACAAAGAAGTAGAAAAGTAGCTGACAACAGATAGTTTGTCCGTGCATTTTCTTTGAGACATATCGGTCTATCACATGTCATCTGGTCTCCCGTAGATAGCTAATCTCATTCATGGCCCGCGGAGTTCCGGGAACTTAAATTCCCCTCGATGCAGTGTGTCTACCAAATTTCTGCACCAGGGTCAACTGCGGAAATAGGACCCATTAGGAAACGTCATTGGCAAGATGAATTTTGTCTGCCAGGGAGTATGCACAGAGAAGAAATGGGGTAAGGTATTATGTTCTCTGGCGTTTTGATCCACACTAAGAAATGTCGGCACTTTTGGATAGACTTTTTTCTTTTTTGCCTTATCTCTGTTTTCTTTGGTTGAACTTGTAGAGATAAGTGGGGGCGCCGCGATCTACATGTAAACTGCTACTGTTCCTGTCGTCTCTTCTGCCATGACTTCGATGATGCTTCCAAATTATTTTGTAACCCTACGCATTATTTTTCTCTTCTACATAATCAAGTAATTTAGTGCTCTTCCGGTTGAATGATGGTGCGTTGTCTGTTTACACGCCTCTACATTTCAGTGTAGAAATTGCTCAATAGAGCCAATTGTTGTTACAAAGTTTTATTTCTTTTGCTCCCCAAGCTTCTTACTTGACGTCCTGTTTGTTGGCCAACATTTGTCTGTCTGTTCCACAACTATACGCATGCACTTGATACCAACGATTTGCACGCTGTTTCATCCGATCTTAATGTTAGTGAAGCATTTCAAATATGCTAAACTTAGGTCTCCAAATACTTATTGGGGGCGCCAGAAACTTTGTTGAAGTTTCTTTCGGTGGCACCCACACGATGCCCCTTTGTGGATGTCTGCAATGGGAAGCCTGCCGCGATCTTCTCCAGTATGTACTCCCCTAATAGGCACGTTCACTCGGCTAATTTGGATTCAATTAGAATTCCTTTTTTTCCCGATTCTTCAAACCAATTCGATGATGTATGGTTAGTCAGAATTTCTAGATCCTGCCAGTTGCAAACTTCGAATGAAAGAAATCAATGAATTACTAATCAGAACTACACGAAAATCATTGATAAGCAGGGTGCACCCTGACTAACTGTGATTTTTCATGAACCTCAAATTTATTTTCACAGGGAAACCTGACTCAACGTATTTCACAGTATTTTCTTAAACCCTGTGACACGAAATCTTGCAGACGCAAGTAGGCCAGCATTTAGAACAATGAGGTCATTACATTCTAGGCAATCTGCAAATCTGTCGATCCCGAAGTACTCCAGTTGATATGCCGCCTGGACGTGAAGTAAGCCAAAAAACTCAGAAAATAAGGCATTCCTGTCTTTATGAGAACCGCAAGCGAATAAAGCCAACATTAGACGGATTTGTAGACAGGAGAGAACCTGGTAGACCCCACTTTGGGGCCTGGTCTCTATGTAAGATGGTCTTCGCTGGCCCTTGTCTCCATTGAACAACCCCGACCTACGGCCATTGTCACATCGATTTCGGCATTCGAGGAACGCCTTTGATCAGTAACACCTGATTAGAAGATCAAACTATCTGACAATAAACTTTGTTATTTCACGTGATCTCAGTAAAGTCGGTTCAAGTTGAAGTTAGTTTTTATACTCCTCCCCACGTCCCTCTGGGCACGGGCAATCTCTCCTTTTCTTTCAGCTTACCAAGTCTAGACATGCAGCCAAATTTTGTCGCCCATTACTTCATTGACTAATTTGGGGTAATATGGGTCAGCCGTGGGGCCCAAAGAAATATTTTTCACGGGAGCATTCTTCGAAACTACTTTTTACACCTATTACCATTCTCGTTCAGCCGCAGTAATCCCGCGGTACATGAAGGATCTGCCGTGCAGGTTGCATTGCGCATTTCCTACCGGGGAATGTAAGTTGCTTATTCTGCCCTGCCGATAATCGTATTGTTGTTGAGTGTTGCATAACCATGCGTTGAGAGAACTATGCTTGACGTTGGGAGAAGGGATGTACTAGCGAGACAACAGATTGCATTTACAATAACAACCATTGAGAGAAATATGTCCGAATAGGACATTCTACCCGGGCGCTTATCCGTCTTACTTACGAAGCCGTAAATTAAAATCCCCATAAATGCATTTCTAGATTTATTCTACTCCGGTACTTCCACATAGTAGCACTGTAAAGCACGGGTCAAGGCGGGGATTAAGTTGTCCCAGGGCAAAATACGAACATCTTTATCAAATCCACGTGGTTTCCGTACGTCATAAGCCATGATACGGCGAGCAAATGCCAATCTTGGGTTGGACAGATCGTTGTCTGCATTCTTCTTCGAAGACACTGGCTTCTTCAGCCAAAAAGGAGTCAAGTTCGACCGTATGCGACCTCTCTCCTTTCTTCTCTGTAGCAAGTCCGTGTCAAGTATGCCAATGAGCATCTCGATGATGGCGACAATTTCCACCGATGTCACATAAAATTCGCGATCTCTGGTACCAAAGTCCTCGCTCACTTCTGAGCTGTAGCAGTCTAAGCATGAAAACTCGATTATCTCAGTCCCTGGAGCCGCGGGTAACGGTTCCGGGTGAGAGATCGCCAGTCCAACGATCAGAAACAGTGCATGCAACACGGACCCTTTTTGGGATCGTTCGATGCGAACTATGCGTCGACGATCCTTGAGTTCGTTCTTGTTCCACTCCTGAAGACATACTTCATTTGTCAGTGCTCCCTCCATTACCAACTCCAATGGCACATACTTGTACCCTGGACGTTCTTGGGTTGGAGGACGAGTTGATGAGCCTCCAGAGGTGATTCCACGGACAATCTTGAATGAGTCCAGCTCTGTACTTGAGGGCCTGCTGATTGCTGTATGATTCTGGTGCACCAGGCGGGCAGGACTCAGAGTCGTTGGTTTCATGCCAAGTGATGCAAGTGAATTCTTGGGACTCGCCAGGTTTCTGTCTTGAGGTGAGCTGTGGCGAGATTCTGAAACTGATTTTCTCTTCGACATGCGCTTTTTCACCTTTGTTGTACGGGTGGCGGTGCTGCTATGGTTGGTGTTGTAGTTGTTGCTGTGGTTGGGGCTAGCACTATTTGCCATGGAGTGGTTTGTTTCTGTTTTGACGAATGGATTCACTAAATTGTCTGAAGCATGGGGAACAGCATTGACAGGGAAACCTTGGACACCAGGGCCATGGTTCATCTGTGGAAAAGTAATGTTGCTCCTGTAAGGGTCTTCTGAAGACGTAGGTATCTGTTCGTTGCATGGCATGAACTTGAGTGGATTCATATCAAATGCTTCCTCCACATGTGTGGCAACGAATGTAGTAGTGGTGTTTGCTGAACCGCCACCAGAAGTAGGCATGCCAAAATCAATGTGCTCAGTCATGCTGGCTGCCCTGTTGAAAGTGTGGGTTATGGTACTATTGCTTTGAACAGAGCCGTGGTCCATTGGAGGGAAATATGATGTGGCCATCATTGACTCCATTTGGAGCTGACCCTGTGGCATATTAGCACTATTGGGAGATGGATACACTGGCATTGGAACTGCGTTGTCGAATCCAACTGAATCCAGCACAATGGAATGGAGCCTGTCCGAGTGACATTGCTGGAAATTGTTGTGAGTCTGAAACACTGGAATTGCGTCAAAAGAATTGATTTGGTCAAAATTCAGCTGGTATGAGTAACTATGAAAGTCCAGCAGAGAAGTAACATGTAGAGGGTCGATGTCGAAGTCGCTGACTCCATCAGATGACGTATTGCACAAGGCGGCATCTGCTGGAGGCAGAGGGAAAGGTACCGAGTCCATACCGTGGAACATCAGTGGAGGCATATGTGAATTGTCGGGCCTGTCGAGGAATAACGAATAGCTGTCAGACATTGCTGTAGTGGAGATATATAATCTTAACTGACAGTAGCCTGGAGGAGAAATTAAAGCAAGCGAATTGAAGATAGGAAGTTTGACCGGATGACTGGCTGAAAGAACAGGATTCGAGGAGACTAAATAGGAGAAGGGTTTGCACGATAATTGTAACAATGGGGATCCATAGTTATTATACGTGAGGATGGCCAATGGTTACACATGTCACTTGCGCATACGTTCGTGTATGCTTCGATACATGATAGTCCTTATGCACAAACGTGCATGACGCACAATGGTTATACCTCATGTAGCCAGATTGGGATATGCATACGGCCATTTTATGAACCTCTTGACCAAACGCGTGGCGGTGCAGGTCATGTTGCCTTTCCTCTGATATCCGACTTCCATTCTTTTCCCTTCCTCGTACATCCGAAAAATTTCGTCCCTATTGGTCAGAGTAGTCTACTTCCAACGGTTATTTGCCGAATTTGCTCTCCTATTTCGTTTTTGTAACCAGTTTTCTCTCATATCACCTCAAGACTAGAGCTACTTCGAAACATTTGTTTTGTTCAATCCTTAATTCATCCCTTTCTATGATACTTACAATCTAAAAATTGATCCTTAGTACCATCCTTCAATTTGCCAACTATTTCCCCGGCCATCCGATCATTGGCATGTGAGTGAAGATCCTTACCCATCTCCCTAATGTGCCATTTGATTCTCTTGTCATTGCAACATTCACGGAGAATTCCGCCGGAAAAACGTAGTCGTCGTTGAGCATCTGACCAACGTAATTGGATCCACATTATCTTCGGATTAAGAATATGCATCTCCGTCAGTGTAGTCATATTGCATGCTGCGGATGTCTATGCGCTGGGCAACAAAAACATATAGAAATACGATTCATCCAAGCTTGCCATAAAATGTCATTATGAGTACCAACAAATGCTTCATTGCAATCTGTAGCATGACCACAACTAGTCTGCTAACCGAATTTGAAGGGTTCGGCTGGTAATTACCAAAGTAGGTGATGGTGTCGAATCTGCAAAGCATCCCTATACAGGGTTATCCGCATAGTGGCAATTCCGTGACTGGATGGGGAAGTTTCGGAAATACACTGCATTCCGCGCCATCTATATGCAACGATTGACGTTTTTTTTTTTGTGGCGCACATGGCCTGGGGCAATCAGTATGGGCAGTACGCGGTGAGAAGGGCTCTTCTGCGTATTGTTGCAGCATTCCTTGCATCTCAAATTCCGCGCTGCGCAACCTTGTACTGCAACCTGTTCCTTCCTGCCACACGGCGCTGAACTCTGCCACATGCCGCAACAGCCAGACAGAAAGAAATAAATTGTGAATCATTAATGATTAACTCAACCAAAGATTGGCATGTTAGCCCCCTTGCTGCAGGGTGAAATATTTTTCACTCGCATGTAAGCATGTGTTGGGGATTAGGTATGTAACTGCGCTAGAACAAATGTACTTGGCGCCTAGATTTACGTCGGACTAATTTGGGGAACCCCCACTCCATTATCGATGAATTTCTTCGCCCGTAATTGCACCAGAAACTCGGAGGAATTTGTTTGGCCGTCGGAGCAAATTTGTTTTCCTTTTCAAAACTTAATTTATTTGCCCAAAACAAGGTCCTATTGTTGTAAGAAAAACTTTTCGTATTGTATTGTCATGAACAAGGGTGCATGAGACCCTATGCTTTTGTAGACATATACAAAGCCATCAATAGAAGTGGCGTTCCAAGTACACAATTGGTCGGCAGAGAAGGCTAGGGCTGCGAAAAAATTTATCGTTGCGTGTTGGCGAATAATAGAAGGATCTACTATCCACTAGCCTGGCATAGTATTCATCCGTATTTTGCGGGTCTTTATGTTCAATGCTCTGTTAGTTGTTTTGAAAATAAATGAGAAAATTACTTTAACACTGTTTGGCATGAATAAATTAGAGTTTCTCCCAAATTCGTCACAATATACTGCAACGGTGCACTTACAGTTTGTTTTTCGTCTGCGAGTGCCTGCAAATATCACCAAGTCATGTATGTGGCATTCTTCCCTCGCATAACGCCCTGAATCGCACGCTCATCCACACCAACCACGGTATGCTTCACTAACATGAATGTGGTGCTTTACTAACATGAGTGTGGAGGGGAAAGTTGAAAGTGAAGGAAGCAAGAAAAGAAAATTACAAATGAATAAGAAAATAGAAGGAACCATAGTTAGAGCCATCATTAACCAGTCAAAGATACTGTTGGAGATGAAGACCCACCTATACAGGTATACCCTGGGCAAGAGAACAAGGTGTTGTTTGATATTACCGTGAATACTCTATTTTCTTCATTGATTCATGAATCACTTGCATCACCTTTCGGTCTGTATCCCTCTCATCTCCTTCTATTTCCATTTATCATTTCTTTATCGTTGCACCCACTCCTCAACTACTTCTCGTTAGAAAGATGTTCATTTATCTGTATACTTACTTCTTGTACTTAGGGTACAACTGCTGGAACACATACACGTCGGCCAAAATCAATCCAGTGATTATACCGGCATGAATGGCCACAACATACTTGTTATCCGAATTGATGCGACCGCTCTCCTGGGTAATGAAGTAGCCAGCAGTGGCACCTCCAGCAATCACCGCAAGCTGGCCAACAACAACTGGATTTTGCAACTCCTGACCGGCTGCATTGATGGTATCCTTGTTAACCCACGAAGAAACATAGGCTGCAGTGGCTGCGTACTTATCCTTGACATAATCCACGGCCTTCTCAACATAAGGCTTCAGCTCCTCCTTCAACTCCTTCAATTCCTTCTTAAAGTCCTGGACATGCTCCTTGCCAGCCTTGACAGCCTCCTCAGTGGTCTTCTTCGCCTGCTTTTTAATCTTCTCAAAGTCCTCCTTAGGCACCGTCTCCACACTACCTTGAGGTTCGGTGGTTCTGTTCACCTGAGCAGGCTCAGGGATTTTCTCTGCTCCAATGGGTCCGGATTCGGCGGCGACTTCTGCGTAAGTAGACATGTTGAATATTTTGCTTGAAAGAAGAAAAGTGTTTTGGTGGCACGATAGTTAAGTATGGTGCAGCAAGCTCCAACCCCCGGATTGAATGGCTTGCTGTCCTGCAGGTAATGAGGCTGGACCACCGGGATGTTGATTACGCTGGGGGGAACTTTGCGACTGGCCGAATTGCCGGCTTGAATGTTGCTAGTGTCTTGATTGGTTGCTTAGGGTGTTATAGGTGGGGGTTTAATTATTACTTCTGACTTTTTTGTATTTGTTTCTTTGGCTTGTTTTATGCACTAAAGCAATTGTAGTCTCAGAAGTTTAATGACCCAATTCCTTATCTATTGTGGATGGCTTATTGTCTGCAGGTCGTGGTAAAATATCTGCTAAGGGAGACTGTGGGGAGTTGTGGAGTAATCGTCGTGTGTCAATTCATGGTTAAAAAAATACTATTAAAAAGAATAGATCCTATTTATCGGTGTTAAGAACAAGTGGGAGAGGATGGGGAGGCTACATCCTCGTGCATCCGTACATCTCGGTTAGACCCTTGTAAGTCTTGATCTTGATAAAGATCCGTACATCTCAAACATATAGGGCTAGTGCCCTATATGTTTGTTTCATGATTTTCCTCGCTTGTGGTGTACGGATGTCTCGCGCACCCCAGTACTTCCATCACCAAGAAAAAAATTTCAAATCTTTTCTCTTCAGATTTATCGATCGAAACCACCACCCCGGATTTCCACGTAACATTCCGATAAACATGTCTGCTGCACCAGAAGCTCCAAAGAGAAACTTCGGCAAGAGAGGTAAGGGCCCAAGAAGAGGAAGAAGAGATGAGGAGAAGGGATGGACTCCAGTCACCAAGTTGGGTAGATTGGTCCAGGCCGGTAAGATCGCCTCCATCGAGGAGATCTACTTGCACTCTTTGCCAGTCAAGGAGTACCAAATCATTGACGCTTTGCTCCCAGAGTTGAAGGACGAGGTCATGAAGATCAGATCTGTCCAGAAGCAGACCAGAGCTGGTCAGAGAACCAGAATGAAGGCTGTTGTCATCATTGGTGACTCTAACGGTCACGTTGGTTTGGGTATCAAGACCGCCAAGGAGGTTGCCTCTGCTATCAAGGCTGCCATCATCATTGCTAAGTTGTCTATCATCCCAATCAGAAGAGGTTACTGGGGTTCCAACTTGGGTGCTCCTCACTCTTTGCCATGTAAGGTCACTGGTAAGTGTGGTTCCGTTGCTGTGAGATTGATCCCAGCCCCAAGAGGTAAGGGTATTGTCGCTTCTCCAGTTGTCAAGAAGTTGATGCAGTTGGCTGGTGTTGAGGATGTTTACACCTCTTCTTCCGGTTCCACCAGAACCACCGAGAACACCTTGAAGGCTGCCTTCATTGCTATCGGTAACACTTACGGTTTCTTGACTCCAAACTTGTGGGCTGTGCAGCCATTGGTTGCTTCTCCATTGGACACCTACGCTGAGGAGGCCAAGGGTGGCAAGAGAAGATACTAAGCGGTTTATTATTAGATTAATTTAGTAATTCTTGGGCAATAATGTAGATTTTATATCACTATCGTGAGTTTCGTAAAGTCTGATTGTTCGAGACTTTGAACTATCAAATTCAATCTGTGATCCATGTACCGTTCATGGAAAGAAGTTAACCATCTAGGATCATGAACGATGGTATACATTTGATGATTGTTCTCAAACGTTCAACTGAAGTCTATTATATTTAGTGTTATACAGAGTTTGAAGAGAATGCACTCTCACTTTCGAACCTTTAATTCCATCTGGTCATTTAGTCTCATGGCAATAACTTCACCAGCAGTCTTGCAACCACTCACCATTAGAATGCTATAGTTGCCCAAATCTCATTGAAAAATTCTAAAAGAAATGTAGGCCTGAGAAGGAAGATTTATCCAATTTAAAATGGTTCAATTTAAAATGGTTGGATGTTGTGGCTGCGGGGCCTGAGTAACAGAACAGTGAAGACTTCAAGTGTACAAATTTTGAACTTGTCAAAAAATAACTATCAATTAATCAATTCTTATCTTATAGTAACTATTCACCAATGGTCTTTCTTCAAAAGATATTCTTCGTGCCGTCGTAGTTGTAGAATTCTCCATTATCTTCAATTGACAAGCCATCGATCACCTTCACCAAACTTTCTGCACTGAAAGTTGGAGTTATAGGATCAAGATCAAACACCTCAGCTGCGGGTTTACCCATGTCCGTCAGAACAAGACCAGGATTAACGACAATAGTTATCGAGCTCTTCAAAATGGGGTCCTCGCTATTGGAATGCTCGAACGATGTGTGTTTGGCATGGAAATTCAATGCAGCTTTTGACATTCCATAACCAAACGAGTTGAAAGAGAGTCCCCCAATAGAACCCACACCTGAAGAAACGTAAATACCTTTCTTAGTAACACCAGCATGTTCCTTCACCCAATATGGATAGATTGCCTGATAAAATTTAACTGAAGACAAAGTGTTTCCCTCGAAAAAGTGGGAATACGATTCAATTGACTGGTCAATGGTGTAGTCAGGCGATTTTGGCACGAATCCAATTCCAGCATTTTGAATGAATACGTCAACGCCGTACTTGGCCAAGAACTTCAGTTTGGCAAGAGCTGCCTTCAATTCATCCAAAGAGTCATTGAGATCCAATTGAATGATTTCAACATTGGATTTGTTCAACTTCCTAAGCTCTTCTGCCCTCTCTAACGAACGCGAGGTAGCAACCACGACATTGTCCTTATCTTCTGAGAGTTTCTTCACCAATGCAAATCCAATACCTCTGTTGGCACCTGTCACAATGTAGGAAGTGGTCATTTCTGATTTTGATATTTTTTTTTTATTTGCTTTTGTATTTCAATTTACAATGATAATCTCAATTATTTGGCCGACCATTGATCTTTTATACCTGGGGTTGACACATTGTTAACTATTGAAGCTTATTAATAGCGGATTTAGCATACCGATTGAGCAGGCTCATAACCGTACCAATTAAATGCTTTCAAATTGAGACACAAATGCTTTCAAATTATTACTACAATTACTAAATTGGTCCCAAGACTTCGTAATGAGACAAATAGAGCTCTATAATATTAGATTAGTAGCTGCTGATGTGAGACTTATTAAACGGAGTTATTCCCAATTAGTGAACTCCACATTGTGAGACAGATAGGAGGGTGGTTGCAAAATAAATTCAAGTGTACTTGGCCGGATTATTCGGGTGTTTGTATGATCAAACTGTTCAACCCTCTGAGAATTCTTACCTACGAGAATTGTGACGTTCTGGAAAGTTGTACTACGCCTATGATGATTCGAACTTCAATCTACAGCGACGGTCAAAATTCTGTTCATAAGTCTGCACTGATCATCTATGTACAACTTTTGATTACATGTAGAGCTCAATCAACCCGACAACTTCTTAACTCTGTGTACCTCCATGACATCTAAAACGTTAAATATAACTTGCTTAAAATCTACAACACTTATAAAATAATCTCGTTTATGTAAAACACTATTTGCAAACAAAACTGTGGCATTGGCAACTCAGTCTTGACTTCATCATTTACTGAAGTCAGATCAAACGGGATCTCTTTACGAAACAAGAACTTGTCTGTTCACTACTGTCGGGACCACTGAAGTTCTACTGACACTCGGTATGCAATGTATTGTCTATGCTGGTCGTTATGCTTCATCAGTTGTGTCGTCAATCGTAATCTATAGAAAAGCGTTTTTATTGCTTTAGCTTTTTGTTCTTTGTTTTGTTTTTGTTTTTCCTTTTCTTTTTTTTTTTTATACTAATACAAATTATTCTTGCACAGCTTGCTCCATGACTTGATCGTCTGGAACAGCAAAGTTACGTGCACTCGTGGAGTCGCCATTGTTGTTGAAGAGGGCCTGTTCCTTGCCATCTGGGTGACGGTAGTAACAGAACTTGTTTTTGCATTCTGCTCCGAACCGACAGTCTTCATCGATGGGGTGGCTGAACGTACAATACGAAAGCGTACAGTTGGCACCGTTACGGCATGCAACAGTAGATGTGGCATGTCTTCTTGGGCACAGTTGATTGGTACAACTCATGCCGAACTTACACTGTTCCAACGACGTAGCAGCAGGCTTCGTAAACTTATTGCCGCCGCGTGGAGTGAAAGTTGGTCTGGGAGCGGCTTGCACTGGAGGAGGAGCCTGGTAGTTGGGCGACGAATGAGCATACTCGCACAGTGGGTTTTCACAGTTCTTGTTCTCACGACACCACTTCTGAATTATAACCTTAGCATCCTTGTTGGCAGGAGTAGGATGGCCGAAAGGACACAACTCTTTGGAACAGAGAATTCCATATTTACACAAGGTTACTTGTGGGGCCTGGTTACGAACACGCTCTTTTCTGCGCTCATTCATCTGCTGTTTCAGCTTCTCCAACTCCACCATCAAGTCACCATCCTCAGAAGGATGCAAGTAGCCACATGTTCCAGGGGCATTAGGGCAGTTGGGGTAAGCAAAACACACCTTTGTTGGATGTGCAAACTTGCACTCTCTGTTCTTACACCAAGGGAAGTCTCTGCAACGACCCCTTGTAGCCTTGGGCACAAATGGAGCCATATCAACAGAGTGGGCATGCGAACTCAATGCCAAGGCCTTCTCCAAGTTAGCGGTACTCTTGGTGTTAAGTCCCTTCTTTTTGTTGTTTCCACTGACAAAGTCTTTACCAACACCACCCTTTCCAACACCACTCTTGCCTTTTGCTCTGTTCACCGCAAGTTGGCGTAGCTCATTACCACCCTGTTTGAAATTCACGTGCATTTCCTTCCCTTTGGGGCCCTTAGGCTGGACTGGGAACACAGGTTGAGGTTGTTGTTGAGGGAAAGGTTGAGTTTGCTGAGCAAAAGGTTGAGGAGGTTGGGGAGGCTGGGGAGGTTGGGCAAAAGCCGATGGAGTAACCTGGTTCTGAAAGTGAACCTCAGGCTGTTGTTGTTGTTGCTGCTGCTGCTGCTGCTGCTGTTGCTGTTGTTGTTGTAATTCTTGCTGCTGCTGTTGTTGTTGCTGCTGCTGCTGCTGCTGCTGCTGTTGCAACTCCTGCTGCTGCTGATACTGTTGTTGTTGCTGCTGTTGCTGCAAAATCTGATCCTGATACTGCTGTTGAGGCTGTGGCTGTTCTATCTGTGCATTCTGTTCAACTTGGCTCAAACGACTAATCTCAGTGAACACTCTACCCACAAATGCCTCATCAATGGGGATGTTCACGACCTCCTTGACGTCCAGACAAATCTCAGCCGCCAGGCGGTTGTTTCCGATCAAAACATTGATGTACTCGGCCACGTCCTGGGCATCGTCGGCTATTCCAAATGTGGAGGTAAGCTCATTAACCAAAAGCGGCGTAAGCTGTTTGGCCACTGGTCCTTCTGGGTCGTACAGCATGGAAAACTAACAAAAATATATGCGATTTCTATGTTATGGAATCCGTAGATTCAGAAAGAAAGAAGTCAGGATTTGTAAGCAGGAGATTTAATTGAAGATGGACACTTTTTTGCCCTGGCGAATATTGGTGTGCGCACGCAAATCACCAGGCAAAAAAACCCGTACACGTTCACAGCCAAAAAGTCGAAAAAGTCTCTATATTCAAATCCTTTCCTAGCTTGATAATCCCCAAGAAAATCCAGCAATGTCAGTACAGATTTTCGGCGACCAGGCCAGTGAGGAGCGTGCAGAAAATGCTAGAATGTCGGCGTTTGTCGGTGCTATTGCTGTGGGCGACCTTGTCAAAACCACTTTGGGCCCTAAAGGTATGGACAAATTGTTGCAGAGTGCCAGTGATCCTGACAGATCTCTCATCACCAACGATGGAGCTACTATTTTGAAGTCTATTCCGTTGGATAATCCTGCTGCCAAGGTGTTAGTCAACATTGCTAAGGTGCAAGATGACGAAGTTGGAGATGGAACTACGTCTGTCACGGTATTGGGAGCCGAGCTCTTGAGAGAGGCGGAAAAATTGATTGAGAAGAGAATTCATCCTCAGACAATTATTGAAGGTTATCGTATTGCTCGCAACAAGGCCGTGGAAGCTTTGGAAAAGGTTGCTGTTAATCACGGCAAGGATGCAGACAAATTCAGACAAGACTTGATCAACATCGCCAAGACGACGCTCTCATCCAAGATTTTGTCGCAAGACAAGGACCAGTTCTCGGAGTTGGCCGTGGATGCCATTTTGAGATTGAAGGGTTCTACCAACTTGAACCATATCCAAATCATCAAGAAGCCAGGAGGAAAATTAGCCGACTCATACTTGGATGAGGGATTCATTTTGGAGAAAAAGTTTGGTATCAACCAGCCTAAGAAGATTACTAACGCCAAAATTTTGGTGGCCAACACCTCGTTGGATACCGACAAGGTGAAGATTTTTGGTGCAAAGTTCAAGGTGGATTCCACCTCCAAGTTGGCCGAGTTGGAGAAGGCTGAGAAGAACAAGATGAAGGCTAAGGTCGACAAAATCAAGAAGTTTGGCATCAATGTTTTCATCAACAGACAGTTGATCTACGACTACCCAGAGCAGTTGTTCACCGACGCTAAAATCAACTCTATCGAGCATGCAGACTTTGATGGTGTGGAGAGATTGGCGCTTGTCACTGGTGCCGAGGTTGCGTCCACATTTGACAATCCAGAGAAGGTCAAATTGGGTACTTGTGAGTGCATCGAGGAGATTCTCATTGGTGAAGACACTTTCCTCAAGTTCTCTGGAGTCAGCGCTGGAGAGGCATGTACTATCGTCTTGAGAGGTGCCACTGAGCAAGGATTAGACGAGGCCGAGCGCTCTCTACATGACGCGTTGTCAGTTTTGTCGCAAACTACCAGAGAAACCAGAACTGTGTTGGGTGGAGGATGTTCCGAGATGGTGATGTCCAAGGCTGTAGACCAGGCTGCAGCCAACGAGACTGGAAAAAAGGCTCTTGCCATTGAGGCATTTGGAAGAGCATTGAGAGCATTGCCAACGATTTTGGCTGACAACGCCGGTTTTGATTCCAGTGAGTTGGTTACCAAGTTGAGATCCGCCATTTACAACGGAATGACCACCTCCGGATTGGATTTAAACGAGGGCCAGGTGGCTGACATGAGAGAGTTGGGCATTGTAGAGTCATTTAAGTTGAAGCGTGCTGTGGTGTCTTCTGCATCGGAAGCTGCTGAAGTGTTGTTGAGAGTGGACAATATCCTCCGTGCTAAGCCTAGAACTGCCGACCGGAACCACTAACTGATAGAATAAGGTTTAATAAGATAATAAGAGAATAAGGCCTTCGTGCAACATAGATTTAGGATTCGAATACTAACATGAACCATTTCTATTTACTTATAAACTATGGTCTCAATCTCTTGGGGTCTCTTGGGAAGAGAGATGCACGACGAATGTTCTTCAAGTCCAAGAAGAACATCAACACTCTCTCTAAACCGATACCTCCACCGGCATGTGGAGCACATCCGTACGTGAAGGCCTCGACGTAGTCGTTCACACCGTCCATAGTGTAGTCAACCTCGTGGGCGGTCATTCTTTCCTTCAACAACTCTGGGTCGTGGATACGTTGGGCTCCGGACAAGATCTCCTCACCTCTCATAAAGAAATCATAAGAGTTGGAGTATCTTGGGTCCTCTGGGTCTGGCATGGTGTAGAATGGTCTGACGGCCAATGGGAACTTGTCCAAGATGTAGAAGTCGGTGTCGTACTTGTCTCTGACCAACTTACCCAAGAGCTTCTCGTTCTCGGTGGACAAGTCCTCAAAGTCATCCACATCCTTACCAGCAGCTCTCAACATGGCAATACCCTCCTTGAAGTGCAATCTGACCATCTTTCCGTCAGCTGGCAACTTGAACTCTTCGACAGGGTACTGCTTTCTAACAGTAGCGATTTCCTTACCGTATCTAGACTTCAACTCGGTGAAGATGAAGATGAACAAGTCCTGCAACACTTCCATGACCTCGTCATAGTGCTCCTCAAAGGCCATCTCCAAGTCCAAACCAACAAACTCAGTCATGTGACGATGAGTGTTGGAGTTCTCGGCTCTGAAAACTGGGGCAACCTCGAAGACCTTTTCGAAGTCGGCAGCAATCAACTGTTGCTTGTAGAATTGAGGAGATTGGGCCAAGAAGGCGGATCTCTTGAAGTAAGACACCTCAAACACGTTGGAACCACCCTCGGAAGCGGAACCAAGAATCTTTGGAGTATGAATCTCAGTGAAACCCTTGTTGGACAAGAACTCTCTGAATAAGGCACAGATGCCGTGCTGGATCTTGAAGATAGCTTGGTTGGTTGGAGTTCTCAAGTCAATGACACGGGCATCCAATCTGGTATCCAAGTTGACAACTGGCAAACCAGCAGCCTCAGCATCAGCATCAGATCTGGAAGCATCCTCAAGCAACATTGGCAACTGCTCTGGAGTCTCCTGGATGGTGTAGATCTTGGTGACGTGAATCTCGGCATCCTGGACGGTAGCTGACTTGATGAGTTCATCAACCTTCTTGACGATACCATGTACCAACACAATGGACTCCAAGTTGATAGAGCCAGCCCATTTGACCATCTGCTTGGAAACAGTGGTGCCATCAGCCTTGATGAGACCCTGGATCAAGTTCTGCTGCTGTCTGAAGGTCAAGAAAGCCATAGTGGCACCCTGCTGTCTGGAGTTATGGGCACGAGCTCTGAACACAACCTCCTCGCCGTCGTTGGCAGCAGATAAGTCGGCAATGTTGATTCTCTTGATACCAGTCTTGTGGTCAGACACGATCAATGGCAACTTACCGTAGTTCTCCTTAGCTGGATCATTAGCAGCCTGGGCCTCTCTCTCAGCCTTCTCCTTGGCCAATTGGGCCTCTCTTTCGGCCTTCTTCTTGGCCTTTTCCTTCTCCTTCTCCAATTTCTTCAAGGCTTTCTTCGACAATGGCTGGCCGTCCTCTCCCAAGATGACTTCGGCCGGAGCGGCAGCTTCGTTTTCCTTGAGCGAAAGCTGATCCAATTTAGCTTCTTCTGCAGACATTTTCAGACTAGATAAATTCCTCAGGGAATATGTATGGTGAAAAAAAGTGTCAGTGGTGGGATTTTTTGACTCATGGGAGTTTTATGCCGGAGACAATGATTCGAGTTAGAGTTAGGAAGGAAAATATGAGCTTGGTGAAGTTTTATGAGACGCTTGAGGCTTTGAAGGCTTTTCTGGGGAAAAGATGAATTTTGATAGAATTTGAAGGAGTTTTCTGTTATGAATTTTGAGGATTCCATGGGTGTCTGAAGATCTGATGATCTTTTTGGTGCGAATTGAGTAGAGTGATAGAAAAACAGTGAGAAATTATGTGGTAAAGTTTCAGGAAATGGACATTCTTTAAACAGTTGGCTGGACTATTTTGTATCTTTTTTTATTTTATTTTTTTTTCTATTTTTTGTTGTTGTCTTGTTGTTGTGTTGTTGTTTTCTGTCCCTCCTTTTACGACTTTTTGTTGCTGAGCTTCTTTAGTGGATCATGTTCATAAGAATTCAAGAAACGACTCAGTTAAGCTCAAAATGGAAAATATGAAAAAGCACCTAAAAATACAAAGATTGAAGCCAAAGTAATGAGAAACAGCACGAAGAACTATATAAGAGGTAAGTTCAATTTTAGATTGTAATCCAGTATTTAATAACTTTATATTGCAAAAATTGGAGTACTTGAATTTTTGACTGGTACATCCCTGAAGTAAGCGTAGTGGGTTTATTCATGGCCAAGAAATGAGAACTATCAATGAATTGACTGAAGAGTTCATTTTAGAATTTGAAAGCAAAATACAACATACTAGTTATTATATGACTAAATTTGAGAGAGAAAATCGAACTGTCAGTTCAAGAATAGGTCTTAAAAAACCTCAAAGATTATGACTCAACAACAGTCCGATATAGTGTAATGGCTATCACGGTTCGCTCTCACCGAGCAGATCGGGGTTCGATTCCCCGTATCGGAGTTTCTTTTTTTCCCAATTTTTCTTTAAGTTCCTCTTCATCCGAGGAGTTTTTTTTTCTGGATGTCTCACTACCCGAATTCATAGACGCTTCGAGTTTTGTTGATGATTGCAAAACTGATAGATATGCCTTGGTAGAGCTGCATGGGGAAATTTCTGCATACAAATTAGGTACAAGGCTCTTCTCCCATTAGTTGGCTCGAAAATCCAATGGATGAAGGAGCCGATGCTGAAGCAATGAAATGCCTTCTAAGAGTGGAAAAGTTGCAATTCCAAGTGGTTTCGGGAAATTTAGACAATTGACAGATCAGTATATTAATCCATTAAAATTTACCTTCAACAAGAGGTCCCTTGGCCCAGTTGGTTAAGGCGTGGTGCTAATAACGCCAAGATCAGCAGTTCGATCCTGCTAGGGACCACTTCTTCCAGGGCGTGTGGCGTAGTTGGTAGCGCGTTCGCTTAGCATGCGAAAGGTCTCCGGTTCGACTCCGGACTCGTCCATTCTTTTTTGCTATTCAACGTTGTGCTTCTTTGTGCTTTTTACTTTACTACACATTTTTGCTCTTTGTGCTTGTATCGTGGTGATGTTCACTTTGTGCAGGCTGGATACAGTCTTTATGGGTGCAAAAGCACAATAATATTACCATCTATATGTCAACTTCCACCTGTTACTTATCTACATACTCAGCCAAAATCTTCACCACTATTGTTCGAAACTTATGTAACCCTCTTTATTCTGCCATTGGTGGAGTTTATATCTATCCATTTAGGGTATGTTCCAACACTTCAAACTATGAGAACTTGTCCCTTCTAACCCTAGGGAATAACCTATTTTGTAGAGCATCCTAAATTGTGGCCCCAATTTATCTATCTTGTCATTCCGCTTTTGATATTTCTGTTGACAGTGACAGTGCTTGTTTTCAGTGTCGTATTTCCCTTAAGTTGCACCATTTCCATTTTTCTCTTTGGTCCTGTTGGAACTCTTTCGGCATTCTTTTCGTCTCTAGAAATTGCAAGCACCGTTAGCAATATGCTTGCTATGGTTTGTTTTCTTCCTCGGCTACACAAAGCCTCTTTTGATGCTGTGGTGGAGTTGGAAGGAGATGTGGGCCTTTTAAAATTGAAACATGCCCTGGAATCCACGCAGCACTCTCGCAGTTTACTTCATATTGCCAGAGTCATAAAGCACAGATTGGCCCCATTCATATTCAGAGAATTAGTCTTTTGCCTTATCAACCTACTCCCAATGGTAGGAACTCCTTTGGTTATTTACCTTAGAGCTCCGATCCAAGGCTACAGAACACATCGAAAATATTATAAGTGGATGATGTGGAACAACGTACAGATCAAGGAGTTTTACCGTGCACATAAAGGGGACTACACGGGATTCGGAATAGTGTGCTTGCTTTTACAAATGATTCCAGGTTTTGCAGTGGTGTTCATATTCACAGGAAACATCGGTATGGGTCTCTGGACGGCGCAGAACCACCACATCTTCGAAGCAGAAGAGTCTATAAAACGTATCTAGTCAGCATCTTTAGTACAAATACACGTTATCCACGCAGCCAAAGCCGGCGGCCACACCTCCTTCGTCACTGGAGCTGAACTTGGATCTCAACAAATGGCCAGCATTTTCGTTGGTCTTGATGTCTCCCGTGTCCTCGTCAAACAAGACCGTGCCGAAAATACCCAACTCAGAAATGATTTCCTCGTGGTAAACGTCGCTGTTGCGAATGATTTTATTTTTGTGGGTAGGTGGATGAATAAGCTCCATCAAAATGTATGCTCCCCATTCGCTCTCTGGCAACGACTTCAAATGGCCAGGAATGCTCTGCTTGTACACGTTGTTTCCTCCTCCCTCTCTCTGGGGCTTCAACACAAAGTTTTCAGGCTCCTCAAGCGCAAGTTTCTTGGCGGCCCGACCTTGTTCACTTCCATCCAATGGGTAGATCTTGACAAACGTGGAGAGCAACTTCTCTAACTCAGACTCTTCAACGCCTGGCAAGAACTTCTTGATAATTTCGGCATTTGTCAACACTTGCTGTATTTTCTTTGCGCCAGAAAGTTGAGTCAAGAGAGATGGACACTTGATGGCCTTTGAGGATTCGAGAAATAATCTGGCATCCCAAGTAGTTTCTGGATCGGACTCATAATCAGAGGGAGCATACCCAGACCGATAATAAACCACAGATACCTCGTCCATGGTGTCCTTCAAGTACAACTTGCCTGAATTGATGGTAGTTTCTTGTTTGATCTGCTCCAAGCTCAAACGGTATGATTTGATACCGAAATTGCTCAACAATGCGTACTCAATAAGTCTCTGGTCAAAGCAGTTGCGTTCACCTTCCTGGACGACAAACAAAACCACAGTTTTGGTCGATTCCTTTTCTTCATTGTAGAAGTAGTTTCCTTGGGCCAAACCGTTGGCGATTTCATTTACCGAGTCCGAGATGGGGAGATCTGCTTCAGGATAGTACTTGTTGGAGTAAGAATCATCATAGGCTCCGCTCTTGTTCAAGTACTGGTGAACCTGGCCAACTTTGGTGGATAAACCTCCAAAAGACACTGACACAGTATTGAACTCAATTTGTTTGATTGAGTGGTCTTTCTCATTGTACATGTAGTCTGAACGGAAAACACCCAAAGTCAAAGGCTGTGGGATCTTTCCACCGCCGAGTTCAACGGCTTTGGTGTAGGTTTCATACAACTTTCCGGTGAAGTCCTTGTCGAAGTCAGACAAGCCCTCAATGACGTCCAAGAGCCACTTTTTCTGGTTTGCAACCACGCTTACATACAACTTGTTAAATGATTTCTGTACATCCACGGCTCTTTCGAACAAATCCTTGGGGAAAGGCGTGGGGAAGAGAGTGATTGGAGCATTATTAGCAGAATGAATGGAGAAATTGGGAGGATACATGACCAAACCGTTGGCCAAACTCCATTGAAGTAATCTCTCGACCAAAATGGTCTGGTTTTTCTCGGAAAGGGTTGGGAAATCCTTAAACGACATGGTCGAGGAGGATGAAGAGAGAAAGTATGGCGTAATTCAGTGTGGAGGTTATCTCTGGAGTGCACACTGTCATGATTTGTAAGACATGATAATTCATGAAAACAGTATGAAGGGGGACGAAACGATATAAGCTGGATGAAGAAACTAGAATTGCAATGGAGTGGTCATATTCTAGGAAAATTTCAGATGTGGGTATATAATGACCTGCGGGTCAAGTGGGTAAGTCATGAGTGAGTGTTACAAGCATATGAGCTTTGGTCTAGTACAATTGGAGAATAACGAGAAATAAAAAGGGAAAGAACTGATTGGAGTTGAGAGGAAAGAAGACAAGAAAACAGATAATAGAACAGATAAGAATTGACCAGTAACTGAAGATGCATGTTAATTTTGTTCAAGAAATGTTGCTTGAAAGTTCTCCATATCTAGTGTACGTTTGATGAGCTGTAATTAAATCTGCAATAGTCACGAAATTGAACCAAGAGAGGTTAACTAAATTACTTGCTGAGTATAAGTTCTCTGAAAGTACGAAGTATCAGCGAGGACAATGTCTTCGTTGTAACTTCGCCGAGGATATTGGAATAACCAATTGGAGCTCTCATCTTGTCTATCGATTTTCTATGTGCCAATGAAATTAAACAAGGCTGCTAGCTATGAATTTAAATGTATAATTTAAAGCTCAAAGAAGAATAAGTAAGAGTGATGGCGTCTATAGAATCAATTGATTAGAAGATATCGACTCTTCATCTTGTGGCCATTATAGCACAAGATGCTTATCATGACCATCTTTCTCTTTCACCCCGTATCCTCCTAGCATATCTACGCTTAAAACTCCAACAAATCATCCGGAAAGATTAAAAACCCTTCTTCTGTTTACAGCTCCAGTTGATCGAGCAATTAGCAGTTAATACCTCACCATTTTGGCTGCGAAAAGTGCCATTTGTCTTGATACAAAAAAGGTACCGAAAATACTTCTCAGAACTACAAAAAGTCAGATTTGTCAACAGGAAAACCACCCAAGATATGTGAAATATTCAGAAAGACTTATCTTCAGAGATTTCCCCATGGCTTCCCTATAACTATATGCAAACACGTGACCGTAGGTGACTGCTTTGGATCTCACACGACTCCGAGAAAACCACTGCGAAAAACTCAACCAAAATTTCAATATCGAAAATCTTTACAAGTCACTAATACAAAGAGTATGTTTCCTGAAATCATATTGTGACAAGTTATACGGATGCAAGCAGCAGAAATATTGAAAAATGTTTGAAGAAATTACTGTTTTTTTTCTCCTTTTCGTGGTTAATAATAAAAATCCCCATCATTTCGTCGTGTCATAAGACCACCTTATCTGCCACATTTTGGCTGGTTATGTCAGGCCAAACCCCGCTTCCAAGGGTTTAAAGAAGGATCTACGGACTCTGCCGGCCAATTCCATCCCAATCTTGTCAAATATGAATCATCAAACTTGTATCTCCAAGTCATCATACTAACAACCAGTGAAATACTTAGCTGCTTACTTATTGTTGGTCAACGCCGGTAACACCACCCCATCTGCTGCAGACATCAAGAAGGTCTTGTCCGCCGTCTCTATTGAGGTTGAGGACGACAAGGTCGAGAAGTTGTTGGCTGAGGTTGAGGGTAAGTCCGTCGAGGAGTTGATTGCCGAGGGTAACGAGAAGTTGTCCTCTGTCCCAACCGGTGCTGCTGCTGGTGCTTCTTCTGGTGCTGGTGCTTCTGGTTCTACCGAGGAGGCTGCTGAGGAGAAGGAGGAAGAGGCTGCTGAGGAGTCTGACGACGACATGGGTTTCGGTTTGTTCGATTAAACGCCCTGTATCATAAACATTAATGAAGTCCAATCGGTGAAGAGTGTAGGAACTATAGGAATATTCTTTGAGCTCGTTATTCGCACATTTCTGTGTTAACATGTAAGCTCCTCCGTAATTGCTTTAGTACTCTACTGATTATTATACCCATCCTCTGTTATCTAGTACTATTCCTGTTTACTACTTCTTTCTTGACCCTTCTAGTTTGTCGTTAATTACTTCTCTGTGTGGCTTGATTGCCTACCAATTGATATCCTTATTCGACTTGATAGTCCATGACTCTTTTTCGCTACACAACTTATTAACTTATGTCTATATTCATGCACTTTAATCTCCCTTTATCAAAAATCCATCCTACAACTCGTCGTTGGCTTTGCGATAGGCATTGGGGTTTCCAAACACAACGTGTCTAGCTTCCAACATCATGGCATCGAACTCGCCGTCTTCACCCGAATAAATAGCGTCTCTAGCCCTTTTTCCAAGCTTGCGGAGTTCAACTTCTTCACTCAACCACTCAAGGAACTCCTTGGAAATATCCAATTTGTGGTCACTGTGCAAACTCACCAATGTATTAAAATGGTCCTTGAATTGCTTCTCAGATTTGGCCCTTCCTTCCGACAAAACACTCTGCAACAACTTCGAGACCTTGTATTCTGGCTTCATAGACATTTCCAAAGATCTCTTGTCGAAATGTGAAGTGGGGTTCTCTGAGATTACGTCCAAATCTTCCAAGATGAGAATGATTCTCTCTTTAGCAGAGCGACCGGCCTTCGGAAAGAACCCAAGTAGCGTATCTAACCCAGCAGAATGCTGCACGTCATTAATGTTGAGATGCTGGTAGGCGAGCTGGCGATCAGCCGAAAGTGCATGGATAACTCCCAAGATTCTTTTCTGGATCACATCGCTCGTAGATGGTAATTGCAACACCTCAAATAAGTCAGAGAAGAATGAGGCAGGCTGGTTTTTAATGACATTTTCAATAGCTTCTGGGTTATTTCTCAAGGAGGATCCCATGATCCTGAATGCCTTCTCCCCAACATCTTCTTCATCTAAAGCCAAACTTGATACCCTCTGAAGAGCCGCAAAAATATCGGCATCCTTAGACAAGCGAACTCCAAACTCGATATCGTGACTCAATTCAGTCAATGTATCCAAAGCCTTCTCCAATCTGGATATATCCCCACCATCTCCAAAGGCTAACAACTCCTTTACTGATGAGCTGAAGTCAGTGAGGTCAGACTGGCTCACCTTAGACCGAACAAAGGAATTTTTTTCCTTCTTATACTTAGCAAGTGTATCCTGAATCTTTTGTTTCATGTCCTCGTTTGCTTCGTGGATTTTCTCCTCAAGTTCATCTGTTTGAGGAACTACCATGAGCTCTGGATTATTATGAGGAATGTCTTCGTTCAATTTGGCCTCTTCCAAGCCAGTTTCTAAATTGATTCTGACATGGAGTCCCGGAGGAATCTGCTGGTCTTCACGGACAATTTGCCACTCGTCCGTAGGGACAAAGATCTTGGGATAGCAATTGGCAGGATTGGAATCCGGACAGATGACCTCTGATAAAGGATCAACGAGTTGAGCCGACGCCACAAGCGCATAAGCAAGAATTATTAAGTTGAACCTCATGCTTATAGGTGATGTGTGTTATTGGAGTGAATAAGGAACAGTGGCGGATACTTATAGGATCTATGGCTGCTAATGTTCATGCAAGAACACCTGTTGGTGCGGGAAAAATGTCCTCAAGGAAGTGCACTGCGTTAACCATCATGTAGTGTCAATGCATTGCATCCCGGATAAGAGAGGTGGCTGCTGTGAATTCTACAAGCAGTTGTATTAAATGATATATGATTTCGATAGTGCTCATTATGCTTATATGACGTTATGAATGCAACTCTTGTTCCGTGGGGCATCTCCCACTCACCACTTTTCCTCTGGATTAGCCTTGAAGGCCACGTAATCATCAAAATTGAAAACACTCACCTCAGTCTCATTCTCTACACCCAAATCCCACAAGCTCTCTTCATGAGAGACTAAGTGGTCCTTGTTTTCGCAGCACAAAATGTCTCTCTCATCGTGGTCGAAGTTAATGACCAAATTCATGGATTTGGTGCCATGAGCATGGGTGTAGACCTTCACAGTGTCGTAATTGACGTTTCTGTATGGACGCAATGCTCCAGTAGTGTTGATAATCTTGTGAACTTGCTCAAGAAGCTGAGAAGGTGTAGTTTCCTTCAAGTTGATGGAATGGATGATATGGTTTTTCACGTTTCTGTATGGGAAAGACTTGACGATACGGACAGTAATGAGAGCATCGGTTGCTGGTCTGACATTGGACGTCAAAGGTTCCTCTACGTCGATTTCCACCATTGTAGCTGTCTATTATTACAAATATCTGGAACTTTCTGCATCCCGAACTTTCTTAACTGTGTGAGGTGATATTCGTGGGTGTACGGATGTTAGGTACTAGATCCTGAACCCACCATCGATTTTGCTGACTAGGCTCTCCAAATCGTAAAGTTTGTTATGATTACCTAGAAGCTTATGCTCGAGAGTCTTTTGGACATGGTCAAAAATCGATGCAGACTCTTCGCTATCGTCTGACGCGTAAGAAGAACTGAAATCGTCACTTTCACTTCGATAAATTAGTCTTCTGGTGGGAATTAGATTAAGAAAGTCATTTATGGGCGCAGTATCCATGTCTTCAGACGGCAATATTTGCTTAAGAAAATTCCTTGCGTCCGAAAATGTGAGGTTCGACTGGTTTTTCTGTGCTCGAACACACTCTTTAAACTTAGCGAAGATGGAGTTATCTGGAGTTTCCGGAGTGTCCGGAATCTGTAGGGTATCAATAGAGTCGACCAAGGCCCGCAAATCTGACGTCGTATGGTTTCTTTGGAATTGTTCGTTTGACCGGCAAACTATATTTTTGAAATTCTGAAGCAGATCCAAGCTATCGATGAAGGCTCTGATTTCATCGCTACCCTTCTTCTCTGAGCTTAATCTATTTTCCAACGTATCGATTAAAGTATCGAGAGTTGTAATTTTCGACTTGAGGATCTCATTAAGTTGTTCACCCACCTTTGAAGCAAGGGCACTATCGGCTTCCATTAGTCTCTCGAGACGAGAGTTGATAGATTCTAGACTCAATAACTTCTGAGGAATGTAGCCAGAAAAAACGCCGATTTCCTTAAGGTAGGTATTGACGGACTTAAATAACACTTTCAACTCAGGAGAGTCATGGTAAAAATACTCAGGTTTAAGCACCAACCTGAAGTGCAGATACTTCTCTAGGAGTTCCATGAAGATAGCAATACATGTTTTGATGCTAGACCATCCATCTCTGGCAGAGACCTGCTCTGCCACAGGAGCACTTTCCAGGAACGGCCCGCAATACTCATCTAAAAGCCGGCTCAAGTGAACTGGATCAATGTAGTCTTCCATATGTTCCAGAAGGGTATTCAATTTGGAAATATTGTTGTTGGTGTGGTTCACCAAGCGCAATGCTCGTGTGTCGTATTTGTTACGGACCCGAACGGCGTCCACTACAGAAGTCATGAACACAGGCATCCAGTCATTACTCTCAGAGAACACCTGAGTGTCGTCACCAACGTCCTGGACCTCAAAGTACATGTACCATTGCAAAATGTAGAAAATGATACATTTTTCATCTGGCACGAGCACGTTGAAGTCTTCTGCAACGGCGAGCTGGGGAATTCGAAACTCGTCCCAGGCCAATGCTACCACATTCTCCAAATTTTGGAGTTTCTTACCCATGGAATAATCCGAGTAGCTCACAATGTTAGGAATATAGAAATCGAGGATGCTGGCAAACACCAAATCTGGTCTAGCATTTCTCTGGAGTGACCAGTCCTTGTCAAAATTGGTCATTCCAGGCAATGCTCGCCTCCGGCCCAAATCATTGAGCCATTTGAGAAGAATTGTTTTGACCTCAGAAAAAGACCGACTTTCATTTGCCAACGAGGTCGAGTACGAGGTTGAGTACACAAAGAGTGTCCAAATAAGGCCCAAGATAAGCTTCAAGTTTCCGTCCACCACATTGTCTGCGCTAATGCTAGTAGTGTTGATTTTCAATACTAATTGGCAGTACTTGAGCACGTCATCTACGTTCTCCACTTTCTGCACCTTGAAAGTCGCCTTGGAATACACGGGTTTCAAGGAGTAGGTAGACGTGCTCGTATCAGCAATTATTCTGTTGACCAACTTGTACAAGACGAGACCATCTGCCAAATCCTTGGTGAAGTCTGTAACCGGTTGTCCCACCATCGAAGAAACCCATAGGCTCATCGTGCGATGCTGGGAAGCCACCCAAGGTTCTGGGGAAGTTCTGGACCGCATGATGGAGTCGGTTCGAAATGAGAGTGTGAGGTTGAAGTTCTGACAAGAAATGAATGCAATCCAAACAATTGAAACGGAAGCAAGGGAAAAAGAGAGTTGAACAATGGGGCAAAGAATGGATGCTTCACGCGATTGGCAGTCTAAAAAATATCTGTACTACTAACCTACTATTCCGGCAGTGAATATACCAATGCGGAGTCATGCACACACATCGTAGATTTCGCGTCTCGCGTAGCTGCCCTGGACGTGTAAGTACCCTTGCCCAAATACGCATGATGGGGTAGAAGCGATAAAGATACTCTGTAATTTGCCAGTAGATCCATACCATCCACATTTATCCACATTAGTCCTCTAAAGCCCTGGGGAGAATGCAAGGGCGAATTCTTCAGCTTCATGGATGTTTCACTCACGTTAGGTAAATGTGCGTGGCTGCAGCAACATGCATATCACGAAAATCGCAGAAGCATTGACAGCAAGGCGGTTGGTTAGTTAGGGGAGGCAGTAATGTACCGCGAAAGAGACGAAAAGTACTTGTGTGAGACGAGCAGCTGCAGCTGCAGTTGAACAAACAATAGAGTTACGGCAAGTCCCAAAATCCTGGCATCAACAGTCGTGTACCATATGATAAATCCGAAACAAGTGATTTATGACAAGTTCTCATGAGAATCAATGAATTCACAACATCCATGGGTAGCGGAAAACTCGGATAGCTGCAACCTTAAAATGAAGGCCCAGTAGCAGGATCACACTGACCATTGTATGGTGAATCGATAGCTTCAATCTACAAACTTCTTCAATACATTCCATTAGCCTATTAACTCCTCATGGCCTCCATTATGCCAGTCTATTACATCCGCTATAGTGAGAAGAATGGGTGTGCCATAGCCTCCTTGGCAGTGGGCCGCAACTGGTGGTCGTAAGTCAACAACTTATCGATCAAATCCACCACCTCGTTCAGCAACAAATGCTGGTTATCCTTGGATACAAATGACGACCATGGCTTGCGTGGATAGTTACCCAAAACCAGGTCGTACTCGTCGCTCAAACGAATGCCATACTTATCCACATAAGCCATCAAATCCTTAGTGCCCAAAACACGTGCAATCTGCACTAGCTGATCGGTGTTAGAATCGCCACGGAAAAATGGTTCCTTCTTGAATATTATGGCAGCCAACATACATCCAACAGACCATAAGTCGAGCGAGTAGTCGTACTGTTGCAAGTTGATCAAGAGCTCAGGGCCCTTATGATACCTAGAAGCCACTCTCACGTTGTAGTCCATTCCAGCATGATAGAACTCAGCCAAACCCCAATCAATAAGGCGCAACTTCTTCTGTTGAGGATCGATCATGATATTCTGGGGCTTGACGTCTCTGTGGATGATTCCCATCGAGTGGGAGTAGTCTAAAGCAATAAGTAGCTGAGTGAAGTAGTACTGGATGTCTGGGATGGTGAACTTCAGGTACAAAATACGGAAATCCACATTGTTGATGTGCTCAAAGATAAGAGCGGGAATCTTCAGGTGCTGATCTCGAACGATATCCAAAAGACCCACCACATTGGGGCCACCAGTCAAGTTCTTAAGGATCTTCACCTCACGGTAGATTTTCTTCATCTTAACCGGCTTCAACACTTTGATCACGCATGGCTGGTCGTTGAGCATATTCATACCTTCGAACACTTCCGAGTACTTGCCCCGGCCGATCTTGGAGATGATCTCATAGTTTCTGATGTTGCCCCATTCAATTGTATGTGCTTCATAGTCCCAGTACTCCTGAGGCTTTTGCTTGTTGACGTCCGCATACACACGGGCGACCGAATAGACTTTGGAGCTCATAGCTGGGCGATGTGTTGATGTGGGAGGCGACGAAGAAGAGTAAAATTTTGATTATATGTTACGATGAAGTTGCCTGCGCACGTAGTGTACAAAGGAAGATGCCCAGACCGGGAGGTACCGGATATTAGAAGAAGTAAGGGAGAATGGTAGAAAGAAAGGGTTGGAGATGGGGAGGATACAGATTGGGGGATCCGGAGGTGGCAATTTGGGCAAATTTAGAGGCCACTGGGAAATCAGCAGCAGGTGGTTATGGATAATTGTTGATGCGCACTGTTTTATGAGGATGAAGGATGTGACGGACGAAGATGAAGGGACCAGAAGGATGAACAGAAGGAGAGGAAAAGAGAAGAGTAGGAGAAGTAGAGATGAAATAGAAGGGACTGGGAGATGGAGAAAAGAGACAAGTGCATAGGCTGAGTGCCTAGTTATAGACCACCAATTAAATAGTTGGCTGTAGACAGGAGATGATGCCTGGTGCTTAATAATAGTGATTACAAGAGATGATGATAGATTGTGAATATTGAAACTGAATATATGGTTAGAAATTAATGGAGATGAGCAGAAGTGATCAAGGAATGTATTCATGGATGGAAGAAGATAATTTAAGTGAAATGACAGACTTGGGAAGATGCAGTGAGTTAAGTATTTAATGTCATTGGGTTGTGGGGGCTAATAGCTTCAAGGTATCCGCAATGACCATTCACTTTCTTACTCGACTTTTACGTTTTGGTCACCCACTGTCTATTTCTATCCCCTTCATGTTTGTTTCCTTTGATTTCTCGTTTGTTTCCTTCATCAGAACCACTTTTGCAAACTTCAAGTTGTGCTATTCATAATCCTACTATTAATTGAGCTACAATCATCGGAGTTAATATATGCCAAAAAATCAAATACAGGTATATTTTTGATAAGCACATCAAGTCTTCAACATATCATATTCGATACTCACCACGCTCTTTCAATGGCCATCATGTTGTCTGAGAATCCTCCGAAAATGTAATTTTACTTACGGTCTGTCACAAATGTATATCGACTAGCCCAATGTGACTTGAACCCGTCAAACATCTTTATAGGACATCCACTCACTAATAGTTTAATCTAATAGTGATCGCAATTTCCCGTTGAACACCCTCCTACCCCATCTCCATATATCTACCTGCACCAAACATCACCAACTCCACTTACATATCAAACACCAAATCCCTACATTCCAGCCAATTCCTTAGGGATCTGAGTTTTCACCTCCGGCAACCTGATTTAAAGCTACGAAGTCTCTAACTATCAATACATATGGTCCTTAAAACCTCGCTATCGACGGCAAATTCCAGCTACAATGATATCGAGATCTGGACAGAGACCGAAGGACTACCACGTCTGCTCCAATATGTCACCCATATAAACCACCAAAAAGTCCCTATATTCCTTGTTTCTCACGGTCCATTCCGTGTTTATTCTCAGAACTCGATGACAGAGCAGTATTTTGGACAGAACATCGCATGCTATCAGAACTACACGGGAATACTAGCGAAAAGCACCAACGAGGACGTATACGCGGTATTCTTTGGTGACCAGAACCTTGAAATCTGGTCTTACTTTGTCGATTTTTCGATAGTAGACCTGTTTCAACAGTTGGCGGAGAAGGATGTGAACTGTTACTACACTGGGGTGCCTACTGTCATGTCCAGGTCAAACACGGCCATTTTCGACCGTGTGCTAGAAAACAAAGTGGGAAACACCAAAAAGCCCACTGCCCCTCGCCAGATGCCTCCACTGATGCTCTCAACAACTCACCAAATCTCACAGGCCGTTAATAAAATGGTGCTGTCGGCATTAAGACTACGAGGCCTTACAACAAGTGGAAACTCAAATGAAATGGTTGCTGTACGTGAAATCTACCACATGACACGGAAAGCAGCAATGTTCAGTTTGCGCAAGTACCATTATAACTTCAATGGGTCAAAAAGAGAAGACGCAAATATTCAGATGGAAGATATTCAAGATGTGGTGGAACGTCTACTCGAGGTATTTTTGGATGTGGAAAGTACAACTGCCTCAGGCAAGTAATACAGAAAATTGGCATATAGAAATGAATGGAAAGCAATGATGTATAGAAATGATAGAGAATAATAAAATATAGAACTTGAAAGTTAACAGCTACGGTAGACAACGAAATCAACCGTCCAAATATAGATAGAATCTGCTACTTCGTCGTTTACTATGTACGTGTCTAAAGACTTGCAAGGTCCACCACCTTGCTCTCGTAAGCGTGTCTCTTGGAAGATGCATTCTCCAACAGCTTCTTCAACTCACTCTTCTTGTCGGCCTTCTTCTGAGTTTTGCTTGAGCCCACGTGGTCTAACAACAAAGCACGGTCCTTCAACAAGTAACCACGCTTCTCAGCACTCGAGTAGTAGGCGATATCTCTCTTATGAGTAGGACGGGCCTGCAATGGCACGTATCCCTTTCTCAAAAGAAACAGGTCTGGATTAATGTGTGCCTGCAAGCCCAAGCTAGTGTGATACACACTAGTGTAAGTGTAGCCCAAGTTTTCGATGGTGTTCATCACGCTAGCAGTGGCCTTGGATGCCTCGATGTTCAAAGGAACATTGTAAGTTTCACTACCGTTACCCAACAACTTCACGCCATCCTTTAACGTTCCCGTGAGAAGTCCACACTCTCTCATGACTCTGATGGTAAGAGTTTCGCCCTCCTTCAAAGGAATTCGTCCATTGTTCCAGAAATCCTGGATTCTATCCAAGTTCACATCGTGAAACTCTTTACGGTGAGGCCTTTTGAACCCAATGATAGGAAAACGCTTGTAGAACGGCGTTTGTCCACCCTCAAGCCAGTGAGGCACTTTTCCTCTTGCTTTCTGACCCTTCTGACCTCGTCCAGAAGTTTTACCTTTTCCAGAAGCTGGACCTCTTCCCAATCTTTTGTAAGACTTGACAGAACCTTCAAAGGCTGCCAAACGGCCCAAATGGGACAGGTATCTCACTGCAGATAGTAACAGTATGGGTTTTTGGACCCAGGATTGGGTGAAACTGGGGAGACCCAACATGGTTTGTAGTGGAAAGGGCTTGAGTAGAAAATTGAAGAATTAGTAGAAAATAAGGCGTGCAATTACCGTTTCGCGAATAAAGGAAAATGAGTATATTGTTAGCGCCCCAGAACCTCCCAATAACAGCCTTTATGGCCAAGTTGGTAAGGCACCTCACTAGTAATGAGGAGATCGTCAGTTCGAATCTGGCTGAAGGCATTATTTTTTGCACATATACATTCTTTTGTGAAACGCAACTTCTGATTGTTCCTGAAGTTCGATTAATTTTTGCTCTAGGTTCCTTTTTTCTCTTTCTGCGCTAGTCACAGTCACAGTCACGTTGTTTCCATTACATAAAAGACCTTTAACATGCGCAAAATCTACAACATCCAACCTTTGAAGACATCAGCTAGCAAAGAGCAGAAATCTTTGAATGCACAATAAAACTAATAAATTCTGATACAGAATATATTTAATAGTTCAAAAAATAAGAATAAAAATTTGGAAGGTTGTATTAAATAATTATAAAACGCTCTTTACAAGCAGCCAAGCGGCAACATTCCATCTAACTCGTAGCGAGCCTCATTATAGTTGACAATAGATCTTTCTCCCGGTATCCACCAGAAAATCTGTCTGGTTCCATCAAATTGGTGTCTTTTGCTTCCTTAAGTCTAAGGGTCTCACAGAATGGTCTCTATCATGGGATCTCAGAAAGCTAAGAAACTACTCTGTTCCGAGCTCCAAAGAAAACAAACACCATCTTACACAACGCTTGTCAACAAAGGATACTCTTTGACGTTCACCACCAAAATTTGGCAGAAGTGGCCGGCTCGATACTCTCGGTGCCAGTCTGAGCTTTTTGTTCATGATGATCTGCGCTACACAAGAACTCCAGACAGACGTTAGGTGGTTGGACGATCAACTACGCCGTCACAGCAGATTATTAAACTAACAGCACGGTTAGCACTCCAGCAACTATAAACACACGAAAAACATATATCCACTAAAAGAGATACAATTATTATATTACCTGCTACATGCGAAATTCTGCAGGCACTTTGCAATTGCCGAGGTTACCGAGAATGCCGAGTGACGAAGCCGCAGGTAATGCATACAAGGTGCTGCGAAACTCCGGTTGCGAATTGTACAAGGGTTGCGCACACTTCTTCCTACATCTGTGAATGCCGAGTCGCCTGTTGGTGACCCTATTTTGTGCGCATTTCTGTTGCTTCACATTTGCATCGTAACATAAAATTCCTAATTCGAAACAATAAATCCTTTAAACTTAGTACAAACCGAACGCTTTCTTAGCTCCTTCCTTGATGTTAGAAGCGAGGTCCTTCATCGCTTCATTCGAAGACTCTTCCTTCACGTCTTTGACGGCATCTGATTCACCAACCTCTTCGCTTTCATTGCCAGCCACTTGAGGCTCATCCTGAGATTCATTGTCTTTTTCATGATCTTCTTCAGATTTGAACTCATGATCACCCCCCGAACTCACTCTTAGACTCATCGCTGGACTCATCGCTGGACTCATTGCCGGACTCATTACCGGACTCACTACCGGAGTGATAGCTAGATTCAACCTCAAAGTGTTCTTCTTCAGCTTGTTCTGGGTAGTGTCCGGGGTCTTCAAATTCTTCGTCCTTCTCACCCTGTTTACCTGGACGTACATTGCCTAATTCAGGTTCGGCACCGTTACTTGGTGGTGGGGGTGGATAGTCTCCATCTGGACAGTCCTTCCAAGGGTGATGATCTCCATTATGATCTCCATTATGATCTCCGTGGTGATATCCGTGGTGATATCCGTGGTGGCCCCCGTGGTGGCCCCCGTGATACTCTCTGAGAGAATCCTCGTGATCAAAATCGTCCCATGAGTCAGACATCATACCCATATTATCCGAGAACATCTCATAGCCTCTGCCCAATTGGAAGAAGGCAAAAGCAGCACTTATGGCCATGCAAACAACCAAGACTTTACGCAATAATGAAGGTTTACGTGGGTGGTGAGCCTGAAACTCTTGAAAGAATGGGTCGTGTGGGTTCATTTGGTGCCAGTGAGGAGGAGGAGGAGGAAAAGGAGGGGGTGCCACGCCAAACTTTGCAAACGGGCAAGCACCATTGAAAAATGGTGGAGGGGGAATGTGATACCCAAAGTCGGAAACGCTGCTTTCTCTCCTATGGTATCTTGGAGGACTAAAGTGTTGGGATTGGGAGAATTCTGGGGTTGTCTCACCAGAGTGAGCAGCCCCGTCAATGTCGGACGACTCAGGCGTGGCGTAGGATTCCGTCTTCTCCTTAGATGGACAGGAAGGAAACATGATTGGTTTTGTACAATACCAGATAATTTTGGATTCGGGTGGGAGACTTGTGTCACTTTTATATTACAGCAATTGGGACTGTGCCGAGTCTTACATAGCCCAACTCATAACCTTACTCATTTCCCGGTTAAATGCAGATGCGTATATACTCATGTGCGTCATCGAAGGCTGAGTTGTGGACATATTTTGCGAGCCGGAAAAGCAATGGACTAGCAACCACTTCAATATAGCAGCGCATTGATCAATACAGTTCTTTTTATTGGGTTAAAAAAAAGTAAGAAGAGGGCCGATAAATGGATTATCAATTCCTTGATGTCATGTCTGAGAAAAATACAAAAAGGATCCCTTGGTTATGCGCACATGAGCCCCGTGTATGCCAAAAACACCTCAAATGCCGAAATGGATTGGGGAAAATGCACGGTATCGACAAATATGGAGTGGCATTTTAATGCACAGATATTAGCGTGCCATGACTACATATCCAACCGCAATGACGGATAGTTCCATTCCATAAATTGAAGTGGCGGTGCTGAAACCACATACCTCACCTTTCCTATTTAAGAGAATGGAGTGGTGCTACCTCCAAACTTTTTGGCATAAAGCCCAAGTGCCTTAATTGGGAACAAGAACCTATAAGTTGGATACTCGATAGCACAACTATGGTTGAAAACACCTTCCACATCTTCAAACTTCCATTCTCCGCTAAGGCTTTGCCTGTCCATGAGGAGTTTGATAGCCCTGTCAATCGGCGCACGGTCAGGATAGTCGCCCAAAATTAGCGCAATGGCAGCCCATGACGTCTGTACAAGCAAGGATTTTCCACTGGGTACATAGGTGTGCGTCTCACATGATTTCATCGACTCGGACCAGCCACCATCATGTTCCTGCTTTGCCACTAAGAAGTCAAGGCCCTTTTTGACAACTTCCGACGTGTGGTAACTTTTACCCACAGTTTCTAACGCCTCCACGGCAAACATGGCTGCGTATGTGTAGCAAATACCCCATGAACCATACCATGACCCATCAAAAGGGTCTTGAGCCTTTTCAATGTATTCAATGGCGCTATCGATAGCGTCCAGGATCACCTGCGGCTTATAGTCCGGGTAGTATTTCATAAAGTAGGTGAGGCCAAGCACCGACGAGTCAGTACATTCCACGTATGGATACTCCACCATGATTTGATTGAACACCTCCGCAGGACTCAAACTCTCCAATAATGGAGAGGATCTGATCGCTTCGTAGGCAGAAAATGAGCCTTTTTCCCATGATCCAGTGTTCTGGATGAACAAAATACGGTCCACGGCGTCTCTCAAGTTCTGTTGGTCAATCTTGTCCGAGATTTGTTTTCCCAAATAATCATCGTTCTCTACCATGATAATAGCTTTCAAAGCCTCAGCAGTACAATCACTGACCGTATATCCCTGTGTCTTGGTACTGAACGGCCATGCGCCTTTCCGGCGGTCTCTGAAACTGCCCTCTTCACATTCTTCAGTAAACTGCGATCGGCGCAAGAAATAATAGCCTCTTAAGATCAAATCGTGATACTTGGGGTGCTGGGCCATTCCGGCAACAATAAGGTATTGACACATGAACGCCACGTCCCACACTTGAACTCCGTTGGTACCCATGACCGTCATACCCTGAGGACCATGAAACAAAACGTCGTTTTTTCTGTACAAAAATTGTTGGAATGCCTTAGAATCTCTTCCTTCTTCAATATAGGTAATAATCATATTGAAACAGAAGTTCACAGGAGCAATGCATAGATATTCCGTGTTTCGACACTCTTTCTTGATCAATTCATACACTCTATCGCTGGCTTTCTTCAATAACCACTTTGGCCTCAAATACTTCTCATACTTTACAATCGCCCAGTTCATACGATCCAAAATCTGGGTGTGTGGATAGTAGAGGTCAACGCCACACACGGTATTTCTGTGCTTAGAGAAGTCAATAGACTCATATGGCAAATGTTTAGGCAAGTAGATCTCCAGACGGATCTCTTCCAACAACGGATCCAATGCACACGTGTTCCGATTAGCAGAAAGATAAGCTAACGGCAAGTAGATTGCACGAGTATGCACCCACCACCTACCCGGGTGGATTGGAGTCCAGTAGGGAAGCATCCACAACTCTGGAGGAGCAGGATTCACACCTTCCCACCCATACAAATTAATCAATGAGAGCCAAGCCTTACCCCAATGCGGGTTTCCGAGCGCTCCTCCAAGCTTATGGAGTGTCCTCCTTGCTCTCATACAGACCTCATGGTCTTTATCCATTCCCAAGAGACGGAGTGCAACATAATTGATGGTGGTGCCGAAACACGTTGATTTATCTACGGAATGGAGTCCCCAGCCGCCATCCACAGGGTGTGCGGTGTTGACAATGTAGCGGATCATCTCGTGGCGGTACACCTCAGGGATTTCTGTTTTGGTGAAGTAACTGGCTGTGATGTATCCAATGGACATGAACATAGGACCCTTATATTGGCATGCAAACATGCCACATTCTTCCTGAATGGTACCAAGAAACTCTGTACCTTTGACAGCAGCTTCATAAGGCGTGGAAATTTTTTCTGGTTCTGGACGAACAAAATCCTCCATATCCAAGAGAAACTTGGTGGTATTTGACTGGGGTTCACTTAATGCTTCCTCTTTTGTCAAGTAGTGCCACGTTTCTCTTCCCAACTCGTCTGTGCGAAGTCTCCAGAGAGACTTATCGGACAGAGGAAGTCCTAATTGATCCGAATAATACATTTTCTTTCCTGAAGAAAAAGTTAGAGTTGTCGTATAATTTATGGATTAGGTACGAGGTGTGCACTTTATGGTTTCCTGAGGAAGTATGCAAATCACGTGATTTGACACGTGATTAAAAATCCACCTCCACCCTCATCTTAAAAAAAATCGATGCCATACAAATTCCAGATTTCCAACATCATGGCTAAAAGAACGTTGGAAGAGGCCGTGGCGCAGGAGGTTGAGCTGAAAGCTCTCGAAAATCCTTCGGTCCAAAACGGGAACTCTGACTCCGAATCTGACGATGACGAGGACGAAGATGAAGAAGCCGAAAATGGTGATGAACAAAATGGACAAGACTCCTCTCGTCCAGAAAGACCCACCAAAAAGCAGAAGAAGCAGTTGACTGCTCAAGACGTTCAGATGGCGCGAGAAGCCGCTGAGTTGTTCAAGTCTAACATCTTCAAATTGCAAATTGATGAACTTGTCAGTGAAGTCAAAATCAAAGAATCACACGTTGCCAGAGTGGAAAAGGTGCTCCATAGACTCCATAGCTGTATCCTGCAAGTGCAGCCGCTCGATAATCTCACTTTGGAGGAGGCAGAAAGCCACTTCAACCCTAAGAAAGTCACCATCCCCTTCCCAGATCCAAAACCTACAAAAGTCAACTATAAGTTCTCTTACTTGCCGCCCGAGGACGTCTCACTTGTGGGGTCTTTCGGTTTGAAGACGGGAATTGCCCAGCAGAATGGTCTGGCTATCGATATCTCCTTGACCATGCCTTCATCTTTGTTTCTGCCTAAGGACTACTTGAACTACAGAGCATTATATAAGAGAAGCTTCTACTTGGCTTATTTAGCGGAGAGCCTCATTCCCTTAACGAAAAAGAACAACTTGCCTGTGAAAATCGCATACACATACTTGAATGACGACGTTCTTAGCCCGGTTCTCACTCTCCACAGTATCAAAACCGACAATGAGGAGGACTTGCACTTTGACAAGACAAAGTTTTCCATCAACTTAATCGTGTCCTTTCCCTTCGGCGTCTTTGACACCAAGAAGCTCTTGCCCGATAAAAATTGCATCCGAGTCCAGTCAGACTCTGAGGTACTTCCGCCTACACCATACTATAACTCGTCTATCGTGTCACTGATGACTTGCGACTACTATTTGAAGTTCCTCTATGCTAATAAGAAGTCCGCCGAAGCCTTCAAGGACGCATGCACATTGGGTCGCTTGTGGTTGCAGCAAAGAGGCTTTGGCTCTGCCATTTCAGGCGGAGGTTTTGGTCATTTTGAGTTTGCCATCCTTTTGGCTGCTCTTTTGAACGGTGGAGGAACCGCAGGAAACAAGATCCTTTTACAAGGTTTCTCTTCATACCAATTGTTTAAGGGTGCTGTCAAATATCTTGCATCCATGGACTTGTCCTCTGGGTATCTTTCTTTTTCCAGTGAGTTGGGTGAATCCAATTCTTGCAAGTACAACCCTGATGCTGGATTCAACACTCCTACTATTTTTGACAGAAGTGTGAAGTTGAATATTTTATGGAAGATGACGAAGTCTTCCTACCAGGCATTGCGTCTACACGCCATCAACACATATAACCTCCTTAACGATGTGGTTTACGATCGTTTCGATGCCATTCTTTTGCAGAAAACCGGAATTGACAGCTTGAAATATGACCTAGTCTACGACTTGACCATTCCTGAAGATATGTATGAGTCTTTTGGTGCCTTGGAGAAGATCTCCTTCATTACTTTCGACAACTATGTGAAACACAAGGTGTATGCCATTTTGAAGAGAGCGTTGGGTGAGAGAGTTACCAGTTTGGAAGTCATGAATGACCAGACCAGCAGCAACTTTCCTCTTACCAAGAGAAAGCCATCATCTCATCACAGCAATAAGTACACTGTTGGAGTTGAGTTGAATTCGGATGAATGTGACAAATTGGTGACCAAGGGACCTAATGATGCTGATAAAGAGGATGCTGCCAAGTTCCGTTCTTTTTGGGGATCCAAGGCTACTCTCAGAAGATTCAAGAACGGTACTATTCAGCACTGTGTAGTTTGGGATAACAAGGAGAACGAGCCATTAGTTTCGCAGACTGTTTCTTTTGCTCTCAACACACATGTGCACCCACTTATTTCGCAGCATATTTCGTGCAATGCAGCTCTCTTCAACAGCAGATTGCCCACTCCACTGGTTGCGGCAGCTTCAAGCCAGGGTGTTGCTTTTACTGGAACTTTTACTCATCTCAAAACCTCGTTTGAGGACTTGTGCAAGGTCATGTATAACTTGGAATTGCCACTTGGTATTAAGTCGCTCCTTGCAGCTTCGCCAGCATTAAGAAACACTTCAATGTTGCAACCTGTTCCATTTGCAGTTTCCAACCCAGATTTCTGGAACGATGTGATCTTGCAATTCGAGACTTCGTCTAGATGGCCAGACGAAATAAAGGCTTTGGAGAAAACAAAGGCAGCCTTCTTGATCCGTATTTCGGAAACATTGAATAGAGACTCCACTTACAGAACTTTTCTCACCAAGGATACATCTATTCCGTTTAATGAAGACATCACATTGTTGAATATCTTGACTCCTGGTGGCTATGGTTTCAGATTCAGAGTTCTCAGCGAAAGAGACGAAGTCTTGTACTTGAGAGCCGTGGCCAATGCTGGTACCCAGAAGGCTCTTGTCCAGAGCATCTACTTAAAGTTCAACCAGAAATACATTGGACTGGTCAAACACACCAGAACCATCAACATTCTTCTGAGCAGTTTCCCTTACTATTCTCCTACTGTGAGACTTTTCAAGCAATGGTTGGACGCACACTGTCTTTTGCGTCACTTTACTGACGAATTAGTCGAGCTCATTGCATTGAAACCATTCGTTGATCCCGCTCCATACACTGTTCCCAACTCGGTTGAGAAGGGATTTCTACAGATTGTGAGCTTTGTTGCCAACTGGAACTGGAAGGATGAGGCCTTGATTTTGGATCTCATCAAGAGAGCAGAGGCTACGGTGGATGAGTTGGAGAATAAATTGAGTGACAAGTTGACCATTCAGGCATTCCAAATTATTCAATCTAATTTTGAGAAGATCCGGAAAAGCGATCCATCTGGAATGAAAACTCAATTCTTTGTTGCTTCCAGAGACGATCCTTCCGGAATCTTGTGGTCCAATGAAGTCACTCTACCTATTGCCAGCAGATTGACTGCCTTGGCCCGTGCGGCAGTCCAATTGATGCGTCAACAAGACATCACAAAGACCACCATTGACCTATTCTTCACACCAGCTGTAAATGATTTCGACTTCTTCATCAAGACAAAGGCCTCCGACAAATCGATGGGAATTTCCAAGCCCGGCGAGTTCAAAAACTTGGCAGTTCATGGAACTTCTTTCCCTGAAGATATCACATCCAAGTATGATCTTACTACGATGTTGGTCGATGAGCTCAACAAGAAATTTGGAAATATCATAATCTTCTCCACAAGAAAATGCCCAGCCATCTTTGACAAGGCTGAGAGCATTGTGTGCGGAGTTTTCGTGCCGTCCGCTTTGTCCAAGAAAAAGTTCAGAGTTAGTTTGGGTGTGGATGTCAAGCCCACTGGTGAAGGTGACGATGTGCAATTGAACAAACAGGATGTTTTCGACCAAATCACACTTTTGGGAGGTGATCTTATTAAGTCGATCAAAATCCGCAAGTAAACGGTCCTTGGGCCTGTATATATTGTATTATAGACACGGCCGTAAAGGCCTCTCATTTATCTGGTGATTGTTAAGTTGATGATAATAGCCTGCGTATTAGAATTCACACAGTAGACATTTCCACTCAGTTATCTTTAATATCCATTGGTATTCCAGGTCGCCTGAATCTTGCAACCGAGCGAATATTTGCCAATGCCTGACACCTCATTTGCATCGGACTTCCAAAACCAGCGATACCCTACCGTGGAAGAAACTGTTCGAGACAATGCTTCCGTATTATACAAAAGGAAGAAGTTCTTCCTTCAAGACGTCCGTAAGTTGGCAGGGACGCTAGGATATGTCCTCATAGGGCTTGTTTACCTACGAGATCGCTCCATCTCGCTGTTTTTGTCGCGTACACTTGTGCAACACTACCTTTCAGACCCATTTCCTCCCCCACTGCATTTGCTTTTGGATACAGCCAACCAAGAAGACGCCCGCTCGTATGCTAAACTTGTGTTTATCATGACTTTCAATGCATCTGCCATCATATTTCATTTTTTCTTTGGCGATACACATGTGAGAAGTGGAGGAGACGGACTTTTACATGGAGGACTCACTGTACAATTTATAGGTGAAAGACTGCCCACCAGCGTGTGGGAATTGGTATTTTTGGACTGTTTAATCCTCCTAGATCAGCTTTTATATCATGGATTGACATGTGGAGTTGATGATGCAGAGATTCTTCATATAAAATCACCAGTAATTGAGGGTGACGACAACGTGTGTCCTGAGGTGGTATCGAACGGGTACAACGGCAACGTCACGTTGGTGACGTTGGACATATTTGCGCATTTCAAGAAGGTGTTGCTGTTTCGTGCACAGCCATTACAATTTGCAATGAATCGCAGTTCGATGAGACTTCAGCAGACAGACCCGCAGGTTTCGGGGTTGTTATTTAGTAGAGAAATGGCGGAACGAATGGCTTAAGTGGCGTTATCAGCAGGGTAGAGATTGAGAGAGAGATGGAAAAGGGGTGTTTGCAGATGTGAAAGAGCTGAGGTGAACGTTTGGACTTCAGACATGAGGATTGAATGATCCATCAGAGACAAATGGAAATTACAGGATGAGTCAAATCACTGGAAGATGAAATATGACTCAGAAGTTTGCAAGCGGTGATACGTACGAAAATGATGCGGATATCCACCTGGAAACCTGTGAGATTGAAGATGGAGGTTTTATTTTGATATGGTGAGTACATCATTAAAATAATTCTATCTTCAATTAGAAATTAAGAAGTCCGCTAGTTTCAGAGGAACTGGTCGCTTCTGATGGAGATTTCAATTGAAAACATTTCATCGATTACGTTGATTGTCAAGTCTAAAATAGCGATGATTCCGAATTCCCTGCTCAAGTCAAATGAATTCTCCACTATCGAAAACCAATAAATCATGTATCCAAAGCATGCGAAATATTCAAAAATTCCATTATCGACAAAAATCTGTAGGATTTTTATTACTTGTCTTAGATTTGTAAGGCTGGATCAACACCCGATGTCAATCATACACCCGTACCTCCCTAAAAATCGCCTTCTCAAGATGCCTCTGGCCAAGATTGAAAACCACCTAAGACTTATCAAGGGAAAAGAAAATTTCTCGGAAGTCCGCAGGTTTGACTTTCACCAGATATGGCTCTTTGGAACTCCTAAATTAATCTCGGAAGTTCTCTCATCAATTTACTTTACCATATCTGCAGTTTGTTCAGTTGTACACCCGTGCACCACGCTCATCTCACAAAAAAATTAAATTCCATCTTGATCTTCATCTCACCAACCATGTCTAACATTGTCGGTATCGAATACAATCGTGTAACCAACACGTCTTCGACGGATTTCCCTGGCCATTCTACCGAGGACCATGCCTGGGATCTCGAAAAGTTCAAGAAATCCTTTGAGATCGACATTTCTTACATTGCAGGTAGAACTGCCAACTTCGACTTGAAGCAGATTGACACCTCTATCGCCAATGCATTCAGAAGAATCATGTTGGCCGAGGTCCCTTCGGTTGCCGCAGAAACCGTCTACATTTTCAACAACACCTCGGTCATTCAGGATGAGGTGTTGTCGCATAGAATTGGTCTTATTCCATTGAACGTGGACCCAGATGCGTTGGTGTGGCTCGATCCTACCGCTGACGAAGAGAACCGTTACAACGACAACAACACCATTGTTTTGTCGCTTGATGTGAGCTGCACGCGTGCGCCCCATGCGCCCGCCGGAACCACTGACCCAAAATTGCTCTACAGAAACTCCAGTGTGTACGCTAAGGACTTGAAGTTCGAGCCTCAGGGCCGCCAGGCTGAGCTCTTCAGAGATTCGCCAGTACAGGCTTGTGATCCCGACATCTTGTTGGCAAAGTTACGTCCCGGCCAGGAGATCTCTTTGAGAGTCCACTGTATTTTGGGAATTGGCAGTGACCACGCCAAGTTCTCCCCTGTTTCTACCGCATCGTACCGTTTGTTACCTGTGATTGATATCTTGGAGCCCATCGTAGGAGAACAGGCCCAGCGTTTCCAACAATGTTTCCCATCCGGTGTGATAGGAATCAACGAAAACGGCGAGGCATATGTTAAAGATGCCCGTAAAGACACGGTTTCGAGAGAAGTGCTTAGACACGAGGAATTCAACGGTAAGGTCAAGTTGGGCCGTAAGAGAGACCACTTTGTGTTCAACGTGGAGTCCACAGGAGCCATGGCGCCTTCGGAGATCTTCCTCAAGTCCGTTAGAGTGTTAAAGAACAAAGTGGACTACTTGAGAAACTGTCCCATCAGCCAGTAGGCCGGTTTGTCTACAATGTATATTAGAATAGCATCTGTCATTTTTTTGTAACCAATATTCCTCTACACTAACTGCTTTCTCAGGCCCTTGAAGAACAATTGCACCACGGTGATCTGCAAGAATGCCATGCCTACCATCAACAACACCTCCAAGATGGAGAAGTAGTAGATTCTCGATTCCGTCAGCTGCACGGTGGCCTGGTTTCTGTTGTTACGAGTCTTGTAGTACTGCAATGCCCTCATAAGCTCGTCCAACTGTCTGTCGATACTCTCAGCGGTAGTCTTCATAGCCTCGACGTGTGCAATGGGTTTTGTGTTGGGTTGCTCAGGCATCTGTGCTCTGAACTGCGACGATCCGTCGCCCTCGTACTTGATTTCAAAGTCAATCACCTTCTCAGCAAATGTTGACATTTCATTCAGGAAACAGAATTCGTACTGGCCAGGATGTTGCGCGTTGAACGAGAAGTCACCTTGTCTCTGCTTGGTAGCTTCATCCAAGATCCGGTTCTTTGGGTCCTTGATGGTGTAATCGACATCAAACGACCCACCCTGTTGGACAGCAAAATAGAAGCTGATTTGGGTGTTTTGCTTCTCGGTGGTGACGTAAAAACATGCCTGTTCTTTTGCAGGCAAATTGAACGTCAAGGCCGATGCCACAATGAGCTGGAGAAGAGCCAAAAGGGCTACACAGCGTGAAAGCATGTTTGGATGTGGATAAATAGGATTGGACGTGTTCGAAAAAAGAACGAGGTGTAGTCGTGTACTGCACAATAATATGGTTGGGAGAATTTGGCGACACGGATAGAAATAGATAAATAGTCGAACGGTATTGGATTCAATGATATGAACGACTTGAGGAATTTATAAGATAAGAGATTATTTTAGCTTTTTAGGGGTTCTTGTGTGGATGAATCATGGGCTTATAGAGGTTTCGAAAGAGAAAAGAGAAAATGCAGAATGGCTGCGAATAGACGAGAATTGCTTGATTTTGGAACGGAGGTAGGTAGTAGTAAATATTTTGTAATGATGTTGACGGAGTTAAATCGGATCTAGGATTATTTGATATAGACAAGGTGGCCGTATACAATGGAGGTTCTGATTTGGGGGATGTTCACTTGAAAATACCGAAAAGGTAAGAGATTCCATCATACAATCTTTCAATCTTGCTTTCATTATAAAATTATATAATGTATCCAAAGTTGATCTTAAAATTGAAATTCTACTGATTCAGCTGACTACTTGAATGTAGGGTAAATTTAGAACATCACATTGGCATAAATCCATGGTTTCAGCCAATAAAGTTAAGAGTACCGAAAGAACACACAAATTGGCACCTTTAGCAACTGTTGAACATTCGCCTATCGTCTTCACCAAAGCAGTTGCCTCTGTTCGGTGTAATTTATGATAATTTCCCTCTTATGTTCTTCTAAACATATTTAAAGGTCAAATACACCCCAAAAAGAAATATCCTTTGAATATTTAATACCCTTCAAATGTAAGTCCTTCAACTAATCATTCAATTATCTTCGAAATAAGTTCAGTACCTCACTATCGTTAATCCATTAATATATCTTCCACACTCTACATTAGTCATTACCTCTCGTATCGTTACACTCCCTATGTACATTTATACAGTGTAGACCATACGGCCGAGCTTATCAAAACCAACGGCTCTATCCTTCTTTCTGTCTCTTCTCAGAGCTCCGTAACGGAATCCCACTTGGCCAGATGTAGCCTTAGTAAAACGGAATTGCGTGTCGTCGCCCTTCTTTTGCACTCCAACAACAACCTTGTTCAACTTCACCGTGTTGTTGCTCTCCTCCGAAACCTCCGTCAAGTTGTCCAACGTCTGCTGAGCCGGTTCTAGCCCGAAAATCTTGGCAGCGTCCACTGGACCAAACGGCTCACTTTCACTAATAGTCAAAAACCGCTGGTGCAACGTCTTGTGAGGAGTAGGAATTTCTGTCAAATTGTCGGCCTCCTTAGGTGGCTCGTACAATGGAAACATTTTAGTCATGACTCCAGAAAACTTGCTCAACTCCTTGCCTAGTTTACCCTGAATGTTAGTATAATTGTTTTTTCACATCAAATGCCGTTCAGTTATATGCAAAGGTTTAACCATGTAGTTGTCTTCAAGACTAATCAAATAACTCATCATTTCGGCAGAATCTAGAAATACCTGGAAAAGTCAGACCAAGATATTTCAAGTAGAAAGAATAAAAATAACATACCTGTTCTCTCCAACTCTTCTCAATCTGTTGTAACTTCACAATGGCCTCCACTCTCGTAAGTTTAATACCATACTTGTGTGCAATCTCTTGAGGCAGCACATTGGACTCCACCACCTCACTATATATCTTCTGCTTCAAGTCCTCGGAGATCACCGACGCTGTCTTGCAGTGAAGGTTCTGTGGGAAAGGATGTAACGAAGCATTTCTGTTAATGTCCATGGGTCTAGCATACTGCTCTTTACCAGGCGTCACCACACTCTGACCATTTGGAACAATGTAGTTAGGTGTGTGGTTCTGTGGTGGGTAGTAGTACTTATTCCTGTAGTACTCGCCACGGATGTTTTTTGGTCCTAGCCATGACTTCAAGTGTCTTTGGAAAAACGAGCTGTGGTCTTTCTTTGGATGAGCCAATGGCGTCAATTCTGCCTTGTATCTTGGGTATGCGGGTTTTCTTTTTGCGGTTCTGATGCTCTGAAGCAGCACAGCCTGACGGGAGCACCCGGAGGGGGCTGTTCTGGTGAACATTAGGTTTTTTTTTGGAGTAGGATGGGAAAATTTTTGGAGAAAAACTGGTAGTGTCGCGGTGTCGCAACAATGTCGCGATGTCGCAGAATTATTTACCTAGGGTATTGAGTTCAGTATATATAGGAAGAAAGAAGTGGATAAATGCAAAGGTGAAGGAGAAGTAGATAAATAAGGGGGTTATGTGTGAAGGTAGAAGATTGGTGAGAGTTTATTATTCTGGGTTTTATTCAAGGACTCCGAAGTACTGGGAAATATAGTAAGGTGAAGTAACTTTGGAACTACTACAATTAAGGTCTAGTTCGTGCCAGTAAGTCATTTCAAGAAGTCGGAAAAGTTGAGAAGCAGAGAAAGATGTAGGATACTGAAAAACAAAAGAAGTTTGGAAATTCTGATGTCTAGTAACTCAAAATTTGCAATCATTGGAACTCCTACCTCTAGATCAGTCAAACACACTTTCTGAAATCCAATTCCTTAAACACAGACATACTCCGTTTTACAGTCAAGAAGCACACGCATCGACTCGAATAAAGTAATGAAATGACGTCGTCCGACTCTGACACCTTCCTTCATAGCTGATAACTCTAATAGCAAAGAAAGCTACTAAGCTAGATGGACTAACTTGAGAAGGTAGTTATGATTATAGATGAAAATCAAGTAACCTAATTTGGATGGACTGAATTGGGAAGCGTTATCAAACTGTTATGAACAACTTGCACTGATTACACTCAATGATATACTTTTTTGAAGATCCTAGCTATTAAAAATTCTTGCAGAATTAATCAGTTTCTAGACATTAATATACTGACCTACTAGTTTAACCGAACATCCAGAAAGTTGGCAAGGGAATACTTTTAGTTAGGACTTAAACTACAGTTTCAACCTCTAAGTGCGCCTGAGATATCAGGATCATGTTCTGTCCGAAGAAGTACAATCTAATAGCTCCATAGCGTATGTTACAATGAATGTAGCCTCCTTAGACAACGTCATTCCAGTCGACATTCACAAGAACACTACCAATTCCGAAAATGAATAGTTTTCTACGATCATCTCATAAAAATCTTCATCAAGTCCTCTCGTTTTCATCACCTCTTACCAATAGTCCAACTCCCCATCGTGTTTGACATTACACCCGTACACCATGATACACGCTTAGCGTGGCTCAAACAACTAAAATCTATACAATCACTTAAATCACAACCAGCACGACACCTTCAAGCTCGAATTCTTATAATGGAGTCCGTTGTCACATCATTCAAGAAGTTACGAGAGCGAGTTTCGCCCGTAAAGAACGCGGCGTTGCTCTCTTCCCGTGAACATATTCAAAACAAGGTTCTTGACTTGGAAATGGAACTTGCAAAGAAGCGTCGGAGTTCGGTGGATGATCCGTTTGCAGACAAATCGAGCAAGATGGCCAGAACAGGTGATATTTCTCGTGACAATTCTTCGGTATGCCATATTTCGCCCGTGGACACCGATAGCACCATGAGTTCCAAGTACATACGCGACGAGAACCTCAGGTCTGGAAGACGGGAGAAGCTGCCGGATTCGAAGGCAGAGACGCAACTGGTAGATTCAGAAAAGTTGATCAGTGATACAGCTGAGGAAGACGCGGTCACACTCGAAGTTTTGGAAGAAATGCACAAGCTAGAAGAATGTTTTCCTATTTTGGCAGAGAAGTACCGGTTGCTAGACAAGATCGGAGAAGGAACATTTTCCACCGTTTACAAAGCTGAAGCAGTGAACGGGGCTGTTGTTTTGGGTTCACAGATATGGAAATCACCTCCTCTTCATCGCACAGTGTCTCGGTCACAGAAAAAGAAGAACCCATTAGTGGCTCTCAAGCAGATTTATGTGACTTCTTCGCCCAATCGTATACATAATGAGCTCAGCTTGCTCTACATGTTAAGCGGGAACTCTCACGTGGCACCTTTGCTTGATATCTTGCGTTATCAAGACCAGGTATTGGCTATTCTTCCTTATTACCAGCACGCAGACTTTCGGGATTTTTACCGTGACCTCCCTGTCAAGGGTATTAAGAAGTACATGTGGGAGCTTCTCCAGGGATTGGAGTTTGTGCATAGTAAGGGCATCATCCATAGAGACCTCAAGCCAACTAATTTCCTCTATGACCCATTCAAAGGAAAAGGTGTACTTGTGGACTTTGGCTTGGCTGAAAAAATGCCTCTGTCCATGTCTTCTTCGAACCGTTCCACAAACATGTGTCCGTGCTTGTCCAAAGACCGGAGTGCCAACGTCAAGATCCATCTGAAACGCCTTAATATCAAGGCTGCATACCCTAAGCTGGATCAAAGACCTCCTAGGCGTGCAAACCGTGCCGGAACCCGAGGCTTCAGAGCCCCGGAAGTGCTCTTCAAGTGCACCAACCAGTCGACGAAGATTGATATTTGGTCTGCGGGAATTATATGCTTGTCGCTATTAGCACGCAAGTTTCCACTTTTCAACTCTCCCGACGATATTGAAGCCCTCGTGGAGATACTTCTCATATTTGGGGTCGAAAAGCTTCAGAAATGCGCCGAACTCCACGGCTGTGGCCTTGAAATCAGCATTCCCAACGTCCTGACTACCAGCTACAACGGCAACTTAGTTAAGCTTTTGACAACCGTTCTCAGTCACGAGGATGAAAATGAGTGCCTCCCCTCAGATTCTGTCATTTACGATACATTAAAGTACCTCGATCCGAAAACAAATACCCTTGTCAAGCCTTCGCTATCCAACAGCCAAGACGTCTCCAGCGACGAATACGATCAAGTCAAAAGGGATCTCGAAGGCTATAATGACCTTAAGCATTTACTCCAACTCCTCTACGGATCGCTTAGTTTGGACCCAAGCAAACGTCACTCCGCGAGCCAACTCATGAAAGCACCATTCTTTAGCGAGATGGCCACCCACAAGGATGACGAGGTGTTGTTGTGATAAATATATTGAATCAAATTATACATGCATCTACGAATCCAATTGATGATTTAATGATCCATTCGGAGCCTGTTCCGAAATGCTAGAGTAAACCTGTAGTGAAGCTATCATTACTTGAAACCAGCTCAGAACGGACTCTTTTCTTGAGCGTCCTGGCTGAGTTCGAGAGTTGAAGTCCGCCAACCGTTTATCCTCTTCATAAAATGCTCGATTCCATTTCCTGTTGAGCTCTGTAATGAGCTTGTTTTGTTGCCTGAGCAGCTGTGGCTCTCGAGGAGGAGACGACTGTGAGACAGACAGTGAGGAGCCAGCTAATGGGGGAGACGGTGACGTATGCATGTGAGCTGACGTGGGTGGAGTCAGAGTGGTAGGTTCTGGCAGCAGAAGGTAATTATGAACAGCACCACGCAGAGGCATAGGCATCAGGACGCCCGGAAATCGAGTTTCCTCGTTCATGACCGACCCAGATACACCAGCCAATTGTGGCCCTAGAAGTTCAAATTGGATGTCTTTTGAGAGAAGAAGCCTCTTCTTGAGAAAGATAGATTGAGTGATAGATGAGTTGCGCAGCTTCTTTCCTCCGGCTCGTGTAGACACCTGCAAGGCATCCAGATCCGGCTCGGAAAAATGCTGGAGATGATGAAGATGGCTGGGGTTTGTCAAATGTCCATGATGCAGATGGTGGTGGGTATGGAATGACGAGCCTTCGTGCGCCATGGAGAGCGGAGAAGGCGTCGAGTCGTCAAGTGGTTTTGTTGATAATGGTGGCGCTGACGAAACCTTCGGCACCGAATGGTTGTCATACTTGAACTTGAAGTCCTTCTTGAGGCTCGAGAGAAACGGGGGTTTCAGGATCTTGTCACTAGACCGACGGCGCCATTTGAAGCGTGAGCTAGTGGTCTCAGACTCCGAGTCGTCGTCTGATAAAATAGCACTGTTGTTTTTGGGCCAGATCTTGGACATTCGATGAGATGCGTAGGTGTCTTTGGTATCGTTGGGCGAGACGAGCGGTGCCAACGACGTCAAGCTAGCTGAGCTGTTGTTGCGGGTAGGACGGAGAAAATTGTCGTCGATGGAAACTATGGAATTTCGAGGCAGTTCCAAGCTAATGATGGACATGCTGCGATGGTTGTGAGTCGAGTGATTAGACCCTATGGAGTTCATGGACGATGATCGCTGTTTTTTCGATTGTGGCGGAGCGTTTATGAGTTTGAGCACATGAGGACTCGTGGACCCACTGAGAGTCTCCGATGAGCTCATGGGGCTGTTTCTTTCGGACCCGTTCATGGTTGCAATGGAGATGCGCTAGAGACTGTCACTGTGGCTTAGTCAGCAGAGCAACACCGAGACCAATTTCACAGCAGCAGAATGCAAGGCACAAGTAAGGGGAAGTACTAACAGCAGTAAGGAGAGTCAGACAAAAACCGGTGGTGGTGAAGAAGCAGTTCCTACTTTAAAGTTGACAGGGTCAAGAGGAGCTTTTTTCTCGATAGCCTTGATACGCAATCACCTGCAGAGAACGCTGCGATGAGTGCCCCACACTTCTGCCAAGTGACGGCCGACGTAGATAGAAGCTGCAAAAGTGCCGAAAGAGGGGAGGTTAACGCGAGAGAACATGTAGAAGAAGGCTTTAACAGTTAAGGAAGCTCTTAGAACTTATTGAACGACGTGGTTCTATGTAACTAAGCAGTTGCGACCGTTTTGATAATAGTCCTGTCTGGGAGGTAAAGACAAAACACGTGACTAAGTTACGACATCAAACCCTGCACTCGGAGGGTGATCATGTAAAGACGGCAGACTAAATGCGGCCTACATGGTTGTCGCATGCAACTGTCCCCTGATTTTCCTCCTGAATTTTAGCCTTCTTGCCTTTCTTGAAAGTAGCTGATGCACTCTAGTATGGGATTATAAAAACTGAGTGTACAGAATTGATTTTTGTGTTATCAGGTATTATGCCGGTTATGCCGTCATATTCCTTATCTAAGTGGAAAACTAGCAATCAGGATCAAAAATAACCGAAGTGAACTTCGAGTATTTATAACTATTTTGGGGATGATATTTCAATCGCGAGGATAAGACCCCAACTTTAGCGAGTCTGAGATCTAGAGGATTTTCATTCAAACAACCAAGTTGCAGTAGACGTCTTGTGCGCTTGGAATTTCAGTTGAAGAGCAACTCCACTAAGCTTTTGATGGTTGCTAACAAGTTACGATAGAGCAGTTGGTATCGCTCTATGAACTGAGTTCAGATCAATCATATGTAGTTGACAAGATGTTTATCCAGTTACAGCATCATTCCTTGAGTAAGGGTATTATTCCTAGAATACACAAAACGTTTATTCGAATTATAGGGGTTAGTTTGTAAGTTCAAATTGTGATATAGGTTTGCTTTACTTGGTGAGTTAGAATTGCCTGTGAAGTCGCTCCAAGTAAGACAACATGTCGTAATTGTATGGGAGGGATAACATGATGAGAATAGGAACCCAGGAGTTGTCAATTGTGTAAGATCCAAAAAAGAGGGCTTAAATATAAATCAGAGATTGAGCGCCTCAGAAGTGTGACAGTCAAAACGTGAAGATCGAAAGGTATTTTGACCAAAATGAATGACCCATCGCGTCAAAAAAGGAGTGGTTACAGAGGAAATAATAGTAGTTGATTACACCAAGGTAAGAAAGTTCATTTAGAATAAGAATGCAGCCTTGGCCGAAGAATTCGGCCCATCCAATGGCTGTCACATCTATCATGGTGTATAGAAAGCCTCGATACACATCTCTCTCTATCGAGTACTTCTTTGGTGGCATGAAGCAGAGATCAATTACTTTTTCAACGGATTACACGACTTCGTCAAGATGGAGCATCGAAGATATCAACTGGTCTAGTGGTTGCAAAATCTGCACTATGCACAGTACCTTGTAGTATGTAATATGTACACTTTGCAGAATAGAAGATCTACTATGCATACCAGAATGCTATTAACTTCGTTTCGGCTTTGCTCACTTCTGAAAAACATGCTCATCAAATGTTCGAAAGACTGTTAGATCGGTAGTAGCGAGTCCCCGGATGCTACCAATCAGGTGGAAAGTACCGAGACAGGATTCGTATCAGGATTAACATACTCGTGAGAGATTGTAAACCCCAGACTTACATCAGCAATTGAAGGATTCAAGTTCCATCAGACGAAAGAATCTGCGTGGAACCATCGTGGAAGAGATACATAGATAACGTAGCTGAGTACTAGAAAGCACAGACTTATGAAATCTCTCAGTGAATGAAACTGGTGACGCGTTATAACAGGGGGAAAATAGACGTAGCAAGAAAGAGACAAGACATCAGCACATCACCTAGCTTAATAGCAAACTGTTGATAGAATGAGAAAGATCTCAAGTATCCCTTGTTGCTGCAGAAAAGGTTAACCAGACGAGAGTCATGACTTGAAGTAATAGTTCCCGTGAGATCTACCATGAACGGTACACTCAATACAGCTCTCGAAATCCTTTATACCCAAGGCATGCATGTGAAGACCTTGGGATTGGAAGTAACGTGAAAACGGGAATTGACCTCAAATGAATCACAAGCATTAACTGGAATTTACCCACCAAGGCAGGTTTGTCCGCATTGGGAATAAAAGGATGATCCACCTTTCAGATAATATACCGAGTGGTGGCAAATCCTATTGTTTGCGTTATTCTGCTTTTTCCTTTTCTTCCACTTCTTCCTCTTTTTGAGTTAAATCCGCTCACCCTCTCCAATACTACACCTTCACGGCTCCGACATACTGTGTCGGGCTAAACTCTATTGTTGCAACCATACACGGCGTTATATCCGTGGTAAAATCATATATAAGAATTAGTAATTAGATAAATTTTATCAAACAATGTTGTCAAAATTCGTTAGAGAAAGCTTTTGGGGTCGCGTCATTTACCACTTGTCACGTAGAAAACTCTTCAATTACAAAGAAGAGCAGCCCGACTATGTGATTCCAGACAAGTACACAGGGAATAGTGAAGCTCAATTAGAAAATGATGGATCGAAGGACAAACCAGAAGCAGAAATTGATGACCAGATGAGTTCACAGTCGAGGTCGAATTCTCAATCGTCGAGTTCTGATTTAACAGTGAAAGTCAACAAATCTGATGAGGACAACTTAATCATTGTAGGGTGGGACGGCGAAGATGATCCTGAGAATCCATTGAATTGGCCCTTACCTTACAAAATCCTATTTATTTTCGAGATTGGAATTTTGACTGCTTTTGTTTATATGGCATCAGCAATCTATACGCCTGGAGTTGACGAGATTATGAGAAAGTTTAACATCAATCAAACATTGGCAGTTTTACCGTTAACTCTATTTGTATTTGGTTACGGAATTGGGCCAATGGTATTTTCTCCAATGTCTGAGAATGCTCGAATTGGACGAACTTCAATTTATATCATTACTTTGTTCATTTTCTTTATCTTACAAATCCCAACTGCTTTGGTCAATGATTTAGCATCACTATGTGTTTTAAGATTTATTGCTGGTTTCTTTGCCAGTCCATGCTTGGCTACAGGTGGTGCAAGTGTGGTGGATGTTACTTCAATGCCATTCATTCCAATATCACTTTGTGCGTGGTCTATTGCAGCAGTTTGTGCTCCCTCCATGGGTCCCTTGTTCGGCGCAATTGTTACTGTGAAAGGAAACTTCCACTGGACATTTTGGTTTGTTTGTATTGCTTCGGGGAGCTCATTCTTAGTTTTGGGTTGGTTCCTTCCCGAATCATACGGGAAAACCATCTTGTACAGAAAAGCAGAGAGATTGAGGGCTTTGACTGGAAACAAGAAGATCGTCAGTGAGGGTCACATTGAAAATAGTAAGATGACGGTACACGAGATGGCAGTAGACATTTTGTGGAGACCATTCGAAATCATTGTCTTTGAGCCAGTGGTGTTACTCATCAACGTCTATATTGGGTTGATCTATTCCATTATGTATCTTTGGTTTGAGGCATTTCCCATCGTATTCTTTGAAGTTCACCATTTCACGTTGATTGAATCGGGTGTTGCGTTTTGCACCATCATGGTGGGAATCTTGCTTGGGGGAATATTTTATGTCAATCATATCTTAAGAGTTTTCACTCGAAAATTGCAGAAGGGTGAGATGGTTGATCCAGAAGTGTTTATTCCCATCTCCATAATTGGAAGTTTTTTGATGCCCATAGGGTTAACAATTTTTTCGTGGACCAGTAGTGCTGATATTCACTGGATTGCACCAATGATTGGAGCATTAATTGCCTCTTCTGGGGCTTTCTTGATTTTCCAGACCTTGTTCAATTATTTAAGTATGTCCTTCTATAGGTATATTGCTTCAGTTTTTGCTGGAAACGACTTGTTCAGAAGTTTCATGGCTGGCGCCTTCCCACTTTTTGGAAGAGCTTTATTTTTGAATTTGAGTACACATAAGTTCCCTATTGGCTGGGGATCACAGATATTGGGCTTTTTAACCACGTTGATGATTGCTATCCCTGTCTTGTTTTACTTCAACGGGCCAAGATTGAGGGCAAGGTCCAAATACGCTGGAATGTAGTTGGAATAGTTTATGTTTTAAGTATGATTACAATCATTATACAGATTGCACCAAGGGCCACACTACTATTAAACCTTAAAAAACCATACTGCCTCCTTCAGGCTTAGTTCTATTCTGGAATTCTTGAGTTCATAGGTATATATTAATAATGCTAATTGAAATTACATGGGGAAATAGCGGAGATAAACTGTGACATTACCCCTTGACTTCTCCCCAAACATTTGTAGCTCTGGATAGGCTTACAAACTTTTGATCTTCATGTATGACGGAGATAAACTAAATTTGGATCGTGTGTCGGAGATAGATATGCAAATGAGAGAATGCGGACACAGGTATCGGAATCGGAGATGCTTATCACCTAATTGTTGCAAAGCTTCTAAATGTAACAGTTCTCTGATTGCTCTTTCAAAAATAAAAAAAAGACCAAAAAGACGAGCGAAGAGTTAAAGTAAATATAGTTGTTTCTACACATAAGAACACCAATTCCTTACCAATAATCCCTTAGTATTGCTTTCTATTCCTACTTGATATTCACACCCAAGAGAATTCATAATCTTGAACTAGTTTTCATACTTTTCGCAATCATCCATTGGACGACCCAAGCACACGGAATTTACAAGCAGACTTTCAATCTAAATGGCTTCATTTCCATATTGTGTTATAACTGGGCCATAAAGTTTGAAGTAAAGCTTGCGAACTTTCAACTTTTTTCAGTAATGTTGACGACTACCTAAATTGAGTACTCCGCCACATCACCAAACATAACGGAAGAACGCCTCCTTTTGCTTGTCAGTAGAATCAAGAGCATCTACCTCGGCATCAAAGTTGTCGTCTGCATTTCCAAACTTCTTGTCCCTCCTCTTGTTTTCAAAATAGCATCCAGTGCCATAAGTGACAATACAGAGAAAAGAGGCGGTGGTGAAACCTAAAATCGAGTGGTAGCCCGTTGCATACCCCGGTGCTTCACTTGTAATGAAGAATTGCGGAGCAATGATGTTTGAAACACAATACGCTGTAAAATTGACTGCGTTGACCACAGTTTTCTTTGTGTGGCCAGCCGTATTTGCATAACAGATAGCAGTCATGCAGACGTAAGGTCCCCAGTAAAAGTAAAAGAAATAATAGGCAATCAACAAACTTGTCTTGTTTTCACGAGGAAGTTTCATCATGAGCACGCAGCAGATCAATGGACATAAACACACAATCGCGGCAGCAGTTGTTCTGAACTTCCTTGGAGAAAAGAATGTCACTAATGCAATGATCCAACTGCTGGTTGTCATGAACACACCAGTAGGCATGCCTAATAATGTAGTTCGGATAGGTGAGTAGCCAAGACCAGATACAATTTGAGCAGCGAAAGTGACCAAACCGCCATTAGAGATATTGTTACATAACGCAAACAACGCCATGATCCAAGTCTTCCAATCTTTTGCAGCTTCTATAATCTGATCTTTCTTCAATTTTCTATTCTTGACGCCTGTTCTGTTTTCTGCCGTTCTGTCCACAGCAATGTATTTCTATTTCTCCGAGAGCCACTTGCATGTCATTGGTGAGTCAGGCAAAATAAGGTACAAACAAAATGTCAAAAATAAAGTAATGCAACCAAACACGAGAAAAAGTAATCTCCAATTAGCTATTTTCGAATTAGCATGGCCCACAGCATAAGATAAGATACCAGTCACGAGTGAAGAGAATCCCGAGAACCAAATAGCTGTTCTAAATGGTTGTTCTGATTTTTTATAGAACATGGCCGTTATAACTGAGCAACCTGGAAATAAAAAGGCTTCACCCATTCCCAACAAGAATCTCATAGATGCCATAGCGGCGAAGTTATTACCAGCAGCCATACACATAAGCACAACATTCCACACTGCAAATGAAAGACATAGTGTCTTGCCCACAGGGAATCTTTGAAGTAAGAAATTGGCTGGAAATTCTGCAATCAAGTAGCCAAAATAAAATATAGATCCGAGCCAAGAGTATTGGGTACCAACTAAGTTTAGATCCTTTCTCATTCCGTAAACAGCAGCATTGGAGATAATGATTTTATCAGCAGCTGCAAAAGTGATGATCAAAGTCATGATTGGCATCAACATCAAGTCAATTTTTTTCAACACTTTCTCAGCCTCTTCTGGTGAGTATTCAGCATGCTGTGGATGTTCAAGCAAAAATTTGGCACCTTCATCAAGGTCTCCATCATCAAGCTTCAGAATACTCTTAATGGTTACGATGTTAGTATGTTTTTCATTGTCAGACCTGGTGTCAGGAGAAGAGAGAGAATTCATTGTGGACATTTGATATAATTTCAAATGGTTTTAGTGGGGCGAATATATAGTGCCCCGAATTTTATCTTTCCGGTTGGAGCAAGAAAATTGAAACCCAAAAGAAAAAAATTATGGATGTTAATGATTTACTCAGGAATCCTATTGCGCAGTGGGAAGTCGCAAGCGCGCATTATGTTGGAAGTTGTAAGCGCCTTCTGATTAGATTGCCGTGCATAAATGTTGCATAATCGCGGGCTTCTTGATAAGGAGATTGTCCCGAGGCCGATCGTGTCAATTGAAAAAGTAATTGGTGGTGATTTATGAAGCAGCTCCCCAAATTCTTCAAAAAATTCAACTAGAATGACTACTGTGCTCATTGTCGGATGCGGAGTGATGGGATTGTCCTCGGCCTTAGAATTGGCCCAACAGGGCTACCATGTGACAGCTATCGATGCATATCCAGTGCCGTCGCCTTGGTCTGCTGCCAACGACTACAACAAGATCATCAGAACGGAGTATTCGGAGCTCATGTATACCAAAATGTCTATCGAAGCATTGGATTTGTGGCGCAGCTCGCCAATGTTCAAGGATACATTCAATGAGTGCGGACGAGTGATGTTGACTCCCAAGTCGTATATTTCACGAAAGGAATTCGAACAGGTTGGCATAGACAATTTAAAGAGAGTAGGTGTGGGTAAAAAGATTGAGATTTTCAGAGGAGGTGAAGAATTGACCTCGAAGTTTCCTATTTTCACTGGAAATGTAGTTAAGAACGATGAAGAATTCAAATGGAACCCAGAGTCGGGCTTGGCACATGCTGCTAACTCCTTGAGAGCAGTTTACGCCAATGCAAAACTGCTTGGAGTCAAATTCTTCTTTGGTGATGTTGGAAATGCGGTGAGAATCGAAACTGTTGACGGCATCGACTCTGTTACTACAGTGGATGGCACAAGGTATATGGCCGATAAGATCATCGTGACTATGGGGGCATCAACTGGATATTTAGTGGACATGAAAACACAACAAGCTGCCACAGGATTGTTTGTCACGCACATTCGTGTCAATGAGAAGGAATACTTCAAGTACAAAGATATGCCAGTTGTATTTGATTCTGACATGGGCTACTTCTTTCCTCCAGATCCCGAGACTCGAATCTTAAAGTTATGCTTACCGGGTTCCGGTGCATCCAATTATGTTAAAGATCCATTTGATAGAGGCGAGAAGAAGAGTTTGCCCCGGTATAAATTACAAAATCCCAGAGATACCATTCCATCAGATGAGCCGGCTCGGGCCCTAGCACTCTTGAGAAAATTTGCACCTGAGTTGGCATACCATAAGTTGTTTGACCATAAGGTCTGCTGGATTGCCGACACTTCGGATTCTCATTTTATTGTTGACGAGGTTCCAGGATACAACCAGTTGTACGTGGCAACGGGAGACAGTGGCCATGCTTTCAAGTTTTTACCTAATATTGGAAAGTATGTTCGCAAGAAGTTGGAAGGAACTCTCGACCCAGAATTGAATTATTGCTGGAGATGGAAGAGCGATGCCACTGCTTTCAATGCTACTAATTGCACATGGAGGGTTGTGGACAGAGAGCTCGACTTTTCCGAGATTACGTTTTACGATGAAGTTAATCTGAAGTTTTGAGCTCAAATCCAATACACTTGACTAATTAATGCCAAAAAATTAAGTCTCTAATAAAATTGAAGCTAATCTATTGATAGCATTTGTAGAAGAACTTCAGGGCTTGTCAATTTGCGTAAACCCTTAAACTCGAGAATTCTCTTATGTATGATTTGATTTGAAAATAATCTGATCATTACTTTCAATAAAACTTCTCGATGAAACTTTCCAACACTTTAAAGAAACGCCCGGATGGTGGGGATTAAATTAAACGGGCCACTGATCTAGACTCCCATTCAGTGTGATAATTCCCATTCAAATCCTCACTTCATATCTTCTCAAATAGGAAATTACCCCGATAGCCACATCAGCGTTTAAACTTTCCTAATAACTGCGTTCGTGATCTTGGTCTCATTGGTTGGCGCTTCCAGTTTCCTCACCAAAATTGATGGTGCATCAACAATTCCGTGTCTCAACCTTCCACATTTTGGTGCAGTCTATCTCAGATCTGGTATATATGAATATAGTAGAACATGAATTAAAGTAGGTAAGATATCATGACCAAAGCCAATGGTATCAAGATCGCCATTGATCGTGGTGGAACGTTTACTGATGTGTTGGCTATTATTCCTGGGAAGGAAGACTACGTTTTCAAATTGTTGTCAGTGGACCCTTCCAACTATGCTGACGCCAATATCGAAGGTATTCGCAGGGTTTTGGAATATTTCCATGGCATCGACATTCCACGTAAAACTCAATTGGATATATCGGCAATTGAAAGTATTCGTCTTGGTACTACTGTGGCTACCAATGCCTTGTTGGAAAGAAAGGGTGTACCAACTGCACTTGTGACTACCGAAGGCTTCAAGGATATCTTACACATTGGAAACCAGTCACGTCCCGATCTATTTGCTTTGAATATTGTAAAGCCAGAGGTTTTGTATAAGAGAGTTATCGAAGTCGCTGAAAGAGTCACTCTTCCTGCTTTTACGGAGGATGCCTCGGGATATGATGCCATGGACTTGATTGATGACAAAACTTACGTATTAGGGTCGACTAAGGAAGTGGTACAAATCATCAAGCCTCTTGATGAGGAAAAAACTAGGGCTCAATTACAGCAATTGAAAGAGGATGGAATCCGCTCACTTGCAGTTGTATTAATTCACGGCTACAACTTCCAAGTCCATGAGAAGCGGATTGGCGAAATTGCTCGTGCGATGGGATTTGAGAACATCACATTGTCCCATGAGGTACTACCAATGATAAAAGCGGTGAACAGGGGCCAATCCACCTGTGTCGACGCTTACCTCACTCCAATTGTCCAAGAATACATCAACGGGTTGATTTCAGGCTTTCAGAAGGGTTTCGAGGACACTACGCGCGTTGAATTCATGATGTCCGACGGTGGACTTTGTGACTACAGAAAGTTTACTGGCCTCAAGCTGTTATTGTCTGGCCCCGCTGGTGGGGTAGTTGGTCAAGCCATGACTTGTTACGACGGAGATGAGGGAACCCATACTATTGGTTTTGATATGGGCGGAACATCTACTGATGTGTCTCGATATGCTGGAGCCTACGAGCATGTATTTGAGGCCACCACCGCTGGAATCAAGCTTGCAGCGCCACAACTTGATATCAATACCGTCGCAGCTGGTGGTGGATCTATTCTCACGTATAAGAATGGACTTTATTGTGTGGGTCCCGAGAGTTCCTCTGCTCACCCAGGTCCGGTTTGCTACAGGAAGAATGGTCAGAACTTGACCATTACTGATGCTAACTTGATGTGTGGAAGGATACAGGCGGAATTTTTCCCAAAAATATTTGGCCCGAATGAAGACGAAGAATTGGATACAGAGGCTGTGGTCACGAAGTTTGAAGAGTTGGCAACGAAAATTAACGCAGAGCATCCTGAAGCAAACCCCAAGACTCCGTATGAAGTTGCGCTTGGATTCCTTGATGTAGCTAACGTGGCAATGGCAAAGCCTATCAGACATCTTACCGAAAACAAAGGTTTCGATGTTTCGAAGCATAACCTTGCTTCCTTTGGTGGCGCTGGAGGTCAACATGCTGTTCCATTGGCAAAAGTGTTAAAAATGAAGCGAGTGGTGATCCACCGGTACTCTTCAATCTTATCTGCGTATGGTATTGCAATGGCAGATATTATCCACGAAGCGCAGGAGCCTACATTGCGAGAATATTCTGAGAAATCTCGAACGATTTTGCTAGAAGAATGTGAATCTTTGAAGCAGAGAGTGTTTGAAGAACTAAGTGAGCAGGGTGTTAATGATGTCGATTATCAGATCTTTCTTAATATGGGATACAAAGGATCTGATTCTAAACTCATGATTTCTGAGAGCAACGGTAAAGATTTCTTAACTATCTTCTATGAGACCCATGAAAGAGAGTTTTCTTTCAATGACTCCAGCAAACCGGTTATTGTTATGGACATCAGAGTCAGAGGTGTGGGTAATGTCAGCAAAATCAGAGAGAGATCACCTTTTGAAGATTTAAAAAAAATTGAGCTCTTTGATATCAAAAAAGATCTTGCCAAGACAGTGAGACCTCTATACTTCTCTGGTGGGTTCCAAAACTCTGAAATCTACAATCTTGATGATTTACCAATTGGTGGAAAGGTGTCTGGCCCTGCGTTAGTCTTGGACGCTACACAAACGATTTTGTTGGAACCGTTCTCATTTTTGACAGTTTTACCAAGACACGTTATAGTAGATTTGGAAGAAGACTCTACTCTGGATGCGATTGAAGCTACTAATGTGGTTGATCCTGTTCAATTGTCCATTTTCTCTCACAGATTTATGTCTATTGCAGAGTCCATGTGTACCACATTGCAAAGGATATCTGTCAGTGCTAACATCAAAGAACGTATGGACTTCAGTTGTGCCTTATTTGACAAAGATGGGAGTTTGGTTGCGAATGCCCCTGCTGTTCCAGTCCATTTGAGCGCCATGTCTTTTGCAGTTAAGTGGCAGATAAACTACTGGGGAAAAAATATTAATCCTGGGGACGTTCTTGCTACTAACCATCCAAATGCGAAGGGAACTCATTTGCCAGATATCACCATTATATCTCCAGTTTTTGTTGATGGGGTTATTCGCTTTTACTTGGGTTCCAGGGCACATCACGCCGAAATTGGAGGAAGCGTTGCAGGTTCGATGGACTCCTCTGCAACACATCTAGACATGGAAGGAGCGAAGTTTGAGGCTTGGAAAGTTGTGGAGAATGGTAAGTTTGATAATGACGGTATTCAAAGGTATTTTGTGGATGATTTGAAGAACATCCCAGGTTCATCTCCTTCACGAAAAGTATCTGACAATATTTCTGACATCAAAGCAGCAATTGCTGCTAATCAGAAAGGTATTAATCTCTTGAAGGATCTCTTCACTGAATACAATACCCAAACTGTGTTATTTTACATGAATGCCATTAATCAGACATCTGAGTGCTCCGTGAGAAACTTCTTGAAAAGACTCGCAAAAGAAAGAAGAGGGGCGTTACCTCTCACTGCTGTCGATTATATGGATGATGGTGCTAGAATACAATTAAGCATTTCTATTGATGAAGAAAACGGATCTGCCCTCTTTGATTTCACTGGCACTGCTGAAGAGACCTTTAACTGCTTCAACGCGCCATGTTCCATCACTTACGCATGCATTACGTATTGTTTGAGATGCCATATTACAGATGGAGATTTACCGTTGAATGAAGGGGTGTTAAATCCGATTGAAGTACGCATTCCTGAAGGGACTGTTTTGAATCCCAGTATCACAGCAGCAGTTTCTGGAGGAAATGGAATTACATCTCAGAAGATCACTGATGTAATCATGAAAGCATTTGGTACTGTTGCAGCTTCCTATGGATGTATGAACTGTTTATGTTTTGGGCAAGGTGGACTCGACAAGACAACCGGAGAGATGCTTCCGGGTTTTGGTTTCTGTGAGACAATTGGAGGAGGTTCGGGAGCTGGAAACGGATTCCATGGCTTTAGCGGCACTCAGTGTAACATGACCAATACGTTAATGACTGATCCTGAAGTCCTCGAGCAGAGATATCCTGTCGTTCTCAAGCAATTTGCAGTTCGACAAGGAAGTGCTGGAGTTGGAAAGTGGAATGGTGGTGAAGGATTAGTCCGTGAGCTCGAGTTCACCTCCCCATGCCATGCTTCAATTTTAACACAGAGAAGAGTCTTCGCACCTTATGGAATAGCTGGTGGAGGCGAGGGTGGTCGAGGTCAAAACAGACTTGGAAGAGTTGGCGACGATGGAGTCACTATTTACTGGAAGCACGTTGGCCCAACCGCAGAGATTGATGTCAACAAGGGGGATATCATAAAGATCTCCACACCCGGTGGTGGAGGATATGGAGTGCCAGATGGTGACAATGCTTCTCTAATTTCAAAGCCCATTGGATACGTTGCCAGGGCTGGGGGATCCTGGGGTAAATATGTTGAGTCCTTGAATACCTCTCAATAGAGCTTACTGATAATGACACAATATCGTCGAGCTGATTTGTAAATTTTCATAAAAGGGGTTCAATTACTTCATACATTGTATTTTATTTTCTGTGCTATGTTTCATCAGTTCAAGTCAAAGCTAATTTCATACCAGATGAGCAAATCACATCTTGCCACGAAGGACTAAATTCACGTCTAGCCAGAGATGTCATGTTAGTCTGTTCAACAAATCCCAAATCTTGACTCTTCCAAATGAGTTCAATGGCCGTTCTGATAACTGCTGGAGAAGCTTTGGGCCACAAGCGTTCCATCTTATCAAAAATCTGGAGCACATTAACCCTCAAAGTGTCGTCAATTTGGTGGGATCCGTTTGTTGCCATAATGAATAAAGTCCATGTGGGGAGCAAAGCTGAATTCTCTCGGTTGATATCAGTCAATTTATGGAATAGCTGGAATGATTCAGTAATTATACTGTCCGTGGGTTTCAATTCAATACTCGGATACCTCGCCCCAAGCTGGCAAATATCAATCTTAAACAAATTCTGGAAATAAACTTTGGTAATGTTTAAGTACAACTGAGCACAGCTTGTGAGGCGCTCGTCGTCTTCAAGATCCACCTGTTCAATTTCCTCCAACTCGTTATAGATTTGAAATATACTGTCACGTTTGTCTTCTTGAGGTGAGTTTTTGAGCTTCACAATGTTATGAATCAAAAATATGAGCTTAGGACAGCACCCAAAGAGATGATCTATTATGTTGCTGTCAAAGAATGACTCGATCATTCTTAACGGTGTGTTGGATGTGAACTTCAAGTAGTGTTCTTGGTTCAATGTGGTGAGTAAAAGATAATAGCGCAAAGCGAAATAGCGGTAACCAAATAATAGAACTGTCGAAGACAAGATCTGCTCATCTTCAATAGATTGCATCACTAAACATGCCTCTTGAAGATGATTGACCCATCGTCCTGTTGCATTATCTCCTATCTCCAAAGAGCAGAGGATAATGATGGTGATAATCAAGACGGTCATGCATTTCGGATCGGGATTATCCAAAGAATTATAGAGCAAGTCGATAGCATTATTCTGGTACTTCAATGTTAACAGACGATAGTAGTCTGAACGTGCCGGGTTGTTCCGTTCCATATCACTGGCAGCTATTGCCATAATGCTTTGGAAAAGAGACGAAGACATCCCGCTTCGAGGAATTGTGACAGCCCGAAATTCGTTGAAAAGCGAGTCTGAGAACACCTTCCTACGACAAATCACTTCAACATAATACTCAAACAAATGCTCCTCTTCCTTATCGCGTGGACCATTCCCATTTGAGAGACCATTTTCAAGCTGGAGCTTGCACTTTCTAGTAGTGGGAAAGAACTTGCTTACGCTTATGCTCTGACATTTCGTGATAGCATTATAGAATTCCATATCAGCATAACCAGAGACTAGGAACTGAGTCACGTTCGCTCGCAGCAGAGAGAGAAAGTTACATGGGCTGTGAAGGTGGTCAAGCACCAGAATCTGGTTTCCTTCCTGCCAATTGAGAACCAAATCATAGTTGCAATTGAATCTCAACCGGACACAAGCCCCACATCTGGGCCTCTGTTCATCACATTTTTTACGTCTTCTCCTACAGCAGAGACATCCAGTTCGAGTTCTGATCAGCGGCCGCCGTTTTCGACTCAACTGGGTAGGATTATTGTTCTTGGCCGTCATAAAGAATGTATGACTAGGATTATTAGCCAAAATTCACTAAGTCCGATAAGGAATCTTGGGTCGTGTGTAGTCAATCTGTGTGTGAAATAAATTAGGTGCTTCCTGGTCTTATCTAAAAATTATTATTTGCGGGGAGGAAATAGAACATCCATTTAAAACATCCATTTAAATGTCTTTTGCAGTTATATTTCTGAATAAAATTATGACAGCAAGGATATGCTGTAGGAGTAGTGAAATTACTCATGGCACCTTGACCTATACATTTTGTCGCATTGGACAAAACCCACATCAACCCCAATATTGGTATTGATCTGTCAACATTGTTATTAGTTTGCGTTTCTTTTGCTTTTGCAACTTTTGAGAAGTTGAAAATAGTTTCCCCTAGTTCATTATTTGGTATATTTGGCTTTTCGACACTTGAAGGAACATCTCTAGCCAGTAAAGCCATTATCACTATAATAGTTAACATATCGTCCAACTAATAGTGGTTAGCAATGGTAGACCGAGAATCGTCGAAATAGAACGAGGCCAGGTACTATTATGCAACCTTATCATTACTATCTTCCTTTTTCTGAAAATTCAAAGTACTCCAGATCAGGGTGATAATGTGGAATCAAATCATCCTGAATACGCTGCTTTGGCGAGTCCTTTTCAGCGATCCATCTCTCAATTCTTCTTTTATGTTGTTTAGTCCCAGCTCTCCGATACAGATAAACACTAGCGGCTATGGTAATGAATCATTTTCAGTTTTTCTTTGCTTGGTCTTCAGTGTTGGGTCACTTGTCAGAACCAACATTAACCTGTGTATGCATCTTGGCTTATTCCTAATCAGTCACTTCTTTATCAGTTATGCCCAGAACCTTATCGATTTTGCACGTTACAACATTTCCGTCTCTTCAATTCCAGATACTCGATACTCCAGCATTAATATTGCTGTTAATCAGTGTTGTTACCTATATATCGAAATTTCGAAGACTAAACCTCGACAAGTTTATTGGCAAATACCTTTACACTATCCAATGTACTAAATCTGTGTAAACTTCATTGGATGTGTAAACTTCATTGGATATCTCTTCAATTATTTAGACCATTATGTCCCTTCAATGTAACTTTCAAATAAAATAGTCTATTCATTGTCATAGTCATCGTGGGGTCATTTTCCGGACATTATCTGTATAAAGCATTGCCTTTATCGGAGTGCCGTTCAATCATACAGGTAATGATTGCTATCTGGCGCTATATAAAGACGACCACCGCCATCCTAAATTTTACGTGTAAAAAACTGTTACAATACCTGAAATATGCATGCTCGTGACTGGTTTATGGTTTTACTTGCCATCTTCTTCCCTCCTCTTCCGGTGGCTGTCAAGAGGGGTCTTTCGATGGACTTAGCTATCAACATTTGTCTCTCTATCCTTGGTTATTTTCCCGGCTTGATTCACGCCTGCTACATCATCTCAATGTATCCATATAGTGAGAGTTATGCTGCTGTTGGAGGTGACGGTCATAACCATAGAAGTGACTACGGTTCGGTGACGGTTTAAATGAGGCGGATTCTGAGCAGACGTCTTGGATCTGATAAAATGAGATACATAATTGATTAGGAAAGAATAAAATGCCGTTATGAATTCTGTTTTTGGAAATTGGTATAGTATCGTTCTTCTTTTAATCTTTTTTTTTTTTTTGGTTGCGTTGAAGTGAGTTCACACCCCGCTCATTTCAAGCCACTTCTTGTCAAATCTTAGTATAGTTTAATCAGTATTGTAAAATGAATTGGCAAGGTAAAGTAGATGATAGTCTGGAACTCTTTGATCCAATTCTTGGTGCCCATTACGTGGTTCATTCTACTTTTTCCATATTGTACACGTATCTATTAGGTTTTGATTTGGGTCTCAAAGGCGTCATTAGCCATCAACTTACACTTCCTTCCTGACTTAAGTCTGAACTGGGGTGGACTACCTGAAACTTTCAATGTTATGAAATACTACGCCAAACTGAAGGTGGCAATTCAAACTCAATGCTATGCAATGTTTCAATTCAACTACCGGTCTGTAGATCATTATTTATTATCTTCAGAAATCAATTGCAAGTCTGAATTCTCTCCAGGACATTATTGTCTAATGTTTAGCTCACATTAGTCGAAAGCTTTGGGGGTGCTTTGTCAATATCTAATACGCCTTGCCTATTCCAAAGCACTCAAGGCACTAAAATTAGTAAGAGAAGATGAGTCTATTGGATTGCTGAAACCTTGAGGAAGTACAAATGGGGAACCAAGATGTTTTTGAGTCTCACAGGGGTAATATCTTCGGGGGTTCTCAATGTTGTGGGAAGAAGATAGTCGCCGAAAAGTGATTACTGACCAGTTGATCTTAAACCTTGGTGGTAGTTTTATTTTATGATGTTTCTTGATTTATCTTGTCTAATTGTAGTTTCGCCTTGTTTTCACTCTTTTTACATGAATTTTTTTAGATTCGAGGACAGGAAAAATTGAAGTGTATGCTTGTATATACAGCTTTATGAAATTTTGCATAGATTGGAGGGTTGGCCGAGTGGTCTAAGGCGGAAGACTTAAGATCTTTTGGACGTTTGTCCGCGCGAGTTCGAACCTCGCATCCTTCATTATCTTTTTGTCACCAACACAAGTATCAAGTGTTGAACGTTTATTTTTGTAAGCACAGGATAATGAGCGCATTATTACCAAGTGGACTTTCAATTGCAGAACAAAAAAAAAAAAAAAAAATAAATAAATCTCACGACATTACTCATTGCCTCCTAATGCGGACACATAATGCCACATCCTGTAAGTTTTCGTCATGACCTTGCCGGTATAATGTGGGGGAATAGTGATTGCTCCCCTCCAAGAATTGCTATATATAAGGCCGATCCTGACTTGAATAATCGTTAATAGAATTGAAATCTGCAACTGAAATCTTCATACATATTATCGAAAATGGCTCAACCACACAAGATCTTCTACAAGGGTAAAGAAAACGATTTCGTGATCTTCACGGAAAACCCAGAGGAAATCAAGAAGTATAGGAGCGGAGACAAGACGGTTCCATTGATTGACATTGTGTCGATCTACAAGGTTTTCATCAACAGACAAGGTGGAGTTGAAGGAGTGCTAGATGAGGCTTCCAAGGCTGAGTTGCACAATGAGTTTGGACCTAAGGCCAACGTCGACGACGTGATCAAGCTCATTTTGGAAGAAGGTAGCGACAAGCATGATGCCGGACGTTTCGCTAGTGGTGTTAGAGAGATTTAGATGAAAATATAGGACTCATATGTACTTGACGATGTAGGTGGGTAGAGTAGATGATATAGATTGTCAAAAGACAACACAATGTGTAAATCATGCAAATTAAGCGTGGAAGTCACTATTCAGTATTGCAGACGTGTTTCCAGACGTTACTGCTTATTGAGCAATCAATTGTCGTGTGCATATGTGGAGCGTACTTTTCGAATCTCGTCGAAGTTCGTAGATGTCGTCATTGTCGCAAATGCCGTAGTTAATAGCAACCAACCATAGCTATTCGCAGCAACGTTAGACCTAGCCAACTTTTGGAAACATGAAAATTATGAACGATGTTGGTTTATAATTGCTATTGCATTTAGCTGCATATGTAAGGTAGGTGAGAAAGACTTGAGTGGATAGTTTTCGTGGTGATTGATGGTCTTGAATAGGTAGGGAAGCAGGCTTAACAAAATGCCATAGGATATGAACATGGTTATAATTTGACATAGGTATGTAGGTATGTAGGTATGTAATTTCTCCAAATGTCATGCACTGCAATCAATCCAATTTGCAATTTGGAAAATGTGCAAGACCTTTTCATAATTTATTTCTGTCTTGTCTTTTAGCAAAATAATACAGATTTACCAAGCTCCAAAATATCATTTAATTAATAACATACAATAACTAATATTTTCCTTGTTCTTGATTCAATTCCCTATCGTATCCTTTAATTATTTATTTCCTCCCTATTTCTAGCACCTGAGTCCTTCAGCTATTTCATTCCATCTTTTACATCTATTTCGCAACCGCACCAACAACATCATCATGTACATCCGTACACCTACATTCATCAACAACTGTTGGCAACAGTCTAGTGTGTGCCAATGAGTTCCCATCTGGTCAGGGATCTCCGACTGATAACGATTTGCAACTTCAATGTTGACGTTGCTGCTGACCGGATTTTGTCGGACGCAAGTCCGTCTCTAGCTACTGATGGCCCGATCAATGTCTTCTATACTCTCCACAACATCAAGAACATCCTTCTATACGTTAGCGAGGTAGCCGTGGCGTACTCTGGGGTAGACTTTGGCGCTGCTTCCTTGCCGGACTTGGGGCGGCGACTCTACAAAGTCAAGATTTGCATCTGGATCAAGGCACTTGATCAAGAGACATGGACACTATTTCATAAGTTGAAGGTGGATGTTCGTAATCTAATAGAGGTAGGGAACCTGGCTGATCGTGATAGAGAGTCTCTATTTGTTACTAACACGCTTCTTTGGCGTTTCAATGACATCTACTACTGCCTCCGAACAGATCTAAAAGATAGCTCTGCCATGGAGAAAACAAGACAATTGAGCTGGAACAGAGCCAGAGGAACCAAACCTTCATACACCGTCAACGATATCCGTCAATTAACCAGCTTGTACATTGGTATTCGCGAATTTGCCGAGGTCAAGAAGACCTTAGGAGCGCAAATTGCTGAGCTTTCACAAATGATCAATAAGACCCCCGATTCTGACATTCCTGAGCGGATTCGAAGTTTGAAATTTGACCTACACACCTTACACAAGTACATAGTTCGGCAAAATAGCGCCATCGATGCCTTACTTTCCGAAGTTTACCTGAAAAAGCTCCATATTGGAAGATCAACCCATATCATCGAGAAAGATTTCCCACACTTCAAGGAGATGTGCTCCGAGCGACTCGAAATCGCAGCAGCTCAAATAGAACCGCTTCAGGAGTCTCTCAATCTGTCTGTTTACCCTAACTTGATCTCCACTTTACAAGAGGTTGGCATGGTTTTGATTGATACGTATCCTATAGAATTGATGGCAAGCGGACGCTTTTCCATCTGTGGGATTGAGTTTCCGATGTCTATTCGAGAAATACTCGATTTCTGCTATTACGGTCACAGTGAATCTCGTTTGGAAAATGGAGGTACGAGTGAACACGACCAAAGCAGAGTCAACAGTACAGAAACTGGCGACAGCCCCAGCATTACTGTCGAGACCATCAACGCAGGACTCTCATACATAGTCTTGTTGATGATGTCTTTAGCAGACCTCATGAATGTCTCACTCAAGTATCCAATGAAGTTTGGGCCCTTGGGAAGCTACCTCGTGGATAATGTCTCACCGCAACAATTATCTCCAATCGATCAGAAGCATGCTATGGATATCAGCAAAAGCGTGAAAATCAAATTTCCACTCTTTTACAATGGCGATCACACTCAAAAATTCGCTTCATACGAAAATCCCAACAGAAACTTCACACTCAAAAATGCCCGGTTCGAGCAGGGCCTCAATTTACTCAACAAGAACTTAGTCTTCCTCATAAGTCTGATTACAGATCTCTACTCGCAATATTACCATGACAATGTGGCCAACCATCTTATCTCGAACAACATTCCCGTGGACTGTCTCGACAATTTTTTGTGGAATCTCCAGTACTTGATGCTTTTCATCACAGCTCCTACGGCAGGCTAATATCGGATATCATAAATGCATTAAAATATTACAACAAGAGAAGGGCAGCACCTCCGAGCAATGCACCGGCTGGCGCAATGTACTTGTTGGCACCAGAACCCAGCGAGGTGGAGGTCGAACCACTACTAGTCGTTGAGGCAGAGCCGGATGCGGCGGAGATGCCGGCAGCAGCAGCAACACGGCTATACCATGGAAGATTTGTGGCGTAAGACATCAAAGACTCGACATTGATGTTGTCTCCATCCAATAAGGTGGTATACGAGTCATCAGTGTATGTGCGAATTTCGATGGCCAAATGCGTCAAGTCGGCTGGGTAGCCTGTGGCAGTCTTAATGAAGCTGACGTATTCAGTCTTGTGTTCGTTGAAATCGGAAACCAATGCTGTGAGGAAATTGACCTCGCTCTGTTCAGCTGCCATACCGAGAGCAACAAGTTGAGCGATAGCAGCGATATGAGAGAACTTCATTTTGGAGGAAACTGGAAATGGTCTGTGAGAGATCGATTAGATGAAAATAAAGTTGAAGAATTTGGCACTGGATCACCTCAGTCTTTATACTCAAGGTGGGGAGGGGGTCTTACATGCATGGGCTGAGTCCAGAATTTTGATTCAGAATTTGCCTAAATGGGTAGGCGAGCAGAAAGAATCATTGATTGTATGCAATACGATGCCTAATTAGGCAATAGAGAAAGGTCGCGGACGCAGTTACCTTACTCTTTCTGGTATTGTAGTTTCTTTTCACCGTCGACCTTCACATGTTTTGTGTTAACTGATGGTTAAGAGATACGTCATTGGTTGTGGGGAGATAGTCTTGAACGCTGTATTTCATTGAGGCTGAGTACGAGTTTTCCTCTGGGGTGGTCCCTGATCGTCCCTCGGTCAACGTCAATTTTCCCCAGGAATAGGCAAGCACCGGAAGGAGTAAGAGATACAATTGACAGGGGATGCCGAACATTCTTTTCCTTGGCTATAGATGAGTAGCATCTAGTATTATTAGCTCTCGGCGGATGGGGCGGAATGTCCGCGCTGGGGTTTTAGGAACTCCTGTGGAGCTGTCGTGTGACTTAAATAATTGGGGCGTGCAGAATAGATCTACGAAGTCAATGCAACTGACGGATTTGTTGGAGCAGGCGAAGCACATATATGGAGACTCTTACATGTGGGTTCTTTACGAAATCTTCGAAGCACCCGCAGATGTTACTAAAAGATTGAATGTACTGTAGTTGATACTTCAACTGGTAGATGCTATTCCAACTGGCAGATGCTATTCCTAGTCTATTGGTAAGATTTTCGAATGCTATAACTATCTATTATGTCAAGTAGTATTTAGGTCCATCTCCTCCTTCGGGGACTTCCCAGTTGATATCCTGGGTAGGAACCTTAATATCGCAAGTTTTGCAGTGAATACAGTTTTGGCTGTTAATATTGAATTTGACTCCCAAAGGCTCACTCTCATCTTCAATGTACTCGTAGACCCCGGCAGGACAGAATCTCTGTTCCACACCTTTGTATTTTGGCCATGAGATCTCCGCATGCTTTCTGTGATCCTGTTGAGGAATTCGCAAATGACATGGCTCGTCTTCTTGGTGATAGGTTCCGGTTCTTGAAACAGAAGTGAGAATATCAAATGTGAGCTTTCCATCTGGCTTAGGATAGTCAATTGGCGAATAGTTGGAGGCATCCTTTGTTGACTGAGCATCAGTGTGGTTATGAGAAAACGTCCAGGGCTCTGCTCCATGGGTCAACATGGTGGTCAATCCAGAGTGGGCCAAACCAGTCAAAAACCCAAGAGGTCCTGGTAAAACATTAAAAGATGGACGCACGTTACGCACTTCGTAGAGTTCTTTGTAGGCCCATGAGTTCTTGAAGTCTTCTTCGAATTTCTTCAAGTCGAGAATGTGCTCCTCAATGTCTGTTTCCTCATCAACCACATCAAGCTCCTTGATGGCATCGAAAATAGCCTCAGCAGCAACAATTCCTGATTTCATGGCCGTGTGAGTACCCTTGATCTTTGGAACGTTCATGAATCCAGCAGAGCACCCCACCAAAACTCCTCCAGGAAAATGCAACTTTGGAACAGACTGATATCCACCTTCATTTAAAGCACGTGCTCCATAGGAAATGCATTCTCCTCCTTCCAATACATTGGCATAGTATGGATGAGTCTTCATCTTCTGGAACTCCTGGTATGGCGAAATATATGGATTGGCATAATCGAGACCAACCACCAACCCAACAGCCACCAACCCATCTCCGAAATGGTACATGAATCCACCTCCATAAACATCTGAGGACAATGGGTATCCCATAGTGTGACCCACGAAACCCTTAATGAAATTCTCTTCAGGAACTCTCCAAACCTCTTTAATTCCGAGTCCGTAAGTCTGTGGATCGGAATTCTTCCTCAAGTCGTATTTGGCAACCGCCTTCTTAGTAAGAGATCCATGACAGCCCTCTGCCAAAACAGTAACTCTAGCATGGAATTCCATACCTCTTTCAAATGACAGCTTGGGTGTATAATCCTTGCCAATACCCACGTCCTTGGTAGCAACACCTTTGACGGCTCCATTGTCAGTATATACAAGCTCGCTGACGGAGATACCAGGATATGTTTCGACACCAAGCTCACCTGCCTGCTCAGATAAGTACTGGACAACAGAACCAAGTGATGCAATGTAGTTCTTGTCCTTATTTTTCATCTGTGGAGGCTCAGGCAACAGAAAGGCATATTGTTTCGTCAAATATTTCATGTGGTCTTCTTCAACAAGAGTAACCAAGTCCTCTGGCAAAGGAATACCAGATCCGTCTTCGTTCAAGTGTTCGCTATCTGGGAAAAGCTCCTTCAACGCACGAGGTTCAAGAACAGCTCCAGAGACAATATGAGAGCCAAAGTCTCCGGCTTTCTCTAAAACGACAATTCGCAAGTCGCCATTTCCCTCTTCGTTGTCCAATTGCTTCAACTTGATGGCCGTAGCCAATCCGGCAGGACCACCTCCAACAATACAGACATCGACATTGTCAGCAGCTCTCTCTTCGGTCAAAGTGGCCTGATCTTCCTCAGACAACTCAGTAAATGGAATCTCCTTTCTGGTTGGAGAGGTCTGTGAGATCAGTTTGATCGAAGTCATGTGGATGTTTCTAGCCTTTGAAACGGGCAGCCTTGCCGCTAGACGCGTAGAGGAAACATATGGACTAAAAGTGGAGAATTTAGCTTTGAATGCCAATTTTTGGAAAGTTTTGAAGCCTCTAGGCAGCGTCAACTGTCCAAGCATGGTTGTTAATGAGCAGTGTGGCACAAATATGGGCAGAACTTGGAGAAAAACGCTGAAAATTGGGGATAAGATGGAATTATCACTGCAAAACTCAATGGAATTGCTACTTTGCAGCGAAAACGAATGTGACGGCCAGTATTTTGGCAATTAGTTGAGATGAGTCGGAGTCAAATGAAAATTGTTAGTGACGAATTAGATTCGCGAAGTTGATAAGCTTACAGTCACGTGCGCACATCGTTGAGTCACCAGCTGCAACAGAAGACATTTTCGTTTCATTTTAATGGCGAACATAATTTTAATTGAATGCAGGGGGTTACCTTTGTTCATTTTGAGTCAAAGTGACTTATACCAAATTTCAGTGTACTAGCAGCCTCGACCAGTGTGTTGATGCTAGGGCACTACTCTCAAGCATGGCATGGACATACAGTCTGAAAATGCTCTGCCATGTAATGCAATGCAGACATAATATAAACAATAATCATTAAAAAAAATCTCCCGGGGGTGAGTCGAACACCCGATCTCAAGATTACAATACAATTACAGTCTCGCGCCTTAGCCAGCTTGGCCACCGAGAGGTGATGAAATAAGTAGCTGTAAAATTCACCATATGTGTGTCAACAGAGACGTTTTCGTGCCAAAAAGCCAGGAAAGGGAACTTTGAAACAAAGAGCTCAGCGATGTACTCTAAAAGCAGTAACTTGAAGCTTAAAACCAAAGTCGAACGACATGTGAAGTTAAGACAGTAAAATTGACTTAGCTCATGGACGATACCCACGGAAGAATAGAGAAGCCAATAATATGCAGCGCCACATAACATCCAATGAACTCAACCTCCAAAATGAATTGAATTTCAATTGGTCGTCCGAAAGTATTAAACATCAATTGTTGGAATCCGGTTTTAGGGTTAAAATTATTTAATGTTTGCGAGAATAGATTCAGCAGATTATGGCTTCTGCTACTAGCAATCCGTCCCGGAAGTAAATTACAATTAATAGGTAAAGTGAATAATTCAAATAAAAAATATTATCGGTGGTAAATTTTTATAGTTTCAAGCTCAACTTAAACACAAGAAAAATTTATGCAAGTACTCAAGCCCACACTTGCAATTGCTCATAAAAGTCCAACCTCTTACTCGTATGGTCAATCTGTTCAACAACGTGATATCTCAAGTCATCAACCAACAATGGATGACCACAAGTGACAAATGCCACGCTACTAGCAGCCTCTGTAATCTCCTCCACGATCAACAGCTTTAAATCCGGACGTCCAAATCGGAACTCGATGTGAGGGAATGTCTCCTCTAAGGTCGACAACCCGTTCAAGCTTCCTTCCTTGTCCTTCTCCAAACTACTCAGATCAGTCTTAAGGAAAAATTCTTCGGCTACAGCGGCCAGAACTTCACGAGTGATGTAGACAACAGTTTCGATATTAAGATGCTTCAATGCAGTGAGCTCTTTCAGGAATCCAGCGACTGTAGCGATTTCTCTAACAATCCAGATTAACTTGGTCTTTCTGGTACTATCCTTAGACCTCTTTGCCATGGATACTGCCTCGGAATAAATACCCGGAATACCACTACCTCCAGCAATGTAGACAGAAGAAGAATGGTTAGAGACTGGACATGTCTCACCATAAGGACCTTCGACGGCGACTCTCATGGTGGTAGACTTTCCTGGGAAGTTTTGCAACTTCTTGCACAAAGATTGAGTAATTCCCTTTTTAACTTTGCAGTAAAACACAATGGTGTTCTTCTTCTCAACAGAATCAATGAAAGTGAACGGGTGGTTCTGCCAGAATGTGAGTGGTTGCATGAAATGAATCCAAGCATGACCTCCAGCAACGGTGGGCCAGTGTTTAGGCTTGGGAACCTCCACCTTTAAAGTTTCATCAGGGGTTAAAGAGATCTCTGCTTTAGGGAAGCCAAACCACAAGACTCTGATAGCTCTTACAAATCTATCAAAGCCCCAGACAGCAAAACAGGAGTACATGAACTGGGAGTAGCCCATCACGCACACGTGGAACCACATACCAATGATCCAAAAACCAGCAAGCAAGATGTGGAGAATCAAGAATACTTCATAGGCTCTCCTTCTCAAGAAAAGCAAAGCTTGGAAGCAAATGAGACATCCACAGGTAGTTGCAACAACTCCCCAGATTAACCATTCTTCTTTCATCTCTTCTGCATAGTATCCTTCAGTTACATACATCCAGGTGTAACCCACGGAATGAATAAATGCCATAGCCACTACCATACGTGCAATCCATCTGTGATAAGTGATCATGGTTGAGAATTTCCATCTGGTAACCCATTGCAAGAAATTGTTTCTGCCTCCGAAAAGAAGAAGCAAAGGTGTGAGAATTGTACAGACAATTCCTGTTCTATCTGAAATATACCTGGTGAGTCCTTCCTCCTTAGTGAGGAAGATTTGATCACCTTTGACGTAGTAAATCTCCACAGCACACACAACGAAAAGAAACCAGAAAAAGCCAAAGATTACAGCACTCTCCAATCTGGAAGGGATCAAAAAATCAAAGATATAGAATGCACTTTGGTGGACGTTCTTCTTTCTCTTGCCCAAAGCTGGAAGAGTAATATATTTACGGAACATCTTGCTGAAAGTTCCGTTGAACAAATCTCTCAACAGAGGGAATATCACGACACCCCAATTACAGACCATTGCAATAAGGGCAATGAGGGCCCAGTAGCCAAGACTTCCAGCACCGTAGTAAGTGGAGTGGTCGTAATTACCCAAGAACACCTTATAAGCTTCGTTCATGGTGTGAACATAGGAGGTGTTCAAGATCAACAAGGGGACATCGACAGGAACTGTAACATTGAAGTTTTCGATTTCTGACGAGTTTTGAGCCTCAACCAAGTACTTTTCATGTAGCTCAACCAATGTTTCTGGCTCCCAGTCGGTATAATAGTTCTGCCTGCAATATTCAGCATAGTATTTATACACCGCCGTAGTGTTTCTGTGGTCAACGGCAAGACATCCAGTCATGGTCATCTTGGCATTATCATTTGTACAGAAACATTCGTAGGTATCGGCTTCCTCACAGAATGTACCTATTTCAGTCATAGCATACCCACAGGCATAGAGAGATTGGCCCCCGATTCCATAATACTCGAAGTTATAGACGTACTTAGCAAGTGCGACAGAGGGCCACAACAAGAGGAAAAGAAAATGCATTGTGAAGCAGAATCAGAATTTACCTCTGGTAAAAAAGATATAGATACATTATGATTTAGCAGAAACCCCAGCTATTTATGCTGGGATCGCAATTTGTGATCCTATAGCACAAATCGAATTATCTTTTCCATCATGCATCAATTTACGGCATTGCAGGAGACTGCATGGTTGAAGGGGGCCGCCCAATCCCCACTATCCGACTAACCGACCGGTATCCAGTGAAGCTCCAAGAAAAATTATTGATTTCCAAGAAATATCCACACGTCTAATTGATGTCAAATTTCACGAAGGTGCTTGGCTTACATTAGGCACAGCATGTCAAAGATCTCAGGGAGCTTTCTGATCCTTCGATGTAGCCTACCTTACTTGACGCCCAATTTTGACTCCTAGGCCAAACGGGCAAAGACACAATCATCTTTAACTGGGTAGATTGTAGTCAGGGTGCGTTTACGGTTTTGAACGGTTATGTACCTCATGACAGTGTAAATCTAGCGAATGATAGCATCGCGCTATACCGATGGATGGAGTGTCGGACACAACCTACAGGGCATGTCATAACCTGCTGGTTGCCAAGGCGGTCATTTTTGACGCATCCGGCATGTGTAAGAATGTTCCTGCTGCCTGGTCGATTATTTCGTCGGCATGATAGGTAAAGAGTGATTTGACAACCTCATTTTCATGTGACTCTGTCGTCTTTCCGTGGATTTTGACCACATTGTTCCCGGCATATTTCATCAATTATTGCCACAACTGTTACATTCATTGCATGAGACCCCTACAGCATATTTTTGTGAAACTAGGGGAGAGTAGCTTTTGGAGGGCCCATAAGGTATTTGTGGGGGCTACTATCCTTCTATTATGTTGTAGTTTCTTTGAAGCTAACTCCGGATACTGTTGGATACTGTAGATACCAAGAGGTTGATGAGATTCTTTTCTATCCTCATAGAACTCAAGGATATGATTCTTGCAGCAGGAACGGAGGATCACCTAAATTATCACCTAAATTTTTTATCTGTTTCATCTGATTCTTTTGGATGGTTATGAGAATGCTCGTCGGATAAATGCATTTGTTTTTTCTCATAAAGCTTATTTTCAAGCAATCATCGAAAGGGATACAACCTGAAATACGATACAATTTTTCTTAAGCCAATGGATAATCATAATGGGATGGTCCAGATTGGCTGGCTAGTTGAAATGACGTGACGTACGAAAAAAACAATCAATGAAAGAGAGTTACGGATCTGCGCGAAATATACTTCAAAGACACCAGTTTTCGGAGTAGAGCTACAAACCTTTTATAGTCGTTGCCATAGGATACAGTCTTCAGCCAATTACAAAAAACACAGATCAATTAACCGATAGCACATATTTATGCCCACACTTGTAATTGCTCGTAGAAATCCAAACGCTTCTCTGTCCCATCAATATGCTTCACCACAATGTATCTCAAGTCATCAACCAAAATTGGGTTTCCACAAGTGACAATTGCAAGGCTCCTCTGAGAAAAGGTAAGTTCCTCTAGGATACTTTTTTCTAATTCTGGCCTGCCGGATCTAAATTCAATATGGGGGAAGGTGTTTTGGACAAATGATAAAGGTTCAGTCTCACTCTTCTTATCCTTTTCCAGACTCAGATCTGAGCTGTTAAAGAACTCTTCTGCTGTACCAACTTCAAATTGTCTAGTGATATATACCACAGTTTCTATCTGAAGTTCTTTCAAAGCATGGAGCTCTCTCGTAAACCCAGCAACCGATGCCAATTCTCTTACCACCCACATTAACTTGATTTTCCGGTTACTGTTTTCAGAATTTCTGGCCATTGCGGTTGCCTCTGAGTAAATTCCCGGAATTCCGCTGCCGCCAGCGACATAAAGGGCAGTTGAATGACTTGCAACTGGTGAAGGCTCACCATATGGACCGTCAACAGCAACTCTAAGAGTGGTCGTCTGTCCAGGGTACTTTCTCAATTTCTTGCAGAAAGAGGCAGTAAGGCCCTTTTTAATTTTGCAGAAGAATACAATGGTGTTTTCTTTCTCAACTGAATCAACAAATGTGAAAGGGTGGTTTTGCCAGAAAGTGAGAGGGTGTAACAAATGAATCCATGCATGCCCACCAGAAATTGACGGCCAACTGTTTGGTTTTGGCACTTCGACTCTCAAGGTATCGTCTGGCAATAGCAAAAGTGTGGCTTTAGGGAAGCCAAACCAGCAGAGTCTTACAACTCTTGCAAGTCGGTCAAACCCCCAAACCGAGAAACAAGCATACATAAACTGAGAGTATCCCATAATGCTCACATGGAACCAGACTCCAATGACCCAGAACAATGCAAGTAAAATATGAAGTACCAAAAAAGTTTCATATGCTCTTCTTCTCAAAAAGAGCAATCCTTGGAAACATATGACTCCTCCACAAGTGGTTGCAACAACTCCCCAGATCAACCAGGTCTCCTTCATCTCTTCAGCATAGTAACCTCGGTATGCGTAGATGTATGTATATCCAACAGAATGAATAAAAGCCAATGCCACAATCATGCGTGCAATCCAACGATGATAGACGATCATGGTTGAGAACTTCCATCTGGTGACCCACTGCAAAAAGTTGTTTCTGCCTCCAAAGAGAAGTAGCATAGGTGTGAGAATGGTGCTTAGGATGCCCGTTCTATCGGCAATGTATCTCGTAAGTGCCATTTGCAGATTTGGAAAAATTGGATCATTAGGAACATGGTAGATCTCAATAGCACACAAGGTCAACAAGTACACAAAGAAGCCCAAAATGATAAGCGATTCCATTCTGGTGGGAACCAAGCAATCAAATAAATTGAATCCATTCTGTTGAACGTTTCTCTTCCTTCTTCCCAAAGCAGGAAGAGTGATATACTTGCGGAAAAGTTTGCTGAATGTTCCATTCAACACATTTCGGCTCTCAGGGAAAACTACGACTCCCCAGTTGCACACCATGGCAATAAGAGCCACTAGGGCCCAATAGCCCATTCCTCCCATTCCAGCCCAAAAGGCAATGTCAAAATTGTTATAGAATACCTTATATGCATCGTCCAAAAGCTTAATGTACGTCACATTGGCGACTATCAAGGGTACATCAACTGGCTGCGAAACGTTGAAACCAGGGATCTGAGAACTGTTCTTGGCATCCTTCAAATATCTATCATAAGCAGCTACCAACTGGAAATGTTCCAACTTGACTTCATAGTATTCCTCGCAGTAATACATATAGAATTTGTAAACGTCGTTGGTGTTTCTTCCCGTGGTTGCAAGACATCCTGTGAATGTCAGCATAGCGTTATCATTGGTGCAATAGCATTTATATCCCTTGACAGAAGCTTTGCAAAAGGTTCCGATCAGTCTCATGGCATACCCACATGCGTAAAACGACTGCTTGTCTTTACCATGGAACGAATAATTTTCAACATCAGAAGCATTCGTCAAGGATGAACAGTAGAGGAAGAACACCCACAAAAAAGCCAATTTCATTGGGAACTTGAAGGATTGGTAAATATAATGTAAAAGTTTCCACCAAGAGATTCAATTCTGGCCCTTTTATATCGAAGATTGCAATACTCTCCTACCATTATGAAACTGTACATCTCATAATCTTTTTCATCAGTACAGGACTACAGATGGTATGTGGTGTGCATGTCATTATGGCTAAGAAAACCGTATTCGCTGTCAACTTTTTTGACATTCTTTTTTGACGTGACGGGTCGCAGGTTGCCGCAATTATCACCTTGAAACGAAGAGAAACAGAAAATAAAGTCATCCATTCAACAACACACCCATGTTGTGTGTCCACGACCTCATCGATAAGTTGGATACCTCGGTTCATGGAGCCCTTGTAAACTCCTGAATTCCGACATATATTGTTATGCATGACGAGAATTAATTTTAGTGGATTCAACGAATCAAAGCAATTTATACACAGGTCCCGGAGTCGGGATGGATATGGGCCAAAGCCAAAACATGGCATCAATGTGTGCCGTGGGACAAATTGGCAACCGCCATGGGCTACTTTACATGAATTCTAAGGACATTCGTGCACATATGGATGGATAATTCTATTGTTTAGATATTAATACCTTTCTCTCTGAGTAAAATGGCTTAATTCTTAGCCCATATATTCCGAGATGTGGCATTCATTTCATGGCGGATTGTATCGACCCGGCTGAGTACCCATGTATTATACCGCCAAGACTACTGTGTGAATAAACATGCCAGTAATTGTAATGCTATGTATTCAGATTGCTAGTCATTGGCTGTCGAGTAAGAATGCATGGTCTAGTCTCGCATGGGTCGCAAGTCACAATTTGGTTTGTTATTTCCTAGCAATTAAGATACCCAGATTGTCAAGCTTTTGTCTTCGTCGAACTCACGAATTTCGTCCGCCATCTCCAAGGCCAACGTCCAATCATCGGCAGAGTCCATCACAACGAAGTCACCATCCTCATCTTTGTACTTGAGTTTGTTAATAACAATGTCGGTGCGAACCTCACTACACATTGAAATGTGTCGGGAGATTTTCTGCTGCAACTCACCAAACAGAGTTGACGAATTCACTCCCAACCACTCACCAATTTCAACTTTATTGTAGATGAGCTTAATCTGGATAAAATTTGGGTTCCGCAGCCCAGCTGATGAAGTTGACGTATCAGATTGACCATTGTTCAAAGAGGAATTAGAAACTCGCCTTGAACCATTGGTGGCACCGTCACTCTTGTGCTTCCCAAACTTCAATAAACTGAAGGTAGATGATGACGAATTATGGCGTTGGTTTGAAGGGGAGGACCGGAGCGGCGACTCTGTGGTACTCGTAACTTGCTGCGAAACCGGAGAGCCGTCCGCATACACTGCAGTTACATCATAGGATTCATAGGTGCCCATGGACCCGCGAGAGTCCCGAATGCGACGATGAATCTGGCTATTCATTTCATTTGTCTTCAAGTGCCTCAAGCAAGATTCCCATTGATTTCTTGGCTCTTCAGTCTTGAAACGCAAAGTGAAAGACCCGCTCTCCTTCTTACCAGACCACGAAATAACCAACGTATATCCCAGGAAATTAGACGACGAGATATTGTATATCTCAGAAATGTAAACTCTGCCACGTAACTCTAAGGTCGTCTTCTCCTTTCCACCACTAAGACTCTCTAATAAGTTCGCCGTAGAACTCGACGCACTACTTGTGGACTTCTTTCTGGAGGTTAAAATTTCTCTCTTTTTCTTTTCCTTGTGCTTTGGATCATTGTTGGTGTTCTCAACAAAGAAAAATATAATCTTCTCAAACAAATATGCAACATACTCCTTCTCAGCCTCTCCATCCTTGACTCCGACAACACTATGATACATTAGATCTCCTTGCTCGCGTAAGTTGAAACCACGCCAATTCTTGACTCTTTCTACAAGGTTTTGCAAGTAACCAATGTTTTCAGATCTTCTCTGAGCTTCATTGACTTGGTTTGCGACATCCTTCATCGCAGCACTTGCCATTAGCAACTCATTATAGCAAACTGAATCAATAGAGTCTGAGTACGTCTTGATGAGTTCTTTCAATAACAAAGGATACTTGCAAAGACGCTGGATTGGTTTGATAATGTATGACTGTAATTCAAATCCTGGGTCCAAAAGCGTCGAGGATTTTCTCAAATTGCTAGCCTCCTTGTTAATTAGCTCAATTGCGGAAACCTGTCCAATCGTCCACGGTTCATATGCTCTGAAAGGTCCGTTAGATGCATGGATGAAGACGGACCCTATACGTTGGTACTTCGTGGGAACTTCGATGTTGCACTCGAGTCCAGTTAGCAATCTTCTATGGAAATCCACAATATCGCTAAGGTTTGGGAATAGCACATGCAACTGTTCGCTAGAGAGAGCGTCTGAGTTCTCCAATTCCGCTTTATACTCCATGAGTAACTCCAAATCCAGTATATACTTTCTCTCTGTTTGGATGAGCTCTCGAAACACCTTCGAGCGTTCGTCGGTTATTTTGATGTTAGCAATGTCAGAAGTGACGTCGTCGAGAGGATTAGTCTCTGAGAGGTTGGACTTGTTTGCCATTTCAACTAGTTTCGTTACCACTTTCACAATCTTCAACAAATCATGAGTATTCTCAGAAAATACATTTGAGATGGTGAACATGAATTCATCGTCAAAATTCAAGTAGGTCTTGACAGCGATCAAGAAATCGTATACGGCCTTCTTACACATACGCAAATCATCGCTTTCTGTGATAGCAATCGGATGTTCTGGCTCGATAGTGTTGAACAATAGGCAAAGCGGAGCACCTTGTTGGAAAAGCTTCCACAACTGTGTTGCGGGGTCCAGACTTAGGTTGGCAGGAAGTACACCTGCCGTAAATGTGAAAATGCTATTGGTGAGGGGTAGATGGTTGGAATGAGATGCTCCTGAGTGATCCAGGTATATGGAGAAGCCTCCAGAACCTACCGAAGCACGAAAGCCATCTCCACTACCATCACCTTGCTGCAATTGCTGCAGAAGCGCCAAAGCTTGCTGCTCTGCACATTTCTCGGACGCCAGAATGGCCGCAGTCATGAACGGCTCCATTCCAGGAATCTTAGAAAGCTCCTTCAACAAGTAGCTGCATTTGTAGAACATATGGTCTTCCGCATTGGACGAGCGGTTCATCGACAGATTTAGTTGTAGAAGTGGACCAGAGGGTACCCGTGAGATATTGGTGGCCGATGAATTGATTGACGTGGACGAAAACGTCCTGAATTGGGAATTTGGAGGTGTCTCCATGATGTGATTGCGCGAGGAGGTGGCGGAATTTTTCCTCGCAGTCTAGTCAACGAGCGTGGTAGTGTTTATAAATTTGATAATAAATCTTATAGCAGCCAGTTATGGTAGCGTAGATGACGTGAAACTGTTGGTATTGATACACAAAAAGACAGGTGAGGAGGAAGCCAATTATCGCGGAAAATGAGGTTTAAGCTTCAGACAATTAGTGCCGGAAAAAACTGAGAGAAACAAAATGAGGCGGTCGTGCGCATATCACAATGTACGAGTCGCCATCTATAACGGAGGTAGAATCCGGGGAAAAAAGTGGGTGATTTATAGACGGGCAAAACATTTACATTTATAGTCCCCTACTTAATTTTTTTTTTTGCAGTTGATTCAATCGCTTACACACGGGGGTCTCGCGTGTCATCACTTGCCCTTGAAAGGCACCGTTGATGCATACAGTTCCGCCGCATAGAGCTGTGTAACAAGGACGGGGCACTTAACAGCAACAAACGACCTGTTCCTTATTTACAAGGTGGGGTGGTTGGTCCGCAGTCAGTTAGGCGATTGAAGTTAAGTTAAACAACCTTGTTAAGGGAAGTTTTGTATTACAGCTCAACGCGTGGTATGCATCTGTATGTAGAGCCCTGGTTTACAATAATGGATTAGATTAGGTTTGGAGATATTTAGCTTGCAAACTAGAGCTCCATAATTTCAACCCTCTGAAACGCCCCTCCCAAGTAGTTTGTGGGACCTAGCAAAGTTGTATTGCAATTAGTGAGAAATATCAATTTAATAGCGAAACATGACTATGGTGTTTGACTATTAGCGATCATCTACGAACATTTCTGATTGAAATCAAGAATATGAACGATCCCAAGCTAAATTGTAACCTCAAGAGAATATTGCAACTTCAAATTAGTGTTACAATTCCGGACTATATTTCAAATTCTCTCAAAACCTCAAACTTGGAATTATCTTTTTACTTGCCAATTTTCTGGTCTCTCTTCGCAAATTCAACCACCCTACCATTCTCAGCAACATAAACAAAGTTGGCTCTGTGGGGAAGCCACTTTAATGCCAGAAATCCAGACTTACCTGCTGAACTATTAGGCACCTCATAAAGCTGCTCGAGAGTATCGCAGTCGTAAACTTTGATTGTTGTATCTTGTGCAAATGCCACAGCTAGATAAGATCCATCTCTGCTGTACTCGACATCCACCACTTGCTGGTCCACCAGGGACAAGGCCCGATAATTGAGCATATTGGAGGTTCTCCATAATGATACGATTCCTTCTTTGGTACCGCATGCAAAAAACCTGCCTCGTGGGTCAAATCTAATGCACGTCACTGGAGACTTATGTCCTTCAAGGGTGTGAACAACCGTTACGGTCTTTGTTTTCATTATTGGATGAAGTATCTCCACTGTGCCATTATCTAATGCTGCAAAAAGGTAATCGTGGCCTCTATTTGTCCATTGGATGTCATTGACGTGGTCAACAATTTGATCAGTGCCAATTTTGAGTAGTTGTCTGCAACATCATAAAGGATCACTGTTCCATCGATATCTACTACACACAAGACCTTTCCATCTGTCGAATACTCCACTAACTCTAATACTGCAGTGCCATGAGGCTTCAGTACCTTGATCTCTCGTTCCAATCGACCTGAACATGTCCACATTTTCACCCAGGAGTCTCTTCCCACAGAGGCAAATGACAGGTCTGTATTTGTATTCCACAGGATTCTAGGTATGTCACGGTGTGCGTTTTCAATAACTGACGGGCTCGAGGCTCCCAGCTGTAATGCTTTCCATACTCGAATGGTTTTGTCAGTTCTGGTGTTGATAACTCTATTTCCCGTGGCATTGACCGAAAGTTGAGTAATTTCGGCCTGCAATGACTTTCCTCCGTTACCCAAGTCCCTCATGGGAGTGAAATGGAGATTGGTAAAGCTCAGTGGCATTTTGGTTTGAATGATGGATGGTAATCACGTATGGAATAGTCTGCAGATAGGCAATGTTGGATAAGTAAATGGTATACGTAAGACGCCAGCTAGCATGACTAAAAACAATGGTCAAAACCTAAGAAAAACATTTTCTGCCTGGAAATTTCCGTTTCAATATTATGTTTCCGCCTGTTTTGTGGCGTCTATTGGTATCTGTTTCGTACCTTTGTCTGATCTAGAGCGAAGGAAAGGAAAATGACGACGCTAACGAAAATAATCCAGACCCAGGAATCAAAACTCCTGATTTTTAAACACAGTTACCATTTCTGATTTCCTTTCTTTGTCTTTCGTCTTCTCAATGGCGTCCCCAGATCTTAGACCCAACGGTCATATTCCTGCGCATACTCGCAATGGACACTGTGTGCATAATGAAAGTGAAAGTTCAACAACTCCAGGAATACCAAACATGTCGTCACGACCCAGATTGCTATCCATCGACGCCTTCTCCAAAACGGTGGAAGACGCCCGTGTGCGTACTGCGTCCGGTGGTATGATAACCTTGGTCTGTGTTTTCATTGTACTCATGTTGATCAGAAACGAATACAACGACTACATGTCTGTCATTGTGCGTCCAGAGTTGGTGGTCAACCGTGATGTCAACAAACAGCTTGACATCAACTTGGATATCACATTCCCACACATCCCTTGTGGTGTTATGACCTTAGACATTTTGGATCTCACCGGGGATTTGCACTTGGATGTGGTTCAGTCTGGCTTTGAGATGTTCAGAGTGCTGGGCCGCACCGAGATCAAGGATGATTTGCCTATCTTGTCCCGTGTTACTGAAATCGACGAGGTCTGCAAGGGTTTGACTAAAGAGGAAGCAGACCAGGGCAAGGCTTGTGGGTCTTGTTACGGTGCTTTACCACAGGACGAAAACAAGTACTGTTGTAACACCTGTGAAGCAGTGCGGTTGGCATATGCTGTGAAAGAATGGGGCTTCTTTGATGGTGCCAATATCAAGCAGTGTGAGGATGAAGGATATGTTGCGAAGATGACCGAGAGGATCAACAACAATGAAGGTTGTCGCATTAAAGGCTCAGCCAAAATCAACAGAATCTCAGGAAATTTGCACTTTGCTCCAGGGACTCCATTGTCCAGACAAGGTAGACACCTGCACGATGTTTCGTTGTGGGGCAAATACTCAGACAAGTTTAGTGTGGACCATGTTATCAATCACTTTTCATTTGGCAGTGATCCAAGCTCATCTTTGCCTTTGGCCTCCTCTGAAAACGAAGAAACTGCTCCATCTATCCATCCATTAGATGGGTACCTGTTTGAGAACGGATTGAAGGACCATGTAGCTTCCTACTACTTGTCAGTAGTGTCAACTAGGTTTGAGTTTTTGGAGGGCAAAAAGGAGCCTGTGGAGACTAATCAATTCTCGGTGATCACCCATGACAGACCTATTGTTGGTGGTCGTGATGGAGACCACCAAAACACCTTGCATGCACAAGGTGGGTATCCGGGAGTTATGTTCAACTTTGACATTTCGCCCATGAAAATCATTAATCGCGAGGAGTATGCTAAGACATGGTCTGGATTCATATTAGGAGTTGTGAGTTCCATTGCTGGCGTTCTTACTGTTGGCGCGGTTCTCGACCGGTCTGTGTGGGCAGCCGAGCAGGTGTTGAAAGGCAAGAAAAACATGTAGAGAAACAAAAGAGAAGTACTTTAAAGGCAAAGCTGTAGTGCATCACTAGAATAAAGCTCATGTAGGTCATCAGTAGGTCACTAAGTGTGTGCTAAGCACTAAGTGAGTGATGCACTCGATAAGGAAGAATCAAATGACGCAAATCTGATACCCAAATCACTACACATGTCTTCCAATCACTAGAATACATCTATGTCGTTTGCTATTTACAGAATGCTGAATTACTTACACATCACTCATCAAGTGACGAATCTCGCCAAAATACTCCTTATTCAAGCGCTCTCCAACCTCCTCAGAAGTCAACCATGCATGCTTCAAGCCTTGCTTAGCATTGAACTGGCCCGACAAGATGTGCAGCTTGATGAAAAACTCGCTACCTTTGTCACTGTGATGAACATGGAAAGGTTTGGCACTCACGTTGAAATAGTTGATGCCGTCGCCTCCGATGGCATATAACCCTTCCTCTGCCTCCTGATGTAGTGGCTTGCCTGCGTTCTCGAACGTAGGAAACGTCCAGGTGCTTCCATTATCGGAACTCACAACCAAGTATAATGTTCTGGCCAACTTTCTCTCCAAGCTGGTGATATCGTGGGACTCATCAGCCTTGGTGATTCTAGAGTTAGGCACAATTTTTCTGGACATACTGTCCTTCAGTTGCTCCTCGTCGGCGCCCTCGGCGTACGTTTTAGGCAAGCTGAGTTCCTGTTTGAATCGACGGTCTCTTTGTTGTCTAAGCTCGGGTCTTCCGCTAGGAAATTCAAGATTGGGGTTATTGTAAACGGGATTTTTATTCAACTCACGGAACTTCTGCTCGGACAACGTACCTTCACGGTAGTAGAACCATTTTGGGAAGGTCCACATCAATCTCTTCCACAACTCATTCTGATACTTGTAGTACAGTTTCTGGAACGCAGGCAAGTCAGCCGTCACAATGGGAGGTCTCAGCAACAAGAGCGTGGACAGAATTGCCGGGCTTGCAGGCGTGGCATATTTGCGTGCAAAAGTTCTGCCGAACATTGTTGGTCTATGTTAGAAGATGAATTTGGAGTTTGAAATTTTCACTGGTGCGTGCGCGTAAATGCAGGTATGAGTGCGTATGTTTGGGACTATTTGTAGAACTTAGAATATATAGAGATAATGGGGAGTCACAAGAAGGTCTGACTACTTTCTGCGAAGATGGAATAGGTTAAACTAACTAAACACTTTCGTGTGCTCAAAATGAATGATTTTGATTACGTTTTATTGGATGGCATAATTGGAGGTTTGGTTGTAGCAGGCTTGTCTGCAGGTGGTCATAACATGAAAGTAGTATGAAAATACTATGGATGAAGGTTGGCTCTAAATGTAGTAACAGGACATAAGAGCGGCATTGCAGAAAATTTGTTAGAAGAAACATAGATCTTTTCTGGAAATGAAAAAGATCAATCACGGGTGTCCTACTGGGCACTTTTGATATGCCTGGTTTAAAATACCATGATATTGACTTTCCAACTTGTGTACCTGTAAATTCTAGAAGACCACTTTATGTCCTTGACATGTGACTATTCATATTCTTTGAAATTGAAATTAAAAAAGAGTAATTAAATCGGTTCCAACTGGAGTGTAAATGGTGGTGATCCGCATATTATTATTATGGACCTGTTCACCATTCCAAAACATCAAAAATAACCCCTTGCTCACTGATACAACTTCAGATAATCCTTGGACTTAACTCCTCCTTGCCTACAGTTCTGAATAATCCTCTAAGGATGTTCCGGTATAATGAAATCATTCCCACCACTTACAAAGAGCCATCAATGAATGTGAAGAAACTTTCGATACCTAATGCAAATACTTCCTTTACTCTTCTTCCAGCCCTATTCATATGTATCTGTCCCTTCCTAATTATCAAGGACATACATTGTGGTAGTGCGCTTACCAACGTCATATATATATATCGCACGGTCCCCTTCCCGAAAAAATTATCTGCCCACCACTCGCTCCTTATCCAACTATCCAAGTTTCAGCCTATAGACTGAATAGTAACGTATTGTAATCGGCGGCGATCCATTATAACAAAGAATTCCCGGTGACGTAGAGTGCCCAGGAACGCTGCTGTAAACATCTTTGATTAGTTTGATTAATAATACTTGTGTCATGTCCGACGTTGAACAATTCGAATCCACCCTAAAGGAGTTGGCCACACTTAAGGCCCCAGGTGTCTCAGGCACTCGGATCAAGAAATTGACCGATCTTGCCGTCAAAAACGTGGCTGATGAGTCTAAGTTTATTACCGTCTTATATGCTAGCTGTAAAGCCACTCCTTCTTCTCACAAACTAGGCGCCTTATATGTGGTTGACTCCATCGTGAGAGTATACATGGACGAAGCCAAGAAGAAGAATGAAACCGTGTCTGCTCTGGCTCCGGAAGGCACTTTCGCTGCTGGAGTATTCAAGATCAGTGAATTGATTGATTCTATAATAGATGACGCGATGGATTTACTGATCGTTGCGTCTACTAACGTGAAAATAGGAAAGTTGGTGGATATCTGGGAACGTGCTCAAACCTTTAGTCCCGAAACCATCGCAAGAATTAGAGCTAAACATTTCCGTTCCACCACCCCTCCTGGCACTCCTCCAGGAAAGGCGGCTGAACTTCCTCCTCCTTCAACCAGTGCACTGACTGCGGACTCTGGAAGCATTTTACTGGCTCTTGCATCTCTTGCTAAGAAGTCTGATACGCCCACACCTACTCCACCAGCTGTAGCCTCGCCTACTACTCAGAATACAGCACCTGCTAGTAATGCTACTAACATCTTGTCTCAGTTGTCTGCTTTGGCTGGAGGTAACACTAATAATGGTAGTATTAACCTGCCTTCTCCTCCAGCTCAAGGCCAGCCCAATCAAGCTCCTAACAAGGATTTGATTTTTAACATGTTGCAGCAAATGCAGAATGGCGGTCCTGGCTCTGTTCCACAGGGGCAGAACCAGGGTCCTCCCCCTTCTGTGCCTCAAATTCCACAAGTTGGAATGCAAGGAAGGGGTATGCCCCCCGTGCCTAACATGGGTAACATGCCAAACGTTCATCCATCCCGCCAAGGATATCAGAATAACCAGTATAACGACAGAAGAGGACGTGACGAAGTTGGAGGCTACTCGAGAAGAAATCGCTCGCGGTCTCCAAACGGTAGATACGGTAGATACGACAACGGTTACGGTAATAATCAGTATGGAAATGACCAATACGGTGGTATGCATGGCAACCACATGGGCCAAGGTCCGCCAATGGGCCAAGGGCCGCCAATGGGTCAGGGTCCGCCAATGGGACAAGGTCCTCCAATGGGTCAAGGTCATCCAATGGGCCACATGAATGGGCCAATGGGTGGTGATCAAATGGGCCATGAAGAAAAGAGATCGCTTGGGCAAGGTTTCGCTCCAAGTGATGGTGAGCAGAATGTTCCAGGTGCTCCCCACTATCGTCCAAGAAATGTTGGTTTTGACAACACGTTGCCTCAAGGCTCTTTCAAAGTGTTGTCCAGAACGTTGTTCATTGGAGGTGTTCCTCGTGGAATGGATGAGAGACAACTTGCTTCTCATTTGAGGCCATACGCGGAAGTTCAGTCTGTGATCATGAACTCTGAGAGGAAGCATGCGTTCGTCAAGGTTTACTCTAGAAAGGAAGCCGAACAGGTTGTTCAATCGTTTAACAAGGATGGTGCCTTGCCATTGAGAACGCGTTGGGGTGTTGGATTCGGTCCAAGAGACTGTTGCAATTACCAGCATGGAATTTCCATTATTCCCATCCAACGATTGACAGATGCCGATAAAAGTTGGGTCGTCCTGGCCCAGTGGGGTGGCTCTGGAGGTCAACCATTGCAGAGCGGAATGGTTCTTGATGAACCAGATATCGAAATCGGAACAGGTATTTCTTCTAAGGCCATGTCCAAGAAGATGCCAACCAACTCTACCAGAAATGGACCTAAGTCCAACAGACCAGGAGAATCCGACGATCAATATGTCAAGACATCTAATGGTCAACAAGACTTTATGGGTTATGGTAATGGCGCTGCTAATCCATTAACTGGACTTTTCAACCAACAACCACAGCAACAACCAGTGGGTTTCCCTAATCAAATGCCTCCACAAAATGGCTACCCACAGAACAATTATGGGGGACAGAACAATGCAAACTTGAGTGCTCAATTAGCCAACTTTTTCCAGAATGGTGGCCAGCAACGCTAATTTGCATGTTCTCGCAAAAAGACGAGTGTCTAATGAGTACGTAGTAAACAATTAAAAGAATTATATTCCTTGCCTTGTATTCCTCTCTTCCTCTAGTTTCAATCTATTCTACTTTTTTCACTACATCAATTTGGCTACAATAATTTGTTTCTTATTACATTATAATGCCTGCCGACAGATATTTACAAAAACTTTTTCCCTAATCAATCTATGCTTCAGCTGGAATTGGCAGCGGATCAGTAACCTCCAATCTACCACCTCCAGTAGATTTGATGACAGTATTACTCACGGTCTTGGGTTTGTTGATAGCCTCACCCTTGACAATCTTCTCCATTTCTTCTCTTGTCAAAGTTTCGTACTCCAACAATCCTTCGGCAAGTCTCTTAAGCTCCAATTTCTTTTCCTTCAACATCTTGCGTGTTCTCGACTCTGATTCCACCAAAAAAGCTCTCACCTCATTATCTGCCATGTCTCTGATCTTAGGCGACCACGACTCCCAATCGTCACTCATTCTTACTGGTCCAATGATGTCACTCATACCGTAAGATGTAACCATGGCTCTGGCCATACCAGTGGCGTTGGCCAAGTCCAGCGAACATCCACTGGTGACATTTTCTGGGCCATGGATCATCTCCTCTGCAATTTTTCCACCCATACACACATCAAGTCTGGAGAAGCACTCCTTCTTTGTCATGTCCACTTTATCCATTTCTGGTAACTGGAAAGTGACACCCAATGCTCTTCCACGTGGAAGGATGGTGGCTTTATACAATGGAGTGGCAGCAGGTGAGTACATAGCCATGATGGCGTGGCCAGCCTCATGGTATGCGGTGTTCTTTCTAGCTTCTTCTGTGATAACCATCTTCTTCTTGGCTGCTCCCATCAAAATCTTATCTTTTGCCCACTCAAAGTGGCCCATGTCCACGGCAGGAGCAGAAAGCTGAGAGGCGTGTACTGCGGCCTGATTGACCAAGTTCATCAATTCGGCACCGGACAATCCTGGAGTACCTCTGGCAATGATCGAAGGGTCGACATTCTCTGCGGTCTCCACATTTTGCATGTGGTGCTTCAAAATATCAACTCTTCCACGCACGTCAGGTAACTCCACCACCACTTCTTTGTCAAAACGGCCAGGTCTAGTAAGGGCCTTATCCAAAGATTCAGGAAAGTTAGTAGCACCGATAATGATAATTCCCTCTGTCTGAGAAAAGCCATCCAACTCCACCAACAACTGATTCAATGTCTGCTTTGCGTAGGCCTGGTCCTTGGGGTTTCTCTTGCCTCCAATGGCATCCAACTCATCAATGAAGATGATGGCTGGGGCCTTCTCACGGGCCTGGCTGAACAACTCACGGATTCTTTTAGCTCCAACACCAACGTAGAGCTCATCGAACTCAGAACCCGACATGAAGAAGAATGGAACACCGGCTTCTCCAGCAGTGGCACGTGCAAGTAAAGTCTTACCAGTACCTGGAGGGCCAGTCAACAAGACACCCTTGGGCAATTTTCCTCCTAAACCAGTAAACCTCGAAGGATCCTTCAAGAAGTCCACGATTTCTTCAAGTTCTGCTCTGGCCTCGTCACATCCACACACATCAGTGAATCTGACAGTAGATTGAGAAACATCCACGGACTTATCCACGGTCTCCGAGTTGCGGAAAATGGTACCATTCTCAACCAAGTAGTTAAATGCGTTCGAAGCACCATATGTGAAGAGTGCCACTGGAATCAACCACTTTAGCCACTTAGACAAGATGGTAAATCCGGATTCCAGGACAATGACGTGGACTGGTTCAGATCGGGAGCCGATGCCGTAAGAAAAGGGCGACATGTTCTGGTTCTGGCCAACCAGGCCGCCTGAAGCAAGCTCGCGAGCTATCTGCTCGGCCTGAGACTTCTTGCCCACTTTAGTTAAAGCTTCCATGTACAACTGGGTACATTCTGGAGAGTTGGCGATTCCTGGAGTTTCGAACCGTTGAACGACAATTTGTGGGTAGTTTGTAGCCAAAAGACGCTTGTAGAATGCGGCCTGGACCTCTGCGTTGCCTATATCGGCGTTGGCAGCCTGTTCCAGGCTCAGAAGCATGGACATTGTGGAGGTAGATACCTTTCGAAAGTGTGAAAGTGCCACGAGCCGGGCAGCCGGGCGACCGTACACCAAGGGTCTGGCCATGGCCATTATCAAGTTTTTCCGGGGTATTGCTCTGGCCAAACTGTGCATGTTAGCTAAACAGTATGAGGTGAAAGTGAAAGTTGGAGGCGAGTGATCAGAGTGGTGAGAATCATGGTCGTTCCAACACCAAAACATTTACGAGTTGAGATACGGGGACGAATGGAAGATTATGGAAGAAAGGATGGCAGATGTGACGGTTTGTAGAGGAAGTTGATAAGGATGAAGTCTGTTTTGGAGTTTGAAGGGAAATCTTTGATGGTATGAATATTTGATAATTGTGTTGGTAGATTTCATTATTTTTTCTTTTCCGTTGGATGTTGGGAATTTTGGTGAGGTGATGAGACATTCTTGAATTGCTGCGAAATGGAAAGACATTGGTACATTTGTTTAGAGGTGTGAGTTTGAGGAAAAGCTTACAAATTTAAAAACTCTAATTTTCTTTAGAGTATGTGATTAGCATTAAAACCAAGAGAAAGCTCCATTGCTGAAAAAGTTGCCAATACCGGCAGTAGCAGCATACTTAAAAGTTTAGGGAATCATGAGATGGGGGTGGTGTAAATTGAAATGCACAATTAGAAGGGTATGGTCTCTTCAATTTGGATAAAACTCAGCACGTTACATTTTCTCAAGAATATCAAACTTTCTGAACGGATGTATCAGCCATACGCCTACTTGTTTAATGGATTTAGTCCACTTGATACTCCTCACTATACCGATATCTATTCCCTAAAATCCTTTAATCACTAAATCGTCGTGCATGGCCGTGGACTCGATCGAAAGACCATGCTCATTTGCCAAATGTAAAAGACAAATAAAGCAGAAACTCGTCGATAAGTCCTTCTTCTCATCCGGGCGGTACATCTCGCCAATAACATCCACCACATTCTTGAAAGTTTTGGTCTCTTCTTTCTCTTCACCTGGTGTCTTCTCTCTGGTCTCATGCTTGATTGATTTCCAGAGGTTATCCTTGAGCAACTTAACATCGACTCGTTTAGCAACCTTCGAAAAATTCACATATTCGGGTCGTGCTTTCCGTCCGCCGGTTACAAACTGGCTGCCAGTCTCTTCCTTGATATCTTCTATGCCATCCACAGCATCATCAACGCCACCCAATACGTCATTAAAGTCAATTCCATCGTAGTTATCGTAATCCTCCATCTCGGCTTGGTGGAAAGATGCTGCAAGTTTTTCCTGTCTTTCCTCCTCACGCTCCTTTTCTCTTTCCAAATACTTACCAGCAAAGAAGTTCTCATCTGTGTAGATTCGAGCCTGGTCTTCATCTTCGTCGGTTACCAAGACAGGCTTCATGCGTGACGAGAAGGTGACTATTGACTTGGTCGGCTTAATGAATAAATTCACCAACCGCTGTGAGTTGAACTTTATATCATCTGGCAAGATGTGGCAGTCTTCGCTCTTACGCTCCTCGGGTCTCTTAGAAATTTGAAATTGATTCTTGTGTTTCTGGAAAAGGTCCTCTAGAAGGTCATCATCGTCCTCTTCGAAAAAGTTGACCACGATGTGCTCTTTTCGTTTCCTCTTGACTGTCTCAGGCTGCGGCGTTCCTGACTTTGCAACTGGCTTATCCAACTTTTTGGCATGCTTAAGCGCTGAAACTCTCCAGTGCTCTGGCCCTCGCCAGTTAGTTTTCATCTTCTCGTCGAAGTATGCCATCAAATCCTGGTCTAGCACTTTCCCTGTAGTCACCACGTGAGTGGGTGTGTCGTGGTTGTCGTTTTCGAGGTTTTGCATGTTTTCATCGATATTAACGATGTTTACTTCCTCCTCATTGGCCACGTTGTTGTTCTTGTCGTCGAAATCCATGTCCATATCGTAATCAGGAAAGTTTAGGGGTTCTTCTTGAGCAAAGGGTGTCACAGCTTCGCTCTCCTCCTCGGCATTGAATCTGCTATTAACATCGCTCAACACTGACTTGGCATTGCCCACATCATTCAATACTAGTTTCAATTCAGAGATAGACGGACAAAGAGCCAACAGATCAAATTCCGACAAATCTGACCCTAGCATGCCACGTAGTTTGGACATATTCACATAACCAGTATCAACATGCATACTGTCAGGATCTTCTTCTTCATTGTCCTCATCTTCCTTGATGGAATTAGTTGTAGCATCAAACACGACTCGACCCGAAGTGTCGATGTTGAGTGTGTTCAACAAGAGGCTCTTAGCTCCTCCTTCGTCGAAATCCGCCAAAGCTTTCTTAAAGAGCGGGTCGATAGCCAACTCCTGGTCCAACTTCTTGATCTTGAGTTGGTCGAATGGAACCAAGGTAGACTCCACCACCCTGTTGATTCTACGTTCTTTCTTCCCAGAATTCTCGGCCGCAACATCATCATCGCCGTCCTCTCTGTCGCTTTCATCTTCCTCGAGTTCTTTCTGGCCCTTTTTCGTGGCCAATCCACTTAACAACTTTCCTGTCTCTGATGCTACAGACTCCACTCGACTCAGGTAAATCTTTACACAGCCATCCAATGTGGCAGATGCTCTCTGGAAGTTGATGTTATCACCATCCTTGATGACATTCAAGTCGTGGAAATAATCGATCAACGCAAACTGCCAGGAATTCTTCGATGTGATCTTGTTGTCCGTTGAGAGTTTGATCCACTCCTCGAAATTGGACATGATAGTCAGCCTGTTCTCGTGGAAATGGATGGCATCCTCACCAAGTGACGTGTTCGCATCATCCACAAACATGTCACCTCGGCTAACATGACGATTGGTCGAAGGTTTTCGTATAGTTGATGATGCTGATCTGGAGATGACTCGTCCTTTATTGGAGAGATCATGGAGGGCCGTGGGTGCTCTGTTCTGGGTCTGGGCACCTCTCTTCTTGGGGAGCACAGACGCCATGGTGTTGTTGCTTTCTGGGGTGTGCCACAAGTGTAGGTGGTGGTGTGAACTTCGGTGAGTTTGTATATGTTGATGTTTGTTATTGTTCGCGACTGTCTGGGGAAGACAAACAGGATGAGAGGAGCCAAATACCGGGAGAGAAAATTCATTGATTCTCTGTGGTTAAATAATGCGACTAAACTATAGTTGAGGTATTTGGGTATCTTGACTTTGAAGGTAGTTTTTTTTCCTTGGATTTTTAGTTTTGGGAGGGGAATATGAGTATACTCACAGAAAAGAGAACACAATATGAGAGAGTACAGATCTTGTTAAGAAATACTAATTCAGAGGTCAATACAGATTTCTATTTTTTTCTTTTAAAATATTTTCTGCATCCTTAAGTCTAATTATCCATTCGTTAAACAATTTTCACGTTATTTTATGGTCATTTTTGTGAATATCACATTGCACTTGGTTACTATACATGCTGTCTATTAACAACGGATACATTGTAGGCAAAAGTCGAAATAAGTTTAATCCACCAGTGTAGCCATAAACTGCTCCTACTAACAGACCTATTTAATTTAAAATACTCCACCCCACACTCTAATGAGTACATTCTATCAGTACTTGGCTCTATATTATTCTCCCATTTCTCTCATTTACTTCCGTCTCTTCTTACCCTTATTGGTGATCCTATCAATATCTTGCTGTGAAATCCTCAAACCGTTTCTAGTAGACTTTCCAACACTATGGATCCGAAGTCCCCTGTCTCTCACTCTCTTGGTCTGCTTCTTGCCAACTCCAAGCCTGTCACTGGAAACAGTAGCTCCACGTCCACTGTCCAAGTTCCTGAGCTCTCCCTTCTTGACCTTAGATAGTACAATGCCTGCCTCACGGGCCTCTCTCTCGTACTCAGTTACTCTTCTCTCTCGAGCATTGATCATTCCTTTTCTCATATTCATGGGCATTTTTTCGAGCTTCTTAGGCATTCCTTTGGTTGACGAGTTGGTAGCTGCCGCCTGTCTAATTCTTTGGTCGAGAATACGCCGTCTGGCATTGCCGATTGGTGCCTCGTAGTCTAGCGTCTGGAGTGTCAAGTCTGCTCCGGAAAAGTCCATGTTGTGTGCCAAAATATGCGACTCACTAAGAAGTCTCTGAAGCTTCAAGTCATTCTGTAAGTTGTCTGCATCCTCTTGAGCAGCCTTAGCTTGTTGCTTCTTCGTGAGCTTTTCGAGCTCTCTGTTCTTCCTGTCGATTTCTTCAAGCGTAGGTGCTCTGCCCAATCTAGCCAACTTCCTATCTTGCTTCGATTGAATAACAGGAGTATGCGAAGTTTCGAGACGAACAACCTGTGGCTCCTCATCACTGTCCTCACTATCTTCACTCTCGTCATTTTCATCACTATCACTGTCTCCGGAACTCATCTCTGAATCCATCTCATCATGCTCATCGCTCTCACTGTCACTCTCACCACTGCTCTCAGATTCGGAACTTCGACTGCCGTCCACCTTGGACTTATCCTTGTACCCCAAAGACTCTAGTGATCCGAATTGCTGCTCGAAATTACGCCTCTGGATCTCCATATAATCGTCGTCAGCCATAGTGATGGAGTAGTAGTGGTAAAATTTCGTGAGTGCATATTACCAGAGTATATCTATAGAAGAAGTAGATTACTGTTTGAGCCTAGCATTGTAGGATCTACTTTCAATAGCTTCTATCATCTATTTATTTTGAATGACTCGCTTCAGAGGCTGTATCGATATCCACGCTGGCCAAGTCAAGCAGATTGTCGGAGGCACCCTCAAGTCAGACGACATTGGGGAAACCAAAGATACTACAGAGAATTTCGTCTCTACCAAACCGTCATCTTTTTATGCTTCTCTTTACAGACAAAATGACATTGAAGGATGCCATGTCATCAAACTTGGAAGCAATCCAGCCAACGATGAGGCTGCTAAGTTGGCATGTTTGACGTGGCCCAATCATCTTCAGGTTGGAGGAGGAATCACTGATCAAAATGCTGAAAAGTGGTTGAACGACTATAAGGCATCGCAGGTAATTGTCACCAGCTGGCTTTTTTCGACTGAAAACGGCAAAACTGTGCTTGACTGGTCTAAGTTGGAAAAGTTGTCGAAACAAGTTGGTAAAGACAGATTGGTAGTAGATTTGAGTTGTCGCGAGGTAAAGAACGAAAACGGACAAAAGTGGGTTGTGGCCATCAACAAATGGCAAACTTTGACGGATAGCGAGCTCAGTGCAGAGTTTTTGGCCCGGGTGGCTGGCTACTGTTGTGAGTTCTTAATTCATGCGGCTGACGTGGAAGGCTTGTGCAAAGGAATCGACGAAAAGTTAGTAGAGAAGTTGGGCCAATGGTGTCCGAAGGGATTCGAAGGAAGAATTGTATATGCTGGAGGTGCCAAACTGGTTGAAGATTTGGAGCATGTGAGGAAGTTGAGTGAGGGAAAGGTGGACTTAACTTACGGAAGTGCTCTTGATATTTTTGGGGGTAAGCTTGTCAAGTTCGAAGATGTGGTCGCATGGAGATGAAGTCCATATGGAAAACTGGCCGGGGATGAATTTGTTGAATAAGTTTGATACTCAAGTTTTGCATGGTAAGAAGTCAGAAGTTGGCGTTACTTAGAGAAAAGATGAGGTGGCCCCTGAATTCAGATTGGATCTGATTGAGACTAACAAATAGAAACCAAGAAGAAATAATGTCACTCTTACGTAGTATAGATCTATTAGAGGAGGACAAAAAGAAAAGAGAATTTGAACAAGAATACTACGAACACACCCGTTCTTCATTCAACTTCAAATCATGCCGAAAAAAAAAAGAAAAGTTGATAGCACGATCAACACAAAAAAAATCAAATAACTGAAACTGTTCTCCAGTCTCCTGGGGTTTATTTTACAGGAAATCTACATGCTCTCCAAATCTATCGTACATGTATAATACATTCACCACCCAGAGCTGCCAAAACCCTCGCCATAAGAATACCCATTGGCAGGCGAGTTTCCTGCGCCTCCGGGAGACCGTCCATAAGTGGTAAAGCCACCGGTGTTGGCATCGTTGGCCTCCACGGTATCCTTGTTCAACTCCACAGCAATACCTGCAAGCTTCAACTGCAAAGTCTCGATTCCACGAATGACAACCTCGTTTGGAGGCAAGTTACCAACTGTTTCCACATCAACATAGAAGTTGGCGGGTTTAGCGTCGTAGTCGAATGGAGCCTCGGGGTCTGGAGCTTCTTCCCACTCGCAGTTGGCAGATTTTGGCCACTCAGCCTCAGCATCCTCCTCGTACCAGTAGTCTGTATGCTTCAACTTGTTCCAAGGATCGTACTCAAAACCGATGGCTGCACAAGGAGACCACTTGGCGTGCTCTTTGGCAATACCTTTCTTTGCAATACATGTAAGACGAAGTTCTTGATGTTTTCTCAACTTACAGATCAAAGGACCTTTCTGGGCAGGGTCACGGATGACAGGGTCTCCCAATCTTGAGCCGTTATGAAACTTAGCCAAATCTGAAGAGTAGACGTTCATGGTGCTGTCGCTGTCACATTTGGCAGTCAACTCCAACTTGACTGAACAGTTAGGACAATACTGGTCACATGTGCAATCTCTAGAATAAGAGAGGTTTTCGATACCCTCACTGATCAAGGGAATAAGACCCAACCGGTGCGAGAGCAACTCATCGGCGAGAACGGACGTGTTGACGTCGATTTCCACCAAGTCTATTGCCAAAGTTGGAACCTCGGCCAACATGGTTCTTCTGAGCGAATTTGCGACGGACAAGTCGACACCACGCAAGATGAAGTCGACATGGTCACGCTCTGTCTGTCTGATGGTGACACGGGGGCCAGCGTCTGCGGTGTCGATCTCCATGTTGGTTAGTAAGTGTTGGTGAAGGTGAATTTTTGAACGTGATTGAAGGTGCACGGGTGTTGGGAGAATGGGACATTGGGTTTTATGGAGGGTGAAGTCTGATGACTTTCAATAGGATTTCCCAAATGAAAAATAAATATAGATATGCCGATCTATTGGAGAAACCTGATGAACTTAACAATTTTTTTAATCTTTTTCAATTGGGAAAAATAAAGTGGGATTTGCACAGACTAAGTAGACTTCCTAATCATTACTATACAAGATTAAATGGAAATGAAAATAAATACTCTTCTGAAGTTTACAAGTTTACTTATTAAATTTGTTGCTTCAAGTAAACACTATTAGTAATTTTGTGAGATTCCACTATTGTTCTTTGTCTGTTCTCGCTATACTTTTCGATCCAAACATCACGAGACTGTGATTACAATATTATCCACGACATCTCATGAATATTCCATCCTGCTATCAAGACCATCCTTGTGAATCTCATGACATCAGCTCCTTGTGCTTTAGCAGCTAACTTTTAATAACATTTAACTTAGTACTAGATGGTCTCTCCAACACTACCTGGCAAGACCTGAAGATCGCTAACAATATAAATGATAAATCACTCAAACCATAAACAGTCTACAATATCAGATGAGATCAGCAAAACTCAGACAATGCAAGCCAGTTTCATTCTAAACTGTGACAACATCACATGAAACTCATACTTGTGACACTATTAACATGGACAGTAGTGCATGTCAATTGCGAATCAACTACTACAATGTCATCCAACTTGAAAGTGCCAGCAATCACCATCCCGGATTTACGTTTCGAGCAGTCGTTTCTCAAGTCCCTAGACAGGTATGCTGACCAGGCTCAATCGAAAAAATCAGCCATTTCCAACGCAGAGCTAAAACTCTTGGATATCGATGACGATAAGAGTGTAACCAATGAAGCAGAGCTTGCGCCCATTGCACCAATCACTCCAGGTATCGTGATGTATGCTATTCTTAAAGATCAGATTTTTATGCCTCTTTTGCAGGGATTTCTTTGGAGCGGGCTCTTGCTCTGTGTCAGGCCCTTCTTGGGGATGATTGTGGCCAATGGCCAACGGTGGGGAACATGGGTTGCCAATGGCATTGGAATTTCTCCACGCCGGGTGAGAAAATAGAAACAAGGCAAACGGAAAGTGAAGGGACAGAAGATATGAGAGAGCGCAGAGAGATAAAGAGAGGAGAAGATCAAGAGAGAGAAGATAAAGAGAGAAAACATGGAGATAATTGAGAACTTCGAAAGAAGAAATGGAATTTAAGGTAATTGAAATATGTAGATGTGGTGATTAGGAGTAAATTGAGCAATAGAAAACTGAAAAGAAGATGGAGTGTTGACTTTGTTTAGAGGTTAGCACTTCAACAACAGTCGAGATTGAAACACAAAAATCAAAGTTGACTGATATGCCGAAGTATTCATGTTCACGAGACGTAGATGAGGACAACACGAAATTCAAAATTGAACAGACTTCTCTGGATTAGCAGAAAAACTGCCGTACAAAAAAGTTAAAGTTGGACAGTCACGATGAGAACGATCAGCTATCCCGAACCGAATAACCAAACCATGGAGATTACATACGTTGTTGATTCAGTCATCTAGTCTTCATGTTTCCACCAATTTGTGGCTAGTAAGCCACCATACCATCTCGTCAACAACTGAATTCAATTCCGTGTATTGTCAACATTCCCAGTATTTCCCGACCGTCTCGGTAACAATAAGCATAACATGAGCACCACATGCAACCCCCATTTCATGCTATTAACACAATTTATATCGGAACAAAAAAAAAAAAAACATCTCAACTCACAATTCATTTTATCCTATATTTTTTTAACGTCATTGAATGGTTTAATATAACAGAACTAGATACTCAACTATTCCATTGCCAACTTGGTGGCTGCGAACAGGCAATGCAAGTAGGTGCCCCAAGATCTCCACGGCAACGATGACTGACAAAAATACCTTTTCTTTAACAAAATTTTTTTCCACTGTGTCCATGTTTCTCTTCCTTTCTTGTCTTCATATTTATCTCTTCTTATGACCATTTAAATTTTCACTGTTCATCACGATTCTTCTATTTTCCTTTCCTCCACTTTCCTCCATTACACTTTTCATGCTACATTTAAACGTCATAGACAACATCCTGCATTCAATCCACACATCCTTGCTGGCGATCAACAAACCATTATAACCAACGAAAAAAATCCACTGGAACCATAAATCAATTACATTCACAATAATTTATTCAAGATTCGAATTCTTTGAAGTTGCCGCGTTTTCCGCTTTTCCCACAGCTTCAACCTCTACCCCATCTTTGGTCGTGCACATACCAATTCTCTCCCGTGAGACGGGCTTCACAATTTAACCACATATCACCATTAACTACTTCAATTGTTTCCAAAAAAATCACAAAAAAAATCCGCAAAGCTCAAGGGCCACTGAATAACCCTATCTCGTACCCATGTTCAGACGCAAAACTCGAAATTCCACCGCCTATACCGGCGTGGGCCATGCTTCTCCCGCAGCACAGCAACCAAACAACAACGCCATGGCTGCTGCGCTAACCATAGGAGAGAACTTGAAGGTGACACAGCCAGAGAAGTACCGATCTCAAGGTGGCTCGCTCCGTGCCTCTCAATCGCAAACACGTTCACTGGGCTCGCTCTTGAAGAGAAGCTCCAGTATACAAGGTCCCCAGATAAAAGCAACCAGCACACCCAGAACTTCAAGGGCATCGTCCAATGCCAGTACTAGCCGCCAGGCTCCAGCTTCGGCTCACCATCCAGCGTCGCCACAGCGTGCTCCACCACGTGCAGCAGCATCTCCGGCTCGCATCTCCTACAGTGTTGATGACAGTTTCAACGACTCCATGTTGGAGCAAATGGGCCACGAAGCCGATGCCCATTACAGCAACCGCGCCAAATTGAGCGACTTGAAACTCCAGCACACTCCGGCACAACCCGCACCAGTGAAGATGGTCAAGAAATACATCCCGACTCCAAATGGAATCCAGGTAATTGAGGTGCCGGAAGCAACCATGAAGAAAGAAATAGCCCGCTCCAATTCGTTGCGTTCAGGCTTGTCTCTCAACCGCAACTCATTGCGGTCTGTTCCCAGACTGCCTTCATTGAACGGAGTTCCCAGACTGCCTTCGAATGGTTCACTTCCACTGCCTGTAAAGAGACCTCCTCCACGTTCACATGCCCAGAGACACTCATCATTGTTAAGCGAGCTGAGGATTGATGAGAATGTTGAAGGAGAGCTGCAGTCGGCCTCAGAGGCGGCACTTGCCGAACAGAGGGCAGAGCACGAACTCCTCAAACGTCAAATTGCTGAAGAGGAACGCTTGGCTAAGGAATTGGAGCAGCAGCGCTTGGAGTACGAGCACTTGAAGGAGTTGCGCTTGAAGAATGAGCAGCGCATGCGTGAGCTCAAGGAGCTCGAGGAAGAGGAGGCTCGCTCGCGGACTCTTAGCCCTGTTTCCGAGCTGAACCCAGCCACACTTGCCGGAAGTTACGACATTGCGCATCAGGTGGTAGGATCTTTCCCCCCAGACACTAAACAAGGTGCAACCGAAGAGGACGACGACGAAGAAGATGTGCCAATTGAGCCATTGCCATTCGTGGTGGATGAACTTGAGAAGAAAGAGATTGAGGAAGTGGCCGACGCAACTCTTGCTGATGGCACAGTTGCACACAAACATGATAGCAAACACGACCAAGATCACAGTCATGACGTTCCAACCTCTCATCTTGCTCCAGCTGTCGACCACGAGCTCCACAGTAAGACATTGGACGACACCTTGGATGCTCCATCAAGCGAATATTCTCTTGAAGTTCCTAGCTTTGATGCCTCATCTCGCAAGATATCCACGGAAGAAAACAAGGACGAATTTGGTATTGAGGAAGTTCCTAATGACGATTTCGACACTCCTAACCTCGCCAAACAATTGCGCCCAGTTTTCGATCCTATTGATGTTCAACAAATTGATTCTCCAACTCCTTCTCCGAGATTTGACCCTGTACCTGAGATTATCGATAACGAGGGCACTGGAAGATTGACTCCGCCACCACTAAACTTGGCGGCTGCTTCAATTACCTCCGTGGGCAGTCTGGACTCTAAGAGTAGCAGACCTATTAAGTCTGCTATGAAGATGCCTAAGGCTACATATCTGACGAAGTCTGCTTCATCACATAGCCCTGCACAACAGGCGTACCTTTCTTTGACCACTGCTGAGAACACCCGCTTGAACTCCAAGCTCTCTTCATCTCAATTGACAGATGTCAATGGTCTTGTTCCTGTGGATCAAAGACCCTCGCCTCCGAAGTCGCCAGTCACACCACAGAAGAGAATGTCGCAAAGTTTGAGAAAGCCGCCCAGCTCTACCGCACCTCCAAGTGGAAGTATGGCTGGTCGCTCCCTAAGACCCAGATCCCAATCTGACGTTTCACAGACACCTCGCACTAATGGTGGAGGTATGAGCTCAAGAACCTTCAAAACACAACCGCAACCAATTCCTCCACATCCAGCGTTGCAACCTAATTATCAGTCACCATCGAAATTGAGAGCTGCCGAGTTATACGCGAAGGCAAATAACAGACCAAGATCTCAGTTTCAGCCTGCAATCAAAAGGAAATCATCATTCACAAAGGACCACGATCATGGCAAGCCTGAGACTGCTCAAGCTCGTCCTGCGTCGCAGCAAATTAATCATAGAACCACCTTACGAACGGAGAGACCCCAGTCTCATGTGCCACCAGCATACTCAACGCATGCTTCTTCGAATCCCTCAGCAGCTCCAGCACAGACTAGCAACGGTGGAGGGTTTAAGGCCTTCAAATCAAGATATGCAGATTCGGACGATGAAGACTCCTCATATCCAATCTACACGTCTGCTAACACTGGACTAAACTCTCGCTTTAAAGATTCACATGATGACTTGCCTGGTGCAGGTGGACAAGGCTTCTCCAAAACCGCTGGACGTGACGAGGTGATGCATACACCTATCGTGTCTCTTCGTGATAACAAGAGTAAAAATGATGCACCCAAGGAAGAAAAGCCAAAGAAGAAGAAGTTTTTGAGGAAACTCTTTGGCAAGAGTTAATCTAAATTTTTTATTATTTGATTAGAGCAATTTGCACAGATAAAGTTGTTAGAATATTTGCGTAGCCTATGTCTCAAACTCTATAAGATTTGTATCGTGAGCTGTTTTGGTGTTGTTTGAAGCCTCCCTCTCTGCTTTGTGGAAACTCTCGATTTGCTTCTTATTGGCGTGTTGGTTGTTAGTAGGATCGACAAGTACTTGCGCCTCTGCTCCCAATAACAAATCCTTGTCATTTTCGTCGATATCAATCACACCGAAATCATCATCTCTCTCCTCGTCTTCATCTTGTGTCTTTGCACTCTTACTAGACTTGACTGAACCGTTATCTCCATGGGGCCCTTGGTGAGCGGCAGAATCCATACGACGACGGACCTTCTTCGCAACTTCACGTCCATCTGCGAGAAGACCATCAAACATGTCACGCAAATTTCTCATGGTTTCTGTATTATTCTCCACCGGTTTGTCAATATGAATAGATTTCCTCAAAGTTTTGTTGAAGAATAACTCGTACGTCTCATCAGCAAGAATCACCATACGAAAAGTTGGCAAGTTGAGTACCACAGGTGTCTTGGGATTCAAGGCAGCGTTATGCGAGATAGTATTATCGACTGAGAGTTCCTTGAGCAATGGCTCTTCCTCTACAGGCTGTGCGTACTCAAAGGCACGCTGAATAAACGTGCTGGCAGCAGATAAATATCTTTCAAGCTGCATACTCTCAATTCTCTTTTTATCAATGTCAATTGATGTGGGAATCGGAATCGCCTCATCCTCAGAATTGCCCTTCTCCTGCTGCTGTTTGTAGATCTTGTCGGCGATTGCATTCTCAATAGCACTTTCCGTAAGCGAATCTAAAAGCAAGCCCTCCTTCCAGGGATATGTGATATACAACAAGTCTTCGGAGATGGTCAAAATTCCCTCTCTATCAACATTGTCGTCCACACTATAGAGAGAAAAGAAATTGGAGATCGATGACAACAAATCAGGTTCTACCATATTGTTTAATCCAACAAGAAGTTGCGCAAGAGACAACTCTCCCAGTTTGTCATCATTCCATTGATCAAAGAGCCTCTTCAAGAACTTCTCTTGCTTATCACAGATATCTTTGCCGGGATGTTCCTCTACCCAATCACAGATTTGGGTCATGAAAGTGGTGAAAGCCAGGAAGTCCATGAACAGAGAACCTCCACCAACAGCAATTTGCGACTGGACAATCGAGTAGAAGCGGTCATAAAGAAGTGAAAGGTCATCTTGAGAAAAGTTGGAAGTTCTAGGCAAATTGCGCAATTCTGTTCTCTTAACAAAGGTCGAGATATTCTGAAAAATGCTGTCCCTGTGTTTAGTACGATGTTTCTCAATCACATCATCGCCAATAACGGAAAACTCTTTAAAAGCGGTGACTAGTAATTCCTGAAATCTAGTCACTTGTGCATACTTTGGATTGCTGGATGATGGGTGGGCACTTTGGTCCAAAGTTTGGAAGTACGTCTTCAATATCGAAATGAAAGTACCGTCATCCTCTGCCTGCAACAACTGTTCACCATTCAACTTCAATACTGCCAAGGCAACCTGGAATAGAGTCTTTGGACCTTGTAAGAAAAAGACGTCCAAGATTCTAAATGCAAACACCAAAGGCATTGAGGTCAAATAGAGTGACAAAAACCACGGCAAAGAAATGACCGAGAGCTGGATGTCAAACTTATTGATGTGGGTCCATAGCATCGGCATTGTTTGTGCAACTAAGGATTCGAATACACGCTGGTCAAGCAAGGTGCCATACATCGTTTTCGAGTAATAGCCGGGTACAATTCTGTCACAGAGAACATTCAAACACCAATAAGCTTGCTCCTCAGACATGTAGATGAGTAGGGCAGCCACCACAATGTTCATAGCCTGGCAATAGCCGATCTCCGGATTCTTCCACGAGTATGCTGTGAGTACTCTTCTGAGTCTTTCGATACCTTGAGGATCCTGGTACGCAGCATATTCCGGAAGTGAACGATTCAAATCCTTGGATATTTCATCAATGGCTAGCGACGTTTTGTCCTTGTTGGCCTCCAACAAATTGGTGTATTCGGTTCTGTTGTCCACTCTCATGTACATTGAACCACAACACAATTCCCATATCTCGCCTCGAAGTCGATTGGGCAAGCCCACACGCACCAACTTGTAAAACATAGGAGTCTTAATGAGAGAGAGGTTGCGGCCATCAATCCGGAACAAATCGAACCACAACTTCATCTTGGATCGATCTCTCAACTCCTTCGGATTTCCCGGAAACTTGAACAATATCCCTAACCCGCCCGGCGGGATTTCTGAGATCTTTTCACCAGATACCTTATTCTTTGCCAAAAGATACTCGGAGTAGCATGACTGGATGAAAGGAGCCAAATTCTTAACATTAGCCAAATTGTTCTTAAGTGCCGACTTGAGCACCGAAGAGAACCTCTCGCTATCAGAGCGAAGACCCACCAAGTAAAGCTTGATATAAATCTTTGAATGGGTCGTAAGTGCCAATGCAAAGCCGTACAGACTAGTGGGAAGTCGCTCCACCTTCTTGACAGTTGAAAGATGTAACGTGAACAGACAATTGCGGCGGTCGAAGACATCGCCAAAAACCAAGAAATGTTGAGTCAAGTAGATCCGACCCTGAGGATAATTGGTATTTTTATAAACGTCCTTATTAGACTCCGACCCAAAGCTAACCTCAACTGCCAGTTCTTCCAAGATGGTTTCTCCGTCTGGAAGATTGTGTTCGCGGCAGAAAAGCTCATCTTTAGAGAGCCCAGAGGAATTTTTGCGGTCTAGTACTTGTGATAACGTGGATACAGCCCGTTCACGCAAGCTTTCGAAAAACGCCATGGCAATTGGGTGTGAAGCCGGTGGTGTAGGCTTGGATAACCATACTTAAGGGTCTGGGGGAGGCACGGGTGTGGGCAACAGTCCACCTAACACCGAGGGGTAGAGACCACAATTTGTTGGATGTATAAGGAGGTCTAATTGAGGTAAGGAATATGCCATTGATAGACTCGGCCTTATGTTTTTAAGTGTTCGTTTTTCTGCCAAAATCACCTATTTTTGGTGCATGCCAGCAAGATGTACTGGGGGGTAAATTGCGGTTGGTAATTCATATCTAAAGTATAGAGATGCAATGCATTAAGTCTGCGGGTATACTTTTAGGTATGCAAAATTACAATGGGGTACTGCTGTATCATATAAGGAAAGTATGTTATGAACTTTTTCATTTACACCTAATCTATAATCAACATCTTCGTATTACCGAGTCATTACCAGTATTACTTGTACGAGGCCTTAGTAATTCTCACACTGGTAGCTGACATGGTGGCGGTACCGAACTAAGATTAAAGGACATCTTGATCATTTTCGTCTACATCCTTTTCAACGTCAGCTATTGGAGGAGCAATAGGCAATCTCTTGTTGGTAGTGAAAATGGCCGAAACAGTGGCAATGAACGCAAATGCAAAGTTCATATAGAAAACATTTCTGATGGAGTCCATAATTACGTTCTTGATAAACGTTTGGGATTCTGGACTCATGGTCTGGATAACTCCATATGAGTTGATCAACTTCCGCAAATCGTAATGCGAAAGCTCCTCTTGAATAGACTGTGGCAGCTTGGTCAATGCTGGGCCCAACTTGTTGACAAAAGATGTGGTGTAGGTAGCATCAGCCAATGTAGCAGCTAAGGCACCACCCATAGCTCTCAAGAAATTCATCCATGAAGTAGCAAATATCACACCTCCAGCAACCTTCGGAGCGGTAACCTGACCACCAAGAAAGCATGATTGCAGTTGCAAACCGATTCCAATACCAACGGGAATCATATAGCCAATCTTTTTGGAGTTGGAAGAGTCCACTTCAAGAAGAGTGATCAACCCACAACCTACAAAACCTAGGACGGCACCGGCAACAGCAAATGGCTTGATAAGCGTGCTCTGCTTAATCGCTATTCCACATATGATGGACGATACTACAACAGAGACAATCTCTGGTAATAAATGCAAACCTGATCTCCAAGCATTAGAATTGTTGATCACTTGGAAGTAGACTGTTAGGTACAACATCGAGCCAATGAAGTAGCCAAAGATTCCAAATAAGGAAAATCCAGCAGCTGTAGTCTGGTACACCCTTGCAATGTCCCATGGAATTAATGGATGTTTTGCGTATTTGAAAGTCCACAAGAAGGAGACAATAGTTACAATTCCGCCTATCGTAAAGAGACTGATAACTGCACCTGAATGCCACAGGTATTCTCTTCCTCCTAACGTGATCGCCACGAGAATAGTTACTGTACCTCCAGCCAAAAGCATAGTTCCGAAGTAATCAACGTTTCGAAATTTTTCACGAACATTGCCTTTCGGTTTTGGAGGGTTGAAAGTCCAATAGAACAACACAAGCGCAAGACCTCCAACAGGCAAATTGATATAAAAACACCATCTCCATGTGACATGGGTTGTGAAAGCACCCCCAATTAAAGGTCCAAGAACAGAAGCAACAGCAAAAACTGATCCCAACATCGCGATTCCGAGTGGCCTCTTGTGGATGGGAAGAACCTCTGTTACAAGAATGAAAACCAACGTCTGGATTCCTCCTCCACCAACTCCTGCCAATACTCGTCCGCCAATAAGGACGTTCATGGAGTCGGCCAAAGCGCACATTAACGATCCAGCCTCGAACAAGATAATCGCAGCAACCATGGTGTATTTTCTTCCGAATAGAAGAGCCAATTTTCCCCAGAATGCTACTAAGACAGCCATGGAGAAGAAAAACCCCGAACCTAACCAGCCGATCTTGTCAAAACCTTTGAATTTGTTTCCAACTTCCGAAAGTAGCGTCACGATGATGGTCTGGTCAAGTGCAAACAAAAACAAGCAGAAATACACCGCCATCAAACACACCACCAAGGCTTTGCCTTCTAAGTACATGTCCTGAGGTTTTTCTCCCCCACTTTCTATAAACTTATTCTCTTCAGCAAAGGGTTCAGGTTCATGCATGGCTGCTAAAATTGCCAGAGTGTCGGTTTCTGAAGTGCTTGTTGATGTCATATTAAGGTAGCTGCTGAATAATCAAAATGTGAAGTAGAAGCCGGTCTTTAAATATTCTTCGGGTTGAGTGTAGTTGGAAGGCAAATTTGCTAATGCCGTTAATTTCCCGTTCACTCGCGCCGTACTCGAGCCGTACTCGAGCCGTATCTGTTGGATCTGCCTAATTATCATGTCCGCGTAGATACACAGCCGTGGGTTTTGCCAAGAAGCTATGGGACGTAGTGACTTTAAACGTACATATTAACATTTAGAATGTCGTACTCAATGGTACGTTTCAATGTTAATACCAATTGTTCGAAGAGCAAACCGAATGCACAATAAGATGGTAGATGGGTGGCAATGCAAATCCGAATGCAAGATTCAAACTTTCCGTCGGGGTACTCGTGCAAGATTATGTTATCAATCAATAGGCAATGAATACCACTTCACTCCTTAGAATTGGGGGTCATGGGGGATAAAAGTAACGGTCGGTAGATGAGTCGCAAAAGCGTTAGCCTTGTCCCCTCTTTTCAAAACAATGGTTAAACTCAGTAAATTGGTACAATCTTCAAGAGAGTTTAAGCAGAAAAATGTTGTGAAATGTGAAATATCGCTAATATGATTCTGTAGCTCAAATGAATGGTTTCCTTTGCGTTCATGCATAACAACCAAACTTTTCAATCTTGGTTTTCAACTTATCAACTGTATCAGATTCTAACTACATCTCTTCATTCAGCAGGCCCTTCGATGTATCCACAAAAATCTCACTATAGTCCGCTATGTTTCGATGTGCAACCTATCATTATTCAACAGGCTCCTTGATTCAGAAGTGTAATGTAAAATTCCAATCTCGCCCTAGACTATGTAGATCCGACCCTTAGGATCACAGGTATTTTCATAGTGCTTTTTTAATTTGAACTTGACTTGTACTGCCAGTTGCAAACTTAGGAATTTTGAGAGAGGCACGAGTGTGGGTAGCTGTCCGCCAAACACCGAGGGGTAGAGATTACAAATTATTGGATGTATAAGAAGGTATAATTGGGCAAAGTAACACCTTGATAATTCATCCTAGTCTTATAGTAATCCTGAAGAATTTCATTGATTTTCAGACGCAAGTGGGAAACGTTGATTTCTTAAGCAAAGAGTTGCAACGTCATAAGTCTGCGGGGTAGCCTTGTAGAGTACAATATTACAATAGGATACTGTAGTTTCTTCAACAGAACATATGTTTTCAACTTTCTCTTTAATACCTAACTAAACATCAACATACAATCTGGTTTTTCGCACCCAACTCATCACTAGTATCACTCGTGTGAAGTCCTAGTATCTCTCACAATGGTTGCAGACTCGGTGGTGTTACCCAGCTGAACTGGCTGGTCCTCTTCATGATTCTCCTCTTCCTTATTTCCTTCGTCTTCTCTTGGAGCCATGAATGCTGTTGGCAATCTCTCGTTGGTGGTAAACATGACCAGAATGGTACAAATGGCAGCAAATCCAAGACTCATGTAGAATACATTTCTGATCGAGCTCATGATAATTTCCTTTATAAACGCCTGGGATTCTGGTGTCATAGTATGAATGACTGCGTTAGAGTTGATCAACTTCTTTAAGTTGTAATGTGAGAGTTCCTCTTGAATAGATTGAGTCTGCTTTTTCAACTCTGGGCCCACCTTATTTACAAACGAAGTAGTGTAGACTGCATCAGCTAGAGTGGCAGCTAAAGCTGCACCTATGGATCTCAAAAAGTTCATCCATGAAGTAGCAAAAATCACTCCTCCGTCAGTTTTTGGTGCCTTCACTTGACCTCCAACAAAACATGACTGCATTTGCATGCCAATACCAATACCCACAGGAATCATATAGCCGATCTTTTCGGAATTCGAGGAGTCAACATCAAGTAGACTGATTAATCCACATCCGATAAAGCCTATGAAGGCTCCAACAACAGCAAATGGCTTAATAAAGGTAGTAGTTTTAATTAGTATTCCACAAGTCGTTGACGTTAAAACAACTGAGACAATTTCTGGCAACAAATGCACACCTGAGTTCCATGCATCAGCATTGTGGATCACCTGGAAATAGATGGAGAGGTACAACATGGTGGCCAAGAAGTAGCCAAACATTCCAAATAAGGCAATGCCTGCGGCTGTTATTTGGATCACTTTAGCAATCTCCCATGGGATCAACGGATGTTTTGCATAATTGAATGTCCATAAGAAAAAGGCAATGGTCAAAATTCCACCCACTACGAACAAAGCGACGACAGTTCCCGAGTGCCACGAATAGTCTCTTCCTCCTAAGGTAATTGCCACAAGGATCATAATTAGCCCTCCAGTCAAGAGCAATGTTCCAATGTAGTCGATGAATTTCAACTTTTCACGAGCACTGCCTTTAGTATTTGGAGGGTTGAACGTCCAACAGAATAATACAAGGGAAAGACCTCCAACAGGCAAATTGATATAAAAACACCATCTCCATGTGACGTGAGTGGTGAACGCACCCCCAATCAAAGGCCCAAGGACAGAAGCAACAGCAAAGACGGAACCGACCAACGCCATTCCAAGTGGTCTCTTGTGGATAGGCATTATTTCCGTAATAAGAATAAAAACTGAAGTTTGAATTCCTCCACCACCAATTCCAGCCAACACTCTCCCACCGATAAGAACGTTCATGGAACTGGCCAAAGCGCACATCAACGATCCAGCCTCGAACAAGATTATGGATGCGATCATGATATATTTTCTTCCGAATAGAAGAGCCAATTTCCCCCAAAAAATCACCAAAATAGCCATGGAGAAGAAGAATCCAGATCCCAACCAGCCAATCTTGTCAAGTCCATCGAATTTATTTCCAACTTTCGAAAGTAATGTAACGATGATAGTTTGATCAAGAGCAAACAAAAACAGGCAGAAGTACACTGAAACCATACAAAGTGCCAAGGCTTTGCCATGTAAGTACATATCCTCACGTTTTGTTCCATCTCCAGCATCACTCTCAGAAAACTTCTTCGCTTCAGCAAAAGGTTCCAGTGCGGCTGAATCGGGTGCTGGTGGAATTGTCTGAGCATGAGAGCTTCTATCCAATCCGTCATCCGAATCTCTTTTATAATTACTAGCAGTCATATTAACAAAACAAATGGTTAGCCCATAAAAAGAACTTCCATGGTGGTCCTTAAATAATATTCGAGTCTGTAACTGTTCGGTGTGACAAGTTCCACCGTCTAATCCCCGTATCTCGCAATGCTGCATCCACCTCCGCTATTTGTTAAGCATTGACAGATGTTCGCTGCAGGTAACCAGTTACGCGGCTATCAATTTTCGGCTTCAATGGTTCCGAATATCCGTGAGTAATGCAACGGATAATATGTAACTTCCGAGATCCCGAAGATGAAACTGGGCAATAAGCATACTTCCATTAGCAAATCTACGTCTTCCCTCTATGCTAGAATCGACGAGAGCCACCTCTGCAACCTCTGTTACTCTGCTTTAGGTCCATATTCAATTTTTCCTTTTCAAGTCTGATTTCTAAGTGCCAACCTTGGCAGTAATTACGATTCGAAGTAGAGCTGCACGGGCCAAGATCAAATGCACCAGGAAGGGTTTGGAGATGCGGCGAAAGAAATTATCGGAACCAAACATGCATGCGGAATCGAATAAGTTCCGGAATTTTGAGCGATGCCTACAATAAAATGTCCGAAGCTTAGGTGTGGTGGGGAGAGCATTGATCCAGGTATCCATTTATTTGTAAACGGGATGCAATTGACACTAGCAGAGATGCATTGAAATTTAACGAAAACATGAGAGACAGCTTAGGGAGTCACGTCAATGGTGAATTTATTTCAATTACTGCTAACATTTGGGATCGTAGAGCTCTCAAAATGTTTCGTTATAATTCGAAACAGATTCCCCGTTCTGATTTGCATCAGTAACCAAAATTTAAAAAAAGAGTAAGTAACTACTGTGGCACTACTGGTGGCAATGCTATTGTCCGAAAGCTCTCTCAAAAGGTGGAAATAAAAAAAATAAAGACAATAGAATGGTGAAATCACAATTTCATAAATGTGAGTTCAAACTGACACTACCGGTTATAAGAAGAGTTGCTATGTTTTGTGCTCAAAGTGGCGTAAAACATTGTTAAGCAGAAGTGAGCTGATGACTATGGGCCAAATTTGGAAGTGTGCCAGTACTCTCTATTCCGCCCATTCTAAACGGGGAAAGCTCGTAAATGTTCATGTGATGTATTTGGGATACAGGTGCCAAAAAAAAAAAACACAAGCAGAAACTTGTATTTCAATTCATAATTGAGATTTGATTTTCCGACCGCAATCAATCACTAACTTCTTACTCTTTTTAATCGCATCAATGTTCTTGCTTCTTCAAACGTAGATATCTTCTGGAACCCGCTTCCTTTTCTTCATGCAACTAATCCTCTGGTGTCTCCTTGAGAACTTCGCCTAACTCCACCAGTTTCAATATGCAACCTATCATTATTCAACAAGCTTCTTGATTCAAAAGTCTGATGTGGAATTTCAATAGCACCCTGGGCTATGTAGATCCGACCCTGAGCATAATTAGTATTCTCATAGTGCGTCCTTAATCGGAACCTGACTTCAACCTTGCATAATAAAGGTCCTGCAGGAGGCACGGGTGTGGGCAATTGGCCCACTAAATACTGTGGGATAATAGTATACGATATTCTTAGGTATTTGTGAAATTGTTAATGATTGTGGGGAATTGGGGTCAATTTGGTTTATGCATCTGATATTACTTGTAGTGTAATGCATTCTCGTGAATGCATATATAATTGATGTATTTGGAACATGAAAAGGGACAATCATAAGTTCCTGCAATCGACGATTACATAGGAAAACTGTGTACTGAGGCTTGGATTCCGGATGCAGGCTAGGCAGGCATACCTGCACGGCTGCTAATAATATATGGTTGCGACTTCAGTCACTTACGGACAGCTTTGATGTACGCGGAACTACTATTTGATGAAGACAATTAATTAATTATTCATTTATCAATAAAATGTACAGCGAATTCGACCTCTGAATTCCATACCGAAACACTCCTACCATGTCAAATTATATCGTCAAAAGCTTTACTTGCTTGCGAACTCAGTATCTCTCACACTTGAAGCAGATTCGGTGTTGCTTTCCAGCGGAGCATGGTGGGCCACATCATCGTCCACGTCTACTTCTTTGCTGTCATTATTAGTTTCACCTTTCGTTTCATCTTCATCTCTTGGCGCAACCGAAGCAGTAGGTAATCTTTTGTTGGTAGTGAAAATGACACCGACAGTGGAAATTACTGCGAATCCAAGATTCATGTAGAAGACATTTCTGATGGAATCCATGATTACCTTTTTGATAAACGCCTGGGATTCTGGACTCATGGTCTGGATAACTCCATATGAGTTGATCAACTTCCGCAAATCGTAGTGCGAAAGCTCCTCTTGAATGGACTGTGGCAGCTTGGCCAATGCTGGGCCCACCTTATTTACAAACGAAGTAGTGTAGGTAGCGTCTGCCAATGTAGCAGCTAAGGCTCCACCTATAGATCTCAAGAAGTTCATCCATGAAGTAGCGAAAATCACACCTCCAGCAAACTTGGGGGCTGTCACCTGGCCTCCAAGCAAACAAGATTGCATTTGTAAACCGATTCCAATACCAACGGGAATCATATAGCCAATTTTCTCGTGGTTAGAAGAGTCCACTTTTAGGAGGGTAAGCAATCCACATCCGATGAAACCTATGGATGCACCAGCAATAGCAAATGGCTTGATGTAGGTGGTCTTCTTGACGACAATTCCACCGATCATCGATGTAATCACAACTGCGACAATTTCTGGTAGTAAATGCAAACCCGAGTGCCATGCATCAGTGTTATGGATCACTTGAAAGTAAATGGTAAGGTACAACAAGGAAGCCATGAAGTAGCCAAACATTCCAAACAAAGCGACCCCTGCAGCGGTGGTCTGGTACACTTTAGCAATGCCCCATGGGATCAATGGATGTTTAGCGAATTTGAAAGTCCATGAGAAGAACGCAATCGTTATAATCCCACCGATGGTAAAGAGACTAATTACAGCACCTGAGTGCCACGGGTAGTCTCTTCCTCCTAAGGTAATTGCCACAAGGATCATTACCAAGCCAGAAGTCAAAAGCATAGTTCCGAAGTAATCAATGTACCTCAACTTTTCACGAGCACTGCCCTTTGCTTTAGGAGGGTTGAAAGTCCAACAGAACAATACAAGCGCAAGACCTCCAACAGGCAAATTGATATAAAAACACCATCTCCATGTGACGTGAGTGGTGAACGCACCCCCAATCAAAGGCCCAAGGACAGAAGCAACAGCAAAGACGGAACCGACCAACGCCATTCCAAGTGGTCTCTTGTGGATAGGGAGAATTTCCGTAATGAGAATGAAAACCAACGTCTGGATTCCTCCTCCACCAACTCCTGCTAATACTCGTCCGCCAATAAGGACGTTCATGGAGTCGGCCAAAGCGCACATTAACGATCCAGCCTCGAACAAGAAAATAGCAGCAACCATGGTGTATTTTCTTCCGAATAGAAGAGCCAATTTTCCCCAGAATGCGACTAAGACGGCCATGGCGAAAAGAAACCCCGAACCCAACCAGCCGATCTTGTCAAAACCTTTGAATTTATTTCCAACTTCCGAAAGTAGCGTAACGATGATGGTCTGGTCAAGAGCAAACAAAAACAAGCAGAAATAAATTGATAGCAAGCAGAGTGCCAAGGCTTTGCCATGTAAGTACATGTCTTCACGTTTTGTTCCATCTCCAGCATCACTCTCAAAGAACTTCTTCTCCTCAGCAAAGGGTTCTGGTGAGGCCGAATCCGACACTGGTGGAATTGTCTGAGCATGCGAGCTTCTATCCAATCCGTCATCCGAATCTCTTTTATTAGAGTTAACGGTAGTCATATTAACAAAACATATAGTTAACTGATGGAATAGCTTCCATGATGGTCATTAAATATAACTCTAGTTCGAATACATTTGGAGTGTATAACTCTCCGAATCGCCGCCTAATCGCCGTATTCCCGCAGTGCATAAGCCGTCTCCGTCACCAGTCGCATTAAGTTTTGACACATTATCCGTGCAGATAACTACTCAAGGCCCTCGAACAAATCCTTTGGGAAGTTGGAGTCATCGAACATTTCATTGAAATTATATAGAATTGACCCATGCTTAAATTCAAATGGTAAATGATTTCAACAAAAGAAAGTCATTTAAGTGGCATTATGGGGTGGCAATGTTAGCTCCGTTAGCAAGGTTCGGTTGCAAGATGGAGATATCACTAAATAGGCAAATGAACGGCGGAACCACTTTTTCACGACGGTGATTTCAAATCAAATCTTACGGTTATAGGCGATAATATTAGATGCCTTATTTAGGGCATTGAGTGGCGTTAGATGGAAGTTTGGCAATTAATGTTGGCCATTTCGATGTTGAGAGCCACTTTTCCTATTTCCCCGATACTCGACGTTTTTTTTTTTGGATCCATGATGCGTAAATGAATTATTCCACGACTGCAGAATATTCCTTGAGCAGAGGTTCTGGATTTCAATTATTCGGTTTAATGCTCCTAAGATAAATCACTAATATTGTATTTTTCTTCATCATATCAATCTTGTTCATCTTGTTTCTTCAAACCATGATCCCTCTCAGGACTTGTTTCCTTTTCTTCGTTCAGAGAATCTTCTGATAGTTCCTCGAAAACCTCGCTCAAGTCCACCATGTTTCGATGTACAGCTTTCCGTTTTTCTCCAGGTTTCTTGATCGAGGGAATCAGAATTCGAGGCGCATCATTAGCCCCAAGCCTCAACGACACATGCTTCTCTTCTCTGGCACGTCCGTCCACTTGCAAGTCATCCAACGTCATGTACAGCGAATAATCGGAAATCTGGTTCAAAGGTGTAGCAGCAACTTTTCTGTGTCTGTGTTTGAACTTGTTGCCAATCACCTTTGCTGAATGACTTAAAACCATTTTAATGATATCTTTCTTCACCTGGTTGGCAAAGTCTTCTCCAGTCCATGTCTTGTTCTTGTAGTGAAGTCTTGGCAACGAAAGTTGGAGTTTATGCACATCAATGATGTTCAAATGTTTGGGTGCCAGAAAACTAATCAAAAGTTTGACCTTGTTGACTAGCACATCACCAATGACAATGTACTTGGACGATCTGTTCATGATGAGTGCCACATCATCTATATTATTCTCCAATTTTTTAGCTCTTCTCCTTTTGATAGGATTACAAGGTGCTTTCTGTTCTGCAGGTTTCTTCGAATCTGCCAGATGCTTCAGGTCCTTCAGGTCTGTTACTGACGTGTTGTAACTTGCTGTAGATGACTCAGTTGAAGAAACATCGAAAACTTCATCACGCTTGACACCACTTGTTGCACTGGAAGTCCTTGAAGTGGTGGAGGCTGGACTATGTGGTCTCCTTCTCTTTGCAATAAACTTCCTAAATGGATTGGAAGACGTTTCCGAGGACCTCTGAGAATCCATACTTACATTATCCAGTGCATCAGATTCATCAGCCAGAGGAGAACTTTTGTCTTTTGCGGGCAACTTCTCATCCTTAGGGAAAATGTAACTAAACATCTTTGTAGCTGTCTCATAATCGAGCTGAATATTCAATGGCTGAATCAGTAGCTCTGAGTTGCTCATGACACGGATTCCTCCGACTGGATTGAGCATTTTCCAATCCATTCTGATTATTGGCTCATTCTTTTTGCACAAAGAACTATCCTTCTTGCTATTGACGATCTCAAGGTACGGACGTAGAAGTTCTGGATAAACGGCCTTAGGGCTTAAGTTAAATCCTTGTGCCATCGAGATTTCCACAGTATTGCTGTTTGAACCATCATTATGATCGATTCGAGTGAAATTTGAAGTTGCTAATGCCAAGTCAATTAAGGGTTCCCTATTATCTTCAAGGAAATGCCAAATAACCTGATCTGCTCGTATATGCCAGTTTTGAGTGACTTTATGTGATCTGGACATTTTCGAACCCAACGTTTTCAGTCCCGTAATGATCAAATCCAAATCAAGCTTCATTTTCTCTAGTTCTGTTTCAACATGAGCTCTTTCGCGTAGCTCCTGGTCTGATAACAACAACCTTTGCTGATCCATCCTAAGTAGAATATTTCTGCAAATCCGAATATTTACTTGAAGCTGTTGAACCTTCTCAGAAATACCCAAGTAATCTGAAATATCTGTAACAGCCAAGATTTGATCGAGTCTCTGGTGGAATGCATCTCTAGCAGGCTTAGAATGGACCAACAAATCCGTTACTATGAAGTATAACGCTGAGTACTGCGAGGAAGTTGCGTTGAAAACAAGCTTTGCCAAGTTTACATGGAGTTCATTAGCTCTTGACCGATTCTCTGCAAACAAAGTGTTTGGCTTCTTATGTGTTAGCGACATGCTTGTCCTCTCCACAATCAAATCATCCTCAAGCCACGAACTATCATCGCAAACTTCCAAGTCAACCCATGGTGGCCAAGTCTTTTTTGTGCCAGCTAAACCATATGGATCTGTAGATTGATCAGGGAATTTATCTTTGTTAAACGCAAAAAAGTGAGAGTCTTGGAAAAGAACACCATACCGTGTCTCGATGAGTGACATTTCTTCAGAGCCCTCACTAATAATATCATTTGTTCCTGCCACATTGACGCAAATAATTCTCATTTCGATTTGCTGAGACGTCTCAAGAATACAAGATGTTAGATTTGCGTCACTAATCATTTGGACCTGAGGTCTAATTAACTTGATGAGAAACTTGTATTCGATCTCCTCGTCATCACCTTCAATATTGTCAAGATATTCATCGAAAGCCTTATTGAGATCACCCTCGCTGGCGTAAACTTTAGGAACGTCATCATCTAATAGCCTACCCGTAGAGCTGCGATCAGATTGGACGTCCGACTCCAGAAGTGCATTCTTCAATAGACTCTCCACCAAATCCATTGCTTTTCTTGTCATGGCAAATCTACTAGACTTGCTTTCTCCAGCAAGCAGGAGGTACTCAATGAACATGTCTCTGATTTTGTTATTCCACTTCAACTGTAAGTTATGAAGCAAGAATCGGTTATGATAAGCCGAAACTGAAGTGTTCACACTTGTCACCTCACGAGCATCTTCCATAATGGTTGAATAGATAGTTGGTTGCCTCGATGCAACTCTATTTATCGAAGACTGGGAAGAACATTCCGAGTGCGCCCCAATTGCTCCATTTGGGCTGGCTCCATTTGGAGTGAGGAATACCTCGTTCAAACTTGCTGGTCTCGAAGTATTTCTCACGCCTTCATAGATCATATTAACCTTTTCCAATCGCTCTTCATTCTGAACAATTTCAGTTTTGATCCTCTCATAGTCATTCATAAAAACAGGATCATTAATCTTCTCGAGTTGACGCACTGCAGTGATATTCTCTTCCAATTCTTTCCGAATACTGTCAGACCTCTTTTCCAATATCATCTCTTGAACTTTTTCTGGGGATTGGGCTCCAATTAAACAGTTATGGGATCTTTCATTGCCAAACGGAAAAGCTCCTTCAGGAACCTCCAAGGTAAACTCTCTAAAGAAAGTAAATTTGGGAGTAAAGAAGAAGGGGTGAATCTTCACTTTAGGATCAGCGGATAGAATCTGTCGTTCTTCTAACTCCACAAAGTCTTCCGGATCTAACCACAGGAAATCTCCTCCAGAGATCGAAATATTTCTGATCCAATCAGTGTTGTTAATGCCACTGCTGCTCATCTCGGAAGATTCACCGGATTCATTTCCTATAAGTTCACCCGAATCTGAAGTATAATCAGATAAGAGCTGTGCTCTCAACGAAAGGTCAGAGAATGAAGCATGCATAATTCGAATATCAGCATCGGTGAGGTCAATTTCTCCTAAATTCAACTTTAACTTCCTCACCTTTTTATCAATGCCCAATTTCTCATTGACATATCTGACAAACTCCTTACGCTGATGGAGATCAATGACACACCTGGAAAACTTTCCTTTCAATCCGGTTGCAATAACATTTTGTCTCCTGTTGAGTGTTGCATGTGCAAGGAAAACATGAGAGATAGTGAGAGGTTCAAGCTCTAATTGATATTTGAATGTGAACAAATGTGGTCCCATCTTGACCAGCGAATGAGTTTTCATCTCTCTAACAAACAAAGGGCCATCTCTCACAGGTAAAGAAATAATATGTGAGATTGTATTCCACCAAGTAAAGAAGTATTGGATAGTTAACGGGGTTAGATAAGCGGCATTGTGTGAATTTCCTTTGGAAGATGTGGATTTCACCGATATGGCTAGGTGAATATAATCAGACCTATAATCTTCATAAGAATCAGGATGCCATTCATATGCTGGGCTAGTAACACGCACATCATAATGAGGCTTGAACTTGTTTGTACGTTCCTGGTTGCTGCTCAATTCAGTAGTTTGTCGATCCACATTCTGCTCAAATAAAAACCCAAGTTTCCATTGAACTTTCTCATCAGAAGAAAGTTTCATCACCCGCTTCAGGAACTTTCGACTCTCTGACTCGGTATCGTGAACGTAATCATGAAGCTCATCGTAACGTAAACTCCAGCTTCGGTTCTCTGCCGTAGAATAGTTAGGAATACCCAAAATAAAATCGTCACTTTCAAGAATGACGATCTCAGAGTGCTCTCCAGTATCGTTAATTCTCAACGAAACATTATTCTTCCAACAAAATACGAATCCGGAATTATCTCCAATAAGCCTGTAGGGAGAATTAGAGCTCTTCATATGGAAACAAAGCTCATTTTCAATATTGAAAGCGATCTTTCCATGAGCGATCAACGCAATTTTATCCCACCAACCTAGTGGACTATCATCAATTTCAGGTTTTGTGAAATTGTCAAACGACGACATAATGCTGGAGATTGCAGGCAGGTAGGACTTGCTCCAACTGAAAACGCACGCTCTGTCAGTTCTAAGATCACAGGTGAGGTCAAACATGAACTTGATAGGTGTTAAAGTTCTAATAATGTGAGCAGAATAGAAACTGTCATCAAGATTTGAATCCACAATCGCAGGAGAAAAAGGCACAAAAATATGCCTTAATTCTTCTTTCATATGGACTAGTTTCTCATTAATGACGATATTTCCACGGAAATCCATGACGGGAATATCTTCTCTGCTATTTTCCGGGAATGACAAAAGCGGAAGGGGATAGTCCTTAATGCTGAAATAGACAAAATTGCATCGAAGATGGAAAAATAATGGAATAAGAATGGAGTAATCAAGCCTTGGTTGGCCTTTTCCGTACTTGTACAAAAATTCATCAAGATCTGGAATCCTTGGATTATCAACTGTAAGGTCAAAGCCTTTGAAGAATCCGGCAAACTGTGGCACACCTGGAGCATATCCTTGAATTTCATGCTTGTCTTTGATAAGCGAGTTTATCTCGTCGTCGCCCCAGAGATTGCGTGCTCTTTTCTCGCTGGTTTTAAAATGGGATTCCTTGAATCTTCTGTACTTAAGAATCCAAGAGGTTGCAAAATCCTTATCGAGAGCCTCTCTGGCTTCAGATATAAGGGCATTGGCCTTATCCTCCGTCGTAAAAGGAGTATCGACCAGAAATGTTCCATCAGCCTCATTATCGGTGCCTTGTTTGGTTCGTGATGATCCATTATGCTTATGGTGTTCAGACTCCAGAGTTTTCGAGTTCTTTGATACACTAGTTTTCATGATCAGCAGCTTAATAGTTTCGTGGATATTTGGACCAATTTCAGTGAATTTCAACTTGGAACCAGACTTCTTTTCTTCATGAGCTTTCATGAACCTTCTGGCTGCTACTGATTTCTTAGTCAAAGCATCTTTTGCTTCCTTACGGATTTTCTCCGCTTTCTCTGCAAAGTGGGCTTCTTTTCGAATTCTTTCGATTTGCTCAACGAGTCCAAGCTCAAATATCATACCCAATTCAGCCTCAAATGGATCGTTTTCCAATGTTAAGCCAAAGGTATTTGCTTTCCATCTCACACGTGGCATCTTAACAGCTGGTACAACATGCTGTGGAATGGAAGAAAAATCATAGTTGTTCTCGTAGAGGTGTTGAAAATTCTGTTGAACTTGTTTGATTGCCTTAACAAACGTGATCACATTGTCGATAACAGTGTAGACCAAAAACTGGAATGGAATGTTGAAACGAACACTGGTAGAGTTCAAAGTGAACGTCTTGGATGAAAGATCGCTCAAATCCACAAAAGTTTCAGCAATAGATATTAATCTTGTCCAAAACTTTGTAGTTGGATGTACAACAAAGAGACGGCAATATTTGATCTGACAAAGAGGTTTCGTGAGTACGTTTTCGAGAATCAACAGATCCACCTCAAACAACAAGTCGACATTATTCACAACTCTTGCCACAACTGCGATAGAATCAACTTGAACTTCTAGATTTATTTTTCTCTCTGTTGGTCGAAGCTGACGAAACTGCTCCATCGAATACAGCTTCTGGACCTTTGGAGAAATCATTTTAACCAATGTACGAGCGTACATCACACACCAAACCAAGAAAATATCAATGCGACCATCGACTTCAGGTATATGAAGTTTCAATTTACTCCTCATACCCTTTGGATTCTCAATCACGAGATTATTGATGAGAAGTGCCCTCTTAACCTTCCTGAGTGAATCATCTCCTGTATCGTTGAAACACTCGCCCTCTGTGTCAAGAGATGACACGTCGTCAAAATCAAATTCTCCAATCTTACTTGTTGTCATTTGGTCGAAATCTTCGGTGTATTCACTCGCTAAGTCACTCATGGTATTAACTTGAGCTTGTGAAACAGACAATTTGAAAACTTCGTCAATTTTCTTGTAGTCCACCAACATTTCGCTCAATGTAAGCGATGTACCCCTTCTAAAGCTCGCTAAATCAATCTCCTTATCCATTGTTTTGTCCGACAAGATGTGAGAAGGTAAAGCGTCGTTACAAATGATAATCAACTGAAAAAGGGATGCCTGGAATCTGACGGAATGGACAATAGGTGGGAGAAGCTCAAATATGTCAACGAATGTAGCCTCTAATGTCGACTTGTCAAGACCCTCAGATACTAAGCTAGGGCTTTGACAGTCAAAGTCTATGTTTGCGCAGGCTCTGTTCAAGTGTTCTATGCGATCTTCTTGCAATCTTCGAATCACATGGAAGAGCATAGTATTGACTGAGCGAATTCTGAGACTTTTTGATGTGATCTTCAACGCTATGTTATTAGTATCAACACAGTAGCCCACAATTGCATTGAAGTTTGATGCTCTTGTCTCGTTTTCTCCAACATCAATTTGGATATTTTTCATCTTGAGATGGCATTTAATAGTCAAAGGAGTATTCCCACCTAAGCATTTTCTTCCAATGAGATTACTGAGGTTCTTGGTGGACGATTTGATTGCGATCATTCCAATGCCAGCATTGGTGATCACATTATCCAAGGAATCCCTGTGAAACTCATACTTATCAATATCTGGAAGGAGAAATGTGGCTTTGGTATCCACAATTACTGCCTTAGCAGAAGCTTTCCGGAATTTCTTGAAAAAATTTAACAAGGGAAGCAACTTCTCTTTTGAAATTTTAGGTGCTCGAGTAGAAACCGCCTTCTTAGACGTCTTTGATCGGGCAACAGAGCCCAAAAGATACGAGAGCTGGTCAAAGTAGATGTTGAATAACGGGTTGGTAACGTTCAAACTCACGGAAATGTCAATAAAGTACTGGTCATCGCCAGCGTTGTATGCTCGATACATATCAGTAATATCTGTCTCAAATAAGTATGTGAGAGAAGGCACTTCCACACATTTCAGGTCCAAGTGAAACATACGACCTGCTGTGAGGTAGGATGATACTTTACCCACCACTTGTTTTTTGAACGACGTATCTTTCACAATGTCAACAGCAAAAGACGACCATTCAAACCTTAACTCTTTATAATCAATGACACTCTGCTCGATTTTTATTTGAACTGATGTGAGAAGGTTGAGAAGTGCTAGAACTCTTCTCATGGAAGGCAAGTGGATTTCCCGATGTTGTTTTGGTTTCCTCTTTCTATTGGCACTATCTAGTAAGTGCGGAATTTTTGGGACGTAGAGCTCACCCACAGAGAAGGAGAACCCGATTTCGGTGATTTGAGCAATTATGTGGTCACTTTTCTCCATTGGACATATGAACAGCACTGCGTAGGACATACCCACTTCCAAGTTATGGAGGACTCTAACCTGGTCAGAAGTTGCACCTGGAGAATGATCAATTACATATCCATCAATGGCAGAGATAGCAAACCGGTGTGTTCCCAAGTCGCGAGAGCGTAAACCTTCCAAACGGAAATAGTCAATATGGAAGGAGACATCCTTGTGCAATTCATGGTGGGAGAATGAGAGGTGCTGGCAATGGATAGCCAATTCGTTGACCCATTTCCGAATGAAAAGGACATTATAGACTTTGTGAGGTATTGGAAATGATATGACGGAAGGTAATTCCTGGCACATGGATGGTGAAGGCGTTTGTGGAGAATCTCCAGACTCCAACGACTTAATCTCCACATTGCTGAACATCAAGTTGAACATACGGAACGGAGCATCCGACGACCAGGACGCAATATTGAGCCGCAAGTGAACACCCCCAATGGAGATTTTCATCGATTTGAGTGAGATGGTGACATTTTTCAATCGCATCCATCCTAACGACCTCACGGAAATGTGGGGGATGCTGTTGATTGCCACCAACGCCAATACATAACCCGCTAGTAACGCACAGACCACGCAGGACAAGATTGTCATGGACGGCGATGAGACAGCCATTTGTGAAGCTTTTCAGTGGAAGTGGTAGACAAGTGGCTGGCAACGGAGGTTAATTATCGACAAAGCCGTTGAAACTGTTTTGTCTGGGCAAGGGGGCCAATAGTAGGAAGATAAAAAAGGCAGATAGTGAATAGTAGCAGTAGATTAAACGATGCGTTCAGAGCTGGAAAATTGACAAATAAGACCTTGACAGATTGGTAGTATAGGATGTGTTTCCTGACTTAATTACGATGTTCTCGATAGTGAGAAGACACTTGGTTGCGAGCGCGGACCACTTCCATTTGGAGAAACGGAACTATCGGAACTACTGTAGAATAATTGTCATAATAGCCGTTTAATACGTCGGACAACTTAAAAACACTTTAATTGTCATTCTTGTCATCAGATGTGAATGGATTTTTGAATGATGAGGATGGAAGTAGAAGAACGTGCAATGTGTTTTCATTACAGTTAACAACACTTGACAGTAAGATTGATGGTGGGTAGCAAAGTAGGATAGGGTGAAAGTAAGAACTTGTAATTTTTCCATAGCAGTGTATTCAATAGTTGCTTTTGTATTTCTGTTAAAATGTTTTGTGTAGTCTTGCAGTAATTATGACTAGGTTTTATTTATTGTACTGTAGCATCTTTATTATGCTAGCAACTCTTATTAAAACAATGTGGGATTGTCGATTGGCCAAGACCGCTTCCACTTTTTCTTATCCTTTTTTGGCAATGTATGTAAAATAAAAGGATACTTTTTCTCTTTCTTTCTTCCCTGTTTGGTATCCCACTTTCTTCTTCGCCTTCTCTCTCTACTTTCTGTTTTCAATTCTTTTAAAGACGGAATTTGTTAAGGACGGAACTTGCTAACAGAAGGGCAAGACACTTAGAGTAGCAGGCCCACGAAGAATCTCACACAGAGTACAACTCGAAAGAATAGAATAGTATTGAGGAGAATAAATAGTGATCAAAAGTACAAGTAGTATATGGTGGCTTTCAATGTCATCACCAAAGAATCTGAGCACTTGGTTTTTCGCAGCCATTTTGTAAGACTCGAAGGGCCCTTTATAACCTGAGGTAACCAGGCAGATTCAAAATGTTTGACACAGTGTAGAATTGAAATTCAAGCGATTTGTCTTCACATTTCATAGAACTCATTTTCAATGTTGCAGTCGTCAAGTAAAACCTTAGTACAAAGCTGTCAAGTCCAAACGCCATGCCTTCCATATTATTCAAACACTAAAGTCCATTCCGATTAGAAGTAAATTCTAGAACATTGCTACCTTATATAGGAATTGAATCAAAAATAAAAAAGAAGCTCTTACCTTCTTCTTCCGATTCACCAGCTTGACCCTTTCATACGGTCACCTCAGTGCTCGTTGCTATTTTTCTCATTAGGCCAACTCCCAAAATCATATTAGACGATTCACCATTTCCAATTATACTAATTTTTTTCATTATTCATTTCTATAATCCTAGTCCTCTCTATTTTTCCATTCTTCCATTTCCTTCTCTATTTCTTACCTTATCGGGCGTGTGTGTACCACCCTCTCGCCACATCTCCACATAACTCTCACTATACTACCTCCATTTACACTATCATGGAAGAACTTGGAATCCAGACCCCTGTGGTGCCTCCATTGGCCCTTCCAAAAGCAAAAGACTGGCAGCCCCAAGATGAACTGTTGGACATCTACTTGAAGTTAAAAAAATTGCAGAAAGAGTTGGATCTCTTGATGTTACAAGAAGACTACATCAAAGACGAACAGCGCCACTTAAAGAGAGAGTTGGTGCGTGCACAGGAAGAGGTTAAGCGTATCCGGTCAGTGCCATTGGTCATTGGCCAGTTTTTGGAGCCCATCGACGAGAATACCGGTATTGTCTCGAGCACAACTGGCTCCAACTACGTGGTTCGTATTTTGTCCACCTTAGACAGGGAGTTGTTGAAGCCTTCATCGTCGGTTGCTTTGCACCGTCACTCCAATGCATTGGTGGACATTTTGCCACCAGAAGCAGACTCGCTGATTGCCATTGTGGGTGATAATCAGAAGCCTGATGTCACCTACGCTGACGTGGGTGGCTTGGACATGCAGAAACAAGAAATCAGAGAGGCTGTCGAATTGCCTTTGACTCAAGGTGACTTGTACTCGCAAATCGGTATTGATCCACCTCGTGGTGTGTTGCTCTACGGTCCACCAGGTACTGGTAAGACCATGTTGGTGAAAGCCGTGGCTAACTCCACCACTGCCTCGTTTATTCGTATCAACGGTTCCGAGTTTGTACAGAAGTACTTGGGAGAAGGTCCCAGAATGGTGAGAGATGTGTTTAGATTGGCTAGAGAAAACTCGCCAGCCATCATTTTCATTGACGAGATTGACGCCATTGCTACCAAGAGATTTGACGCCCAGACTGGTGCTGACCGTGAGGTGCAGAGAATTTTGTTGGAATTGCTCAACCAGATGGATGGTTTCGACCAGACCTCCAATGTTAAGGTGATTATGGCCACCAATAGAGCTGACACCTTAGACCCTGCATTGTTGAGACCAGGAAGACTAGACAGAAAGATTGAGTTCCCCTCGCTTAAGGACAGAAGAGAACGGCGGTTGATTTTCTCTACTGTGGCTTCGAAGATGGCTTTGGCACCCGAGGTGGATTTGGACTCGTTGATTGTGCGTAACGATCCATTGTCTGGAGCGGTCATTGCTGCCATCATGCAAGAAGCCGGATTACGTGCTGTCAGAAAGAACAGATACATGATTTTGCAGAGCGATTTGGACGAGGCCTATGCTGCACAGGTGAAGACAGGCACCGAGCACGATAAGTTCGACTTCTACAAGTGATGAGGAAGAACGACATGAGCATGTAGTTGATGTATATTAATTAGAGAAGTTCGAAGATGCCAAGTCCTGGCTGTAGACTTTGGATGTCCCCAATGTCTAGGTGATCCATATCCAAATGTTGCTTGATTTTCCATATAACATTGTGTGGACAGTCAAAATTTTTGTTGAATGAAGCCACTGGGGTAATTAAGTATGTCTTTGCAGCGAAAGACTTGACAGTTGTGATAACCTTTTGCAACAGGTCAATTTCCAATCCCATTGTATCGAATAAAAGGTTTGACTTAGAAGCATCAATAAAGAAATCGACGTTGTCATCACTAAGTGTGATGAACTGAGTAGAATTGTGTTTATCTCCCAACATCCAAGTTGGGGGTGAGTATGTTCTCCACCAAATCTGGGCTGTAACACCCAGTGATTTGTCGGTGGGATCATGGTATATGAAGTCATGCAAATAATCAACCGCTGGTACTACGCCGCCCTGATGGTAAATTCCCATGAGAAGTGCTAGTGCCGAGTTGAACAAGTACCATAAGTTGAGTACAGCGGCAGGGAGAGCACTGGTTCTCCTAGACTTGGGTTCCGTTGCATTATCAGTTTTTTCTTTCATGTTTTCATCGTTACTGGATTCGGGTTTACGATCGAATACCTCCATGTCGAAGCAGCAACAAAGCAATGGAACAACAGGAATTAAAAACCTAACCTCTTGGTGTGGGACAAGGGAAAGGAAGAAAAGGCCACTGGCAGCGGTGACAAATGGAGTGGTTCTCCAGTATCTGTTCTTGAAGCCGTAAAAGACGAAGGCAAGACCTGGACCCAATAACTGAGGTAAATTGATAACAGCATGCGTGTAATATGGGTGAATTCCGTGTTGTGCAAGATTAGCATGGTGAGTGTTGTAGATCAAATTGTTAAGCGGGGCCACTTTGTATTGATCCCATTTGAATGTCTTCAAGATGGTCCAAACAGAGGCTTGTGTGAAAATAGCGGTATCTGCAACAATAAAAAGAGCCGAAACAATCAAAAATGGCACTCCAGTGAACAAAATCAACAGCCTCCATTTCCTCCAACACTGTAGGTAAAAGAAGGCTGGAAATACAAAGAAGGCTGGAAATGTGACTCGATTAAACACACCAATAGCACCTACCACACCTAATCCGGCTGCTAAGATCCCAATCTCTCGGAAATTATATTGATTCTCTGGTGTGGTTGAAAGGAACCTCAACTCATTGATCATAAAAACTGTGAGCATCACCAACACTGTTTCAACAGAATTTGAGAAGGTATGGCTCTGGTAAACCAAAGTAACGTACGATGTCAGAGCAAAGTAAATAGCCTTGATCCGTTCTTGCTTCGTAGGAAGCATTCGGTAGAGACACCAATCAGTAACTACCCATGACACTAGCATGAGTTCAAGTCGTGCCAAATACCTAGTTTGTAGTGGCAGAAGTCCAAATGTCGAGCTAAGGTAAATCACAGGATAGTATAGCAACATCAACAAGGCATAGCTTCGAGCAGGAGCTTCAGCGGAGAATTCCCACGGTGGATTGGTCGAATAGCCTAGTAGCAGGCCAAGTGGTTCGAATGACTGGAAATGTTCATCTGGATGAATGTAAGAGTCTGCTAGTGTAAGGCAAAATCGGATTCCTATTGTGATGAAGTATATTGACCTCCAATTGGGAGTAGACACGGCCATTTGGTCAAGATTGTAGTGGAGTTGAAGTGATGAATGGTTGTAGGTGCAGTCGGAGATGAAGATAGCTAGAGAAAGGAGCTCAAAACATGGGAGAAAAGGAAAAATAGGAGAGAAGGCAAATAATTGTGTAGAAGTGGTCTTGAGCGATCAATTTCGATTCAATTCACAAAATTGCTGCTAGACAGTACAAAGCCATAATACCCAGTGGATAGCGGGAGTGCAACTTACCAAGATGTACCCTTTTCGAATGTAACATAAGTATTATTCTAAAAATTTTGATAATGGAATACACTTTCCTCCCTATATGTTCTCTTTTTTCTCTTGACTGTCTCTATCTTGTCATTATTTGCGTCTCAGGCTATCAATCTTCTCCACTTATTACATTCAATCTATTATGCTATTCAAACACGTCGTGATGTTCCACGGCAGTCTCCACATCACTCAAACCATCGTCCTCCTCCACAATCTCCTCGTCACTCTCTTCGTAATCGTCTGCAACATCCAGTCCATTCATCTCAATGTCATCATCGCTCTCCACTAATCCAGACTCAACAGCATCATCGATTTCCTCAACATACTCAACATCGGTGTCTGCATCATCGTAGTCATTTTGAGCAGCGGATCCTGCCAAAATCTCCTTCTTCAATGCATTCTGCAGCTCCAACATATTGAGACGTCCCTGCAACTCCAACAATCTGGGTAATGTATTTGCTTTTTTGGTCAAAATGGCATGCAAACTCGACAACTTGCTCTTCATATTTGGCATCGACGACAACATGCCACCATGGATGATGATGATCCACTTGAGCCAGTAGTTCAACTGATCAAACCTCAGCTGTTGTCTGGTGATTCTTTCAGTGAGACGGTCCAATAACACGACAGCCAATGACGAGTTGAGTCTGGAAATGGTATTTTGCACAACCATAGGGTCTCTGTTGCTCAACACCGTCTCCAATAACGAGTGGTCATTGTTTCTCAACGCCTGTGAAAGAACCATCGTCAAGGTGCCAGCTGTGTGCTTGCTGAGCTTCTTGGCTCCACTCTGCTTCTTTTTGGAGTCTTCACCCAACTTCTCTAATCTTTCTGCAAGCGACTCGTCCTCATCTTCGTCTTCCTCCTCCAAATCGTCTTGAAAAGCACTACCCTCGGTGACCACGGTATGGTCTTCGTTGTAAAGTCTTGCAGCAGCAACATCCTGGCTACCCTTGGTATTAGAATGAGTAGTGATAGATTGCTTCGCCTCGGTAATCACCTTATGGCCAGTGAATACATAGTCTTCCGCAAACCAGGGCAAGGCATCGAAACGTGCCATGGCGCCGTTTTCGTTCCACGTAACGTGAAGCACGGTCTTGGAGGCTGCAATTGCATTTATGTACAAATTTTCATCTTCTGGGGTTCTAATCTCGTCTGATGGACGAGAAAATTTAAGTGAGGCATCACAGTGTCTAGACTTCGACAACATCTGCTTCCGTTTCTTTTTAGGCGTAGAATCGTCATTTGGGCTAACTGTGGTCAAGGGGTTATTGAAAATTTCAAGAGAACCATTTTCCACAATCACTGCCAACATGGTATTGTTCTTGCTTTTATGAACCCCGAAAGCGACCTGTTTGATATTAGATTGAGCCACAAGAACAGCCAAAGGCGCTCCTTTCTGCATGGAGAAGACATTGGCAAATCTATCACCCTCGGCAGCAGTGATGAACAAATCTTTCTTATTAGGAACAGGCATCAACGTAATAAGAGGCTGAACATGTGCTGGAAATGTTTGAACGATGGACTTGGACAAAAGATTCACCATATAGACGTTGTGGGTACCAACAAGAAGGTGAATTTCTTTTTCATACATGACGGTGGCAAGCTTCGAAATGTGTTCGGTGCCATCAAGCATATCCGAGAGGGCGAATCTCTGTACCAACAGGTAGTTCTGCAAGTCCCATTCGTAGATGTTACCGTTAATGTCTGCGGACCAGCCCGATTGCGAAAACTTACAGAAATAGAAGTCAGTGATCTCTAAGTTGACTGGACTCTCAAGCTCAGCCACTATGCTGTTGGAAGAAGGACTGTAAATGAGGATGGTGCCGTTCGTCTGGCACAATGCGATGAGATCGGAGGAAATCCACTCTAGCGTGGCTAATTTGGCGCCTTTCTTCAAATTGAAGGAGACATTGAGCGGGTCTTGCGCCAACACAACGGCCTGTACCTTCACCTGGTGAGTGTCTAGCGCCTGGACCGCCAGAGCCAAGTAGGTGTGGGATGGGTCGAATTTGGAGCAGATAATGGGGCCCGACATTTAGGTAGATGGGGAGAAGTTGTTATGAAAATCTGGGTAATTTGAGTAAGCCAGGGGTACAGAATTCGACTATGCAATTGTCACGGGGTGTCCGTAACTTTTAGTTTGGAAATGGAGTGGTCCAGTTGATTTCGATTGAATGCGATGAGACTTTTTTTGCAAGGTGATGGCATTCGCTTGGTGTACGGGTGTGCATCGAGATGATCAGCTAGTAATTATCAACGGTAATGATAAAGAAAAAAGAAGGTAGAAATGTTTTCTATTGATTCATCAGAGGTGAAAGTAAAGAGAAATTATCCTTGAAAGTGATTTGAACCTTTTTTTTGGGATGAGGGGGCTCATGTTTATGTATGTTGAGCTTAGAAATGTCATATCTACTTATAGCCTATGAAAATGGAAGCACAAAAAACCAAATGGTTTACTCGATTGTTGGTTCTTGGGCTCCACTTTTACACCTCAGAATTATATCTCGTATCATCATGTCATTTTAGAAATCGTCATCATTATATCAACATTCCCGATCTGGACTGGTTTATGGTATGCGCACGACGACTAGTTTATCAGAAATCACAACACCATACCATCTGTCCCAAACTAGCAAAATGCCAATCTGTGGAGGCAGTACCAAGATCAGTACGTACCACTAGGCATCACCACAATGTGGTCGGCGCGGACTACCTTGTCGTATTTCTTTCGTTCTCCATTCCCCGTTTTTCAAATCAACGGTCCCGTCTGATTATCGTATAGTTACCGGCGAATTGGGCTAAACATCACCAACGTCTGATGATCATCTCCAGCTACCTATCAGCATAATCCAACACCGTGTCTTCTTATAAGAAATCCCTACTAACCTTCAGTTCAGCGAAAAATCGTGATCCTTGGCGACGGTGCCTGTGGTAAGACCTCGCTTCTTAACGTGTTTACGCGGGGCTATTTTCCCCAGGTGTACGAGCCCACGGTGTTCGAAAACTACGTACATGATATATTCATCGATGGCCAGTCCGTGCAGTTGTCGTTGTGGGATACGGCTGGCCAAGAGGAGTTTGATCGTTTGAGAGCATTATCCTACTCCGATACACATTGTATTATGTTGTGTTTCTCGATTGATTCGCCCGACTCTTTAGAAAACGTCCAACTGAAATGGGTGGGTGAGATTGCTGACCACTGTGAGGGCGTCAAGCTCGTTTTGGTAGCATTGAAGTGTGATTTGCGTAATGATGAAGAAGACCTTCTGGCTGCGCCTGCTCGCGAGGATGAATCCTTCAATCCTTACGGTGGTTCGGGCCCTTACTCGCAGCAGAAGCGCTTGATCTCATATGAGGAAGGTTTGGCAGTGGCCAAGAAGGTTGGCGCTTTGAGATACTTGGAATGTTCAGCCAAGAAGAACAGAGGTGTCAACGAGGCATTTTCCGAGGCTGCTCGCTGTGCGCTCAACGCCAAACCCAAGGGGGCTAATGACAACGAGCCTGAGAAAAAGGGCTGTGTGGTGATGTAGTCCCGTCCATTCATTTGCATTCTAAGCTATGTACAATTATCAACATCGGTTCACTCTTTGAACGGATTGATGAGAAGTCGTGGTCTTTCGCTCCAGATGTCTTCTGACAGCCCAGCAAGCTTCTTCTCAAACAACCGTTTCTTGTAGAACTCCTGTACGGTCTTTCGGCGCTCCAACTCTCGAGGATTCTGAGCAACATTGTCGACATTAATTTCCGATTCACTCACTGACCCATTCCACATGGCAAACCAGAATTTCTCTCGCTGTGCTGCGCACGTAGTATATGTGCCATATCTGTAGTAGTTTCTAACTTGGCCTCCAAGAGCAAAACACAGAAGAAGGTCATCAAAGGCTGAAAGTACTGAAAGATCGGTGGGGAAGGACAGAATGGCATTTTCCCGGACAGTAGCAAGCACCTCACGGCGTTTTGCGGCAATTTCCGAGTCTTTCTCGGTGAAGAGCTCTTGTAGTTGCAGAAGTTCTTCATTTAGCTCGTATTCTGCTTCTTTGATACCCATGGCTAGTTGTTTGAAGTTAAGAGGTCGGTTGGAAATTACTAGTGTTGGATGTAGGTCTTTGAATATACACAGGATAGTATGGATGATTAATGCTATTGATTAAACGTATTTCTCTTTATGAAGAAGCTGGCGATGGATTATAAAGCGTAAATATCCCTGTCTTCTTGGAACCGAAACCTCCTATCATACGTAATTCTGTTACTCCGAAGATAGGGAAGAATATTCTTCTGTATTTCCTCTTCTTGACATGCAGAACTCAATACGTGGTGATGAACATGGATCAAATGATGTTCAATAAAACATCACAGTGTACAGTTTCGTTTTATTATTATCACCCCTTTTGAATATTTTAAGTATTCTAGATTTGTTTTTGTACGCTAAGTTTAAGCTCAAGACTCTTCTTCCATATGTACTTATTCATTCTCATTTTCCAGTCGCAATGACCAGAAACAAGCAGAATCGTAAGAACAATCACTCTAAATCAATTCCAAAATCTTAAAAACGTATTGATGCCTAGAACAATTGAAAGAAGAAAAAAGATCGACATGCAGATAAAATTTTTGCAAACTGTATCAATGGGGCCTTGTATTTTTTCTTTTACACCATTAAGACCCTTAAGTGAATCATCGTTACAACTTTTACGTATCAAAAAGTCATATAAATTAATCCAAAGTATCAGAAATCATACTCGAAAAAACCGCATCAAGAATTCAAATCACAATCATACTCCAAAAGTTTTCAAACATATCTCACACTCACCCAATCATCAAGGTAATGGCTGCAAATATAACCGGGAGAACACTAATAACCTCCCCAACACCAGCATAGGTTGGAGGAATTCTAAACTCCACAAACGCACCTGCTGCGGCTAATATAGCCACCAAGTTGTATATAAATGCCCACAAAAAGTTAAAGAAAATAACTTGAGACGACCGGCGACAAACTCTAATCAATTGCTCGATTCCCCTTAACCCTCCACAGAGCACGACATCAGCAGTAGCCAGAGTAATATCAGAAGCATTTCCAACTATCACACCGATAGTAGCCTGAGCAACTGCCACTGCATCATTTGTTCCATCTCCACAGAAGAGCACCTTTTTTCCAGATTGCATGAGTTCCAGAACATATGCCTGCTTCTGTGCTGGGGAATGCCGATAACGTACATTCTTTGAAGGAATTCCAACCTTGCTTGCAACTTGCATCACTGTATTTGCATTATCTCCACTAACAATGTGGCAAACTATATTTCTGCCAAGCATGTGGTCGATCACATCTTTGGCTTCTTCACGAAGCGGTGCCTTCAAACTAAATGCTGCAACCAAGACTCCATCAACCGTAGCGCAAACAATCGAATGATCTTGTTGAAGAAGATTCAAAATATAAGCATTTTGATCAACTCTAACCCAATGGATATTTCCCAACATAATCGATTTTCTGTACCACATGCCTTTGATGCCTGAACCAGGAACAGACTCAAGGTTCCGGACAGGCTCTGGAAATGAAGAGCCATCAAACAGTCCTTTCAAGTGTTGGAGAATGGCTACAGACATTGGGTGATCGTTTGCAGTAGCCATCGAATGCACAAGAAAATTAACCTCCCTGTCAGAATAATCTCCAAAATACTGTGCTTTCTCGACTATCAATGCACTGCTTGTTAAGGTGCCAGTCTTATCAAAAACAATATCAGTAATTTTACATCCACGTTCTAATACTGAAGAGCTCTTGATCAAAACTCCCTTGCGAGCTGCCGCAGCACCCGCAACCACCAAAACCATAGGAACAGCTAGTCCCAAAGCACATGGGCACGAAACCGCCATCACAGCAATGCTATATGTAATAGCCGATCCAAATGCACCTCCTCCGCTTTTGTCTTTTAACTTTATATTGACAATAACCCAAACAATCAATGCAATCAAGGATAAAACGATCACCACAGGCACAAAGTAACCGGCAATGGCATCTGCTAAATCTTGAACCTTGGGTTTTTCAGCCAAGGCTTTCTCGACTAATTCAGCAATATCAGCAATGCTATTATCGCCAGGTAAGCGAGTTAACTTTACTCTCAAAGGAGAAGAGCCGTTCAATGTTCCCGCAATAACCAAATCTTTAGAAACTTTCCTTATTGCTGTTGACTCGCCAGTTATCATCGACTCGTCTACCGTACTTTCACCCTCTACGATGATCCCATCCGTTACCACCTGCGCATGTGGCTTAACTACGAAAATGTCACCGTGTTGTAAGAGACGCGAATCTATCAGAGCTGGCTCCCCATTTTCCTCAACAATGGCCGTTTGAGATTGTAAAGACCTCATGGAGATAGCAGATACGGCCCTAACTTTGGCAACCATGGCCAATAATCTTCCAAAGAGAACAAGGGTAATAAGCAAAGTGCTTGTTTCAAAAAAGGCTTCTTGTTCAAGGCTGAAGCCAGCAAAGTGCAACCCGAATGCAACAATTGAATAAACATACGCTGCAGTAATACTGATTACTACCAACAAGTCCATTTCCACGACACGACTATAGATCAAGCTTTTTAATGCTTTTACATAGAATTCGGGAATAGCTACAGTCTGAACAAATGTAGCCAAAACCAATTGAATAATAGATGAAGTTGCATGCGAAACATTAACACCTGACCAGACTAACACCAAAACTGGAATGGTAAGTATGGCACTTAATACTGTTTTCCACAACAATGAATAAATTTGTTTCTTCCCCTCCTTCTTGAAGTCCACCGAAGCTTTTGTCAAATCAGCACCTGGAATACCCCTTAAAATATCTCTTGCGCCTATAACTTGAGGATCATAGGTAATTTTGTAGGTACTGTTTCCTACTTTATCAATCAGCTCCACCAAATCATGGACTCTACTGAAATCCACATTGGTAGCACTGATCTCTAAAGTCTGATAGTCGCGTTTGATCAAACTATAGCTGAACCCAGTTTCCTTAGTCAACCGAGTTGTTGCTTGGTCGATATCACAAATATTCGGATCATAATCAAATTCAACAGTTGATGTGACGAAGGTTACTCTGACAGAAAAAATACCTTCAGAATGGCCGAGCGAGTTGATGACTTTCTTGGTACATCCAGTGCATGTCATTCCCGAAACTTTGAGTTTTACATGTTGCCTTGATGACCCAGACTCCAAATCATCATTTTTAGAAGCCTTCCATGGATTTCTTGCCAACAGATGGTTTAATTCGTAAGGCTTTGTTGAGCCTCCCAATCTGTGAGTCGACGAAGAGGAGCACGAGGGGCCCTTTAAAGAATTCCTATTCGAGCAGCACAGTTTATTAGTCTGGTTTTTGACACTAACCGATTTGGATGCTAGGCGAGGTTTCTTTGCGCAGCAGTTGGCTACCGATCTTCTCTTAGAGCATTTCTTTCTCAACGATCTCTCATACTCATCTACGAGTCTGTCCACAATTTCAAAGCAAATACAACGGCCCAACCTGATAAACTCTAAGTATTTTCTCATGGAATCCGCAAGATGCCATTCGCAAGCCTCTTTCACCACAACTTTTATGTCAGTTTCCTGATCCACATCCTGAGCAGTTGAGTCACAACATGGTCCAGCACACAGGGACTTCTTTGGAAAATTGGCAGACTTTGAGTCATTACACTTTGGTTTAATTGCGTCACAAACCTGGATCTTGTCATCGCAACAGCTCGGAGTTTCATTGGTGATAACGAGAATTTCAGTGTCTATGCGATTATCGCAACATCCACTCTTGCATTTCTCAGTCAAATCGAGGTCAGTACTAACTGGGAGAGAGAAATCATCAGAAACCAAATTTGCTTCACAAAATGAGTCTCGATCCCCACCGTTGTTGTATATTGAAGTTTGATTGTGACATTTTTCCTGACACACTTCGCAAGATCCAGAAGGTTCATTTAAAAAATGTTGATCATTTGAATTCAATCTCTGCTTGGTAATTTTCGAATTCGAAATTAATCCAGACTTTTCCTTGAGTGTCATGAGATTATCTTCCAACTTGTCAGCCTTCCCATTATCAATCATTTCCGTATCAATCATGGAAGCTACAGACTTATCAGCACAGCTGCTCCCACCCTCATTACAGTCACTAGCAATTCTTTCATTACAAGCATCATCTTCAGTACTCAATTGCCAATTGGAGTCTATTGATTCTCCACACCCTTCATGAGAAAGCAGGCACTGGAGCATAGCCAATTCCCGTATACATTGGGCTATTTGTTAGAAAAAAAATAAAAAAAAACAGTCCCATTTGTCAGAATTCATACCAGTACACGAGCCTTGATGGTGCATGCACTTCTCAATGCATTGCAGCGCCGACAGGCGTAAGTCGATTGAGATGGTCATGATAATATGAAATCATTATCTGCTTGCATATTTGACTCCTTAATGACTATGCAGTTTCTCTGTACCCTTTGGCCATTCAATGGTGCTGTCAAAAGATATAGCCCGGCAGAATGTCAGAACTGCTCTATTATTTTTTTTTGTTTCTGGTTCCAGATGGAATCTGTGCTGCTGTTCATGTTGAAAATCCGGCCTGGATTTATTCGCAGCCAAATTATGGAAGTCGCATAGGAAAAGTTGAGATTACAGTCGTTGTGATCTTGAACCAACTACTCTGCCGGACACTGATTGGCCTTGCCAGACACTGATAGGTTCCTCCCCTTAAATGCTCCAAATGTTGTAGATAAATAATCCAAGATCTAATTTAATGAGAATTTCGTTTTTCTTTGTCCAATTTTCATTCATCATAAATACATTGTCACTCTAATACCGTGGCTCCAAAATCAACTGGCCCTTAGCTACTTCAGAATGTCCCTTCTTAAAAGTAAAGACACTGTTGCCTCTAACAAACGTCTCAACTACGCGGCCCTGAAACGTCATTCCATCGTAAGCTGTCAACTTGTTCTTGAAGAAAACCTGGTCATTCTGCACCACATATGAGCAGTTTGGATCAAACACCAACAAATCTGCGTCGTATCCTACTGCTATTTTTCCCTTCTTATGAGATAATCCTACCTGTTTAGCGGTGTTCCAAGAACACCATCTGCTGATCTCCTGGATTCTCACTGGTGGATATAACTTCTGGCCCTCAGTAAACAAGATAGGCAAGCCAAAACCAACAGACGAGATACCTCCCCAGGCAGAAAAGAAATCTCCTTTCTCCAAACCTTTCAAATCAGGTGTACATGGTGAGTGGTCTGACACGACCGTAGTGATAATGCCGTTTCTTAACGCTCTCCACAAAAGCTTTCTATTGGCATCTGTCCGGATAGGTGGACAGCATTTGAAGTGAGTGCTACAGTTAGAGATTTTCTCTGCTGTGAGCGATAGGTAATGGAAACAAGTCTCAGCTGTCACAGGCAAGCCTTTGGCTTTAGCAGCACGAATCAAAGGAATTGCCTCGTGAGTAGCCAAATGGACAATGTGCAATGGGACCTTAGGGTTGAGCATCAGACAGTTGATAATCTCTGCAATGGCCGTGGTCTCAAAATTGTCGGGTCTAGAAGCTAGAAACGAAGCATACAAGGTTGGATCCACGTCTGCCAAAGCCAGATCCTCTGCCTGAGCCATTTTCAATGGGTCGTTCAAGTTCTCCTTGAATTTTTGCGTATCGAAATCAAGTGGTTTGGCTAAAGGAGATGTCATAGCATCCACACGGTCGTGGTTGGGGTTGGCCAAACGAGCAAATTTACCAAACTGAGGCTCAGAAGCTTGCAAAAATGGCGATTTGGCCAATGCACGGGCTTGTTCGTCTGTCAACACCCTATGGTCAATAGATCCCGCATGGTTATGGGGTAAGGTGCAATTCTCGTGCTCCTCATTGTGTCCTCTATGCTTATTTAAAAGTCTGACAACGGGTTTGGGTGCTCTGTTGATGAATGAGGCGGACATTCCCAAGTCCAATGCGTCAATTTCGGCCCCCATAGCCGGAATGTCATCTAGAGAATCATCATGCGAGATTGCTGCATTACCATTGATTCCATTGGCGCCATTGGCTCTATTGGAGCTGTCGTCAGTATCATCATCGCTAAGTGCTCCATCTAAAGAGAAGTGTGCGTGCCTCTCGTTTGGAATCAACTTGGGAGTTTTGTCTCCAATTTCCTCAACAAGGACAGGAGGTTGGTGCAGATGGTGAGGTTGCATCTCAGCATGGAACATTAACACCGTCTGTTCTCCTGTGACCTTCTTCATGGCCCGGTGAATGTACTTTGGAGAGATTGCGGGGAATTCGTCCACACCGGAGTCGATCATGAATCCTTTGAATCCTCTGACTCCCATACGGATCAACGGAATCAACGAGTCCAAATTGTCGGGGACCATGCCTCCCCAGAAACCTACGTCAACCCAAGTCTTTCCTTTGGCAGCGTTAATCTTCAAGTTGAAGTTTCCAACGGTTGTCGTTGGTGGAATGGCGTTTAGTGGCATGTCAATAACGGTTGTGACACCACCAGCAGCTGCAGCCTGAGTTCCAGTTGCAAAACCTTCCCATTCGGTACGGCCTGGCTCATTCAAATGGACATGTGCATCAACGAGTCCTGGCATGATGACCAACGGGCTGACCACGCGGAAATCGTGGGGATCCACATTATACTCCACCAAAATTGGGTCGTTTACCTTTAGGATTCTTGGAGAAATGTGGAGGATCTTTCCCGATTCAATGGAGAATATTACCGTGGCCGGAGCTACCTCCTCGTTGATAAGAACGTTTGTGGAAGCCAAAGCACGAGACATGATGAGGCGGAGACGGTGGAATGTGGAATTTTTTAAACGTTTAGTACAATCAAAAACACGTACTGTTCTTTAAGGAACTCTCGAAAGGAATAAAACTTAAGTGGATGCCCTCGTGGAAAAGTTGTCGGAATCACCTTTGATTAGTTGGTATTATGAGCCCTGTACTGATAAGCGACAATAGTCCAGTAAGAAGTGATGGATGGGGACAAGATGGAATGTTGGAGATGGCCTCACGAAAAATTTGAAAAATAAAATGATAAAAACGGAAAAGCGTATAACTCTCCAATTTAAGTATTTGAGTCTGAATCTGGATGATTGGTGAATCTCCACTGGGTTGTCGATTTCTTTCATGTAAATCCGACCGTGTGCAGAAATTTCGGCGATCTCCGAATTTGGGGCTCATATCAGGAAAGATCCGGGCCAATGATCGGGAGGCCGGCGGAGATTCGATGCGTCTCATTAGTTTTCTTCCAATGGAAGGGGACGGCGGGCCGGGTGGAATGTAGGACGTTTTTGGAAGGCTAGATTCATGTGGGTTGGGTAGAAGGTGTGTAAAAAATAAGGTGTGTAGGTCTGGAACTTTCTGAAAACGCAAGTGAAGAGGACCTTAGCAGGTGCGACCTTAGAAGATTCGAAGTTGGAAGAAGAAGAGATAATCGAAGATATCCAAAAGGAAGAGAATTCGAATAGCGAAGAAAAAAAAAAAATAGTATCCAGTCTATAATTCTACAGCATAAGAAAACCAGAGCTGTAGATTGAGCTGTAGCTTTAGCCACAGATCGAGTTGCAGATACCCCACCCGTAGAGTAAAAGTGATCACCTGGAGTATGAAGCTAGGTCATGTTTTTCAGCCAGTGTACTTATTCAGCTAGAATGTAACAAGCTGCTTGCCGTCCTTACTGCTGGCAACAGCAGCCTTGAATGCATCTGCCAAATCTGCTTCGTACTTCGTCTCAACTGAAGGAGCATCTTGGAGCTTTCCCTCCTCGTACCACTCCACAATTTGGTCCATGGTGGCTCTCTTCAACTGAGGGTCATTCTTTAACAAGGCCGTGACCCAGAAACCTGCGCTGGTTACGTTCTTGAAGATGTGCAAAGAGGTTGGAAGAATCACTGGCTGATATGACATTCCTCCGTAGGTGAGCATCAAGCCATTGTTGGCCAACTTTCTGGCAACGGCAGTAGACGATTTGCCTCCCACACAGTTCAAGCCAAGCTTGATTTCTCCACCAGATTCCTTGACCCACTTCTTCACCTCTGCGTTGAATTCACGCGAGTTGGCCTGCTCCTCAGTGATAACTTGAGTAGCTCCATGGGTCTCCTTTAATCCTGCAATGACCTCATCTAAGTTGGGTCTGTCTCTGATCACCGAGAGCGAGTTGAATCCCAAAATTCTCAGGATCTGAGTCACGTACTTGCCAACAGCAGAGTTACCACCATTCTGAACAACCCAGTCCTTTCCTGGAGTCAATTTCACGTAATGTGTAAGCATCAAGTAAGCAGTCAATGGGTTTACAGAAATGGTAGCTCCCTGGTTAATGGAGAGGCCCTGAGGCTTTCCATTGGCTTTGGATTGTTTTGGGTTTGGAATCTTCATCATCTGTGAATCGTTGCACAAGGCATGAGTTCTCCAGGTTCCAAAGTTGACGTTGGTGGGTACGGCCCAATCGCCTGGCTGCAAATTCTTGACAGCGGATCCTACCTTCAACACTTCAAAAAGTCCTTCGTTTCCACATACAGCCAGAGGCTTCTCGGTGCCCAAAGCTGTGGTTTTTTCCGGCTGACTGGGATAGACACCCTGAATTTGGTTGATGTCAGAAGGATTGACAGGTGCACCTAAAGTTTTAACCACGATTTCATTTGCAGACAAGTTATTCTCGTCGATTTCATAGGTGTGGGTGGACAAAACATCCTTTGGTTCTCCGTGATCGGAAAAGACAACGGCGTGGGCAGTGAGCATTCTTAAAGATATTCTAGAGGAAACACCCGCAATTGACTTGGAAACGGAAGTTTTGGGGAAAGAAAGCATGGTGGTGAAGCAAATGGAGTGGATTTTATCATGATGGTTTGACCATTGAGCGAGTGTGCAGGCCCGAGTTGGGGGATTCGGGGTAGCAACAGGAGAATCCGTGAGAGGAACTTCGAGAGTGGAAGTTTTTCGGTGCATTCGGTTTCATCTACGAGAATTTCTTCGGTACACTTTTAAAGTTATTTTTTTTTAGTGTTTTTGTATCTTGTCTGGTAAAGCTTCATGAGGTTGGTTGTGGTCGCACTTGTGGGGAATAGGTGCAATGGAGACTGTGGGGTTGAGACTACCCGTGGATATAGATGGGATGGGGACAAGAAAATACCGAGGAAGAGGTCAGGTTCATGTAGTTTGTCGAATTTGGACCAGTAGGCCAGTGTTATGTACAATGGCCGAAGTCTCGGAACTCCTTAAAATTAACTGTAGTAAGGATTGGTGGAGGAAAAGCCAATATTCACCATCAATGGGAGTAAGTTTGAGTAATGGTACTTCTGGTCAACATCAGCGCCACACCATCATCTATAAGAACAATATCCAATCATTTTCAACAAAGATCCAATCATTGTCAACATAGATAATATAGAGTTATCATCATTCATAGCATTACCAACCAATTGATTCTTATGTGAAATCAGTCAGACTGTCTAACTCAATCACCAGCATCTATTCAGCAGGCAATTCTTTCTCTATTCATCTTTCTTCTTCTCGAGTTTTCTCTGTGAAAGCTTGAACTTCGTGTTCTGGATAGTTCCCAAAACAAAAAACACGAACGTCAAAAATACCACCCAAAGCTCAGGAGGAAGAAAGTTCTGTGCAAAGATAAGCGAAAGTAACGACGTCGTAGCTGCACTACGATAAATGCCCCAGAAGCTTTTGCGCATACCCTCTCTCACCACGAGGCGGATCTTGCCTAACTCTTTTCCGAGGTTGTTGGACGTCTTACGATAACCATTGATGATAGAGAGCCACGACACGAAAACAGCACTAAGAGTCGGCGAAATGGTGAGGAGTGATGTGGCAAGCTGCGCTACCTTCATCAAGGGGCTCAACTTGCCGCTGTAAACGCGATTCAACACCTTGTAGAGCACATGAGAGATCGGGGTTGCGATGAGAGCTCCGTAGATGACCAAGAGTAATGTTTTGGTGCTCAACACGTGAGAGAACGTGTATTTCTTGCCAAAAATCGTCACAGTGGTCTTATTGTATTGGCCAGAGACCGCAGTTGCCACCAGTTCGTTGATGGCGGCAAGAACTCCAGCTGTTACTGATTTAGTAAGTAATGGGTACTGAGCAAGAAGCAGAAGATATTTAGCGTTGAGCGACATGACGTTGGCGGCAGTTGGCAATGATAGACAATTGAAATGAATACAAATTCGTGAATTGCACGGATCTATCGATGATTTATGGCTCTAGGTGGGGTCTATGAAATATATATATTCGAAATGTGGGGACGATGGATTTATATATGTCGGAGGTGCCGAGGGTGGTCGCAGATCGCCGAGCACGATAAGATAGCGGAGTCACTGGGAGGTAGATGTTGATGAATTTGAAAGTCGAGATGAATATGAATATGAGACTTTTTTTTCTCAATGCAACATGATCTACTTGAGTGAGAGTGGCGATTTTCTGTTCCTTGTTCTTTTTTTTTCTTAAAGTTGTGTTCATGAAGTGTTTAGTTGCGAGAATTTACGAAGGAGCGGAATTAGAAATTCCGATGGATATGAGTATACAAGGAAGAAAAATATCTCTCTCTGTCGACGTGGGATGCTAAATACCTAGTTGATTTCCAATTTTGACTAGTTGTCTATAACTACTACTAGGGGATGTATTAATTGTTGTTTTCCAGTTGAGTTCCAGAGTCTCACTATAAAAGCTCTTTCGTCTTTTCATACCATACCACTCTCTTGTCTCCATAAACATTCATTAATTAAACAATCTACTAAATTTCCTCATCATGCTCAACCTCCGTCTTCTCATTCCATTCAGGGTTCGTCACAGCCATTCTCTGGTGTCTGTACAATGGAGGGAATGGAGGAAGCTGCTGTCTCAACACATACTTTCTGAAGTTGTAGAGCAACTCCTTAGTACGGTATTTAGCGTGTTCTCTAAGCGATACTCCAAACACATCGTCCAACTCCTCCAATGTCAAACCCTTTGTCTCAGGCAAGAACCACAACACCAAGAAGAAACCAACGATGTTCCAAGCTGCATACCATCCAAAGGCACCTTGTGGCTTGAAGGCATTCTTCAAACGAGGCCACGTGAATGCCAAAATAAAATTGAAGAACCAGCATGTGGAGGTAGCGAATCCCATACCCAAGTCACGAATGTACAATGGGAAAGCTTCGGCAGAATAAGTGAATGGAACAGGACCTTCACCTGACGAGTACACTGCTGCGAAAAGGTAGATACCGGTGGTAATACATGCCAAACGTCCATCCTTCTTGTCTTCAGGAATCCAGAACCCAAAACCAGCTACAAGCAAGAAAATAGCCATCAAGGGGAACGTCGTAAGTAACAAGTTTCTTCTTCCGAATGTATCGATGGTGTAGAAGGCTGGAATGGCAAACAAAAAGTTAATCATACCAAAACCCCACGAGGCCACCATAGCCTTGATCTCAGAAAGTCCAGATTCGATATAGATAGAAGAAGAATAGTAGGCAATGACATTGATACCACAGAATTGTTGCATGAACATGACAATCCATGCACCCAAAGCACCATTTCTGTTTCTTCTAACGGTGAACATCTCCTTGACTCTGCTAAAGTATGAACCTTGCGTGTATGAATGCTCCTCCTTCAATAACACGTACTGGTAGAAACAGTCACGAGCTGCCTCGATTTCACTGAAACGCAAGATTCTCAACGACTGGAATGCTTCCGTGTGTCTATCCTTACCCATCAACCAACGAGGGGACTCAGGAACAAAAGGCACTTGGATCAACACAATCAAAGCAGGAATACATGCAGAAGCAAGCATCAATCTCCAGTTCAAACCTCCAGAAATGCCGTGATCTCCAACGTAGTAGAAAGCTAAAGTGGTCACGTAACCAAACATGATACCCACAGCAGTGAAGAATTGCCACAACATCACCAATGAACCTCTAATCTTGGCAGGAGTAGTTTCAGCAGCATATGCTGGCACAGTTGCCGACTTGACACCAATACCAAAGCCCAATGCGAAACGTGCAATGAACAAATGGTACCATTTCAAATTGACTAAACCTTGCCAGATACATGTAATTGCAGAGATCATACAAGTCCAGAAAATGGTCCACTTACGGCCCAATTTCTTGTTCCAGTAATCTGATGACCAGCACACTATGGAACAGCAGAGATATGGTGCTGAGTTGACCAAACCTTCAAGCAAGTCAGCATTCTTCATCTCGGTGATTCCCATAATCTTAGGGTAGAACAATGTGGCACCATTGACCACAGACTCATCCATACCTTGCACAGCAGCAGCCATGGAACCCAAAGCAATCACCTCCACCAATTTCCGTGGAATGTGCCACTTTTTGGTCACTTCCATGTGCAACGCCTCCTTCTCTTCAGGACTTAAGAACTCCATTGAGTTAAAATCTCCTGGAGATCTGGCTAAAGCAGCAGCTCTGCCAAAGAGGTCAGGATCCAAGTTGTGCTTCAAAGCATAGTTACGTCCCATTTGCATCGTCTGTTTCTCGGTGTATTGAGCTAAGATGTTACCATGCTCACCTTCACGAGAAGCGTCAGCATTTTGAACAAGTGCCTCATTGTAGTGAGCATCATGGTGAGAGGAACCACTCGATGAGGTGTCGGGAAGCTTTTCCAGTTTTTCGTGGTCGGCCATTTTTGGTTATGTGTTTAAACCAGAGGATCTGTGCCGTTTATATAGTTGTGCCGGGATGGCTCATGACTCCTTCATTTTGCATTTTAATTTTTAGCAACACCAGCAATAACACTAGAATGTGACCCCCACCTATCATCTTGTCCCATAATGGAAGCTTCGGTAGCTTTTAGGTTATGAGCATCTGGGATTCATTGGAGAAGTGCATCCACGCCTGCATTCAAACCAGACTAGCCCTACACAAGCCCTTGGCTTCCAGTTGATTTTTTCCTGGCAACGCCTGTCAAAACACTTACCAATACTTGGCATGCTGTCACCAGACATTAAGTGGTTAGTAGTTCCGAGTTTTCTGTAATTTTTCATGATATTTTACGAGAGATATCTTCTTCGCGGTGGGTATCAAACTTTGCTGGGATTTACATTAGCAACCTTGGGGATGATGCAACTCACGAGCCCTGGTAGCATATTATATTATTAAATCCCCGAGAATTGTCCCATGACGTAACCATAGAGACACGATGTTTCAGCACCAATAAAATGAGACAATGGGCCCGAAATTCAGAGTGGGGCGAACTATGATAGAGTTGGGCATGTGGAGATTCTTCTGCTGTTTTCAAAATTCTTTTACGGTCTAAATTGCCCCGAAAACAAATCAAAAAAAAGAAACCGACCTGACCAACAAATCTTACTGGGTACTTCATCTGTTGTAAACTCACGAGGGGTACTGAATGTTCCGATGGCCCCACCAGCGTAGCACGAACGGCACAAACGGCACAAACGGCACATTTAGTAAGCACCAAGTAGTATCCAACCGACTAAATTGGGGAATTTTCGGATCCGAAGCCTCTATGGATGAAGTTAGAATCTTATTTGATCGGGTTTGTCAGGCGGGGCTACATTAGTGGGGCAGCGTGTAGCGATACGACGAGATGACTTCAAGGAAATGCTGATAGCAAAGGATACGGAGAATGAGATCGCCAATTACAAGAAGAAATTTCCACCTCACTATTTCTGTTGACAGCCTATCCAATAAATAACTTCATCTTAGAATTTTTCAATGGCATCATTGCCAAATGGTAAACTTTTGCAACCCTGTATCCACTACCTACCCCAAGTTTAGCAGAGATTTTCGGCTAGTTTCTCCGGTTTCCGGGGTAATTATTCTATTGTTTTATATAAGTTCTACCCCAAATTCAAATGTGGAGTGCTTGCATTAAGGAATGGCGAACGGAATCGATGCATTACATTCGTCCCTACATTCCGCTCGGACGAGGAATAGTCCATGGAGCCAGATGCAATCAGTCATCGACGTCATTGGTTGGCATTTCTTTTTTCTATTGGGCTCAAAGCTTCTTTCTCTACTTCAATTGATGTTGGGTCTCATTCTCGATCAATTCTCCTCTACAAACCTAATCACTTAATGATAATCTGATTATTCCTGTCTGAAGCATGCCATGAGCTCTGGACATAGGATGGTCTACTGATTCTCATAACTGTCCAAATGTGGAGCTGACACTTCTGTAGTAAGGCGGTTGTAAACGGTTACCGTAGTGTGGTGGTTGTTATCGGGTTATCTTCGATTAGTTGGAATTGTTGAGCATCCCTTGATAGGATGGATCCCTGCGAGGTCAATTCTCTTGTTGTTTCTCTCTATGGTGTGTACCCAACTTTTGGCCCACACCCTCTACACCTGTAGGTCTGTAATGAATGATATTAATAGACTTCCACTAACGTAAAAAGTCCCGCAAGTAGCCACCCAATTTGGTAGCACCATCTTCCAATGCATCCTTCAACACTTCCAAGTCCTGGTTGGCGTTGCCAGAAAACTTTGAGGCAAAGTCCCGGGCAGCGTTCTCTAAGTCGCCCAAACCAATGCCTTGCTGACCTGGGCGTGCTGCGCGTGGAGCACCACCCTGCTGAGCCTGCTCATCTTCTCCAAAGTACGAACTGGAAGAGATAGACAGCGCACCGTTGAACGCCTGGAGCTTCTGGCGGGCCTCTGTCTTGGCTGTCTCATCAAATCTGGGGCCCCGCCCGAAGTACTCGTCCGACGAAATACCCTTTTGGGTGCCGTACTTGCCGGCAACCTCGCCAGTATATTTCACCTCCTTGTACTTCTTGTTGTTGGCACTGGCCACCACGTTTTCACCTTGAGTCATTCCGAATCCCAACTTCTGGAATTGAACAGTAGTTTCCTGAATAGGTGCTGCCGCCAATGTCTCACGGGTAGAGGCCGCAGAGCTTCCACTCAACGACAAAGAATTTTTCTTTGGCAGAGGCTTCTCCAAAACAGCTGGAGCTTCGGTGGCTGGGTTGTAACCCAACTTCTTCGCCTCCTCAGCCTCTTCCTTAGCCTTTCTTTCGATCTCGTCGAAGTCGATCTCCTCCTCCAGCTTGAGCTTTCTAGCAGCCAATCTGGAAGTTCTAGGCCCGTTGCCCTTTCCAGCCAAAATCAGCTTTTTAGCTGTGGAGGCAGAATTGGCCTTGGCTCTAGTTGACATGCGTGGAGCAGCTGTCTTTTTGGGGAGTTGTAGGTCTTCCGAAGGAGTAGGAGTGGCAGATCTGGAGGCCAAAGGCGAAGGGGACGCGTTGATGGGCTTTGTCCAGTTGGAAAAGAAATCGTCGGTAGAAGCGGCATTAGATGAGCTTCCATCCACCAACAGCAACGAGTCCAGGCTATCATCGAGCGTCACCACATCAGGATGCTTTAATGCATCCTGCTGTGCAGTTTTCTTCAACTTTTCCTTATACTTTTTCGCCACGGGACTGGTATACTTGGACGTAGGGTCTGATTTCCCGTTGATGAATTGAGAACCGCCGTTCTTCGTGAAAAAGTCCTTTGCCACGTGGTTTCCGCCAAACTTGAAGTGGCGCAATTGGATTCTTTGCCACTGATCCAAGTTCAGCGACTTTACAAACGAGATATGAACACCCAAGTTTCTGTGAACCGCTGAACATTCAAGACAGAGCAAAATACCAAATGGGATGGAGGTCCATGTTGGGTTTTTATTGGGGCAGTCAAAACACACCTGATTGGCTGGATGTTGTCTCAACTTGGAAAACACCTTCTCAACCTCTTCTTTTGAAGCAAATCCGTCAGACATGATGGGTGATTTGAGGTATCAATGTTTTTTTCGTGAATAACAAGTGTTAGTTGCATGGTGTACGGGTGTTTTGTGGCAAGCGCCCACAATAGGTCATTTCAATGGAAAAAATGAAACAGATACGAATAAAATATTTGAGACAATAAAACTGAACACCCTTCTCTCTCTGATTGTAAGTCCATATTGTATTAGTAATTGTAACAAATTTCACAATTCGTTCAAAGAGATGAAGAAGAGTCCAGGTTAGTACTTAGTCGTTACACATGACATCTTCACATGTTTATGTTGTAAATACTGGTAACATTGAATGATTAACTACTGGATATTTATAGTCTCACCGGGTACCATCTGTTTCAGCATGATCAACACCTGTCTTGTTATCTTCTGATCGTAGACCCAGATCTTCCTCGGCGGTATCAAGTCTGTTCCCATGAATTCTATTATCTTTCCACTATTCAATACCCTCTGAAGTACATCTTATGTTCCAGACTCTCTACCGGCTCCTTACCTTTCTGTTTGTGCATTGTGGTTGCCCACCTTTATACATGTACTAATGGAATGGTCTCGATCCGCCCCGGGCAAACTCGATTACCTTCCATCCCTCGGTCGTCTCGTTATCCATCTCCTCAGGGATTCTCGTGAACACCATTGCATACGTGCTCATCTGGATGTGATCCTCGGTACCTGCTGCAACCTCTCCGGTCTTAGCTTTTCTGTACAAATGAATCTCTTGGGCACGACAGCTGGCCACAATTACGGGGGTGTCGTTGGGTTGCAAGCTTTTGCACGTCACAACCTCCACACCACGGATATCCAAGATTCTACCATCGGAGAACAAGCCCTGTTGAACAAACTGTTTGTTGTTGGCTTGCCACACGTTGAATGGAGCCTCTGAGAGCCACTCCTTCAACACAGCCTCGTCGTTCTTGATGTAAGCATCCAATAACTCCGGTACAATGTAGTTGGTGAGCGTTCTGGTGAAATCAATCACACGGAAGTTGGGGTCCATGAGTCTGAACTGCTTGACCACCTTGGCTTGCTCGGTTTCGGAGAAAAACCCGGTAACCTTCTCAAAAATAGTTCTGACGAGCGAAATCAATCCGTTTTCGGACTCATCCCACTTCTCCTTCAAGTATACAAATCCACGACCGGCTGGAGACTTCAACTTGAACTCTTCCCACTTCTCTCCCACTGATGGCCCACTAGCCTTGATGTTGGTAGCCACCAATTCTCCCCCGGCCTCTTCATTCTCCTTGACAGGTTTCCACAACTTTCCGTTCTTCATCTTGGCTTCTAATTCCTTCTTTCTTAAGGCAATTCTCTGTTCCTTGGTCAAAAATCCTCCATATGCCGTGGATGATCCGTCGTCGATAATTTCACTCACATCCTTGTAAACCTGAGTATTTCTGACTGGCTCAAATGCCTTATCAGCAGCCTCTGCACCCGTTCTAACCGTTGTTCTGACTCCTTTTCCTACGGGGGACTCCCAAGCCTTGTGTGCAACATCTCCAACTGCCTCAGCAGTCTTTTTGGCCATTTTTCCGGCAGCTGAGCTACCTTTCTGTGCCTTGTCGTATGCCTCCTTCGCCTTCTTGAAGGCTTCACTCTCAGCGACTCTGCCGGTCTCATCCTGCAAGGCCTTGATGTTGTCCTTAAGCTCTGACGACTTTTTCACCTCATCTCTGAAAGTCTGAAAAAAAACTTCCAAAGGAGACTTGGCCTTGTTATTGTAGATTGCAGACACTCCAAACATTCTGGAGCCCCGGGCCTGTCTCAAGATAGAAGCACGCAACATGGTGGACTATGTACAAGTGATGTTGGGTGTAGTTGATTAAATTTTTTTTTCGATATGGTTTTCGGTAGTGCATTTGGGCCTTCGCCGTTGGAGGCACCTAGAGGATGACAACCAATCTACGGTTCTCAATATCTGGTTTGAAAATATGTTAGTTGGCTTTTTGCTTTTATGGATGGATGTTTTCGAATTTCTACTTTATTGCCATTCTCTCTTTTCCTTGATATCCATTCTTGCGCATTTGGGTAGTGCTGGATCTTTTGGGTGTAGTCGCACTATCACTCTAAAATATCTCATTGACATTACCGTCCAACTTCCTTGGTTTGTAGTTATTTCATTCAATTCATTCGTACTCAGTATTCACTCTCGGTTTCAACGCCTTTGCCACACTTGCATAGCCTTCGCAATCGCAACTGCTGCGAATGTACCTACCGTCACATATTGCATCCAATTAAGAACCTTAGTCTGCCTCTTTTCAAGACGAACAGCATCCGAGTATCGGATATCTCCACGAAAAGAAATCATCGTATACATGGGGATCCATGGAAACAAAATGCCATTGGCATACTTGCCCAAAAAGTAGTCCACCTTCTTTCTGACCAAGTACAAAGGATCAATGACTTTCGTTGACATCTCATAGTAATTATCCCAAGCAAGTTTACAAATAGCATCTAAATCTCCCTTTCTTGCGCCAGTGTATTGCTCAAACGCACGTTCTGCGCTTCCTTCGTTGCTATCAATGAGCTCCATCAACACACGCACATCCTCAAAGCCACAGTTCATGCCCTGACCGTAGAAAGGAACCATAGAGTGTGCAGCATCTCCAATTATAATGGCACGGTTATTTGGACTAGTGTACGGATTCACTGCCACCTGCATCAATGAGCCTCTTGGTTGATGGGAGAATGCGTATCTCAAACCCTCCTCTCCAATCAATTTGTAGGCATCTGGGAAACTCGACTGAAAGAATTCCAAGAACTCCAGTTCACTCCCGATCGACTCAATCACCTTCCAAGGGCTGAAGAAAGTGGAAGTGAAGGAACCATCTCCATTAGCTAGAGCAATCAACATATAGTCCTTACGTGGCCAAATGTGAAGATGATTGGCATCAATTGCAAATCTTTCCTTGCTTTGAGCATCTGCACCTTCCACTGGAGGAATATAGAGCTCCATATATTGCATATCCACATACTTCTGGCTGTAGTCCATACGCATGTGTTTTTGCATTTGATAACGGAAGTGAGAGTGGGCACCGTCTGCTCCAACGACAAAGTCAAACTCGTGTTTCGCAATTCCTTCTTCCAGAGTTGAAAATTCCAAGAAAGCCTTGGCTCCTGTAGTGTGAACATTTCCAACACTCACCAACTTGCAGTTGAACTTAACCGTGACATTCTTGAGTTCATTCAATAAGCATTTGTTAAGAAATAGACGATCGATGGAATTGATGCTTTCGCCAAAGAGACCATACAACTGGGACTCCTGTTTGGTGCCGCTGAGATCGTGAATCATACGACCTTTCATTGGAATCACATGCTCCAACACACGAGAAGCCATTTCTTCGTTCACGTACTTCAATGCACGGATTCCGCGGTCACTTACTGCCAAATTGATGGATCTTAGGCTTCGTTTGGCCTCACTGGAAGCTCTCGGATCAGGGCGCATCTCAAAAAGTGTAACATCAAAGCCTTTGGCTTGAAATGCCAACGCGGCAAGACAACCAACCAAGCCGGCCCCAACAATTCCCACGGATTGCTTTTCGGACATCTTCTTTGTTTTTTTATGGCAAATCAACGAATGAAAACGAGTTGAAAATCTGAGTCAGAGGTCAATCTAAGACAGGCCACTAGAGAGCATATGCACACCTGGTACGACAGAAGCTGCAAAATGTACGACAAAAACCAAGTTGTCCAATACCGTCTAAGCATTGCTTATCTTCTCGAGCTTTTGTTTCTTACCTTCGACTTTCTTTGAAATCTCTTCAATCTGGGCTTCCAAATCCGCGTTTTCGCTGGAGATTTCCTTGTTTGCCTGAATTGTGTTGTTCAAATTCTCTTTCATAGTTAAATGGGCATACTTAGCCTGGAGCTCCTGTGCAAGGTCTGAAAGGTCCTTCTTCTCTTTCTGTGCGGCCAGTAATCGTTGAGTGTATTCTTCACTCTGGCTGAGGATCTCAGTTTGAGTCTTCTTCAAATTCTCAATTTTCTTTCTGATATCACTAATACGAAGCATCAAGTCCTCATTGGCATCCTTCAAGTTGGAGAGCTCGTTATCATTTCCACTAATTGCATTGGCGCTCATCAATTGAAATTCATTCTCGTACTTGATCAACGAGATTTCTGTATCCGTAGCTTTGCAAATCGTATCATGAGAAGCACTCAATAAGAACTTGTCAGAAAATATGTAATTTGAAAGCTCGTCATCCTTTGCTTTCAAGATTTTTGCAGAATGTTCGCTGAATAGGGCAGCAATTAGACGAACCAAAAAGTCAATTCCCTCAAATACTACCAAGTCGAGAATGCAGAGCAAGACCTCCTGTTCAATGCCACTCGAGAAAAGATCCAGAAGAATGCCTTTATAAAACTCTGAGATATCAACTCCCTGTTTGGAAATGTGCAAAAGTACGTCGCCGTCAGCATCCTCCACTGCTCTGCTGCATTTATAATAAAACTCGTCTTTGGATGCTCTATTCACAAGGGCACCGAATTTAAATACTAAAGCAAGCACCTCGGGTTTCCCTAAGCCTGGAAGATTAACCAAAAATGGCAAAACGCCATTAACAAACTTCTTAGTGGTCACGTCTGGTTCTTGTGCCGCAGAGTTTATTTCTTTGATGCAATATTCGTAAACTTGTAACAATTCGGCCACATCCTCAGGCAAAGAAGACTCCACGGCACACGCGTTCTCCCATTGAGCAGATTTGGCTCTTTTTACCACACTATGGTAGCTAACGTTCTCAATATGACTTCTCACACGCATCGTCTTCAAGTAGACTAATGGCCTGACACTGGCTGGGATTCCTTTTAATACCAATTGTTCAATTTCGTGAACCCGATTCGTCCGAATGTATTCATCGCTATAATCGCGAATAATTGAGGCCCATTCGGGGCTGTCGGACACAGCAGTGGCCAACCGCGGTTCCATTTCAACTGGTGTGCTGGCAAAGATGTCTCCATACATGTTCATGCCTGGAGAACCGTACAATTCACTCTGTCGAAACGCCAAAATCGTAGCAGTCAGAGACTTCATGTTGTATATGGGCTTGAAGTTGGGTTTTCCATCTCTGGGAGGCAAGGGAGGTGCGTTTTTAGGTGGAAGGTCGGGGGGAGTCTGTGGAGTGTGAGAAACGGGAGTAGTAGGGGCCGAAATGGGATCGGCTGGTTCGGGTGACTTTTCTGTGGACATTAATTATGCTGCAGGGATTCTGATGAGATTTGTATGGGGAAAATTCGAGGCTGAGAAGTGGTTGGTACAAAATGTTTGACAAGTGATTTGGGCTTGTATGCATTTCGGTATCAACAAGTTTGATCAGAAATAGTCTCATTTATATGCATGACGGAGCTTAACTTTGGACTCCACTTTCCGACGTTTGGATCCTGCTGGTGTATCCCTTGTACTTGTAGAAGGTGACAACAGCAGTTTGCTATCTCTGGTGACTTTACTACCTTTAACAGAGTCGTCCTCATCTGAGATGGAGACCACCGTGTCAAACGAGTTTGCAATGAGTGGTTGGGAACCCAGCGTGGTTTTACGGTTTTTTCCGTTTTTCTTGCTCTGGAGGCGTGCTAAAGGATTTCGAGGATCTTCGCAGGCTCGCTGACTTCTTTGAAGTCTCTGAAGAGACAATCCGCAAGGTTTCGTCCCCGAGAACTTCAAGATCACTATCTTCGTCATCTTGCTGATCCCAACTTCGAGTGTGACGGGGAGGAGAAATCGTCGAGATCGCATCCAAATTCGGGTTTCCATCTACCTTGCGCTGACGAATGGGTGAAATTTGGTCAGCTTCCCTCATGAACTTGCGCGTGGCTTCCGGAGTAGCAGTATTTCGGGCAAGTTTGCGATCGTCATTCAGAATTCTAAGATCATTCACGCTTTGGTTGAGCTCACTATTCGAATCGTCAGCTTCTTGTATTACAAATGGCTCATCCACTGGAGCTGGAGGTTCCTGCAATTGCTCCCTGAAGTTCAGTATCAAAAGATCACACTGATCTTTTTCCCGAGAAGGGTCGAAAAAGTTGTAATTCTTGACAAATTCAATGATTTGCAGCCGGAATGGATCATACTTCTTCGAGTGATTGATAAAGTACCTATTGAGAAAGTCAATAGCGTGCTGCTTAACGTGAATGTTCATGCACAAGCGACGAATAAAAGGATGCTCAATTTGGTAAGACAGATTGGATATTGACCTTTCTTTAGTTTCCCCACTCAAGTAGTCAACCGAGGTTTTGCTCGACTTCACTCGCGGACTCGAATATGGTGACGAGGCTGCTTTGAATACCCTTGGATCCAAAGTCCTAACAGGTGTAGTTGATCGGGACTTTCCAGCATCGGGCAAAACCGCCTCAGTAGCTTTGTTTGACTCATTTTTGCTCGTGGACATTTTGCCAGGGGTCGATTTCTCTACAAATTGATTCTGAGAAGGAGAAGATTCTGTAGCTGGGCTTTCCCTTGAGTTCGGTAAATCCTTGAGAACATTTTCTTTGTCCAACTCCACTTTTCCTGTTTCCTTCTTCTCGGAATTCACATCTTGAATCTCAACTTCCGGCTTGGAAGAGTGATAAGAAATCAATTCGATCTCGTCATCTGAGTGGTCGTTACTTTCTTCTTCTGCACTGGTGCCAATTTGGGGCATCTGCTTAGTGTGGAGCTCCAATAGGGTATCTATGGACGAGCGTCTCATGTTATTCCTTTCTGAACCACTAAAGTATGCCCGCTGGGACTTCCCAAACTTCCTCCACACCTTTTCACACACACTAGGCTCACTGAGCCATTTGCGTACATTATAAATGACATGGATTCCACAATCATTGAAGTTCCGCTGCTTTGGCACTCGAGCACTCTGAACTCTAATCAATTCGGGAGGGATGGGGACATTATACTTGTCTCTGCAATATTCGTCTATGAGAGTCTTTAACGGACCAGCAATGTTTGAGTGAGACTGGCGCAATGAGTCCAAGACAAAAACCTCCACTACGGGTTCCACTCTATATTTCTTTCCAGTGGCCTCGTTGATCTGGCCCTTCTTGGGGTCCCGATTGTATTCGGTAGCTGCCTCAACTAGTGCAGGTAGGTTCTTAATGATGGCGCAGAACCAGTGGAGATGTTCGTTTATGGGCAAGACCACACGTTCGTAGCTCATGAGATCAAGTTTAGTGAGCCAGCGGCGAATGTTCGCGTAATATTGAGGAGTTTCCTGGTCGTCAGTTTTAGACATTAGTTTCGTGAAGAAAAACGAATTGAACGCATACACTTCGTTTTCTTGAATCAGATGGAGCTCATGCTCAGCACGATCTATGTCATATGCAATAAAAAAGTCAATTAATGTGTCATTTATCCAGTCGTTATTGTATAATGTTTTGAAATCATTATACGCAACAATAAACTTCTTTCCGTTTTTGAGCGTATACCGTAAAGGTGGTTCAAATGGAGCGGGAGTTTCCTGGATGATGGGGGCGTCGTCGTCGGCAATTTCTTCGTCATCCTCGTCTTCCTCGTAGTCGACGGATTTCTCCGAGTATATAGCATACAAGTCTGGGTCTTTCTCCATCATCTTCGAGATAGCGCGTGTCTGGCGTCGCTTAATCTTTGCAGGCTTGAGGACATTCGGTAGTCCATTCAGCAACACATTGTCAGACGCTCCAAGTAAGTTGGCATCCTCGCAAGTGTGATCACTGATGATTTGAGAGCTCTCGGGGGAGCTTACCAACTTGACCACCATTTCTGGATCCTTAAGTGATTTCTCACGTTTCTGTCGCCGTTGATTGTACATTTCCGCGACGATATTAGCATCTTCAACCACAAACTTTCCTGCTATCCATGAAGGTTGATCTCTCTGAAAGAGAAGGTGGAGTTCGGGTGATTTGGCAGCAAAACGTACGTATATAAGCCCAAATTTTTTCTGAAGCACAAAGAGCACATTGCGGTCGTCATTTGACATCCACACATGGCGCAAGGCGTCTTTCGGAATAACCATCTTGTCTATGTATGCCTTGCATCTTGTAAAGTATAAATATTGGCCGTTTTTCGATAAGTTAAGCACCAAGTCCCGCTCGCCAGTTGAAACAATGGTAGTTCCGTTGTACTCGACGCTGGTCACGTCTAACGAGAATGCTGGTTGTTCATGTATCCCACTATCTATAATGGCTAACGGTAGGAAAAAACATGTTTTGATGTCCTGAGACCGCACCTTCTCCGAGAGATCCAGTGGCCTGACCACATAGAGGGCACCTGAGTTTATGGTTTCAGCTGTAGGGATTTGAATTCTCTGGGTTGGACCCGCTAGTAGGTTTTTGGGTAGAACACCGGAATGTCGGTGTTTTTTGAGGGACGAAAAGTCCTTGCGCATGGACATGCTGGGACGTTACGTGAAGTGGTGATGTTTGAGGCAGGAGAGATGCGATGAAGCCATGCAATTGTGCTAAATAGCGGAGGTGAAGGTTTGGGTGGGATTCTTAGGATTATCGATGTGGTACTGCAGGAAACTTGATCTGGGAGGTAGTAAGTAGGATGAGAAGGTGAGAGTAAACTGGGAGGTTTTCCTTTTTTTTTTCTTTCGAATTGTGGGATTCATGGATTCTAAATTAAATCCAGTCTTCAAAAGTGTTGTGTTGTTTTTCCTTATGAGTTTTGAGTAATTTTATCGAATGGTCTGAATTCAGTGACCATTGTGAGTATCACACTGCGAAGATTTGGCACAAGATTCAAGTGAGCATAAATAGAAACTCAATAATGACAGTTCTATTTCCCATATGATGTTAGTATAAAAATGAGTTAGAGAATAAGTATTACAGCAGCAATGAGGTTAACAATTTAGATGAAAAGAGAAAAAAATCCATCATTTCGATATTCTACTGTTCATTTCGAGCCTTCAAGGTCAACTACTACTACTCCCCCTACACCCGTGCCCCCCACTCTCCACCAACCACCTTTTCTTCTGATGTTTCGAACCTTCACCCGTTTAACCGTTCCCGTCGTAGCCTTTGGTGCCGGATTTGCTCTATTCCCTAGTCTGTGGAGAAAAGGAAACTGGCAGCCCTCGAAATTGACCCACATCAACAAGTCTGTGTTGGAGACTATTGAGTCGTCTTCTCTTTACCAAAAACTCGACAAGGATGACTCCACCATCAAGTACTACACTAGTGAAATGTTCCCTGAACAGCACCATAAGAATCATGTGGGCACGGGTCTACTTTTCGGACCCAATCTTTTTGAAATTGACCCGGTTCTTTTCATTAATGAGTCCAAAGGTGAACTCACTGGTTTCTACCATTTGGGCAAGGAATTGATCAGTCAGGACGGTCTAATTCACAATGGAGTCACGTCCACCATCTTGGACGAAGGATTATGTGCATGCGGATTTGCCAAATTGCCGTCTAAAAAGGGTGTGACTGCCAATCTTACCATTAACTTTCATAACCAGGCGCCTCCTGATTCTACAGTCGTTCTACACGCGAAAGTGGTGGAACATAGGGGTCGCAAAGTGGTGATTGAAGGCACCTTATCCACATTCACTGTGGATGGCACTAATGCTACGGAAATTGCAACGTCACGGTGCGTTCTTGTAGAACCGCAATGGTTCCGGTACTTGAGATGGCTAAACTTGTAGGTTTCCAACACGAAAGACTATGAGGACTTGGAATTGGCAATTTTGGCTATGTTTAGATTATTGCCCTTTTGGACATGAATATGGAATTTTGTGGTCAGTAAATGTGGTGAAACCAATGGCCCAATGAGGACAAAATGCTCCGAGTTTCATAAGATCAGTTAGCAATCGTGGTCACGGGCACACCTTTTTTAAGCTTTTGCTGGGTCATATCCAGGAATTCCGGGGTAAATGGTGTGGCTAGTGCAATAGCAACAGTGGGTCACCGTGGCCACAATGCATGTCGGCTACCCCAGAGCAATAAACCATAGCAAGCAATTTCGAGAAATGCACTGCACAATTGCTTGCTGATGGCAATGAGGATACCAAAGACAAGGGTATAAATAGAGGAGCATTTGCCCACAGTTTTCTTTTCTCCATCAAACAAAACAATTAAACATGTCTGACACCGGCCGCAAAGATATTTCCGACAAGATCGCTTCTGCTGTGAAGCCAGATGACCAGAAGGGCACCTTCGAGTTGGCCAAGGACAAGGTCACCGACTCCGCTGACAACGCCGTTGGCGACAGCACTAGACTGGGCGACAAGTCCTTCTTGCAGCAGGCTTCTGACGCTGTTTTCGGCGAGAAGAAGTAAGCTTGATGCTACCTTCAAGTTGAACTCTGTGAGTTTATAGTGAGAATATAAAATGTGAGAACAATTTTACTGTAGTTGATATTGTAGATAGGAGACGAAATTATTGAGTAATATGCCAGGGGAAGGTTCAAAAGGTTATTACTCTACATACGAATCAATTAAACGAATTGTGGCTAGGATAGTCTAGTTTGATAATGGTTGCGAAATCTTGGGATAATTGCGAAACATCAATGCCAAGTTAGAAATGATCTTGAGGCACCAAAAGCTATTACTACGAAACGAAGGTGAAAGCAACTGCACTCGGTGCTGATGTTCATCATAATACTTGATAATTTAAAGTTTTGAAGGCGATCAAATAATCCAGTATTTTGTAGTGCAAATGGAGGAAAAAAGACCATCTCCTGGTTGCTATTGGTGACCACCCAGAGTTCGATGGAGTTCGAATGCCTATGCCTTATTAAGGAAATACACAACTTATGTTTCAAGGAATCAAAATACTTTTATTGATGGTGAACGTCCTCAATTAATATTAAGAGCAGGAATAGAGTTGGTTATCAGGTGCAAAGGTGGCTATGCATTTCATATAATCTGCACGTTCTAGCTGGCTTCTTGAAGATTTTAATAAAGCGGATGATTAAATTGGGTAAGCAAATTTGTTATCCATAACTTTCATTAGCTTTTGAGATTTGGAACTATAATCTAATTACCACAAGCCATTCTTCAAGAATCATCAGTGATACTTAATTTCGCGTCCTGTGCTTGAAATTAGTACTTTAATAGAAGATTTTGGTGACAACTTTTGTTATATTTGCCCATCCAATTCTGCTAGCAGTTTCACATTCGTGTGCCATACCTAAACCTAATTATTTTATTTGTAGTATCCCTCGCTTAGTGATTGTCCCTCACTAAGTGATTGAATCTCATATATTGGTAAACTCCTTTGATCTGAATTCTCCACTTGATCTGAATTCTCCACTTGATCGAATTAGCTCATAATTTCTAATTCATTCCTACTCTCTGATAGTTTCTCTTTTCTCGCTTCTTATTAATATCTTACTAGATTTCATGTCGTCCACATCATATTTCACACATTCTCATCTTCTCACATCGGGACCTACACCTACACATTGGTATACCCCATTTGTCTCAACGCGTACTACTCATGACTTTCCCTCCAAATTCTGCCGAACAGGCATATCTAGACTTATGCAAGAAAATCATCGATGAAGGCGAACATCGTCCTGACAGAACTGGAACAGGAACTAAATCGCTTTTTGCGCCTCCTCAGCTTCGATTCGATCTCTCGAATGACACTTTCCCACTTTTGACCACCAAACGTGTTTTCTCCAAAGGTATCATCCATGAGCTTCTCTGGTTCGTTGAAGGGTGCACGGACGCCATTAAGCTCCTGGAAAAAGGCGTCAGAATTTGGGAAGGCAACGGCTCTAGAGAGTTTTTGGACAATTTAGGACTTACTGATAGACGCGTGGGTGATTTGGGTCCAGTATATGGATTCCAGTGGCGTCATTTCGGTGCTGAATACAAGACCTGTGAGGACGATTACACGGGCCAGGGTGTTGACCAGCTCCAGGACGTGATCAAGAAGTTGAAAACGAATCCATACGATCGCAGGATCATCATGTCAGCGTGGAACCCGCCCGACTTCCCACAGATGGCATTGCCTCCATGTCATGTGTTCTGCCAGTTCTACGTGAACTTCCCCAGCGAAACTCCAGAACCCAACTCCACCAAGCTGGCCAAACTGACCGCCAGACCCAAATTATCGTGTCTATTGTATCAGAGATCGTGTGACATGGGTTTAGGCGTACCATTCAACATTGCGTCTTATGCCTTGCTTACCAAAATGATCGCCCATGTGGTGGACATGGACTGTGGCGAGTTCATCCATACTTTGGGTGATGCACACGTCTATTTGGACCATATTGACGCGTTGAAAACTCAGATGGAACGCACACCCAAGCAGTTTCCTAAGTTGGTGATCAAGGAAGAGAGACGAAACAAGATCACATCCATTGACGACTTTAAGTTTGAAGACTTCGAGATCGTGGGCTACGAGCCTGCTCCGGCCATTAAAATGAACATGAGTGTATAATGCAGGTAATTAGATGGTACTGGAATGTAATTTGGATTGGTATCATCAACCGTCGATCCCAATGGATCGCATCGTTAGTAATCCTAGTGGCTTTTGGCCTGATTCTCCAATTCATGCTGGTCAACAAAATCAAAAATATTTGAATCCACCTCCTCAACTTCCTTTGCTTTTCGACGTAGAACCGATCTCCTTCTGTTCGTGACATTTGAGAGTGGCTTTCTCTTACGTGGTCTTGATTCTCTCTTGATATCCTGAAACCCATTTGCATCAACCTGCTTATCAGTTTCTGTTTTAGTAACAGACCTCGTTCTCTTTCTCGGTGTATCGTTTTCCTCGATTGGCAACAACGGCGTCGATTGGCCAGCCACCCCATTCTTATCAAAATATACGGAGACTTTGGTGCTCAACTCGGGTAAAAGCAGCTTTCCTACCAAATTCTGGGTTGTTTCAGGCAGTGAACTCTTCCCCAGATCCTCCAACATAGCCAAATCCGCCAGGCTGGCCACCGAAACCGACCGCTCCTTACTATTCTCACTACCTTGGTCGTTGTCGTCATCTAGCGGATAATTTCCCCATGCCTGGATCCCCAAGTGGTTGTCTTCTCCATCAGCGCGAGGCGTAGAACTCATAGGACCACAAGATGCCAACGCCGTCTGCAATGTACTGAGTAGAGTGGACAGTGGTAACTTCTCTTGCCTTCGGATGCTCTCAATCTCTTGTAAAATCCCTGTAAACCGATCAGCCATCACGGACTCTACGATCTCCAAGGTATTCTGTATTCTAAACTTTGATTCGCTTTCGCTGCTATTCTGAAGCGCTACATTCTCTGTGACAAGTTGAGCAATTTTAGACTCCAAATCAGCAATCCTCTGCGTCAACTCCGCGTTTTTGATAGCAAGCAACTTGTTTTGGACCATGTAACTGTCGATATCTCTGGATTGCTTGGACTCGGGCTCCAGCGGCACAGTCTGTGATGAGTTCACCACGCTATTTTGGGTGCCTTGTGAGCTTGTACTGTTTATCATGCTGGAACGTCTGCTTTTGGCATTATAGTGCTGTGAGCCTATCGATAATTTAGCCATGTTAAAAGATATAGTAGTTGAGATCAATAAACATTGGGAGTGCATGTATGAGGTCAGTCAGAAGGGAGGAGATTGGATGGAGAGACAATAATTGGGGCACTAAGGGTCTTAAAAGAATTCATTTTTTAAAATATTATCTACAAATAAAGTATGTCTTACTTTGATATATTCAAATGCATTGTCCACAAAAAAAGAATTTGCAATGGGTTCCATTTATCATATTCCTGTACGCAACTCAAACTTCAGATACACACAACTCCAACAAGATAAACAACTAACACCATGTCTTTACAGGAGAAAATTACAGCTAAGCGAGAAGAACTTCATGACCTTCGGCAGCTTAAGAAATTCACAGGGTTATTGGCTGTACAGCTAGAACAGATTGAGGCAAAACTAGACACCATGGCCGATGGAGCTGAAAGTGTCGCGTTGATTCTATCAAATTGGCAGAATGTCATGAACTCGGTCTCGTTGGCGTCTTTGGGGCTTCTAAAACATGCTAATAAGGACTACGACGAAACTCCGCCTTTGCCTGAATGTTTGGTACGAATCAGCTTGGACAAAGATAAAGAAGAGGACAACTAATGGGTATAATTGGCTTAGGGGCCCTAATGTGTATTAATGGAAGATATGGGAGTATCAAGGCCGTATGATGCTTCGGAAGCTTCATAAGTAGCCAAGAATAGTACTTTGGGAGATTTAGTATCACTTTCAGTACTATCTGATGGATAATTTATGATTGTCTTAAAACTATTTGTGAATATAAATGCTAATTGGATGTACTATGGGAAATTTTATGTACTAATGATAAAATTTCGACCATTTTTGGTCGATAATGGACCTCTATAGATGTAATGACAATATTTGCTAGTGCGCCTCTGTCCTGATTGTTTCCACCCACAACGCAAGATTGCTGGACTTCACTAGCTGCCGAGCCTTCTCGAATAAAGAAGACACGTCGTCACCAGATTCCTCCTTTAATGATTCAATAAGACTTTCTAGAACACTCATGATTCCGTGGTTATATTGAACTTCCTTGATGGTGGTGTAGAGGGCAGTTTCCCTAACCTTCATCTTGTTAACCTCATCAACGTTGTCACTGGTGTTATTGATCTCACTCCAGTCGTCTGTAAGCGTCAACAATTTGAGCCAAACCTCCCTTGCTTGCTCCTGGTAAATATCGTCGCTAGCTATCAGAGCAGCAACGAAGAGTGCATCAACGTACACTGAAGAAAACTGCTGTTTGGGCAGAATAGAGGTCAAGAGTAAGATGAGCTGCTCCTTCAATATAGGTAGCTGGTCCACAAACCGCTGGAAGAATGCTTCAATTTCCACTTTAAGCTGCCTTTTAGGTATCTTGACATTGGCAAAATTCTTCAAGAAGTAATCGAGAGTTATAAGGTCTTTCTTTCCTTGCACATATGAACTCAATAAATGATGAATCTTGTTCTGCACTCTGATCACCAAAAGGTTGTTTTCTGCCTCAATGGCAATCTCATCAAGTATGGGACTCTCTTCTCCGGAGATGTCGTCTGCCTTGGCAGCTATGGCCGATAATTTGGCCAATGAATAATTGAGCTCTTGGCTTTGTTGGTTGTCTGTCTCTTTCTTGGAAGTCAATAACATCAACACGTTGGAGGCGTCCTTGAAGTTCTTTGATTGCAAATAATAGATCCAAGCTACCTGCGAGGTTGTACGCGGGTTACTTTTGAAGTACTGCTCCAAGTATCCCAGGTACGATGTGCAATCCAGAAGAAGAATCATGATCTGGTCGTGTTTGATGTAGTACTCAAACAATTTAGATGCAAAAGAATAGCCATACTTGTCCACGAAAAAACGAATCTGCTCCAGAACATATTCTGGCGATCTTTGTTCTTTCTCTTTATCCAAAACCAAGGCAAGAGAATAGAAATCTTGGAAGTTTTCAGTCATCTTCAACGCTTCCCCTACCATACCGTTTGAAATCAATGCGTTCACCCAATCACCCTTTCTCAGCTTATACCAGTCCAAGTAGCCCTTCAATTGGTTATCCTCTGTGTCTTGCATAAATTGGATGGCATAAGTAACCAAAAAGAACAATGTGTAACTCATTTTGACAAGATCCTGACGGTCATTTGGAGTATTAATGATATTAGTGCCCTTAGTACAGTAAGCCTTTGAAAAGACCTCTTCGGCTAAGATTACCAACTTCAGCTCAAAGATCCAAAGCATTCTTGTAGGAATCTGCTCGACTCCGGTAACATGAGACTTCTCATTTTTCACCACTGCATCATGCAATGTGGCCACTAAGATCTTCACAATAACCTGAAAAGAAAAATTGTCTTGGTTCAATTGTTGCACCAACAGTGTCAAAACCAAAAGAATATCATTGACATTATGAAGAAAGAACGAACGCGCGATGTCGTCGCCGCTGCCTAATTCAAGCTTCTCAATGACAGATGTCAATTTGGCCTTCAAAAGTGAAGCTTCAGTGGTGTCAACATCGATGAGGAGCCACAAATTCTGGGCGGCTTCCAATTTCTCCAATGCTTGAACAATATCTGGAAGAATCACAAACCACGAGTCAGTGAAATTTCGCGAGACATACGAGATCAATTCGCGCAAGAGTGTGATTCTGGTAGAGAACGAGTCTCTAGTGCTGGAGAAGAACGGAGGGAGATAGGCACACGATGATTCCAAAATTTCCTTTAAAATTTCGTGGGTGGCTTGTGAAACCACATCGATAGGGAAAGTTGAACCCACATCAAAGTCAACGGCATCAGAGTTGTGGTAAAAAATAGCCTGTTGAATGTGAGATTTGAGAAGGTAAACTGGATCGGTCGAGTCGGTCACATCCGAAGAGGAACCATCCTTAGAGTCAGGAAAACGTTCAATTCGCAATACTCCATAGCCTTTAGTTATCAAAACTAATGAAGAGTTCGCATTATCGTCAACTTTGTCTTCATATCCAAGTCCCACGATCTGCACCGATGACTTAAAGTTTATGACATCCTCCCATTGGGGCGTGTAGTACAGAAAAGCTGGAGCCTGTGATTTTGTTAAAAAGGATGTGTTAATGTCGGTAAGAATCACCGAGTTGTCAACCACAATAAACGCAGTCGACCCTGGCTTGGGAATGTAGAGACGAGGCTTTAATGCTGCCTGGTCTGAAATTCCTTTTCCCACGTCTGGCAATTGGTGAGAGCCGTAAACGAGAACACCCAGCTCGTTGATCTTCATGGTGACCAACAAAAGTCTGTAATGGCTTTCGCCGTGGATGGAACTTTGTACACGCACCAAAGCCGTATAAACATCATCAGAAATAGAAATTTCTGCATCGGATTGGAGCCTCAACGGCCAAAGATCAAGGTACTTGACATCAACCACCGCACCAGGAATAAAGCCATCGATGTTATTCTCCAAATAGGATGCCAACTTGTGTGTGGTTGTTTTCCTGTGGTTAATTGAAGGATCTCCGGTCACAGACGACTGGAAAATGAACTTTTTAAATACTCCGGCGGCATCTTGCACAATGATCTCCTGGGACATGCCATTAGCAGAAATTTTTCCTGTTTTTATTGAAACCACGTCATTCGATATATTGTCACCACTGCCACGTCCCAACCAGCCAAAAACACGCAGCGACTGCGACGGGCTAATAAGCTCCAACGTAGATAAGTGCGGAGATCCGTTGAAGTCTCGCAACAACACTAACACCACTCGTTTCCAAGATGTTGCAACCACTATACCTGCTGGCTCGACATTTTCTGCCACTGTAATATACTCTCCCTGGGCAGCCAGGATGGCAACAGTAGTCTCGATGAGTTTGCTGTTAATGAGCCCTAAAGCTGGCGCATAATGGACGCTTTCGTAGAATCTGACATGGCCATTGACTGAGTTGATGGTGACCAATCCTGGGTCCGTGGACGTTCCTGGAGCCGGACGGGTCAAAATTGCCAATTCTAACGAATTGTTACCTCCTTCTTCGAGAGGAAATTCGTAGTTGATGGGAGTAGAGTCCGCAGAATTGTAGGGCCAAACACTGATGAACTTCTCACAAACCACCACAGCACTTTTAGTGCTGTTGTCGGTGTAACCATTCAACGTCTCGTCGGCAAGATCCATTCGGTCATTATTGAGTATGTCTGGCTGCGCTGGAAGCTTGATCACACAGTACTTGTCGTTCTTGGTGAGTTCCTCACCTGAGTATGTGTTTATGTTAGCAAAAGTGGAAAACGATGGAGCGTCATTTGTAGAATCTGCCGAGAAAGATTTTGGCGAGATTGTGGTAGACTCAGCCGCATCAAAACGCCGAGGTTTGAAAATCAGCGCCTTCGGGAGTGACATGATGGATGATTAAAGTTGGACTTCGTTGTTAGAAAAAGATGGTGATGGTCGTGTTGGGGCCAAATTAAAGATTACTGGGATTTGGGAAGTTAGGTATGGGGAGGAGATTTGAGTTGTTTAGATTGTATTAGAAATCACTGGGGTTTTGCTTACCTTGTTTAGGGCCTTTTCGTTGTTGTTGTTTTTTTTTGGTTAATATGATTTGGTGTAATGTTCTGATGGACGTGTGCAAAAGTTAAAACTGGTTTGAGAAGTAGGAAGCACAAGATCTCAGACTATCTCCGAACTTGAAATTACGCTTCAACTTTGAATTCAGAACCTTTAAGATCAGAAAATCTAAGACTTATGAAGTTTGGTGTAGTCCATCACGTTACTCAATTGACTCAAGAATTACCAGAGGACTCTATCGAAGTAATATGAACTAGCCACAAGCTCTACTTTTCTCAGGTGTTTCCTAAATTATTCTATGCTATATTACACTCTCTGTCTCTTGGCCTCGGGCTCCTCAACGTAATCCTCCTCGTCAAACTCAGCATCGTCCACCTGGTCATACTTGGCCTTCAAACCCTTCATCTTTCTCGTCTGCATCTTGCTCAAATCCTGGTTACCAACATGAATCTTGGCCACCTTGTCTCCCATGAAATCGGTGGTGACGTTCTTCTTCTCCTTAGCCTGCAACTGCTTAGGCTTGGACATTGCCTCCTTCTCCACTTCTGGGGCTGGCGTGACTCTACGGCCCACCTTGAAGTCAAATCTAGGACCAATCTCGTCCACCTCCACGCGAGGAATCTTCTGTCCACTTCTGTATGACTTCAACTTGTATACTCTGAAATGCACCAATGGCAACGTAGACGAGTTCTCGTCCTCGATTTCTCCCACGGACAATGAGATAATATACTGTAAACCGGCCACATCTTGCAAGTCGGTCTCGTCTCCACGGTAAAAGTCCATGAACAACGACTTGATTTGCTGGTATACGGGGTGCGAGTCGAAAGCTGGTCCATTAAACGTGAACATTGGTTTCAATCCAACTGGGAACGTCAACTTCTTGAAGTCGGCCAACAACTTGTGGTTGTTCTGAATGGACAACTCAATCATGTCGTATACTTTGTGGTTGAAGAATCTGGTAAACACCAAGGTGTTGGGTCTCTTTTTGTTGTGGGTAGACAACACCATAAGCGAAGCGTCGTTCTTTTCGGAGAAGAACTCAAGCCCAGAGGCATCTTCAAATGGTCTAATTTCGTTTTTTTTCGAAAATTTTTTAGCGTCTGGCTTCTTTAATGCCATCAAATCAATCATGGCATCATGCAAAAACTTGTTGCCGGTGGCGCCTGGCACAAACAAAGCCGACTTCGTGTTTTCCACCAACTTAGCTTCTTTTTTGGCCAATGCTCTTTTAGAACGAGCGTTCTTGGGTTTGCTGTCAGGTTAGTGAATGAACGGACACGGGAGAATTTCCCGATAAATAATTATGGCCTCGATTGGCTACATTTTGGCACATACATTGTTCTGATCATTGGAGAAGAAGTGGTTCGAATATGAAGATGCTCATCGCCTCTATATAAAAAAAAGTTAGTGCGATCAATCTTTGAAAAAAAAGGTCGTACCCGGATTCGAACCGGGGTTGTTCGGATCAAAACCGAAAGTGATAACCACTACACTATACAACCGATATCTTGCTTGTTAAAAATATTGGATTTTAATAAAGAATTAGTGACTTTAGATTTTTGCAAATTTTCGTCGTTCAAAGCTTTTTTAACTACATTAAATTATATTCACTATACCCTTCTAATACGGGGCTCCTGTTTCAAGCATTTTTTGGCTGTTTTGAGGAGATTTGCGAGTTGGCTAATCAAATGAGATTTGCGAGTTGGCTACTCAAACCAGTGTGTGACTAGTGAACCTATGCGGGGTTTGGAGTACCAAACACAACCTGAACATTAGTCATATATCAAAATCACATTCAAACTTTTAATTTCGTCGGTCTAGATCTACTTTGAATTTCCTTTCTGGGGTAAGGAACACCCTGGGCGCATACGTTGCGCACCTTTCCCGAGGACAAGCCAAGCCAGTATTTAGACTTCGAACAATCGAATTTGTTAGGAGACAGACTCGCTTTTATTGACACAGGTCGCGCATGCAAGTTGAACTATTCGTTAGTTTACTGTGTTTAGCAAGGTTTGAATATTGCAATAAATGTATATTTTCTAGCTTTATTTTGTTCATGTTCCAAGACTTTGTGTACGAAAATTCGTAATGAAGAGAAAGCTGTGGGCCCGTTGAGCGTAAGTTTTGCCAATTATAGTTACCTCATAAGTTTCTTGGAATCCACAACGTCGTTGTATAAAACTCATCTCTTCGCTTGTAAATATTCTCCACAGTTCAAATATTCGTAGACTCTACGCATACATGAAGACATTTAAGGTAAGTTTCCTCATATTGCCTTTGTTCGTCCACTAACATAAAGAACTTTGGAACGTCGGCTTGAGTTTGAGGTAAGTAGGATTTCTTTGTTGGCGAAAGAGTATAACATTGATTGTTCTTCCATAGCGAACACACTCAATAACTTGTTGCTCCAACATCGCTGTTTCCGTAAACATCAACATATATAACTTCTGATCTTATGTAATTAAACGCCCTTTGGGGCAGTTTACAATTTGGACTTAGCCTTCTTCTCAGCCTCGAGTCTCGATGGCTCCTTCAAAATCATTTGATGCCACTTATACAAGTTTGGAAACTCTTCCTTCACATCCCCTGATGCAATCTCTCTGCTAATGTCCAGTCCAACAAAGAGACACGCGTTGATAGGGAAATCCAACATGAAGTCTGCACCGGTCAAGTGGTCACCCACGAAGTATCCTCCACCTTTCTTCTCCAACTGGCTATCCAAGTACTTGAAGTTAATATTGAGCTTCTTAGCGTAGTAAGCGGAATTCATCTTTAAAAGCAACTGGTCGGTTATGATGCTGATGGGCCAGGGGACCTGCTTTCTGGCGACACTTCCAACAAACATGGATATTAAATGGGATTGCAAACTTGCCTCAGAAAAATGCAAGTAAAAGTCCATCAATTCTTTGTCATCATCGGTAACTGGCTTGAACTTACCACTAGGATCAAAATTTTCAATCAAATAGCTAACAATGTGACCCGACTCGCCTATAGTTTTTGGTTCACGACCTTCTCGGATAATGGTTAACACTGGCGAAACACCTGTGGGAAAAACTTCAAGTAGCTCCTCTGAACCCACACCGTTCAAGGTTTTAGGGTAAACTTTGATTTCATAGTCGAGGTTCAATTCTTGCAAGAGCCACGCAATTCTTGAGGCTCTTGAGTTCTCAAGGCTTGATGTTAGTAGGGACACTTCATGGCAAAATTAATACAAATACAAACAAGTGCAAGATGAATTTCGTTGAAGAAGAAGTCATGGGATTTGATAAATTTGTAGGATAATCAAAAAAAAAAAAACTCTTGGGGAAAGCGGTGGTATTTATGTACTTGTAAACAATTTGTGAATTTCCCGTGTTTCATTAATCCGCTCTTAGAAGTTCTGGATGATTTATGTATTTTTTAGAGTTCAATATATAGTTTTCAATTTGGAATAACTTATTACTCGACACTCCCCTATTTTCCAATTTTAGAGAGCTGTGGGTCAATTATTCCTGGAATTAGTAGGGTTGGAGGGCAGTTAAAGGTGTATGGAAAAATGGAAAAGACGCGGGAAATACACGGCGAAGACGCGGATAGTTAGCAATTAGATTAACCGCCGATCGTTATTAAATCCGTCTCACTCGTTCTTCTTTGAACGAAACTCAAAAAAAATGATGGAAAGAGTAAATAAGGCAGCAAGTTCTACAAATTCTTAACGAGATTCGATATTTCTGATTCATGTCTCGAATCGTCAGATTGCAATGGTTTTGCGATATGGTCTTTTGACGTGAAAGGGAACTGAATTAGAATGGTATTAATAGACGTAATCTAATAAGCGAATCAGATGGCCAAAATTGACGAAATTGAATGAAATCCTGGTTAAAAACGACGAAAGTATGGTAGTTGGTGTTTACATCATGATCAAACTCAACACGGTTGCAAACAACACCGATGTTGAGATCTTGATAATAGGTGCCAGACCTGTTGCGATAACTGATGGAGTTGATTCTGATCCAGAGCCAGAGCCGGAACCCGAGCCGGAGCCAGAGCCAGAACCTTCACCGGAGCCTGAGCCAGAGCCAGAGCCAGAGCCTGATCCAGAACCTTCACCAGAGCCTGATCCAGAACCTTCACCTGAGCCTGATCCTGATCCTGAACCTGAGCCAGATCCAGAGCCTGAGCCAGATCCAGAGCCGGAACCTTCACCGGAGCCAGAGCCAGATCCAGAGCCTGAGCCTGATCCAGAGCCAGAGCCGGAACCCGAGCCGGAGCCAGAGCCAGAACCTTCACCAGAGCCAGAGCCAGAGCCAGAGCCAGAGCCAGATCCTGATCCTGATCCTGAGCCTGAGCCTGAGCCTGAGCCTGAGCCTGATCCTGATCCTGAGCCTGAGCCTGAGCCTGAGCCTGATCCAGAACCTTCACCAGAGCCTGATCCAGAACCTTCACCAGAGCCTGATCCAGAACCTTCACCTGAGCCTGATCCTGATCCTGAACCTGAGCCAGATCCAGAGCCTGAGCCAGATCCAGAGCCGGAACCTTCACCGGAGCCTGATCCAGAGCCTGAGCCTGATCCAGAGCCAGATCCATTACCAGAGCCTGATCCTGATCCTGATCCTGATCCTGATCCAGAGCCTGATCCAGAGCCAGAGCCAGATCCATTACCAGAACCAGAGCCAGAGCCGGAGCCAGAGCCAGAACCATTAGTACTTGTTGCTGTTGTACTGGATGTGGTAGTTGGTTGACCTCCGCCATTGGTGTTAGTGTTACCACCAGTGTTGGTGTTAGTGTTACCTCCAGTGTTGGTGTTAGTGTTACCACCAGTGTTGGTGTTAGTGTTACCACCAGTGTTGGTGTTAGTGTTACCTCCAGTGTTGGTGTTAGTGTTACCTCCAGTGTTGGTGTTAGTGTTACCTCCAGTGTTGGTGTTAGTGTTACCTCCAGTGTTGGTGTTAGTGTTACCACCAGTGTGGGTGCCAGTTTCTGAGCTGCCACCTGTGTTAGTGATTGTGTTGGTGTTACCTCCAGTGTTGGTGCCAGTCTCGGAGCTACCAGTGTTGGTGTTCGTGTTACCTCCAGTGTTGGTGTCGGTGTTACCTCCAGTGTTGGTGTCGGTGTTGCTACCAGTGTTAGTGTTGGAGCTACCGGTCTCGGAGCTACCAGTGTTGGTGTTGGAGCTGCTGCCAGTGTTAGTGTTGGAGCTGCTGCCAGTCTCGGAGCTACCAGTGTTAGTGTTGGTGTTGGAGCTGCTGCCAGTGTTAGTGTTGGAGCTGCTGCCAGTCTCGGAGCTACCAGTGTTAGTGTTGGAGCTGCTGCCAGTCTCGGAGCTACCAGTGTTAGTGTTGGTGTTGGAGCTGCTGCCAGTGTTAGTGTTGGAGCTACCGGTCTCGGAGCTACCAGTGTTGGTGTTGGAGCTGCTGCCAGTCTCGGAGCTACCAGTGTTAGTGTTGGAGCTGCTGCCAGTGTTAGTGTTGGAGCTGCTGCCAGTCTCGGAGCTACCAGTGTTAGTGTTGGAGCTGCTGCCAGTCTCGGAGCTACCAGTGTTAGTGTTGGAGCTGCTGCCAGTCTCGGAGCTACCAGTGTTAGTGTTGGTGTTGGAGCTGCTGCCAGTGTTAGTGTTGGAGCTACCGGTCTCGGAGCTACCAGTGTTGGTGTTGGAGCTGCTGCCAGTCTCGGAGCTACCAGTGTTAGTGTTGGAGCTGCTGCCAGTGTTAGTGTTGGAGCTGCTGCCAGTCTCGGAGCTACCAGTGTTAGTGTTGGAGCTGCTGCCAGTCTCGGAGCTACCAGTGTTAGTGTTGGAGCTGCTGCCAGTCTCGGAGCTACCAGTGTTAGTGTTGGAGCTGCTGCCAGTCTCGGAGCTACCAGTGTTAGTGTTGGTGTTGGAGCTGCTGCCAGTGTTAGTGTTGGAGCTACCGGTCTCGGAGCTACCAGTGTTGGTGTTGGAGCTGCTGCCAGTCTCGGAGCTACCAGTGTTAGTGTTGGAGCTGCTGCCAGTGTTAGTGTTGGAGCTGCTGCCAGTCTCGGAGCTACCAGTGTTAGTGTTGGAGCTGCTGCCAGTCTCGGAGCTACCAGTGTTAGTGTTGGAGCTGCTGCCAGTCTCGGAGCTACCAGTGTTAGTGTTGGAGCTGCTGCCAGTCTCGGAGCTACCAGTGTTAGTGTTGGAGCTGCTGCCAGTCTCGGAGCTACCAGTGTTAGTGTTGGTGTTGGAGCTGCTGCCAGTGTTAGTGTTGGAGCTACCGGTCTCGGAGCTACCAGTGTTGGTGTTGGAGCTGCTGCCAGTCTCGGAGCTACCAGTGTTGGTGTTTGAGCTGCTGCCAGTCTCGGAGCTACCAGTGTTAGTGTTGGAGCTGCTGCCAGTGTTAGTGCTGGAGCTACCGGTCTCGGAGCTACCAGTGTTGGTGTTGGAGCTGCTGCCAGTCTCGGAGCTACCAGTGTTAGTGTTGGAGCTTCCCGTTTCAGAGCTGCTGCTAGACTCAGAGGTGTTGCTGGGCTCAACAGTGCTGCTTTGGTCGCTAGTGTTGCTGGGCACAGAGGTGCTGGAAGAGATAGTAGAAGTAGATGTTGGAGGAACAGGGAAGTCCTCACACAAGCATACATTTGGAACGGTATTGCCAGCTGGTGGCGCGTCGTTGGTCCAAATTTGGGTAGCGATTCCAAGGACTCCATTGATTCTGAAGTTGTTTGAATTGTAACCAGTTCCAATATCGAATTTCACTTGTAACAAACCAGAGAGACTCAAAGTCAAAATACCAGAGCTTGAGTCATAACTTCTTCCGATGAAAACTAAGTTGATACTAATTCTGTTTCCATTGCCGAATCCATAAACCTTAATCACTGGTACACTAAGAAGGGAGAGAGATAATCCTAACACATTCAAAGTAGACGAGGATGTCTCGAGGTAAACAGACTGGTCTTCGTCGAAGTTGAACAAGACGTCGCCAACATTGACAGCCAATTGAACAGTACCACGATCACGAGCGACAAAACAACCTCCACCCACAACGTTAGTTGACTGAAGGTAGTATGTGTTCTCTAAGCAAATTGTTCCTTCGTTAGTAATGGTAAGAATACCGTTACCAAGGGCTGAAGTAAGTGCAACCAAAGATGGGTTACCACTATTCTGCTTGAAGTACATCAAACCCGTGTTTTCCCAACCGATAGCTGATGTGACAGTGAATGGTGTAGCTGGTGCCAATAATCCGAAAGCAGAACCGAAGAACAACTTTCCAGAGTTCGAGAATTCGCCGATACTAGCAAAGTTGTAAGTAGAAGCAATATTGGCACTCAAAGCATTAAAGGCAATTACACCAGAGTTGTGGATGGTTCCGCTTGCAACCACGACACCAGAAGCAAGTCCGTTGGTGCTGGTCACGAAGAACGAACCTTCTATATCAAGGTTGCCACCAATAACTGTTGCCAAGTTATTGACAATGGAGAAGTAAACGTTAGGATGAACATTAAGATCTCCGATTTGAAGTGTGAGTGGTCCATACTCGATGGTGTTACCAGTGATGTCCAATCCAAAGACTGAGGACATCAGAAATAATCCAACAGCTAAATTTGCTAAGGAAAGTTTCATCTCTGTCAAGTGCTAATTCAAAGTTGAAGAAGAGAAAAAAATTGCCCGTATTTATACTCCAGTCACATTAGTGATTTTAACTGCCATAGTCTTTCAAGGTGTTTTTTGTACTCAAAATGGAAGAGGGCATTCTCCGGCAGCACAATTCGAGCAACCCGGTCTAGTACATAAATAGCCCATTGCAGCGCATTGCATTGCGTCGTATTAGACGGGTGGGATGTGATTTCCACCAGGTACCAGAATTGGCGCAAGATCCTGGACTGGTGAAAGCGAGTTTTCCTAGGTTTTTAGCAAGCAGAAAATCAAGAATTTTGCCGCAGTTTAAGGTTCCACAAACTATCGATATCTATTGAGTAACTATCCAGACAAGAATACGAGCACAAGGAATATTGAAGTATGATAATTTGGTTATGAACTGCGGGTGGATATGTATGCGCTATCCTGCACGTCGCATTTCAAGATTTGCTTAGCGCTGAAGAACATTCGTAGCCGAGTTCGGCTGCAGCAAGATCAGCAACCATCAACTATTGTCGTCTGTATGCTGAAAGCGGTCCAATCCATTTAAATTCGCCAAGCTTTGGGAATAATTTGCAGGTTCCAAGTACTAGTTTTTGCATTATGTAGGTACCCTGTGGTCTTTAATGTTCGCTTCGATGTAATACAGAAGGCAGTAGTTAACTCCAAAGCGCACTTCCTACACACTCCGCAATTGTCAAAGCGCATGCCCAATTGAATTCCATGCATAGTGGGTAGAACTTTTGGCTCAGAAATAAATTTCGTTTCCTCGGTTAGTATGCTACGCATAAGCAGGAATTGATGGCTTCCGAAAGACTTCAACTGAAGCATTAGGCATGAATCTGGTTGCATTGGACATTTATTGGCCACTTGAGCTAAGGCTAATAACTATTGCAGTTTCCTCACTGTCAAGGTCGCAGTTAATCTCAAGTATTCCCCCTTCGAGCTTACCAGGGACCACTCACCGTGCCACTTCTAATAAGCCCATGTGCGGAGAAGAGTGTGATGTCGTAAATGCGAATTGCTTTGAGATGTGATATGTAATTCACGGCTTTTAGTGCGTAAACCCGAGGAAATGCTTATACACGAGTTGCGTCCACGAGTTGCGTCCACTTTTCTAGATTATACTCAAGTTTTGGTTTGCGCTATCCTTCAGAAGGTTTTTGATTCTAAGCGTTCGAACCAGCACAATTCATTTGGCAAAGTCTCACTTAGGGGGTGTCTTGCCCAAAGGATCTTATTGTACCCCGTAGCGGAAAGTGGAGTAATTCGCTATTGTAATCATTTGACGTGAATTCGGTATGTATTTATTTTTCTTACCTCTGCCGGGTTTCGTTATATTATTCTTATTTTTAATTTTATTTTTATTTTCGTTCTTTTATTATTATTTTTATAATTTCGATTATATTTATTTTCGAAGTATTAGCTTATTAGTGTGGACCCAACACCAGAATAGGAAGAAATGGGTCCACAGTGTCCAGTCTTACAGATTACGCTATTGAGTTTCCAGATTCGACTCCCCTTTTTGGAATTAAGCATTCCACCTGCGCAATGTTCAAACGCTTAAAGTTTTGCCCGAGGCACACATGATGTTTTGCGTGCAAGACGATACATTCTTGAACTACGTACATAAGAGTAAGGGTATGCGCAAAGCGCAATCCCTTGATTGTTCTAAATTTGCGTTGGGCCCATAATTTACCGTGAATCTACCCATAGGGTATTACTCTCTCTTAATTAGGAAAGTCTCTTCTGAGGCACCAATTATTAGCTAACGCCTGTCACTTTTCTCCAACAATCGAGCCACATAAACGGGAAAAGTAGGTGGAGTTAAAAGTTTATTGAATTATTCAGTATTATTCACGTTTCCTTCATCAATAAATTCATTTTTTTTTTCTCGTTGACCCAATGGCTATAGTTTATTTTCTAGGTGAAAGGATAACTATCACGGACAATTGGTTGACTTTAAACAATTGAGAGAAACCTAGTGTGACAATTAAAAAGTGGTCAAAAATTGTTAGATTCTTGTATCCATTAAGTTTTTATTGCTCGTTGGAGTTGGATTTTTGGTGCTTCGTTCCAAGTCGCTGTTGAGAATGTTCAGTTGGTTCTACAACTATTGCAAAGATTCTCTTATTCAACCTCCTGAACTGCTGCCTTAATTCACAAATCTCAAGCAGGGTGGTCACATCGATGATCTTAAATTTTGGAAAACCCTGGCCGAGTTCTTCCTCGGATAATTGCTGGTTACTTGGATACGCTAGGCACTAAGGCAAATGTCCTTTGAGGACTGCTCTAAATAAATATTTGATCTTTCATTGTACTCAGACCACGTCGTTGTACCCAAACAGTTTCGTTCTATAGTTCAAAATGAAGGGAAAATACAAAAAATAGTAAGCAAGTAGTCTCAGAGTTCGACGTGCAGCGATTAGAAAGTGCATTCACATGAAAATCGCGAGAATGTGTCACTATCTCCTCTCTGCATAAAAAATATTCTCACCGTTTATTTTTTGACTTTGATGTTTAATTCACGAGCTTTTCATTATAGGTCTTGATGAGGATCTTCACATGCCATTGTAGCTTCCGGATAGCTGTTTCTTGGATTACTCAATTGGGTGATGAATTTCGAGATTATTTTTTGGAGCAAGATACGAAGATATAGCACCTGAAAATCAACCTTTATTGTAGCACATCTGCAGTTTTCACGGCTTTTATTCTATTCTACAAGGCCAAGCTGACGCTTGATTTCATTTTCCTAATTGATATCTGGAGAGAGGGAATATTACACAAAAAAAAAAACCTAATTACTAATTGATATAGGTGAAACGGGCAGTGGTGTTAAGTGTGGGTGGGGCACTACACCAAAACCTCTCGTGAAAGTTACATGAAGAAATGAAAGCATCGTTGCACTTATTTTCTTGGGGATTCATAACTAAATGAATGATATTTGAAGGTGACTGAAGATCAGTTTGTAGTTTGAAATGTTCTCAAGATTCACGAACAAGTATGTGTAGGTGCTGAGATATAATGTGGTATTCTGCACCTCACATGTTACAAAAGCATTAAACATTTATCATTATTATCATTGTTTTATGCTTTTTGAATAATTTTTTGGCTTGTAAATCTGATGTTGTAGTTTCAACCTCGTAATTTACGAGTACCTGCATAATCGGCACAGTCCAATCAGATCTCATATTAAGAGGATCGAAAGATAGGTCATTAAATTCAAATTTTCTCTTCGTGTTTCATAAAAATCTTCTTATCATTACTTCATTTGCTACCTCTGGATCGGTTGGTGCGTTAAGGGGTTTCAAACTAGTTTGGCTGCGAATAACATAGCCGATCAGATTCAACGAAATAGAAGATGTGATAGTCGTTGCTATTATCAGAGCCAATAAATCAAAACCTCGAAATATCACTTTGCAGATTAGCTTTTTCTTTTCCTCCTTTTGACGCTAATGACTCCATTTGTGGACCAAAACAGCTTTGCAATCTCCTCCAAAGGTCCTTCGCAAGTATGTTTCAACAAACACATTACGCACCTCTTGATCATTTCTCACTACTAATCATTTCCTCTCAACTCAGTTTTCCAACTTAAATCAAGACTTGGTAGATTGGAAAAGCATCCAGAGCTCGCAAAACCTTCCGACCCGAATACTAGACACTGATCATGTTGTGTTTGGTTCGGACTTTTCGCCGTTTCACGGCCACTGTTTGTGCCTCTAATTCATCGTATACTGATGTCAATATTCCAGAAACCGATGATGGTTCTGTTAGTTCTCCATGCTCCCGTGAAACCATTGATATCATGGTAGTGGACACCGAGGTGGTAACCACTAGTCCAACGGAGCCTAAAAATATCAAATCTCATCGATTCAGGGAATTCAGACCTTGCAAGAAATTAGTGTATAGGGTTAGAGAACTAAAGAGAAAGCTAAACGAGGTTATTGCCAAGATTATGAATGAAAAAGTTTCTACGAGGGGCCCTATATCTGAGCCCTCCTATAATTCCACTCCCATTGACTTCTTCTGTGATTCTTCTACCAACTCATCCTTCGAGTTCTCTCTGGAAGATCTTGAAGCGTTATCTCCAATCAACTAGTCTTATGAATTACACTGCTTGATAAGATGTATGCAAGATTACCCAACTGAAGATGTTTCCTCTTCTGAGAGACAACTGGCACTCTCACTTGCTGTGAGCAATACCACCAGTCAGACTTCTGGGGCATCAATTTACCTCTCTAAGGAAAGTCAGGTGGCGTCTGCTGTTAAATTGTAGACTCATTTTGTTTAAAGCATTTCCGATATTGATTCTACTCCTTGTGGTACTTTTGTTGATGACCATAATGGCTATGCACGTTTTTTTATAGCGTGTTCATCTAATCAGTTCACTCCTCTCTCTTACAAAAAATTATTATGTTTGTTCGCTCACTTACATGACTACTGCCCAACAAACTCAATGCTCAAGTCAGGAGGGCTTGTATCCAAGAAAACCTTGAAACATTTCTTCCAATGGAAAGTAAATCCTTCATTGCCGAAGATGATGTATGCACCTTATTGTTTAGCGTTGTTCCTATTAGCTGTTCTTTGTTTGTGGATCAGCCTGGTCTCACAGGCACTCCACCTCTGGGACAATACATCCCTTATGTAATGTGGAATATTCAATCTTTGAGCATTTCCAAGAACCTCTACTGTTCTGATGGTTTCGGTGATATCCAAAGTGAGGTTATGGAGGATGTGATATCTGATGATTAAGGTTGTGAGGAAGAAGGGGGGATTGAGAAGGAAGTGCAAGAGCAAGTGGAGGAGACAGATGAAGTTATGGACTTCATTGCTGTTGCTTTGAAAACATTTCCTAATTACAGAAAGTTTTGTTCAGATAATGTGGAATACCAGCCTCTCGAGCCTGATTTCTGTGATGATGGAAGATTGGCAGTTGTCAGCTTCGCTGATTTTGATCAAGTTATCAACTTTCAGTCTTACGAAGCTCCATTGATGCTTGGTCGAACTGCGGACATAGATACTAACAAATTACAACCTCTTAAAAGCTGTCTTAGTAAACACGGGAAGCATAATCTTGAAGATCACGAGCTGTCAACCGACTCTGTCCTCGCAAATCTCGAAACCGACTATTCCTGGTTCGAGGAACTTTGTAATCGCTTCGTGGAAGCCACATTGATAAATGGTTGCAGTGTGAACCCCGACCATGAATACTGGGAGCAGTTGGAAGATTTCATTGCTGTCACAACTGACTTTCTGGAAACTTACTGTTGGTGTCGCTGAGGCTAAGATCTACGGTCTTCACGAGTTCATGAACAGATGTGACTGGGCTGTGAAACTTGCTGCCCAGGTCTTTAACTCATATCTTGGTATGGCAAGCAGATACGAGGTCGTTGTGGAAACTTACCTTCGCGCGGACGATTTGTGTTTCTTGGAAAGAGTCCGATGTTCTCTTGTTGCCGAGAGAATGAGGCTTACAGCATTGAGAAAGAGTCTCACTGTCCTTCGCAATACCTCCAAGGACTTAGTCAACGATTTGGAGGTTGCGCTTTTGAATTATGATACTGAGTCTCAAGTTTGTGTTGCTGCTGTGTCTGTGGTGTTGCTGGAGTTTGATAGGTTCTTCGACAACATGATATTGAAATCCTATCCTAACAGTTCGCCTCAAGAGCTTGAGGAAATTTGAGGGAAAACTGACTACTTAGAAGCGTGCAGTCAATATCACACCGATTACCTTTTGGACGCAAGGGTCAGGTTGACTTGCAATGTTAATGATATCTGCCGTGGTATTCGGGTGTTGGATGCCATGGATTCATCGATGGAAGCGGCACTCAATGAATTGTCTGGGTGTATTTGGGTTGAGCCCAAGCTAGTGGGTTTGTGTTGGGTTGGCATCTATCAACTAGGTTTCTGATTATTGTTGGATCCTTTCGCCGTTCCATTGAACATTATCCATCAACGGGGATGATAGAAGAGCAGGTTTGCGAGTGTTCTCTCGCCTAGCGTGAGTGATAATGTGTCCATTGAGCTGATAATCTGTTTCCTAGTTTAATTCTTCTTTATTGTCAATCACTCTTTGAATTTTGATGTAGGTCTTAATGGCTAGCGCTTTACCTCGCTGCTAGTTTCTAGGTCCTCTGAAATGACTTATGCATAAGATTCTATGAAATTTCTTAAATCATGAGGTAAAGTACAATTAAAATTCCAACACTTTGATTGAATCAGGTTTTTCAACTTGTTACAGAGGCATCTGTTAGAAATGACTCATTTTAGTATGCTACACGGAGACAAACTCACCAATGACCTCTTAATGGTTGACTTCTTAAAAGTTGAAAGTGGAACACCCTTAAGAAAATGATCTTTCAGGAAGTCACAGCAATTCTAATCAGCACTCATTGGTTTAAAAGATGAAGAGAACCGCATGAGGCATTTTACCTTGATGAGCCGCATCGGATTGTACTCCACTATTTATCAACTTACGAGAGTAGAACTTTCTATTTCTGATGGAATATAACAAATCAATAGTGTAACATTTAGCCGCATGTTTATTTTTGTTGGGAGGTAGAGGTCTTCTAATTAATACTTGGTATAATAATGTACTCTACTTCAATCTCAATAGAGTCCGATATAGTGTAATGGCTATCACGGTTCGCTCTCACCGAGCAGATCGGGGTTCGATTCCCCGTATCGGAGTTCTACTTTTTTATTTCATTTTTAACCGACTTCCAAAATTTATCTGTTGAAAAGTATTTTTTTAGCTACAGTTCCCTGAGTGAGAAAATCTATTCGCCGCACTATTCAGTTTACTTCTTCTTACCGTCTGGAATGGTGAACAAAATCAACTCCTTGCCAGTAGAAAGATCCTCATCGACCTTGTAGTAGCCCTTTCTCTCGAACTGAATGGTGTCACCCTTCTTCAATGACTTGACGTTGGCATCGGCAAAGGCCTCGCTGACAAATCTGGTCTCAGGAGTAAGGAAATCCTCGAAGTTGTCACCCTCCTCCAACTTGTCCTTAGTAATCAAGTGGTCGAAGTCAACCAACTTGACTTGCACCTTGTCAGAAGTGTTAGCCAACCAGGTGACCTTCTTCTCGGTCTTGCGGAAGTCACCCTCCAAGTGCAACTCGGCATCAATGGATTTGACAACATCACCTTCCTTGTTAATCTTCTTGATGATCACGTTACCCCAGTCCATAAAAGTGATCTCCTCACCCTCGGCAAAAGTTTGAGCATCGGCCTGGTCAACGAGGACATCCTTTGCAAAAATCACCTTCTTGGTTCCCACATCTGGGTTCTTCTTGTGCTTAGGTTTGTCCTCAGAGAATGGCTCGGCAGGACCGTTAGAAAGGGTCACTGGAACAGCGTCCTTGACGTCCACAGCAACGTGTCTTGGAGCAATAGGGTCGATAATCTTTTTGTTCAAAGCCCAAATGGAAGACCACTCCATGTTGATGATATTCTTGGAAGGACCCTGGGAGAGAATGAAGTTTCTCAAACCCTCAGCAGTCATACCTCTTCTGCTGACACCTCTGACGGTAGGGAATCTTGGGTCATCCCAGTTGCCAACGTGGCCCTTGTCGACAAACCACTGCAATTTTCTCTTGGACAAAAGTGTTCTAACAAAGTTGACTCTACCGAAATCCCAAATGTCAACGTGACGCAAGCCTAAGGTGTTCTGGATCCACTCGTACTGAGGGTTACGGTCTCTGTACTCGTTGGTTCTCAAAGAGTGAGTGACACCCTCAATGGCATCAACCACTGGAACACAGAAGTCGTAGGTTGGGTACATCTTCCACTGAGTGCCGGTTCTGTGGTGAGGAGTCAAGTTGCATCTGTAGATAACCGGGTCTCTCAATGCCTTGTTAAGAGCCTTGTAGTCAATCTTGGCTCTCAAACAGTTCTTGAGGCCAGTCTCAGTGCCGTTCTTCATCTCCTCGGTAAAAATCTGCAAGTTTTCCTCGACAGATCTATCTCTTCTCTTGGAGGCATCACCCACCATTCTTTCCTCTCTCATTTGCTCCAATGGGGTATCGTCACAGTAAGCATGGCCCTCCTTGATCATCTTGATGGCTAAGTCGTACATCTGGTCGAAGTAGTCGGACGAGTAGGTGACCTTGTCTCCCTTGATACCCAAGGTTGCCAAATCCTCAATAATAGAGTCCTGGAACTCGGACTTCTCCTTGGATGGGTTGGTGTCGTCGAATCTGATGATCAACTTACCCTTGTACTCATGAGCAAAGTATTCGTTCAAAATGGCAGCCTTGACATGTCCAATGTGCAAGTATCCAGAAGGCTCTGGAGGGAAACGAGTGACAACCTCACCAATCTTGGCATTTGGCAAGTCAATAGCAAAACTGGCCTTGTGTGTCTCCTTCTTTTCACCCTTGGCAGCCTTAGCTGACTTTCTCACTTCATTAATGGCCTTGGTGGTCTTATCAGCAACATCGAATCTGCTGTCAGATCCAACGAAGTTGTACCATCTGGAAATGTTGGCGTAAACCTCATTCTTGATGACGGAACCCATCACAGCATTGGCTCTCAACACACCCCAGATGGCAATGTCAGCCAACGAGAAGCTGTAGCCCAAAACAAATGATCTAAAGTTCAAGTGGGCATCCAACTCCTCCAAGTCGGTGGCTAAAGCTTTAAAGTTCTTGTTGGCCAATTTTTCCAAGGCAAACTGGACCCAAGAAGCAGAAGCATCGCTGGACTTGGTGATGGAAGGCACCAAGGAACCAAAAGCCTTCAAGACCTCAGATTCTCCAACGTAGGTCTTGTCACCCACGACCAATTTGGCAGTGGCATCCTTCTCGACAGCCTTGTCATCCACGAAGTCGACAGTAATAGGAGAAGATTCGGCAGACTCAAATTCTGAGGCAATAATTGCCGAGTAAGCAATGAAAGGTGCCTTTGCAGCAATAGTCAAAGACATGGTTGAAAAGAGCAGTTACTAGAGAGAACAAATTTTGAAGAGTAGGTGCAGTCACAGATGAACATACGGAAATGGTGGTAACGAAGTGACAAAAAACGACGATAGAAGACAAGAGGGGAAATTATTGACTCGTTTTCATCCGTTTTTTCTGAGGCTTTTCTCGTTTTTTCGTTAATTGGTATTTTTTCTGGATGTCAGTAGGTTGTCATTTTCATGATCTTTGTGGATTCCCACTGAAAAATGGAAATTATTGTGGAAACGTATTGAATTGAGGGATTAAGACAATATCGAAAAGAAAACTTCTTTAAATATCAAGGCAAAGCCCATGCAATAAATCATTAATGTGACCATTGGAGGGCGCCATCTCAATATGAATTTCGCTTTCAAACTGTTAATCGTTGGATTACCTTGTGGCATTATATATTCTCATGGCTGCTAAACTTTTGTTATCAGACCTAAATCTTGATGAAGTCTATTACGACAACCAAGTGGAGAATGTAAGTAAAAAAAGAACGAAAAAAGAACTTGTCTCGGTAATAACCATCCAATAGATTTCATCACGCCTTTTGAAAAATCTCTCTGATTTTCGCTCATCCAGTTCCCGAACATTCCAAGTTTCACGCACCTTAAATCTAATGATCTCCTTAGCTTGCAAACACAGAATAAATACACCAAGAACCTACTTAAGGAAAAATAAAACGAAAAATATAAAATCAGCCAGCAAGTCGGACCAAAAACATCCAACCTAAATTACCCTTAATATATCTTTCCCATACAATATTTCCTCGTTTCAATATGCCCAAGCAATAAAGTGCACACGTGACCTCATCCTATCTCCCACACCTTTCCATCACCTTATCCCATTATCTTGAAGCGCTAGTCGCCGCCATGTCCAATGGTTCCAGACCCACCGCTAAGCGGTCGCCGTCAATTTTGGTTACGGATGCTCGAACAACGCACACAAAAGGTGCCAGAGCGCCGTTTGCTGGCCAGAATTACAAAAAGCAACAGCAGCAGCAGCAGCAGCAACAACAAAATCACCAAAACCCCCACCAGAACCATCAGCAGAACCATCAACTGCCTGGTGGTCCTGGTGTTAGCCGGGGTCCTATGGGCATCAATCTACACAAGCGATTTACTGCTCGTGCCAATAAGTATACCGACATCTCTGTTGATAAATTATTGAGTAATTCTAGCGACATTCCGTCGGGCCAGAGCCGATTGCCACTTTTGAACCAAAGCGGACCTTTTTCCCCGCCTCAAAGAAGCATGTCACCACCGGGTGTTCCGCCGACCATGGATCTTCGTCGAAGGAACATCCGGTCTATTCCAAAACTTACACAAAACTTGCCGGCTAGAACATCTAAGAACTCTCAGCGATTAGTCTTGATTCCCGATGATTTAGGAATGCCACATTCTCCACACCGGATAGATTCGCCGCCACCATTGGGTGATAGGACGACACCACTCATATATAGGAGCCGTGCTGAGCTTATGCCAAAAGAGGCTCGAGCCAAAGAGTTCAGCAGGGTTACTGCTTATTACATTTGCGAAGAATTTAATTTGGAGGCGCTTCTGGACTTTTTGGCTAAAAACCACGAGGTCAAGCCAAGATTATACGATGAAGCGCTCTATGTTCCATATGCTCTTCCATTGCTTCCCGGCAATGATGGATTTCGAGTGAAATCCAACGACACTGCCAAATCGCTACCTAATAAGCGCTATATGGAGAAAATGATTAATAAGAGCGAGCAAACAGATCGGTTGTATGAATACTTCTCAGGTGTTGAAACTCCCGAGGATGCAAACAACTACTCTATGGATCCAGAGGAGGGTGCGGGTGATAACAATGGCCCCTTCGATCCTTCGGAGCCGCAGTTTTTTGCTCCACCTTTGGATGAATCGGATAGTGATAGTGGAAGCAATAACAGCAACTCTACAGTCGGTAGTCCGCAACAAGAGCATCCTAGCTCGAACACCGCCGAGCTAGACCCAAGAAATCATAAGCATAAGGATCACAAGCAGACTTCAGATGATCTGACGGAGCTCAGCAAACATGCAGAGATGTTTGTCCTCGAGTATGGAATTGTGGTATTTTGGAATCTCTCGGAGATCCATGAGAAGAACATTCTTGCCGACTTGGCGTTCGCATCAGAGACCCCTGAGCCTCTTCTTATCCATCCAATCAGTGAGCAAGACATCGAGACTGAAGAATTCCACTTCGAATACGACTCTCAGATTCAGAGACCCCGAATTTTCAATGACATGATCACATTGAGAAGCGGTGATCACTTGATTAAGTTGGCCATGTCGCACGCAATAGCACAACTGACAAAGCTTTGTCTCTTTGAAAGTCGTATGGTGTACAGCTTGCAGCTGATTTCGAAGCTTCCTAAGAAGTTGGCATTGACAGGGCGCTTGGGATTAAAACGGCAGCAGTTGATGAAAAAATCTGGAAAGTTATTTAAATTGAGAGTTGATGTCAATTTATCAAGCTCAATTCTTGATACCCCAGAGTATTTCTGGTCGGTGGAACCTGCATTACATCCACTTTACAGTGCTGTGAGAGAGTACCTTGAGATAGAACAACGAGTTCAGGTTCTTAATGAACGATGTAAGGTATTCTTGGAGTTTACAAACATTATCAGCGATAGCATCAACGAGTCAAGTACTACGCGAATTACGATGATGATAATGATCATCATTTTGATCAGTTTATTTGTGAGTGTCTTTGAGTTCGTGTTGGAGATTTTGTAGTATATACTGGTTATATATGGAGCCTCATTTTATAATTGCATATCCATTAAATTAATGCATACTCACTTAATTGATTTTACTAATACAATTTCCAGGATTTTGCGTAGTTCGTTGTTTAGTTGTTATCTATTCCAACCACATCAACAAAAGTTCCTGCACTATAAATTCAGGTTAAAGATCAAGCATCAGGGCAATGTCCCTTCCTTCGCGTTACGCCCCTGGTGGAATCGGGAGGAAAGACGATAAGAAGATCCTTGTGCTGGGCAGCAAAAGAAGAAATTCCGCCGATTACACTATACGACTCATTGAAGATAGAGTGGACAAAGCAGCACGAAATCCACATAAATACGATGAAAGTGGTGACATTGAGATGGTTCTAATGGATAATTCCGAAGAAGTGGAAGTTATTACAAATTATGTGACTAATTCAAGAGTGGCAGGCGACTTTTCATATGACGATTCCATGGACCTAGATAAACTGTACTTCCAGACTCAAACCATCCGAATCAATGAAAACCTTTCTTATCTTGTAGTGGACACCAACTTTATTCTTTCGCATTTGAAGATACTCGACGAGCTCAAGAACTTAGGCGAAGAGTATGGAATCCGCTTGGTGATTCCAATGGCTGTGATGCATGAACTCGATGGCCTAAAAGGGTCCAAACGTGCTGATGAGCGAAATGGGAACCCTTCCCAGCTTTCAGGCGAGTCCGTGGGCTACTTGGCTCGCTGGGCAAATGACTGGGTCTACTCAAGCTTGGCCACGCGTTCAACTACGGTAATTGGCCAGAAAATGGACGAAAGACTTGACAAATTGGCTATAAAAGACGATGCTATATTGGACTGCTGCCTATATTTCCAGAAGCATAAACCACATACGCTTCAAGTTCTTATGTCTAACGACAAGAATCTTTGCATGAAAGCTTTACTGAATAATGTATTGACGGTCAGCTTTCGAGATGAGATGAGCGCTAAACTCATAGCAGAAATGGTTAAAAACGAAAACATTCATAGGTTTGGCAAGATCGAGAAGCAAGCGGTGATTACCAAGGAAGTAGAGGTGCCAATTAAGCAACACGTTCCAGTATGTGCAAACCCTTATAAGACAGTTTATTCCGAGATCCAAAAAGTGCTTCTCGCAGTAGTTCACTGCTGCATGAAGAGTTCTTATGGGAATGATCTTGAACTTGTGAGAGGCTACGACAAGAGCTCAATCTGCACGTTGGAAGATGCTAGCTATGTGATGATCAGGTTTTGGCTCCCAGTATTCTCTGAGTATTTACTGAGCAATAAGCCTTTCATCACCAAAGGACGACAACAGAAAATTCCGCAGATGGTTGATCTACCCGACAACAAAGAATCGTTGGTAACATTTGTACACTATTGGTCTGATATTTTGAAAGTTCTCTACCAGCACGAAATGAGTGATTCCCAGAATGCTGCACTTGATCAGTTGATTCAGAGATGGGACGACTTGGCTGAAAATAGCGAATCCTAGAAGAAGCCTTTTATCGTCTACCCGAGCCAACTCGTCTTCTTTTAGTTGGAGAACTGCTGGGCTGAGAACGCACTGGAGAACTGCTGAGTTCGCTCCGTTTTTGGGAGTCAAGTCGAGGAATTTCACCCAGCCTGATTTTGGAGTCTTGAGTTTGCGTTTGACTCTGGGTTTGATATGGAGACTTTTCATCAAACTTAGTGTTAACAGGCAGATCAGGACTCTCATTCATGTTTGCTCTCCAAGTGGATTTATCCTTCAAAGCCACTTTTAAGTTGTCCCAAAGACGGTTCTCGGGATTCCAGTCTGTCTGCCTTTTGAGATAGTTTCGATACAGACTTCGTATTCTCAGGTTCGTAGAGTCTTTGTCGTAATTGACCAAGAGCCGGGCGTCTTCAACATGCTGCCGTTTATACTTCTCCATGAGCTCCATGCCATTGATTGTCTTGTAATTTTCCTCCAAATAGACAATGTACTTGTCGCGAGCCTTAATTAGATGCTCTAGCTGCGAAATCTTATATAGTAGGAAGTTGTGATTTGCAAACGTTGAGACGCAGACGTTGCGGAAAAATGAAGCTGTCTCGGACGAGTCAGCTAGCCTCAACTCGAAATCCCATGGAATATTTTGAGCCACTTGTGTATCAATTGTGAAAAGCACATTAGATTGTCTGAAGAACTTTAGGGACGGAGATTGTGCTCCAAACATCTTGACTAGTTCCCCCACGAAAAAGGCTAACTTGCTCTCGTCAAAGTCAGAAATCCCCTGAGCACTAGCTTTATCGCAGACCTCCTTTTTGGTGGGACTAGTGAACCATACCGACTCCATGTCACTAAGATACACTGCGTAGGGTGAGTTGCCCAATGCAGTAATGCCATACATATAGTGAACATTCGAAATTGTGATACATCTCCACTCTTTTGGGAAATGACAATCCATACCAGCAGCGTCGACCAGCTCGTTTCCCGAATCGAGGAGAGACTATCCAGAAAGAGTCGTACAGTGATTGCAATTGCAGGAATTCCTGGTGCAGGCAAGTCGACCTTGGTTCGTGAGCTTATTGATCATTTAGGTTCCCAGGGTATTCTTGCACAACTGTTGCCGCAGGATGGTTACCATTATTACCGGGCTGAATTGGCCAAATTTGAAGATTCAAACGAGGCATTCAGACGAAGAGGCGCTCCATTTACATTTAACGTGGAGAGGTTTCTCTCGGCCATAGAGAAGCTACATAGTGGAGAAATTGTGCTAGTTCCACTGTTTGATCACAGCAAAAAGGATCCTGTCGAGGACGATATTGTCATCGGAACAGATGTCAAGGTTGTTTTGGTGGAAGGAAATTACGTTGGATTGAAAGACGACCCATGGTGTCGTATAGGAGACCTTGCAGATGAATTATGGTTAGTGAACACACCCACCACATTGGTGAGGAAGAGAATCATTAAGAGGCATTTGGACAGCGGAATAGCAGAAAATGAGGCAGAGGCTGTGGAGCGCGCTGATGGACTGGACTGGCAGAATGCACTTTATGTGATAGCCAACAACAGAGAGGCAGACGTAATTGTGGAAAGAAATTAAAAAACGAACGGAGAAAGTTTGACACATGCATAGTGCGAGAAAATCCGTAAGTACATTCTTCACTATGGCCATGCTGTCTGGTGATTCAACTTCCACCAAAGACCTGAAACGGCTAAAGAGCATAGCTTTCTGTAGCCCCACAATGTCGTATTTCGTATAGGCCGGTATGTCCCATCGTACCAGGCCAATGATCAGATGGCCCAATGTCATAAGTTAGATCATACCACTGGCTGCCTAAGCGCATGCAGGCTACCATATATAGCGAGCAGAAATCCAATATTTTGACACTTCCAACCCATTTTCAAGTAAAACAAAAATGTCCATCATCCACGACACTTCTCGTCCCATCCGCGAGCGGATGGAAGCGTTGGTAAGATTGAAGCAAAAGGAGATTACCGACGGTCTTACCGAATTAGATCCTACAGGATTTCGGACAGATTCATGGACTAGAGGTGAAAATGGTGGAGGAGGACAGTCGATGGTATTGGCAAACGGTACCACGTTCGAGAAGGGAGGTGTGAACATTTCGGTGGTGCACGGCTCTTTGCCTCCTCAGGCAGTTCAAAGAATGAGAGCAGACCACAAGAACTTGCAGGGAAGTGCTGATGGATCCGTCAACTTCTTTGCATGTGGACTTTCCATGGTGATTCACCCTAGAAACCCCCATGCGCCAACCACGCACTTGAACTACCGCTACTTTGAAACCACCGATCCCGTATCTAACGAGGTGACCGCTTGGTGGTTTGGAGGAGGAGCTGACTTAACACCTTCGTACTTGTACGAGGAAGATGCACGTCATTTCCACCAACAGCACAAAGATGCATTGGACAAGTACGACACTGAGTTGTATCCCGCGTGGAAGAAGTGGTGTGATAAGTACTTCTACATCAGCCACCGTAACGAAACCAGAGGTGTTGGAGGCATTTTCTTCGACGACTTTGACTCCAAGTCGCCAGACGAAATCTTGTACATTGTGGAGTCGTGCTTCGATGCTTTCTTGCCCGCATACGTTCCATTGGTGGCCAAGCATATGAACCAGGAGTTCACTGCGGAGCAGAAGCAGTGGCAGCAGATCAGAAGAGGTCGTTATGTGGAGTTCAACTTGGTTTTGGATAGAGGCACCAAGTTTGGCTTGCTGACTCCTGGCTCAAGAGTTGAGAGTATCTTGATGTCGCTTCCAGCTACTGCCAGCTGGGAGTACGATCACCATCCTGAGCCTGGAAGCGAGGAGGAGAAGCTTTTGAAGGTGTTGCAGAACCCTGTTGACTGGTTGTAATGAGCTACGTATATAATGTCATATGTGAAGAGTAAAGAGAGTAGCATGATTAAGTTTCAAAACATATATCGATTTCTTCCTTCCAGAGCTGCTTTTGAGCATTTTTTTTCTATCAACACAAACCTCTTTTAATAAAACGTCTGGTCTACTAGGGCGTGGCTAAAATAAGTCGCATAACGTCGCGAAATCGACTCATTTAATAACGTTCAGCTATTTCACCCTACCCAACACAGAAAATTCTCTTATAAAATTTGTGATACTAACATTCCAATATTAGAAGACCCGACTCACCCGAACCTCATATCCCCGACCCCTTTGCCCTTTAATAATGGCCCGCCTTGAGGTAACCACGTTTGTCCTGCAGACAACTGCTACCCATCGCAATCACCAGCCTTTTTTTTTGTATCTTCTGGTATTCTTATCTCTTCTACCAACTATGATCACCAGCTTGCCTGCTCGCACCTAAATATCCTACACTGTCTGAACCCTGCCAGTCTGACAACTATTTAGAACTATTCTGATTCCCGCCGCCTTTGTGCCCTCGCAGCTTTACCACAAATCATGTCCGACACTGACAGCGTCAACTCGACCTCCAACATTCCAGCTTCATCGGCTTCCAGAATGGACGAACATTTGCAAGACCACAGAAACCAGGTGGAAACACTTCCTCCACCCGAGGAGTCAGCCCAGGAACTGCAGCAGCCCCAGGTACAGCAGCAACCCAGACCTCAAATGTCTAAGACAAGAACAAACACAGAATCGGCCCCACGATTTCGCCGCAACTCTAGATCTCGTTCCATTTCGGAGAATGCTGGTGATGAAGCACCTGGCATCCTTATGAATGTACGCAAGGCGCGTGCCAGAGCAGAGTTGGCACCAATGATGAAACTGAGAACCAACGAGAGTGGTGGGTCCGACATGGGCCCTGGCCACCACAAACGTGAGAGACGCATGCTGAGATCGTCTTTAGATCTGGAGGCTGACTCACATGCGTCGAGATCGTCCCAAGAGACGGAGGAAGATGTGTGCTTCCCCATGTTGAGAGAACATGTTAGAATCAATGGCATTGACTTCGACGAGATTGATGACTTCATCAATGAAGAGAGGGATAACGAGGAGTTGATGCGGCGCCAGACTGAGGCCGTGGCTCAGGAAAACATTGCCCGGGTGAAAACCACCGGCATGTCTATTCATACCGAAGCGAGCGCTCCCAGTAAGAACGCAATGAAGTACACTCCCAAAAACATCTTGATGAAGTCGTTGACGAGGATGAGAACGGGTGAAGTTGATGCTGAAACTCATTCCGCCATTCCTCATGAAAAGTTGACCTCTGACTCTTCGGAAGAAGATTACATCTATGAAAAGCGTACCATTATGACCGACGGAGATTCCTCGGACAATGTGCGATTCGGAGGTACGAGAATTAATGACGGTGACTTGATTTTGCCAGACAGATTTTCTTTCTTCCACTCGGACAACGAGGAGACTGTTCACGCTCCAGACCTTGCATCACTTCTTCTTCCTGGCCAAAGCACACGCGAGCTTTTCAAGAATGGGGAAGGTACGTGGTGGCTCGACTGTACTTGTCCTACTGATTCTGAAATGAAGACATTGGCTAAAGCCTTTGGAATCCACCCCTTGACCGCTGAAGATATTAGAATGCAAGAAACTAGAGAGAAGGTTGAATTGTTCAGAAACTATTACTTCGTTTGTTTCCACACCTTCGAGCCTGACAAGGAATCTGAGGACTACTTGGAACCCATCAACGTATACATTGTGGTGTTTAGGGAAGGAGTCTTGACATTCCATTTTTCACCTATTCTGCATCCCGCCAATGTGAGAAGAAGAGTGAGACAGTTGAGAGACTATGTGGATGTGAGCGCTGACTGGCTCTGTTACGCCATGATCGATGACATTACTGATGGTTTCGCTCCTGTGATCACAGCTATCGAATACGAGGCTGACGCTATTGAAGACTCCGTGTTGGTGGCACGTCAAATCAACTTTAGTTCGATGTTGCGTAAGATCGGTGAATCTAGACGCAAAGTCATGACTTTGATGAGACTTCTCTCTAACAAGGCAGATGTTATTAAAATGTTTGCCAAAAGATGTCAAGATGAAGCATTCCAGCAGGGACCTCTGGTCACTGGAGCTTCCAGAGTTAACTTGTCGGGCTTGGGTTCCAGTTTTGCAGGCAATACTTCCCCTCCTCCGTCTACTCAGGGAATAAGCTTTGGCCCTGGGCCAGGTGCTCCTCCAGGACTCATGACTGGAGGCCAATTCCAAATGACCGGCGAACGTGTTCAACCTCGTGCCGATATTGCATTATACTTGGGTGATATTCAGGATCACGTGGTGACCATGTTCCAGAACTTGTCTGCCTACGAAAAGATCTTCAGTAGGTCCCATGCCAACTATTTGGCTCAGTTACAAGTAGAGTCTTTCAACTCCAACTTGACCGTCACAAAAATCTTGGGTAACGTCACATTGATTGGTACATTGTTCTTGCCCTTGAATGTCATTACAGGTTTGTTCGGAATGAACGTGAAAATCCCAGGCCAGGACGGTTCCAACTTGGGATGGTTTTTCGGAATCCTCGGTTTTATGCTCTGCGCAGTAATCGGGTTATTCGTTGGAGTGAAGCTCTGGTTGAAACATATCGAGCGTCATGATGATGAGGAAGAAAACTCCAAAAAATCTATTAAAAGCTTTTCTTTGAAGTATAAATCTAAGGAAGCAGCCAAGTCGATTATCAGTTTCCCCAATCGGTACGATTAGATCATGGTTACTTACAAATAATTATCATAAATGCACATCTATTAGAACTTCTACTTTCTCGATCGACTCTCTTCTTCTATAGGAATCCAAATCTCGTCATCCCCTTCCTCCTTCTGTTTCTCAGGACCTTCCTTGTTACTGAATACCTCTCTTCTCCACTGTTGCAAGTGCTTCTTTTTCGTGAATTTTCTCTTATCTTTGAGGGCAGCTTCCTTAGGTTTGTATGGAGCAAACTTCTTGATGCTGATGAATTTGTTCAATTCCAGATCGTCAGCCAAAAAGATCTCTCTAGTAGATAATCCAAAACTTTCAGGGGAAACCTCACGATATCTGAACCTGTTGGGGTCATCTTGTTTGTTTCTACCTCTCTCCTCTTCAACTTCGTCCAATAGTCTCGTCTTGTTAGCCTCCACAATCTTCTCCGCCTTCTCCTTCAAAGTCTTCTTTTCTTTCTTAGCAGACTTCTTTTCCTTTAGCTGATCTTTCTTCGATTTTTTCTTTGGTGGAGCTTGAGCGTCCAATTGTTCATCATCTTCATTCTCATCAATTTCGGCATCTTCATCAACAACTTCTTCATCCTCTTTTTCTTTGTGATAGTCAGCCATGATCTCGTCATCTTCGTCCCATTCTGGTTTCGTCATTTCAGCATCGTAGTACTGCTCGTTGAAGATTTCGGCCATTTTTCCGTCCCAGTCAGCATCGTCAAAATCATCATTGAGCAACGAATCACCGAACACCTTTTCAATGGTTTCGTCACTGATATCTTCACCCACAGCTTCCTTGATTTTGGCAAGACGATCCATAACCTTATTAACCTTGGAAGTTTTCTTTTTCTTTAAAGCTTGTTCCGTTTCATGCTTCTCTTGTTCTTTAATTGCATTCTTCTTATCTCTAGCACGCTTTCTAGAGTTGGTCTTGCCTCTTCTCAAAGATGCTTGAGTTCTGGCATAAGAGACAATACTGGCGGAATTGGGATCTTCAAATCTGAAGTTGTATGCTCTCTCAAGATCCTCCACGGCATCATCGAATGCTTGCTCATCATCATTGTCAATTTGGTCCAAGTTGATGACTTTGTCGTCCTTCTTCGGAATCCATGCCTGGTTATCAAGAAACGCTGACAAGAACTCGTCTGCGCCTTTCGTAGGGTCTGGTAAGGGAATGGATTTTTCGGTTTCAGTACGGGTAGTAGCATTGTCCTTCTTTTTCAAGAATCCATCTCCATCTTCATCGTCATCTTCTTCATCTCCATTGAAAGCACTCTTAATATCATCGAGCAACTTGTTTCTTTCTTCTCTCTCAGTGACAACATATGGCTTTTCGCCATCAACTGTGCCGTACTCATTCGAGTTCTCGTCTTCGAGATTCTTATAATCTCCTGACAACAAGTTCATTCTGTGATAGTCCTTCAAGTAGATTGGCTTATCTTTACTCTTTTTGCCTGAACTCGAGTCGTCCTCTTGAAAAAACTTGGACTCGGGGTCCAACAATTTCTTGGGGTCAGTCTTCAAAGTCTCCATGACCTTCTTAATCAGCAGCTCCACATTCTCAGTTAATAATTCTCCATATTCATCTTCTTCTTCGGAAGACTCATCCGAGCTTTCTGCTGGGTCATTCTCAACCGGGGAAACGACCTCTTGGATGGGCTTCGGAGTTTCCTGAGCCCCCTTATCACTTTCGAGCTTTGCGGCCTCTTCTCTGGCCTTTTTTGCTGCCGACTTTTTTCTAGCCATTGGTGATGAGTGTATGTACTAACTCATCTCATTGCAAAAAGTTACTATCTACCATACATGCAGGATATTACATAGTGGTTGTAAATATTGATTTACAAAGATATCATAATTTCAGAGTATGTCCAATGTCTCGTTCCACTGCCTGTTTTGTCTCATACCACCATGGGTACGCAAGTTGGCACCGGTTGAAATCGAGATTATTGCTCAACACTAGCCAAAGCTTATCGGTCAAGTATGCACGTTCTTCCTGGTTACTTGTTTTGATAAGAGTCCAAATTCTGTCTAGCCAATGAATAAAGGCGTTCATGGGAAGATATGGAATTATGTGGAGAAAAGCGACAATCAATGCCTCACGAGATGTGTTAGGAACTTCTCTCTTAGAAAAATGTTCCTTTGCATCACTAGAAGGAAACAATTTTAAACCAGGAAGATCTTTAGGTTTCTTCATTTTGTTGAATTTGACAATGTCTGTTTGGTTCGGATCGTTTTTCTTCAACTGTGACATTGTGGAAGCAGCGTCTATTTCGGAGATAGGCTGAGCAGAAGTGAGAACCGTGCCAGTGCTTGTCTTGATTGACAGCCCTGGCATTGTATTTTGACATTTGAAGAAAATGAACTCAAGGAATTCCTCGGCAGAATTTCTGTAAAAACTATCTGGTCCGTAAATGATGGGGGTAGATAAGATTTTCTTACCTAAGGTCTCCACAGCGACACTGAGCTGATTGGCAGAAAGGATGCGGGGAAATTGATCGGCCAAAACTTCAAAGTAATTCAAAACGTGCCCCAAAGCTTTGCTGGTGTCTTGCTTATTAGTAAAGTACACCAAGAGCACCGAGTGGAGAGCCTCTACCAAGATATGATCAGAGATGGATGGATCCCTTGCCTTATCGATTGTTGTAGCATAAATGAACTCCACAAATTCAGGATCGAAGTTCGAATCCTTTTCTCTGACCATCTGTAAGTAGTTCTCCCAAAGCCCAAGGACAAAGAGAACCTTGCATCTCAAAACATAGTTTCGATTAAGAGCATCATGGTGCAAGTTCACCTCTTTGTAGTTTCCAATCAAGTAACGAGTGAAACGCTCAAAGGAAGCTCCCCTATTGTTTTGAAGACAGACTTCAAGACAAACGTAATAAACGAAATTGTATCCATCGAATCCACCCAGGCCAATATCCATTAAAATAAAGTTCAAATAGTAGAGTGAATGTAAAATAGATCTTCCAATCTCAGAATACTCGTATTCCATGCGACTGACATGCCGTTTGGGTCTGAATAGCGCATACATTAAGTTGACATTTCTGCCCGAAACAAATCGAGAAAGTATACCCTGGAAGACAATGACCTGGAAGAACAAGTAGCTCTTCATCAACATCAAATATTGTGCATGGAATTTATTCTCTTCGGAAGCGGACTCGGATCCAACGTTGAGACGTGGCTGGCTGGCAGTGAAGTGATTCAATTCTTTATTGAACTCCAACATACCCTCGATCAAACTCATGATCAAATTGAAGTTGCCATCATTATATGGCAAATCACAAAGTAATGACTCAAGTAAAAATGCAAGCCTATTCAAATGCTTTATCACAGGTCTTTGCAAGACCTTGGTTTTGATGAACTCCTCCCAGTGTGGGTCGTTTGGACCCGTTTCTGCAAACAACCTATACTTATAGCCATCGGATGTTTGCAAGCTGAAGATCAAAGATGTGAGTTGAGAAATCACCAATTTTCTGTGAATGTTGCCAAGGTAGTCGTTGAGGTTCTCACGCAACTTATATTTCAAAGCCAAACTCAACAACACAAGATTGGTGATGTCTAGAGGGGCAGCTTCCGAGAGAGAATGGCGTAAGCATTTCTTGAATAATGCATCGGATCTCTCGTCCCACTCGTGGAAAAACCATTTGTACTCCAAAACGTTGTTGTCCGTGTATAATTGGTCCCTTAGTTCATTGGAGAGCCAAAGTCCACTGATAATGGGCATTACTTTCCAGCTATTACGCAATGGGTTGTAAGCAACAAAGTTCTCAAGCTCCTTCAAGATGATTTCGTAGTATATCTTTATGGAAAGCGTTGGTTGCGACACTTTCAATTTCTTGTCTGTGATCAACTTGAACACCTCAATGATAAGGTAATTGTCCTCGTAGCTCGGGATTTTGTTTCCAAAGCAGACCTGATTGTTCAAAAAACTCGATAAAATTACCCGAAGATTATGCTCCACCTTCACATACGGAATGTAATGGTAGATATATCCCAAAACCTTCAGAACATTTGTATCCGGGGTTGGAGATCTCAAGGTGTAAATCAAGTAATCCAAATCCAGCGGAGACTGATTCATCTGGGCATAAGAATTACTGCTAACAGCATGCTGCCCATTTCTCTCCATTAATTCTTTGTAAGAAGACATTATGGAATTACAGAGCAAAAGAATGGAGTACAAACTGACAGACCTCGGTGGAGTGTATCTAAGTGGGGCTTCCCCATACTTGTGATGCTGGCAAATATTGGTATCGGAAATAAGAACGGTTAATGGATACAAATGATTTATCATAGTGGCGATTAGCTATTTTAAACTTGTTATGTATGTTACTGTTCAAGGGTCTTTGTTTCGCTTCTTATGAAACGATGTATGGACACTAGGCATAGTGATATGCGATAGAAGCTACTAAGAATGAAGAGAAATTCTTCAGAATTGAAAATGCTAGATAATAATCACCTATGATTTACCATATTCAATTAGTGTAACAGGAAGAATGCACTGGTCGGAGAATATTCTGTATTTCTGTATTTATTGAGTGAAGACAAAGAAGGGAGATACACATGCTGACGTGACTCGTCACATAACATAGTTCTATATATGAAACAACATTTGGCGATACCAGCAGTAAACTATAAACATTTTTGTGACATTTGTCGAATCCTATCAAAGTAAATGCTAACATATAACGCCTTCGTGTATTACATTGAGGAGGCAACTACCTTGATGAAGAAATTTGAAGGGAAAAAGGAAATTTCAAAACAATAGAAAAACAGAAGTTTTATCGATTTTAAAAGGAAAAAAAAAAGAAAACTATGAAGAATATTCGGCTGTTAACACCAGTTACGTGAATAACAAGCGAAGACACTAAGGCATGAAAGGTTCTCACTTCTCTACCAGCAAAATGAACATCTCATCCGGTTTCGAAAAAACAAATATACATCGCTCATAATTAAGCTCTAAAAGTCTTTAAATAGTATAATTTATAGGTCAATCTTCATTTGTGCTCAATTGGCTATTTTAATCTTCTCGCTTCATCAACTCTACAATGAGAATCATACCACAAAATTTTCCTCCATACACACTCACTGAAGCTAAATCTTCATTTTCATCACTGTCAAAGGACCATGGCCCGCCAGTTCCCGTTGGTCCGAACGTACCAGAACTTGGTCTGGAATCTCAAAAACTACAAACCTGCTGGCCAGCGTCCGCCGTTCCGTGCTTCCAGACACCCATTTTGCACTAATATACAACTTCAGAATGCTTCGTGTGCTTATTGGCTACAAGAGACGTCCAGAGAGATAGGAACAGAGTTTGTGACTCTGTTGGCAAACTCGACTAAGGCTTATAAGGAACAAGTGTCGAAGAATTCGTCTCAGGTAACAAAACTACATTCAAATGCCGGATACCAAAATTATAGTAGTTTGGCAGCAGTAAGTGATGGAGTCGGCGCAGAATATAACGAAGAAGGTACCAATGGGCCGGATTCAGAAACAATAGAGGTGCATCCTGCTGAAATCGAGATTGTCAAGCTTTTCGGTGCCGGGGAATACCCCAAAATGTACCAAATCTTGAAAGCATACCAGGCAGAAGGAATTACGATTTCTACAGACATCATCAATGGAATGGTATCTAGTGTTCACGAGCAGTTGCCAATCGACACCTCTGATGAATATTTACATCAATCTGCAGTGGAAGTTCCAATGTTTCATGGAAAGAATGACCTACGATATATGTCCATGTATGGCAGAGTATACTCACACATCGAGACGTTGTACGATGTCTGCAAGCTTTACGAGCCGCACTCATTGGGAAATAGAACTTTCATGGAGAACTATATCTGGTTGTGCTATCATATGGATGACTTGGCATCGCTCCAACATTTGCTCTACACTTATCTCAAGAACTCTACATACGACTCCAGAACATTGAGTTATGTGATAAATGCGTTCGTGTACAATTATGACGTGGAGTTTGCAAAGAATCTCATCAAGAGTATCATAGATATGGGAAAACCCTTAGATGAAAGCTTGCTTTCGTCAACGATCATTAGTTTTGTTAAAGTTGGCGCCATTTTCACAAATATCACCGACTTGGTGGAGATCTGGTCCAATGCTTCCAATTGTGAGAGCCCATATCCAAAAACGGTAGCCATGCTTCTCAAGCAGTACTACAGGTACGGAAATCCAGAAGAAATTGCTTCTATGGAGGCTCTCAGAGAGCATTTGGGCTACAATAGCAATTTCCTTATTTCCTTGGTGAAAAACCAGGAAAGAATCTCTCGCAAAGATTTACTGCACAAGAAGAATATCACTAAAGGAGACATTGAAGAGATTTTGAAGATCCGCAACTCTATTAGCCATTCCAAATATGCATTGAAGGCGTTCTACGAATCCTACCTTTTGTTCTTCTCCAAGTATTCATCCATGAATATGATTCAGCTTATGTTGAGGGAAATGAAAAAAGATGGCTTACCATTCACAAAATTTTCCTACAACGTCATTGTACAACACTACGTTTCTGAACACAAGTTTCTTCCACTTCTCAAGTTCATGGAGAAATTTGTGACAAAGGCAAACAGATTTGAATTGATATATGTTAAAAGTTTGTATGAAGCTTTTGTCAGGACATATCCTTACGAGGGAGAATATTTCGCTCAACTGTTTTCTAATTGGCTTGAAAATGCCGAGCTTCCATCTCATACAAAAGAGGTTCTCCAAGAGTCTTGTAAGGTGACCAAACTCAAGTCGAATATCACTCCGGTTGCTATCCAAAGGCAACAGTTGAACAACGTTAAGAAGTATCTGTCACCGCAATGGAGGTCAATGGCACTTGTATCCAAAAGTCCGAAATCTATCAAAGAGCAAGTCCAGTTCCGGGTGGACAAGGGCCTTCTCGATATCATGAGAAAAGGAATCAAGCCAGATTACCATTTAGTCGAGAATACGTTGAGAAAACTGAACTTGACGCACAGATCAGCTATCTTTGATTGTCTCAAAGAGATGAGAATGGAAAGATACACCACACGATTACGGATATTCGATTTCCTTCTATCTTTTCCCAAGAAAGACCAGCTTGTTCGTTATGTCAAGAATAGGCAGACCAAATTCAATGCCAGTGACAGATTGTTGTTGGCTAGAAGACTTTTCAATGAGAACTCGTTCGACCTTGCGTTCGATCTTTTGAAGAACATGAATGAAGCGGAAGTCAACGATAACAGACAAATGATCAGGCTCAATTTAAGCTTGCGTACTGGAATAGCCATGAATGACTTCGAATCCTGCAACCAAAGTATCGAAGCATTCCCCATCAATGAGTTGACCATGAGCCCTTACATTTATAAACAGTGTCAGTACATTGAAAAGAACCTTTTGAAGAAAATGAAAGCTCTGGAAGCCAAGGGAGGCGACGCTGCGAATATGAAAGTGACACTTGATAAGTTGAAAGGACTTATTGGAGACATTGATGCTCGACTTAAGAGAGACAAGTTGGACATCCACGAAATGGTAGGCGATATGTTCAACATGCTCAACAAGTGGATCAAGTCAACCAGAAACCAAGATGAACGGAAAGTTTAGCTTCAACATTAAGATGGCCTATAACCAACTACAAGACATTAATGGTCTTATTGCATTACTCGAACTGCAGTTCGTTTACCCGTACATAGAATTGGTTCATATTTGAACACATGCATTAATCCCTTTGTCGTATTGAGCGAATTGATCTGCCTCCCAGCCTGTCATTTGCCGACTGATATTTTGCGTATTTATCCTTGATAGATTGTTCCAGAGCATTTCTAGCAGAACTTCCAGTGGAAGCCACCGGAGTGTAGGACATAGCGGCAGATGATATAGGGGGATTAGGAGTTGCAGGGACAGGATCCGAATTCCGGTTTGAATAATAGTCGTATGCGGGTTTCTTGCTGGGCCCCAAGGATCTATCGTCATAGGGTCTTTTTCCATACCCTGTTACCTGTTGATATGGATTTTGCGATAAATTCAAGCGGCGTCCAGAAGAGGCAGCAGATGCGTCTCTGGAGTGGTGTGCTGTGGGAGATGTGTAATGGCGACCACCCAAGCCCCCTCCCAATCTTCTGGGTTTCCAGTTTCTTACTCTTCTTCCACGTTCCATATCCACTAGAATTTTGCGAGGTTTTTCACCTTGAATAGGATCCACTGCTAGACCGGTAGGTGCTAACTCCCGAATACAATTGGACGCATCATTTTCCTGGTCAAACACTACAAAGCCATAACCTCTGGAATGGCCATTTTTGTCTCTAACAACACGAACCGACTCGATGGAGCCAAAGCGGTTGAAATGCTTAGTAAGATCCAACTCAGTGAACCAGTAGTAAAGTCTTGACACGAAAACTGTCCGGTATGGGTCTTTGAGGAATTCATTCTGAGCAAATGCATCGGTGTCTTCCCATTCAGCCAACTGACGCAGTAAAGATTCAACATGTAGCTGCTTTCTCGAGCTTTTGCGCTTTACCACGTCCTCCAAAGGCTTGTGGAAGTCTCTTTTGTATTTTTCAATCTCCAGCTTCCACGGCGCTAGCGACGTGATCTTTGGAGTACATCTCTGCTCTGGAGAGAAGCCTATCGGAGGCTTATATAGAAACGGAAGTCTAGGAGCGAAGAGCTTCTGTATTTTCAACGGATACTTTTCACTTTCGTCCTGAATGGTTAGTACAAATACGACTGAGTTTAATATAAAAGACATACCATTGGGTGGTAAGCAGGTTAGATCTGTAGTGAAATGTTTAGTGCGTTAACTATGGGGCTCAAGGAAAGTCACGTGATAACGATAGGATTAGGCGAATTTGAAAAGGAATGACAGAAATTCGTAAAACGAGATTAAAATATCGAGAATCCATCATAGTTCAAATGTATTTCTTCATTATTTTCAACATTTTCAAAGGCATTTTTGCCATCCCGCTATGGTTTCCTTTAGGCTCTTGATATGTCCACTCTGCACACTGCGATCACCAATACCTCCACTCCACAACATTTATTTTCAGAATGGCAGAACAAACGGAAAACGAGTTTCAGATACACAATAATAATGTATCCATAGAGACACTTCCTATGTATACACGGCTGCAGTTGGCCAGATTTAATGGAGTGGACAAGAGACAACTATATGTGGGGATCAGAGGATACATCTACGATGTTACTGATAACACTAAAAGCTACGGTCCAGGGAAGGCCTACCACAAGCTAGTGGGTAAGGATCTGAGCAGGCTCCTTGCGCTTAATCGTCTACAGTTGAAGCTGGACGAACCGGACAAGGATGACAAGGAAGTGACCAATACATGGTATACTGGTGATTTGACAGAGAAGCAGATATCAGTGTTGGAGAAATGGGTATTGTTTTTCAAAAAGCGGTACCGTATTGTTGGGGTGATTGTTGAACACCATAACAAGAAGGCGTTGGATGGATAATTGGGAAGAACATTCAGGTTATGGTCTGGATGGTTTAATCGTGGAGATGAATGTGGAAGAAATGTGTGAGAAGCCACAAACGGATAATTTCTCTGAAACATGGATGTCAGGTGGATACTACACGGGTGCGACTTCACATTGAATCATCGTAATTTGTGGTTCGACACTAATGAAGGATCTTTCAAATGGTTATGGTATCGGATGTTGGAAAATCCCCGTTATTAGATGCGCGAGATCTTTATGGAGAGCTACTTCTTCTTTATTTTGAAACTAGACGTTCTCTTTTTTACATCAACTCGGCTGAAAACCCGGGATGCTCTAGGTTCCGACTGCCTCTCGTGAATGACAATTCACCATTGTTATTACTTTAAATTTCAACCTGAAATGCAAAACAAAGAACAAGGTGCAAAAATTCCCTCTCGTTCACTCCACACTCATGAACAATGGTCTTCACCTCGAGGCTCAACGTGTCGATCTAGACCCAATCTTCATATAGAGTGACAAAGATTAAGCAAATCTTGATCACAGTGGTTCAGTTACAAACACTTATCCACCAGTTTCTAGTAACCTAATGAAAAGCATTTTAATCAAGAAACTGGATTTCACCTTGTCAAGGTTACTGTAACGTCCCAACTCAAAACATCCCATTTTCAAACATCACAATTCTAAAACATACTAAGCCTTCATCTCAATGTCCTGTGCCTGACGCAACTTCCGATTGCTCTCAACAATTGTTCCACTGTAAACGACATTTCACCCTACATACGGCATTTGCCTCACCGTAATATACAACAAGCCCCATCACCACACCGCTGGGCCTACTCGGAACATTTGCATGACATCTCATTTCTTCCAGGCAAAAGGGTGTTCGGCTCGGAATTAACGTGTACATGCGGCTCATCTCATAACCTAAGGAAGAAAAATTACACCCGAGAAGCCGTCATAATGAAATGGTTTCAAAATTTGTAAATCACCAAACCATTAATGCCATAAAAAATTTTATCGACGTAGTCTTATGAACCCCGACCAACTAACCAACTTCAAATCGCCTTCATACTAATTGGAAGCTTCCATTTGCATTCACTTGCATGGGCCAGAAAAAACGTCATGTCAATGAAGGAAGCGACATCCTGCAAGTAATACGCGGATGTAAATGGAATGAGCTTTGAATGAATATGTGCACACAAAAAAAAGGCACTCACTCATTAGTGCAGTACTAGGTCACGTGCCGAAAATACCACCCAGGATCCAAGAACGATTTGCTCAAACCCATTAAATTCAATATCTATCTGGATATTTTTTCTTGGGACCGCTACAACCGATTTATCTTCGGCAGATTTATCGCCTAGCAAGTGTCTCGTTCTATCGGTGCGCTTTCGCCTTTCCTCGCTCGTTTGACCCCCCTCTTTTGCCAGCCCTATCAAGATGGAGAGAGAGAAAGCCAAACTAAGACAACAGATTCTTGCGGGAGAGAACGACATCAACACATTGAGCGGGTTTGCCGCCAGTGGAAAGGGTCAGATACCCAATCACACTCTTCCTCCGCACCTCCAGATGGGTACAAATGGATACTCAAATGGTCCATATGGTGCTAATACTCAGCAATACGACAATCATGATCTTCTCACACCCGTGAACGCACCGGGAGGATATTCCGGTACGCCTCTGGGAAAAGCATCAATAACATCTACGTCCAGTAGGTCGATGCAACGATTTTTCCGGCGCAAGGGTGGTGATTCAGTTGCATTCGATGATGAGAATGGTGCTGACATTTCTGACGTAGCAGCCGATGTCTCTTTTGCCGATATAGCACACATTCGAGGTAATGGACGCTATAACACTTCTTCCATGGCCCAGTCCTTGGATACTTTACCGATCATTCCGGTTCTTGGGTCCATGAGCGGTGCAACCAGCACAAAGAATTTAAACAACATCCAATACAGAAAGTACATGAATCAGCAGAAGAAGATGAATTTGGCCAACAGCGCACGTGCTATGTCACTTGCTGGCAGCAATCAGGCACATCTGATGGTCAGTGATCCAAGGGCCATGTCGTTTGGTGGTCCCCAAGATGGAAGGACTATGTCGTTTGGACCTCAAAATGGCAGAGCACAATCTCTCGGTGGCCAGATGAACCAGATGCCTAACGGTCCACGTGCAATGTCTCTCAATTCAAATATAATGTTGCGTAATCAGGGTCCGGGTCCAGGTCAGGGTCCAGGTCAGGGTCCCATGTACAGACGGGGCCCAGGTATGAACATGGGCCAAATGAATCCTAACGGCAATCCAAACTTTGGTCCCAACCCGGGCCAAATGAATCCTAACGGCAATCCAAACTTTGGTCCCAACCCGGGCCAAATGATGAATTCTATGTACAACCAGATTAACGTGGGCCAGGCTGGAAATCGGATTCCCGGGGTTCCTCACAACCAACAGTTTAGAGGTAATTTACCTAACAACCGCAATAACTCATTGGGAGGTATGCCTGGTGGAATGCCTGGTCAACATGGCCAATCAACAGGATATCCTGGACAAATGGGACAAATGGGTCAACAAGGAGGTTACCCGGGCTATTCCCAGATGAACCCTAGAACCCAATCACTTACGCAAAGCGGTGCATATCCTCCAATGGGACAGAGAGCGCAGTCACTCACCCAAGGTGGTGCTTATCCTCCAATACAGAAAAAGATGGGCGTACGTCCAATTGGACAACAATCGAACGACGCTTACCAACAGAACCCCGAGTATCAGCTTCATCACGACAGTCTCGAACATCTCCACCTCCGCCCTCCTCAGCAAAGCAGCAGCTCGAACTCTAACACCAATTCCAAAGATTCATTAATGGGCGTGGTGGAAGAAGACGAAGAAAAGGAAGAATTGAATTTAAATGAGGAGGTTGAACAACAGGGCCACAATGACCAGTCTTTACCTTTAGCTGATGACACGTTGAACGAAGATGGTGCGAATGATGAAGATGTTGTCTACAAGTTTGAGAATGACCCCAATAGCCCTCAGTTGTCTAGAAAATCCACCATCAAGAAGTCCAACTCCATGAGAGTTCGGCGTTTGGATTTGTTCAAGTCATCGACACCAGCCACTACTGAAGAGCCTACTGCAGACATCGAAAGGAATGACCCTTCTTTTGGTTTGGATAAGATCGGCGACAGAACATCAAAGAAGCTGGCAGTCGATGAAAATGACGAGGAAGTCAATCAGCATATTGCATCACAGGCAACTAAGTTCAAAGCTTTGGGAGCCTCTTCAGAAGATAAGGATCAATTTGTTACAGCACCTGAATTCCGTTCTCCGCGCAAGAAGCCGCCTCCTCCAATAGATAGCTTCGAAGTTAAGAACGAGGCCTTTGGGAAAAAAGAGAAGATCGAAAAATCCTTGCCAGATATTCCATCAGAAGAATCCGCACCACCATCTCCCAATATTCTGATGATCTCACAACCAAGATCGAAGTTTGCCAAAGAATCTTATCATTTGCACGAACGCCATGCATCCAAGGATAGTATTGACTCAAAGAAGAGACCTATCCGCTTGAGAAGTTTGGTAGCAAACACCGCATTCAGCAATTTCAGATCTCCCTCTATGAGCTCTCAAAGCAAGTTCGAGCTGGATTCTAGACCCAGCAGCGAAACCGAACAACCAAATCTAGAGAAAACCTTCAACAAATTTGACGAGCCTCACGTAGAGGACTTTGGACAGCCAGATGACCTCTCTGATCGATCGCATACTGCTCTTCAGAACTCAATTGAGGATAATCGAGGTGAAAAAGAATACAAGGAACCATTCTCCGATGAACATGTCCTGTCAAAAACTGAACAATATTTACAGCATAGCAGCACAACTCCTGATGAGTTTGTACAATCAACAGAAACGAATTTGAATGACTTAAAGCAACCGGACTTGATGACCTCATTCGCTCCTCCGCATGTTGAAAAGAACTATAGTGAAACAGAGAGCCAAAGTTCTGTGTATTCCACGGATACTCCTCAGGAAGCTCGTTGTGCTGATCTGGTATCTCCTTCTTCGGAGCAACATTCACATAATCTCGAACCCACCAAGATTGGTTTATCTAAAGATGACCTCAATAAATCCAAGGCTGAACTGGAATCAATACCAAGACTAGCCCCTAACACAATGTTAGATACAATTCACAATGATGGCAGTGCTGGATTGTTGCCAGAGAGACTCATGGGACAGGAGAGGACTCTCGAGACTCTCGAAGAGAAAAACAGTCCAGTAAGAGAATTTGCAAATAGTCACGGCAGACAACTGAGTATGAGCAAGAGTCGCGACGATCCTGATGCTCTAAATAGCAGCGAGTTCGCTGACCATGTGTCTCATACGGGATCAAGCAGGGCAACCTCTGATACTCGAGTGGATGTCACTCCAGGACGGACTTTTGAGAATCGCAATTCAATCGACCGTTCAATCAGGTTGACTGATGGAATGAAGACTCCCGAGAATCTCTCAAGAAGACCCCTGAGAAACCTCCCAGAGGACTGTCTCACGCCATTGATACAGAAAAGAACTTCTGCAATTTCCAGATCAAACTCGGAGTTGAAAATGCAGGGCCTTCTTCCCTCCAGTGGTTTGTTAAAGGGGGGAGAATTGGAATCTTCTCACGGTTCTGTCGTGGATCAACAGGACTCTAAGCGCAAGTCGAGAACTTCATCGATTTCTACGAAATCCAAGAGTTTCATCAAGAGATTATCTAGATCAAGTTCCAAGAAGGCATTTGGAGAGGATGGTTCCTACGACGAACCAAGTCCATCTTTTGGCTCCAGAGTTGCATCGAATTCATCTCTTAAAGAGCCCAGAAAGCCACTAGTATTTACAAAGGAGGAATTGGCGATAATGACGACTAATAATGATTTGCAGAACGAATTGCAAATTGTTACAAGTGAGCTTGCAATGTCGATCAAGAGAGAACTTGCCTTGGAGAAGCATTTGAGAAATGGACAGTATGGAATCGACGCTTCAGACAGTCAAACATACGAAGAAGAATCTACCGAGAAGGCCTCGATCATCGCAGATCTTCTGGAAAAATTGAATAATGAAAGAAGACTTCGTTTCATCAGCGAGGAACACGCCATCCTCTCCGAGCACGGCCAAACACCTAGTGCATTGAAGCTTGATTACGAGAAGAATGAAATTTACAAACAACTTCTCGCTAAAAACGATATGGTGAATCAGCTTCAGGACAGATTGGACGAAATAGAAAATTCAGGGACCTCGGATAGTGGGCAGGGAATGTTGCACAAGTATAACGATCTCTTAAGAGAGAACTCTGAATTGAGGTATAGGTTGGAGAATGCTCTAGCAAGTTCTGAACATCACGATGCGTCGGATATGTCATTCACTCATGGTGATAGCAGCAACGAATACGATCAAGCACAGATAATTTCCTTGCGTACCCAAAGAGACGAGTTGCGGGAGATGCTCACCAAGTTGACATCGTCGCAGAACATGGAGTTAAAAATTGCCCAGGATAGGATCAAAATATTAGAGGACAAGCTCCAGAAGGTCAACATGATCAACGATAAGTTGAGTAGACGGCTTGACAGAGGTAGTGATCATGGCCAGAGCAACGAATACTCACGCGATGCGATGTTCACGAGTGGACAAGGAGGTAAGCTTCTGGGGTTTGATATTGTGTCTCCTCGGAAAAAATTTTATGACGAGTAAGTCTAGAAGTTCCGTGAGATGAAGTTCTCTGACGAAAGAAAACTACAGATACTAAAAAGAACAAGATTGCCAACCGAGAATAAGTACAAGTTCACCAATGAATAAAAGTACATCTAGGTCTATTATTATTTATACAGTTGTCTATATGTAAGTTTCAATAAACTGGATAATTGCCTTTGCCATGACACTGCCCTGGTTCACTAAGGTCTGGGTGTTGTAAACCAGCTTCTGGAATGAAGCATGGTCTAAGGTTCCCTTCTCAAGGTTAGTCTCCAACAACTTCAACAGCAAGTCAGAAGAGAACTCTGGATGACCCTGGAAAGTAAGCACTTTGATTGGACCCTCCTCAGTAACAAGTCCCTGAACAGAACATTTGGCAGTGCTTCCGATACACTGAAACTTGGTTTCAGACAACAAGGCATGCGCAGAAGATTCAGTGACAGGTAAGTGGTACACAACATCACCGTGAGACTCAATCAAGTTGATTTGCTTTATGAATTCACCTTCATCAGTGGTGAGAACTTCACGGAAAGGCGACTTCTCGATATCCAAGATGCTTTTGTTCAACTCAATTGTGGTCAAACCAGTTTCCCAGCCGTGTTCTGGAACATTTCTGTCCACCTTGCAGTCCATGTTCTTGGCTAAGATCTGATGACCAAAACAAAAGCCAACCATTGGCAAGTGAGGTGAGTTAAAGAGGGTATTCTTGATGAAGTGGTCCAAAGCGTCGATCCATCCAACGTTGGTTGCAAAAGAGTCAGAGCGAGAGCCCGTCAAAACCACACCTTTGACGGTGCCAGACACAATCATGCTAGCAATATCATCCAAAACCGCCTGTGCCACTTTTTTGTACTCAGAATCGTCCCTGTCGTCACAAACTGAATATGCGATTTGGTAAGTCTTGAGAGGGAGAGATAAGCTATTCAAAAGATCCACGGCGTTGTCGCCGAAGTCGCCAAAATGTTCAGTTACACCTGGGATAGGAGTGTCCAACACAAGAACTGCCACGTGGTCCATTGAATTTTACAGGCGGATTTAGAGAGAGGGAGAGAGAATATGTGGGCTTCAGTGGATCTAAGATGCTATCTATTTAAGTGATTCCTCAAGGCTCACGGACTGCACGTAACTTCAGCCTCACCTACTGAAATGCCTGGTAAAAGCCGGAGAAAAACATCCAAATGCCGCAGAGGAGTGCATCATATGGGACGTGGAGAAGACCTTAAGGCGTTAGTGATGCGTTGGCAAGGCTTTTGAGAGGTGGAGACTGTATGGGTATGGGAAGGTAGCCAATTGGGTCCCGTTTTTCATCGGTAATGACTCGGAATCATCCTTCAAAACCGCCGATGAGCATACAAGTCAACGGCACATGAGCACCAACATGGTACAGTATGACAGTGTGTGACACAGTATGCCCCACTTTAAAAGTTTGAGTCAGGTCGCAAAAGTTTGAGTTCAGCACATAATCGGAAAAAATCAAGCAAATTACTGTGGAACTGAAAACCGAGACCCGAGAAACATAAAAATTTTCAAAGTTACTCAGTGACTCTGAAATGAAGTAATATTCAATAAAATTTACATCATCCAATTTCAGTTCGAAAAGAAAAAAACATCCACATACACTAAAGCTTTTTAGATCCTAATTGAACCTCCAATTTTCTTCACAAAATTAATTCTCGAGCCCACGCTTCCCCAACCTCCAACCTACTGACCAGCCAAGGAGGCACGGGTGTAATCTCACGCAGGTTTTTCTTGCTTCTTTTCCCACGAAAACCCAACCTCCCTGTCTCCTACCAGACTATATCTTCGCCAATTCCGTGGCCATCTGTGCGAATTCATCTCTATTTTCACATCTGTGGACCCTCATATCCACTTAATCCCTTTTTCTGCTCGCATCGCCGCCCCAAAAACCACCACTTTCTCTCTAAGTTATGGACCAGGATAAAGCCACCAACGGTGGCACAATCTCCAACTTGAGTGCGGGCTTGAAGTCCGTGTCCATTCAGGACCAGCAGCAGAATGCTGTCAACCTCAATTTGTTGCAGCAGCATCTTCACAATGAAACTACAAACGAAGCCACCCAGCTGAGGATCTCTCGGTTCTTTGCCCACCAGCCCACCGAGGGCTACACGCTTTTCTCGCATCGTTCAGCGCCTAATGGCTTCAAGGTTGCCATAATATTACTGGAGCTCAACTCTCCGTTTAACACCATTTTCTTGGACTTCAATCTGGGAGAGCAAAGAGCTCCCGAGTTTGTTTCCATAAATCCCAACGCAAGAGTGCCTGCGTTGATTGATCACAACAACGACAACACGTCCATCTGGGAGTCCGGAGCTATAATCTTGTACTTAGTTTCTAAGTGCTTAAAGGAAACCGGTGAGTGCGCTCTCTGGTCCGATAATCTCATAGAACAGTCGCAGATTTCATCGTGGCTCTTTTTCCAGACCTCAGGCCATGCGCCCATGATTGGCCAGGCCTTGCATTTCCGCTACTTCCACTCTTGTCCGGTCCCTTCTGCAGTGGAGAGATACACCGACGAGGTGCGTAGGGTGTACGGTGTGATTGAGATGGCCTTGGCTGAACGCAGAGAGGCATTAATCATGGACTTGGATAGAGACAATGCAGCTGCTTACTCTGCTGGAACGACTCCATTGAGCTCATCGAGGTACTTTGACTACCCCGTCTGGCTTGTGGGCGACCGGGCGACAGTAGCCGACTTGTCATTTGTGCCCTGGAATAATGTGGTTGACCGCATTGGCATCAACTTGAAGGTAGAGTTCCCCGAGGTTTACAAATGGACCAAGTACATGATGCGGCGTCCAGCGGTGGTGAGAGCATTGCGTGGAGATTAGAAGTCCGAGGAGGGATGGACTATGTATAATAAACGCTGAATGGACGAGATGGAGGAAACAGGACAATGTGTGAGCGATTTCGAACATTCGTAAACTCTGCACAGAAACCGTTATCGATTGTTATAATGTGTCAATTGAATTGCAGGCGTACACCATAACATTCGTTGTATATGAAAAAGAAGTGGATCGCTCAAAAGATACGGCTACATATGTAGAGATTTGGACAAATTGAAAAGCTTTGTAGGTATATTTACAAAGACGATTAAACATTCCAGGGTCAACAGGTGAATGAACGAGTGATACGATTGGTGAATTTGGAAGAGTTTGTGATGATCGTATTGAATATAGAAAATTGTACATGTGGAACATTTATTATACGGAGATTGCTAAGAAAAGAATAACAAAAGAAAAAAATGAAACAGGTTAAAACTAAAAAAATCAAAAAGTTCCAAACCTGGTAATCATTAATGTACTTCCAGCAGCGAACTCATTTTCCAAATTTGCTTGAACTCAATGAATTACCGACGAAAGTAATTCCATTTGGAGACTACCAATTCTCATCAACGTTCAAAACCTATCCAAAAATCTGACTAAAGTATCCCCCAACTTCACCACCCCACATCGCAAGTCTCATGTTGCTCGAAATTCCGTAAAATACCCTAACCCCCCTTAAGTAGACTTCCCCTATCCCTCCAAACTTCCCCATGGTTGCATGAAAATTAATGCCGGAAATGGCCAAATAGCTTTGTGGTGCGCAAGGGACCGATATCCGATCTCTGGGCTCAATTCCAGAAATGTTGTGAGCAAACACAGCAAAACAACAAAACCTAAGATTTCATAACTTATCTGTATGGGAATCTTCACCTGTAGCCATTAATCCAAAAAATACCCCTATGCCCAAGTGAGCCATCATGAAGACCAAAAGTCCCTCCACTTCGTCATTTAGTCATTGTCGCGTTGTTTAGTCACCCCTCGTCACTGATCGTCGCACTGGCCCATCGCATGCCGGTTTCAGATATCCACACAGCATCAACTCACGCCATTACGAGGATAATTTCCTTCTTCCAGACCAAATCCCCACCAATAACAGCTCATGCATGATATTCAGTGTTTTTCACTCCGGAGTACGAGCACTTTCCGCCGACTGTTTGCCAATCATATTGTAGCTTAAGTTCCGGGGAAGAAGCCGGGGGAAAGAACCGGAGTCCAGTGAGTGACATCCCACCCAATGGCTCCACTTTATACCAACTCCCTCCACCTGGCATGATATCCCGCATCTCGGTATGACCTCCAGTTAGGCTATTTAACCCCAGCTAAGGCGGGCAAACATTACATATATACCCCACAATGTGGAAATCTACAACCTCATTAGCATTTTCGTCCAGAACTGCGACTTTTGCAACCAAAGCTTCCAATAGTGCTGCTACAATTGGCCTGGCCAGATACAGCACCGTAAGAACATTTAAGAACTCAATTACCAGAAACTCAATTGCTAAATCCCTTGCAATTTCTCCCAGATCTTCAAGACTTTTCTCCTCAATGGCTGATTTACCTAAAACCCAGTACGGCTGGAAGTATGACAAATCAATCAATAACCTCAAGTTGGTGGAGGACTTGAAGGTGCCCACACCCTCTGCTACCCAGGTGGTGGTGAAGATTGAGGCTGCAGGACTTTGTCACTCCGACCTCCATGTTTTGGAGGGCCTTGATGTTGGTGACGACTATGTGATGGGCCACGAGATCTTTGGTCATATTGTTCTGACTGGAGACGATGTGACGAACTACTCCGTAGGTGACCGTGTGGCTGCGTTCGGCCCAGGTGCTTGTGGAGAGTGTGAATTGTGTAGAACTGGACACGACAACGACTGTACCAACACTTCCGGAAAGTGGTTTGGTTTGGGATTCGATGGAGGCTACCAGCAGTACTTGTTGGTGAAAAACCCACGTAACTTGGTCAAAGTTCCAGACTCGGTCTCAGACGTTGCTGCTGCTGCCGTGATCACTGACGCCATGTTGACCCCATACCATGCTATCAAATTGGCTGGTTTGGACCCATCCAAGAAGGTGCTCTTCATTGGTGCTGGAGGATTAGGTTCCACTGCTGTGCAGATTGGAAAATTGTTTGGTGCTCACATCACCGTTCTTGAGCGGAAGGAATCCGCCAGAGAGCTTGTAAAGCTGTTTGGTGCCGATGAGGTGTACGAGAGTCTTCCTGAAGACACTCCTCTTGGAACATTTGATGCGTGCTTGGACTTTGTCTCTTTACAACAGACATTTGAGATTTGCCAGAAATACATCAAGTCTCATGGTATCATCATTCCAGTTGGATTGGGAGCTCCAGCACTTTCTTTCAACTTGGCCGATTTGGCATTGCGTGAAATTAAAATTATTGGCTCTTTCTGGGGTACAAGCAACGAATTGGCTGAATGTTATAGGATTGCAGGAAAGGGCTTGATCCACCCCAAAACCACCAAGGTGTCCTTAAAAGAGCTCCCTGCTGCTTTTGAGAAATTGAAGAAGGGAGAGGTCAGTGGAAGACTTGTTCTTATTCCATAGTGAAACTAGAGGTCTATTGGACCACATGTAATGCAGAGAATCAATATTGACTGCGTAGCATAAACTGAATAGAAAATGACTGAGTTTATGGAGATAGTGATAAGAGTGAAAGTCCCTAAATGAGTAGTAGGGGTGATTTAAAGTGGCCTGAGGTGAATATCCTTTCTCTTATTTTTTGAGTGATTATTAATGTTTGATGATCCTTCTGGGGCTATCAATAAACCCTACATATGGTTGCAAATTATAATCTCAATTAAACTATTTGAACTGGCAATCCGACTACGAATCAATGTCTGCAGCAGTATAGTTGGCAGTCTTGTAGTCCCACAAGAATGTCACATCTCCAGTGTACTTAGTCTTACACTGGCTCTGGTAGTCCTTACCCTCGATTCTAGAATTAATGTAGCTTTCGAAATCAGAAAGCTTGCACGAGAAACCAGGACCAGATTGGCAAGACTTGATAGGGTATACGGCATCGTTGACAATGTATCTAACGTAGGACTCACCATTACAGGAGTACTTCTCGGTGACCAATCTTGCACCCTGTGGAACGATCTGCGAGTGAACATATGGGTTGGGGAATGGAATGTGGTCAGTTGGCAAAGGTGACTCTGGCTCCAACAATCCAAGACCAGCGTGTAAGATCTCAATGTCAGTGTCATGGGTGAAAGCCAACAATACTTTAAACAGTGGTTCCTCCTCTTTCAAGAACTGCAAGGTGGCATTCAAGTATGGAGCGACGATGGTGGCAGACAAGTTGTTACCTGGACCGTGTGCATAGTAGTTGCTCAAGTCGACCGAGTAGGAGTATTTAATGAATTCCTCATTAGAGAACAAAGAGCAGAATGGAGACTTACCTCTAACGTTGATCTCGTAAGCACACCAACTGAAGAGCATCAGAACATCAGAAGTGGTCAAGTTGAGGTTCTCGTTACCCTTGAGAAGTCTCTCTCTAGCAGTCTTCAAGTAGGTGGTGTTGTACTGCTTGACAATGTCGTCGTTCTGATCTTCATCGAAAGCAGTGCATCCACTTCTTGGAGTTAAAGAATTGGCACCCATGTCATCATCTTCGGTAATCACGTAGAAGTCCACCGAGCTGTCGCTGTACTCTGTGCCCATGAAGCCTCTGGCGAAGTTCTCAGCAGTGACATGACATCTTCCAGAGTTAGAGGTGAAAACCAAAAGGTTTTCATCAGAGGCGTTGAAGAGGCTCTTGTACTTCGATCTGAATGCCATGCCGTGTCTGGTGGCAGTCGAGACACCAGCATAAGTACCGTCAGAGTTCCAAGGTGTGGTTTCCTTCTCATAGTATGCCTTGTCGCTGACAAAGTAAGTGTAGTCGTTCAAGAAAGTCAATTCACCGGTGTAGGTCTCGTTGTACTCTTTGAACTTGGCCATCAAAGCCTCCAACTGTTTACCCATACCCTTTGAAGGGTATCTCTCACCATGTCTGGAGATCAAGTGTACTTGCTCCAAAGTACATTGGTTAGGAATATCAGTAGTGATACCAAAACCGGGATGCTGAACGTATGGCGCGGAGCCTCCCAAAAAGTGGAGGATGTTGTACTGTTCAGCGGAAGCCTGCTGTGGGGAAGCAAGGTCTCCATAGATCAGTTGGCCTGCAAGAAGCAATCCGTTATTGATGAGCTTGGAAAGTGCAACCATTGCTGTTTTGGAATGTAGTGTGAATTATTTCAGACTGGAGGACTAGCCTCTCTTTATATAATTGTTTCGATCCGAAATATTAGACGTCTGATGCCTTAGATGTTCCGTTCGGAAATGAGTAGTAATGCTAGTAGTGCATGCTAGCAGAGATAATAAATGGTTAGTAGTATTAAGCACGTGTAGATGTAGCAGAATCGGAAAGAAAATTAGAGGTAAACAAAAAAGGAGAGGCTAAAGAAGTGCTAGAAAATATTTCATCTTGTGATTCCGATGCCAAGGACCTGTCATTGTGTCAAAAAGTGTCTAAGGTTGTTTGCAAAATTGGGCCAAGATAGAGTCAATTCTTATATGAGAATGCATGATCATAGCTTCAATTTTGAAAGCTTTCGGTTTTTGGCAAACTGAACACCATCAGATTAACATTAACAGCATTACAATGATAGGTCTGACATTCCTATTGGGTAGCCGTTCCCACGTTGTAGACTTGACGCATGATGCATTCTGATGCAGTTCATTGGGTTTAGTGCTCCGGCCATCGCATAAGATTCCGTCGGAAACATAACAGGGTATTGGAATATCCATTTCGGGAACAAAAAATGGATATTCTCTTACCACAGCACCTTTGAGTCTTCTTTTTGAGACTTGCTCGTTCTTTATAAGGTTTATAGGTTCAATGGTCTATTGGCTCTATGAATTGAGTATGCTAAGTCCCTGTATCAGGATTAATAATTGTCATGAGATCAGCAAATTGCAATAGAAAATATGCATAATCAGGATGTTATGCATACCCAAAATTTGTCAATAATTTACCATTTTCGTACAACGTTTCATGGGCGTAGTATTACCCGATAATTGGCTGCGAAAAATCACCAACATCAATTACTTCCGGCCGGACTTCCTCCCGCCTTTCTTGTTTCCCTTCGACTCAGAGGCAGAACCACCAGGAAGAACTAACTTCATTTTTCCAACCGTAAACACACCAATGAGATCATTGGGCTTGGCCTGCTTGATAAGTTCGTGCTCCTCTGGCCAATCAAGGTCATCATCGTCCTTGGAAGCATCCATCTTTCTATTGCTGAAGTACGATAATGAATCTCCCAAACTCTTACCTTTTTTACCAAGTCCGGGCTGGATTTTTACCTTGTACTTGAACTTGCTCAATGATGACCAAGGTGCAAATACTGGCACAAGGGCTCCAATCACATCTGATTTGGCAGGCTTGCTTACGAAGGAATCGAGAAGCTGGAGGTAGTCGACGTCAGACGAATCTTCATCTTCTTCATTCTGCAAGTACTTCTGTAATTCTCTTTCCTCTGCAACCTTTTGTTTGTGTGCCGATTTGCTGGTGTACTTCTCTTTCTCCTGTTCAGCAATTCGCAATGCCTGTTGTTTCTTCGCCTTCTCAAGCTCCTCAATCTGCTTAAGAGTTCCAAGAGCTTCCATACGTAATTTTCTTTCGTCTTCATCCTGGTCAGCATACTTTGCATTGATTTTTTTCATTTTCCCCTTCTTGCCACGAACATTCGCTTTCTTACTCAATTCAAATTCAGAAATGGTAGAATTCTTCAATTTATCTTCAATTTCTTCGACTTCGGGTGTTCCCAACTCCGAAGGCTCTTCACTGGAAGCCTTCTCAGAACCAGAGGTAGGTTTTTTCTCGAGTTCATTTCTCTTCTCGCTGGACTCCTTTTTCAATGTTATGTTTTCCAAATCTTGCTTCTTGTTATTGATGTCCACCTTCAACCCATGTTCTTCCTGCTTCCTTACTCTGCCTTCAGTGTATGACCGACTCGTTTCTTCATCACATAAGAAGTAGAATCCAAATCCCATCACTAATTGTGCCGGTGGCATGTATTCCTTCTTTCCCTTGTAGTTGAGTCTTCCGGGTCCTAACAAAGAGCCGTCAAACTCCTTCTTGGTGACTTCGGATCCACCTAGGAACCATGCAGCTGCGCTGACCTTTCCGTTCCAGGCATTTGAGGCCAGCATAGCGAAGATTCCTGCCTGCCAGAGAGTCGAGGGAGGAACAGAATCAGTCTTGTATGGATTCAATACGAAAACTTTCAAAGAACCATCCATGTCAGAAGAAACGAAAAAGCTGTTATCACTAAAGTGTCTGTAGTAAATCATATCAGTTTGGGAGTCGTCACGACCAGCCAAACAGAGATATCCGTCACTAGTGACAAACCAGAAATACTTCTCGAACCAGTACTTAGGTCTAATTGCTTTAAGGGCATCTGTCTCGTTCTTTAAGGTCTTAGCAAGATCCTTCTGGATTTTCTTCTCTGCATTCTTTAGGGCCATTCCCGTGCTCTTTTCCACCTTAGTCTGTTTGGTCACTGCAATCTTTTTCGAATCAAAGTAGTTTCTGGCATTTGCATAAGCTGAAAGATTCAAGTCAATGTCAACTGTAAGACTGGGCGTGGTCTGTTTCTTCTTCTTCGTTTTGGTCAGCAGTCTCTTACTGGTCTCTGGTTCAGAATCAGAATCAGAATCAGATTCTGAGTCGGAGTCGGATTCGGAATCAGAATCAGATTCTGTTTCTGTCTCGCTTTCAGATTCAGAGCTCGAGCTCTCCAACGCGTCCTCTTCTTGCATAGCGTCAATGTCAGGCAACAGCAACTTAATTATGTTTTCCTTCAAATGAAGGGGAAGCTTAATGTATGCAGCCTCCTCTTTACCTCTAGAACCATCAAATTTGATGATGTTCTCGATATCAGTCCAATCCATCTGCTTTAGAATCATGTCTTGGACGTACAGCTTACACTGTTCAACCAATGCAGCATGATAAGTTATAGCATTTCCCTTCTTCTCATGGATTTCTTGTTGGGTTTGCAACAGTTGGATCTGCTTATCTCTCTCACTTCTAGCATTCGTCAATCTCTTTTCGGCATGTATTTTTTGCTGCTCGACTCTTAAAGCATACTTGGTAGACTCAATTGTGGAGAAGAAGCGATCAAGAGTCTTGTTGTAACCTTCGACGCTCTCAAATTGAAAAGTATCTAAGTTTGCCTTGTATGGTTTAAATGGGTGAAACTCATCATAAACGAAGTCAAGTGAGTCTTTGTCGTCAGGGTTGTGCAAGGCATTACGCTTCTTCACAATAAAGCCTTCAATTTTGCTATTAGAAGCTTTATCAAGAAGCTCCATGTATTGTATCTCAGTTTGCTCTAGAGCAATACAAAGCTTAGCAAGTGCTTCCTCGTCATCCTCGAACTCCAAGCAACTTTGCGATGGGTTGATACCTGCTTCGTGCAAAGTTCTCAATATGAGGTCACTGGAAAGGTGACTGATATGGACAAAAACAAGCTTATTGATTGAAAAAACCTTCTTCTTCTTCTTGTCCATTGGAGTCTCTAAGAGCTTCTGCTTGTGAGCAGATATCCATTGCTTAATTTCTGCAGCGGCATACTCTCTCGGGATGTAAGGCTCAGATTCATCAAAAAGAGACAAATCAAATGCTCCGTACTTTTCGTTGACGGCATAACGAGCATTATCCGGACCCAAGTCGTTGACTACTCTCTGAAGGGACAAGATCTTCAAGTCCGCATCAAGCAAAAGGATGTTTCCTGCGCTAAAAAATTCAAACACCAAGTAAAACATACCATCAGAGAACTGGAAAACCAAGATTCTGTCGTTTCCTACCTGTTTGAGCTGTGAGAGTCTTCTGGTTTTCAAATGCTTTCTCAATTTGGTGACAAAATTGGAGGGCGCTGGTGCAATGGGTCTCTCAAAGTCTGTCAAATGAAGCTTATTGCCGCAATCTACTACCACAGACTTCTTCGAGTCAGGTACAGAGAACTTCAATACGAATTGTCTGGAAGAGTTCACCACATTGTAGATGTTTTGCAATCGATAGTTGATAAGGCTTTCCTCGAGTTCGCCAGTAAGAATCCGAAGGTCCAAAGCAGTAATTCTTTGCTAGAATGTTAGATATGTCATTTTAGGGGTCAACGACGATTACATACTTTCATGGTCACAAGATGAAAAGTAGTCGAATCGAGATTAAAGTGTGCACACCAAGAATGAGCAATAGATAGTTGGAGGTCAAATTGATGGCAAGAAAAAAGGGAGCAAGTAGGATTGAAAAAGAGACGAAAGCAAAAAATAAAAACCAGTGTCTTGTTTACATATTCCTTCGTTTTTTTTTCTCCTCCATTTCCATGATATTGTCAACATTGATAGCACTGACTTAGTCTCCATATCTCTAACCTTGATAATCAGTCTGCAGTACTAACTGGCCTCCGTCATTCAAACTTCGACTAATATACGATGGAGAAGCTGTTGACGCCCCTTGTGGATGCTATCAAAAAGAAGAAGAAAGTAACATTCTTTCTTGGTGCTGGCGTGTCCACGTCATGTGGTATTCCTGACTTCAGAAGCCCCAAGACGGGTCTCTATGCCAATCTAAAGAAGTTGAATCTTCCCCATCCCGAGGCAGTATTCGATATCGACTTTTTCCGGGAGAATCCTAAGCCTTTTTATAGTTTATGTGAGGAATTATATCCGGGAAACTTCCTTCCTTCTAAGTTTCATTTTTTGCTTAAGCTCTTTGAGGACAAAAAGCTCTTGAAGAGAATTTACACGCAAAATATCGATACTTTAGAACGGATTGCTGGTGTTTCTTCTGATTATATTGTCGAGGCTCATGGATCTTTTGCAGATAATCACTGCATTGACTGTAATCGACAAATGTCGGTTGATGTATTGAAAGAACAGATGTCCCAGAAAGAAATTAACAACGGTATTCCTAAATGCCCCAAATGCAAAGGCCATGTGAAGCCAGATATTGTCTTTTTTGGAGAGATGTTACCTAAGCGCTTTTCTGAATTGTGGGATATAGATTGTGATGAAGTAGAAGTAGCCGTGGTTGCTGGAACTTCTCTCACCGTATATCCATTTGCAAGCCTTCCATCAGAAGTAGCCGAAGACACATTAAGAGTTTTAGTCAATAATGAAGTTGTGGGAGATTTCGATCAGGAGCTGGAAAATGATATTGTGCTTCAGCTGGACTGTGACACCATTGCACAATTATTGGCAGAAGAATTAGACTGGCATGTGGAGTTAGCTGACCTAATCACCGCTGCCACGGAAGAGTTTGAGAAGCGCAAGACAATAAGCAAGTCAGAATCAGCTCAAGAGAGAGCGGAGGAAATTGCAAAGGCCGTCAGAGATGCTGGAAGGAATCCAGAGAAATCAGAGAAATCAGCAGAAGCAGAGAACTTAAGGAAAGATCCCAAAACGAATGCGTCTGGCGATAAAAACTCAGATACAGAGGAATTGGAGAAGAAGTTAGACAAGCTTGATCTTTCAAATATCTAGTGTCAAATGTTTGAACTATGCTCTTCATTATCATTATCTAACTATGTCCCATGCCTAATTCTTCTGGTATAATCTGTAGAAAAACCTCATATTCTCCAACTTGACGGGATATCTGACTTCCTTGTCGTTAATTCTGTACCAGCAACTCTCACTTTGGTCTACAATCTTCCATGCACCATTCTCAGCACCAGGCTTTCCAACCAATATAGTATCGATTAAGAACTGCACGGGAAACTGCTTCAGGCCAACAGTAATATGTGAGTATGAACCCGCACTTTCAGTGATGAGAAGAAGACTACCCTTCCGACAATTTGTACTTAAATTTTGAAGAAACTTGATTGTTTCTGCCTTCTTTTCACAAAACAACTCATTGGTTGTGAATAAAAGTGTAATCAAGTCCAAGTTTGGAAGTTGGAGCTCCGTAGCAGTTTTGGCGAGAACATCACCAAGCACGAAATTGGCATTGAAGTTGTTACCATCGTAGAGCCAATTGGACTTGACATAGTTCGTGAGATTGTTCACGATTGTAGACCAATCAGCAATGTCAATCACATCCATCTCCAAGCTCGATGGAGAGCCTCCATGAGACAGCTTAAGACTACAGAATACAGATGCCATTCCGACCAACTCCGATGCCGCCCCTCCGCCAACACACAAGACATGTGATTTCTTCTCGGGATCTTCAAAAAGTTGTCTTATTGGATCTAAGGACGCAAAAAGCGAAGCATATGCCAATGCCCTAGCTGGAGTCCACCTGGCCACGTATGCAAACCGCTTATCATCGCTATCAAAAGCAGAGAGATAGTCTCTCTTAAATAACTCACCCTTGACCACTTGGATCATTTCCTGAAGGTCGTCTGACCCAAGAATATACTTGAAATTGTCTAAGAAGAGGTCGATGACTTTGGTTGCACTTAACGTGTACTGCGCCTGGAACGGAATTGTATCATTAGTAGATTTTGGTCTAGAACTACTGATTGAGTCTGTGCCCTCTTTCCGAGTCCGAAATTTTGCTGCTCTTCCACTCATTCTCAATGGTCTATGATCCACTTTGAATAGTAACTAGTATCTGAAGACCAGATGCCCTACCCGATGCGGGTAAGTGCGGCTCAAAAAAAAAGTATTTAAGTGCGCGCAGTCCGACCTCTTCTTGTCTTCTTTTTTTTTCCAGACAACCTGTGTTAGGCAAAGAACCCAGCACGTATGGCAATTAAATCTTTCGGGGTTATTGCTCTACAGCTGTGGTGAAGTGTCTAGCAGATCGGCGCTCGTGAAGCAAGTTTGATGCCTTCTCCCTGGCACCTCTGTAAGGCGCCAGACTCCGGTTTGGCAGCGATTTACTTTGTTATGACGATTTTTCTGTGGCAATTGGTCCCCTTCGGGGTTGAGCGGTTGTTGTGGTTGAGTCCAGAAGTGGTCGTTCTTGCAGCGGTGTTATAGTTGGCTGCCTTCGGGTATCAGACAGAGTAGCTCCGTCGACAGGTTGGAGAGCAGGCGGGCGGTCTTGAGCTCACTGGTGGCAGCATGGAAACATGTTGTTGCCGGTTGCAGCTCGGCCATTAGTCCGTGGCGACATATTCCTGTACTCTGCGAAGGTCTTTTGGCTGGTTATCGTTTGAGTAAAACCATGTTGCGTACATTTGTAAAGAAGTAGGTTTACCTTAAAGTTCTTTTCATCTTTATTTTCCCTGGAATAATATCTTAACCCGATTTAAAGACGAGTAACCCGTATTCCATATCCTTTAATCTGCAATTTCCATCTAACCTCTTCACGTCCAAAATCTACCCATGCAATTGTTGAATATTATGTTTAATCACAACTATCAGATTGGTATTCTGAATTCTTCAGTATTTGGAATGCTATATTTCAATCTTTTCTTTCTTTTTAGTGTATGTGATTTCAACACTACATTAAACCTAAGTTTGAGGTTATAGTATCCTGGCATACTGGCTTCTGTCCTGTCAATACTGAATACTGGAGAAGGGCCTGCACTAAATCACGCTTGCTTGACGCTATCTTTAACGGTCCATCTTTGCTACATTCCTGATGAGCAACGCCTATGAAAGTAAAGAATTTGACTTCTCAAGAGCAAAATCTAGAGTTAATTCTCGTGGTTACGACTCGAGGGGAGGTGTGAGCAACTTGCCTTCTCTCCCGGTGGTTTCAACACCTTCACCCGAAGTCCCCGATCAAATAGCTTTGGATTCAGATGCTTTTAACATTCCCGAGCAATCATATGTGGAGTTTGATATGCAATCTCTAAAGAATGGCTCCCAGGAGGACTTCTTGAAGCAAAAATATTTCCGTAGTCACGACCATATCAACGAGATTGTGGAAGAAGAAGTACCGATTGAGACGAAGAAAGTAATAGACACAAAGAAAGAGGATGATTTCTTTAATTCGGACGATAATCAATGGAAGTCGATGGAGAAAGTAACCAAGGGCAACTACTACGATGAGATGGGAAACTTAGAGTTCCAGAACCATAGCTTCAACTGGAATTCACTGAATGATGGCCGCGGATACACGAAAATCGACACTGAGGAGCAGTTGAATAAATACGCAGAGTTAGACAAGAAGACCAATTTTTTGTTTGAGATCCAGAATTCAAAGGAGCCCTCACTTCCGACGGTAGAAGAAGAAGAAGAGGTGTTCGATCACGGGGATGAGGTAATAGACTCCGATGAGACCCTCGCTGGGACGCGTGGAATGCTCACCGACTCCCAGAAATTTGCATATATTGGCATTATCAAGCTTATCACCGTGGACATGGCCACAGATCTTGCAAGACTTAACCGGAGAACGACCAACAAAGTAGCACTTAAGCTAACGTTAAGTCAAAAAAACTTCGCCAACTGGACAATGTATATCATGGCAAAACTAGTGGAACACTTAAAGCTCACAAAGGAGGAGCAGACAATGATTGATAATCTCAGCGCACACGGCGTGGAGGTTCAGGACCTCACCACGAGCCTACTAGAAACACAAATTCGAGATCAAAACCTAGAGAAACTTGTCCAAGATTTTGATCTCCGATGGGTATTGATCTGTGATTTATTCTTGTTACTTCTCGCAGACGGATACTATGATAGTAGGTCAAGAACTCTCTTGGTCAAGTTTGCAGAGTATTTACAAATAACAAAGTTGGAAGTCCGCCAATTTGAACGGAGACTTGTGGAGAGTTTGGAAATGGACACCACACAAAAAACCATCGAGGGACGTGAAGACAAATTGAAAGACCGACTGTTTATCGAGAAACACATTCAGAAGAACAAGAAGAAAAGGATGGCGTATATCGGTTTGGCTACTTTGGGAGGCTCTTTGGCCATTGGGCTTTCTGCTGGATTATTGGCTCCTGTCATTGGTGCTGGTTTGGCTGCTGGTTTGACTACAGTTGGTATTTCTGGCACTGGAGGATTCCTTGCTGGTGTCGGAGGCAGTGTCGCCATCACTACTGGAGGTGTGGCTGTGGGTGCCAAAGTTGGTTCTAAGGCTGGATCCAGGAGACTGGGAGATGTTCACACTTTTGAGTTGAAACCCTTGCACAATAACAGACATTCCAATTTAATCATCACTGTCAGTGGATGGATGAATGGCGCCATGGATGATGTTCGACTCCCCTTCTCGACAGTGGATCCGGTCATGGGAGATATGTTCTCCCTATTGTGGGAACCTGAGATGTTGCAGTCTATGGGACAAACCATTGGTATTCTAGCCTCTGAAGCATTGAGTACTTCCATCCAGCAAATTCTTGGTGCCACCATATTAACAGCGTTAATGTCTGCCATCCAGTTACCCATGGCGCTTTCCAAGTTGTCGTATCTCTTAGATAATCCGTGGAATGTCTCGTTGGATCGTGCGTGGAAGGCAGGAAAGATTTTAGCTGATACCTTGATTGCGGGCAATATGGGTGTCCGTCCCATCACATTGGTAGGTTTCTCGCTTGGTTCTCGTTTAATCTACTCGTGTTTAATTGAGTTAGCTAACCGTGGAGGGTTCGGCTTGATTGAAAACGTTATTCTACTTGGAAACCCTGCTACTGTTAAATATGACCAGATCACACTTGCGCGGTCGGTTGTCAGCGGAAAGTTTATCAATGGCCACTCCAAAAACGATTGGATTCTTGGTTATCTCTTCAGAGCCACAGGTGGAGGTTTGCTGACTGTTGCCGGTATTTCGCCTATAGAGAATATACCCGGTGTTGACAACTTCAATTGCACAGAATTTATTGAGGGACACATGTCGTACAGACAAGCTATTCCCAGAATATTGAAGGCATTAGACTGGGAGGTGCTTAGTGAGGAATTTGCGGAGATAGAAGAGCCAGACGGTGAACAGACAGAACGCCAAAGACAACTCATCAATGAATTCGATGAGGCTAGAGCAAAAATGGAAAAGGAAATTGAAGAGACAAAGGACAACCAGAAAACATGGAAGGATTGGTTCAAGCCCAAACAGCAGAAATGGTGGGATGTCTATGATAAATCTGGGGTTGACACTGACCTGAGAAGTAAAGCCGAGTTTGAAGAGTACACTGTTTCGCAGCCAAACCAATCGGCTCATGTCGGAAATGATGATTTCACTACGGGGGAATCGGGGACTGGGCACCAAGAGACTGCTGCTAACGAAGCCATTTTTGATGTCAATGCCCTTTTACACGAGGTCAACGACATCGAAAAGATTGGAGAGGAAAACCAAGACACTCTTAGTAAGTTACGGCAAGATGTGGACAATACCCAGTATGAACTTAAAACTAACGAGGATACGGAGGGTACTGAACCAGCTGGAATGATTGACAAGCTTGGGAAGTTGGCTAGTCCAATCAAAAAACCGTTTGTCTAATTACTTAATGCAAATAGGTGAAAAAAGCTCTATTGGGAGCCTTAATGGTGTTCCTGGATGTACGCAAGACTTCTTGCTCAGTATTCTTCACCCGCGTAAATTTCGGCACTAACCACGGTGACTAAATTTTTCTTCAAATTTTCTGGCATAAAGCTATCTGACTTGAATAACTTCAGAACACAGCAAAATGCCTACTATTCCCGTGGACAAGGCCGATCTCTACGAGCTTTTGGGCAAAGAGTATACCACTGAAGAGTTTGACGAGTTATGTTTTGACTTCGGTATTGAGTTGGACGAAGACACCACCGATGAATGTGTGGGAGACGAGAGACCTCAGTTGAAGATTGAAATTCCAGCCAACAGATATGATATGTTATGTATCGAGGGTATTGCCCAGGCTTTGAACGAGTTCTTGGGTAGAAGTGAAGCTCCAAAATTCACCTTGAACCCTGCGAAGCCAGAAATTACCATGACCATCAAGGAATCTACCGTGGGCATCAGACCATACGCTGCTGGCGCCATTTTGAAGGGCGTCAAGTTCGACAAGAGACGTTACGAGTCATTCATCGCCTTGCAGGACAAGTTGCACAGCAATTTGTGCCGTAACAGAACTTTGGTGGCTATTGGTACCCATAACTTGGATTCTTTGAGTCCACCATTCACCTATGAGGCATTGGCACCTAAGGACGTCAACTTTGTGCCTTTGAACCAGACCAAAAAGATGAACGGTGAGGAATTGATGGAGTTTTATGACAAGGACAAGAACTTGGGTAAATACTTGCACATCATTAGAGACCTTCCTCGCTATCCAGTTGTGTTGGATTCTAACAGAACCGTGTGCTCCATGCCTCCCATCATCAACTCTGACCATTCCAAGATTACCTTGGACACTAAGAACGTGTTCATCGAGGTCACCGGTACCGACAGAACCAAGACGGAGCTTGTCATCAACCAGATGGTTGCCATGTTCTCCGTGTACTCTGCCACTCCATTCGAAATCGAGCCAATCCAGATCATTTCGTCCCACAATGGCGAGGACAGAGTGTGTCCAAATATCACCCCAAGAAAAACCGTTGCCGAGATCGAGTACATCAACTCATGCTTAGGTTTGGACTACACCGGGGAGCAGATTGCTGAGTTGTTAAAGAGAATGTCGTTGAGCGCCACACCTAACGGTAAGCTCCTCGATGTGGAGGTTCCCATTACAAGATCGGACATCTTGCACCAGTGTGATATCATGGAGGATGCCGCCATTGGATATGGTTTCAACAACTTGAAGAAGACGAAAGCAAAAGGTGACTCTTTGGTGGCATCCGCCTTGCCTGTTAATAAGGTAGCTGACATTCTCAGAATTGCATCTGCTCAGGCAGGCTACTTGGAAGTGTTGCCATTGACGTTGAGCTCGCATGACGAGAACTTCAAGTTCTTGAGAACCACCGATGACAACACCAAGGCTGTTAAGTTGGAGAACCCTAAGACCGTGGAGTACCAGGTGGTCAGAACCACGTTGTTGCCAGGTATCCTCAAGACCATCAAGGAAAATAGAAAGCATTCGTTGCCTATCAAGGTGTTTGAGTGTGGAGACATTGTGTTGAAGGACCCTACTTTGGAAAGAGGAGCTTTTAACCAGAGAAACTGGTCTGCTATCTACGCTGGTAAGACCTCTGGTTTCGAGTTTGTCCAGGGTTTGTTGGGCAAGGTCATGCAGACCATGAGAACTCCTTGGATCGAGAACCCTAAGGATGACAAGAGAAGAGGTTACTGGATTGAGCAGGACGATGCTAACCCAACCTTCTTCCCAGGTAGGGGTGCCAAGGTTTTCTTCAGACACAGCGAAGGCGCTGAGCCAAAGCATATTGGAGCCATTGGAGTTTTCCATCCCGAGGTTTTGGGCCACTTCGAGATTCCATATGCTGCTTCCTCGGTGGAGATTAACGCAGAGGTGTTCTTGTGATGTATAGATAGAGTAATGTACGCGAACTAGAAAGTCGACTTAGATGTTGTTTATATCCGCTTTTGTTTATGTTTCTCCATTAATTATGAAAGCCTTAATCATCTGAAGTCTGTTATTTTGTAGTGGTTGTTCATGTTCCTACATGGTGCATGCATGGTCAGATTCTCTTTTGAAGTCTAGAGATTTCACATTGAGTCGAACTGAGTGGAAATATAGAAAAGATAACAAAAGTGACATCATATGGAATCTAGATTCTAAATTTATTTTCTCGTGTTCATACTGTAAATATAAAGAAGTAGAATCACCTCTCGTACCTACAAGATTAATCATTCACACCCATACCAGATTGCGACAATCAAGGACTGTGATCATGTCAATTAATTGTTGTGAAAACATGATTCAAATCTCGGTATTCCACATAATAGCCCTTCCGATACTTATGAAGCCAATAAAAGCAACCAATTGTCCCCACCTTTCTTATAGTCCCAACCTAGACTTCAATCACCATATCTTAAAAAACCGAGAGTGTGCAGGACATTATGGTGTCGTCACGCCTCCTGATATTCGATTAATCTACGCCAGACAGAACTCCTACCTCGCCCATTTGACGTATCGCCAAGGTATATAACGCATTTTACCGCCGCTAGTTCGTTCATTATCGAAAACCATTGAGTTGTGTGGATTCAAATTTGCAAATTAACCCGCCATCGTCACCACAGAATCCTCGTATAGAAATGAGCACTAAGGCGCCATCCAGATCCTACGACATGATCATGAAGTTGTTGCTTGTCGGCGACTCCGGAGTCGGAAAGTCGTGTTTGTTATTGCGTTTTGTGGAAGACAAGTTCAATCCGTCGTTCATCACTACCATCGGCATTGACTTTAAGATCAGAACAATTGAGAGCAAGGGTAAGAAGATCAAATTGCAGGTTTGGGACACCGCCGGCCAGGAGCGGTTCCGTACCATTACCACCGCATACTACAGAGGTGCTATGGGTATTGTTTTGATCTACGATGTCACTGATGCCAGAACTTTTGAAAATGTCGAGAACTGGTTCCAGACAGTGACACAGCACGCCAACGACGATGCACAAATTTTCTTGGTAGGTAACAAGCTGGACGACGAGGAGAACAGACAGGTTTCTCGTGAGCAGGGACAGCAGTTGGCACAGAAGTTGAACATTCCATTCTTGGAGGCCAGTGCTAAGACTAACGACAATGTGGAGTCCATTTTCTACGAATTAGCAGGAATCATCCAGGAGAAGCATGTGGACTCGGAGCCAGTTCAGGGACTGTCTGGTATCGACGTTTCTCTGGGAAACACTGGCTTCAAGAACTCGTGTTGTTAAGTAGATGGTGCCGATTCAACCCCACTGATATTAATCGAATCCCTGATGGGAGCCTGTTTTGTATGGTATTATCAGCTAATAGTTAAGAAAAGTGAAATTACAATGATTAAGAGGTAATAATTTGTAGCAACGATTAGTAGTTCAATCTAATAAAATTGACTCTCACGTATCGTACACCACCTTGGGATCTCATAATTTTATTAGATAGATTTCTTGAAGAATCTTGTGGCATGCTCTCTCCCTTGTTGGAAGTTTCCGCTTTTTCTCCTTCTCTATTAACCTCTATCATTTCTGTTTATTCTATCCATTATTCGATGCCCTCACCCACTACGCCTCATCTTAATGACGTTAATTACTATACATGATGCTCTAGATCTTCTTACCAAAGTAAACCCACTGGTCTTCAAGTGGCTTCTCTTCCAACTCCTCCCAAACCTTCAACTTCGACAACTCCTTGGCCAAGTTCAACTCATCATTGGCTTGAATAATGATCTCCTCGATCAATCCACCACCAATCTTATTCTCGATTGCCTCGGTAATCTCGTTTTCCTCCACAACCTTCAATCTGTTCTTAGTCATGTTCTCCACAGACTGCTTGTAAACAGAGTTGGCTGGGAAATCCTTCTCCAAAATGTTCAAAGTGTATTTGTACAAGGAGATCAATGCTGGTCTGGGATTAGGATGCTGGTACAAGCCAGTCAAACCGGTTGGGTTACCAGAAGCGGCTCTCACCAAAACTTCCTCGGCTTGTCTTAACACTCTGGTGAATCTCATTGTGGTTGATGAATTTTGCGTATTAGAAAATGTTTGAATTTGGTTGGTGGATTTGATGGTGCACGGGTGTGATGTCGATACATCGAGATTAATGGATGGTGTTGGAGAATAATAAGAAATAAGAGTAAAAATTAGAAGTAGAAATATGGGAATGGATTGAAGGTGTCATAATTGTGGTTATAATGATTTTAAATTTCGTGATTTCTATGTCTTTCGTGTGATGACTTCCAGTGCTTCCTCAATATACCATATGGATAGTCTCAATCTCAGATTTCCGGAAAACATTTATGTGAACTACATCATTTGTTTCGATTTTCACTATTTTCATTTTAATTCATAATTTTGCAAAATCAGGCAATTCCGTTCTTCATGACCTAGTACTTCGCAACTCCTCTTGGTGTCCGACTCTAAGGGCTTACAACGTGTCTATTCATTCGTAAATTATTGTCAATTATTGTCAATTCTATGGGACTCAATTACTGATCTGATTCTATACCAATCTGACTTAATGACCTCTTGGCACCACTCCAGCAAAAGTTTACGATTTATCTATATATTCATAGAAATTGCTCTACCGACAAACCAGTCTCTGCTGGGTGCACTTCAAACTCTCAATGGAACCTGACATTACCTAGTCTTGTTGCTGCCATCAAATGCTAGCCAGTAGCAACTGCGGTCGAATCAAATTCCCCGAAGTCACCGACTGGGAAAGTTATACAGCGAATTCTTTAGAAGTCCCCGCCACCAAAGTCTCCGCCACCAAAGTCATCTCCTCCACCAGCTCCATCCATGTATCCGTCTTGATAAGCCTCTTCTTGGCCATGATCAATGGCACTACCAAGCGCCAAACCTCCTAAAAGACCCGCACCTGCTCCCAAGGCCATTCCACCACCCATTCCCATACCTCCTCCAGGCTTTCTTCCATACTGCTGTTGCTGAGGGTATTGCTGGTAGCCTTGTGGGGGGTACCCACCATATCCTTGTTGAGGATAACCGCCGCCATATCCCTGTGGAGGGTACCCACCATATCCTTGTGGTGGATATCCGCCCTGTTGAGGGTAGCCTCCGTATCCTTGCTGTGGGTATCCTCCTTGTTGTGGATAACCACCGTACCCCTGTTGTTGATAGCCGCCGTGGCCGCCCTGGTTGTAATTTGGCTGCGAGGCCACATTACCTCGAGAATTGGACTCATTGCCGCCCTTCTTGCTGTCCGGACTGTAAGGAGGTGGTTTGATTCCGTCGTCGGAGAATGTAGTGCCTTCTGGGGCATCCCATTGAGACTTTTTCGTTTTCAAATCGACATAGAACCAAGTTTTATATTGGTCATCATAACGAGCTGTCCAGCCTTCTGGAACCTTGGGTTCATTCTTAGCGTTGCTTCCCATTGCTGAAAAGAAAACTAGTTATCGATTCTTTCGACATTTCATATCGCCAAGCCTATATGGAAATCCTGATCGCGGTGGAGAGTGACCGCAAGTGTGTTGTCTGCAGGAAGATAAGCCACCACAGCCTCGAGAATCGAAGGATATGGAAGATGAATTTGAGATGCATAGAATAAGCGGACCATGGAACATGCGGAGGCAATTGATGATGATAGTGATTAGGATGTGGCAGTGTTGGTGGCGGGAGAGCTGAACATTGGCAAGTTCTTTTACTGTCTGCAGGTAAATTGCCTTAGTCCGGAGCTTCGCTCGGAAAATTACTAATAATTTGAATATTAGTATGGGGTCACTGGTTAATTAAAGATTGTTGGATGAAATTTGTTGGATGATGTTTGCTGAATGTGATTGTTAGTGAATGGTTGATAATCCTATTTTACAATTGTGTTGTGTGGTTTCTTGTAACAATTAGATAGTAGCTGGGTCACAATTGCAGAATTCCGACATAGTAGAAAGCAAAGAACGAAAATGCTTTGGTAAATCGTCGATACAAATCTGTAAATACTCTAGTTTGAAACAGACAGGTTTTTTTTAACTCTTGCTTTAGCATGACTCTTTAGACCATATCAACGCCATATGAGTTTATTTCAGTAATCCTTCCGGATTAGTGTTATTGGGAGCAATAACCATAAAATAAAAAATAGAAAACTTGGCTAAAGTTCACTACTTATTTGCATAAACGAATTCGGTGTTAGCTAACAGTGAGACGAACATCAGATCAGACAGCCATCCAAGATTCTAAATTCAACACATTATTGTACAAAATGAAAAGATCCAAGTTCAATCGCAAAAGTGCTGCACTCAATAAAATATAATAACAGCAAAATTCCCAAAAAAATTCGATCTCTGATCCCTTTTGGAATATGCACCAATTTGTCCAGAACTGTCACATGAGAATGAGAATTAGGCTCTCACTAGATTCGATGAGTTATTCGCTACATATTTCGAATTTCTGACAGAATTAGTGGCCCTGGGTGACCCGCTACTATTCTCCAAATTTCACCAATTTTTATAAGGAGACATGTAGAGAAACTTATGTGAAGCCACCTAAATGGAAACTGAGTAGGAACTCGGAACACCGAGAAAACTTACAAAGTAAACCGTTCATGAGATCGACTCAAAGCTTCCTCGATATCAATAAAGATCAACTTAAATCTTCCTCAGGATCAGCCATGTCATAAGGACTCAGGATAATGAAAGAAACATTTCTTTGGAATTGAATCACGCACAATAGTGGCAAGATCCTAAGTAATTCTTATGCATTCCGGATTTACAACTATTCCATGCACCATCAGGTTCCGAGGTACTTCAGATAATTTGAAATCCCCAAAAAATGAAAACAAGCAGTTAGAACCAAACATAATACAAAGTTTATGATTCACTACATTCCAAACTTTAAGTATTTTAAAACACCCATTCATTAAAATGAAGCACTAAACATATAGTGTTGATTGATTTGCTAGTCTCTCCCACAATACCTGTCTTCCCCACATAACAATTTGTTGGTCCACTACATGTACACCAAAAGCCTCTACTGCACCAAGCTGTTATGTGCGGCTCTTGCAAGTGGAAGAGTTCACAACCAACCGAAGCTCACAAAAGAAAGTCTCCACTGACCCCTCTTCCAAATCACAGGCGTGGAACCTCCAGTCAATGCTATTCGTCAGGCATTCTGGAAGTTCTACAAGATCGGCTAGAAACTTCGTTCTATGGCGATATTTTCGTGCAAACATTAATGCTCTTCCCGTGAATTTAAATCATTCACATACCTTCTGAAACATTGAATTGCACCATATACTACAAGCTGGGCTTCTTAGTAACCCTACCCGTCCTGCACACACCGACCCATCAAGAAAGGACCTTACTCAAAAAATCACATGTAGTTAACTTTACATACTTAATCTCTTGGTTTCTTTCCCCTGGTTTTTTTTTTTTGTCAAGGTTGCACTAAACTCCATTGTTTTAAATCATTTCTACCACTTCTGCGGATTAAAATCTAGCAACAATCTCCTATAGCAGCCAAAACTTAAACTCTGGAATGACCATCGAACCAAGCAACAGACAGGTAAAGCGGCGCTTGTCGGACTCCCAGCCAGAACTCCCGCCCTTGGAGTCTCCAACACCAGTCCTGGGGTCCTTCGAGGGGTCACCAACTAAACAAAGAAGCGACTCGGATCTCATGTCTGCCGCCGAGGTGTTGACACAACTCACCAAAACGGACTCCACTCCGCCTTATGACTTCAGCGAACATGCATCCACGGTAGCTTCCCCTGTGTCGACTACATCGCTTCTGGAATTGCACCAGCAACAGCATCCGATCGTGCAGCTGGTCAATGCAGTTTCAAAGCTACCCATAGTGACCAACGCCGTCAAGTACTACGAGCTGGGTAAGAGAAACTATGCTACTTTCAACTATGCAGCAGAAATTGTGGAGAAGGCTGCCATGCCTGTTTTCAATAAGATCGAAATCAATTTGAACAGTATACATCAAGCGCGGCTTGAGGAGGCCCGCCGCAAGAAGAAGAGACGTTTGGAAAAGCCTAAGGACAGAAACGAGATTAAAAAGCGTTTAAAGTTCTGTTTGCATATTTTAAAGCTTGCCAACGACAATATCAGCACGAAAGTCACGTATCTCCAGCAAAAGATTAAGGATAAGGAGTCTGATAAGAGCCGGGTCAAACAAGAGGAGTCTGATCGTATGCATGAAAGTAAAGCAGCGGCAGTCAATGAAATTGCAGAAACTGCACCGGCATCAACAGAGGCGGAGTTGCCCAAGGAGGCCGAGACTCAGACGGAAATTGTGGCCACAGTCAAGAAGATCATCCATGTGATCTCCAATTTCAAGCCCAGCTCATTGGATGTACTGGAGAAGGCTCCTGAAGAAACTCAAAAGGAGGACGAAGATGTGGAGTTAAAGTCTACGATCCGCCAGATCATTTTTGACTTGCCCAACCACATTCAACAGAGTGCAGTTTCTACGGCCGAAGGAGGGAATGACCGGGTGGTCGTTTTTGCTAAGGAGTCGTTGGAGATGATTGGCAAATTGACGTCAGTGTTCAATGCTCAGTTGGAGAAGGCAGAGAAGTGGGTAGGTGGTACGGAGAGGAATACTAACGAACAATTTCACAGTCCATTGAACTCCCCTGAAGCGTCCGCTGACCACTAGCTATTGTAAAAGAATGCAAAAATAGGTTTGGGAGGGTAATATATATAATCGAAAACTAAAGAAAACTTTTAATGTAGAGAAAGGCATGGAAATGATGACAAAGAATTTGACCTAAGTATGTGTGGTCCCGCAAAGAAACATTCGAGGCAAGATCCCAGCTCTCAAGTAAACTTTTTTTTATGTGGGAAGAACAATCGCTTCCTTAGCCACTTTAAATGCCTTTTCCATTGGTCATGTCAAGGATGAACCTCAGTGTGTAAGCGCCGATTTTATTTCAACACTACCCTACTGGGAAAAATTTAGTTAGAGTTGCTCATGAAAATGACGGCAGTTGGGCAAAACCTCATGTCAAAAGAAGGCAAAGGAGAAATTCCTATTCCAGAAGGTTTTTGGGAAATTACTGAGAGTAGCGAATCATTACTTACTGGATTGGGAAAAAAAGGTTATCAATGAACCCAATTATATGCAGTAATACCCCAAAAGGGTATGTTAATAGGATTTGCACAAAGCTTCGATAGGGCTTATTCCAGGATGGGTAATTTAGGCACCATCATTTAACTTAAAGTAGTAGGAAGTTCACAGTAATGTGGAGTACATTGTGCTTGCAATATATATAAATCCCAAAACCTGCCACTCTCAGACATTATCAAAACATACTGTTCTTCTTTATTAATACTTTTCGTCGCCAGGTTCCAACCTTTTGCAACCAATAACTCATAATTCTTGTCGAACATTTAAAATGACCAGCTTAGACTTGTCTATGCCCGACCTCATTAAAGTCAGAAGTTCTTGGGCTGATGTTATCGCTCAAGGGCGCCATAGTGAAGATGACTTTATCAATAATGCCTTCGCCAGTATGCTTGCCAACAATGCAGAGTTGAAGCAACTTTTCTCCAAAAAGGCAATTTTGGATGAACAAAAGTACTTGTTTAAGGAACTCCTCAAGTTTACCATGACCTACTTACACGATGAGGCAATTTTGAACGAGTGTACTGATGAGTTCATCAAAGAAAACCCCAGTATAGTCAAGTACGGTGTTGAGTACTTGGAGCCTATGGGAGGCGAGATGATTAGCACCTTGCGCAAAACTTTAGGAAGCAGCTTCCACTCCGGATTGGAGACCTTGTGGATCAAAGTCTACGTTTACATCGCCAACTGTATCTTGCTGAACGATGAATCCGATGTCAGCTCTGTTATCAGCAACACTAATAAGTCAACAGCTTCAGAAGAAGAGATTCGTCCTTTGAACCTCAACAAGTCGCCAGCTCCCCTTGCTCCTGAAACTCCACAACAGGAGATTTCTGGAAACACTATCAAGATCGACCTCGGTGGAAACGAGAAATATAAAGGTTTCCGTAGATCGATAACTGAAAGCCCAAAGGCACCAGTGCTGGTCAAGGTGCCTGCAAGTTTCATTTCACCTCAGGAAATCAAGGCCGTTGCTAATGTGGCCAACAGAAGCAATAGTTTGTCGCCTCAACCCTCTGAGAGCTCACTGTTTGACCCCAGACCACAAAGGCGTCGTCCAAGTATGGAGGAGCCTATTTTGACTCCCAGATCAAGCAGAAGAAACTCATCTGCTCAACTTCAAGAGTTGGGATTGGACCTGGAAGTTAAGGAGTCAGCAAATATCCACCCATATGATCCTCGCCGCAAAACCTCTCACAAGAGAACTCCTTCGGACTTGAGTTTGAACATGCATATCCCACAACGTCTGGTTTCCACTAGTTCCAGCGAATTACAAGTCAGCGATTATGACGACGAGTTTAAGTTGGAGGATGAGATTGACTTCAGCCTGACAAAGCAGAGAAGTCCGGTGTTTGACCACAACAGCTTTGGCATCAAGGGTTTGGCCCCAATTGCTGAGTCTGAACATGATGACGAGCGTTCTCAATACTCTGACCGTTCTTCCAACTACGCTGACAACTCTGAGAAGGGCTCCGAAGACGGCTATTCTTCTCGTACCTCCTCCTTGTCTTTGCATAACCTGGACTACAAGTCTTCCATCTCATCTGGTTCTGGCCACTCTCCGGTTATCGATAAGGGACACAAGAGCACACAGAGTGACATTTCCTTCATGGCTCCTTTGAGCACTACCCATGTTCACCACACCAACATTTACGAGAACAGCCCATACCAAAATAGATGCTTCTCCAGCTCTGTGCCTTCTCTTTCATCAAGAGTTAGCTCCGGCCAGAGAGCTTCTTTGGGTTTCATGAGAAGCAGCTTCATTTTGAAGAAGGAAATGCAAGACTTGGGGTACAATAATCCAGAAAATGTGGTTGTCCAACCTCAGCTTCCGATTGCTAGTCTCTCCATGGCTAATGTTAGCATGACCAACAAGGGACACCACAGTCTGGCATCTTTGGCATTGCAAAGAACTCGTTCCAGTCTACAGAGTAAGAACAGAGAGTTGCCTCAGCTACCCGTTGGAGCCAAATTCGAGAAGGAATCAACCCCTACCCCATCTGTGATGTCGACGACCAGTTCCCAGAAGAAGAAGAGTTCATTCCGTGGCAAGTTGCTGTCATTCTTTGGTGGTTCTTCTTCCTCTTCTTCATCTAAGCCATTGAAGATCTCTGCACCTATCTCTGTGCCTCCACCGCCGGCTTCAAAAGCACACTCTTCCAAACCAGTCTCAGTCAAGGAAGAACCAAGACAATCATTCAGCAGAACCTCAACTCAAAAGAGTAACTTGGTCACCTCAAACTACACACGGAACTCCAACAGAGTTTCTTCACTTGATTTGAGGTTGGGCACAATGAAGTCCCCACAACCAGGTTACGCTGGATCGATCCACCTGAAGACATCAGATTCTGCTTCCATCAGAACGCAAGGCACCTCAAAGACTGGCTTCTCGTTCTTTAAGAGCGAACCTAACGTCAAGTACCCCGATGGCCAGGCCAAGAAGATGAACAAATACCACGTTCTGAAGGTCCCCTACAAAACTATCTACGTCAAGGACTTGATTCGTAAGTAAAGTGACACTTGCGGCGTCGAGAATGAGCCTGAATGATTGTTCGCTTATGCACATCGATATCAATGGCTCTTCTCTCAGAGTCCAGTCCTTGCAACTTTTACTACTTATATGATTCCCCAAAGTTCACTTTTGTAAAATAATAATTCAATATATGCATAAATAATAGACACATTTAGGCATTAGCTCCATTTTGGTAGTTTTTGCGTCGCCCTCTATCTAGTTTCCACAGAAGGCAGCGGTGGTGGTTGCACCGTAGACAGAACCAGGTTTTCTAGTAGCAAACTCGGGCTGGATAGTGACACTATCAATACCGTACTTATGCAAGATCTCTCTGACAAGTCCCACAACTTCCACAAAGGCTGCTTTGTTAATCGTCTCGTTCTCGCTGACAGCTTCATCTTGCTCCGAACTGTTCAATTCAATATGAACAGAGGCAACCAAGAAGTCCTCGTTAAGGTTCCAAATATGGAAGTCATGGAGGGATTTGATTGCGGGAATCAAGGTGATTTCCTCCACAATCTTATTGGAGTTAACATTTGCTGGGGTAGCCTGCAACAAAATCTTACACGATTTGCGGCACAAAGGCAAAGCGGACGAGAAAATAATTGCCGTAATGAGCAAAGAAACCAAAGGATCGCTATAGTACTTCCAAGAGTAGTTTGTCTTCCAAATGAACAAAGCAGTTACAATAACACCAATGTTTCCCAAAGCATCTCCCAAGACATGCAAGAACACACCTTCCATATTCATGGATTTCTTCTTGTGCTTCTGCTTCTCTTGCTTCTTGGACATTAACGAAGATCTTTCGTCGTATCTGTCCACCACAGTATCGGGCAAGTACTCTGAAATATTGGTGCTTGAACCATTACTTGAGCCATTACCTTCAATGCTTCCGTGGGAATGCTCATGTGAGTGGCCCACATTCTCCTCCTCTACGGAAGCACTATGGCTATGGCCATGGGAGTGTCCGTGTTCGTGGAACAACACAAGACCCACACCATTGCTAATCAACCCAGCAGTTCCCACCACCAAAATCAACTTGGGGTTCGAAATAACTTGAGGGTCGAAGAATCTCTGGATGGCCTCGATGATGATACTAAAGCAAAGTGCCAACAAGAACACCGCATTGATCAATGCACCCAAAATTTCTGCTCTTTGCCAGCCATAGGTGTACTTGCCATCAGCAGGTTTGGAATTTTTGACTCTGACAGCCCAGAGTGCAATCACTAACGACACAATGTCGTTCAACATATGGAAAGAGTCTGCAATAAGAGCCAAAGAGTGAACGGTGTAACCGATGATGGCTTCCAAAAGGAAGAACACCGTATCGAGTATCAAAAGAGATACAATTCTAATCTCCTTGCCAGTAGCCATTGATTACTTATGACGATATTAGACGTTGTGGTCAGAAATCAGTAATCAGCGAAGGGTCGAACTCGGGTAAGAACGATTTTCAAAGACAATTAAGAACTGAGATGACCTTATCCAGAAAGAATTGGCCAGACGAACTTCTGAAGTGAAAGAAACCCGAAAACCCGAATTAGGGCTTTCATGTATACTTCGAGACTGTGTGCCGGATCAGAATGCCCAATTTGGAGCCGACCCAAACTAATTGACATATTTAATGTTTTTCATAGGCCCCTGGTGGTTATTGTACTGCCTACCAGCACGGCAAAATCAGAGCTTTTTTTATTATATGCTAATTTGATTTGCAAGTTCTTGGATGTGCAGTTATTTTGGACAGAGCCACAGTAGATGCACGATCGTTGAATAAAAGAGGAAAGTTTGTACATCAAGTATGCATGGCACCAGAGTCACTCCTTAATATGATTCAATTAATGACAGGCTCAAATGGTTTAAAGATATGAAATGTGAATAATTCAAATACTTCACCACCAACGAACTTTCCAAATAAGCATGAACTCACAGATTGTGAAAGTTCAGGTACTGAAAGTATGAACTACGTGGTGATTTTTCCTGAAACTTCAATAAAAATCTTGCAAATCATTTCTTTTTACTAGGAGGCGCTTAGTCATCGCTTGCGGAGAATTAGTTGTTTGAAACTTGTTGTCTATATTTATACATCTAAGACACTGTTTAAAGCCGCATGGCGTATTTTAGTGGGTTCTTCAAGTCCAATACATGTTATCATCAGAATCTTTGATTGTTCGTATTGATACTGAAGGTTACCTTAATCAAAGTATCAATCTCTTCAAATTCAGATCCGATAATCAGGGTATCCTTGCATTTACGACATTATTCCTTTTCGGGCGGGATCTGTAACCTCAGTGGTGTATATTCCTGGACGATAGCTTTATTAAACAATGCCGCAAATATAGCAGGCCGACAGTACATGTCATTCATAAGAGACTTACGATATTTGCTCTTTCGTCACCTATGATGGAAAACATTCCCACCGACGCAGCAGTCAACGAACTAAACGATTGACGTGAAAGTGACAGATCTCTGCGTAACTATATGTCTATATGCCGATAAACCATTTTACAGCCGTGGTGCATGCAAAAATTTTCAGAGTAATAATAATTGCAATAACTCAGAATATTCATTTAAAATGCTAGCGCGATAATTGCATTTTTGCGAAATGGTGACTTATTGTCTGCTTGTCTTTGCCTTAATTCAATCCAGAAGTTTATCGACAGTTGTCATCATCTTGCCTTCACCTGTTTGCTGTCAATGAGTTCTTGAAAAAACTCCTGGACGGTCTCACGTAAAGGTTTGTACTCAAGCTTTAACTCTCTCACACTCTTCGAATTGTCTGCTTTAAAAGGGAATCCCACATTTTGTGAAATGAACTTTCTCGTAAAACCCTTCAGAACTATAGGGCCAACAAGCCAGATAAGAGCCTTAGGAACCTCAAACTTGGGAAGTGGGTAAGCATTATATTCGGGCCTTAGTTCATTGCCAATTTCAAAAAGGGTGGTATTGCTGCCATTGACGAGGTATCTCCCTTTCGCGGTAGAAGTAAATGCTGCTCTTATATGAGCTTCGGCAACATCTCTGACATCCACAACTCCCAACCCAAGTTTGGGACACCCCGACTTCATGGTACCATCACCAAATTGCTTCATTATTGCAAAACTTTCCGATGTGGTTGGAGTCAAACTGGGTCCAAAGACGAGTGTGGGATTGACAGTAACTAAGTCCCATCTGGTTTGAGCATCATGAATCTTCCATGCCTCTTTTTCAGCAACAACCTTCGAATATGGGTATGGCTGGTGATCCACACTTGAGGTGGTATTCCATTGGTCTTCAGTTAAAGTATGGTTGGGAGCTGACTTAATATCTTTGTTATCTCCATATATGGCCACAATACTGCTGGTTAGCACCACTCTTGTGACTGTTGGTGTTTTGTTGACTGACTGCAACACATTTCTCGTACCTAATAGGGCAGGGTCCACTAAATCTTTCTGAGGGTCTGTGATTTTAGAGGTAAAAGGTGAAGCTGTATGGAAAACAAGCGTGCAACCTTGCATTGCTTCAGTGTATGAGTCCTCCTCCAACAATTCTGCCTTGAAAAACTTCAATTGACCAGGATTTTTTGACTCAAGCTCTTTGAGATGAGCTACCTTCTTTTCGTTGGATGGATCCCGTACTGCAACGTGCACAATAATGCCTTCTTCCAAGAGTCTCTTGATGATCCATCCAGCAACATAACCTGTCCCTCCTGTGATTAGCACAGGACTTTTGATGCTGTAAGATTCAGGGAGCATTGACGACGACATTGTAATTATGTTGATTACTGATTACGTATTAATTCCCAGATGTCACCCTGAATATATACCAACTTGCTAGCAATATTATGAGCCATGGGGTACACGGTTCTTCATCAGCGGACTATCATTTTCAGATGTCGCACTTCTAAGGTCTAGGTTATTGCCACTGGTTTAATCATTCTTATCGCAAAGCTACTTGATTGGTGGCCCTCCTAATTTTCCGTCGGACAAAAAGATGTTCTAATGAGTAACTTTGCAGCTCAATTGACTTTCATGACTGAATCATTTCATCAAGTGTACCACCGTGATTAGCATTTCCTTATACGGTAAATGAATTTCGCAATCCACATGCATTAAACATAAAGCGTGGGAACATTATGATAACTTAATGGAAAACTAAGAACCTGAGAAGTTTTTAGTGATCACTAAAATAGGAATTTACGTTTGAAGGACCATTTTCAGTGGTCCGTGTCTTGTTACATCTGCATTTATTATGATGAAGGGCATGTGACCTGAAACATTGCAAGTTCTTTAGTGGCTTCGTGATGTCAATAATATACTTGAATTGTAGCTAGGCAAGCCGATAGAGTGATATAGAAAGTTATTTAGCTAATGCTTATTCGGTTGTACTTTCTCTTCAGCTGTTCAAAGCATTCGGCTCTTGGCCATTCCGGTTCTAAAACTCACATGGTGCTGAGCACTTACTTTCACAACGAGCATTAGCACCCCACACAAATTTACCCCTTATCTGGTAAGATGCTGAACGTTCACCACCGACCACAAAACCAAGGTTTTGTTTTTAATTCGCCTCCATTGCCATTTGGCAATAAGGCGATAATTGAATGCATATAACATTTTCCTGGATAAGGTAGATTATATGAGGTGCATGATGGGGATCTTTCATTACCTCGGCCATTAAAACATTCTGCCCACAAAAGATCAAGAATTGTTGAATAACCAGGAATTCGTGTCGAAATAAAAATCGTTGTGAAAATCCCGACCAAAATTATTGAGCCGTTGTATACAAAATCAACAATAAATTCATCTGTTCTTTCTTCGTTTTAAGCATTTGTGTATTGTGCACTATATCAGGAACCATGCTAAATGGCATGATCATAGTCCCGTTGAGGGTAGATAAACCAAGTTTGCTAAAATCCATCTATCATTACCAAAGCTTTCACCGTTCGGCTACGCGAGTTGCCACTTCTAGAAAAACATGTCCAGATGCAACAACCGACAAGTCAGCTTTCACTCAGGTCACAACAGAAAAATTGGAAGTCGATAAAAAACGTCCTGGGGCCGAAGGGGCAGTAGACCGTCCATCTGTGATCAAACTTCAACCTTTCTTTCATCTCGTAAATTTCTTGTTCACATTAATTATATATTATTACATCATTTCGGCTTTAACCTTTTGTTGTCAACGAGCTCCTGAAAAAATTCTTGGACTGTTTCGTGCAAGGGTCTATACTCAAGCTTCAACTCAATAACACTCTTTGAGTTGTCTGCCTTGAATGGAAACCCAACATTAAGCGCAACAAACTTTCTCGTTAATCTTTTTGTCACCAATGGACCTATTACCCATGCAAAAGCCTTCGGATGCTCAAATTTAGGAAGCGGAAACCCTTCGAATTGCGATTGGAGCGCCCTACTCACTTCTAAAATGCTTGTATTACCCCCACTGATTAAGTATCTGCCCTTAGCGTCGTCAGAAAATGCTGCCCTAATATGAGCCTCTGCAACATCTCGAACATCAACAACTCCGAAGCCAAGCTTAGGGCATCCAGTCATCATAGTGCCATCTCCGTACTGAAGCATTAATGTGAAACTCTCTGATCCAGTTTGTGCCAAGCTGGGTCCGAAAACAAGCGATGGATTAAGAGCTACCAATTTCCATCTGGATTGAGCATCGTGGATCCGCCATGCTTCCTTCTCGGCCAATGTTTTCGAATATCGATAAGGATTATGTTCTAGAGTTGATGTGGTGTTCCACTGTCTCTCTGTCAAAATCTTATTGGGAGCTAATTCGATATCTTTGTTGTCTCCGTAGATGGCTACAATACTGCTAGTCACAACCACTCTACCCACAGTAGCAGTTTTATTCACCGTCTCCAACACGTTCTTAGTACCCAAAAACGCTGGATCTACCAAATCTTTCTGCACATCGACGAATCGGGTCGTAAATGGTGATGCTATGTGGAAAACAGCCGTGCAACCTTGCATTGCTTCGGCAAATGAGCCTGCTTCCAACAAGTCGGCTTTGAATAGTTTCAATTGACCAGGATTCTCCATGTCTAACTTTTTGAGGTGCTCTAGTTTCTTCTCGTTGGTGGGGTCCCGAACTGTAGCATGCACAATAACTCCCTCCTCCAAGAGTTTCTTTATGATCCAGCCCGCAATGTATCCAGTAGCTCCAGTGACTAGCACTGGACTCCTCATACGAAATGATTCAGGAAGATTGGCCCTCGATATTGTCATTTGGTGCAATTGGCTACAAAAGCCACGGCGCTGGATATATATCAAGTCTTGTTCTAATTATGAGCCTTTGGTTACACGGTCTTTGACTAATGGAACAGTAAAGGTGGTGCATTACTTATTGGGACTTCCAATCGGAAGATTGCTGGCGGATTAACTCCTCCAATTTGACACCTAACTATGATTCTAATTGTGCGACTATGTTGATATTTTGCACTTCAGAAGTTCCATTAATATAGTAGGATTCTGTAGGTTGCTTCGAAGTGAGTGGGAGTAAAAATCTCAAGTGCTAAATTTGGCAATTAGGCAGCTTCTACCTCTCCTTCCATGCACAAATCGGAGAAAGAATTGCACGATTGCCAAGTTTGACTATATCTGGTTAGACATGCTCTTTTTGTTCTCTATAGGCAATTTATACTAGGTGATAGCTACCTTACTTAGTTCAGTGTACAATCTATATTAAAGTTACACATCTAAAAAAAAAAGAGAAAAAAAAAGAGAAAAAAAAAAAAAAACAGAAAAAAAAAAAATAGAAAAGTGATTGGAAAAGTAATGCAAAATGCAGTTGGATCCAACATGCAACATGGTCTGGCTCAACCAGAACCATTGCTTCATACCGGAACTCCACCTAGGCACAGCCCTTACTTAGACGAACCCATCAACTCGTTGAAGGTGATCTTCTGGGCCTGAGGTTGCTGATATTGCTGCTGTTGCAGGTGTTGTGCAAACAGATGTGCTGGAGGTCCAAGCGGATATGATTGCATTGGAATTGGTGGTTGGGGCACAGCAGTAGGTGGATACAGGTAGTTAATGAAGCCTTGCGCATTGGCGTTGTAGTTGAACCCTGGATGGTATGGACCCGAAGGTGGATATGATGTGACAGGGTAGCGGGGAGGGCCCGCTGGGGGCATTCCCTGGTAGAAAAACGCATTGTGTAAGTTGGGCACTCCACCGTTGACGGGGGAATGCATCTGACTAGGCGTTTGAGGAGTCTGAGCCTGCAAGTTGGCACCAGTAGGCTTCGGAGAAGCTCTGAATGATGGCTTTGGCAAGCCAAGCGCCTCAGGCGAAGAATGGAACGACGACCCAGCGTAGCCCCCCTCGCCCTTCTTAGACTTGTCATCGGGGTTGGCCTGTGCAGATTTGGATACAGCAGTAGAATTACCCGCCAGTCCATTAGTCAGGACCTTGTTATTTGTGTTTGGATTTGTGTTGTTGTTGTTGTTGTTGCTCTTCTTCTTCAGCTTCTTCTTTCCTGCCTTAGATTCATTGCCAAAGTTGGGCTTCTCACCATTAGGGAGGATCTGCTGCTGCTGGGGATGCTGCTTGGACTTCCTCTCCTTGGCGGGTCCAAAGTTGGGCATTTCTCCATTAGGTAGCTGGCGGATCGGCTGAGGAACAGGCTTGTGCTTGTTGGTCTTTGATGTCGGCGGGTTCGGCGGAGGAACCTGTATGGGTATCTCGTGAGCCATCATATTTGCTTAGGAGCGAAACTTGGGATGAAATAACGAGTCACGTGGGACAGTTGGTCAAAGAAAGCGACACAGATAAGGATGATGATAAGGTTAGTCGATAAGAAGGGGGGTATGTGTTGAGAGAGGAGGTGCGAGAATGGTGATGGTGGGCGTGTACTAACCATTATTGAACGGATGACTCTTTCGTTCTATGTAGGATGTGTCCCGTTTGAGAGTGGATACAGAAAGTATATGGAAGGATCAGACTGGTTTCTTGATTTCTATTTCACCAAGAGAGAACGAGCCATTCATGTTGTTTTATTTCCCATGCTTTCATCTGACCTGCTCTGTTTTGAGAGTATTTGAAATTCGAATAAATTTTGGGGGACTGTATACTAATATTAATCTCCATCCATTTTGGAAGGCCATGGAATATGATGATTCATGAACCATTTGCTCCATCCATTATAAATGAAATCATTCAATTTTCTAAATCCTTCAGATTACAAGAACAGGAATATTTAACATCCATACTTCTACTCTCAAAAACACCTTACACTCACTAGTAAATTTCCATAATTCCTCATACTTGAGGATCTATTAACAACCTTACAACTTGTTGCCAACAACAACCAAACTAATTCAAACTTTGTCCAGAACTAGTTTTTGCTTGTGAATACTGTCAGAAGGCCAATCACACTCATACCCATCAAGCACCATAACATAACGAAATTAGGCAGAGCGGAGAACGAGACAGCAGACCCGTACATAGATAAGGCAATAACTACTAAAAAGCCGGAAGTAACCGCCATCGAGATTCCAAAAACCTCATCCAATTTCCCAATATCAAATGAACCATGTGCATAGTAACGCATAAAAAGGTACCCTCCGAAGGCACCCAATGGCTGCGAAAGTCCTCCAAGCAAGGCACTGACCGAAACCGCCTTGAGTTTCCGCCACCTTGCGGACGCTGGAAATGAATAGTAGAGTGGCAAGCACATGGAAAAACCCTCAGTGTAATTATGGATAAGTAAACTGAGGAATATCAGCACTCCCAACTCCGGGTTCGTCTCTGACGTAATGTAAGTAATGAAACCTTCAGGGAACTTGTGTAATGTGATTGCCAAAATGGTCTGAACACCAATTAGTAACAACCGCGAGAGTGGCAGATTCACATGGTGGTGATGATGTTCATTGGACAAGTGATGGCTATGGTCATCCAAGTGGCTATGAGAATGTACCAGTCGAGAAAGCAGGTCGGCATGCAAATGAGGACGAGATGCGGTATGCAGATGGTGGTGAGAATGGCCAGCGGAATCAGTCTTATGTAAATCCAGCGGATTTGTGTCACAAACTTCACTGACGGTATTAGAAGAATCGCTTTCGTTCTCTAGGGCCTTATCAGGAGAAGCCAATTCCGGGATCTCGCAGAAATGAAGATCATTTCCACGGTGAAGGCAAAGCTCAGCAGACGTGTATCCTTTGCATTCTCCCAAAAGTCGAGGGTCTTCTGTGGCTTGCGAGAAGTAGTGGATGAAGCGAGAAGACTTTCTGCGACCAAGAAGTGGAGCACGGTCTCCATCTGCTGCATCATCATGCGATGAGCTCGGTGACTCAAGACTATTCTCTTCCTGGTGTGATATATAATCACCACCATCATTGGTTCTATTACTTGCGTATGGACCACTTCCAACATCAGTTGGTCCTAAATCATCTCCATCGTCATGATAATGGTGGTTCTCGGTATGATGATGTATGTGACTTCCATGTCCTTCAGGATCTTCATGCTCACTGTGTCCTTCATGATTGTATTCGGCACTGCCGTAGTTCTTCAAGTTACCAGACTCACCCCTCTCCAAATCAGTGTATGGTATCTGAGCAACCTTATCCTCTCCATCATGAGAACAATGAACCACGGATTCTGCCGTGAAAAAGTGCAAAGCCTCGTTGAAAGCAACACAGGCCAATATTCCCACGATAAATGAGAATATCAACACTCGATTCTCATTAGAACTCTTTTCGGATTCTTTGAGGTGCAGCATGGCCTCCGGAAGAAGACGATACAACGCCGTTAAAAGAAGACATCCCGAACTAAAAGCAAGCGATCCATTCATGAATGAGTAGTTCTCCTTCAAATGGAAAGGATATCTAGACGTAAGCCAACGTGGGAAGACCAAGTAGTAAATATCATCCAAGTATATAATAAAACAGCCAGCAACACAGAGCACTGACGATAAGATTGTAAGTACCCAGCCTTGGCTGAAATCTCCGCTATATCCCAACATAATAACTTGAGAGTCCATAGAAATGGATTCCGAAATAGATCGGGAACACTTCAGATATATACCTGTAACCTCAACGGAAATATTTGGGTGCAGGGAAGAGTGCCAGGTTGCCATGAACGACTGAAATGAGCCAAGGTTTTGGATATCTCTCTAAATAGCGAAATCGGAAGATGGAGACACCTTGCAGGTAGGGGATGTGTCAAAGGAATGTGTGCTTTGTCTTTTTCTCGTCAATTTGGATATGCTGACTGACATGGCTTTACGGCAAATCACTCCGAATATAATCAATATTGATAATGTACACCACGATGCACCAGGTGACAGCCGCAGCCAAAATTGTTATTGGGTCAAACTTTACTTTCGAGCTAATAATGAATTATTATTCATCGATTTGATTGTTGATTAATAAACTAAAGCTTCTTGATTCAGAACGCTGTAATATGCTATTTAGGGGTGCTGATCGCTTCTCAATATTCCATTTTAGTCTCTTTTAGGGCCCCACTGAGGTAACTCCGTGGATGTCGCGCTACTATATGGCTTGTTCTTCTTTCTTTTGGTAAACTTCACCTTCTTCAAGAATGACAAGTCCGTATCTCTCTTGTTGATGCGAACAAAAATCCACATAGCAAAAGTAGCCAAAATAACACACGTAGGAAGCGAGATGATAATCAAGTACTTCTCGTAGTCAATACCTTCGATGACTTCGTACTCACCAGAGGCAATTTTGGCGTTCTTTTCGTCGATCTTCTTCAAATCCTCCTGGTGTCCTTTGGCTACCTTGGAACCCTTGGCAATCTCAATGATGATGTATTTGGACATGTGATTGAATTCTTCATCTGGAATAGTGTCTGGTTGGAGGGAGACCATCACTTTTCTGTAGTAGTCCTTCACTCCAAACCACGAATCTTCCACAGTTAATGGGAAATAGCCAACATCTCTAGCAATAGGCTCCGAAACAAAGAAGGACTTCTCTTCAATCTGTCCACCCTTCTCTATGACAATGGAACGTTTCCAGCTTCTCATCAAGTCAGAGGACTTCTCAACCAAGGAATCTACAAAGCCAGTGTCTCTCTTCAATCCCTTCTGTCTCGCCGACTCCTTGACATACGATAAATGGAGTTTCACTGAGGTGACTTCATCTCCAAAGAATCGAGTGTACCACGTAACAAAGTACGTCTTGTCTAAGTAAAGTTTGTTATTATCCTGAGGGGTACAAAATGGCTCAGGAGACAGATCCTTGGCCAGTCCTCTCATTCGGTAACCCTCAGGTGTACAACGCAAGACAGGGTTCAACAGTTGGTATGTGAGATCCTCAGGAAGATACTCGACATGCTCATAGATCTGGTCATCGGCCATATTGTGTGCCTTTAGTTCTTCCTTGTTGTATAGCACTGTGGTGGCAGTTTGGAAGTAAGTGCCGTAGTCTGGGCTCCGATTTGCAATTGCACCATTCTTCATTTTTGGCTTGATGGTCTGCGGTGTGCCGTCTTTCTTCAATGAGATCCATGGTTCTAGACCATCGGTGGTGGTTGGGGGTTTGGCACTAAACGTGACACCGGCAATTACCGTGGGAGTCACAAGCTCAACTTTAGTAGAATATATGGTTCTCGCCCAAGGCTTTAACGTGGGTGATGCCACCGAGCTTCCGGCCTTGAGATCTTGTTGTTTCTTGTATTCTGGAGCGACAATCACATCTTTGAAACGCTTTTCAAGTTGGTTTTCGGGAATTTCGGTAACCGTGGCTTCAGAATGTTGCACAGCTACTGCTTGAGTAGCGCTTACAGTCAATAACGTGGCGACAACAGCACTCAATTTCATAGTTACCAGTAGCAGATCGGAAAATCTGGATCAAATCCAAACATATATTTATCGGTGCGCGATTTTGTTGTCCACCCGACATACCAAAAAAAATGGCTCTGGGAAGTTAACGAATGGAATATGGTATTCATTGTGGAATCCTATGGGACTACAAATTTTGAACAATGCGGAGGTTTATCGAAAGAAGCATTGCTATCTTTTTACAAGGATATGTAGATTCGTCTGTGTGGGTAGGAAAGTCCGCCGGCCCAATCATAAGGCCAACGATACCCACGCAGCATAAATCGTCGATCTTTGGCAAGTAAATTCCATCATTATATACATGGTGAAGTATGTAATGAAACTATGCTGAGTTTGCCAGGTCTACAAAGTGTCGGTGACTTTCGTTTATTGAAGAAAAAGTAGTGTTCAATATAGCCTGCGAAGGATTCTCACTTTTATGTGCCTTGCGGGTAACCTTGAAGAAAGAGAAGTGGGTTGAAAAGGGAAGGGCATGGCATTTTTATAAATAAAATGTAAAGTTTTAAGATTTGACTGAGATTTCACTCTTGAAATTAATTCCTATGCTTCTTTCATCCGATTTTAGAAGTTGGTGATTTGTTTAAGAATTGTGAAGTTTTCCAGGTTAAGTAGTAAACTTAGTGGAGGGATACTAAGGAAGAGAAAACACAAGGCTCTAGAAAAAAATGCAACCATCAGAGCGGCAAAAGAATAGAATTTATCAATAAAGTTTTCTTTTTTGGATGGATTCTTTCACCACATTTCGATTCACGATTACATGTAAATTTAATATTTTGGTCCATTGCATCGAAACTTCCTATGCTAGTACAGAAACGCACCCACAGTATAGCCGATTTCGTTCCACAAACTGGGAACTTCAACTCCAGCAGGAGCTCTGAATTTCTCCTTGACAACACCGCTGTTTAATGCCTCAATAATTGTCGAGGCAAACTTCCAGAAAGCGGGAAATTTGTCCTCCAAGTACTTCAAAATGAAGGTGTCAGGAAGCTCAGAATACGTAAGACAACAGAAATATGCATAAAGCAAGAGTTCAGAGGATGATATCTTCTTCGATCTGAAAAGATGAGCAAATTCCACTGGCGAATCGGGATTCAACTCCTTGAAGAGCAGCTCTACCTTTGCAACGTACGTGTTGAGCAAATGCAAACACTTCAACGAATTTCTAGTCTCCTTTAGAGCATTCTTACTCTTCTGCTTCGCAATTATTTGCTTCTCATGGAGAGCACTAATAGCCACCAGTTCATCCTCTTCGTCTTCATTAATCGTCTCTGTTTCTGCCACCTCGCCACCATGGATGGAGAACATGCCAATTTTATTTACACCAAGTCCTATAAGCTTGACCTGTTCACACGCGGTATTGTGAAATTTCAACGGCTGGTTATACATCATAGGAAAGGGTAAGTACTTCAGGAAGAGCTTGCGCGTATAGAGCTCATAGTTTTGTGTGTTCACATAAAGATTGTACTGGTTAATATATCTGATTGTCGAGTCAACATACGAGATCAAACTGAGATTAATCAATTGTTCTCGAGCTGAAAGCTTCTCATCCCGAACAAACTTCGTATTATCACTTGCATAATTGGTAGAGATGTGGTCAGAAATAGCACTGAAACCCTCGAATCTTCTAATCCTGTCCTGTCTTTCTAACAACAACGGTAGTCTTCCTGAATGAGACAAGTTTGTGTTGCTAGAAGTAACGATTTTGAAATTTATCAGTTGAGGCACCAAGTGGATGCTGAGAAGCCATGCACACGCCAAACTTTCGGGATCAATGATCGAAATTTCCCCCTCCAGACCCCAAACATGAAGTTCCAACATTTTTAGGGCAATGTAAATCGATGAAATGTCTCTGATACGTTTAAATCTATTACAACGTCTCCAACTCTTTGTGCAGTGCACTCAAGCTTCACCGAGCAACTCCTAGTACTTTTCTGAAGTTCATCGCACGATCAACCATGGTGGTCAAAATGGAAAAGAAGGAACGGTTGTCTCTTGATGTTGTTGGGCAGCTCGAGGATGCTGTGCATAATGATCCGTTGGATTACAAAAGTTGGACCAAGTTGATTGACCAAGTGATTCTCAAAGATAAAGAAGACCAAGTTCGCTCTGTATTTGATCGGTACTTGGCCATTTTTAAGTTCGATGCTCGTCAATGGAGTAGTTATATTAACTTCGAGTTGAATAGGGCCGACTTTCAGAGGGTAGTTGACTTATTCGCCAAATGTCTTCCAATCACAAGTGACGTCGACCTTTGTCGTACGTACGTTCTGTATGTTCGTCGTGTGAACGATGTTATCACAGGAGGTGAAAAGGCTAGAAGCACTGTTGTACTGGCGTTTGATTTTGCTGTTAATAAGTGTGGTATTGACATCGACAGTTCCGACCTCTGGAATGATTACCTCGATTTCTTCAAAACTTGGACTCCAGGCACTTCTTGGGAGCAGCAGCAGAAGAATGATCTCATCAGAAAGTTATATAGACGCTGTTTGATAATTCCTAATGCCCGCATAGAATCAATGTGGTCTGAGTACACGAAGTGGGAAAATGAGGTATCCACTCCCAATAATGCAAGTAAGAATATTGCCGATTTATCAACAGATTACATGGAGGCCCGTTCATGGAACACCGAATGGAAGAATGTGACGGGAAATCTGATAAGAAGAAGGCTTGTGCCTATTTCAGCAGTTGATGATCCAAATGATATTGTTAAAGGACAGTTGGAAGGGTGGCTCAATTGGCTCGAATTTGAAAGGAAGAATGGCTTGAATTTGAAGGAGTCGGATCTACAGCATAGAATCGAATACGTCTACAAACGCGCTGTGGCAATCTTACCATTTGTGCCTGAGGTTTGGTTCAGATATAATAAATTTCTTTTGCAGCAACACGAGGACGCTAACAAAGGGCAATGCATTGAGCTTTTAACTGATGGCATGAAGCTCAATCCTACCAGTTTCCTCTTGTGTTTCCAATTGGCAGAATTGCATGAGAGAGACGGTAACTTTCCCAAGGCTCAAGAAGTTTATGAGACCTCCATTAAGGTTTTTGCTGAAAAGCACGGTACGGTGCAAGCGAAAATTGACAAGATCAACGAAAATTCGGCTAAGCGTGCCGGTTTGGAAGTATCTAATAAGAAAGAGAAACAAGAGAATGGCGACGATAGCGATAGTGATGACGATACACCCGAGCAGCCGGTTGTTCAATATTCCGAAAGCGAAGCCCTCCAAATTTTTTCGTTGGAATCAGAGCTACTTGAGTTAAACAAATCGGTCACATTTCTTTATATAAAATTAATGGCCTTGTGTAAACGATCACAAGGTATCAAGGAAGTTCGGGCCGTTTTCAAGCAACGTAAAAACTTTAAATCTTTGGGTTACGAGTTCTATGTTGAAAACGCTCTAATTGAATATTATTCTGACAACAAAAAGATTGCAGATAAGGTGTTTGACTTGGCCATGAAGTTTTTCAGCAGTAATGGTGGCTTTTTGTATGCATATTTGGACTATTTGATTCTCACAAATTCCATTGAAAGCATTAAGGTGTTCTTTGAGATAGCGCTCACAAATCTTTTGAAGGAGGTCACAAGTGATAGAGAGGGTTTACAAGTAGCCACTATTAACATATTGGAGCAAAAGAAGCGATCAGAGAACCTAAAGAAGAATGAGTATTTCATGAAGAAAATCATCAGAAGATACATAAACTTTGCATCCAATTATCTTGACTTGGACACGGTATTGTCGCTCGAGAAAAGATACATACAATATTTCGCCGAAGATGATGACATGGCCTTATTCATCGATAGATACAAATCCACCGGTTTCGACGGTGTGGCCAAGTACGACTTAGGTAACAAGATGGATGTTGGTTTGCAAGATGTGGAGGACGAGGACACTGAAATCGAAAGCACCAAAAAGAGAAGAAAGGTGGCAATGGGCAATGATAATTACTCTCCGGAAAATGTCCAGGGCAAATCTGATAATGGCCTGACTACAGTGACAGTTGCCCAGCAGCATGGCTTTGTTGGCAATACCATATACAATTTGTTGCAGATTTTGCCTAATGCTGGTTATTTTGGTCCGCCAGCAGAGCACATCTTTGACAATACGAAGTTAGTTGAGCTTTTTGGTAACCTTCCATCGCTTCCTGGAGAATTTTAGTATGTACATGGGTCTATATATATCTAGCTTTGGAGCAGCGACTAGAAATTTCTAGTTTCCTCCGTGAAAAAGTTGAGTGTATCTTCATACGATGGCTTGAATGCCCAATTATTGTAGGCAGTGTAAATGGCTTCCAAGTCTTCTCTTGAGAGCTGCCTTGCCGTTTTGTTCAAGATTTCTGTAGAAAGCTGAGGCCCCAAATCTTCCTCCGCTCCAGGAGCCAATATGCTAAACGATTCTTTGATAGTATTGCTTGCTTTATACATAAAGACTTGGGTAAGATATTCCACAGCATTCACATCTAGACTAGGAAGGTGTTTGGGCACAACTTCAACAACAGATAGGTCACCCCCAGAAGGAAGAACTGAAGATCCAGTCATTACTAGTGGCTGGTCTTTCAAGAGTAGATTGGGATCATAGCCATCTCCTGCCATACCAGTACTATCAACCTGGGTATCTGACACTGCGATAAGTTCGACATCTGTAAACATATCTCGTTTCAAAGCTGCTCTGTTTCGCTTCGAAAAGTTTGGGCCCGCAAGGAATTTTACAGTGGTGGACTCCCGAACTAATAAGATCATTCTGACACGACCAAACCTTTGCAACCAATTTTGATATGCACAGCACATGATCCATTGGGCAAAGAGTGATTCTCCAAACTTTCCCGATGAAATGTTGGCTACAATGAGTAACTCGTCATTAACTTTCTCTCTTGGTTGGATTTTCAAATCAATAGCCTTGTCCTTTTTGAAAATCTGATCGTAAGTTTCCCATGCATGACCATCTAGATTATAGTATTTGAAATTTTCGGCATTCCCAGTTGTCCTTTCCAAGAAGCTCATTCGGCTGTTCCAGATCTTCTCATTTTCTTTAGTTGAATCGATGATTATGTGGGACTTTGGCTTTAACTCATAATTTATCATTGAAGAAAGTAGACCGTATCCGGAAAATATGTCCACGATATTTAAATTTTCTTCGGAGTTGGGGTATTTTTCCCGGAGTTTAAGCCTGTCGATGATTTCCTGGCATGTTTTAGCACTCACAATGTTCTTGAACCCATACTGGTGGGTAGATCGAGGAAGAGCACTAAAGTGTGGGAGTAGCTTTGGATTCAACGATCTGAGGGTATTTAATCGAGGAACCATGTAATCAATCTCTTAGCAGCAATGTGGGGAAAATGCTCTGCCTATCAGTTTTCACCTTACCTTGATGATCTCAGCCTGTATTGGACTCCGCACTTTCAACATCATTACTATTAAGACAGAAGACCAAAGGAGAGGCAAAAGCTAAATGTCAATCAACAAGGTAAGTGTTCACAAGACATCTAACTCACGGGAGTTGCCGTTTGACCTATTTCAAGGAGAAATTCTCCAGTTTAGAAGCCAAACCTCAAGACAATCAATTTCTGTCCAGCTGCACAAGTCGACCAGTGCCATCAAAGTGAACATATCTGCGGGAGATGGCCACATTTTTGTATCCAATAAGAGATTTGTGTATATTACAGAAAGTCAAGGTGATTTTGATTCGTTTGCTCTAGATTTTGATACCGTGGGAGCACTTCAGTTTTCGCACGCATTGAAGTCTCCGTGGTTCGGTGCAAACTACTGGGAGTTCATGTTTATTAGTGGAGAAGGCAGTGATGGATTCCCTAAGAACGATTGGTTCAAAGGACAAGTGGTGTTCAAGGATGGTGGGTTGTTTGAGTTTATTGCGGTTGTGGATCGTGCAATAAATGATGCTGTGAACAATGGAGATATCGATGAAGAGCTACCAAGTTATACTCCTTGATGGAGGTTGTGATCGCTATAGTTATATTACTTCTTTTTTGTAATGATACAGGTATTAGGCAAAGTCATTCGTAATGTCCTTGTGATCAAAGAAGGGCGTCAGCTCCACGGTTCCTTCAGTGGATGTAACATTAGTGTTGGTGGTTCCAACTGGATGTTTTACCGCAGTACCCCCAACTGCTAGCGGCTTGAGCAGGTGAATTTCGTCAAATTCCTTGAAGTCAAGGGTGGCTTCCCATTCAGCTTCGTTAGGATATAATTCTTTGTAATTGTCGAAAGCCAACGTCTCTAACGTAGTGGCATCCTGATACACAACAGACCCTTCTTCATTGTATATACGAGCGTTGCTGAAGATCAAGTGCACATCTTCAAGGAACTCGCGAACGTTAACATAGGTCTTATTGTTGATTCTCTTCTTGACCATGTCCAAAGCGAGTGGGTGTTTGATTAAGACGTAGTAGTCGGGATATAATCTCTTGGATGGCTTTACCAAGAACAAATCACTCAATTTTCGGCTGTTCTCTTTATAATCGAGAAGGTTTCCGTAAATGATATCAATGCTGTTCTGCAATTGCATTCTATCGTCCGGAGAAAGAACATCAACGGCAGGCGTGCTCCTGTTTGACGAAGTCTTGATCTTGGGTTTGGCGCTTCTTGGACGTCCTTTGGGTTTGGGGGTGGACGATCTTGCTCTCTTGGAGGACGTCTCATCGTCATCAAGCACTCTCTTCCTGAAGTCTTCGTTATCCTTCCGGCGAGCACGCCCTTTCTTCCTACCACCCAATTCGCTATCGGATTCATCAGAAACAACACCTTCAATTTTCTTGAGCCATTCTTCTTCCGTCAAATTGTCGTCATAGACAGCAGTCTTGCGCTCTCTGTTTCCTCTGCCATACTCCTCGATCAATTGCTCATCCGTCTTGTAGAACTGCTGAGGATCTCTTTGGTAAATGTCAGGAAGCTCTTGATCAGTATACAAACGTGCTGGGTAGTCCGCGTTTCTGGTTTCAAGCGCTCTTTGAGTATCCAATTCCTGGAATGTTATCAATTCGTCGTCGTTTCTGGCAATGATCTGGTTGAGCTCATCATCATCTAAGTCATCATCTTCGTCAGATCCTTTGAGTCTTCTTTCTTCTTCCTTGTCCATCAAAGCACGTAACAACGCCTCCTGTTCTTCAGAAGTGGACTTGTTATCGAACTTTCCGGCCTGGATAACCTTTCCATCGATTTCCAACTTTGCCACGGCTCTTTCCAAAATCATTTCCTCAATGGAGTCTTCAGTAATCAATCTTAAAATTCTCACCTCATTCTTTTGACCAATTCTGTGAGCACGGTCTTGAGCTTGCAAATCCTGATGAGGATTCCAATCCGAGTCAAAGATAATAACGGTATCTGCAGTTTGCAAATTCAAGCCCAAACCACCAGCTCTAGTGGATAACAAGAAACAAAAGTAGTCGGAGCCTGGAGCATTAAAAAGCTTCAAAAGTTCTGTTCTGTCATCGGACTTGGTGCCACCATCCAATCTCATGTATTTCATTCCACGTAACCGCAAGAAATCTTCCATGATGTCCATGATTTGTGTCATTTGAAAGAAAATCAACACTCTGTGTCCAGTCTGCTTAAACTTAGGAAGGATTCTGTCCAAAAGTTCAAACTTTCCTGCAACTCTCCAGATTGTGTCATTGGTCTCAACCTTCGGATTGATAAGGTTCTCGACTTCCTCGTAAACGAAAGGATGGTTACAAATCTTTCGTAATTGCATGAGTTGGTTGTTGGCATTTTTGATTGTGCTTGCTTTCTTGCCAGCGCTAGTGTCACCTGCGAAAAGTGCATTATACTTCAACATCATTCTGTACAATTTAGATTGCAAAGAAGACATTGGACACTTGATGACTTTTTCAATTTTATTTGGCAAATCCTTCTCCACATCCTTCTTCAAACGCCTCAATAAGAATGGTCTCAACACTTTATGCAATCTTCTAATGACCAAAAGAGTCTCTTCTTCACTCAATTCGATCTTGTCTTGACCACCAGTGTTGGCAAATGGAGTGTTAAACCACTCATCAAAAGATTTCACTGAATTAAAAATCTTTGGCAAAACGAAGTTCAACAAAGCCCAAAGCTCTGGTAAATTATTCTGCAATGGCGTACCTGTCAAAATCAATCTGTAATCACTGTGGTAGAATTGTGTTAAAGTTTCAGACAATTTAGAGTTAGCATTCTTCATTCTGTGACCTTCATCAATGATCATGTGAACCCATTTAATCTTGGACAATAAGCTACGGTCCTTGATAACATACTCAAAGGTTGTTAACAAGACCTGGAAGTTCTGTTGTCTGATATCGTGTTGCATCACTTTTCTTTGAACAGGAGTTCCCTTGTACGTTATTTTCTTCAAAGCAGGAGCCCATTTCTCGAACTCCAAATTCCAATTAGTCAAAGTCGAAAGCGGAACAATAACCAAATATGGGCCAGGAATCTGTTTTCTTTCAGTCAAATAAGTCAATAAGGAAATGGTTTGAATCGTCTTACCCAATCCCATCTCATCTGCAAGAATACCGTTCAAGTGGTTATTGAACAAAGAAACCATCCATTGCAAACCCTTCAACTGGTACTCCTTCAATGTACCTCCGACTAAAATACTTGGTTGTGCGGTGACCTCTTCCTTGATGCGATGGGCAACTTGATAATAGTCGACTTTCTCGCGCTTTTCATCATCCATTTCCTTCTCTTCCTCGGGAGCAGCACCGTAAGAATTGTTTTTCTGTGACTCCCGTTGTTGTGTTTGAACAGCCTGTGCCAAACTGTCCAAGAAATGGTTGGTTTGGTTCAATAAATGAGTGATTCTGGTGTCTTTGGTATGATCAAGCAATTTCAAATATGCTTCTTCGTCATTCAGTTTCAATGCCTGCAAACGCTGTTTGGCCATCTTTTCAAGCTTCTTCTGCTCTTCCTTTGCAGTTTGTGAGTGGAAACTGTTGATCTTGATATTCATTCTCTCGAGCTTTTCCTTTCGCGAGTTGAAACGCTCTCGCTTGTTGGCGGTAAATGCAAGAATTCGGGAAACAGAGTCCTGGTGCTTTCTGTTCTGGGCTTGAACTAAAGAGTAAAGCTGTTGCTTGTAGAGCTCTTCTGTCATGATAACGTTATCCAATGAAAGCTCCGCAAATATGGCCAAAAAGTTAGGGTGAGAGTTAGGAAGCAACGACTTGCTGAACCACAACTGTGAGAGGATCTTTCCGCGGACATTCTTCTGATGTGGAATCAATTCGAGCTGTGACAATTGAATTAAAAGTTCAGTTCTCTCATGCTCATTGGTAGCATGTTCCAATTGCTTCTTCAACTGAGCAATCTGTGCATCGATTTGGAGACACATATAAGATTCACGCATACTCATGAGATCATCCACATCCAAACTGGTTGGTAACAATGCTGGACATCTCACTTTACTTTGAGGCGCGTACAAACTGTTAAATGGAACATCTTTGATCAGTTCGTCCACAATCTTAGGAAGGACAAAGGTATCGATCTGCGCGTTAGGCTTGCTTATGGGCACCACAAGCTGATTGGAAAGATCCAAATCCTTCGAGAATTCCGCAAATTCAACTGGGGGTGCTGCTGTTCTGCAGATGGGTTGTATGGTGCTAGGATCAGCTAGCAGCCCTGTGATTGGCGTTCCGGCGCCTGATTTGGACTTCGACATGCGTTTGCCTGGAAGGTGCTTAGGATCTGCTCTACCAGGTATGTTCGAAGAATCAATCTGCTGAGAGGAGGGGATCATCTGGCCCGTACGGGCATTGCTTGAGGGAGTAGGTGCTTGGTTGTATGGCAATTGTGGAGACTGCGACGCCATTGATGGTTGCATATTTGAAGGACCAGGCAGTGGAGCAGGCATAGATGGAGTAGCAGCGACCGCGGAAGTTGATTCTGGAGGAATTGCCAAACGCTCATTCGTAGCCATCTCTATCATATTTGGGGGCACAGGTGGAAACCCGGATGACTGACTCTTGAACAAAAATTTGGCGGCCTGAGTCTGCAGCCTGAGTAGCTGCATCTGCAGTGGAGAGAACGGACTCTCTACTCTGCCATATGCACCATTCTGTGCTATGGACTGACCGCCCTGTGCGACGGTTTGGTTCATATTTCCGAGGTTCTGGCCCAAGTTTTGGTTCATGCCAGAAAAATTGCCTGGCTGCTGTGGAGGAATAGACGGAGTCTGCGACAAGCTCTGCGGAGACTGCTGAGCGGGAGATTGGTTCATTCCAACCATTCCCATCTGATTTATCATTCCCATGTGGCCCATTTGTCCACCCACTTGTCCACCCACTTGTCCACCAACCTGTCCACCAACTTGTCCGACCTGACCCCCGACTTGTCCTACGGAAACTTGGCCACCAACTCCACCTACATGACCTCCAATCCCGTTACCCTGTCCGTTAGCGCTTGACGCGCCACTGCCCATCCCGTTGGTCATTTGCATGTATGGCAGTTGTTTCTGCGGCATCTGCAGAAGATTTTGTTGAACCGCCTGTTGTGGGTGCAGTTGAGGCTGTGGAGTCAGAGAAGGCTGGAGCTGGGTCTGAAAAGCCGTTTGATTCGCGTTGTTTACGGCTCCAGGCTGCTGTTGTTGTTGTTGAGGTTGCTGCTGCCTCAGCATAGCTTGAATATACCGAATAATCTTGGTCAAATGATTGAATTCAGGTACATTGACAGCATTATCGCCATATTGCGACTTTAGCTGTTGCCAACGCTGTACGAATCGTTGAATTTCTTCACGCGTTGGTTGCCTGTTCATTGGTAGGTTTCTAGTTGTTAGTATTTCGGATAATTCAGTGAGGGTTGGTGGGAGTTGTTGTCTGCAGGTTGGTGAGCGTGACAAGTGGTGATCTGTGGATAATGGAGGAGAGCTAATTGAAACAAAGTATTAAAATACGAAGAGTAGGTCTCGAAGAATATCTGGGTATTTTTTTACGTACTCTTGGGATATCTTATAAGGCTGTTGAAGTTTCTGCAAATTTGATTAGTTTACCAAGCTAGGTGGATTGTGCAGGAATATAACAGAATTAGCCAGAACCATGTTAGTTGTCTTAAAAAGGTTCATCCAGGTCAGAGTATACGCAATCAATTCGCGGTAGATCCAAGATGACGAGATTTGGAATAAATTCGTAGACTTTGATGTCGTTAAAAAGCCTCCAAGTTCGACATGGAGGTACTGGAGGGCCTGTTAGCCAATGCTACTTATCCCAAGATGCACACTAAAGGTAAGTTCAGAATGGTTTGAAAGCTAGCGCAGATTAATCTATTACATCCTCCATTTCTTCGATAGTGTGAATCAGCTGTTTGTGTGTATGATTGGATGATCCTCTCCTTCTGGAAGTGCGTTCATATGGTCATCGGTAACGTGTGTTGCTAAAAGCACATATGGTCACGATTTGAATGAAAGGTTCCCATTGGGTACCGTTTTGAGCCTTGTTATTCAAATTCACTACAATCAGAAAATGAATCATTTGAAATTAGTGGATGTGGCTGCGAAAAATATGAACATAAAGATTCATGGGACTAGAAATAGAAGGTTTAGAAAAAAATCCGATACAATAAGATTTGCTTCAAAGTCAATGTATGGCTGTCTTCGAGATAAGGGCCATAAGTTAAGAAATGTGCATCACAAAGGTACTCCACTCACTGCCATGCCACGCCTAGTTGATGGCATCGCCGCGTTGGTGTTGAGTGGTTTTCTCTTGATATAAGGAGATGTTTCCCCGTTCGTAGTCAAATCTAAGAATCCAACAGGAATCATATACGAACGCTATATTATGCAAGGAGATATCAGCAGCAGACTTATGAGCTAGGCCATATTATCAAGATCATGAATGACTGTAAAATTTATCTGGACAATGAGAACATAAAGCACCATAGTGTGTAACATGACTTCAAGACGATACGATCATTAGAAGTGATAATCATCGTATTGTAAGGCTGAAACTGAGAGACAATGTTGATTGAATCTTTCTAGCCCAATACACTTCTCATATTCTGACTGAACTTTTTCTTGTCTTCGCAGTTTAGGCGACATCGTTAAAGGTAGAGAAAAAATTGGAATGCAGCAGTTACATTCTGAATTCGAATCTTGACCCTTGGAACGAATGATGAAAAGAGGTGTATGTACTCTTGATTAGTTAAAGTTTCGAATTGACCAAATGAAGAATGAATCGTGGTCATAGAATAATTTATGTGATGGTTCATGTTAATCTGAAAGCTGTCTGTTTTTAGTCATGAGTAATTTCAGCTACAAGCCAAGTTAAAGAGTGATTAAACACTATATGTTACATAAAGTCATGTGGTCATCAAATGATCGAAGTATCAAGAGAGTATTCACCAGTCTTGCTTGGAACCACAATGTTTCTCCCGATGGATGTTACCACCACCTAAGCGAGAGAGCACTCGCAAACGCGCTCTTCAATCATCCCCGTTGGTGGTAAGTCCTGATCGGCATCGATGGATCCAACTGGCAAAGCGTTCGTTCCCTAAGTCCACTTTCTTCTACCAGGTACCACAATCCGGCTGTGATGTACATGCCATTCTTCTTCAACATCTAGGTATAAGTTTGTCAAGGCTTTCTCCAAACTAGCATCCAAGAGCTCCAAAACCTTAGCACCTTCGCCGACCTCATTGATATGGCACTTCATCATTGAACGTGCCTCAAAGAGGTATTCGTTTACGTACTGACCAAACTCAGCATCAAAGTCAGTCTTTCCACACATCTCCTTAAGTTGATCTACGGAGAAGTTGGAGAAGCCAGGAACTAATTTCCTATTGAACACCTTCTCAAACTCCCGCACCACTGTTTTGACAGTACTGACACAAGTCCGTGAGTCGTCGGCATAGTCGTCGAGCGTGTTGCATAAGTCATTGGCCAAGAACTTTGAGTTTCCAATGGCTAAGTTAAGCTCCTCCTTCAAAGTATTGTAATGCTTTCTCTCGGCAAGAAGAGAATTCCGTACATTGTTCAACGACCACAAATCGTTGACATGGCGGAAGGCATCCAACACAACCTCATATCTATTTGCCATTGCAAGATAAGAGTAGAAGACATTGCAAGAAAGCTTCACCGTCCATTCGCAGTGTGCCATAAATTCCTTAACACCACAGACCTTCATCTCATTAATTCCAACACCAAGCTTTAAGAATGTCATTTGTGACACCGCCATGAAGGTCTCCAAATCTTCCCAGTACTCGTCATCTTCTGGGTGGGAAGTACCCCTAATGTTTGTGGCTTCAACAAAACGAGCACAAACATCCTCAAACCAAGCATCACCCATTTGCACTGCATTAGGATCGACATCTTCAATCTCGGGAAACAGGGTCTCAATTCTCTTGAGACAACTCTTGAGAGGTCTTAACTCGTCCGATTCAGAATCGGTCATAGGCGAGAGTGCCAGAGGAGTTTCATCTGAGTGAAACTTCACCAACTGATCGAAATCAGAAAACTCAACCACAGAGACTTTTTCTGTCTCCTTGAGTTTCATCTGAGTTCCGTTTGCAACATTGTACTTCCTGTAATCAGGGAAGGTTCTCAAAGCGTCGATAATGAAGTCCAAGAATTCCTCCTCTTCCTCCTCTTCTTCCTCCTCTTTTTCGACTTCCTCTTCCAGACTATCCAGTGCATAGAATTGACTCAAATCAATTGAGTCAATATCCTCGTTAGAAGAGTCCCCTTCATCTTCTTCCTCCTTAACAGGAGCCAACCAGTCGACATCACGAACTGGTACCTCTTCGCTAACTGCCACAAAACCCTCAACCTCAGCAACCTTTGGAACCTCAACGATCTTTGGTACCTCAACAGGCATCTCAACAGCATTAGGCATCTCCACAGTAATTGGCTTCCACTTGCCTCTAGAGATATGATACTCTCCAACACATGCCAACTTAATCTCAGAAGTAAGGTAAGTTGGATAGTACTCCTGCAACCTTCCAAAAAAGTACATTAATCTCTTGAAAAAGAGAGGAGAAAATTGGTTGAGTGTAGAAGTAACCGAAGTGATCTTTTCATCATAATCATTGTAGATTTCTTTATTGAAGAAGTCTGCAATGATCTTCTGGCGGTTTTGGAATTCAAAAGCGGCCACAGAAGTCTGAGCAGTCACATTGGTCATAATGAGAGAGAGCGCCAGAATCCTATTTGAGGAAACAGCGTCTCCAACTGGAGTGTCATACAAAGCCTTTGAACAATTGTAGACGTCAGCGTCGTAAAAGAAATCGCCAGTATCTCTTGGGGAGAATTGGCTGTTATCAGTAACACAAACATCAATACTGTTGCTTACAATACCAGCACCTCTCAAGTCTCTGAAGGTCTTTTTAATCTTCAGCTTAAGTTTTCTGGCTTTAGTGACAATCTTCTTGCAGTGTCTGAATTCTCTGAAACGGTGGGACTTGACCTTTGTGGTCTTCTCTATACTGGTGGAGGTCACGTTAGTGGCCACTTGTACCGTAGTTCCCTGGGTTGATGGGTGCATTCCAATTGACCCTTCAATAGGCACTGGAATGTTGGGGCTGGTGATGGTTGGAGTGGCTGTAGAAGCACAAACGGTGGCCGTGAAACGGCGGATAGTTCTGGAGATAGAGACCATAATTGGGCAATATCAATGGGAACTGAAATATTTGCGGTTCTGGGAAACTTTTCGTATCAATTTAGGCTATATCTAGTGATTTAGGCTGTAGTAATAGGAAAAGATGGGTTATGAAAGAAAACTGAAGTCGGTGGGAATTCACTTTGTGGCTTTATGTGCGAATTGGCCTTACGTTTAGACAGATTCGGTTATAACAGACTCTAACTTTAGCATTCGCATCTAAATACAGAAGAAGTCTTTAACTTGTATATACATAAAGAGCACCAGAATATTCATGAACTCTAGTGCTCCTTATTACCCTAAAAATACTGCTCCCGTCGTAGTATTGTTGGTTTTCGCAGCCATAATAGTTATGCAACAAAAGCCTGCACCCACGAAACTTTACTCGCCTGATCCGTACCTCCTTTGATAATTTATTACAATATTGATATACTTAATTCTCCCAAGAAATCTCTAACCATACGTCCACGAAATGCTGATTTCTGAATAGTCTTGTAAATCTATGGGCTTTGAGAACGAAGCATACTCATCATTATAGGTATTTGTGAGTCAAAGTGTGTCAGAACTTTTATTAAACCTTTTAGCTATCCCATCAGTGAATGGTTCCCCAACAGGACCTCCAAACCTCATGCGTCATTACTATACAGCTATCTTCTCTTCTTACTAGCCTTTCCGGACTTGGCATTCCTTGCCTTGCCCTGCGTCTTTGCTCTGTCTCCCTGCGTCTTCTTATAAGATCTTCCTCCCTCTCTCTGTGCCTCTATCACTTTTCTCTTCTTGGAGTTTGGTTTCAGCTTGTCCTTAGTAAGCTGCTGCATAGCAGCAGATTGGTGTAATCTCTTTTCCTTTTCACTCTCGAACCACGTTCTCTTTGGTCTGGAATGAATCTCCTTTCCATGCTTCATCAAGTTGTCAGCCTTAGCCATTTCCATTTCAGCTGCCAACATCTCCTTGGCCAGCTTCTCCTCGTCCAAAACCTCCTTGACGATTTCTTCCTTCTCTTTCACGAGCTTATGCAAATTTTCCACTGCGGGCCAATCGACGCTCCGCAGAACAGCCTTCTGGCCAGATTCACTGGACTCCAATGACTTCAATGCTGCCTTGACGATATTTCTGTCAGCAGCAGCCTCTCCCACTAACGTAATGGAACGACCCTCTCTGCCAGCTCTGGCAGTTCTTCCAACTCTATGCAAGTAAATTTCATGAGTTTTTGGCATATCGTAGTTGATGACCATCTCGATCTTAGGGATATCCAATCCTCTGGCTGCCAAATCTGTACAGATCAACACAGGCACTGTCAAGTTTTTGAAGTCGTTGACATTGTTAAGACGCTGCTCCTGTGACAAAGATCCATGCAATTCGGCCACCTTCATGCCTAGCAAACCTAAAATGATTCTCAAGTGATGAGCAGTTTCTTTTCTGGAAACGAAAACAACAATTCGACTCTGCTGACCAGGGTCAACGGTCTTAAGCAAGTGAAAGAGCAACGCTGGCTTCATTGTGTCCTTTTTACGAATACGGACGAACTCTTGCACCAACCTGGATGCTGCAGCCTTGGGGGGATCGATCATGATTCTGACTGGCTTGTTCAACGACAACTGAATCAAATCCTGAATCTTGGTGTTCATAGTAGCAGAGAACAACATGGTTTGTCTTTTGTGCTTAGGAATCAACAGCAAAATTTCGGTAAGTTCGGCCTGGAAACCCTCGTCCAACATTCTATCAGCTTCATCCATGATCAAAATCTCCAACGCATCAAGTGAAAATGACGCAGAGTTACGGATGTGGTCGATCAATCTACCAGGAGTGGCCACCACAATATCTGGCCTCGTACGCAATTGTTGTTCCTGTTGTCTCAAGTTCAAACCACCGACAGCCAAACCAAATGTCAAGTTGTTAACATAACGACCAATATTCTTACCCACATCGCACACCTGAATGGCCAACTCTCTAGTTGGAGTCAACACGATAACTCTGGTAGAAGCCACCTTGGATGGCTTGTACACTAATCTCTCGATCACTGGAATCATGTACGCAGCCGTCTTACCAGAACCGGTCACGGCACCGGCCACGATGTCCTTGCCCAACAAGGCGATGGGAATAGATGCTGATTGGATAGGAGAAGGCTTTGTGTAACCCAAAGAGCCCAAGCCTTTCAATACTGGACGCGAAAGGTCAAGCGTTTGGAAAGATGTATGCGCTTGTTCAGGTTCGTCTGCTTTCTCGTAAAACTTGGCGATGGCCTCAGCAGAGTCCTCATCGTTTTCTGAGTCGCTAGCACCTGAGTCCATGTTGGTTTCCATGTCGTATTCTTCATTGACATCGTCATTTTCTTTGCTTTCGGCATCGTCTTCCCCATTTTCTTCTTCTTCATCTTCATCTTCTGGTGCTCCCATACCGAATCCATCCATTGCTAATTCGTCATCGTCCTCATCTGCAATTTCCTGGGGAGTATCGTCGTCTTCGTTTTGTTCATCCTCTTCCTCATCGGCTTCGTTACCATTTTGCTCAACCTCTTCGTCTTGCTGGTCTTGCTTCTCTTCCTCTGCCAATCCAGCCAAACCTCCCTTTCTTCTCAAAATGTCATCCAAATTCACCTCTTTTCTTTTTGGAGCCTCTTCTTCAGTCACACGAAACTCCCATCCATTCATCGTATTTGAGGTCTCGAAACCATCCAAGGAAAATTGAAACGATGGATCAATATCAGTCTCGCCCTCTTTGGCTTCAGTTTCCTCCTGTTTCTTGTCTTCCAATTCGTCTTCAGACTCCAGCTCTTCGACAGCAACCTCTAATTCAGATTCGCTATCGATTGTACCGATCAAGTCCTCCTTGACCTTATTGGTTGTTTCCTTTCTTTTAGCCATCTTGAAGTTTGGAGATGCGATGAGGTCGAATTTTTTGTGTATCGATGAGTGTGCACATTAAAATGCATTCATCATGCGTCCAATTTGTTTTCTGTCTACCATACAAGTATACAAATTTATTAGAGCATGTTATTGATATTCATGATTCCTTCACTAATAGGAACTTCTGTTATTTTGTTATTGCCCCCATCACTTTTTTGATCTATAAATTACACGAAGTGAAAGCCCTCCAGCACGTTGGTCAACTCCACCAAGTCGTAGTAATCTTCGTCATCTGAGTCTTCACTGTCAGGGGCCACAGATGTAAATTGCTTTCCTTCTAAAACAAGTAACTGTGTGTTTCTTCTGATCTCTTGCAAGGATGTGAGTTGCAGCGACGTTTCAGCAGAAAGATGCTTACCATCGGCCAATCCTTTCAACATCTTCAAACCATCTAGCCACACAGCCTTATTGTCTTCAGAGTCTGTGTAAAAGCTCAAAAGCGGCTTTCCGAACTTGTCCAAAAGAATTATCTTTTCATACGAAATAGTACCCTTCACTGAAATCAACATCGAGTTTTTGGCCTTATCAGCTTCACCTACCAGGTTTCCAATTCTTATCGACTTCAACTCAGCAATCTCTCTCAAGTTTATAGACTGGCTCTCCATCTCCTCATATGAGGGCTTGTTTGTGGCAATTGCCGAAAATTCTTTGTAGTAAAGGGAGCGTCTGTTAGGACTCAAGATAATAAAGTAATAATTTTTGCCTGTGGGCAGTCTCGGGGTATTCTTGAAGAGTCGGTCTGCGTGTGATTCTGTGTGAACCCACGAACCTTTTAGCAATTGCATCACTCTTTGCTCACACACGAAATCTTTGACTTCCTGAGCCAAATTACGGTCAAATTCGTGAAAGCGTGGTCTCCACAAGTCAGAGTGCACTCTCTTTGTTTCAAGGAATTGCGCATGTCTAATATCCTCTGTGGATCTGGCAGTAAATACCTCGAGACATTCTTCAATGCTTGGGTTGGATGCAAGAGCCTCCTCCAAAAACTCGACATTGGATTCAAGCAACTGAATAATACCCTCAATGTCCTCTGGATTCTCCAAATTTGACTTTGTGTTTTGCCACAAGAGCAAACAGTTGTTCATGGAGTAGTAAATCATGAGCTCCCACGATAAAATATGACCGTTGATGCGGGGGTATCTTTTCTTCTGATGAAAAATGCGGAGCCAAAGATCTGTACACTTTCTGATGAACAAATACAAAGGAAAGGTTCTGTGGTGGTCACTCATGATCAATTCCTCATGAAACTTCTTTTTGAACGTGATGTTCGGATCCTTCAAGAAGACCTTCAAGTCCATGGCCAACAAAATGGTGAAATTGTCAACAACAAACTTTCTGGGATTAGAGCTGAAGCCAGCTTTCACGTACTCTTCTGTAGAAGCAGGGGTACCAAATTCATTCAAAGAAACATCCAAGAAAATGAATAAATTGGTTAACATCACCTGGTGCGATACGTATGACATCTCGAAGTGGGTCTTGCTGAGATACTCGTTCAAGTTGAAGTAGGTCTCCTCTAAAGCAGTGATGGCCTCCAAGATCAATGCATCCGTGGTCTCAATCAAGTTCCCCACAGTAGAGAAAAACTTGACATGCTTAAGACGACCAGTCAAGGTAATGATACGATCATACTTGAACCTTAATGCCTTGTTTATGAGCTCGTTAACCAATCTAATGGAATTAAGTAAGATTTTGGTGTCAGACAAGTACAATTTGGCAGTGAACACATCGATTACATCCAAATATGTAACAAGACTTTGATAAAGTGGAAGATGGATATCAATGGAGGTATCACCAAATTTGGGCGGGTATGGCCCACCAGAAAGTGAAATGACAGCAATTTTAAGGATAGCCTTGTAAGTCTCGGTGGACATTTTTGTGGAGACGATAGAAAACAAAGAATTGAACAAAGTTTCGTCCAAAATATCCACGAAGTGAGGCAGCACGGCCTCAGATCCGGGAGCTGAAATGCAGTCGAGCAATTTAGCAAGAACCACAATAGAGTTGACCTTTTCTTGTTTGTCTTTACCCAAAATGTTGGACTTCAAGATGGCCAGGTAGTTCAAGGCCGTGGAAGCATCTAGCTTGGATTTGGATATATTGCTTTTGCTCAACAATTCGTTGAGCTTATGGTTAATCGTCCGCGAGGACTCTGCGGTAGCCATTTCGTCAAGTTCAGTAGCAGAACCAGGTTGGAGAATTTTCGACTCAGAAGGAGTCCAGTTTGACGATAATGACGGTGCAGGCCACAGTGTGCAGACTAGGAGCGAGGTTGTGGACTGAGAAATGTTAGAATGTGGCTGGAGCACGGTCGCCCAGTGTAGTATCACAGGCAAAGGCAGCTCCAAAGCTGGAAAAGAAGATAAAGTTAAGTTGGAAATTTAAGAATCAAGATTTTGTTGGCGATAAGTATATTTTACACCGTGGACGTTTGCAATTCGTAAGGCGCTCAGCTGCATAGAGCTTTCAGTTACTCTGCATGGCATCATTCGTGTGCAGTAGCTAACGTCAAGAGAAGCCTTCGAATGCCTGTGAGCGTACGCGATATAGAGCCTCTGAGTATTATTTTTTTTTATCCTCACTGATTCCTGCCATTCCCATTGGATTTCACCGATAGCAGAAATGGAAGATAGAAAGAAAGAAAAAAAGAATGGAGAAATCAAAAAAATAAAATTTCAACTTACTTTGCTACATATGGGTACCATTGATCACCAAACCGTACCGTCTAATCAACCAGATATGAGCCCTTTATTGTGTGGGTCAATTCTGCTTATAGTTAGCCTCTCACTTTTCCTCACTGGCTAGAGACTGCCACAACGAGTGGGATCTTGTTTCTTCATTACTACCAGTTCACCCACTGTACGGAATCTTGCGCCCCACATCGTACCTCCACCCTTGATGTAACACTCCATGCATTTCTCTCAATAGACAATAAGCTATGGGCGTTGTTGTGCGCCGATCCGCGTCGCAATTGAGCCAATTTACACTTTGGCGGCTAAACTTCCTGTTGAAGCTATTGGCAGAGCCACTGGATTTGCCCACTTTAAGCTCGGTTCGCTTATGAAGCGTGGCGGATCGTTGGCCGTAATTCATGCAAGGGATGGCGCACTTTGCCAGAAAGGGCAAAAAAACCTTATCCCTCCATGCGCTTTGGTCCCTTGCCCCACGTGAAATGTGAGGTCTGCGCCTCAGAGATTGTTCTGGCTTGCTGAAGAAGTGGTGACTGAGGATTCTTGAACGATCTTGTAATAGCTCAGCTTAGTGGTAGTTTGAAACTACAATCGTAATGGTATCTACAAGTGCAAAGTGTCAGATTGGGCGACAATAAATCAAGCATATATAATTGGATGTGTGGCCTTCTCACCTTAATTTTGATTCTGGTAAAGGTAGATTCAAATCATTTTGAGGGGAATCAATCAACGAAGAAAAGCATGGGAGATGTTCGGGTCACGTGGTTTGATATCATGTGTATTTTCCACGTGACTATACCCTCACGAAAATATACATTCAAACTTCAACAATTATACTCCAGCGCTACTAAATCCCGGATATGTTGAATTTTGCCAATGTATGTTATCACCCATAGCCAATTACCCCCAATATCATACTAATACGCAGTCCTTGTCCTTTTTGGATTCGCCTTCCATTGACTGGAAGACTATCGTCACTTCCCTTTTAATTGGAAAATACGCCTTCGAAACTTACATTAACTACAGACAGTTTCAGGTTTACCAAAGAAAGGAACCTCCTGCGTCTATTAAGGAGGAAGTCACCCAAGAAACATTCGCCAAGTCTCAGGAATACTCGCGTGCCAAATCAAAGTTCTCGTTCTTTTCTGATGCTCTCGAATTATTGAAAGACGTGGCTTCCATCAAGTATGACCTTTTACCTAAATTGTGGGGAGTTGCCGGCTGCCTCAGCTCAAAATTATCCCATGTTGGTGTCACTGGTCGTTTCTTCGGAACCTCCGTCATGTCTCAGAGCGTGGTGTTTTTCGCCATCTCCACCATTCTCTCCACTTTGGAGTCCTTGCCATTGTCTTACTACCTGACGTTTGTTTTGGAGGAGAAATACGGATTCAATAAGTCTACGTTCAAGATTTGGATTACTGATGCGATCAAGCTGCTTGTTCTCTCTGTTGTATTGGGTTCTCCCTTTGTTTATGGCTTCTTGAAGATTATTGAACGTTACGGCCCTGCTTTCGTCTCATACGCCTGCGTGCTCGTCTTGGGTGCTCAGTTGTTATTCATGACCATCATTCCATCGTTGATTCTCCCTCTCTTCTACAAGTTCACCCCTCTTGAGGATGGTGAATTGAAGACTGAGATCGAGGCTCTTGCTGCCAAAAACGGATTCCCGCTCTCACAATTGTTCGTTATTGACGGCTCTACGAGAAGCGCACATTCTAATGCCTTCTTTGTTGGTTTGCCATGGAGCAAGAAGATTGTTCTTTTTGACACATTGATCGAGCACAACACTACCGAGCAAACTGTGGCCGTTTTGGCCCATGAGATCGGCCACTGGAAGTTGAACCACTTGCCTCAGATGTTGCTCACTAGTCAGATTACTGTGGGAATCACTTTTGCTCTTTTCTCTGCCTTCCTTGAGAACAAGTCCTTGTTCCAGTCCTTTGGCTTCAACACTTATCCTGCAATCATCTCCTTCATGTTGTTCAGTTACGTGAACACTCCGGTTAATTGTTTGACTCAGTTCGCTACTAACCTTTTGTCCAGAAAGAACGAATACCAGGCCGATGAGTACGCCAAGGGTCAGGGCTACACGGAGGACTTGGCTGCCTCCTTGATCAAGCTTTCCACGAAGAATTTGAGCTCGTTGAATACTGATTGGTTATTCTCTGCCTACAACCACTCCCACCCTATCTTGGCCGACAGATTGAGCGCCCTTGGTTATGTTTCTAAGGAGAAACTTGGTGATGTTAAGGTGGACATTGAGAAGTCCAATCAATAAGGTATTGGAAAATTGGCTAAATGATGACATGTATTCTCTATATATTTCCAATCCATTCATGATTTCCCTAGCTTCGCATTTCAAGTGTACTTTTTTTTATACTCTTCGAATGCTGCCCTCATTTGAACGTATCCGAGGTGGATCTTTCCAATAAAATGATCCGCCAAACGTCGATCACTGTCAAGCCTGGACAAGTATGCTCCACAAACCTCGCATACCTGAAGCTTTTGCTGTGATGTCTGGCCAATATTCTCAGCTATTACTCGAGCCTGTTCGGCTAGAACATCTCTCTCCTTGTGCAATTTCTCAAGCTTCCTTGTTTGTTCAAATGCTTTGTCAATCTCGTTGGCTTTTCCCAAGTGTCGTATCTCGGACGTCATAAGACCAATTTTTGTATCCAATATGTCTAAGTCCTTGGTAACTTCTGCGATTTTTGCCTTCTCTTCGGGAGTATGCTCGAGTCGCCGCAATGCAGTGGAAATAGTGAAATCTATCTCATCAATATACTTTCTGAGCGTCTGATAGTATTCATACTCAAAGCTGGGAAATTTCTCCCCTTTCTTTTTCGTTCTAAACTCGTACTCAAGTTTATGCTTTTCTAAGTGTAATAATGGGCATCTCCCCACATTAAGCTTTGTTCCAGCAAAAAGATCATAGGGACAGTTTCCGACTAAAAATGCTTTGCATACTCTGCTGCTTGTGAAATCCACATCCTTGCGCCGAACTTGAGGAGATATGAGGGCTTCTTTTCCCATTAATTGCTCTAGGAGCTTGCGCTGGTCGTCCGCCATTGGTGGTTTATTTGATTTCGTTTAATGACTACAAAGACAAGACCACAAAGTCAAATATAAAACATCCGTACATCTTCGAAGTATAAAACCCATACACCTTTTGCAATAAACCCATGCCTCCCTTAGTTTGGGCTAAACGCCTCATATGATGCCCCACGTTCATCCATTCTATCAAAAACTTTCTACTTTCGATACCGAAGGTATTCAGTTAAAATTACCGAATTGATCAGTTCTTGGCATTTCATGTCGATTATTACTAGCACAGGAAGGAATGGGATCGAGCTGACCAGGCTAGTCACCATTGAAGCATTTATGAACATTTCGTTCTTTGAATTAGGAGCGGTACATCAAATTGAGTTACTAAAGTCCATTCTGGTGCCAATTTTCACCAGTGATCTCAGAAATTGATCGCAAACTTCATAATATAAGTAAATTGGTAACTTCAAACATTAAACGAAACCAACTCAGAATTAAAGAAGAAGTTAACTTTTTAAAACCTATTCTATGCGGAAAATAGTATTCCCTGAACCAATTCCTAATGGCCTATTCAACCTGGATGCAACAATAGTCTGATACAGGTTATGAGGACTCGACTATTCAAGATATCTTTCATATTGAAGATATTTTCATTATTTCTTCAAATTGGTTTCAAAAGCCAACGATAACATTCCCAAATTCTTGATCTCCTCGACCATCACGTAGTTATCTTCCACGCTACCCCAGATTCCCAAATATTGTCGTAAAAATGTCTTCCATGACTCAGGCGGGGTGGGGTTCCATACTGCATATTTACACGTCACCAGAAGACTGGCGCATTATTCTGGTACTTACGCTTCTGGACCGGCCAGATTTTGCTGTTTGCTTGTTTTATGTTGGCCTCTTTCTCCATCTTTTCCCTCATTTCCTATTTAACTCTTTCATATTTGTCTCATTAATTCATCATGAAGAAATACCAACTTATGGGCCGACGGAAGGTGTCGTCAGTACCCAAGAAGCACACGTACCAGCCGCTCCATCTCCACTCCATGCCATATGAAATACTCATGCAAATATTTGCTGAGGTAGCTGAGGACATGCCCAGCCTTCTACTGCTTGCGTTGGTGTGTTCCAAGTTCAATAATATTGTCAGCAAGAGCTTTATTTATCACACGGTCAAATTCAAGTCGACTCACCAGTTTGCTAAGTTCTGCCAGGCACATTTGCCTCTGAAAACGTCGTTAGGGCGTCGTTTTGGGACAACAGAGCCGAGCTCGAAGGTGAATCTAATCAGATGTGTTCATTTCGACAACCCACCAACCCATGATCCCACTTCTCTGACCCAGATCGCTGGAACTTACAGTGTTGATACACTGAGCGGGACCACAAAGTATCAGGATTTTGTTTCTCAGATGAAGAGCTTGCTTAATGAGGCTTACGGTATCAAAGAGGTACGTCTCACTGAGATATCTCCGCAATTCGAGTTTCCACTTGACCTCATTCAGACCCAGCTGTTTTCGAGTATAAAGCTTCGCTTCAAGGCTCCTAAACCATCTCGTAAAATCGAGAAAGTGGTGTTAGTCGCTCAGTCTGGTTGGAAAATTCCCTTTAAATTGGGCCACATCTCGCTTTTTATCCATGTTTTCGACGAAATCTCCGAACTCAAGTTGAATAAATTTGTCATAAATGACCTGAAGATCCTATGTGACCTGCTTCAGATACCGTTCAGCATAGACTGTTTGGTACTGACCGCGTCGGTCTACTCGGATTGCCGGAAGCCCAATCAAAAACGTGTTCCTTCCAAATTGTTCGCTAAGACTACGTCGTTGCTGCTTGAAGATATCCAACATGGAAATGACTTGTGTTTGATTGATTTCATCAAATGTAATGATGACCTCTCTCGATTGAGTATAGACATCGGTTCTAGCATTTTCTACTATGTGGATCCGCAAGACCAAACAGTGAAATTCAACTTCTCCAAATATAACAATTTCTTCAAGTTGGTGTGCTCGGGAAAAGGCGGATATTCCAAACTTAAGGAGGTCGTACTCACAAACTTTGACTTGTTCAACAGTTTTTCTCACCAACACGAGAGTAAGTTGGATAGAATTTCTGAAGAAGGTGAGGAAGATGATTGGGTTGAGAAACCTACTAACACTTTTGAGCATTTCATGACCTATTTGTCTCAAGTAACATACTTAACTATTGTGGTAAAAGAGGCTCCTGCTGTGATGCACACTTGTGTGAATTGTGGATTTACGGTGACAGAGAAAACAAAGAGTATCTCCAGTCTACTTCCTCACGAATGGGCAATTATCTTGTCCCCAATTCTTGCAAACAGACATTGTTCTGTTTTGATCTACAATCATAAATTGCGGCCTCTTTTTTCTCGACGGGCGGTGGATTAGAACCAAAGTGTTATACCAGTACATAACACCAACAAGAGTGTTTGTACGCATGTATTCACGCATGAAGCTAGGTATTAGTATGAACCATCGAGATCGATATTCTTAGACATACATTAAGTAAGGGCCTGCTTCAAGTTCACAAACGCTTTGCTCACCTTATTGAAGATTGAGAGGATGAAATTTTCACTTTTCTTTGAATCTCCTTCATTTTCGTCGTCACTGAAGGAGCCGAACTCAGAGCTGTCTCCCAAAAGATCATAATACGTACAGTTTTGAAATCCACGCAAGTTTCGTCTCGAAGAGCTCCAACTTGATGTGGTGTCCTCAACAAGTTGGACTGTGGGCTCGTTAATATATATCAGACTTCCGTCGACGTCAAAAACCTTATATGGACTCTTAAATTCCGACTCGGTGATTGTGGTATACTTCCCCTGTTCCACTTGGACTCCAGTTGTCAAGTAGGCGCTTCCCACAGGATCCGGAAGACCACGAGAAATGTCAAGATTATCATAGCTATTGGCACACTCTGGTAATGCGTGCGGTCTGGTTCTGAGCTTGTCTTGGATGTTATTAATGTTATCCTTCATTCCCTTAAGCACATGGCGATAATCAAGCTCGGGCAAACTCTCAAATTGCTGTTTGAGCAGGAAGTAGTCCGCAAGGAGCCTGATGTCTTTGGTCGGCAAAATCTCCACGAGTCCATAATTATTGGGCTCCTGTGAAAACTCATATATTAATCCACCATTAAAAACGTTAGTCATATCTTTTGAGTAAAGGGCATGTACTTCATCAAAGTTTCTGGGCGTTACTTCGTTGCACCCATATCTGAAAGTTAGTAATAGCTGGCGTAAATGTGATGTTGGAATTACTCACTCAGAAAAGAATACGGGTCGGGAGAAATCAGCATAAGCTTCAACTAACTTGTCGTATCCGCTTGTTTGCATTGTTTGCTCACCACACCACTGATACGAGTTTACCCCATAGAAGTCAACCGTGTCTGAGAGATCGTGATCCACACACTGCAAATATTTGGACAAAGATACACGGTACAGTAAGTCGTCTGCAGCAGAGTATCCAACGGGGATGGGTCTTTGGGAATGATGCTCGATATAGTTCTTAATATCTCTGACAAGAGCTTTAATGTATACTGGGGAATTTGTTGCACTCAACTTGTCATTGACCACTTCGTTCCCGGCAAAGAACCCAAGTGTGTTGTTATATCCGCTGAACTGGTGCACCACCTCGTACACATTTCTCAAATATTCTTTTGTGTATGTGACCCACGGCTCATACCTGTTGAGGTGATGATTGGGTAATGGTGAGTTTACATCAAGAACCAAGTATATTCCAGCTGAAGCAAGGATGGTCATACATGCGTCGTGGTTAAGATTTGTGTTGACCGAATAGATTCGAATAGTCTGGAGTTAGTGATTGTAGAACTAATTAGGTAAAGCTTGATACATACATTGATTCCCAAGTCCTGAAAGAGGGCGATATCCCTGGCACAAATGGCAGGATCGGAAAGCGGGTCAGAGTCGCTGGTGACTCCCGAAGAACCTCCCGGCTGGTAATCGACACCTTTGATGTAAAACTGGATGTTAGTGGGTTATTGTAGTAAATAAAGCCTGCATCACACTTACTGGTTCCTTTGTTTCACTGTCCACAAAATAGCGGCCATAAATGGTGATGGGATGAATGAATGTATAGACTCCAGAGACAAGGAGGAAGAAATAGATTTTCAAGAGCATTGTAGTCAGAAGATGGAGAAAAGGTTGAAGGTACAAAATGGCTGCGAAAAAGTTGCGAAAAAATTGCCAAACAGTTGGCACGGAGGGTGAGAGTATCATGACAGATATCAATCGACAACAGAAGCAGTAATTATATTATGGAACACTTCTTTTTCTAGTTTTCTTTATATTTCAATTTTGTTCATTAGAACGTCCGGGATTAATTAGAACAGGCTTTAGAGCACAACATTAGATTTGAACATCTCAACCGTTGCATTTATTCGACAAACACATGTGATTATAGAATGGCATTTTCATAATACTCCTATTGTTTCTCGAATTCGAAGTTTTATTTATTGTCATTTTAACTTACATCATGTATATATACAAAGTAATCATAGGACAATATTACAGCCGAGTGCTCTCCTCTTCTTGCACACTCTCGGCACTTCCCTAGTTTAACTAGTTTAATTTTTCAAACTGATTTAAAAGCAACTCTCTTTGAAAAAAAGAAGAGAAAAACATACTATACCTGGTACCATTTCTTGGACCATAGGAAAATATCATGGTCATAGTTCTAAAACAACTGTTGGAAAGAGATTACCAAAAATTTTATATCAGCTTTGAAGTTTTATTATTAGCTTACGCAACCAAAACGCTAAATTTTCGGAAATTTTCCAAAAACAAGATTTACTTTATAATTCTACACTAACCAAGCATATTTCAGTGAATAACAACTGCCTGTGTGGCGTAATGGTTAGCGCATTTGACTTCTAATCAAAAGATTCCGGGTTCGAGTCCCGGCATGGGTTCTGTTGCGGTTTTAGCTCAGTTGGGAGAGCGTCAGACTGAAGATCTGGAGGTCCTGTGTTCGATCCACAGAAATCGCATCTTTTTTTCTTTTATCTTCATCTTTTTTTATTATTTTCTCGTTTATTTCTTTCTTTATCTTGCATTTTTCTTAACATTCAATTATTATGCATTAGCTACCGATCTAAATCTCAGCATACTTCGTCACAGAGACCAATCCACGATCTCTGTTGGCCCACTTCACGTAGTTAGGCGAGTAATGCAAAAGCTCCTTGTAAGCTGGAATCTGTTCCGATTCAGCAATAAATTCATCCACATCCGACAGTCCACTCCAGTAACATTCCACATTCACACCCAACTGCTTCACATTTATTTTTTGTGCTTCAACATCAGAATCGACAGAAAAATCGGACTCCACGACCTCTGGCACCCACTGGAATGCAATGTGATATTTCTTGTCCCAGTCAAGTTTGTTTAATTGCAATTGGCCAATGCCCTCGAAATCCTTGAAAAGGTAGTTTCCGTCGTGATCTCTCGAAAATCCCTCAGGGATACCTGCTGTGTTATACAGCTCGACGTCGCTGCCATTTCCTTTCTTCTCATCTTTGTAAACAATGACAGTTTTCACTGGGGAATGTGTTGAAGATGATGATTCCACTCCGTCAAAAATCTTAATCACTTTGTCAGTCACATTAAACGAGACTTTACAGTTCCTATTCTTTGGAGCAATGATTTCGATCTCTCCTGTTAACAAGCCGAACGGAGAGTCGGAACCTGAAGACGAATTTCTCAACACCTCAATAGTCAAGTAATCTTGAATAGAATTACCGGGTATAAAATCCGGTGTTAATTGCGATCCATAAGAATACAACAGCATACCATCCCCAAGAGAGGATGTGAGCAATTCTGCCTTATTATCTTTGAAGGAAGGAATGTCCTCCAAAATGTTTTCAATCAATTTCATCAGACGGCCACTAACACTAACGGTGTTGGTAAAGGGGTTGGCATTCAAATCAATAGTTTCAAGGAACCTCAATTTCAATGGATTCTCAACATCAAAAGCAGACTTCGTACTAATAACAAGTCCTCCTTGGATTAATGCAATGAGCAATGCAAGGACAAAAACTCTGTTCAATTTGAAAATGAATGGCAAAAACGGAATCGCCCAAACAATAACGAATGCCTGAATAATCTTATAGATAAAATCTTGAGCTTCAAGTGATTCCTGGATCGACTTATTAATACCGGCCAAGACCAAAAAGCCAGAATTGTAGATAATCAAGGAGGATAATGGCACAATAAGCAAAAATTGGAGGAGCCAGTCGTAGCTGAAGGACTTCTTCTCGTGAACTGAGCAACCTTCAGAGAATCCAGATTGCAAGGATAGAGAAGAAGATTCAGCAATAGAGTCTTCATCATCGGAGTGAGAGTGATAGCGATGTTGAGAACTCGATCCTATCAAAGGCTGGGACTCACCTTCACTTAATGCGATTCTCCTTGGAGACTTCAAGCTCCAGCCAAACAATCCGAATAGAGCAGCTGCGGATTGAAGAACAAACAACACCGTAAGAATAAATTCTCCGGTATGATCGTCACCAATTTTGTTGTGTGATTGCTTCACAGTGGACCACAACAATATCACCCACGTAATGAAAGAAGCTTCGATGATCACTATCAACTTCTCATCATGTTGATGTCCCTTAAAAGGCTTGAAAATAAAGTTAAGGCCATTCAAGAATGCATAGTTCAAAAACAAAAACAACGCAAACAACGTTGACACCAACGTACCTGGAGAACTGTTAACCAAGTACAGATTTGTAGGAACAATAAGAACATCTGTGATGAAACTTAAGATAATGACAGAAAGAACGAAAGAAATGGGAAATTTGATCACGTTGATAAAGTTGACGCCCCAACCCTTTTTGTACTGGAAAATTAGCACAAGAAGTAAAAGTGACAAGATGGGAGACACAACAAGTAGAACGATGTTAACAATGACAACCTGTGAAAGCGAGAATGCCACAAAGTAGTTGAAGAACGACAGGTATGCAGCGTAGTCATTGCTACTGTTCGCAGCCTCGCCACCCATGTATTCCTCATCCAAGTCGATTTTCTCGTAGGCAATAAACTGAGTGAAGTCAATAGTGTTGGACAACATGTGCCATAATGACTTCTTGTTGGTATTCTTAATGTTATCAGCACCTGTATGATAGATATCTCTTGGCTTGTAGAAGGCTAAGTCTAGTCCGCGGAGTTTTCCCATGCTTTTGTAGATTGCATAGTCAGTCTCACTGTGGATGAGCTTGTTGTTAAATCCCTGCTGGAACAACGACGTCGCATACGGAAAACGAACTTTTGAAAAGTGCTTCACGATACCATAGTCAGTTCCTCTGAACAAAATGGCCTTACCTCCTGCTCCGGTACCTTCCAAGTTCAAAAAGTACTTAATCTGCTGGAACCATGGATGGTGGAGAAAAGCGGTCGCTCCATACAATCCGAATTCCTCATTATTGTTGAAGTTAAAGATGACAGTTCTAAGAGGTCGTTTGGTGGATTTGTCAGCAAAATATTCTAATAATCCAAGCATAGAAGCTACTCCCATGCCGTCATCAGTGACTCCGTAAGAAGAGGGAACAGAGTCGTAGTGAGCACTGACCAAGAACGCAGGAAGTGATGCATCCGACCCATTTACTCTCACCAACAAGTTGTTACTCTCATAGTACGAAACAGATGCATAACTCAAATAGTTCACAGAAGTCATGATATTGTTAGTTCCATTCAAGTCATTGTCATATTCAATGTACTTCTTATTGGCCACAAGAGCAGCAATTTTCTCCTCGAGTAGGTCGTGAACGTAGTCATTTCCTTCAGAATTATAAGTATGTTCCACTAAAGCAATTTTTTGGAGGGAATCCCACAGGCTATCCAACACGGAAGATTCCAAAGCATCAGTGGGCAAAGAAACGGTAAAACTCAAGGAGTTATCAATTGAGGATAATATGACAGTTGCAAATAACACGATTGCCACCAAGAATGTAAGCGAAGTTTTTCTGTAGCCAAACACTGCTCTTATTAAACGGATAAACCAATTTGGCTGCAGAGGCGGGGAGTAGTCGGATACTGGCGCCCTAGAAGCTGGTTTAGACCGAGGTGAGTCGAAATTCTCCGGGGTGCGCGGAGTTGCCGACGAGACACTAAGGGGGGCCATGACCTGATTTTGTGCAATTGAGAATTATTTGGCGATTAATTTACTAAATGGTGGCATGGGATTAAAGTTTGGGATGATGCGATGAACACCTGTACCTCTCAATTGATTGCGACTGCTGGCTAGGGGGAAAATAACACAGGATGATCGCAACGATCAAAGAGACAAAAAATGCCAAAATGTGCCAAATTAAGTGCGTATATCCTGCGTGCACACCACCAACTTGAAGAACCAAAAACCTCTAGACAACCTGTTAACTACACACTAATAATGACATTTGCTCCTTTGAAAAACGACCTTATCCTCCGTGCTGCCAAGGGTGAAAAGGTCGAAAGACCACCTATTTGGATCATGGTATGTTTATTTTTCTCATCAATTGCACGATTTATTGCTGTTGAATTTTCACCTTCCACCATCCCCATACTAACACCCCAGAGACAAGCAGGTAGATATCTCCCAGAATACCACAAAGCAAAGGGTAATAGAGACTTCTTTGAGACTTGTCGTGATGCTGAGATTGCAGCTGAGATCACCATCCAGCCTGTCGACCACTTTGACGGTCTTATTGACGCTGCCATTATTTTCAGTGATATTTTGGTGATTCCCCAAGCTATGGGCTTTGAAATCGAGATGGTGGAAGGTAAGGGTCCAGTTTTCGTGGACCCATTGCGTAGCGCTGCCGACATTTCCAGAGTTAACTTGAAACCAGACATTTTGAAGCTGTTGGATTGGGCTTTCAGGGCCATCACCTTGACCAGAACCAAATTAAACGGCAGAGTTCCACTTCTCGGTTTCTGTGGTGCTCCATGGACCTTATTGGTGTACATGACCGAAGGCCAGGGATCTAAGATGTTCAGATTCGTTAAGCAGTGGATTTACGAGTATACGAAAGAATCGCATGTGTTGTTGCAAGCCATTACTGATGCGTGTATCGAGTTTTTGGCCCAACAGGTTGTAGCAGGTGCTCAAATGTTGCAAGTCTTCGAGTCGTGGGCGGGTGAGTTGGGTCCTAACGAATTTAATGAGTTCTGTTTGCCATATTTGAGACAGATTGCTTCCAAATTGCCTCCAAGATTGAAGGAGCTCGGAGTCACTGATAAAATCCCTCTCACTGTGTTTGCAAAGGGTGCCTGGTACGCATTGGATGACTTGTGTGAGTCGGGCTACGACTGTGTCTCCTTGGACTGGCTCTACAAGCCGGAAGATGCCGTCAACGTAGTCAACGGTAGAAGAATTACCTTGCAGGGTAACTTGGATCCAGGTATCATGTATGGCCTGGACGAGGTGATCAGCCAAAAGGTGGAACAGATGATTAAGGGATTTGGAGGTGGAAAGCAGAACTACATTGTGAACTTTGGCCATGGCACCCACCCATTCATGAAGCCTGAGAAAATTGAGCACTTCTTGAAGGAATGCCACCGGTTCGGCTCGCAATAACTAATTGCAACTACTTAAAATTTTACTCATACTCTGTAAATATACAATGACTCACATATGATTCCCAATTCATCATAGTTGCGAATTTGGAAAGGTTTTGATGTACATGACTCAGTAAGTTGCGAAGTGTGCACACTGAAGATGTATAAAGCCCAGGTTTTAACAGTCGAAAGTAATTATCATTAAAATGTCCACTTTCACTAAGGACGATCTCTATTTATTCAATCTTCTGGACACTATTTTGTCGTCTTTGCAGCTCCTACATTTTGACGAGTCATCCACTATTGTGGATGTGGTGACACCTGAACCGGTAGAAACTATTGAATCAAAGGTTAAGAGTCTTCAAGGATGCTCAACTTGCCGGGTGGAGTTTGGTCCTGAATTGACTTCCAACGATAGAATGTATCATTACAAGTCGGATTTGCACCGTCTCAACTTGAAACGTGCACTTGGATCGTTGGCACCTTTGTCAGAAGCTGAGTTTGAGAACTTGGTAGAAACCCAGTCTTTGGAAAGTATATCTGGATCCGAGGATTCGGACACTGAATATGAGGAAGAGAAGGCTTTGGAGACAGTTTTCGAGAAGCTCTCTACCGAGAATAATGGCAATGAAGATGAAAAGTTTGTCAGCCACATGAACACTCATTCTCCTTTTGTTTTCACCAGATCGCCGCTTCTAGATCAATCCAAGGGCTTTGGTATCTACAAGGCTCTTTTCAGCGAAGACACCTTGCTCAAGGGTACTATTATTGAGTCATTGAAAGAATCTACCAGTGATAAACATAGGCTGGGGTTGTCTGTGTTGCTAATGATAGGAGGAGGACACTTCGCAGGTGCTGTGATATCTCACACCCCAAAAAATATCAAAGGTAATGCCCCTAGCAAGACAGAATCGAGACAGGAGCAGATGGTCAACGTTCTCGCTTCGAAGACTTTCCATAGATATACCACGAGAAGAAAGCAGGGTGGATCGCAAAGTGCATCTGACAATGCTCGAGGAAAGGCAAACTCCGCCGGTTCGAGCATCAGAAGGTATAATGAGCAAGCTTTGCAAAAGGAGGTCCAGGAGTTGTTGGCCCAATGGCACGAATACTTGGCCCAAGCTGACTATGTGTTCATTCGAGCCAATGGTGCATCCAACAGGAAGCAATTAGTCGGTTACGAAGGATCTCAGTTAAAAAACAACGATTCTAGAATCAGAAATTTCCCCTTCACAACGAAGAGAGCAACATTGGGCGAGGTTAAGAAGGCGTGGGTCCGTTTGATGTATGTCTCCGTGGTTGATCTTCCGAAGGTCAAAGAGAAAAAGAAAGTTGAAAAAGTTGAACGGAAATCAAAGACACCTGAGGTTGAGGTGGAGACTAAATCAGACATCCACACGAAGGAAATTGTTTCGCTTCTCAAAAAGTCCAAGGCTCCTCTTTTGATCAATTACTTGAAGAAAAATGAAATTGAGCCCGACTTCCGATTCACTCCCACGTTGAAGCATGCCAATGATTCAACGCCACTTCACTATGCATCCTCGCAGGGCCTCCATCATATGGTGAAAGTTCTCTTGGTGAATGTCAAGAGTGATCCTACGATTCCCAACAGCTTTGGCAAAACGGCAGCGCAGATTGCGTCGACCCCCACAGTGAAGAATACTTTTCAAGTCGTTCGCCACACTCTAGGTGAGTCGTATTGTGACTGGAATAAGGCAAAAGTTGGGCCTCCCAGGTCCGCGGAAGACATCTCCAAGGATGCCGATCTAAAAAAGAAGCAACATGATGAACAGACCCGCAAGTTGATTGAGGAAGAATTAGCGAAGAAGACTGATATGGAATTGAAGAAGCCAACATTTTCTAGCGGAGGTTCGTTGGGTGGACAAGGACCCAAGGTTGATGAAACCAATGGATTGACCGATCAGCAAAAGGCGAGATTAATGAGAGAGCAGAGAGCAAGGGCTGCTGAGGCAAGAATGAAGATGTTGGGTTAATACACAGTTAGAATAGCACGATATTAGAATTATTTAATGGTGTACTAAATGCAAGTCTATAGACGGAACAATAAATTCTCAACAGAAAGGGCAACAGAAGCAGTTGACTAAACTAGCTCTCGTGAAGACTACTCGGGAGGTTTTAAGACTGACTCAAGATTTATTCTCTCTCGTTATGCCGAATTCTCTCCACTGCCCTGCTTATACTTCAAGTGCATAGTGCATAGGTAAGAATCCAATCGGAAAAAATGCCTTGTTAGGTCGGTATAAACGAGAAAGCAAAAACATGAGTTTGGAGAGTCCGTCTTCCCAATTACTCTCCGTGTTTCAGTTTTCAGTAAACATATTTACAAGATTGCGAAAGCGTAGATATTCTGAAATGTTACTCTCTATACCATATCCCGTTATGATAGTCAAGCTAGAGAAAAGACATACAGAAGGCTTTTACTACTGAAACCCCACATCCTACTTACAATTAGGTTAAGATCCCATTCTCGCACTATTACAACCAGTATAAAAATTATGAACTCAAAAGTTATGAACTATCTCTTGATTCTGATGATACATGAGTCAAGACGTAGCTAATCAGGTCTTTTGTTTTTGGGTTCAATACAAGCGTACTAAGAATTGTGTCACCCATATCCATGTCAGCCTTGAACATTTTGGGATCAAAATGTCTGTAACTAGTAAGTGCCGAACGAATTGATTGCTTTTTTGCAGCGTCTGAACCATCTAGATCCTTATATTCGGAAGCACTCATGAAACCTGATGAAGGCAACTCTAAGTCCTCAATTGTCTCTTCAGCTTCTGAATTCCCTTCTTGTGATAATAACATATCATCGCCCACTCCCAAGCACCCACAATCCAACAAATCATGAGTATTGCAATTTGTGTCCGCGATAGTGAACAAATCTTTAAGGTCCTCGTAATCGAAAACATTCAGAGTCGACTCAGATTTATCATCTAGAAACATATCGCTCAAATTATTCTTCATGAGCTGTCGCTGAAAGATTTTCTCATCAATAGCGCCAGTTGTAAAGAGCCTGTAGATGAATACGGGTTTTGTTTGTCCATCTCGGTGTATCCTGGCCATGGCCTGTAAATCTACCAGTGGGTTCCAGTCGTTATCGTAAAGAACGAGTCTGGAAGCTCCCACAAGGTTGAGGCCAACACCTCCTGCTTTGGCTGAGAGTAAGAACACTTTGAAAGTTGGAAACTTGTTGAAGTCCACGACAAGCTTATCCCGCAATTTAGAAGGTGTGGAGCCATCAAGTCGAGAATATTGAATATTGAGTTTCAGCAATACCAGCTCCAAAAAGTCTAAACTCTGTGTGTAATTGGAAACAAGAACAACTTTTTCATTTACTTTCTGGAATTCGAGAAGTAAAGGCACCAAAACGTTGACTTTACTTCCTGTTGTGCGATTGGAGAGTGAAGGCAATAAACGGCCCGATTCGGAATGTAAGGTCTCGAAAAGCAGGTCGGATGCAACCAAGGAAGGGGAATTGCAAATCTTCCTAAGAACAAGTATCATGGATAATACATCGCGGGTGTCAGCGTTCATAATAGAGTCAAACTGTGAAGAATTTATGACCATATCAAAAAGCTGATTCTGAAGTTTGGTAGGAGGACAAAAGATGATAATATCCGTTTTTGATGGCAAGTACTTGTTGATTATGGACTTTGTTCTCCGGAGCGTAAATGACTTAGTCAACTCAATTAGCATAGCGGACATTTCCCTCCCCTCTTCCATAACTTCTTTGCTGGTGCAATTGACATCTCTCGCTCTCAAAATTGGCTTTAGATATTTCCTTTGAAACTCCAGTGTAGTGCCTAAAATCCCTGGATTAATGAAGTTTACAATATTGTAGAACTCGTTGAGGTCATTTTGGATAGGAGTGCCTGTCAAAACTAACTTTTTGGGAACTTCTAGATCGGTCAAGACCTTGAGAACTTTGTTTGAGGCACTCTTGAGTCTGTGACCCTCATCGCACACAAGAAAGTCTATGTCAACGTTGGAAAGAGATTCAGTGCATGACAAGACCTTCTCATAGCTCATTATGAGTACCTGGTAGACATGTGTTTTTCCAAAGTTCACAATGTCTTGCTTATCTTTAGCAGCTGTTTGCTGCTTGTTGTTGACTGTGAGAATCCCTACGCGATTGATATCAATCCACTTTCTAAATTCTTTCCTCCAGTTATCGATAATGGACACAGGACAACAAATCAATACTTTCTTGATGACACCTGATTGCTCGGGAAATGGGCTCTGTTTCAAGAGTGTCCAAATCAATGAGATGGTCATAAGTGTTTTACCCAATCCCATTTCATCTGCAAGAAGTGCTCCATTGTAATCCGCTGACTTCATCCCCATCACACACTCATACAAAAATGATATGCCTTCTCTTTGGTGTGGTCGAAGTACTCTTGTGAGACATGGATCCACCACTACTGGTTTGGAATTTGTAATTGGTCCACTAGGAAGAACAAAAGCATCCTCAGATAAATCATCCTCCGGTAAGGACAGACTTCTTGTGTTGGCGTCTGCTGTTGCAGACTTCGCATCTGCCTTTATCTTGGCTGGACCTGGAGCTCTTCGCATTTGACCTAGACTGGGTGGTGCTTTCGGTTCAGCTGGACCGATGTTCTCTTTCTCCTTCTTCACTGGGGACAGTAGGGCCCCTCCTCGTAGGTTTTCCACCTCTTCTCTTGTGAGTTGGCAGTCAACTTCGGCCTCGTACATACCAAGCAGAATCACCCCATCGAGGTTCATTTTGGACGTTCTTCCTGCCACCTTAAAGCCCTTGCTCTGTTCAACTTTCAAGACAATAGAAGTGCCCCCTACAATAATATATCCATCACCTTCCCAGGACTTATTCTTTTTGGTTGATCGTTTCCTCCATTGCACAGAGTAAAATGATTTGGATGTTTGAGAACCTTCCTGATTTTCAGCATTTTCCGAAGAAGTTAGATCTTCAGACTTTGTGGGTATTTGGGAATTTGAGACTCTATTGAAATTTGGGGCTCTAGCCGGAGCTTGAAATTTTGTAAGCGATGCAACTTTGGCTCGCTTTCTCAATTGAGAATCGTCCTTATTCGACTCCTCTGGCACAAATAAGTTGTCAGAGGGATCCGAACCATCACTCTCTTTCACTTCCGCATTCTTCTTTACCTCTGCTTGAGCTTCTAGCGGCCGTGGAGGCTTGAATGGAGCATTTGGTCTTCTATACATCTAGTGAAGACGCGACGCGAATACTGTTGAAGGTGTGTAGGAAAGAAAGAGTAGAATTGAGTTCAACGGAGTGAAAATAATTGAAAAACGCATAAGCACTTTCTGGAAACCTAGAACAGCCTTATTGCTGTGATTGTGCCTGAACAATGAGTGAACTTGTCTTGCTTTCCATGTTAGCGACTCGGCCGAAATTTTCCTGGTCAAGTTACTGTAAACATGAATACATTCTTTCACCACTCCTCTCTTTATTCCGTTGTTACTCCGTTGTTATTTTCTTTTCTTTGCATTTCACTTTAAACCATTAATTCTCGCTGTCGGTTCTTCCTCTCCTATTGTACTAAAATTCCTCCGTTATCTCCTATTCTACAACATATCTCGATATTATCTATTCCAAACCATTATTTACCCCATCAGATCTTCGAGTCTGCGCCCGTCAAGTAGTAATAAGACCTCGAAACCAAGAAACGGAAGTACAGAGGGATGTTGTACAATCCAAAAATGATAAAACTCACAAAGGTCAAGATGAAGATATGCAACATAATACTCTCAGGTCCCGTCAACATAAAGAAAGGAAAATGATGGTAGTACATGTCCCACACCTTTCTGGTGGATGAGCGCTTGTCCTTGACAATGAGATCGTGCTGAACTTCCTTGGTGATGACAGTGGACATGAGTAGTTTTTGGTGACAGAAAGTTATCAACCATTTATGAGCGAATTGATGTGCCGGATTATCATCGCTTGGACGGAAATAACAGTAGCCGAGGTTATAGTACACTTAACAAGAAGCTAACGCCTTGAAGAATATACGTGAACATTTAGTGGTTTTTGACACTTTGTGTTTAAGCCATTTACTACAAGCTTCTTGTTTGGGCTTTTGCTTTGTTTGTTTTCATATAATATTTTTTTTTTGCTTCAGTGATGCTATTTTGTACAATAACTCTTAAATTTCTGGTTTGTGCCAAAGACAGAAATTGTGAGATCAGACAAACACTCAAGACAATCAACTGAAATCTTTCCTAATCTTCTGTTAGATCTTCTTAGCCGATTTTAGCAGAGTAATCCTGTCAGTTACTTTTTCTCACTTCACTCATATGCCTTCTTATTCCATAAGGGATATATAAATTCATTCATCTACACACTCTCCTTGCTTACAAATCTCGACAATCAAATAACAATATAATCATGGAGAACAGTAAGGTTTCGTGTTTGCTGTGTCGAAAACGTAAGGTAAAATGCGATAGAACACTTCCACGATGTTTGAAATGTTTAAAGAAGCATCAACTTTGCCAATTTCCTGGTATATTTCGCAGCCAAACTTTGGTCCACCACCAGGTTGAGGACATTCGAAAGAGAAATAGCCACCACGCCTACTTTTATGGGCACAATTCCAGTAACTTTTTGGAGAAGCTTTCCTCTCGAAACTTGGATGATCGGGAGGACCCGTCTAAGCAGAAACTATTTGCTCTTCCGCAGTTAGTTGATGATGCTGACCGCAATTTGAAAATACTCAGAGTGATGATAGAACATCTTAAGAACTCAAAAATGTCGGAGCTATACCGAGATTTCCTAGATTTTGATATCATTTGTACTCTGTTGGCGTCTCTGGTTCCTTGCGAAACCAGCCTTACCATATATGGTATGGTTCTTGTCGCCAATCGATATGTTCAGATTCTTAGTGAGGAACAATTATCGTCTTTAAGTCACTTAATGACAAATATGATTGATGAATGTCCACTCAAACCCTTGAAAATCAGCTCCATGCTCTTGCTTATTGAATTTCATTATTCTCGCTTCGAAATCAATAGTGCCTATAGGCTTTTGTTTCTAGCAACTTCCGATGCATATGCTTTGGGAATCCACAAGTCAGATTCTCCCTTATGGGTTTCTTTAGCCTTTTATGACTCTGTGATTTGCTCGAGTGTTGGACGGCCTACCTCTTTGACTAATCTTCTGTTTTCGGTAAGAAACTTGGAACTTGAAAGGGTGGTTTCTGTAGTTGAAATTATATGGAGATGCAACAATGAAGCTCAAAAGTCTCCCCTAGATTACAAAACCATAATTGAGCTTGATTGCGATTGTGACAAGGGTGTTGAAGTGATTTCATCTGGTGGTATTTTCTCCAGTCACCTTTCAGTTATTTTGTTTGCAAATCAAGCGAAGATACATTTGTCTTTTCTTCAAAATGAATATTCTGTTTACAAGATACAAAAGCTACTGGAAAAAATTCTTCACGAAATGGGAAAAATAATTCAATTCTTGAAGGAAGAACGAAAACTAAGCAATGGGCGGACCATTCTCTCTGAGTTCAAATCACAATTTCCTTTTGCATGGTGCTTCGGATATCAATCCCTTCTTATCTTGCTAGTGTTTCTCACGAAGAAGCAGCTTTACACCGAAAGTATGTGTTCAGAAGTTTACAACCTTGCTGATCTTGTAAAAGAAAAAATCGATGAAGAATTGGATCCATTGTTTGATGTACTTTCTGCTGTTAAATCTTGTATTCTTGATTTGAAAGATAAGAATGGTCAGGGGGAAGCAAACAGAATGCCAGATATTGATTTTACTAACCCACATTTCTTTCATGAGGTTGATTTCTGGTCCAGTTTGGCTTCAATTGAGCAGTCTTCCTGGGAAAGTTCTTCATCTTGATTAATGGTGAAGCTTTCCCTAAGTACAACCAATAAAATTAAGATCATTCCAAGTGCAACAGAAGCCACCAAAAAATAAGTTGTGTTCCTTATTTTCTTGTTTAGAACACCTTTACTTTCGTGTCTTGTGTTCCCCATAATGGAAGCTATTATGGAAAAGGCCAAAGCTGAGCCAAGTTGAGCAAAGGTTTGTGATACTCCTGAAATTACTCCCTTTACAGAAGGGGGTGCATTTCCAATCAAGTATGTCAAGCTGAAAACAAAGAAAAACGTACTTCCTCCATGAGTAAGTAACTCAGCAACAAGAACTATTTTCCAGAATGGCTCATCAACACTAGTTAGTGCAACGAAGACCCCGCAACCCAAAGTCATGAGCACAAAGCCCAACATAAATGCTTGACGTTCATTCAAAATCCCAGAACGTAAAGATAAAAATGCTGTACCGAATATCATGCTAATAACCAGTGGTAGCATTTTCAAGCTGGTGATGAGTGGAGAATTTTCTTCAATTAGCTGGAAGTACTGGCCAACAACTAACAACAATCCGAAAACCGCGATATAATTAATCAACAAGGCTGTCAAAATTGGGACTGAGTTCTTGGTAGCCCAGACTTCTTTTGGGATAAGCAAAGAAGTCTTTTTCATAACTGGGAACCTTCTTTGGATTATCTCAGACTCCGCAATGACTCCATTCCAAAGGAAGAAAATGATCAATAGCAAAATACCCATAATTAGCGGACAGATTGCAGCAGCACTTGTCCAACTTTCTCCACCTTCAGTAAGCCCAACTACAAGAAGAACTGCCCCCAAAACAAAAAGAAGACATCCAGTGAAGTCTAGGGAGGCAATTGAATTTCCGCTTCGTTCAACCTGCTCAAATAGAATCGAGATGACACCGACTAGCAAGACCACACCAAATGAGAAGAAAAAAGTTCCCTTATATCCAATATGGGTTTCTTCAAATGCTCCGCCAATTATGAACCCAATTCCAAAACTCACACTGAAAACGCTGGCTAAAAGTGCTAAGGCTGTATGCTGGTGTTTCCCACTAAATGTATGAGATATCACAGCATAACCTGAAGGTACTACACCAGCAGCAGCAACTCCTTGAAGCGCACGTAATACAATGAGTGCATAAATATTGTTGACCACAGCACAAAGAAGAGACGTAACCGCAAATATAAGTGACGATGTCGATAATAACCTGGTCGGCCCCACTATGTCACCAACTCTTCCTAAAAAGGCAATGAAGCCCGAAAAAGTCACAGCGTAAGAGGAAAGTGTCCATGAAGCAAGGGACGAATCAACTTCGAATTTATTCGATATGCTATTGATACTAAGAATTGCTGCCGTGACATTGATGATATCAAATGCACAGGCTATCAGGGTGAGAACGAAAATTACGTTCTTGTTTTTCACTTTAGTAGTCCGCCATATGTTCGTCATGATTTTGGGGAACAATATAAACCATCACATTAGATTTCAAATATTTATACAACATTATCGAATTTGTAAGCATTCGTGGTGGGTATGGTGAAGCCGATCTTGAAATTATCACAGGCCGAAAACCGAGGAAATGTTCGGACAGCAAAAGCGGTTGTATCTTCCACAATAAGATCATAAATTTAACTCGAGAGACCTACTAACGTAAATTTTCCAGGTTTTGATGCCTGCTTTCTTAATTTTTTATTTTTCGGGAATTCTATCTATTTTATATGAATTGAAGTTTTCCCAAGTATGGCCGCTTTCTCAAAGAAATTACAATTATGCTCAAGTTAAGTGCAAGCGTGAATAACTTGAAACTTCAAACAAAAATACTTGGTCGTCGAAAATCATACTAATTTTTCTTCTATTGAAACTTCAAGCAGTTATTTTTGACATATACTTTTATAAGAAGTGCAATTGCCGCATGGAAAACGTAAGAGTGCTTTCTCCAAATTTACTGCCTCATCGAGTCCTGTACAACTTGATCACCTCAGGTAGTATAGAACCCAGCTCGATGTCCAACTATGAAAGTGTGCAAGACATATCTGAAATCAAAAAGGTTCTTATTACTACCAAAGCGACACAAATAAATGACAAAATTTCATTCCTCCACCTTTTCCAAGTTCTTTCCGATGCACTCGTCGCCAAGGATGATGTTCAAAAGTCGAGTATTGTAACCATTGATACTCTTACAATTTGGTTTCTTCGGGCAAACCAGTACTCTAAAGCATTAGGAATTACTTTCAATGACTCAGAAGTACCTGTTACATCACTCACACAGGTTGCACGCTTTGTGTTTGATTATTTTGAGAGTGGATCAGGTGCGCTTTCCAATGCCATGACTTCACTACTATCTCGACTCTGCCAATTCACAAACAACATGCAAGGCATTGATTCACGAAATGTATATGGGACATGGCTCAAATTAATCATGGCCATGCCTAAGACGCTGAAAAGTTTCTTTGTTATCTTAGAGGCCATTATAAAAGAGTCAGAGTCAATTGCTAAACAACTTCTAGAAACCTATCACGATTTTCCAAGAGATTGCATCAACATGTTAGAATATAATGCATTGGCAAATGTTTCATCAAAAACTTTTACAATTGTTCATTCCAAAACCTATGGTTCAGGTGTGAAGTTCATGGAGAGTTGGAAAGACTTGGTGATAGAGGGGCTCCAAAGGAAAGAAACACGGGATAATATCACAAACACTCTCCTTCAAATGCTCTTCCGTCAGTGTCCAAATCTTTACTTGGAATTCTTGAAGGAAATCCGCAACCTTCATGATGATGAGATATTTCTATGCGTTGCAAAAGTAGGACACAAAATTGTCCCAAATTTTGAGGAGGTCGATGACTTCGATCAAATATTGAATGCACTTTCCAGTTCCGATTCCAATAAACGCTTAGATGCATTTGAAGTGATTGTTGGTTGTATGAAGTCGACAAAATTGACAGCCGACAACATTTTGCTCGCGATTATGAGTCCGCTGTGTCTTGAAGTGTTCTCCAGAGAAAGTAACAGCCCGCAATTGCGCAATAGGTACCTCACTTTGATGCAAAGAGCTATTTTGACTTTGCGGGATTACATTTCAAACTGCGAGAAGCATGTTCAGAAACAACTAGATGTTCAACCTGCAAGGTGTGAAATTGAACACACAGTGGGTGCTCTTAAACAAATTCACGATTATTTTGGCCGTCAAATGGTTCCTACTTCCTCCTATTGTCTGCTTATATTAGCTGCTGATATCTTGCAGATATTCATTGTGCATGGTTTTGACGGTATCCAAAGAAGCACTAAAAGGCAACAGAAGCAATGCTCAAAATTGTTCGACATTTATACACCTGTCTTTATCCAAAACTTATTAAGAATGTCGTCAAATAACTACGAGGATATCAGAACCAGAGCATCATTTTTGTTACGATTTTGCCCATACCACCTTTTAGACCAATCTTTGCCTCATCCACAAGACGTTTATATCCGAAACACAATTAGATTACTTCATTCGTTAAAAGGGCGTCAAAGTGATTGTACTGCGGAAGTGATATTTACGTTGGCCCAAATCTACGTTAAGAATGACGTAAACAAATATGAGCACCTTCTTGACTGCTTGGTCGAAGAATTGAAGGAAATCGATCTCTCTTTGATAGATTTCCAATCTCCTCATGGTCTTTTTACCGCTTTCGCGAGGATTTTGTCTTCAACTGATGTTCAGATCTCTCTGACGCGAGTAATGCATCAAAATCTACTTGACTTCTTAAGACTTAAACTTTCAGAAAGTTGGAATTCTATTAAAAAAGGAATGCTCGACACATCCATCGCGCAGAATGAATACATGAATGATAAATGGCGAGTTCTAAAGGAGTCCTCTCAACTAACGCGAGTATTGGTGGAGCTCTCTTCGAGGTGCCTGGATTTCAGTTTGAATGCAGACGATTTTGAATCCTTAAGTTGGAATTTAGTAGAACAGTTGACTCTAGTTTCACACAGGGGCGCTTTCTCGGCAATTCAACTCAATTTTGTGGAGGTTTGTAAAACTTACATCGCGCAAGGCGAAGGATGTAAGCTCGAAAAGTGGCTTCAGCAAAATTTATCCTTACTAAGGTCTCACACTCAATTGATTTCAAGAAGATCAGGAGGATTACCATACTTAATAACAGCCATATTGAATGGTATGTCTTCTGATCCACAATTAACAGAAGAATGCATCAAATACACTTTTAAAGAGCTTTTATCAATCGCCTCTCTGGAGTATTCCTTTGATGGAACTGAAATCATGGACATTCCCCAGGTCCATGCATACAACTGTATGAAACATATTGTTGGTGAAATTCAAAACTCTACAGTAGATGAGTTCATCAGCGCTGCTTTGGAGATCTCTTTTCAAAATCTCGACCACGAGTCTTGGTCAATGAAAAATGCTGCTGTGATGACTTTCACGTCTCTCCAGCTTCGAATTTTTGGTTCCAATCAGATGGGCGATGTTTTGCCCAGAATGAATGCACCCTTGTTCTTCTTAAAGTATCCTGGGGTGTCTCAAATCTTGCTTGACAAATTAGAAAATTCGCATGATAAGGTCAACGTTATAATTCCAGTTCTTTCCATTTTATCAAGATTGGCCAGTCACAAGCCAGATGATGAGAGAGTAGCAGTCTTTTTGGATGTCCTCAATTCGAAGTTCTTGGGACATCGGGTTTGGAAGGTTCGTGAGATGAGTTCTTCAGTTATTGCTTCTTTATATCACTCGAGTAAGATTTCAGAAATGGCCATGAACCTCGCTGATCGAATTTTGGAAATGTCATCATATAATAAAATTCATGGAGCATTGCTCTGCATTGCAAATATTTTGCGAAACTTCACAGCTGACGACAAAGATAGGTTGTGTGATATCGTTGTCAAAATGACAGATTTCTTTGACTTACTTTCGAAAGCGAAATCACCCAACTGGACATTGATTTCAGCTTGTACGAAAGTGTTATCTGTTAGTCCTCATGATAGAACAGAACTTCTTGTCAATGACTTCTTAATTAGAAGTCTTGAGAATCCCCCAGACTTTCCAGATGCCACAAGACGATTATGTTTGAGGGATTGTGCAAAGTTGGTCATTTCGGAAGGTATGATCAAGAAGAATTTCTCATCGATTGTGAAAAATTCAGTTTATGCTTTCAGCCTCAGTGATGAGTACGAAGTTGTTTTCACATTTCTTGACTTTTGGGACTCTTTACCTGTTGATTCAGAATTGAAAGTTACTGAAGTTGCAGAGTCCGTCCAAGGTTTGGCCCAGCGGCTTTTGAAGAATGATGGCTGGACATATCTTATTGCTAAGGTGCTTAATTTCCTCGTCAAAAACGACCTCCCTCTCCATAATGCAGAATTGTTGACTTTAGATGATAAATACTCACAAGTTGCTGTCCCTGTGTGGTTCCTTCAATTGAAGAATAGCGACAAACTCGAAACTGACCTTGCGATCAGATATTCAGCGAGTGACCAGGACGAAGAAACCCGGATTACATCTGTGCTTGCAGCTAAATTCATTCTAGAAAATAGTGATAATGCTCAAGTGAAAGCTGGAGCAGCCTTCTTACTTTTCCAGAAACTATCAGACGCTTCGTCTGACGTGAGAGAAGCCTCAAGAATCGCGCTCTCGAAACATTTGAGTCTCAAATCTAGCAGTGTGGTGACCACCAGCCAACAATTTGTGCCATATTTTATTCAGAATTTTGGCTCTTTAAGATGCAAAGTTGTCTCTGCAGAGTTGAATTCTATTGAGCAGAATTTAAATGATGCATCAAGGGATCTTCAATCGATTGACTTTGAAGTTGAAAGTGACAACTTGTACATGGATGAAATTTTATATCACAAACAAGTTGTATCAATGTTACGAGTTTCCGATGAAAACTATCCAAACGTCATTGCGCAATGTGTGAAACATATTGAAAATGTTTTAGATAGGGTTTCCAGTGATCTTGAGCCGATTATTACTACCTGGACGTTCAATTTCCATCTTCACGCTGCCATCGGTAAAGCTTTCAATTACAGACTTTTGAAGGATGATCTGAAAATTATTTACAAATCCTTGGTAAAGTTGGCTCAAAAATTAGAGGATATCGGCTATCCACTTTTCGATGCTGATTAAACCTATTTAGCACCCAGACTTCCCAAACCGGGTAACCCCTCACTTGTATATATAAAGAGAAATTTCTCGCATTCAATTTTTCAACTACAACAAATGGTATGTGAAAACTTTAGTGTATACTGATGAATTATTTACAACGAATTTCTTCAACTGAACAATCGTGTGGAATAAAATAATATCAGAGCTTTTTAACCCTGACATACACTTCGTAATTTTATGAACATAAACTAACAAATTAGAACCATAACCTTGGTTTAGATATCAGGTGTTAATGACGATGGAAACTTCCTGTTGACAAACAATCATTCACTGTAGTGTAAGCGACGGTCATATCTCTTATTCGTCTCATCGACTGTTCATGTTCTGTTCATTTGAATGAACATTTTTGAAATGAACACAGATAATACTCTCATTGTATTCTTATTGACGCAACGTATCTCTTTGATAAACAACTAGAACTCTCGCAGGACTCTGCGAGGAATTTCTAGCTAATTTTCTCTCTTGTTGAGGCGACAACGTTAGCTTTAATTTCTAGTATCTATCACCCAACTGCATTTCTGGGTATTCTATATACTGCATGCAAACAGGTCAACGCCATCCCATCACCATAGAGCTACGAGTATTCATACTAAGCATGCTGGACACACCTATACTATGTAGAAGTTGCTTGGGAGACAAGGAGCACCTTAGAATGATCCGCCAGCCCGGAGGAGAAGAGTGCAAGAACTGTACGAGGCCTTTTACTGTGTTTAGGTGGAATATTCTGAGCGATCTGAGACAACTGAAGAAAACCATCATTTGCAAGACATGTTCCAAGCCACGAAACTGCTGTCAGTCTTGCATGGTTGACGTAACTTATGGAATCCCTCTAGATATTCGTGATGCTGCTTTGAAAATGGCTGGCATACCCAATGAGTACGCTATAGAGTCCCAAACCAGAAACAGAGAGGTGAAAGCTATCATGGGAGATAAACAGGAAGCAAAACACAGGGAGAATGAAAGCGAGGAAGTTGAAGAGATCGAGCAGAAAAGATTGAAAGCTCATGCGATCCTCGAAACGCTAGCTGCCAAGTTATCATCTAAGAGAAATGTCAAGGAAAGAGCAATTGAAGTTGCCAACAAAGACATGACAAAAATCGTGGCCAAACTACCTTTTGGTGGAACATTGACTCCTCCAGTAGACTCTAGTATTAAGTCATTTTTCGTATTTGGCTTCTCACCCGAAATGCCGCAGTATGCCCTCTCTAACTACTGTGAGAGGTTTGGTCCAACTATCATCAAGGTTGTTCACCGGTCCAGATGTGCCTATGTTACATTTTCGGCACGAAAAGGTGCAGAAGAGTTTGCCAATGAAATCGCCACTAAAGGAATGAGCAAAAATCCAAGAACTCCTGGTTTGGTGGTTATTGATGGCAAGTACCCAGTTCGAGTAGCTTGGGGTGCACCTAAGCCATTAGGTACAAGCAATGATGACCACAACAAAATCGGCCTGGTTGTCGTGAAGGTAATGAAACAGCTAGCAGAGAAAGACGCCTCACCTCAAAAGAATAAGCGAAAAGTGGAAAAGGTCAAGAAATCATACAAGGCCGCCAGTGGAGATACGGAGATCTAACTGCACTAAGTAATCACCACCACCCTTCCGGTATATTAGCCGCACAAGATTGGTAAACTAACAGCTACGTCTACTCATCGTTCTTGCTCAAGGAGATTTCTTTCAAATATTCAAAGGTGATAGCAATGAATATCGAAACGAAAATAGCATTTGTTACATTTCTTGTTCTCCTTCCCGCTTCCCTACTACTTCTACGCATCATCGCACTCCTTCCATCGTCTAGAAGGTACCAGAAGAGCTCTCTTGACGCAAAGTTAAACGAGGTCAAAGGCTCCAGCATAATGGTCCTTCTTGGCTCGGGAGGACACACAGGTGAGATGATGCGGATTTTATCTCCAATTGACCTCAGCTCGTGTAGTCGTACCTGGGTGGTGTCCTCTGGAGATACAACGTCGCTACTCAAAGCAAAAGCATACGAAGTCAATATAAAAGGAGAAAAGGCACAATTCATTGAATTGAAACGGGCACGGAAGGTCGGAGAGCCCTTGAGTCTGTCTGTGAAGAGCACCATAATGTCATTTATCTCTACAGTTCAACAGGTGTGGAAACTGGCCAAGCCAGATGTGCTTTTGGTGAATGGTCCGGGTACATGTATCCCATTAGCATACGTGCTATTCATCATGAAGTTGTTGGGCTTGTGCAATACAAGAATTATATACATCGAGTCTTTGGCACGAGTTAACAATCTTAGTCTTAGCGGCCGTCTCATTTTGCCCATTTCCGATAGGTTTTTGGTTCAGTGGAGATCTTTGGCAAAGAAATACCAAAGAGTAGAGTACTACGGCATTCTTATTTAGCATATATATCATACACACGAAGTCGAAAGTGAGTATAGTCACTATAGAATCGCACGGCAAAAAACCACTATATTAAATGGCAACCAGCGGAGAACCAGATATTCTTTTGTTTCCTGATTTTAATTGCTTTCATGTTTTCCATTTTCGTTTCCTCCCGATGATCCGTCATCTCGAATCAAATCTTGATGGTCCGATCGCACCCATTGTCTGCCTTACAAGCCGTTTGCAACCAAACGCGTTACTACTTGGATGAAGATCAAATGTCCAACACATTCGACGGAATTATACGTGAGTTCCCTTTCTTATGTGTCGATAGATTCAACTCTTCTGCATGTGTTTTTCTCCTAACACATTGCCACTCAGATCATTTGCTGGGCATCCTGAATAAGTCTTTTACTGGCCCAGTCTATTGTTCATTTGAGACTAAAGAGTTACTCAAGATTAGTAGAGTGAATTCGAAGTTTCTAAGTCTCATTAAAACCATTGAATACAACGTTCCTACGTGTTTGGAGGTTCCCCAAAGTGTTGAAAACGTATATGGAAAGGTGTACATTTCATTGATAAAAGCGTACCACTGTGTTGGCGCGTGCATGTTTCTTATTGAAAACGAAAACGGCAGTGTCTTGATTACTGGTGATATTAGAGCTGAGAAATGGTGGTGCAACAAGCTCCAGAACGTTCCTTCGTTGTTTCCATACATCTCTGGATTGAGGACGCTCGATAGTATCTACTTCGACGCAACTTTTGGATATAGAGGAGAGCCCTACATCGAAATCCCTCCAAATAATTCAGGAATTCATACCGCAATTAATATTTTGAAGGATTTTCCGAAAGATGACCCTGAAATATGTTTCATGTTTCTAGATACCATTCTTGGTTTCGAACTGGCATGGGCCTTTATCTTGAGCTTCTTCAGAGCTTCACTCCGAATTGAAGACAAAAAGTTACTTGACTTGATCAGCTCTGCTGCAAATTTCGACAAGATTAACGGCCCCTCTTTACTTCTGGCTATAGAAAAGGGTAAAAGCAAACATCACAATAGACATGGTGTGTTCTACGCCGCCTCTCGAGGATTTAAACACACAGAGAACGTCCCAGTTTTCGTGAAGATAAAACAATGCATAAATTTCAATATTATGGACTTCGCCGGAGTCTTCTGCCCTCTTCGTTTGGATAGCATGAGCTTACAGGAGAGAAGGACACTTACAATGGTACACGAGACACAGAGGGGTAATAAAGTGTATCTGGTACGTGGCCGCTCATGGATTCTTCCAAAAAATGGACGAGAACTTCTACCCTTGAATGTCAAGCTTGTCTTTTCCAGGCACTCTTCATATTCAGAAACCCGAAGTTTTATTTCAATTTTCCGTCCAAGACAAGTTTTTCCTTGCTGGCATTCAAAAGAAGCTTGGCTAAATGGGTTTGGCATGAATAGACTCTTTGGAGAGCTCTGCTCGGGAGATATATTTTGTTTCGACACCAACATGCTGTCTCAATACGGCGTCCCTATGAAAGAGATAATGACCCGCAAAGTTTCTACGATAAATAGATGGGATGTCAACAGTTGCAAGGAAGAAGAAATCTTTATCAAAGATACATTACAAGAAACCAAAAAACTCAAGGACCAAGGCTTATCAAACAGAAGCATTGCTTTGATCAACCTAAGGAGGGTTGTCAGAGTACCTATTTTCAAGAAAGATCGAACAGCTGAAGATCAAGACTTTATGCTCAAGAAGACCAAGGACTTCACATTTCAGAAAATAGTAGAGGGTCGGCGAGAAGTATCTTACCGAAAGTTTATTGAAGAACAGCAACAACTTTACTATAAAAGAAACAATCTTCCACAATTCAAACGTGATTACGAAAGCGTGAAGTACCTGCGACAATTCAGTTCTACATTAGGTGGATCCAGTGACTACGATACAGATAGCTGCTCCAGCTCTTTGGATTTGACAGCAATTGCGACCGGAAACACACCTCCAATTGAGTTTTCGTCTCAGGATTCCGAGACAGTTGAATCACAAACAAATGACGACGTGGAAATTCCGAGAGGTCTGAGGATTGCAAATCTCACTAGGAGGCGTCATTATAGACCCAAAAATTCTTTTGTGAGGTCATCCTTTGGTTCCTTCGAGGAATCTATCGCTTCTAAGAGGATTCACAGATGTCTGACAGAGCCTGTTTTCTGCTAGTCTGAGTTTCCATGTCCTTCTAAATCTTGCTTCAGATATCCCACCGTTGACAGTGAGTTGTTTTCCTTCATTCTGGGAACCCCTGATCTACTAGTACTCGAAGAATACACCATCCATGACTGTAATTATGATATATTATGCTGATTAATCTATTGCTACTATACAATGCGCACGAGAGTGTAATGTGATCTCCCGATTGAATCCAAACCGAATCCACAACTAAAAAAATGTTTGAATTCATGAGCCTTAGGGTCTATTCTCCAAATTGGCCCTTAGTTTTCTCTCCATTGATGTGAGCACTTAGTACACTTATAGAAAGTAGTCATAGGCTCATCAGCAGATCTTATCTGCAACTGGAAAAAATATGCTTTATCATTACCACAGGAGTCTATTGGGCACTGAGCAGCGGTCTGATCAACATTGTCCCATGCACCGTCACCACCAAGAACATCATCCACTTCCTTTCTGGGTAGAACTTTCCGATCGAACATTTGTAAACCCTGAATTCGGAATTCATACGGACAGGTGGGACAATAGAGCTTATTACACCCGTCTTCACCCTGGGAAATCAAAAGCATATTCGAACAATATGGGCAGAACGAAAGCATGCTAAATGTTTGATTAACTGTGATTAGAGAAAATTAATGTATGTACCGAGATGCAATCACGTGACATGATTGTTTTATTGTAGTAGTTTAGTGAAGGTGAAGACTTTCTGCAACTAAATGAGCGAAGAGGGGGAAAAATAAATTAAATATCCCAAGACGGTAGATATTATTGTTCAACTGTTCTTGCGAGAGAGTCATTTTCCTGAAGTCTTAAGTATGCATGTACAGAGGTCGCCGAACTACAAAAGGCTTCACTTTCAACCTTTGGGCTTCGTTCAGTCGTATAGTGGCCCTAATTTGTCATTTCGCATCTATTTGCAGAAGATATATCACCAAAGCATCCTTTTCATTGATGAATGCTAGTCAGGAAGCATAACCAACAGTACCAATGATTGATGACTTCTGCTTAGTCATACAAACAAGTTTGATAATAAAAAATAGTCGTTAGAGCTCTTTATATCCGTCTTCACCACTTTTATTAATGGGCTGAAAGTTTTCATCACAAAGTAAGCTTAGTCTTCAAATCAAGAAATGCACTTGGTTGGTCACGTGTAGACATCACCAATATTTATTCAATATCGAACCCCAATTACCAATAATCAATGAAACTGACTCGAAATAGTGAACTTAATCCATTTGAGGTCACTGAGAAGAATCAAAATTTGATTGAACCCACAATGTTACCGCAAACACCCTCGAAGTCACCAAGCCGACGAGGCATCATCAAAAGTGAAACCCCAGAAGCACCCAACGGTCTCAGTCCAGTCAAAACACCGAATGGGCGGGCGGGTCTTGCCTCTCCAAGAAAGAGAAGTTTTCAGGAACTTAATAATTCTGCTCGAAAAAGGTCATCTAGAACATATTCTCGACTTATGGAGGAAGATGATGTTGAAGACGAGGATGGATTCTTAAGAGATTTAGAATTGCAATTGGCGGAGGAAATTATCCGTGAATCCAAGATAGATACGAAGGATTCGGAGCCCATAGTAATGAGCGAACCACCCACGCTCGCTCTGCCTAAACGGAAGAGGGGACGGCCCACAAAAGCGGAATCAGCAAAGCGACTAGGTCTAACATTGGAACAAATTGACTTATCTCCTCGTCGACTGGAAAGACGTGTAGTTGCAGCCCGTAAAGCAGCATTGCGGGAAGCAAAGCAGGATGAGGAAGAGAAGAAGAGAACTCGAACTAAGCTGAATTACTGGACGGATGAAGAGTACGATCTGGAAGATGACGAAAATGAGGATGAAAAAGAAGAAGGAGATGAAGAAGAAGAACCCAAAAAGGTAAAACAAAAAAGGGTCCCCAAGTCTAAGAATGTGACTAGAAGACTGCCAATAAAGCTGCCCGTGAAAGTTTCAAGTCTGCCCAGGCAGAAAAGCGCAACACCCGAGCGAAGAACTAAGAAAGGTAGACCCAGCAAACAGGAAAACGTCACTAAAATAGTGAACAGCATTTTCAAAATGGATGACATAAAGTTTTTCCAGGAAAGCATCAATAGGTCTGGGAAAAGCAGTCCAGTGTCATCCCCTCAAATGACTGGGAACTACTTGAATTTCAATAATACAGGAGATAGCACATTCTCATCAATACCAACCATTTCAGGCATTGGTAAGCCTACAAAGAACACAGAAGAAATTGATTTGGATAAGGCTACTAAATTCGAGCCAATGCCCGTGCCAGATGTGGATGAAGAGGGCAATGTCAAAGATCCAGCATTTCTCCAAAAGTATTTTGAAGGAATGGAACTTGTTTCTGATACTAATATGAGACTCACAGATGAGAGGGCTTTTTTTCTTGAAGGGTCTGAAGGATATTTTGAACAGCATAATTTGCGTTTCCGCCCCTCATCAAATTCTTTGACAGGCAATGCACCCACATTAACATACGAAGAATTTATTCCCAACGTACAGCTTGGAACACTTATTCACAGCCGAGAGAGAAAGGCACTTTACGATCTCCATAAGGAATTGTATCACCAATGGTGCTTTGAATTGAGTCAGGGATATAGTCTCAACTTCTATGGGGTTGGATCTAAGAGAAACTTCATTCTCGACTTTGCGGAAGGTTATCTTCTCGACTGGTACGAAAAAGTGATGCAAGCTGATGACGAATTTCCTGTGGCCATGGTGATCAACGGATACAATCCTTCAACAAAGCTCAAAACTATCATTCATGAGATTATATCCGCGGTGATCACTCCAGAATTTCAAAAACAACACACTCTACGCATGCCCAAGCACGTTTCAGAAGCATTCCCATTTCTATTAAGTCACTTGAAACAACAGCAATCGGTTCTGAAGAACAATGGCCTCGTGAGACCAGACCTTATTCTTATTGTTCATAACATTGATGGGGATGCATTCCGAGACGAGAGATCACAAAACTACCTCTCTCAATTGGCAGCACTCGAAAATGTCTGGTTCATCACTTCCACAGATAACGTCAATGCCTCGCTTTTGTGGGATCTCAACCGATTCAAGAACTTCAACTTCCTTTGGCATGATCTCACCTTATACGAACCATACAGTGTCGAAATGTCATTCAAAGACGTTCTAAGTGTTGGTCAGTCGAAGAAGTTTATCGGAAGTAATGCTGCACGTATTGTGTTGAGCTCATTGAGCACAAATTCTAAGAAGTTGTACAAGGTTTTACTTCAGATGCAGATGAAAAAGCTCGAGGAAAATTCCACCGAATCAGCCAGACCTGGGCTTAGAGCCAATATAAAGCTTGCAGTGGAGTTCCGAAGTGTTTTCGAGAGATGTCAGAAGGAATTCATCACTTCGAATGAAATCAACTTTCGGAATCTTTTGCAAGAGTACGTGGAACACAAGATGTGTACCATCAGCAAGACTTCGCGAGGTACAGAGGTTTTGTTTGTTCCGTTCAGTTTTGCAGAAATGAAGAAGATTGTTGATGAGGCGTTTGGGGAGAGCCAGCAAAGGTAATAAATATGAAGTATGTCGTGGATGTTGTATTGATGTAATAGATAGATGGTAAAGGGCCAACAGGAACTGATTTTTTAGATTGTGTAGCGATTTGTACTTTCTGAATCATTTCTGCCCAATTCAATGCATTTGATTATACTTTAATCATTCTTTGCTGCATTAATGTTCTCTTCATTTCGTATGATAATCTTGCTAAAGCTAATTGCTGCGCAGATTGTATCATTCTAGTATGAATTCAACTTTGCGACTCACATACTCCAAAAACTCATATCTAGCCAACAAGAATACCACCAAAATGCCAAAAAATATCCCTATCATACCACTTTGAAAATATCAACTTCTACAGCTTAACATAATTTTCCCACCTCATCACCGATGATCCGTTATCAGCATATATTATGAGTAGTGCCCGCACCACAACTATGTAGTGAATCCTCAACTTACCGGCACGGATAGCCCTTCTTAAGTTGCCACTTAACGTCAATTGCGTCAACAGCCCCCCATGATGAAACTCACAGAAGGCATGCGACTCGCGGTCGGTAGCCATGAAGTCACGGTGCGGCATTTTCTTCTGGAGGGCGGGTTTTCTCAGATCTACGAGGTCACCATGGATCCCAAAGAAGATGATACCGACATTGGATGCTTGAAACAGGTGATTGTACCCGATAAAAACGGCTTGACCATTCTCCGGAAGGAGGTGGACGTCATGAAGACACTTGCGAAGGCTAGTATGATTGTCAAGTATTATGATTCTCATGCCGAACGTTTAGAAAATGGAACTTATCAGGTGCTAGTGCTTATGGAATTGTGCCCCAACAAGTCTTTACTCGACTACATGAATGCACACATCCGGGAAAAACTCACCGAAAAGGCCATTTTGAAGATCATGAAGGACATTTCCTTAGGTATTTACGAGATGCATAAGCTAAAAATGGTACATCGTGATATCAAGATCGAGAATGTATTGATCGATGCACACCACGACTTCAAGTTGTGTGATTTCGGCTCGGTTGCATCGCCTACAAGACCACCAAAGGACCAGCAAGAGTTCCAGGCTCTCAGCCACGATATATTGTATCATACTACCCCTCAGTATCGGGCTCCCGAGATGATTGACCTTTACAGGGGCTTTCCCATTGATGAGAAATCGGATATTTGGGCCCTTGGATGCTTTTTGTACAAGTTGTGCTATTATATCACACCATTTGAAACCAATGGCGACATCGCGATTCTACATGCGTCGTTCCAGTTTCCACCGGCTCCAGTGTACTCTGGTGACTTGAAGAACCTTATCATCATCATGCTCCAGGAGAGTCCTTTATACCGACCAAATATCGTTCAGATTATCATGTTGTTGTATAAGATGATGGGTATTGAGTTTGTAGACCTGGGTATCGATGACTTCTACCATGCGGGAGAGTACAACTTCCAGGCATTGCATGAGATGCAGCGCCACAAGCAGAATGAACTTCTAAAGCAGCAGCAATATTATTACGAGCAGCAGAAGCAGCAGCAAGAGTTTGAAGCAAAACAAAGGGAGACTCTTGCCGTTCGTTCACTGCAAGATTCCAAACTAAGTTCGAACCATGGCTCAGTGACTGATTTGAATCGAAGAGTTCTGTCAAGAACCCCACAACCAAGTTCAGAGAGTATACTGGCGTCAAATTCACAGAATAGTCAACATGGTAAACCTTCGCATGTCCCAATTGAACAAAGGGCCTCTGAAGCACAGAATCAGCTTTCACTGCAGTCACCAGTGCAGATGTACACGAAATCTCCACAACAGTACCCGCAACTGTCTCAGTCCGCAAACTCAAAACTTCCAGGACATGCGGTCCCAAGCCAGTCTAGTTCTGCGGCGCATCTAGATGGAAAAATGAACAGCATTTCGGACACCCAGCAGAAAGCCCCAACGCTCTCTCCAGAATTGAAATCAAACAAGTCGGTCAATTCGATAAACTCCATCGTTTCTATTGACTCATCCGATGATTCAGAAGTCGATATAAATGCATTAGGAAATTTGGAGGATGCAGAGAATAGGTATCCATCCTTGGATGCATTGGACATAGCACTGGGGGGAGCCAGTACTAAGTCTCAGGAGAAAGGTACCATAGAAAGTCCCAATACTCCTAAAATAAGCATTGTGAATGTATCTGGATCACATGTTATAGATGATCGTCAGACTCAGCCAAGTAAGGCTCCTAGTGAACACCATGTGAAGAAACCCTCGCAGTATGAGCATATCGAAGCATGGCAGAGGCTGTCTGCTTCCATCAACAAAAATGCTGAGCGTTTAGTTGAAGATATTTTCGTCTCGAGGACAACAACCAATGATCCCCAGGCAGCTAGCAAATCTGGCTCACACAAAAGCGCTGGGGTATCCCTGGAATCTGTGGACGAAGTTCACTTCTCAGAAGCGAAGGATTCCAAGCCACTGAATTTAAACAGCCCCGTTGTGCTTCCAGAGAAAAATAAGGATAGTCAAAAGGATAAACCTTCATTCTTAGCATTATCCAACCAGGCTACACTGGCAGTTATTGGGGCTCCAGCACCAGTGGTTACTCCATCACTTCCTGGGCTAGCTCATGTTGCAGGAAATCTTCCGGGCGCGCTTCCTAAATCCAACCCATACTCCTACCAGCCTGCTGTCCTGCAAGAACTGTCTTCATACGTAAGTCACACGAAGCCATTCAAGGAGGGTAAGAGAGAAAGCTCTAATCCTTGGGGTGATGTTCTTCGGAAAAATGATGCTGTTTCTTTTGAAAGCATGGGAAGGAACTCTCCATTCCCTAATCCGGACAATGATTTGAGTCATAATGTGCTAAAATTGAACCTAGACGATCATCCGCAGCCCGTCTCACACAAATCCGAGCTGAACCTCATCGAGTTAGAGACAGGCTTATCTTCGTCTCAATCAGATTTGGCTCCTCCTCTTCCCAGCAGACCCCACGAAGAAGTCTCCCTACTAGATCTTGGAATTGACGAGGACTTCACGAAGAAAAATAACAACAAGTCTATGTTCAAGAAGAAGATCGCAGACATACAAAACCAACCCATTGCATTCCTGGAAGAAGTCATCGATTTTGCCTCCGACGATGAGAACAACAAGTCTGAAATGAGCCGTGTGGCGATCCGAAACTCGCTTAGGAAGTCTCGCAAGCTGAGCGACCACCAACACAAAAGAAGTGACAGCAGTCACGCAGAGAGCCGGAAACGGCATTCTTTCTTTGGGGGCACTCTAGAATAGATAGAAAGGGTCCGTATCTACAAGGCTTTTTTCTACACAAACTTTTTCCCATAGATTCAACATTAGAAACTCCACAGAAGTAATATCTGATGAAACTGTATATGCGAAAAAATTATCGCGACTCATCTCTGCTAGGGAAGTATATTCTAAAGTTTTACATTAAAAGATCGACAATAATCTTTGCTAAAATTTGAAATGGCCACAGAATTAAGACATTCCTTGGCAGAGTTATTGCTACTCAAAGACTCCTTGGGCTCTCCTGACTTAGTCTCTGAGGATCACCAATGGTCTACTAGTAAGTCTGCTATTCTTGCAATCTTACATGGTGAATATGAAAAAGTGCTTCTGGACTCTCCTTATGCTCTGTTTGTCTATGGAGATGAAGCCCAGAAGGTTCTCTCGGTATACTCAAATGCGAACTTGAAATCCACTTTGAATAAATTTGTTGATACCTTAGTTCAAAATGTACCAATTTTGGATGTTCACCTAATTACCATTGCATTACTCCAACTCTTCATCCAGAACAATTTCACCGGCCCCGAGCCAAAAATCCACGCAGCCAATGTCTGGTTTCCAAATAGCGACCCTGAAAAGCTCCACAAGGATGCTTTGGAGTTGTTATCTATTGAAGGTAAAAGTGCTTATGACCTAATGAAGCAGCCACTACTTCTTCTTGTCTCGCTTATCATATTCGAAAAGTTGCAAAAGACTTCTATATCAATAGTTGATGGGGGATCTATGCTATCCATTGAAGATGTCACGGCTGATAACTCGAATTCCATCGACAATCTTGATATCCACGACCCAGTGACCGCCTCTTTTCTTTGGTGGAGAGTGAGAGCTCTACAGGTTCACATTTCAGTCCTCTCTGAACCATCTGATATATTGGCTTCTGTTTCCTCGATTCTTTTGAACCAAAAGCTCGTAAACACAATTGCCCCATCAGGAGAGACGGACCTCGACCTTCAAAAACACATTCAGCTCATATACCTTTTGGAGAACGCCAGAAATGGCATTCACGCACAGACAGAACACTTATCGGAACAGTTTTTGAAGAAGGCAGCCAGCGTATCGCAATTGCAGTTCATCTTATCTGGAGCTAAGGCTAAGAGAACAAAATTCCAGAACTTTCACACAGCATCGTTGATTCTCCTTGCAAAAAGCAAAGATTCTCTGGTGTACAATCAGGAATCCCCAGAGACTCGTCAAAATTTGGAGTTGGATTCCGATTTGCTTTTGGAAAAGCCTGTGTATGAGTCCTTAGATGACTATTCGCTGGAGATGCAATCAAACTCTAAGAAGATCAAGCTCGATGACTTGTCTCACCTTGTTGACAGGGACGAAGAGAGAATTTTTCCTATTGCAATGTTGCAGCAAGATATTCATGAGGACCTTTTGAGCCTAGACCCCAATAATCAGCCAACATTGACTGACTTGGACAATATTCAGCTTTTGCTCCGTTGCACTATTTTGAAGCAGACTTCTCCCTCAGGAAATGCATTGGTCGATGAGGAATTGTCAGCTGTTGTGAACAGAATCGTGTACTCTGCTACAAAGAACATTAATTGGTCAGTGTTTGGAAGAGCTTTATGGGAGAGATCTGCCCTTGAGACCAATAAGTCGCGAACTGTAGAAAGAGGAATCTTGCAGATGACTGCATTAGTTGAAGAGATGGGTATCAACATCAAGACTCGTGTGCTTCCCACCGAAAATTTGGACTCTGGAAGTAAAGTCACCGCCTCGAGACTTAGGTTCATCCATCAACTTCCTCTCATGGCTCAATGGACCATGGACGCAAAACTTGCCGAAAAGTATATGTCTCTCGGAGTGTTGAGGTCTGCAATTGAAATCTACCTAAGATTGAACATGGTGGCTGAAGCTGCGTTGTGCTACGCTGCTGTCGAGGATGAGGCGGAAGCAGAGAAAATTTTGACTGAGCGTATTAACACCCATCCCAACGATGCCCGTGCGATCAGTATCTTGGGAGACATCAAGGAAGATCCTGAATTGTGGAACAGAGCATGGGAGATCGGCCGTTATGCCAAAGCTAAAGCATCATTGTCGAGATATTATTACAACCCACCCTCTTCATCTGGATTGACCAAGAACCTTCAGTTGGCTATAGAGAACATGCACGACTGTCTTTGTGCCAGTCCTCTTTCGTACGAAAATTGGTTTTTCTATGGATGTTGTGGTATTGAAGCAGAGAACTTCGAATTGGCTGCTGAGGCTTTCACCAGATGTATTTCTCTCGATGAAACAAACGCACATGCGTGGTCAAACTTAGCCAGTGCATTGTTAAGACTCGACAAGGTGAGGCAAGCATTTACAGCATTGAAGAGAGCCTTGCAACAAGGCGAAGCATCAAAGAAGTCATGGAGAATCTTTGAAAATTACCTCCTTGTGGCAGCCAAATTAGGCGAATGGAATGATGTGTTATTTGCTACCAGAGAATTAATATCCATTCGCCAACAAGAAGGAAGTGGTAATGTTGTCGATATTCCAGTGCTTGAGAGATTGATGCAGCTTTTAGTAGATGAGCCTTATCCTCAAGAGACGAGAATCACACATTTCCAGAGGTCTTGCATCGATTTGATGTGCAACATCTTGCCCAATGTGATAAATAATTCAGCTAGATGTTGGAGAATTGTTAGCAGGGTTGAACTTTGGAGAGGAAAGCCTTGGGCAGCTTTGGATTGCCACGAGAAAGCATACCGTGCAACTTCTCTGAGACCGGACTTGGATGTCAACGAGGAAGCATGGAATGAAGCAGTTGAATCATGCTCTGATTTGGTTTCCGCCTACGAGTCACTAGGAGAATTGCCTGGCAAACACGGTGCTGGAGATGTCGTATGCAAAGACTGGAAGTATAAGTCTAGGACATGTATTCGTTCGCTCATGTCGAAGGGAAAGGCTACTTGGGAGGATTCTGAAGGCTGGAACACTTTACAGCAATTGAAGGAAGAGATTGCCAAATCTTGAGCCCATAACCAGCTCGCTTTCTCAGATGTCCTTAATCACCTCCACAGGTATGAATACTGACAGTGCTATTCTGCTCTTCGTGTATTCAGACTCATAATCTTGCCGACTGGAGCCTGTTGAAGCATTGCGGAGGAGAACAGAGGATGAACTTTCGACGAGAAGAAGTGCTCGATGCAAGGACTTCACCTGGTTAAGGTGAGATGTTAAGTATACAAGTCGGTGGACAATGCTATGATGACATGATCTAGCCACTGCGGACTGATCTAGTCGTTTTAATAGAAGCAAACCAAAAAACACAAATGATGTCAAAGAGCCTCTTCCCACACAAAAATCGTAGGCGTATGCAAAGAGAGCGCATAGATCAGAATAAACAGCTATGGCCAACAAGCTCGGCTCGATTTGAAAAATAATTGGCAACAACACCTTGTTCCAGGATTGGCTTCCCAATCTCTGCACAAAAAAATTGGTCAAGTTCAACATAGAGTATATGAAAAATGAGCATATTCTAGAAATCCTGGCAGTAGACAACAAGTTGATTGTCACCATCGATATCAAGGTAGAGTTTTCTGAGTTGATGACCCACAGTAGAGGAGTGCCTTCCATTTCCTGGCGAAAGCCATTAATCAAGACATAAAAATGGCGCAAAACCATTATAAAATAGGTAATGAATGCACCAGACAATCCCACATAGTACCAAATAGAATCTTTGGTTATGAGGAAAAGGAATGCTCCACTGTTACAAGTGAGATGAGACAAAGCCCACATTGAGATAAGAAGCTGGCCATTCACCGAGGTTTTTAATTGAAAGAGAACATTTTTAGCCAAGATTAAATATGACCCAAATATTGTGGAAAGGCGCCTCAACTCGGGAGCATTTAGGAATGCGGAGGCAACCATTTGAACTGTGATAGGTGAGACTTTCGTCATGGTGATGGGTGCAAAATGCGAGCACAAATAGGGAAAATGAGTAATCATGAGAAAAATCCGAGAGAATTGGTTACATGCATAATAAAAGAGATTAAAAATTTCGAAAAAAAGTAGAAATAAGACTTCAAATCACACATATTTTTTTTTTTTTGATTTGTTTTCCTTCTCATCTATAGTTTGGTTTAGCTTCCGCCATCTCACAGAGATAATTCCTCCATATTGAAAGCCTTCACCTATCGGACTACTTTGAATTCTTTTTGAACGCAACATGGAAGGCACGCAATCAACAGCAGCGACTAAGACGAATAAGCGAAGACTGAGGAAGCCGAAGACAGCCAAAAAATCTGCACCGAAGGAGTCCAAAGACTTCAGATACCTCGAAATAGTCAAGCTTATCCGAGCATACCTACCCATCACCATCAATGGAATTGCTGTCACCAAGATCATCGAGCTCCATCTCGAAAGTGAAGCAAAAACTGTCGAAGACTCGAAAGAGAATATAACCGAGGGTGAACAAAAGACAAAAAAGCGTTCATCAAAGGCGGCCAAGAAGCAAAAACAGCAAATTATTTGCGACCACATCCAAAGAGTCATTGCAAGAGACCCCACACAACCAATTTACATAAGTTTCATGATCCCTCCATCAGATCCAGACTTTCCTTTCGATCTAGATACCCTCAAGTTCAATTTGACCATTCCTAGCGACTATCCAAGAAGTGCGAAGGCACTTCCATCTTTAATTGTATTGAACAACGACATTCCCAAAGGATTTGCTGTTAATATAGAAAGAGGATTCAAGCAGATTGCTCGACTTACTAAATCTAACGACAAAAGCAAGAAAAGCACTTTGAATGCGTCATCAGTGCCAGAGGAAGAGGAAGAGATGAGCCTAGTCGATGGCAAAGGGTTACTTTCTCAAGTCCACACACTTGATAAGTACTTGGAAACATTTCTAAAGCAAGAAAGGAGGCAAACAATGAAATTTGTCTCCTTCAAAACTTCTAAGAGCCCTGTGCCTTTGGCTACTCCGGAGCCTACACCTCCACCTCCGTCCACCCACGAAAGTGTACATATACCTAAGAATCTTCCTGCCAATATCAACGAGAAAGACTTGAAGAAGCGCGCTCAGGCAATCGAGGAGATGACTACCAAGTTAGGAAGCAACGTGAAAATGTTCAATAAGTCCAATTTGGAATGGAGATATAAAATTGTGGTGCCTATAAGTTCTGCGAGAAACTTGCCTCAATTGTGGACGATCAACAATGAAAATGTGGACATCTTCATCACTGTGCCCATGGAATACCCTCGAGCACCACCCAGAGTGACAATGTCCACCAACTTTAGCACGAATTTGTTGGTTGCAAAGAAGAAGACGCTACAAGATTGTGGGAAAACCATGGTGGAGCTTGTCGAGGAAGCCAAAAAGGCAGAGAAAAACCTACGGACTAACGTTGACAACAAAATCAATGGTCAAGGCGTGGGTTTGGTTTCATTGCTCAATTGGATATCCAATAATCTTTCCTTATTAGTATTGGATACCGAACTGTTTGGACAGTGGAGGGAAAACGTTCGCGTAATAAGAGGATGAGAACTTTCACGAAAGTGAAAGTCTCAGTAGCCTACAAAAACCATTGTAGAATAAAAGAAAATGAGAAAATGAAAGAAGTTGAGAAATTTAGGAAATTTGGGCCATCGTTTAGGAACCAATAATTGGAAATTATTTGCTAGAATTCAGTCATCGCAATTAGCTCGTATCCTGATGCCTTTGGCTAAAAAATACTGATGACTTGTGGATGGTTATGAGTCAATTACGAGAAATGCTCAACCATTCTCAAGAAATTTCACGATTCAGGGATTTTCAGACGTCTTTGTGGCCCAGTTAAACATCTCGAAATCAAATCAGAGGTATCCCAGATCTTATATTAGCTCGGAAGAGAATATCATTCTTTTGTAACATCAAGATGAAAACGCATCTCCGATCTAGCCATCAAAGATACACGGGCGACCTGCACATATCAGCATCCAGTTCTATTTAATTGCCCTACCTGGCACCAGGTCGACAAAGCAGCCATGACTACCGTTAAAGAACGAGAAATTAACTTCCAATTCGCCAACGAGTGCGATCTTGAGATCCACTGTTCACCATTTGGACTCAGTGGGGTCTACATCAAGATCAAGGGAACCAACATTATGGGCATTGGGTCAACAATGGGGCTAATCACAGGAACCTCCAAAGGGTTGATCCACTATAACGACTGTGCGGACTTGCAGGACCAGAAATATAAGTTGTTTGTTGTTGTGGATGGCAGCGGCATGCTTCGAATCGATTTCACAAAGATTCAATCATTACTGAATGCATCACAGGACCAAGACAAGACTGCGCTGGAAGTCAAGGAGGAAGATGACCTGCCCTCGCTCATATTCATGGGTGTTTGTCCCGAAGGACACCCTGACAAGGTTGACCCCTTCATTGGAATTTTTTCCTTTGAAAGGGAAGAGTAGCCAGGGAACAAAGAAGGACACTACGAGTGGAGTACGAGAAATGGTAGAGCTGAAGTCAACAAATTTGGGTTAACAGATGAGCCAAGGACGGAAAACGAGGAAATCAAAGAGAAATTATGCAATATCAATTCAGTTTTATATAGACGGCTAAGTGGCTAGGTGTCCGACTAGATGTCGGCCTTGTCAAGATAGGGAAATGTTGAATGAATCATTGTAGAAGAGGGGGAGATTTCCATGGATATGGAAAGGAAACGGGCCAGAGTGAAATCTCCGTAAATCCGTTGTCTATTAACAGTAGAGAGTCTTGGAAGGCGATTTGAGTGTCATAAAAGTCTTCCTCAAAGGTATACGATTTTAATTTTCCAAGCTAATCACCTGGTTTCGCAACTCTCAACTTGACACCACTGGCAAAGTCATCACCAGCATTTTTAAACATGAAAAAACGAAAAGGCAAAGGACAATCGCTCATACCGTTATAATCATTCGCTTAAAATTTTACTTTTCCTGGGATCTTCAATGCTCATCTTTAGTGTTACCAAGCCATTGTGTTCACCATTTTCACATTCACTTAGGTGAGAAACAGAGACCATGCCTCACTTTCTACAAGGTAAAAGATCAAATGGGCAAGGAAGAAGAGTTTTAAATTGATTTTTAGATCACCAGAATTTATGTCGGTTATACTTCCTCCACTAATTAACCATATCGGAACTGAATCCATATTTCCAGAACTTATCTTAAGAACTTATCCACATTTATCCAAATAGGCAGGACCGACAGGAACCTCCATAATCACAGGATTCATCTAACCACCAGCATTTGAACAAAACAACGGGCCAAAATGCAAGATTATCTGGCTGTGAAATATCCAAATTCTTGACATTTTGCAAAACCTTACACTTCAGACCTTCCCACTAGGTAGTAGTCAAAGTGCCCAATTTTCTCCGCTACTCCAGTTTTTTGTTGCAGTCCATGCGATGAGATCAAGACAAGCCAGGCCCGATTGCGGGATGCATGGAATGTACGGGTTTCCCATGTGCGCTCCCCACACTAATGGTTCCGCGGAAGCTGGACCCGAAGAATCAGCGACAATAGTGAAAAACTTACATAGGCAAATAAAGCGAAAACAAGTACAAAAAAAAAGAAGTAAACAATTAGGGAAAAAAAAAAACGGCTGCAGATGGAGAAGCAAATGAGTGATCTGTCTTGAAAGTTTTTTCGAATTTTGCCACCCCTCTCGGCTGGCTCTAAGGAAAATCCACCTACTCTCGATGATTTGTCACTCGGGTCATCTTAGTTGGTGTTCCTCGGCATCACCGCACTTTACCTGCAGGTCCGATACCCCAAAATGCGGAGTGAAACTCAAATGAATGTGACAAACTACAACTATTTAAGAACGGCGAATTCTCAACGATTTAGCATTCTCCAGTGCAAAAAACACAAACACTATCACACACAGTATTTATAATGGACAGATTAAACCAGTTGGCCGGCCAGTTGAACCCATCCTCCAAGCAATCTTTGCTCCAGAAGAACCCAGATGATGTAGTTATCGTCGCAGCTTACAGAACCGCAATCACCAAGGGTGGTAAAGGTGGCTTCAAGGATGTTGGAACTGACTGGATTTTGCAAAAGTTTTTGGAAGCTTTCTTGAAGAAGACAAATGTCGACCCAAAGTTGGTGGAGGACGTCACCGTTGGTAACTGTTTGAGACAGGCTTGTGGTGCAACCGAGCACAGAGGTGCTGTTCTCAGCGCCGGTTTCCCATACACAACCGCGTACCTGTCTGTCAACAGACAATGTTCGTCTGGTTTGATGGCTGTGGCTGACATTGCCAACAAGATCAAGTGTGGCCTGATCGACGCTGGTATTGGTGCCGGTGTGGAATCAATGAGTTCCAACTACAATGCCAACGCTCTTGCCAGGGCCGATGTTGGTATCCGTAAGGAGCCAGAGATGGAGAAGTGTATGATTCCTATGGGTTTCACCAACGAGAACGTTGCCAAGAAGTACAGCATCCCTAGAAGCCGCAACGACGAGTTCGCTGCTAACTCCTACGCCAAGGCCGAAAGGGCCGTGTCCTCGGGTGCCTTCAAGGACGAGATCTTGCCTATCGAGTCCTACACCAATGAAGGTGACGAAGATGATGATGAGCCAATTTTGAAGAAGTTCATTGTTGACACTGACGAGGGACCAAGAAAGGGTGTTACTGCCGAGTCCTTGGGCAAGTTGAAGCCAGCTTTCGAGGAGGGAGGTGTCACCCATGCTGGTAACGCATCTCAGGTTTCCGATGGATGTGCTGGTGTTCTCTTGATGAGAAGATCTGTTGCAGAGAAGAACAACTTGCCAATCGTCGGTAAGTATGTTGCCTGTTCCACCGTTGGTGTTCCACCAGAAATCATGGGTGTTGGTCCAGCTGTTGCAATCCCAGATGTGTTGAAGAAGACGGGCTTGACCGTTGAGGACATCTCTGTTTTCGAGATTAACGAGGCTTTCGCTGCCCAGTGCTTGTACTCCGCTGAAACCTTGAACATTCCAGCTGAGAAGTTGAACCCTAATGGTGGTGCCATTGCCTTGGGTCATCCATTGGGCTGCACTGGAGCCAGACAGTACGCTACAATCTTGCGTTTGTTGAAGGCTGGTGAGTTCGGTATCACTTCCATGTGCATTGGAACAGGTATGGGAGCTGCTTCCATTTTGATTAAGGAGTAAGTAAAGTATTTAAGTATATAATAACACGCTTTGTGAAAGTCATTGTTTAGTAATTGACGATTCGGTGGTGGCCAATGAAATTCAGCATCGTTATTTGAGCATTATCAATAGTATAATCGCTTTGTCTCTGAATCACTACATACCACCAAATACCCAATTAATATCACACGATCAATTACTGTTCTAATATTTCTAATTAGGAGTAAGAAAGGCAGTTCAGAGCTAGCTCTTATTGGAGGCCCCGATCGGTTGAATACTACAACCCGCTCAGGTGTTATGAGCGTCTGGCCTTTACTATGTAGGTGTGTAAACTTAAAGCATGTCAACCTTAGGTAGCAGCTTCTAGAAGGAACGGGTAGCAACGGCCATTTTATGTGGAACAAGTGATAAGCTGGATGACCGCTTCAAGTTTAGCGCTTCGGTGGAAACTAGTTGGCTCACTCTGAATAACAGTACTTCCCACCTTGGTGAATCACATGAACATCATGAAAATCATTTAAACGGCCCGCTAAACTCTTATCGCATGGACGACAAGTTGTCCATACTACTGATTAAACACACCATCATCATACTGTCTTCTCATTGACTACCACAAAGAACAGGGTGTTAATTTCTAGACTTTGAGTACCATTCCATAATTTCATGAAGGATTTATACTTAAGTCTAATTTCTTACGAGTTCAAGACATCGCTAATTTACGAAGTTCTGAGTTATGACAGACGAGGTTAGAGAGTTCGACGTGCGGCGCTTGTTCATTTCTGAATTGTAGGAAATTTTTTCTAGGTCCAGTAGAAAGTCACCTGAGCACAAATAATGCTCATTGCCAAGCTGTGTAACAACGAATAAAAATTTGAAAAAGCGAAAACTTCGCCTCATCGCAGTCTTATACCATTGGTCTTACAAGGTCTCGTGCTCTCAACGTTTAGTTGCACGATGTTTCGCGCACTGGATGTCTAGATCACACGTGTTGTTACTTTGTTGAAAACAGCAAGGCAAAGCGCGAAACCATCCCCACCTTGGACTCCAGATAACATGTGCCGGACTGATCCAACTTCCTGATAAAAGGGTTTGCGAGACGGTCGCACTAAGCTCCCCTTATGGGACTGACAAAACATTTCCGAACAATAGAGTAAAAAATTCTGCTTCCGTTACAGAATACTTGCACAAATACAAGCAAAGTCAAAACGAAAGAAATAAACTCAATTTAGAGACCTTCCGATAACCACTCACAAAACACATCGAACGCTTTCTCAGTTGGAATGTCTCACGGCGGATCCCGTTCTCGTAGCAAGTTTCCCGTTATACATTCCCCTTATTCGGAAGATATGGAGATGCATTGCATAGAGTATTTCGTCCCTGTGCACACTCATACTTCCAAGAAAACCAACTTGTCTTGGTCGTGGCGACTCCTTCCTCAGTCCACCAGCTTGGAAGACCTCACTTCGGGCCCAGTTGAATCTCCCATGTGTTCCTGACCGAAGGTGGACTTGCCCGTTGTGACACCCTTAAACGAAATACTCTGCGTCATGTAGGTCCTGCAGACACCTGTTCCGCTAACTACAGTCGTTTATGTGCTATGTGCCCTTTTATTATTACATGGCTCAAGTGCCCTATATGGGACGGACTTCCCTAGATGCACATGGCTTAGCTCATGATCAGCTTTCGAATACTCTTTTTTTCGGCTTTCCAGAAAACTACTTTGTTTTCTTCATACTATCCATCATATCTCATTAGCATTCACTGTCATGTATCTTCGATTTCGAAAAAGCACCAAAATGGTGATGGTCGCAACGGCTCTAGTCACTGCTTACCTTTCATTTTTCACATTGGCTCCATCCGTTGCACTGCTAACGTCCAAATACCGTGCTCAGATAAATGTATCGTTCCGAATGCTATACAAGCGACTTACCGAGTCTGATTTGAAACTTGACTCCAACAAGGAATTTGTCAAGCATTTTCAAGATATCAAGAACAAAACCTTGGCCACAAATGAGCCAGACCTGCTCTTTTTCCTCAAGGATGACTATAAGCCGGAAACTACAGTCACTTTTCCACTGTACTTTCACGACGACGGGGTTTCAAAACCAATAATTCAACCGCAGGATCCGAGGTTCACATTGTCGGTGTATTTGGAATGGATCAAGCTTAATCCTGGAAGTCATGTTCCTTTCCATTGGTCGGACTGGATCGATCTACTGGACCTCAATAAGTATATTCTCATACAACCAGAATTAAAGCCAACATGCGACCAGCTCTTCGATATTTCCAACTATGAAGAAATTATCACAGATTCCAAGATAAAACCTGTTTCAGATTATTGTTCCGACGATAAAAATTCGTTACCAGGCTTCAGAGTCCACTCTCGCCCAGGGCCTCACACAAAGGAACTGGCGAAATTGATAGCAAAGCTGCATGTTTATACTACTTTGGAATCTCCTACCCAATTGATTGTTCTCACCAACTCTCGAGGCTCTTATCACATCGATGTTTTGAATCGGGAGAATGATTTGAAGTATTCTCTATTGAATAATGGCGTACCTGAGGAAGTATACACTCATACGAAGTCAACGAAGGTCGATGTTTTGGAAACCTATAAGTCCTTGCTCAAAAGCAGACACCCCAATAATCCCTCAAGTGAAATACCTTTTCAGATTGATCTTCAACCGGAATGGTTTGAGGCAGATGCGAGGGAAACAGTCAAGCACCTCAAGGATACTAAAAGAACTCGGATGGAGCAAAATTATCTTGAATCCCTTGAGTTCTCTCTTGATACGAAAGATCCAGCTAAGTCATTCAGTGAAGCTCAGCTTTTGAACATATATGGGGATCGTGTTTATGGTGACCATCATGACTGGCGCTTTTTTAATGGATTGACTGTCAATACTGATCCACAACTGATGGTTTTGCATCGACTTCTAAAGAACTACTTGCATTTCTGCCGAATCCACGGCCTCGTTACTTGGATCGCTCATGGCTCATTGCTTCTGTGGTATTGGAACGGCATGTCGTTTCCTTGGGACACAGATACCGATGTTCAAATGCCAATTCGTGATCTCCACAGGCTTGGAAGAGAATTCAATCAAACGTTGGTGATCGAAAATATCGGTCATGACCACTTAAGTGGGGATGTGACGATGTCACCATTCAATGGTATGGGAACATTTTATATTGAAGTGACTAGTAGTATCACACATCGTGATAAAGGTAACGGAAACAACAACATTGACGCCCGTTTCATTGACATTCAAAATGGACTATATGTTGACATTACCGGATTATCTGTGAGTGAAGAGCCAGCTCCTTCGCGTTACGATTACGTGTTCGAATTAGAGCCCGAGAGAGAGAAGAATGCAAAGCAAGTTGGTACTGAGACGGCTAAGAACATTTACAAGCAAGCATACAATTGTCGTAACAGGCACTTCAGTTTGTTAAGCGAATTATCTCCGCTTATCATGACGGGTGTCCAGAACCAGATTGGACATATTCCCAAGTTTTTTGGAATGATGTTGAACCACGAGTACAACATCGACGGTATGATCCAGAACAACTTCGAGTCTTCCTATTACCTTCTGAGTTTGCGTATATGGGCAAAGACAAACACTTTAGTGAAGTATTTCGGTAACAAGAAAGCTTGGATAGAGACACAAGATGGCCCTGGTGCCGAAATCACACGGGAAGCTACCGAATACGAGAGACATCAAATATCCAAGTTTCAGCCAGAAGATTTCAGCAATCTTTTACTTTCTGACTTCATATTGCGCGAGTATGCGGTGAGTAAGGATTTCACTTTTTTCCATGAGCAGCAAATGAAGCTACTTCTCCAAAACCGAATGCTGGAGTATAAGCAGAACTTGAATCATTTCATTGAAGGTTCCGACGCTAACTTGGCTATGTGGGGAGACCCATTTATGGCCAAGTTGGCAATTGACGGATGGAATTACGAAGCTGAAATTAAGAGTTTGGATACTTTAATTAAGTTGTATGAGTTCGATACTGAAATTATGGCACAGAAGTTAAAGGAAGAGGAGGACAGGAAATCAAATTTATTGAAGGAGGATAACGAGAGACGAAAGAAGGAGTCTGATAATAGGCAGAAAGAAGAAGAAGAGAAGAAAAAAGAAGAAGAGAAGAAGAAAGAAGAAGAGAAGAAGAAAGAAGAAGAGAAGAAGAAAGAGGAAGAGACGATGAAAGAGGAAGAGAAGAAGAAAGAGAAGAATGAAGTAAACGAATAGTAGAGAGTGAATTTGATTCAACAGCGCAATATTCAATTCAACTCTTCATCATTTCGTGGAAACTTGGAGACGAAGCAGGAGTTATTTTAATGGAGTCTTACGTCATTTTACTTATTCTGGTAGTTAAACGGCCCACAAATGTAGCTTTCTTTTGTTGAAATTCCTAACTGTGACAAAACTTTAGACAGTGGACGTAACCAGAGGAAGATTCACTCAGATTTTGATCTGGCACGTTGTCACGCGATGAGCATTGCCCCCCTAATTATTCTTTACTGTGCATCTCGAGAACAATGCAAGATCATAAACGGCCAAGATAATAAGGCAGACCGTTCCTAATTTTGGATTACCATAATCAGTTATGTCCATTAGTGTCAATCTCTTGAAGTTAGCATTTTTTGTCCAATTGCCGCATTTAGTGATCACAGAGCGACTAGCTTTCTCCCCCACTCTCCCCCACTCTCCCCCACTGTCGCCACGATAAGAATCTCGGAAGGAAAAATACACTTCCAGAAACACTTGCTAGTAACGCCCCTTCCTGGTTGCAACGGTGATTGGTAACTACAGAACGCTACATCTCAAACTCCTCGACATAGCTTTTTACAAGGTTGCTAACTTTTCGAGCATTAGTAACATCAAAATTAAACATTTACTCCAATCACTTCCAACAAAAAGGAGTAATGAAATTGTAACCCTCAGCTCAACGTTCCTAGTCAATCTACGTTCCTTAAGTAGTTCGGCATTTAATTGATTCCCATTAATAATTGGGGGAGCGGGGGATATGAAGTGGCGTAAATATGTCGTAAGCTTGAGATAGCAACATGCCCAGCTCAAGAGGTTGGATTAAGTAGCAACATCTCAAAGATTGCTGTGCAAAGTCATAAAAATTCACACCTAACGCAATTTTCCTACCTGCACATACCCAGAGAAGAGTGGTGGGATTCTCGGAAAAAAAGGGGCATCCTGCCAAGAATGTAAACCTATGGCTGGTTGCGAGAAAAGCAACGCTACGGTGTATTTTTGGTTATCAGTGAATATAAAATTTCTGTCAAAACGGGATCAAATTCTTCTATCAGGGTTTCCTATAAGCGATTTCTGGTTTGAGGAATATATCACATTCTCAAGAAGCCGATCAAATTACCATGTGTAGTTTCTAGCATGGCCGAAAAGAATACACTTTTCTGTCTATTCTCACCACACTATTAAGGGAGTTACCAAGGCGTGTTGCACTGCCTAGATTGTTATCCACATATGCCGTCCCAGCAAACTATTAACCCGAAAATAGACAACTTTTTCTGAAAGCGGAAAGCTTATGTACAAGTCCGGATTAGTCACCAGAACGACCGTGGCTTTCCAAAACGTAGTACCCATAAAAAATCATTCCAGCTAGGGGTGGCCACCATCTGAGATACACGCGAACACAAGAATTATTAACTTGCTTTGTCCCAAAACTCCCAAAATTGTGGCAATATTCGCGGTTCTTTATGACTTTTGTTATCGGAAGGGTTAGGAAATCCTGTAGACGGCGAATTTCTTTTCCATTCTGTATGCATTCAGGGCGCAATGCAGGAAGCTAAACTTTACACTATATAAGGAGCCCCCGTTCCTTGGAAGAAGTTTTTTTTTTTATTCATCACAACTAACAATGCAATTCAAGACCGTCGTCCTCGCTTTGACCGCTGCTTCCGCTGTTTCCGCTGCTAACGCCACTAACGGTACTAACGCTACCAACGGTACCTCCACCTCTGCCGGCTCTGGTGCTGTCCAGGTTGCCAGTGCTGGTTTCTTCGGTGTTGCCGCTGCTGCTGGTGTCGCTATGTTGATCTAAATGACACACTGATTATAATTCGCATGCTTTTATTTCATCGTGTCGTAATTAGAAATTGGTTCATTTGTCATTTTATCATACTGCTGAGGCGCTAATCTACCTAAGCCAATAGCACACTAATATCTTTTTACTTGTTTTATTATTATGTATTACACTTATAAAGTTTTTTTTAAAGAGTTGAATATATGATTTCCTTTTAGGACTTCAGATGTAGCATATTTTTGTGGCTCACTCCTTGGACTCAAGGATTCGCCTCTGTTTATCCGTGCAGATCCGTGAGATGAAAATTTCTTCGGTCAGTAAACTCACGTGGCCGTGGCGAAGCCCTGCGCCACATGTAGCCACACACATCAGAGGCTTCATGTTGTCACATGATATTAGTCAAGGTGCACGGATGCTTACTTGTTCCATTTCATTTGATACTTCGTAATCATACTACCCAGTAACGATGTTCACGGGCTTGATAGAAACGATAGGTTCCATCTTGGAATACAATGAACTAGATAATTCTGAATCAGGTGGCAATGGTGTTTCAGCTGTTATAGGTGATTGTCTGGAAATTTTAGGTGACGTTCATTTGGGTGATTCCATCAGTACCAACGGAGTTTGTCTCACAGTTACAGAATTTGATAGCGCAAGAACACAATTTAAAGTTGGAATTGCTCCCGAAACTCTCCGTCGTTCAAATTTGGGTGAGTTACGCATAGGCTCCAAAGTCAACTTGGAGAGAGCTGTGACTTCCGAAGTGAGGCTAGGAGGTCATGTAGTTCAAGGTCATGTGGATACAATTGCTAAAATAACCAAGAAGATTCCAGATGGCAATTCCATCGCGTTCACTTTCCAATTACGTGAGAAGGAGAACATCAACTACATCGTGGAAAAGGGGTTCATCGCAGTTGACGGTACTTCGTTGACCGTCACGGGGGTTGATTACCTGACGGGAGAGTTCTCCATCATGTTAGTAAGCTATTCACAAGGCAAGGTGATCTTACCTAGTAAGAATGTTGATGATACTGTTAATATCGAAGTTGATTTCACTGGAAAGTTGATTGAGAAGCAAATTGAACTCACACTAGGGGGACAATTGGAAAACGAAAACTCTCCTTTGGTGAAGTTTATCAATCGCATTGTCGACCAGAAGGTTAATGCTTTGGGTAAAGAGTAGTAGGTGACAGAACGAAAAATCCAAACCAAATACTTGAATGATCCCCAAGTTCATAAATTCCATCGGCGGCCGCTCAAATGATACAGCATATTTTTTCATTGTATACCATGAGAGCTAGTCTTTCAGTGGGGCCGCCTCTGTTATATAGTATTCTCGATTTGGCTATTTGGATGTGATGGGCTTAACCTCAACATAAAATATCTTCAAAAGAGACAATAAATGAGTGATAGTGGTGAGAATGTGAATACATTTGCCCCTGTTTTCGTCTATTCTACATCTGATGGGCATGTTCAGAGTCGAGTTCGTATGCATAACTCTCTCAATGGTTGCAACATGTATGAGCCTCGCACACCGTGGCAAATACTCAACTACAGGCCTCCACAAAAAACACCTCTTTCGATAGTCAACAATTCCCCACAATGGACATCATACTCGGCATCAAGGTCCTGGACGCCACTATCATCGCCACATCGAGAGCTGCCACTCGCGGTATCTCTGTCTTGAAAGACACGGATGACAAGACAAGAAGTTTGAATACTCATAACTTGATCGCCTACACTGGAGAATCAGGAGATACAGTGCAGTTTGCTGAGTACGTTCAGGCTAACATTCAATTATATTCTATGAGAGAGAACGACTTGGAGTTGTCACCTAAGGCCACTGCATCTTTTGTTCGTAATCAATTAGCCACTTCCATCAGATCCAGAAAGCCTTACCAAGTCAGTGTGTTAATTGGAGGATACGACACGAAAACAAACACTCCGCTGTTGAACTGGATTGATTACTTGGGTACCCAGGTTGAATTACCTTATGGAGCACATGGTTACGCTGCCTTCTACTGCACATCTTTGTTTGATAGACATTATCGCCCTGACATGAAGTTAGAGGAAGGATTGGAGTTGTTGAAGATGAGCTTGAAGGAGTTAGAAAAAAGAATGCCCATCGACTTTAAGGGAGTTTACGTGAAGGTAGTTGATAAGGACGGTGTGAGAGAACTTGACCTATAGATGATGGATGAATGACACGAGTGTTTGAAGGCATGAAGTTTGCAGCTCTGCAAATTATGTAGAAGAAAATGACATGAAGTCTAGTGCTTTTTATGGTTTACAGTGATTCAGTGTAAGCAAACTCAGAGACTCTTCAAAGCCCTTTTACCCTTAGGTGAGTACCGAGAATACGTGGAAACAAGCGTCCTTCAAGCTGTCATTGTACAATCTGTACACAATTCACTGCATTTCCTTCTTGAATTCGGTATTTCTTATGTCAACTTCTACCTGATACATAATTTTTTATTTTTTCTTAGCGCTAATTATCAGTTTTAATGGTACCATTCAATTTATATTTTGATCCTACATGTCCCCAAATTTTCCTCTAGTATGTTATACCCATCAACACGAGCCTACATAGATCGCACGCTCATCACGTCCGCATCATTATAGTTGTGCTTTACTCCTATGGCCGATGATAGAGTGCTTCTGCAGTTAGCGGGACTAGTTACTAAATATCTCCAAGTCTCAGATGAGGAGTTTATGTTTTCCAAATTTGTGCTAAGCTTGTATAAATTAGTTGAGAATGTGAAGAATCTGCGATACGACGCATTCACCAAAACTGTTAGAGAAAATGGAGGCGAAGACTTTCAAGAGGAGTTCATTAGGGATGTTTTCGCTGCTATTGAATCCTCAAGACCTGAAGATAAGATCAAAAGTGAGTCTCTTGTCCATACGGAAGAGAAAGTATCTGGATTAAATGAACCTAAAGTCAAGGTGGGACTCCTCAAATCTCGCCTCGCGGAAGAAAGACTGCTTAACCAAAGTCAAAGCATTACAGTCAAGTCAGAGCCGTCCATAAGAACTGTCCTGGAGACGAAAGACGTCCTACTACCAAAACAAGAGGTTGCAGATGAAGTGATTAAGACCCGGCCAGGATCAAATGGCACCCGTTTCAAAAGAAGGCTCAATTATGCCGTTGGAGAACTCCATAAGGGGTATGTGAGTAATATCACCGCCTACGGAGCATTTGTTCGCCTCGATAGCCCGGCCTCTTTCACGTCGGGACTTTGTCATGTTTCCAGAATGCTGTTCGATGGTCGAACTCGAATTAAACATCCTCAGGATGTGGTAAAGCCAAATCAGGAGGTATATGTGAAGATATTACAGATTGAGTCGGGGGCCAGAAAAGACAAGATCTCGTTGACTATGGTCGGAATTGATCAATTGACTGGACTAGATAAACTGGATGAAATCGAAGAATCAGACAGCCGAGAAAGAGGACGAGAAAAGAGGATCGAGAATGCTCCGAAAAGAAGACGGATGACTTCGCCCGAAAGGTGGGAAATTCGCCAACTTATAGCGTCAGGTGCAGCTTCTGCTGCAGATTATCCGGAACTCAACCAGAACGTAGAAGAAGACTCAAATGTTGATGGGGATGACGACATTCTGATTGATGTGGAACTTAATACTGATGAGCCCGAATTTTTAAAGGGTCGGAATTACAGTTCTAAAGTTGCCAATCCCTTGTTGATAATGAAGAATCCAGCGGGTACTATGAGTCGGGCTGCCATGAGTGGATCTAAATTAGTACAACAGGCAAGGGAAGAGAGGATTCAGCAGCAAAAGCAGACTGAATCAGAGGCTCGAGCCGTGAGATACTCAAGTGATCCGTTGGCTCTGATGAGACAAAATGATAATGCCAATCGTTCACAAACAGATTCTGTCATTTCAGAATGGAGACGAGGCCAGCAGAACCACAAGATCGAATATGGGAAAAAAACTAATCTATCGATTCACCAGCAACGTAAATCTCTACCTGTTTATGGCATGAGGAGTGAATTGGTGAAAGCAATACGAGAAAACCAGTTCTTGGTGATCGTCGGAGAAACAGGCTCTGGAAAGACCACTCAAATTGTTCAATATGTGTACGAAGAAGCTTTAAATATTGTTCATGGGAAACATAAGGTTATTGGATGTACCCAACCAAGACGAGTGGCTGCCGCTTCGGTTGCAAAAAGAGTTGCGGAGGAAGTCGGCTGCAAAGTTGGCGAGGAAGTCGGATACTACGTTCGTTTTGAGGATGTCACAAGTTCGAAAACCAGAATAAAATATATGACAGATGGTATGTTACAGAGGGAAGCGCTCCTAGATCCAAGCATGCTGAAGTACTCCCTCATCATGTTGGATGAAGCCCATGAAAGAACTATTGCCACTGATGTTCTTTTTGCATTACTCAAGGCGGCGACCAAGGTGAACCCAGATTTGAAAGTGATAGTTACTTCTGCCACACTAGACTCACAGAAGTTTTCACACTATTTCGAAGACTGCCCAATAATTCAAATCCCAGGAAGAACATTCCCTGTTGAAGTACTCTTTTCACGGGAACCCGAAACAGACTATTTTGCAGCAGCTATAGATTGCATAATGCAGATCCATGTTTCCGAACCGAATGGTGACATTTTAGTTTTCTTGACAGGTCAAGAGGAAATCGACACTAGTTGCGAAATTCTTTACCAGAGGATGAAGACGTTGGGTAAGTCGGTTCCAGAATTGATCATCTTGCCGGTCTACTCTGCGTTGCCATCTGAAATGCAATCCAGAATCTTCGAGCCAGCACCCGAAGGTGCAAGAAAAGTCGTGTTGGCAACGAATATTGCTGAAACATCCATCACTATTGATGGTATAAAATATGTTGTTGATCCTGGTTATGTGAAAGTCAATGCCTACGATGCTAAGCTTGGAATGGATCTGTTGATTGTATCTCCGATTTCACAAGCCCAAGCAAATCAAAGATCGGGCCGTGCGGGACGTACTGGTCCCGGAAAATGTTTCAGGCTTTACACGGAAGTGGCATTCAAAACCGAAATGTTGCCTAATCCGATACCAGAAATTCAACGTCAGAACTTATCACTCACAATCTTGATGTTGAAAGCAATGGGAATTAATGACCTACTTAATTTTGAATTTATGGATCCTCCTCCGGTGTCCACAATGGTAAATGCATTACATGCACTTTATACACTTGATGCGCTAGACGATGAGGGCTTCTTGACTCCAATTGGAGGAAGAATGGCTGAATTCCCTATGGAGCCTGCCTTAGCTAAGACGGTGTTGGCGTCAGTAGATTTGGGGTGTAGCTCTGAGGTACTAAGTGTGGTTGCAATGCTTTCAGTGCAAACTGTTTTTTACCGCCCCAAAGAGAAACAAACTGCGGCCGATCAAAGAAAACAACGCTTTCATAGCATACATGGAGATCATTTAACTCTCTTGAATGTTTTCAAAGCTTGGGAGCTCAGTGGGAGGTCTTCATCTTGGTGCAAAGAGAATTATATTCATGAGAGGAGTATGAAGAAGGCCCTAGATGTCCGCAAACAGCTCATCTCGATCATGAATAGATTGCGCTTATCCTTGGAGTCCTGTGACGACGTCTCTGTTGTAAGAAAAGCTTTCTGTTCGGGATTTTTCAGGAATCTGGCAAAACGTGATCCTCATGATGGCATCTACAATACATTGGTGGACCAGACGCCAGTCCATTTGCATCCACTGCTGGCAATCTTTGGAAAAGGCATCGAGTATGTCATATACCATACTTTGCTTCTCACTAGCAAAGAGTATATGCACTGTGCTAGTGCCATAGATCCCAAGTGGTTGACGGAGCTTGCACCCCGATTTTTCCGGAAAAGTGATCCCAACAACCTTAGTGAACGAAAGAGAAAGGAAAAAATCGTACCCCTATTCGACAGGTTTGCGGAAAGTCAAGACGCATGGAGGTTAACATCACATGTTGAAGCGAAAAAGAGGGCGCTTAGCCAACTCCACCAATGAGTGCACCTGATGTGGATCAGCTGGTGTTCTCGGTTCAGATTCGCAGCCATAAATAATTTAAAAGAAAAAAAGAAAAAAAAACTCAGCTCCTATTATGACTTTCCAGCAAAAAATCGATGGACTTCTATTTGTCAAATGCTGTTGAATGATTAGTAGGGCTCAGTTTGAATGATATAGTTCTTTTTGGCCTGGAAGAGTTAGACTGCGGATAGCCTGCGATGGGGTTTTCTTCCCTTTCGCCCTGCTCACATGCCACTACTCATACATAGATTGAATAAAGGTGGGGTTGCATTTAAGTCAGGTCAACTATCCGAACGTGCAGTCCTGCTTACTCGAGGTACATACACGGACTGAATTCCAGCCACTTACCTTATAGTCGTTTCGGGTGTCTCAAATGTCTCCGATAATCTCAGCTATCAAGAGTGCCAAACTTGCTCGTGAGGCGATCTCCGATCGCCTCTCCGTGTATAGTAACGGGACAGGAGTTGCTTCTTCTGGAGCCAAACCACTTAGAAGAAAGTTCGGTTCTTCTGAACCAATTGCTAGAGTCCACAACAAAACAGCCTCCATTCTCGAGTGTCTGCCATTATATACCGAGGATGGATTCATTTTGGATGGCAGTGGAAGAAAAATCACCCTCAAGGGGATTAATGTAGACTGTTCGATGAAACTACCTGCTATGCCCTTTATGCCTTCATACGAAGGCAACAATACTGAACCTTCGAATATCTTTTTCCGAGGAGAAAACGTATCATTTGTTGGCCGGCCATTTCCGCTAGAAGAGGCTGAGCTGCACTTGAATAGAATTAAACTGTGGGGTTTCAACACTATTCGGTACTTGATCACCTGGGAAGCATTAGAACATGCCGGGCCAGGCAAGTACGACGAAGATTTCATTGACTATACTGTACAGTTGCTCCGAATAATTCACAAAGTGGGTGGCCTCTACGTGTTCTTGGAATGTCACCAGGATGTGTGGTCGAGGTACTCGGGTGGATCTGGAGCCCCTCTTTGGACTTTCCATGCTGCTGGTTTGCAGCCGACACGGTTTTCTGCTACTGAGGCTGCCATATTGCATAATGACCCAAGATTTGAGAAGGGAAGAACTGATCCAGAGTGTTACCTGAAGATGCTCTGGACCTCGAACTACAGAAGATTGGCTCTGTTCACTATGTTTACTCTTTTCTTCTCGGGTGCCACATATTTTCCCCATTTAAAGATCAATGGTGTCAACATACAACATTTCCTTCAAGAATCTCTCAATAAATGTCTTCAGCATCTATGGGATACTGTTGTTACGAGGCTCCCAGAAATGTTAGAGAATGGTTCATTGCTTGGGTTTGAGCTGTTGAATGAGCCAAATTGTGGACTTGTGGGTCATGAGCATTTGTCATACGTTCCTAATGGTCAACAGTTAAGAATTGACACTTGTCCAACTGTATATCAATGTTTCCGTTTGGGAATGGGCCTTCCTGCTGAAATCGATGTTTACAAGATTACCTTGACTGGTCCTCAAAAAGATAGCGTCAAGTTGGTTGATCCTCGTGGCCAAAGTGCTTGGCTTTCCCCTGAAGAAGGTACCGCTATAGACGAAAAGTATGGATGGACACGTGAAGGATGGGAATTTGGCAAATGTATCTATGCGGGCGTCAACATCTGGAGGTGGAATAAGAACGCAAATTTGGACGAACTCGCAAGCATGTCACAAGATGCAAGAATCGACTTCAGCTACAACGAATGTGAACTATTGTTACCTAATTATTTCAACGAAGTTTCACCTAAACTTTCATTCGACGTGACGGATGAGAAGCTTCCAAAGAAAATCGATATTAACTTTTTCATCAATACTTTCTTTGTGGACTATTATGTGAATTTTAAGAACATGATAAGAGCTTTGGCGCCCCAGGTGTTTGTCTTGCTCCAGCCTCCGGTTCTTGAACTCCCCCCAAACTTGAAGGATAACAGGCTGGGTATCATTGATAAGAAAACAATCTATTGTCCTCATTATTATGATGGGTTGTCGTTGATGTTCAAGAGCTGGAACTACGTTTACAATGTCGACACCCTTGGAATCATGCGCGGGCGTTACTTCAACCCTGTGTTGGGTATAGTATTCGGAGAACGTGCCATTCGGAACTGTATTAAGAAGCAGTTCATTGAAATCTCAAATGAAGGAAAGAAATATTTGGGAAATATTCCAGTGCTCATGTCCGAGACTGGCATGCCATTTGATATGGATAATAAAAAAGCATACGAAGACGGCCGCTATACCCAGCAGACTTCCGCGATTGATGCACTTGCTAATGCATTGGAAGGGCTGCAAATGCATTTTACTTACTGGTGTTACAGTAGTCTCAATTCTCACAAATGGGGAGACCGCTGGAACAACGAAGATTTCTCATTTTGGTCACCAGAAGATAGAGATTTGGCATTTGATGATGACGATTCAGATTCACTCTCAAGATCGCCTTCAAGAAGAAGCAGTGTGACACCATCGCTTAAAGCGATTCGTTGCATGAAGGAGAGTGGACTGAGTCACGTTTTGAAGGCAAAGATTGCCTATCATAAGAAGAAGATGCTTCCTTCAATGTTTAAAAAGTCCTTCTTGAGTGGTTTGGGAGAAGAAGAAACAGAGGAGTCGGACGATTCCTCAGTGGGCTATGATACTTCAACTTTAATTTCTGTTTCCACTGATAACCTTCGATATAGGCATTTCAGGCAATGCTATCCGTCACCAGATGGAGTGAGAGCTGTTAGTGCAGTCATCCGTCCTTTCTTGATTGCAACCGCGGCAGTAATGAAGGCATCTGAGTTTGATATTAAGATATCGAAATTTGCTTTGACAGTCTCAATTGACAAGGAGCTGACTTGGAATGACTTCCAGAAAAAGCCTACTTTAATCTTCGTTCCTAAATGGCACTACCCATATTTGAACTACAGTGATATTTCTTTGACTTATGGCCACATTCAATACAACGATGAATTGGAATATTTGGAGTGGTACCATTATGATATCGGCGACGATGAAAGTACCTGGTCGATGAGTCGTGCTGGAAACGACGAAACCATAATAATCAAAAGTAATAGCGGGAGAATCGAAGATATTTCGCCTAAGGAAGAAGCACAGGCAGGTGAATGCCCTATCAATTAAAATATTTATACTCGCTTATGAATTGAGGAAGCCAATGATTCAAAATTCCAAATTATCAGCACCCCTCTTGGCATCTTTGAGTTCCTCTGCCGTTATGCCACTCACAAATGATGCAAAGTATTCCACATATGGCTTTAAGCTTGTTTTTTGGTAATCTGGAATTCGGGTTGATGGTTGATTATCTGAGTCGGATTCTTCTGGAGGTTGGCTGGAGTCCCGATTCACTCTTTTAGCCTCCCAAACATCGATTTCATTCTGCAATTTTGCCAAACTGGGAGATGTCATTGGATTGAAACCATAATCGTCATCTTCATGATTACTAGATATATTGCGTAGCGGGTCGAATGGAACGCACACATTGCCTGTTCCTGGGTGAATACAAAATGGAGATTTCAACAAGTGGATCATCTGTTTAGACACCTCAATATCCAATCTTGGGTACATGTAGTAGATGATGATCTCTTTTTTTGCTTCATTGAGTTGGTTGACCTGGCCCTGATTCTTGAGAATCTTCTGAGCAACGGTGTTCAAGTCGTCCCACTTATTTTTAGAAGTAGAAATAGACGCCTGTTCCTTCCACTTAGTTCTCAAAGCAGTGCGGAGAGCTTGTTCGGGAAGGAATGATAAAAGGTTTTCAATTTGATCCCAGTTTTCTGGAGATCCTGAAGATGAGACCCAAGGATTCTGTTCATCCAATATTACTGTCTGGAAATGTTGCCTTAATATGTCGAACGATCTTTCTACATGTGGGTGAAATGGCTTTCTCAACCCAAGCAGTGTTCGTCCCACTTTCAGAGTACGCCCTCCAAGAACATCAAGGTATTCGACAATTGATTTTCTAGCACTCTCATCTAACGAACGGGCACGTGAATCACTCACCCAGCAATGGGCACCTCTTCTTCCTGAAAAAACCCACACCATGTGCTCAAAGCCGAAATCTTCCTTCAATGCAGACGTAACAACTTGAGACGCAACTTGAATAAACTTCCAGCACTTGGTGCAAATATCAGTTTTGGAACAGCAGGTTCTGATATCATCATAATCAGTAAGATCGATATCAAATACCAATTCTTTAGACACTGGCTTCATAGCGCTCTTTGGTAAGTTCTTTCTCTCCTTGGGATTTACAGCATAAACCGCACCCACTTCAAAACGGGTAGGGTTGGCATTAACAACGGACTTCTTGAATTCTTCAGCTGAAGAATATGAGTTATATCTTTGGTATGCTCCCAGTCGAAATTCGTATGCAAATTCTCTCATAGTGAAGTCCTTGGTAGCCTTCGGCGAATGACTTAGCCATTGAAAAATTTGCTTGAAGGGGAGCAACCTCTCGTAGTAGAAGAGCATATCTGCCGCGGATGGTTTCCCAGGCTTGCTCTGCGAATCTTCGGACGAGTAATTCGCCAATTTTGTTTCCTCGGTAGTCATGAGGTGTAGTAGTATTATCTTGAAGTCGCGATAACATAACGCGTATGCTCGCGCGCGTGACATCAGTGTGAGTGTTATGCGAGATTCATCTCGATGAGAGTACAACTACTCTCATGTGCATCACGATTGCAACACTTCAACTGGTCGTTGAGGATTTGTTAAGAAGTTGAACGAGAGAGATATTACCGTTGAGCAAATACTAGAAGGATTACAGTAAGAGTTTATTTCAATGCACATTTCGTGATTCTAACAGGCTTTCTTCTCTTCAAGTTTACTTTTTGTTTAGTATTTCTTTCGTTCTTCATTCTTTTATTAGCGCCATCATCATTCCTATCTCTTATATTGCTATTACAGACAGTATTTCACGGACTTAGCCCTAAGTTCTAAAGAAAGTCGCTGCCACATTCGAGAAGGCTCAATATATCCAGCACCCTATACTGAATACAAAGCATTGCTTCAACAATATCTATTACTATAATACATTATTCATGCACGAAAACCAACGAGACTCCCTCGTCACCAGCAGTTACCAATTTCTTGCCTTGCTCCATAACAACGAAGTCCAAGATGCCCATGTTGTGACCGACTCCAACAAATAACTCCTCACCTGTACGGGCGTCCCACTTGAAGATTTTTCCATCCATGCTAGAGCCTACAAGAATTGGAGTCTCGTCAACGAACTCAAGATTGGTGATAGTATCATCAACCTTCAATGAACGACGCAACTTCCACTGCAAGCTGTCAAACAATAGCAAGTCTCCAGAAACGAGACCCACTGCTAAAAGGTTGACAGTAGGGTTCTCGCACCATGCCAAAGCCTCGATAGAGAGGTCGGCAATGTCCTCCACATTCTCAATTGTCTTGACAGTGTGTACAATCTTTCCTGAATCCAAGTTAATGATGGCCAATTGACCGTCTCTTGCACCCACTGCGATTACGTTCTTGTGTGCTTTGACAGACACCCATGGGCTCTCCACTCCCTTAAAATCATCATGAGGTTGCAATTTGTAGTTAACGGCGCCAGTGAATGCATTCCAGTTCACAATACTACCATCCTCAGAAATGGTCACCAAGTAAAGCTCATCCTCCTTGTCGGTGCCTACGAAAACACCTCCATTGCACTCCATAGTGTGGGAGAATCCGGACATGACTTGCTCCAAAGACTTATTTGCCTCATCAATTTGATAAACCCACACAGAGCCATCTGGAGCTCCAAATGCAAAGTAAGGCAAAGCAGGGTGAACAGTGATCCAAAGAACTTCTTCAACCTCTTCCAAGTCCAGGAACTTGACCCACTTTTGGCCACCCTTGGCAGCTTTATGCACCTGAATGAAACCGTTCATGTCTCCGGTGATGACAAATTTACCGTCACCGGTGAATCCTCCACATACGACAGATTCTTTATGGCCCAGTAATTCACCCACAAATCTAGGAGGCTGGGTGTGGGTGGTCCACATAAATGCAGTGTTGTCTCCACCACCAGTAACAACCATTGGTAAGGATGGATGTTTGAAAATTGTGAAGATGGAGTCCTTGTGCTGGTCAAAATAGGCCCAGGAGTTATTTGCTAAGTCGATTTCAACAGTTTCACCTTCGTCCATATCCATGTCATTATCGTCATCTTCAGGAACAGGTCCCACATCATCTGCAACCTCCTCTGCAATTTCGTTAATATCAACGAATTCTTCCTCTGCTTCGTTATAGTTGGTGAGGTCTGACATGGTTGGTAGAAGATTTTTTATCACTAGTCTACTATTAATCGGCTTTGTCATCTCGATTATGTGCAGTATATTCTTGGGCAAGTTGCCTTAGAAGTCCCAATTGTGGCAAAGTCATATGAGACGATGGAATTGTAGGGTTGAGAAGCATAGTTCATAGTTATGTTTGACTTCCTCGGGTGCTGTACGTTTCCTTTCATATATTGTCTATGTTTCGTATGTAAACCATCGAATCCCATTTTCAATAAAAGACTGCTCTCCAATGAAAACTTTTCTCATATGAATAGATGACTTAGCGTTAGTTTGTTTCCCATTCAAGTCTATAGAGAAATGCCTGTGATTATTTCTAATTGATTTGTCAAATCCTGTTCCGCCTTCATACTCTCCTTTTGAACAATTTCATCTCTTTTTAGATCTTCCCGTAGACTGCCAGCATTGAGAGCATTCACTTCTTTCTTAGCTCCGGCTGTCTGGGTCAATTCGGAGTGAATATCAGCTATATTTGTCATGTCTTGATTGAGTTTCTCGATTTGCGCCTTTGTGTGTTTCGATCTCTGATTGAGCTTCGATTTCAGTAGAGGTTTGTTAATCTTGGTACTCTTCGGGTCATTTCTCTTAGCAACTTTACTCTTTAAAACTTTCTTCGTCATCCTTGATCTTCAGTTGGCAAGATGATTCCCTATTACTAGTGAGCCAGTCCTTTACGATTTTGTCACATGACCTGTACGGTAAGAAAAAAAAAGCATATCACGATGGGCATCGCAGAGACTTCAAGTACTCAATAAACAGAAATGGTATCTACCCATAACCGTGACAAACCTTGGGATACCCCTGATATTGACAAATGGAAGATTGATGAATTCAAGCCTGAGGATAATGCTTCAGGTCAGTCTTTCACTGAGGAGTCCTCATTCATGACATTATTTCCAAAGTACAGAGAGAACTACTTGAGATCAATATGGAGTGACGTTACCAATGCTTTAGAACAGCATAATATTGCTTGTCAGCTCGATTTAGTAGAAGGAGCAATGACTGTGAAGACTACTAAGAAGACCTTCGATCCGGCAATCATTTTGAAGGCTAGAGATTTGATCAAGCTCTTGGCTAGATCGGTCCCTTACCCCCAGGCCATTAGAATTTTGCAAGACGATGTTGCTTGTGACGTAATCAAGATTGGAAACTTTGTTAGCAATAAGGACAGGTTTACTAAGAGAAGACAAAGATTGGTTGGTCCAAACGGTAATACTCTAAAAGCGTTAGAATTGCTCACGAAATGTTACATTTTGGTGCAAGGTAACACAGTCAGTGCCATGGGACCCTTCAAGGGCTTGAAAGAGGTAAGAAGAGTTGTTGAAGATTGTATGAAAAATGTTCATCCTATCTACCACATCAAGGAGTTAATGATTAAGCAGGAATTAGCAAAAAACCCTGAATTGGCCAATGAAGACTGGTCTAGATTTTTGCCAATGTTCAAGAAGAAGAATGTTGCCAGAAAGAAGGTCACTGGAGAACAGAAAAAGAAGAAAGTATACACTCCATTCCCACCAACGCAAGCGCCTAGAAAGGTTGATTTGCAAATTGAGAGTGGTGAGTATTTCATGGGTAAGCGCGAAAAGCATTTGAAGGAGTTACAAGAAAAACGTCATAAACAAGAAGAGATCACTGAGAAGAGAAAGGAAGAAAGAAACAAAGCATTTGAGGCTCCCGAAGAAGCATCATACGAGAATAAATTGATTGATGGTGAGAAGAAGGAAAAGAAAGAAAAGAAAGAAAAGAAAGAAAAGAAAGAAAAGAAAGATAAGAAAGAAAAGAAAGATAAGAAAGAAAAGAAAGATAAGAAAGAGCGTAGCAAGAAGAGAAGCTATAACGACCTGGTTGACTCTGAAAGAAAGAAGAAGAAGTCAGATTAGAATGATATTTAGCATATTACAATTCATAATAAGTTCACACACCAAAGTGTAGTTAATGGAAAGGGAGGATTCTGACATGAAGAAGAGTAGATTTTCACAAGTGCCTCATGCACTGTCAACATCAATATTGAATTTATTGTCACGTGTTTTACATCACGTTCTGGGTAAACTTGTTCATCCAATTAAGATTTTCAGAAAATGCGCTTACTGCAAAGAGAAAACATCCTCACCAAATTAGATCCAACAGATTCTCACACAAATGTTGAGCAGAAACTTGTTAAGAACTGCTGTGAGATTTCAATCGACTCTCGCCCAAAAGGCTTCAGCCACTGCTACCGGCCTCACTCTTGAAGAATTAGCAGAGAATGAGAATGCAATGCAAGCCCCAAACAGAGAAAGCATTTGGTCACCAAGTCAGGCTGCTAGAAGAGATATCATTTCGAAGAACCCCCAAAGATTTATTCAGAAGGATTTGAGCAAACAGCCACAACCATATGCGGCCATCGAGTTGATCGCCCAAGTTCCAGTCAAGTACTTGCACGAAGGTAACATTGCTGTATGCGATGGTAACAGAGGTTCTACTTTGCAGGGTCACCCCAAGGTGTTCATCAACTTGGATCAGCCAAAGCCTGCTACTTGCGGCTATTGTGGGTTGAGATACGCTAAAGAGGAGTTTAGAGAGATCATCGAGAAGGAAGCTTAAATAGAAGTAAGTAAACTCATTGTCATTGCTTGTTCAAAAGTAAAAGTTTACTCTGTGAAAATCAAACGGATCTTTCATCCAAGATACCTGAATTGCCACCTGCAACAGCTTTCATACGAAACCTTGTCAAAATGGGACTCATGTCTCAAGCATAGCATACTATATTTTCAAATTCAAGGTTTTGTTTCTAGTGAACAGTGTCTTCATTTTCCTATTCTGTAGCATCTGTCTCGACCTGACCTTACTTGGCTGTAGAATGTCCGGTGCTGTTTCATCTTATGTATAGTCTCGAGATCTGTATGACTACGGATAGGTTCTGCAACAAAGTTATCAATGTTTATCAATTATCTCGATTAAGGATTTCTACATTTATTAACCATGTCTATCTCTACAGTAAATATTTGTTGGCGTAGTGCATTCTTTTGTTTGCCGTAAACCCGAGATCGCAGTCACACTCCATGTGACTCGTCCCGGGGTGTAAGTACCCCAGATTTTTTTTGTTCGGCAAGTTCACCAGAATTCCTGAAATACTTCAACAGATGGCAGCCTTCCATGACATATTGAGAGGTGTGGGATACGGTATTTGGTACTCACAGCGTCACATCTTCAATTCCTTCTTCATAATTCCGTTGGGAATCTTAGTCCTTTTGACGATCTTGTATGGATTTAACGTGCTACTCTCAGATGTTTTGCAAGTTAAGTTTCCCGCATCCGTTCTAGGGATGTTAATCAATTTGATATCACTTTGTATTCTCAGTTCTATTTCATCGATCGGAAGTACAAGTAGCGCTGAACGGAGTTGGAAAAGTAATGTCGCCGATGCATCACAATGGATATTGGAACATTACTTGATGATAATCAAACCTCTGATGAATTTTACCCTCAAGTGGATAAATGTATTCTTCATACCTTCTTTCATTATTTTACCATTGAGTGAACATATTACATTCATAGAGTGTTTGAAGATTGCTGCCGTTTTTGTTGTTGGTGGTGTTGTTTTGATGGTGTTGGACGTATATATGATCATGTTCTTCAAGATGGTTTTGCATGCACTTGGTGTCTACTCCTTCGATCTGGACAAGCAAAGTGATAAGCTGGACCCGGAGGAAAACGACGAAGAGATTGAACTTTTCAACTTGAATAGGCCATTTGTTGCCACAACCCATGATATTACCACCATTGATATGTCAAACTTACGACCGATCAGAACAGAACCGGCTCATAAGCCTAGGACATTCTCAGTTATCTCAAATCCATTTGATGACCCCACTTCGCCTGAAGTCCAACGGGTGAATACAACTCCACACTTAGGGTCTGGTTCCCAAAGGCAGAAGTGTACGTCTTTACAAGAGCAGACATCGATTGGATCGTCGAATCAAGAAGAGGCAGCTTTGGAGGCTACCGATTTTGATCATTTGTCACTTCTTGCACAAAGGTCAGCCATCTTCGTTACAAACTACATTGACTGGTTTTTGTATTTGATACTTTTCTTCGTGTCGCTTCCATTCTACTACATCAAATCTATCCATGTGATGTTACCATATCACCTAGGATTGACTGTTATTTCATACTATATTGCGTTGCTTCTTCCTATGAAATGGCCACGGCTAAGAAAATTTGCACATCCAATTTTAGTTCTGACAGCAGAGATTCTTTTTGTGTGTTTTATTGGTTCCCTAATCTACCATAAGGGAGAACCAAGTGGATTTTTGCAGGATTTGAGATATTATAAGACGGGAAAAACCTACCTAAATTTGTTCGGCAACAAGACTTTGTGGGATAATGGGCAAGTGGTGCCTGAGTCCGAACTTTCCAAGCACTTCACCTCCGAACCTCTTTGGCCAGGTTGTGGGGATTTCCTTTCTTCGTTAATGGACATTTCAATTGTTTCTTTATCATTACCCATGTTTACTCACAGGAGAGATTTCCTCAAGAATTTTTGGGTGTTGATGCCTCCACTTGTCGTTTCCATGGCCCTCACCTTCTTTTGCTATCCGATAATTTGCTACAAAATTGGAATAAGTTCCGAAAGATCTATCGGTTTCATTGGCAGACTGGTAACTTTGGCCCTCGGAACCCCATTGATCAGTTCTCTTGGTGGATCTGTGTCATTAATGGCAGTTTGTACCATCTTAAGTGGAATATGTGGAGTTCTTATTGGTGATCTGTTCTTCAAATTGTTGAGGATTCCATCAAATGACTTTGTTACGAGAGGTGTGACTTTGGGAATCAATTGTGGTGCAATTGCTACAGCTCATTTGCTTAATGTGGACCCTCGAGCTGCCTCAATGAGTTCGTTGAGTTTTAGCATTTTTGGAACGATAATGATTATTTTGGCAAGTATCGGTGCAGTGAGAGACCTTATGCAGAGCTGGGTTGGAATGTGAGCTAAAAAAGAAAGAATAAAAACACCCTCCTCTCAACAATTATTTATTGAAATGTATCTAATGATGCTATTCCTTAAGGCTCCGCATCTCTGTCGTGCATGTATGACGTACTTGTGGCACTTGACAAGTGCGCAAAGAATCAGAACTGTACGCGTCAAACTGAAAGTCAACGACATGGAGTTTGATGCTGGAGTAAAATTGATCCTTCTCCCGAAGGAACATAGCTCATTTGATATCATATCTTTGCCTTTGGGTGATACCCAGAAGAAGCTTTTAGCCACATCGGAACAATTATATGAACTCCGAGAAGTACATGGATCCAGTGAATATGATGCACATCCAGAACCAAGATTACCATCAGGAGGGCCAGTGAAATCTATTATTCTTGAGAGCAAGGATTCGAATCAAGGCGCGATTTTAAAAGATCCAACCTTAACTACTTGTACTCCATTTAACATCGTGTATTATGTTCTCAATGCAATGTATATTCAGAAAGATAACTACACTACAAGATACCAAACATTGGATGATATTCTAGATGATCTTCGTCTTTCGCCTTGTCATGATACTTTGTTTATGAAGATAAAGCAATGTTTAACGCTTATTTGTACTTCAATTCAAGAAAATGGAGACGAGTTTTTCAAGTTGTCGATCGAAAAAGCGTTTCGATACATTTCAACAAAAGTCGAAGTTCTCAAGAACTTACTAACGAATTCTCCGAATTTTGTGCTTACTGGAAACATTAGGGCCACATTATGTGTTTCAGGTGAAACCCCGGCTCCAGAGATTGTTGATTTGCAAACAACAAGGTATTGTATTGACATGATCTTCGGTTCATATCTATCAGAAAGTGTGAAATGCGATTATCTTGAGCACATGCTCGTTGACTATTCCTCTTTGAACTCCTATTTCAAGGAGATAGAATCCAAAAAGAGAGTGTTGGCAGCCATAGAAGACAACATGGAATCAGTGGTCCTGATAACGAAAAAGGCAAAAACCAAGTCGACGAAGGGGAAGAATACAAGAAAGCCAGTGAAAAAGGTGCCTATTGGTAAGGGCGCTTTAGACAGTTTTTTCGGGAAAACTTAATATATAAGAATCTATCTAGAAGCCCCGACTTCAAGCAACTCCATATGCATAGTTTTGTACCTCTCCTCTTCATCATCCTTTAGCAACTTCTTGATTTGTTCTGTGAGATGTTCTGTAACCTGGAAACTGCTTTTTGCTAACTCCAAAAGAATAGTGCCGTCGATAGGCAACCCTCCATTCTTGGATAATTGGATGAGTTCGCGATTTTTGTTCATAGTGATAACCAATGACCCATCTCTCGTTATTTCTTCTTTCATAGTAGCATCCATAATGGCAATTTCCTTGTTCAACAGCCCTTTAATGTTTTCCTCCTTATCACCGGGGTTGTAAAAAGAATATGTTACACATATTGGAACATGGAGAATGCTTAACGGTACTGGCTGCCTCCCATCTGTATTGTGGATAATGATCTCCGTTCCTTTGATGGAGACATCTGGCTTCTTGAAGTGTTGAAGCGCAGTCATCACACCAATGCATGAAGCATCAATCAATCCACCATCATAATTCAAAAAGTTAATATCAACACGGATATGCCAGACTTTCTCTCCGGCTACAATACACAAGCTCTCGAGATCCAAAGCATTTGATCTTCTCACCGCTTTCTCGATCAATCTTGAAATAAGAACTTCCTCGTTCGAGTTCTTTCCACTTTCAAAAAATGGTGACGCCATCAGGCTGATTTCAGAATTAATAGTGAAGATTCCTTCAAATGGCCTATCGGTAAAAGGTTTACTGATTTCACAACTCACTCTAACTGCAAGTTTTGTCTTCCCGAGCTTCACTTCCACATAACCATATTCAGTCTTGGAAAGCGTAATTTCCGGAGTTCTCATTTGATCAAGTTTGCGCCCATCAAACCTAAGGCCCTGCTTCAAAGATTCAATAAGAAATATTCTTTCATTTGTCGATATCTCATGTTCTTTGGCCATTTTGGACTGCTGCCACAAAGTCATCTCTCTCATCAGTGAAGACAAACTCGTGGTCACGTGATGACATTATTAGGATGTATTGTTTCATGACCCGTAAAGTAAGTTATTGCTATGAGAAAATATGAAAATATGAAAGTAATGAGAATGATGAAGGAGATTCTTTAGTTATTTGTTTTTAATGAATACCTGAAGCTAAATTTTGACGAGCAATTCAGCCCAAGGAAACAATTATGGGGGTCTATTGAAGACAATAGTAACGAGAGCGAAAAATAAAGAAGAAGGAGGGAATACCATCAGTTTATTATACTGATAAGATGCTTTTAGTTGGGCATTATCCCGTTTTGCCTTCTTTGTCTCTGTTTATAATGGTACAAATTAGAAGACCATTGGTAATTGGTTGGTACACGATGGACTTTCAACTGGAGATTGGGGGCAATTTGAATAGCTCTCCGCAAGAACTCCACATCGCAAATGATGATTGCAAAACCAACCAGAGCCGTTATAAGAGGAGCCAGCTTGGCTCGCGGATATACCAGCTCGTTAAACTCCATGCGTCCAGTCTCTCCAGCTTTGAATTTCTTCCAGAAAGAGCGTCTTCCAGCCAATACTATTATAAAGTTTGTTCCCCAGCAAACTGCCTATGTTGTTGAGCGTATGGGTAAATTCCATAAAATTTTACAGCCTGGAATGGCTATTTTGTTGCCGATAATCGATAAAATCACATACGTTCAGTCTTTGAAGGAGAATGCTATTGAAATTCCTTCTCAGAATGCTATTACTGCTGATAACGTTTCCTTGGAATTGGATGGAATTTTATATGTCAAGGTTCACGACCCTTATAAGGCTTCTTATGGAGTTGAAGATTTCAAATTTGCTATCAGTCAACTTGCCCAAACTACTATGAGATCAGAAATCGGTTCCTTGAATTTGGATTCGGTATTGAAAGAGAGACTGATGCTAAACGCTAACATCAACAAGACCATCAACGAGGCTGCTAGAGAGCATTGGGGTGTTGAGTGTTTGAGGTACGAAATCAGGGACATTCATCCTCCACAAAATGTGTTGGACGCCATGCATCGACAAGTCAGTGCCGAGAGATCAAAGCGTGCCGAAATTTTGGAATCTGAGGGTGCTAGACAAAGTAGGATCAACATCGCTGAAGGTGAAAAGCAGTCTATGATTTTGAAGGCAGAGGCCACTGCATTGAGTATTGAGAAGATTGCTAACTCCATCAAGAATACTCCTGGTGGAACCGATGCCATCAACCGTCAAGTTGCACAAGAGTACATCAAGGAGTTCGGAAAGATTGCTAAGGAAACGAACACTGTTGTTCTCCCATCTAATTTGAGCGATTTGAATGGGTTGATGGCTGCCGGATTGTCCATGTTCAAGAATATGGCACATCCCCATGCACTGGCTGTTGAGTTGAAGGAAAAACAAAAGGTCGAGCAATAAAACTATGTATATACTACAAAACGAAAATGAACGTAAATTATGCATTGTAGTCGTATTGTGGAAGAGAAAGTTAATATCAATCAACATTCAAACTCGTAAAAGTCATTCGTTAAAGGGGATCTATGATTTGAAAGGAATGACTGTGGGTGAGGTGCCATTAGAGAAAGAACTAGACTGCTTCTTCATTCTCAAAATCGATATTGACAGGAATGTTCGAATCCTTTCTGGATCTCTTCTTGGTATAAGTCTTCAATCTCAACTTGGTGGCCAAACGGTCAAAAAACTTTGTAAAGTTTGTACGAATACACCACTGGTAGAACCACCACTCTAGTAAGAACACAAGGCCAGCGATCACAAACCCTCCAAATACAGCCAATCCGATGTGGTTTGCCAACGACTTGATTAACTTGGCGTCATCCAAGTGCCACGAAGAGCCAGGGGCAATAGAAAAAAAAGAATTTTCGTGAGTCTTGTAGTCGTCAGGCAAAAGAATTCTAACCTTTCCCGCCTCAGGAACCCCTTTACGCTTATACTGAATCAACATAACAGATAAGAACAACGGACCGGTCGAGAACATTATGGTGATATATGGCACCAACCAGTTGCGCTGATACTTCTTCAAATTGTCAATAACCTTAAGGAAGAAGAGGTGGCCTGGGACAGAGCCCATCACATCATTAGAAATTCCAGTAGGTGCTGTCTCACGAACAAAGGCGGGAACAGTTAGAAGTGGGTCCAAAGTCCTCATACAACCATCATCTAAATCAATGTAAATTCCACCATAGTGAGCAAGAGCAAAGTAACGAATTGCATCAGCTCTTTGGATAGGATAGGGATAAGCATCCCACGTCTTCAAGAACCAAGGATACTCCTCGGCAATGAAATCCCTTGCCATTTCATCAGTCCAGAGAATATATTGGTAGTCTGGATGTAAGTCGACACAAGCTTGCTGGCCAGGTTGCCATGGTTCAGGAATTTCTTCGGTCTTGTAAGTCTGGTGGATGATTTTTGGGATGATGGGACTCTTATCTAGTTTCCCATCGACAGGATTCAACTCGATGTCAAGCAAGGCATCAGCGAATGAATCATCAAAAATGAGACTAATGAGATCAAAACTCAAATAGAACAAAAACAATATCACAGCGGCGTGGCCATATAATATGTATTTCAATTCCTTCCTCATTCTGAATGGGTTCAATGGGACGGTACCAATGCTCAGGAGGTTTGTTGTTTTTCTTGACTTGCTAAGATCAAGAAGAAATATGCGTGATTAACTTGATGTGTAACACTCGAGGTTTGCGCTGAGAAAGTGCTAAAATTAGTTGTAAACAAGATTATTAAAAGTTGAAGAGCGAGGAGCAAACCAGCTAACTTATGAAGAAATCGAAGACCGAGTGGGTAATAGGGAAGAAAAAAGGGAATAAAAAAAGAAATTTCGCATACACTATAATGTGGAGGAGCGCCGGCTATGCTGCCTAATGAGTGACCAGTGGGTTGCTCTACATGGATTTAAACTTGAATATTCGTAACAGATCGCTCAGTGAAAGTACGTTTTGAGGGCATGATGTCAAGAAGTGGGAAATCAGTGTGAATCAATCACTTTGCAAGAATAGATTTTCATAGAACACGGTGAGTAAGGTGACTTGCTCAGCCGAGATTTGACATGTTCGTGCAGGTAGAACAAATAGGGGTAGTTGAGGTCGAAGATTAATAGTCGGCCTGACTCAGAAAAGAATAAAGTCATATTTTTATGGCCGCAGCTGATGACGAAACAAGAATTACATTCGGGTATTCAATGTGCCCGAAACTTCCTATGAGAAGTATTTGTAGAGATAGGGGTTTCAAATATGATCACGTGAGTTACGTAAGGTTGCGAAAGATTGTACATCTGTATCTATTCATGATGTACCAAGGCATAACGGTACAGTAAGTAAAATAGAGTTGAACATCTCCAGTCTCATAATCTCGCCTTAGAATCGGCAAGCTCTCGATCAGGAATCTTATCGACAATGTCGATCATGTAATTGATGGAAATATCGTCCGTCTCGCTTTGGATAAGCAAACGCTCCATAAAGCGGAGCGTAAACTTCAAGTCTTTGGAGTTCTGGATTATAACGTATGCTTTTGTCTTCGATTTGTTCTTGAAGATTTTGATAAGTTTTAAATTATTCAAATAGAACAAGAAGGAGAGCAAGTATTGCTTATTGTAAGTTTCAATGCGATAATCCTTGCTCTCTCTTTGGAAGTTCTTCATGTTATCCTTCTGAATTATCCTCAACAAAGATTTCGTTGTAGGATAGTCCTTCAGCATCAACGAATCGTTAATCAACTGCTGCTCAGTAATGCGATTACTTGACTTCTCATAAAATTTGCCAACAGTGAAATTTAAATTGGAGACACAAATCATGAAGGACTCAATAAAAGGTTGAATAATAGTTGAGAGAACTTGGTGATAATGCACATCCACAATTTCATAATTCTCATTAATAACACCAAGGTCTTTGAAGTGCTTCAAAATGTTGGACAAGCTGTTGTCTGCGTTGTAGTTGTAATCGAACAAAAACTCGTTTTTCAAAAATCCGGTGAAAATGTAGTATAGTTTGTTGATTTGATTCAAATTACTCGTCCTCATCACGATAAAAGAGGCTAAGCATTTGTGGATTATCAAATGAATTGTGAGATTCTTATAATAAAGGAGTTCAAATGAATTCTCAATTTTTATCTGATTTGTGTCAGGGTTAATCCTGTTAAACTTAAAAAATCGTATGACTTGATCTTTGATCAAGTCAACCTTCTCTGCATCTGATAATCCTTTGATGCTGGTTAAGATTTGTTTGTTGGAATCACTCAAATTCTCTTCCAAATAAACGTCAATCAAGAAATTCATCGTAGGAAGCAATTTTTCAATCGGAAACTCCCTCTCCCCATTGAGATAGTAATAAGTTTGTATGGTAACGCCAACCACTGCACTTTGTGGAAGATAAGCAACGCCGTTGATTGCATGCAAAATTTTGAATCCCAACTTTTTCAAATTAACATCTTCATCAGAAATTGTGCTTGTGTCGATGCCATTGATTCGGTTACTTTCATCTTCGATGTATGATGAGAGTGTGAACCTATCCGCGAGTCTAACGAAAATTTTCCCGTGCAAAGTACGATCGTAATTGTCGATGTAGCCATCCTTCAGACGCTTCAATTTCTTGTCTTGTCTATCAACGCCATACAAAAGATTGGATGCTCCATTTGTAAAAATGTTCATAAAGCTCTCTTGCTTCTTGTCTTTTCCAATCAATTCATCAAGGTAACCCTCAGCCTCATAGACTCTTTCATAAGTAAATGAGATTGGTTGCAATAACATATCAAAGTTCAGATTTCCCTCCTGATAACGTTGTTTCAAGTATATAGATGTCAAGGTCTTCAAAATTCCATACTTAGGCAACAATAGTTTTCCATCCCGAGAGCGTGTTCCCTCAATAAAGACTTCGAAATGTAACTTGTTAAGGAAGACAAACTCAGCATAGTTGGTCAAGTTTCTTTCAGTATATAACTCATTGTTAAAGGATCTCTTGATGAATATGGCTCCTAGCCCCTTCAAAAAGCGTCCAAAAACTGCAACATTCAAATTCTCACCCGCAATGACAGTTGGAATTGAGAACAGAAATCTGATGAAGATTAAATGCATTATGACGTAGTCAAGGTGGGATTGATGATTAGGCAACAAGATAATAGACATTGGATTCTTCAAGTATTCTTGGAACAACTCGCTCAATTGTCTGTTATTGACCCACACACCCTGTGGAAACATTTTCGAGAGCGTTTTCATGCAAGTCACATAGCAGACTCTAAGGAGAGAGATTGACATAAATTCTGGGAGGTTCTTCTCATTTTGCTCAGTATAATACTTGACCATGAACTCCTTCACATCTTGGTATCTCTTAGGGAAATCTTTAGCTTTGATGAGGTTCATGCGCAATTCGGAATTCACAAGATCGTAGACAATCTCATCCAATTGCTCGTCTGTCTTCTCTAATCTTTCTTTCATATACTTCTTCGAATGATCGTTGAAACTCTTCGTCAATTTATTAACAGAATATCTGTGTTCATTAACTGAGTAAATTTCATTGTACTTCACTCCCGAAAGGAACTCAATGAAGTTACCTAATATCTTGAAACTCGTCGACACCTTTTCGTTTGGTTCGATGTCAATATAGGTATCTTTGTCAGTGGGCAATGGAATTGTCAACGTAACAAGTGGTTCCGTATTCGCATCCTCGAGAATGTTTACATCGAAATCCGCATTCGCTATGGATTTGCTCATTTCAACTTGACAATTTGGACTATCGCATGGAGTACAGGAAAGCGATATTAATATATCTATATTCTGCACCCAACAATCCGCACCCCACATCTAACTCGCTTCTGGAGTTTAACCTAATCGAGGCATTTTTTTTGTGATTCTCAGATGGGCATTGAAAACCCACCTCATTTAGCTCCGTTTTACATGCATAGTTGTTACAATCTCATGCTTTGCACAGGAAATCAAAAAGAAATATTGTACAATCACAAGGTGACGTGCAGCCTTACTTTCAAATCACATGAAGCTTAATGCTTGTTGGGCAAATAGAAATCACATTCACCGAAGAAAAAAAAAAAATAACAGAATGCTAACCAATGATCATATTGCATTCATCTTATCATCAGTTCATATCCACTGGTAGTCAATATCTACAAGTTGTCAAAAAGGGAAGGCTTTTGAAAATCAATCTGATATACCTGTACGACACCAACTCCTTCCACGGCTAACCTGGCTATCACAAAGTTTGGTCTCCAACCACAAGTTGATGAATCCAGCTACCATTATTCCAAATGAATCACTTATACCGACACTGCCCATAGAGAACTCTCGGCAATCTTTTGCTACCTGTTCACTAACTGACATAAAGGTATTCACATACAGTAAGCCTCCAAGTAGCCCTTCGTAAAAGATCAATAAAAGAAGGAACCAAATCTTCGTAAAGGGAATGTCATATAACGATTGAATCAATGTAATTCCGACATTGATCGTTTGCAATAGACTTAGCACATAAAGTTGCCGAAATCGGACGCCAAATGAAACAGACGATCTAGAAATGAAGACTCCCAATTGATAAAGAAATCCGTACACAACATATATGTCTCTATATGACTGTATGAGCCAAGAGGGAACTTCGTCCAAAGGAAAAAGAAGTGTGGGGGAAATTCCTTGGTTGATGGTGTACTCACCAATATACACAGTGCAAAGTGGAAGCATGTAAGGCCAAAAGAGAGGGTAAACCTTCTTCAAAGTCGTCTTTATGTGGATCATTAGGGCATTTGAATTAATAGAGGTATTAGCTTCATTGGCGGCCATTCCAGGAGCTACTCTCATTTCGTCAATACTGTCCAGATCTGGAAGCATTTGATAAGCCGAATCTGGTGAAACTTGAGGTAGTAAGTAGAAAAAAGCAAAAACAATTCCAAGCGGTGCCACTGCGAATGACAATAAAGCCCCCCAAATTGGAAGTCCGATTATGTTCGTCAATACCATGAACAAAAAACTACCGAGGAGGCCTGCTCCCCCTGACCCCGAGGAAAATCCCCCAATCGCACATTTCTCATCATAATAATGTGTTAGTTGTAGGAATGATAACTCACCCATTCCAGACGAAAGGGAAGCCAACGAGATTCCAAAAACTTTGCTAGCAATTGCATCCTGCGAAGTCAAACTGATAATCAACATACCAGCGAAAGACAAGCCCACTAAGAACCATATTCTTGATCGATAGGGGATGAAATGTATGAAAAACGGTGCAAGTAATTTGATTGTCAAAGATGGAAGAATATCTGCAAGAAGAACAACTGCCTTCGGGGTGGATGCCCCCACAAGATCAATGGCTGCTGAAAGAATAACGACATATAAAATGTTGTTCAGAAGTCCAAATATGAAGAACCCTAAGAACGTTCTCTGTATCTCTCGCATCATTATCCCCATGACGGTAATCGGCGCCCGCCCTAAACAATCACTGGAAGTTGATAGTCTTATTGGAATAAGATACAGTATTCAATAAACATTGCCTCCTGGATGTACACTATTTCGTTTATCTACAACACTTAGATCCCCACGAGACCAACCACTATAACAGCAGTTGCAAGCTCACAGAAACACAGTTGAGTGAAGTTGGAATATCATAAATTATATCATTTCAAGATTAATCACAAGAATTCGTCCTCCGCGTTCTATTTTTGAGTTGACGTCAGCGTTCTGCTACTACCCAAAAGAGAAACTGAACAAAGTACGCTCGCTTTTTATCGAAAATGCAGTACAATCATGTATGCTTCCTCCCCATAAGGTGAGACCAAATGGCAAGTACTGCCACTGATGATAACACCTGTTTCAAATAGCTCTAGCACTAGAAATACGAATTGCTGGGGATACTAACTAAGGCACGAAATGTTCAATTCTCCAATTGCAGCATCATGATTTCCTTCTTTTTTAAAAAGGCATAAACCCTTCCATTGGAGTGGTATATTATAAAATCAATTGATTTGCCTCGAATGAACATTGTAGTTCTACGACACAACCGGTCATTTTGTTCAATACCCGACTGGTCATGATGTGATGAGCGTTCCCTCAAGTATTATAGCTTTTTTTCCCTGTTTTCTTTTTCTTGTTAAATTGATGTTTATTGTTTGCTTGTAGCATCTTTCTCAGTCATAAGGACTTCATATAAAAGTCGTCCAACCTATTAGTCAAATTCAACCCAATGAACACGAACAAGTGATCTGGGACTTATAAAACGTCGTGCTGCACTACATTCGTGGTTGTGCAAAGTTTATTCACGGAGTTTTCCAACGCCGCTTTGAACACCAGTGGAACAGGGCAAACAGGACGGTTGCTATCAATAATACATGCAGGCTCGTTTGCTCAAAGAGTAAGGAAACTTCGGACTACATGACAAGACTATTTCGAGCAATACTTGAAAGACTAATTTTGTCACGTGTATCGGGAGTTTCGTTTATCCGACAATTAAAATAAGTCAACATCTTGTTGCAAAATTCGTTTTTGCAGTAATCAGATGTATGTAATGATCGAGAAGATTTCAGTTTATTATACAAAAATCGATTTGTTTATATTCTGTATCGAGTTTACAAGAAGATTCTGCTAGAATGTTTTGATAAAAGCACGCATAAAATTTTTCGCTGACTCATTGTTAGGTTGGAAATATATTAGGCACATATTGCTGAAGGCTTCATTCCTTAAAAAAATTATACAAAGAAAATATGAGTCAAACTCCCATTCCGGAAGAATATGATGACACTAGAATCTTGGGATACGACCCATTGATTCCTCCCGCTTTGCTTCAAAATGAGATTGTTGCATCTAAAAAGGCATTAGACGCCGTCATTAAGGGCCGTATTGACTCCTCCCAGATCCTCGCTGGTAAGGATGACCGGTGTCTTGTGATTGTTGGACCATGCTCCATCCATGATCCTGCCGCTGCGCTAGACTATGCTGGACGCCTTAAGGCTTTGGCTGAAGAATTGGAGGATGACTTGGTTATTGTTATGAGGGCGTATTTGGAGAAGCCAAGAACGACAGTTGGATGGAAGGGTCTCATCAATGATCCAAATGTCGATAATACTTTCGACATCAACAAGGGGTTGAGAGTGTCGAGACAATTATACGCCGACTTGACTGGAAAGATCGGATTGCCAATCGGTTCAGAAATGTTGGACACCATTTCCCCACAATACTTCTCTGATTTTTTGAGTTTCGGTGCTATCGGTGCAAGAACTACCGAGTCCCAATTACATCGTGAATTGGCTTCTGGTTTGTCATTTCCAATTGGATTTAAAAATGGTACCGATGGTAATATTGGTGTTGCTTTGGATGCTGTTCAGGCTTCTTCAAAGGGTCACCACTTTATGGGTGTTACGAAAAATGGCTTGGCAGCTATAACGACCACCAAAGGAAACGAAAATTGTTTCATCATCTTGAGGGGAGGAAAAAATTTCACTAACTACGACCCAGAGTCGGTTGCAAAAGCAAAGGAGAGTATTGCAAAGAGCACTGACCCAAGCATTAAGTTGATGATTGACTGTTCTCACGATAATTCTAAGAAAGACTACAAGAATCAACCTGTGGTCTTGGAGTCGGTCGCCGAGCAAATTTCCAATGGTGAATCTTCTATTATTGGTGTCATGATTGAGTCAAACATTAATGAGGGTAAGCAGAGCATGCCACCTGGTGATGTTGGAAAGGAGTCTCTTAAGTACGGCGTATCTATCACCGACAGCTGTGTCTCTTGGGAAACAACCGTCACTATGTTAAGGAAATTGGCCAAAGCCGTTCAAGAGAGAAGAGGTAAGACTGAGGCTTGAAAGAGTCTAATTTTTACATAAATTCAAAATTATATATCAAGTTCAGTTAACACAACTAATTCTCTATGGCCCAGGGAAGGTCATAAGCCCTCCTAATTTCTTCGCTATCCAATTCGTTATTGCTAGCAATTGCTGTCAAGAATGAGCTAATCGAAGGATTACTAATTGAGTAGCCATGAGATCTTCGGAAAGGGTTTCGTGATGTCTTTTTAGTTAAGAGTGGGTCATGACAGCCGTACCAGTCCTTTTCGAATAGCTCACGAGCATGGCGAGCCTCACTTACGTCAAGGTCCTTAAAATAACGATATCGATCCTCTTTATTGTTATAAGATGGATTCGGATTGTTGCCAACGTAATGAATTCTATGACGAGGGAACTTGAGAGCTTGGTGAAGGTGTTGTTCAATGAACCTTTGGCGCTTGAATTCAAACCCCACAACAGTAATTTCGCTGGGATAATACTGAAATATTTCATAGAATCTGCAGATCAGAAATAGCACATTTTCAAACGAATCTCTTGCGTACTCCTCAAGAAATATACTGTCAGAATAAAATTCCCAGTCCTGGGGTGCCAATGCGGATCCAAGTTGAAAATATGAAAGAGATTCCAGAATTGGACCAGAATCCTCTTTTGTTTGACCACCTGAAATTATCAATACTGCTTGATTATCATGCTTCAACTCCAGTATACTTTTAATAACATGCTCTTTGAAACATAAATGATCGTTTCCATCAAGCTGAAAAGATGCTAAAGCCCATTCATCTCTCAGCTCTCCTAGAGTAGGACCGGGTGTCCAAATTGAGTGACATGGTAAGACTATTAGTTTTTGTTTTTTAATGAAGTTCATATTTAAGTATTTCAAGGTTTGAGAGTGTGTGTGTGCAAGTATTCAAAACATCCAACAAGAGCTTTCCAATGACAAAATGCTGCAATCACAACCATAACATGAAAAATTTGGTGCGAATGGCCAAATAAATCAAATTTTCCACTTACCGGATTCTCGAGTAATCTATTATCTGATTCTTTGTGACTGAATCTTTCTGGAATTCTCATGGCATAAAGACTGGCGCCGAAGATATAAAAGAACCCTTCAGCGATCAACCAGCCTGCCTTCGATCGCTCAGACGCACTCTCCACTCCGAATATACTCACTGCGGTTAAGACAGGCAATACGCCCGACAATCCAAATAAAATGAACATGAGCGATCTAAACGGCCGGTACTGTGGGGTAGAGAACTTCTTATTGAAAGTAACAATAGTGCAAATTCCGCCTAGAGCTAAGAAAAGAGAAACATAGAAGTTCCTCCAATTCGGAATGTCGTAGAATGCAAATAGCATGATTGAAATGAGAGAGCAGGTGATCATTATTATGATCCCCAAGTAATCACATTGATTTCCAAATTTGCAAACTGAAGGTGAGTGGCACTTAAACAAATGGAACAGCGCAGACAGTGCGAGGCAAAAGGTAGCCGCGAATCCAAACTGTGTGAAGTTTAGCTTTTCCCAGTACCTCAAATCATTATTGTATTTCTCCATTTCCCAACCGACGAAGTTTCCCACAAATACTGCCACCAACACAGACGGCACAAAGTGTGAATAAATATTACCCGTTTCGTTATGTATATATGTAAGTGATTTTAAGCAATTAAGATAGCTTGAGGTCTCTTTGACATATCCCGATAAGATGTAGTGATTGTCCTGCTGCCATTCGTCTAGTTCATGGAAGTAATACAATCGTTTCTGCTCTTCTGGGTTGTCACTAACATCCTGTGAATTATGATTTGATCTTTGGCGCAATTCCATATCAAATAAAGTTGACTTGTTGTTCTTTCAAAAGAGAAGTGAGTTTAATCGACTATTTTGCTCATGCAATCGGCACATGATACAAAAGTTGGGTTATTCTGCATAGATATGAACTCAGATAAACGACGGCTCTATTCTTTCCACTAGCTCCGCATATAACCTTAATTTCTCGTTAATATCCACTTGATTCAGTTGCGTGCCATCAATCTTTAAGCCCATTCTTCCATCGAATATTTCTCCCGTGAAGAATAACTTCCAATTGGAATCATCCGCACTGAAGGATCCTCTGCACCTATCGAAGTACCATTTATTGACTGGGTTGTTTTTGCGAGATCTCCAAAGTAGCTCTGACTGATGGCAGCGATAAATGAGTTTGAAGATTATATCTGCAAGACTTGGCAAACCCTGGTACTCTGAAGCGACTGCGAATTTATCTAAGTAGGCCACCTTTTCCCCATTTGTCAACTTTTCCCAAGTTATGATCGCAGCGCCAACATAGTCACCAACAATAATTATACTAGCTAAATTTTCATTTATACGTTCAATATATGAATGAACATCAAGCTTTCTTCCAAATGAATCATTCATCAATTCAAAGATTCTATTCTCATCAATAAGACCAGAAGTCACTAATTTCTTAAAAGTTAATTCACCTTCAACGGAATGCTCATCAATCACGATTACTTCGAAACCCTTCTTTATTATCGAAGTTGAAACTTCGGGAGTGCGCAAGTGGGTGGAAGGGAGAGAAGACGAGATAATCGGTCTATCTGTCAAAACATTGTAAATAATAGGATTGAGCTCGTCGTCATTCAAGGACATAATTTCAGGTGTCGTAATAATTCCCGTCGCTTCATTGGTAGCAGATTTCAACTTCGCTAGCGTTAGAATCTTGTTCATTGTCTTGAAGTTATCCAAGTGTTTGTCTCTAGTCGTAGGATCTAAAAACCCGATAAAGAGTTCAGAAACAATATCCGAGTACTCCTGAGATAGATTAATGTACACATGACTTGTCTGATTCCTTTCAATCGATGGAATTCCACCCAACTTGTCGATAACAATTACTTTCTCAACTGTTAACAATTCTGGATGCTCAAGTAACTCAGAACAAACGGTACAGAGTGCTTCATTCGATGTCACAAAATTTTGGCTCCCATCGGTCACATTATATTGCAATGGTTGAACAATAGGAATGATGCCTTGATAAAGTGGGATTAGTAATTGCTCTAGGCTCGATAATTTCATTTGCTGGCATTGGTCAATAAATAACGATCTGAGGATCGTTGACTCAACTGTTGTCCCTTCGTCAGAGGTCACAGATAATTGCAGCAGTAATTTGTACCCTTGTTTCATCATGTAGGCAGCATTTGTCTTGAAATCCTTTTGAGACAAATGATCATGATCTAGAATAATAATTGGGGATATTCCTAGAGTGACGAGTCGCTTAAAGGTCTCGGAAACCCCTTTCCAAGTTTCTGGACTTTCATCCAGGAGTGAAAGTTTCACTAGTGCAATTCGCAATGGAATTTTCTGAAGTTTTGTTTCGTCATCTTCATAAATGTTGAGAAAAGGATTCTGGTTCCTCAAGAATCTAGTAATAAAGAGGTCTCTTTGATTTTCAGCCTTCGTTAAATGTCTGTCTTTCAGGGAATTGTGGAAATTAGATTCACCATCTGAGAATTGGTTCTGATACTTCTGAAGATAGTTTTTTGCCTCTCTTTTTGTGGTTGTCGACTTCAAAATAGACAAGATGAGGTCTCTTTTTGCTTTCGTTGCATTATCTGTCGACTTGAAATTCGAAACCAATTGTGAACCTAAATTCTTTAGCTTACTCATACTGTAACTTCAACTGATGATTCATTCTATTATCCACACTTCTCATGATTTGATCACGTGACCAAAGTGCTACTCCAAATCTGATTCGTTATCATCATCTTCGGGTGCAACGTCTTCCGGTCTGACGCTGTGGTGTAGCTGAAGCAACTTTCCCATTATACCAAGTACAAATGGACGAATTTCGTTGATTTCCATTAATGAGAGGCCATGAAGCTGGATGTTGGATTCATTCAACTCACGCAATCCCCGGCGAGCTTTCAATTGGCGCATTTCCCTTAAGTCTTGAATCAAAGATCTTAGTTGACTATGAGAATCTGTAAGATCATCAGATGCTTTGGCAAGAATAATGTTTGATATTTCGAGCCAATTCCATGGTAGATCAGAGAACAGGTCAGTGAACCTTTTCTCTTCCTCGTATTTCTCTTTGAGATAACTGTAAGAAAGCCAGCCCGGGGGGATTATATTACATTTATCTTGTGCCTTCAAGATTAATGCAACCCATAAGGGAACTTCCATTCTCCTCATGGCTTTCAATGGTGCAACTTTTGACTGGAGAATTAGTAATGTCGAGCAGCCGAGGAAATATAAGTTCAGATGAAACAAGACAAATAAGTTTCTCTTGAACATCCGTTCTAACATCGCTGAAATTGTAACGTACGCCAATTAAATCTAATCGTTTCATTGAGTATCTTGGAAGAATTGTTATGAGCTCGTTCTCTGATAAGAACTGAACCTCCGACGGCAAAAGTCGTTGGTGCATCGATTTGGGCAAAACCATTTTGCAAGATATTGCGGATGTACTTATAATGTTTGCAGATGCTTTATGGTGAATGTTGTGTAGTTATGCAAGTTCTAGTTTACAGGTATTTTTCTTGTGGTGTATGGGTGTGAGCTTTAACGTGTTATTTCGGTAAACCATTGAACATATTCGTCGAACATCATCTCCTTGAAAGGCTGGTCATCCGAGCCTGCCAATTCACTTTGCAGATGTGAAAGAATTGCCCCAAAGCACTTTCTTAGTGAGGTAGCCAAGGATGCTCCCTTATTGCGAAAGAAGTGGATCTCAGCAGCTATTGGTTCATGGACTGATAAAGATCCATTTCCGGGATCAGTTTCTCTTCGTAGCAAATGGGGAATGACCACGGTGTCTCTGAATGCTAAAAGAAGTGCATTTTCAATCTGTACATTCCATGACTTTTGTCCGTTATTGACTTGAACTCGTTCCTCGTCATCGAAGTGTTTTTGCAATTGTTGGAATGCATTCAAAATGAAAAATCTTACTTTTGAATTAAAGTATTGCCAAATGAGTTCGATTCGTCTCCATTCTTGTAAATATTCGTACTCATATGAGTGTTCTGTTGATATTCGGTCTTCGAGTCTCGGTGCATGTTGACTTTCGCTTCGCATACTTGACATACTTCTTGTCATAGAATCCCAGCTATCAAAATTCCTGGTATCATCAGCCAACAACAGGCAATATTTCTCGAAGTAGAATGATAAATGCTGACCAAGTTCCTTTCGTCTTAAATCTTGAATGTCCTCCTCAAGATTCTCGGTGATCGAAAGGTTTTCAGAGCTTCCCTTCTCGGACTTTTCATCGGAAATCAGTACTCCTTTGTGACGTAGTGTGTACTTAGAAGTCAGTAATGACCTTGCAGAACAGATTATTCTTTCTTCAACAAATCTTTTGGCCTGCTCCATTGTCAAGGTCATGTTCGGGTTCGAAAGACCGTTTGTAAGTATTGTTTGTTTGGAGGGTTGAAACAATGGTTTGAGCAAATCGAACAACGAACCAAACAATTCTTCAACTTCAGACTCCTGACCGTCAATTGATTTTCTGAGCAAAACGTCATTTGACAAGATTTCTTCATTGACTCCATTCTCAGTTCTATGTGACTTTGACGATGCGATGTACTGATCTGCAGAAGTCATGTATATTTTATGAAAATCCAGGAACATCAAACTTTCGGAGTTTTCCTCAAATTCAGAGACAGAATAATCTGGATCAGTAAAATTGTAGAGTACTGCAACTTTAATATCTGAGATGAAGGAATTCGAGCTTTGAGATGAAAGATCCATTGCAGTCCTGTGGTGTTTGGGGTGCCGAGGCTTGGCTTCCTCGTTTCCAGATTGTGCTGAATCGATCTGGTTGTGTTGACGATGAAAGAGACCCCGTGAAATCGGAGAAGATAAAGCCTTTTTGCTACCAAATTCATCTGACGTTGCCGAACTCAAGATCTTCTTTGGAACCTTTAAGGAATGATGGCCGGTAGTTTGAATAGTGAGGTCTGGTCTTGTCACCCCCTTGTTGCTAAACTTCAACTTTGATCGCAGCTTCCTGGATATCCTGAACAATCCAGATCCTTTTTGAGACATACTATTTTGGTCATCGTCAATTGAAAGCCTGGATTTATCATCAAAGCTTTGCATCAGTGACAAGTCTTCATGTATTGTCAGTGAAGATCGATTTCGGCTAAATAATTTGCTTATAGGATTAGGCTTGATAGTATTCGAAGTTGCTACACTCAGATTCAGTGAGGAGCTCGTGATCTGCTTTTTCAAGGTATTGAATCCAACGCTTGAGACTTGCGTTGGAAAATTCTGAAACTGAATTGTAGACAGTGATGAATCATTCGAATGTAAATAAATCTGATTTTGCGGTTGCTCCGATGAGGACATGGCCACGAACAACCTGCTACTTGAAGTTCAACAGAATATTGCACCAAATACTGCACAATGAAATGAAGTCTGAAAGAGCACTTATTGGCAATTCATCAAATCCTTTTCACGAATCAAATTTATTTTTTAAAGTGTGTAATTTCCATTCCTCCCTAGCATTTTTATTTCTTTATTTCAGATTAAGAACAAGCAGTTTCTGTGAACAATACTTGCTAACACACCGGAATATTTTGATCATTTGTACTTAAGTTGTGTACATAGTCTGGTCCTAAATTGAACAAGATTTATTTGCTTGTTGTAGTGCAATCCGATAAGCGTTTGGATTATGTAAAATTCGGTGGGCATTGAGAGTGTTCCAATCCCCCTGTTTCAGTAAACTATGTAAGAACTTAGGATAAAGTATTGCCAGCTCTGTCACATTTTTCGACGCAACAACGTTTATAGTGAAACTTTAAGAGGTAGAGACTGTGGGGAAGTAGTTTCATTATTGAGAGATACTAGCTCCAAAGATAATGATTTTTGGACTTGAAAACAGTGGAGAGGACAAAGTTATGATCTTCCATAATTCAGCATGTTTCTTCCGATGACTTTCTTCAAATGTTAACTGCAGTGTCATTATTGTGTCTCTTTGGAAAACATCCTGCAATACTACAAATAGCTCAAACGAAATAAACGAAATTACTTTCGATCATCACAAATCCTCTTCTTTTAATTCAGTATTGTGAGATCGGTACTATGAATTTATGATCACCTTGCGTTTCATTTCATATTTACAAAAGTATATCACCACAACTTCCTTGGGTTGCGCTTCCTTCCATTTACGCGCGAAGACATAGGTATATTAAGCATTCAAATCAAAACAAAACTAATACGTCAAAAATTAGATCCACGGAGAAGAGATGGACAACAGTGACAACAGGAAAAAGGGAGATGAGAAAGTTGAAGCCTCTAGACGTCCGTGCTCTTCGATTCACTGGGATGCCATATTGATATTTCCTTGCAATATCTTGCGAACTATCCTAATTAGGCAGAATGTCAATAAACAAAGGAGTCATTGATTTAAAATAGCCCTAGAATTCGCTATAGTGTTGAGTTAATACTTTATTACTTGAAGTCATCATGGCTAATCCCTTTGAAGAGGATGATCCTTTTATTGATCCAAACGATCTTGTTGTACCCAACGCTGCTTTTACCAGTGATAGATCTTCCCCAAGAAGATACTATCAATTAGATAATACCGAGGACCATCTGGACGACGATGAATCTAGTTTTGCAGGGATGCCAATGTCAGTTCAAGGAGTTTCGCCTACTCGCCAATCTCCCAATATTTTCATTAGAAGCTCTACCCACGCGAGGACTTTGCAGCCAGGGTTGAACCAAGCACCAACTCCTTCATTAAGTTATCAGGGACAGAATACTTTGAGGAAAGCATTCACCAGCCAAGAGAGCCCAAAGCGCCAGAGAGAAAATAAGATCGTAATCAATGCAAAACGGGACGACTTGGATGGATCTCCCCAGAGAAGTTTGTTCTCAAAATCTGAGACGTCCAATCCAAGTGAACGACTTTTGGAACCGCCCCAACCCATTTTCTCCCCTCAGACTTATGCAGAGGCAAACATTAATAATAGCCATGGCTCATTTAAGTCTTCAGATGAACAGACGCTTGGTCTGAGCAATGGCGAATACGCCTACGATGAATACCAGAAAGAATACGAAGACCAAGAGTCCTTCTCCGACGCTAACACGGCCTATACTTCGAGCTCTTATTCTAAGCTGGACCCTGATAGAGACTACTTTGCAAGTTCTATTGACAGAAACGTCATGAAGAATATCGAACGAGGGTACGTACCGAATAGAGAAAAGACATTGACAAAGAGGAAAGTGAGGCTAGTGGGAGGAGAGACGGGGAACTTGGTTTTGGAAAATCGCATTCCTGATGAATTGAAGAAGGTGTTGACGAGAACTAATTCTCCCTTCGGAGAGTTCACCAGCATGACCTACACAGCTTGCACTTCCGAGCCTGATGATTTTGTGAAAGAGGGTTTCAGTTTGAGGGCTGCAAAGTATGGCAGAGAGACAGAATTGGTAATCTGCGTAACCATGTATAACGAAGACGCCCAATCTTTTGCTCGAACAATGCATGGGATAATGAAGAATGTCGCCCACTTGTGTTCAAGATCGAAATCGTCTGTTTGGGGTAAGGATTCATGGAAGAAAGTCCAAGTGGTCATTGTGTCTGATGGAAGAAATAAGATTAACGAGAGCGTATTGCAACTATTAACTGCAACTGGGTGCTATCAAGAAAACTTAACCAGGCCGTATGTCAACAACAAGAAAGTGAATGCTCATCTCTTCGAGTATACAACACAGATATCGATTGACGAGAATTTGAAGTTCAAAGGAGACGAAAAAAGCTTGACTCCTGTTCAGGTTCTCTTCTGTTTGAAGGAAAGGAATCAGAAAAAGATCAACTCGCACAGATGGCTATTCAATGCATTCTGTCCGGTTTTAGATCCCAATGTTGTCATTTTGTTAGATGTGGGAACAAAACCAGATAATCACTCGATATACAATTTATGGAAAGCATTCGATAGAGATTCAAATGTTGCTGGCGCTGCTGGTGAGATCACTGCAATGAAAGGGAAAGGTTGGATAAATTTAACAAACCCCCTTGTCGCTTCCCAGAATTTTGAGTACAAAATGTCCAACATTTTAGATAAACCATTGGAGTCCGTTTTTGGCTATATTTCTGTTTTGCCGGGTGCTTTGTCTGCTTATAGGTATATTGCATTAACAAACCATGCAGATGGAACTGGACCTCTTGCATCCTACTTCAAAGGAGAAGATTTGTTGACTTCACATCACAAAAAGAACAGCAAGACCAATTTTTTTGAAGCCAACATGTACTTGGCAGAGGATAGAATATTATGTTGGGAGTTAGTCGCGAAGAAAGGAGAGAATTGGGTACTTAAGTTTGTCAAGCTGGCAACTGGTGAGACTGATGTTCCCGAATCAATACCGGAGTTCCTATCACAGAGAAGGAGATGGATCAATGGAGCATTCTTTGCTGCATTGTACTCCATGCGCCATTTCAAACAAATCTGGAGTACAGATCATTCAGTTGTCAGGAAATTCTTCTTCTGTGTTGAATTTGCCTATCAATTCATCACTCTTGTTTTCTCGTTTTTCTCATTGAGCAACTTTTACCTTACATTCTATTTCTTGACTGGAGCATTGATAAACGAGCAAAGCTTAGGAAAAGGTGGATTTTGGATATTCACAATATTCAACTACCTTTGCATTTGTATTTTGACCTCACTCTTCGTTGCATCAATTGGTAATCGACCTCAGGCTTCTAAGAATATCTTTAAATGCTTGATCATATTACTTACTATTTGTGCTCTCTATGCACTAATTGTGGGCATCTACTTCGTTTGCAATGCTATCAAGCTGTTTCAAGTTGGACATTCATCGAATTATGTCTTTGTTAGCATTGTGGTTTCTATTTTGTCAACATATGGACTCTACACATTGATGTCAGTTTTATATTTGGATCCCTGGCATATGATTACCTGTTCAGTGCAATATTTCTTGATGATTCCATCATACACTTGCACTCTTCAAATTTTCGCTTTCTGCAATACCCATGATGTGTCCTGGGGAACTAAGGGCGACAACAACCCCAGAGAGGATAGATCAAATCAATACATTATTGAGAAGAATGACGAGGGCGAGTTTGAAGCTGTCGTATTTGACTATAATATCGATGAAGTGTACCTCGAAACGCTCTACAACATTCGAGCACAAAGATCGAACAAGAAAGTTAAAAGTCAAACAGAAAAAACAGTCAGTGTAGACGGTGAAGATTATGCTAAAGATGTGAGAACAAAAGTTGTGCTTCTCTGGCTTGTTTGCAATCTTGTTTTCATCATGACCATGTTACAAGTCTACGATGCTGGAGAAACCACCAGAAACTATTACTTAGTATTCGTGCTTTGGCTTGTCGCAATACTTGCTTTGTTCAGAGCGGTGGGTTCTCTAGCATACCTCTTTCAAAACCTTGCAAGGAGAGCAGTTGAAACGACAAGTAAATGGAAACACAAGAGAGAAGGTTACGCAGTCACCCGTCCTAATGCCCTCAACTGAGTGGAACCCTCCTTAAATGTGATTTTTAATTGTCACTTCCTGAATCCAATAATCATTCGACTGTGGTCTTGATAGGGTAGGTATAGGAATGGACAGAGTTGAAGCTGCAATGGATACTTGTGATGAATTATAGATATGTTGAAAGTATAATAAGATGTCAGCTAAATCATGGAATGCACTGTTCTTTTTGCGGTTAAAAGACACTAAGTTTATTTCTTTGGCGTGGACTACTCACATCACACTTGCCTTCTTGATCCATTCATAACCATTTATTGTTTTATAGTTCGAGAAACCAGTACATCACATAACAACTCATTCGCATTATATACAGTTATCATCATAAGAGCAGAAAAAAAAACTCACATCTAGGAATATTTACTGAAATGGTTGCTTTGAAGCGAGAAAAACGAGCTGGTTCTCCAGCTGCAAATGGTGAAGTAAAACGATTGAAATCCACTTCATCATCTGTTTTGCACAGCTATTCGAAGTTGCCCAATATCAATCAAATCCCGACAGTAAAGACATTACCATTGAACATATTTGTCTGGGGAACTGGCTCAATGTGTGAATTGGGATTAGGTCCAGATGCTAGAACGAAGGAGGTCAAAAGACCTCGGTTGAATCCATATCTTACCAAGGAGAAGCTTGGAGCAGATGGAATCGTTGATTTTGCTGTAGGTGGAATGCATGTTCTTGCTTTGGATAGCAGAAACAGAATTTGGTCATGGGGAACCAATGACTACAAAGTTTTGGGCAGGGATACTTCAAGAGCAAAAATATCCATGAAATCAATGGATGAAAATGACTCAGATGATGAAGACGGTGATTTGAATGAAGCAGAATCAACGCCGGGTCTCGTTGAAAACTTGCCCAAGGTTAAAGCAACGATTGTTCAATTGTTAGCAACCGACAACTTAAGTGCAGCTTTGTACAGTGATGGAAGTGTGTATGCTTGGGGTACATTCAGATGCAATGAAGGTATTCTAGGGTTTCTGAAAGATACAAGTGTGCAAGCAACTCCTCGTAAACTTGGACTCAAGAATATCGTTCAGCTTGCAGGGGGCAAGGATCATGTTTTGGCCCTTGACTCTAAAGGTGTCGTCTACGCTTGGGGTAACGGTCAGCAGTTTCAGCTAGGCAGAAAAATCTTAGAAAGGCATCGTTTGGCATCACTAGAACCACATCAATTCGGTCTCTATGATATCAAATACATTGCAAGCGGGGATTTTCATTGTTTCGCAATCGATAAAAATGATAAGGTCTTCACTTGGGGATTAAATCAATTTGGACAATGTGGTGTTACCAATGAGAATGGAGATCTTGAAGATGGTTCTTTGATAGTAAAACCGAAAGAGGTACCTGAATTGGAAAATTTGCGAATCCAACAGATTGTTGCGGGTGAACATCACACTTTAGCGCTCGCAAATAACGGACACATCTTTGCTTGGGGTCGGTATGATATGAAGGAAGTTGGAATCAGCAAGACTGACCTCCCACCGTGGACGTATTATGATGAACATGGCACGGCTAGGTCTGTCCCGAGACCAACTGAGTTGAAGTTCTCCGCAAAGAATGACTTGAAATTCAAAACCATAGGTGCGGGCTCACATCATTCATTCGGTGTCACAGACGATGGCATGGTGTATAGTTGGGGATTTGGGGATACGTATGCCCCTGGACTTGGCCCTCTTGATGGTGACGTTGAAATACCCACAAGAATCATTAATACAGCTACAAAAGAAATGGACATTCTTCTCATCGGGGCAGGTGGACAATTCTCCGTCAGTGGAGGTGTTAAAATCTTGAATGAAGATGAAATTGAAGACCGAATTGAGAAATATGAAGAATTAGACTCCTGAAGCTCAGATCGAGAATTGGATTAAGATTATGCAACGGACGTAAATGTGCTGTTGCGCCTAATGTCTATATTTTTATATGTATTCAGATATGGAAGACATTTTTAGGAAACGTAATCGACGTATCCTAGGCAAGACTCCTAGTGAAACTTATCTAAAACTAATGGCAAACTATCTCCGGTGTTGGATGAAGTTTGACTTCTTGAGATAAGGTATTCCCTGCGCCCCCAGCACGGAGATCCTCATACCTCAAGCTTTGTTTAAAAGGGATTTCAAGTTTCTCCTCACTTCCGATAATCTCCAACCCGACCGTTGCAAGAATATTAAACGAAAATAACCTGGTGAATATAAACTATTAGATTGATAGAAAAAACGCTTCTGTCTCCTTTGTCTAAATAAACGCTTATGATTTTTTCAAATACATAGGCAGCTTCTTACCTCGCACAAGCGTAAGAAATTCAATATAAATTTATTCCAAGTCTGAAAAAACCAGTTCTAAGATTCCTTCTCAAACGCAAAGTTTTTCACCACCAAGACAATGTACTTTTAATCAATCCATCAATTTCCGACTAAACAAATACCACAAAACAATATATCTAAACCAACAAATTAGATCGCTAACTCTGTAGGATGCATTTAGAATTCCTTTTTCTTTACAACAATTGTAACCTTTTAATATAATCAATTTTACTAGTTTAATGCTCAAGAATATGGACATAGGGTATAAGTACAGATCAACATAAAGCATAAAGAGAAAGAAAATAATCATGAAGTTTTCTATTAAATAAATGTTGTATAATCAATAGAACCTACATCTCTTGAACTGATCTAAGTAGTGTATGGGGATTGATGAACCTACTTATATTGATAAGTGCATAGTATCCGGAACTTTCCACTTGATGGCATTTAACTCTCGAAAGTGTTATTTCCAATATGACTAGCCTTACTCCCAATATGAAGTAATTTACTTGAAGTCTCCTACAAAGTATTAATAATGGTGACGAAATAAATTCCAAGATAAAATTTTGAGAGTATTCTTACGTTTAGTTGATTGCAATTGGAATCTACAGTGTCAAGGAGTATTTTTGATAAAGGTCGCACCTGAAGCATTGTGATATTGTTATAGATGCCATTTAAAATTCAATCAATTAGTTAAGAAAACAAGATGATGAATATCAATTCTTCCTACTATAAGAATATTTGTCGTACAGAATTTTGTGTTAAATTGGTAATGGGTATAATTGTTTCATCCATGGAGTGATTGTTCTTTAATTAAATTTTGCAGTATTTAATTTTTATTGCTTGGTATTTAGCAGTAAAAGAATAAAGTTCAAGATAGATATATATATTGAATATTGTTTCGGGTCGATTCATTTTTTAATTTTTGCAGTGATAAAAGATTTTAAGGAAAGGTAAGTTATTGATTGACATTTATTCGACTTCATTGTTGTCTGTATTGTTTAATGGAGTGGTTTTTTATGTTAATATTTAGATTTCTGGTACTAGTTTGTCAATTGATTTGTTCTGAGTAAGTCTATATTGATATTTATTTTTAAGAAACTACTCATCAGGGGTTGATGGAGAGTACTTTTTGTACTTGTGATCAAACTGCTTCCCAGCACGACATTTGTATCCGTTAAGATTCAGCTTGAGCAGACCCAGAGTTGAAGAATCGCAAGACCAGTCTTTCAAAGACCTAAGTCCAGTTGTGACGATATGGCTTTCTCGCGAGTCTGAATCATTCCATAACAGGTTTTCTATTGAATTGAGAATATTTGTTTTCGATTTTTACTTCGAAATTGTGGAAAGTAGTTGACTCTTGAATTTATGAAGAATGCAGATTAAAGTGTTGTAAGGTTTGCTCAGCATAGAAAGATATATTTGAAAGGAATTCTTTTTAGCTCAATTGATGCAAAATTATGTCTTAGTGGCTTGAAGTGTATTTTCTTCTCTTTTGTTATCTCGATAATTCGGGTGAATTGTAGTTTGAATGAATGGTGACATGGTTTTGAGTTGTTAATTATTGATTCATTGGCTTATTTTTTGGAATAGAATAATATCTCGCGAGATGGTAATGTTCCCCCTGCGCCTTTAGAAAATTTATATTGCTGGATAAAATTTGAGGATGGAGTTTATTTTTGTTTTATAAATTAGGATTTTTGTCTTCGGTATTTTCGAGCCAAGCTTGGAATTTCACGCTAGATTGGACTTTGCGCGTGGAGCTGGAATCTATTGTTTGATGTGAGGAGCAGGATGCACGCCTTCGAATTTCAGTATGTTTTGAGCATCGAATCGGAGCGAAAATCAACATGGTGCGTTGGCTGAGGATTGTATTCTCCCTAGTGTTACAGACATTTGGATACTTGATTTTCTTGAAAGGATTCTTTCCTCCGAAGGTGGTTCTTGATGGTGTCAATACACATCTGAATGGCTTCTCACTGTTCGAGGTCGAGGGAAGTGCCCTCTTTGATAAATTGATAGTCATGGTGGTGGATGCAATGCGGTCAGACTTCATGTATTCAAGTTCAGCGTCGAATATGCCGTTTCTTCATTCAATTATAGAAAGTGGTAATGCAATTCCATTCACAGCTTATTCGAATCCACCAACTGTCACGTTGCCTCGCTTGAAGGGAATCACAACTGGTGGCACTCCAAGTTTTATTGATGCCATTTTGAATGTTGCGGATGACAAAGATGATTCTCAGAGTCTTGCTCACACTGATTCATGGATTCGCCAATTCAAAAACATGGAGGGTGGCCGTGTTATTCATTTTTATGGTGACGATACTTGGCTCAAGTTATTTCCTCCAGAAGAATTTTTCGAGAAATATGAAGGAACAGGATCATTTTTCGTTAGTGACTTCACTGAAGTAGATAATAATGTTACTAGACATTTGGATGGTGAACTTAAGGACAATTCTTGGGATGCTCTTGTATTGCATTATCTAGGAATGGACCACATTGGACACAAAGGAGGACCAAATTCGCCTTTCATGAAACCCAAGCAGGGAGAAATGGATGAAATAGTTAAGAGGATTTATTCAACCAATGTAAATTCCTCCTGTTCCACTTTGATGGTGCTTATGGGCGATCATGGGATGAATGAAGCCGGAAACCATGGGGGGTCTTCTCGAGGTGAAACAAGCCCTGGCATGGTTTTGATATCCCCGAAATTCAACCAACTTTCTAATAACATAGCATGTCCTGCTGATGCAAAGGAAGAATTCGATTACTATTCTCACATTTCTCAGATTGATCTTGTACCAACACTTGCTGCTCTCTTCAATTTCCCGATTCCAAAAAACAATTTGGGAGTTGTAATCCCTGAAGTACTTGGTCTTTGGGGCTCATATGAGTCCAAAAAGAAAGTCTTGCTCGAAAATTGTGAGCAATTCATGGGGTTGCTCAATGTGTCATACTCCCCTGAAGACCACGATTTTGTGCTTATTAGAGAGGAGTTTCAAAGTATTAAGCACAAGGTGCATGATTTAGACGTGATCATCAACTTTCTTAGGAAAGTACAAAGCTTACTTACTGAATCTGCTACGAACTACTTATACCCTGAAATTTGGACTGGTTTCGGCTTGATCATCCTTGCATTCATTATGGTTGCAATCGAAATCATTACATACTTCTTAAAGGAGACCCAAGTCACTCTGATGGAATGTTCCTTTTTTGTTTGCATTTGTGTTTTGTACTCCTTGCATTTTCATGGTTCATCATTCATAGAAGAGGAGCATCAGATTTGGTGGTTTTTCACTGTTGTTACCCTTGTGAGCACGTTCATTCAACAAACGTCAAATGGAATAGTCTGGGCCCTAGCATGCATTTCATGTCTACGTGTAATAAAAGGTTGGAATGACTCGGGACAGAAATATACTTCTGCATTAACAATTTCATCTTTTTTATTGCATTCCCCTCACTTGCTTTGGATGATGGTGATTTTAACTTATCTAACTATTGCATGGTTGTTATATTCTGAGGGAACTTTAATTGAGCTGTTTTCCCTTCCGGGTATCCCCATTCGAAGACTCAAATCAGATGATATCTCTAGTTTGATTTCGTTTGTGATTTCTTTTGTTGTTTCTTCGTTATCATTTCTGTTCAAGTTGAGCCAGCATTATGTGGATGGAAATCTAATCCCAAAGTGGTTAAATTTTTTCTTGTCATTCGTTTTTGAGTCATTTGGGGAAAACATGCTCAACGAAAAATCGGTTCTCATGAACATGAACGTTCGAATCTCAAGACTTTTCACGAACTCGTTTATTATACTTTTATGTTATAGAATATTGGTTGGAAAGTTGAGGAGTTTGAATAGCTTCATCATAACTGACATGTTGAATTTGCTCACTCTATTCTTGTTGCACCAGTCCCGACTCGAAGTTATCCCTATTTTTCTTGTTTTTACTGCCTTGAGATTGGCATATAGGAAACTTCTTAAGTCTTCAGAGCACAACAACGCAAACCTGTCCTTGCTTGTCATCACATCATTCATTCTTTGTGTTCAAAATTTGTCGTTTTTTTCTGTGGGAAACACCAACCTGTTGGCGACAATCGACTTATCAAATGCTTACAATGGAGTTGCCACATACGAAGTGTATTTGGTCGGTCTTTTAACGTTCATATCTAATTTTGCTGTTCCCTTGTTCTGGTCATTTGCAGGACTTCAATTAATGTTCGAGGACGGATCTTCGGCTCCGTTCTTCCTCACTCGTCTTTGTCAATCACTGACCGTTTCCTACCAGAGAGTTATCTTGATTAAAGCAATGTACTTACTGTTCTTTTATTGTTTGTCAATGATTAACTTGGTAGCATCAAGTATCAACTTGAGATATCATTTGTTTATTTGGTCAGTCTTCTGCCCCAAATTATTATACTTCTCGAGTTGGACACTCTTGCTCAATTTCATCGTGGATTTTGTACTCGCGATCATGATAGTGACTTTTAAGTAATCGAATCTAATCTAGTTTAAGAATAATAATATTAATTTGCTGTGCTATTGTAACAAAGGATCACGGAAATGAGGCTGATTGTTAATGAACTTGGCAGCTCTCCGATCATTAATATCGTCCCGTTTCTTCTCTCTGCCCCAGGCTCTCTTCTGAATGGCGAGGTCGTGTTTGGATCTCGAATTCAAGAAATGACGTGATTCAGCCGCAATGACAGTCCCCTGACCTTCCGACAATATTCTGTCTGGAGGAAGGTTCTGGCGGTAATATCTTGCAAGAGATCTATGGCCTACCACAGACCCAGAAGGTAACACTAGCTCGGATCCTGTGTTATAAATTATTGTGCTATGAGGAAGAACCGAATCTTCCTCATCAGAGTCGTCATCATCCTCTCCTGATACATCTTCCCAGTCTTCTTCGTCATTTACGTCAGTGTCAATAATCAAATCAGAGTCATAAGTGGAAGAAAAATCGTAAAAATCTGAGATCTCAAGCTTTTCACTTTCAGTTTCATAAGGAATTTTCATATGTCTCTTCGCACTCATATGCTCTCTTACTGCCAGCACGTTGCGTCCCTGATAGTTGCAAACTAGACAAACATTTCCAAGGCCAATCTTTTCACCCAAATATTTAATGAGGCCCTCCTTATCAATTAAGTATTTCGTCTCCGGTAAATACAAACCATGCTTCTTGAACATATGGTCGATATTATCTTCAATGGTCTCAAAACTTGAATTCTTTTGCTCTGGACAGAACAAGCATGTGGTGATCCCAATTTCGACCCTGTTCGCTAGCTTTTCTTCAATAAACCTTTCTTCTTCAAGCGGTTGCAGGTATGAATTTTCAGTTTGAGTATCGGCTAACACTTTGGGATCCTCGTCCTGAACCTCCAGACTCTCCTTAATAGGTTCTTGGATAGTTAATTTCGACTGGATCGCCTCTCTAATTGCCATGAGATCATTCTTTTGTTGTTGAAGTGCTTCCTTCTGTTTCCTTCTAAGCTCTTTCTTCGTAACTTGCTTCTTAGAATCACTTGTATGGTGGAGATCTTCAGAATTCAAAGTAGAAATCTTTGAATTAAATGTTTCTTCATCAATAGGTGGGAGTTGTGCAACTCTTCTCTTAAGATTGTACCTGTGCCAATCTGACTTCATATGAACTCTTTGACCACCGACATCTTCAAATTGAAGGGCACAACTGACGCAAGTAAAACTCATTCTATGGTAAATGCTCGAGTCTTGTTCTTCGTGAATTTGTATATTCTTAGAAGAGTATTCTTGTGAAGGCATCGCCTCCGCTTTTTTTTTCTTTTTTTCGCGCGATGACATATCCAATCCAGGAAACTCAACTAAACCTGTTACAATACCATCAGAAATGCAAAACCATGACTCAAGTTATGACAAGGTCGTACCAAGAGTAATTCTGACAATAAGAGCAACTTCGTCATTGGCTGCTCAAGACGTGAAATTCCATGCCTCTTTAGACCGGAATCTTTCCATCGCACTTGGAAACACCAGCAAGTCATTATTGTCACTTGCCAATGCAATGCTAATGGATATTTCTCCTGGTTTCAAGCCATTAGAAGTGGGAGAAGCTGAAATTAAGAGTTCAGCAACATGGCGAACTGTCTCAGACACTTTAGATAATTGCTTTGAGAAGGTTGACATGGCTTTGGATTTATTGAAGAGTCCTAATAAAAGCGATTTTCGAGTGACTGAGCTACTTGAAGCCAACGAATCGGATGTTCCTGAAGTGACCGAGAAGCCACAAAGAAATTTCATGGTAAAGGTGGATAATTCGGACACTCATCCTTTCCAGCCAAAGTTGACTCAAAAGCCACATGCCTTAAAGCCACTACACGAAACAATCAAACTTATCGCTGAGGATCAAAACAACCTTCACTACTCGCATCCATATGAGTTTGAAATAATGACACAACCATTTCCTGACTCGCAACTAGTCACCCAAAATCCAAAAAAACCGATAGATTGGACCTTTTCTGAACCTATTTGGATCGATGATGCTATGGGTCTCAATGAGATGGTCAAAGAATTGGAGCAGCTGAGTGAAATTGCTGTTGATTTAGAACATCACGACTACAGAAGTTACTACGGTATTACTTGCCTTATGCAGATATCTAATCGTGAGAAGGATTGGTTGATCGACACCTTAGCTCTTCGTGACAATTTGGAAATATTGAATAGGGTTTTTGCTGACCCTTCTATTGTCAAGGTTTTTCACGGTGCAAATATGGATATTCATTGGTTACAAAGAGACCTTGGACTCTACGTGGTGTCTCTATTCGACACATACCATGCCAGTAGGAAGCTAGGCTTTCCGAAGTTTTCTTTGGCATATTTATTGGAAACCATTGCGCATTTTAAAACTTCGAAGAAGTATCAATTAGCTGACTGGAGAATTCGACCACTTACTGCTCTGATGGTTCAGTATGCAAGAGCTGATACGCATTTCCTTTTATATATCTTCGATATTCTCAAAAACAAGCTCATCGAGAAAGGGAATTTACAAGATGTTCTTTACGAGTCTCGACGGGTCGCATGTCGAAGATATGAATATTCAACATTCCGAAAAGATTTCAATGAGTGGCCTGACGAGCAATTTGGACTTCTGAAAAGAATGAGATTGCAGTATAACTTGCCAAACTCTAGAGCAACCATGCTCGAATCGCTTTTGGCATGGAGAGATCATTTAGCAAGAGTTGCTGATGAATCTCCAAGATATATACTTTCCAATCAGGCCTTGATTAATTTGTGCAATCTTTCGTTTCCAATTGATTCTAAGAAAATAATGTCAGCAATTGGAAGGTGTTCTGATGAGGTAAGGGCAGAGTTGAGTTCAGTAAGTGAGATCATTCAAAAGAGTATGGAAAACCATGATGGATCACTAGAAGGACACGAAATCATTTCACCATCGCATGACATTGTGAACTATGCAACAGCCCTGGATAACTATGAGTTATTCAATAAGCTTAAGAAGGAACCACTTGCTAAGAGGTTTCAACTTGTGATGAGTTATTCCTCCTGTTTCAGTTCAGTTTGTGCTCAAGACGATTTAAGCTTCTCAATCAAGTTTGATACAAACAAGAGAGAGATTTTGGTATCTCAGTTTGAACTTGAGAATAGGAGAGACGTCATAAAAGATGCTTTCAGGGCCTCAATTCGTGAGAATGAGGAGAAGAACATGAACAAGCTTGCAGTTGGCAAACCAGATTCGCTAATTGACGCCTCAAATGTTGAGAAAACAAAAACTGAATTGCAGGAAAAGCTCCCAGAAATCTTCTCATTGTCAAGCAAAAATAGACGAACCAATCGGAAGATAATGACTAAATCCTCCGATGAGCCCATTTTTGATTACAACGCACCTGAGAATACAAAGGTTTTGGGCTCGATAACTGCGGAACCCAAGAACAAGAAGCGCTCATTTGATCCTTTTAGTAAAGCTGGGAGTGGTGGTCCTCGGGCAGCTAAGAGAACCAAGAATGCACCAGTTGGAAAATCGGGATCTTTCAAGAACAAAAGAAGTTAGAAATACAGATATTGAAAGAATTCATCCGGTTATACCTAATCAATGCATATATCATATCTTTAAAATCAATTTTGCTTCATTCATAGGTTCTGGCTTGCTCCTAGTTGTTTTTAAATGCTCAAGTTCGGCACTAGGTTATGAACAATGTACGAAGAATGGGTCAATTATTGTAAGTCGTGTACGACATAACTCTCCTATCGTGATGCATAGAGTGTAATCTAGCATACGAATACTTAACCGAGGGAAAAGTTCTTTCAAGGTAAACTTGCTATAATGAATTTTTACATAGTCCCAGCGGGGCTGTATCAGACCCAGCAGAAAATGGGTAAAAAGAAACACGGCAAAAAACGTACATCTCGCTCGAGCAGAACATCAAGTTCAAGTGACAAGACGGACACACCGTCATTGAAGTCCAACACAACTTTCGGCGGCTCAATCAAGTCTTTGCCTGATACTCCTGAGGACTCTGATCCTAATGAAATATCCCAAATTCCTCCAGAATCAGGTTCTCGAATGAATTACAATAAGGCTCCAGAGTTCTCAAGCTCAACGACAAACACTATACCCCTTGACATGGAACAAAGGCATTCCTCAGGATCGACTACATCGCTGACAGTGAATACAAGAGATCAAGATAAACGCCCAGGTTTGTTCTCGGTACCTAGCGATTTTCAACAGAACCGTCGAAGTAGCATCATGTCGTTTTCCTCCTCCCAATCGAAGTCGTCTAATCTGGCCCGCAAGGCATCGTACTCCCAAGTACCCACAGCTAGTATTTCCTCACAACTACCTCCCGGAACTGTTGACGTTCGCCCGGAGTTGTTTAGCCGTCAAGGTTCTCACCTGGATCACTCCAAACCACATTTTCATGTTCCAAAGTTTCGACCAATCACGGATTTGTCAGTGTTGAATAAAGAGTCCCTGTTACGACACAATTTTTTGAATCCAAACTATATGTCCACACGCTATAATAACTTCTTACAAATTCTATCGGAACATCACTTAAGTGATTCAATGAACTTTGCTGCAGTTCGAGAGCATTCTTTAATGAAATTCATCAACAGACATATAATAAGCAAACGCGAAAGAGAAATGAGCCACGCAATTAAATCTAAGGAAGACATACGATATTACGAGGGATTGATTTCTTACGAGCTCTTGCAATGTCGAACCTTCCTACGCCGCCTCATCAGCTTGCAATCCAAAGAAATTCCGAATCGTGACTGCATTATATCCTGTGAAGAACTTCTTCAAATAAATTTCATCAACTATGTGAGGTATCTCCTAAACCTTCCAAACGTTTTGCCCGTTGCGCCTGAAAACCTTGACGACATTCTGGCAAAGCATTATCACTTCCGATCTTTCTTCTCCGAGATGAGCAGTGCTTTGTACTCATTGAGGAAGGAAGGTTACACATATGAAATGCCAACTTCAACTTCAGACGTTGAAATTCTTCTTGAAACAATCAGCAAAGTTTCCTACGAATTTATTCTCTTGGAGAAATATGCCATTCATATCCTTGTCAAGTTGAATCACAATTTTGCCATTGAGCAGAGAATTGTGAGCCATCTTTTCTCATTATTTGATTTGAACATAAAATTAGAGAGAATGGAATCCTTGAAGGTATTGAATTTTAATACTTATTTCAGTGCACAATATTCGTGGTATATGGCAATCACTTTACCATTCGTGAGAGTTTTCGAAGCTAATATTTATGGAGAAGACCCTGCAATAGTCTCAAGTTTGGACTCCTATCGTGCTCATTTGGCAGCAACTGCTGATAAAAGACAAAATTTCAAGGATTCTGACAGACTTCTATACGAGAAGTATTTCAGTCGCCTCAAATTTAAGGACTTTCTGCAGTTTGTACAATTAAGTCGAAAGGACTTGGTCAGTTTGCAAAGGAATACCTTTGACAAATTTGGTGACCATTCGTTAGACTATGGACACAGGGACTTTCAATTTAAACCGCCTAATTTTGAATTCTTTGCTAACTCGCTTTCTACTCTTGAATCGGAAACATTCCATGTCATCCACAGTCGTGATATTGCGTTGCAGCTTAGTCCGACTAATTTTAAAGTCATTTTGGCTGAGTTTTATCGTCTTTTGAAGAAAGGAGGAGTTTTAGAGGTCCCTTTGTTCAAGTCTGGTGACGATCATATCCAAGATTTAGTAAATCCTGGTACTTCAAAATTTCCAAACCTGACTAAATTTATGGACCTTGAAGTTGCACGGACATTCGACCTCATACCTCATCTATTGGAATCACTCTTCGAGGAACTTGGTCAGATTTTTGGGGCAAAGAATGTGAAATTCTCCTCTGCTCTACTCAGTCCCAAGAACGATATGAACAGCTTTTTTATCAAGCATACAGCTTTGTCGGTGTACGAAATCTACGGAGATGTCGATAGCTATTGTTCCCGCTTTGCGACGGAGGATAATTCGAATGTTGATAAGGATTGTTTCCATTACTATTTCTATATAAGAGCTGAAAAGGCTTGACCTAGTGATAAGAATGGCATTGTGTCATGGCTATGAAAGATTCTAGATTTTATGTGTAGGAGCGGATACATGGATAAATAATCTGATTGCATACTAGAAGGTGACTCAGATTGAGAATCGATGAAAAAAAAAGTGATTACTTCACATCCATACTTCGAGAGATAAAGATGAAAAACACCGTTCACGTAATTGACGTGGAAAGTGGTAATTTGCAATCGCTTTCGAATGCGATTAAATTCATTGGAGAGAACGAAATAGTTTTCATTCACGATGCTACTGAGTTTGAGGAACTCGACTCCAAAATCACCAAATTGATCTTCCCTGGCGTTGGTAATTATGGCCACTTTGTTAAAGAATTGACGAACAGGAAATTAGTTGGTCCGATTAAAAGATATATCCAAAGTGGCCGAGACATTATGGGCATTTGCGTTGGTCTTCAGGCGTTTTTTGACTCATCCGAGGAGAGTCCTGGTGTTGAAGCCATTGGATACCTTAATATGGACTTGTTTAAGTTTGACACGAATGATGACTTGTTTCGGATAAGAGGTCAGAAAAAAGCGGTACCTCACATCGGCTGGAACAAAGTAAATGAGATACACCAAGGAAAAGAGATTTTGAAGCCTCAAGAAACATTCTTCAACATCAATACGTCCAGTAAGTACTATTTTGTCCATTCTTATGCCGCAATTTTAAAGAATGACAAATCTCATCAAGCAGTACGGAATGCACAAGAGAATGGATGGGATTTTGCCTTTGCAAAATATGGCTCTGAAACTTTTATTGCGGCAGTGGCTTACAAAGGATTATTTGCTACTCAGTTCCATCCAGAAAAATCTGGAATTGCAGGATTGAGAGTTATTAAAGCCTTCTTAAGTGGACAAAAAAGTGACGCTACTTACCCGTCAGTTCAGCAAGCACCCAATGACGTTGAGATGAATATAAGTGGATTGTCAAAGAGAATCATCGCGTGTTTGGATGTTCGTACAAATGATGAAGGGGACCTCGTTGTGACTAAGGGTGACCAATATAATGTCAGAGAGTCAAATGAAGGATCCGAAGGTCAAATCCGAAACTTGGGAAAGCCAGTGGAGCTTGCCACAAGATACTATCTCCAAGGAGCAGATGAGGTCACATTCTTGAATATTACATCTTTCAGGAATTCACCCATTAAGGACTTGCCTATGCTTGAAATTTTAAGAAGATCCGCAGAAAGAATATTTGTCCCTTTAACGGTTGGCGGGGGCATAAAAGATTTGGTCGATCCGGTTTCAGGTGAAGTTTATCCCGCCGTCAAAGTGGCCGATCTTTACTTCAGGTCTGGAGCAGACAAAGTCAGCATAGGGTCGGAGGCTGTCATAATCGCTGAGAATTACTATAAAAACGGAAAGAAGAAAAGTGGTTTGTCAGCAATTGAAACGATTTCGGCATGTTTCGGAAATCAGGCAGTGGTCATTTCTGTAGACCCGAAGAGAAAATATGTCACATCGCCCTCAGATACTCCTATGGCAACAATCAAGATTATGGATCCAGCCAAGTATGGGCCAAATGGTGAGGAATATTGTTACTATCAAGTAACTTCTCAAGGCGGTAGAAAAACCCACGAACTTGGTGCACTTGAGCTATGTATTGCTTGTGAAGACTTAGGGGCTGGCGAAATATTATTGAACTCTATCGATAACGATGGTTCAAATAATGGTTTTAACTTGGAATTGTTGAGACAAATCAAGGAGAATGTTTCTATCCCTGTGATAGCAAGCTCAGGGGCTGGTACCCCAGAACATTTTGAAGAAGTTTTCAGAATGGACTGTGGAATTGATGCTGCTCTTGGAGCTGGAATGTTTCACAGAGGCGATTATGAAGTTAACACCGTAAAGAAGTACTTACAAGAGCATGGTAAGATGGATGTTAGATTAGACATGGACTTAAAACTTTGATCATACACGAATCAAGCGGGTAGTTTAAATATGTCGTACTGTATTTACACATTTTTCAATAGGCAGGTGCTTGTAAGGATCAAGAAGACTTAAATGACTGGTGACTCCTCAATTTCTCAGGTCAGGCGCCAGTTCTCCAATTCATTGTCTGTCAATAGACTGCGGAGCCCATCAGATCTCACTCCCGTATCTCCATTATCTACTAGATCTAATTCTGAACCTCAGATATCGTCACCTGGATGGTCACAATATGGAGACGTTCATGAGACCACAGATGTTCGAACATATGGAGACAACGCAACAAAGACGTCGAATGCAATATTAAAGAACATCTCTATGTTCCCCAGTAATTCTGAAGATACAGATGACGTTATCGAATCCATGGAATACGTGGACTCTTTCGAGGTGCCATCAGTCTTTCTCAAGAACGGGATGCTACTTCTCAAGATCTCACATAAATCGAAAAAGAGGATTCAGTTGAAGGTAGATCCCGCTAATTTCAAAATTTTCTTTAATCAGATTTCGAAAAGCAAGTTATATGAATTCTTGGTCGATGATATCAGAAGCTTCTGCGCCAGGGACCATGCCAATCACTACAGAGAAGAGTATGGCATTTCAAAAGAATTTGAGAAGAGGTGGTTGACAGTGATTTATTATAATCACTCAAAAAATAAACTCAAGACGCTCAATCTCATCGCTGATACTAGTCATGACTTGAAGAAACTACTTTTCATAATTGAAAACTTCAAGCGGCTTAAAGATGAAATCTCAAGAAATTTTTTGGTTAACTTGAAAGATTTGGACGAAACTTCTCGAAATGTGGTGTTTGGAAAGGCTGAGGCAACGGATAAAAGTTTGAAGGAAACATTAACTTTTGCTGATGTTCTCAAGTTTTGTAAACGTTTGAACATTAATTTGAATCCAAGTCATCTCAAGAGGCTCTTCCTGAACGTTCATACTAAAGATAAGGAAGGAATCGACTTTGACCAGTTCAAAAGTTTTGTGAAGATGCTCAAGGAGAGGCCTGAATTGAGGAAGATTTGGGAAGCAGTTCTGAAGGGAAAGGATTTCATGAACTATAAAGATTTTGAATCCTTCATGTTAGACGTTCAAAAGGAGACAAACGACTCCGACCATTTCAGTAAGATTTTCAAGAAATTTTCTATCGACGGAATGGATGGATGGACAGAAGATATCTGGAATAACTTCTTGAATTCAAAGTTCTCCTTTCATTTGAAGGCTGAGTTTCTGTCTCCGGACTATTACACTCGTTCACTAAACGAGTATTACATCTTATCGTCGCATAACACTTATTTGGTAGGTAGACAAGTTGCCGGAGACTCTTCTGTGGAAGGCTACATTAAGGCGCTACAACGAGGCTGCAGATGTATCGAGATAGACATTTGGGATAATACTGATGACCCTTATGGCGACCCAGTAGTCAATCATGGCAGAACATTCACAAATGGCATCTCTTTAACCAATGCCCTACGTGCAATTAGAAAATATGCTTTTACTTCGACGCCGTATCCCGTCATCCTTAGCCTTGAGATTCATTGTTCTGCTGAATTTCAATTGAAAGTTGTTGATTCATTAAAACAAACATTCGGTGAAATGTTAGTTGATAAACCTATTGATTCTGGTTCAAGTTTACCTAGTCCAGAAGCTCTCAAGAACAGGATTCTCGTCAAGGTCAAGAAAACAAGTCCAATGTCAGACCTTGGTGTTGATGAAAGTGGGAAGTTTGTTAGTAGCTCAACTACTGGCACTTCCTTTAGTGAAAGCAATGATTCGGTCAGCACACCAAGGAAAAATTCACTTAAGCTCAGAAGAAGGGGTTCTAGTAAGGTAATTGATGCTTTAAGTGCATTGGGGGTGTACATTCAAGGAGTCAAATTCAGGAACTTTTCGCTTCCAGAATCCAAAACGTTTAATCATTGTTTCTCCTTGAATGAGAAAGCAATCAATGCTATGCTCAAGGAGGATCTGAAGATGGCCGCAATTGACAAACATAACAGAAAGTTCCTTATGCGAGTCTATCCCTCTAAGTATAGACTAAAATCTTCAAACTTCATTCCGATCAACTATTGGACACATGGATGTCAGATGGTGGCGACAAATTGGCAAACGTATGATCTCGGACAGCAGCTCAATGAAGCTTATTTCGAAAAGTCACAGGGCCTGGGTTACATTTTAAAGCCAATGGCACTTCGACGTCCATTAATGAAGTCAACTATGCGGAGGGTGTTTCTCAGCCGCAAAGTTAACACCAACTTCTCTATTGAGATCATTAGTGCACAGCATTTGCCAAAGCCTGTCAATTCGGTAGCAATAAATCCATTTGTGATACTTGAGGTAATCGGGACATCCAACGTTCAATGGGATAAAGAATCTACTGTGGGTGCGACTCGATTAGTTGCTGAAAACGGATTCAACCCCGTCTGGAATCAGAGGTTTTCTGGCACACTTGAGACCGATAACGAAATGGTGTTTCTTCGTTTCACAGTTCATTCCTCTCTGAATTCAAAGGCTATTGAGGATTCTAAAGAAATTGGGATTCTTGTGACCAACTTGTTTGATATGAAACAAGGCTACAGATATTTTCCGCTCAATGATTTTTGTGGTGAGCAATTATTATATTCCACTTTGTTTCTTAAGGTGGACTACTCATCATTTTAGTGTGCATATAGTGTGTTCTGTCAAGAATTTCTGCGATGAGCGTTTACAACTTTCAGATCGCAATAAGTTATCGGTAATGGGTAAGATTACAGTTTCTGACACCAAGGCGAAACAGCGTCATAATCCTTTGCTCAGGGATATTACTTCGTCGGATGGAGTCTTAAGAGATTCCTCAAGGAAATTAGCGAAGGCTAAGAAGACAGGAAATGAGGATCCTGAAGGTTTCCTCGATGCTACCACTTCCCGCAAGATCTTACAACTCGCCAAAGAGCAACAAGAGGAGTTGGAGAGCGAACTTTCTCAAGACATTCAAGAAAATAAATCTTTTGCACTGACTCTCAAGGACCAGGCAATGGAGGATGAAATGGTCATGGGAGAAACAGATGAAGAGTATTCTGATTTTGAGGATGATGCATACCAAGTAGAAGAAGAGATTGAAGTCGATGAAAATGATCAAGCATTATTTGAAAGCTATTTTAAAGGGGAGAACGCTGGTACCACCATTAATTTAGCTGATAAAATCCTTGCGAAGATCCATGAGAAAGAGCTTCTCAAAGAGCAGACTCACACAGCTGCAAGTAACACAGATGCTGTGTATCTTCCTCCCAAAGTCATTGCTGCATATGAAAAAATTGGGCAGATTTTATCTACTTATAAGCACGGCAAGCTTCCAAAATTGTTCAAGGTCTTACCAACCTTAAAGAACTGGGAGCAAGTGCTATATGTAACAAATCCAGAGAGTTGGACTCCACATGCAACCTATGAAGCGACAAAACTTTTTGTATCGAACTTGCAAGCCCATGAAGCGCAAAAATTCATTGAGAAAGTGTTGCTAGAAAAGTTCAGGAATTCGATCGAAGATAGCGAAAATCATTCATTGGACTACCATATTTACAGAGCAATTAAGAAGTCTTTGTATAAACCAGGAGCATTCTTCAAGGGTTTTCTTCTTCCTTTGGTTGATGATCATTGTACTGTTAGAGAAGCTACGATCACTGCATCTGTTCTTTCTAAAGTTTCAGTTCCGGTATTGCATTCCTCTGTAGCATTAACTCAATTAGTACTGAGAGAGTTTCGTCCAGCTACTATGGTGTTTATTCGGGTATTGATTGAAAAAAAGTACGCTCTTCCCTACCAGACGTTGGATGAAATTGTGTTTTATTTCATGCGATTCAGGAAAGCAGCGCAAGAAGATATGGGGGAACCTATGGATAAAAGTATGCCAGCTTTACCGGTTGTTTGGCACAAGGCCTTTTTGGCATTTGCTCAGAGATACAAGAATGATATAACTGACGATCAACGTGATTTCTTATTGGAGACTGTTAGACAAAGATTTCACCATGCAATTGGACCCGAGATCAGAAGGGAACTTTTAGCTGGTCAGCCAAGAATTGTGGATCCAAAGTTCAAGGAGGCTGCTATGGAAGACGCATTTTGATAGTTTTGCATCTAATTTAGAAGCTTGAAATTTGTGCGAAACCAAATACTGGCTCATAATGTGTAGAAATTTATTGAACTTTTTCATCTTCCCAAGATTGGTTGGCATTTTTGTTTAAGGGAGCAGACTCAAACTATAAAATTTACTTTAGTCGTCTATTTTCGTGTTGAAGTTGGTTATATGCTAAATAAAGATGGGATGAGATAACCCAAATCAATAACTCGATAGTTGTAAGCAAGAGTATCTTTATCCAAACCCAGCATCTAGACTCTAGTGTGTTCGTGATTCTTGCGTACGGGATCTCGCATCATCACACAACTTTTCAAAATTTGCAAACAAAGCAAAATAGCTTTGTACAACTCCAATGATTGTCAATGCAACAGTTGATCCAATCCACAAACCATGTAATGACCCTTTCCATGGGGAGTAAAAACTCAAGTATACTGACAAGGGGATGCCAACAACATAATAAGCCACCAAATTGACGATTCCACCAATTTTTGTTTGTCCTTGTCCTCTTAAACATCCTGCTGAATTTGCATTCATGGCATCAGAAATCTGCATAAGAGCAACTAACCACATAACATCCTTGAGGATTGCAATCACGCGATCATCGTTTGTAAATAAGTTTGCAATCTGAGATTGAAAAAGGAACAATGCAAGAAAGTTGAAAAGGGAAATGCACAACCCAAAACTCAATGCAACTTGAGTAGTCTTCTTAGCAGGCTCTGCCAATCCGGCACCTAAGAAGTTAGCAATTCTGGTAGAGGATGCAATTCCGATTGCAAATGGAACCTGATAAGTCAAAGATGCCATTGTGGAGCCCACCGATTGGGCTGCTAATTCAATTGTTCCCAAATACGACGCCATCAAAGTCAAAATCTCGAAGGCCAAAAATTCAGCTTCAAGCATGATTAAGCCTGGAACTGCTAAGTTCACTAATTTGCCCCAATCTTTGAAGGCCCTCTTAATATCAAGGCCATCCCAACAAACTAATGGATGGACATTTGTAGGAGTTCCATCTGCGTCTATGAAAAAAGCAGTCGAAACAAACAATCCAATAAACATCAACCAATAGTTGATAGCAACTGCAATGGGAGCGCCAAGGTATCCAAAAGACTTAACGAAGACCAAATTCATAATAAGGTTGGAAGGGGCAGCGAAAAGTAGAACATAAGTTGAAATATGATACACCCCTTGCGCTTGTAAGAAACGCTTACCACATTCAAACAATATATAAGCGGGAATTCCAGGACTGATATAGAACAAATAGTCTGCTGCAAGTTTAGCAGTCTCCTTGTCTGGCAATATAAGGCAAATCAAGTCATAGCCAAAAAATACCCAAACAAACAAGACTGGAATCATAATTACAAAAATTAAAGCAACACACTTTTGCATGTAATCACCAACCATGCCATATCTCTTAGCGCCAAATGCCTGCGGACATAATGTGTCTAAGGCAGTCGCAATACCTTGAATGGTGGCATAGCCCGTTATATTGGCAGTCATGGAACCCATTGAAACTGCAGCCAATTCAACTGCTCCCAAGTGGCCAACAGAGAATACAGAAACAGTAGACAATGAGTTTTGTAAGAGAAATGTCATCACTAATGGAATCGAAGACTTGACCAAAGAGTAAAGCTCTGCACCAACAGTAGTTGAGTAGATTTGCTTTGTTGATATGGCTGTCTCGAAGGTGTTTGCAACTGCATCGTCATCGGACTCGTCAACTGGAATGTGATGAGTCTTTAATAATTCTCTCTCTTGTTGGATGAGCTCTTGTGCAACACTTGACTTACGACGATTGGCCTTATGGGGTACAGATAACAAAGGCTGATTTTCATCATTACTTGCAATGCTTTGTTCGAGATCTGTTATGTTTTTTGACTGAAGGAAGTCACTAGGAATAAACAATCCTTGCTTTCCAACGGAGCCATACACTGTAGATGCTCGTCTTTGAACATTGGAGTGGGTAAATTGGTGCGTTCTATTTTCACCTGATGACATTGCCTGTGTCAATAAAAACTGCAGAATCTTCTCTGGTTAAAACGAAGGTAATGTCGTGATGCGAATTGTAAGATAACGAGTGCCCACATCCCCACTGAAAATTGAATGCAGTAAGAGTTTGCATATATACTGCCAGAGACTTCTTCGACTTTCCCAATCGGGACACCTGTTTCATAGAAGGTTGCAATGATAGTAAGACATAAACGCCTGAAATAATAGTTAGAAACAGATCGGGAAGAGAAGCATTGTGGGCACGTCCTACTTGTATGATACTCTCACTTTGGCAACTGTCAATTAGTTCCTGTCGATGTTAAAAACATAACATTGCAAACATCGAGAGTAGTATTGCGTTAGTTGCAGGCAGACTGAAGTGTGGGTGTCATGAATTGGTCTGAACCGAGAATGGGAACTTTGGCTCTTATATTCATTAAATGGAACGCTTTTATATTTAGTTATTCCCTCCCTGACATGCAGAGCAATGATCGTTTATGATCTTCTGTATGTAAGAGCTTCTAAAGTAACATTTACCAAAAGTGGGACTATAAGCAACTTACGCAGAGAAATGAGTCAACAAGTTTCACAAACAGTGGCCTCTCTAATGGTTCACATTTTCCGATCATTGTTCACGAATTTTACCTGTATTTACTATGTTGAGTCTCACCCTCACTCTCATAATGTAACTTGATTTCGAGATTACACTGCAAAAAAATACGATCTCAGGTTCTTAGGATGTGAACACAATGAACGAGAAAGGTTATGTGCTCCAAATATTTCTCTATTTCCTCTGTGTGTCAAATAAAACTCTAGCTTGCGTCATTTCTCATTTTCAAGTAATAGGTATCAAAGCTGCTTTAGTAACCTTCGAAACGCCACTAGTGGTTAACTCACACAACATCGGAGTATCAGAGGTGATACTTTAGGTCAATGACATGCCTCAAATTTAATCGAAATTATGCTCAAAAGTAAAAAAAAAAAAAAAAAAAAAAAAAGGAGGCAATCATTCAAATTGCTTCAATTATTTCATCTTTTTGACAACGCAACTTAGGGTTGAAATGAAATGCTGCCCCAGGTATCAACTTCTCCATTTCACAATACCATCATCTTCAATTCTCGGCAATAGTAAGTTAAGTTCCATAATGTCTTTAACAACATCCATATCATGCAATGGATATAAATCAGAAAGATTTGGAATATTCAATATCTTTTCCTCGGAAAGTAAATCCAGTAATTCGTATCCCTTGGCTATTGTTGGAGTTATTTCTCGATTTGGGTTCGGGTGTCTGAAAAACTCTTCCCGGCGAACCTCTCCATAAATCTGATCAAACATTTCCTCTGTTAGATATTTCCTGAAGTCCAAGTTTGGAGGAAAGCTTTTCCCGTCGATTTCTTTGTTTTTCTTTACCTTTGGAACTGGTGCAGTGTTGTTCTCTTGAATGTAGAAGTTTCGAAGTAATTGGACAGCCTCGACTCTCATTATCCCACCACAGCTGCTGTAGCTGTCATTTTCTTGAACTTTGATAACCGTGCCATTACCACCGAACCTATCATTGGCTGCACCAAAATACACTCGCTTGATACCCAACTGTTTAATAGCCAGTGCACACATCACACACGGCTCCACGGTTACATAAAGGGTCACTTCCATAAAAAAATCAATGATTTCTCCTCTTCCTTTCTTGTATAGATTAAATCCTTGAAAAATCTTTTCAATGGCGACAAACTCGGCATGCATCGTACCATTGAGAGATCTGTTTGTGTCGTTGCACCCGAAACTTAGGATGGTGTTTGTTGGCTCATGAACAAATATGCATGCCACTGGTGTCTCACCATTCTTGAGAGCTCTAAATGCAACAAAAGTTGCAATTGCCATGAAGCCAAACTCATTAGTCAAGTCCATCATTAATTCTCGATGTGTTTCTCAGAACTTTTAAGCTAGTAGTTCACGTGATTATAACGGAGTGTGCTCAAACTTTCTACTCTATACTCCCAACTAGTCTATTTGCACCATTTCGTGAGCATCTTTTTGCAACATTTCTGAGGTTCAATCGCCAAACCTACAATTTTCGTATGAGTGATCTCCATAAGAAGCTTATTAATAGACAGAAAAATGAGTCGTTTGGACTCGCACCACTAGCTGAAGACCCTATTTCGGATAATGAGGATTCTGATACTTACTTTTCTTCAACAGATCACGATCACAAACTTGACCAGTCATTTTATGAAAATGCAAAGAATGACACCTTCCCTATTCGCGATGTGTACATTCATAAGGATGGTCTTTACTTTCAAACTTACTACTCACCCCCATCATCATTGGATGCGCCCATCCTAGTATTTCATCACGGAGCTGGTTCATCGGCAATGACATTTTGCTGGTTGGCTCATTTTTTAAAAAGCCTCCCAGAGGATGAGATCCCTGGTATTTTTCTCTTCGATGCTCGAGGTCATGGAGATTCCTCGAAGATCCCAGCCGACTTCAGTTTGGCGGCATTTTCAAGGGATTTTGCATTTGTTCTCCAAGAGTTTTGTACGCGTCACAAGGTTGATACCTCAATATTCTTAGTTGGTCATTCTTTGGGTGGGGCGATCTTGACAAACTACATCATGAATTTCGATCACTCCCACTATAAAATCATGGGTTTAGTGATGATAGACATTGTTGAAGAAACAGCTGTGCGGGCATTATCGTCCATCAGTCATTTCATAAATCGACGACCCAAGAACTTTCGGTCTTATCCTGATGCTATACAATGGCATCTCAATTCTCATTTGCTTAGAAATGAGACTTCTGCTAAAATAAGCGTCTCTGCATTGCTTCAACCTAATAATGCTGGTAATCTTGATTGGAAAACAGATTTGTCTCTCATGGCTAATTTTTGGGATTCTTGGTTTGTCAACTTGTCAGAGAATTTCATTAAATGTGGATCAAATTCTAATAACCACCTATCGAAGCTACTAATCCTTTCAGGGAACGAAATTTTGGATAAAGAGTTGATCATTGGCCAGATGCAAGGTAAGTATCAGTTGATTGTCTTCAATAACTCTACAAATGCAGGTCATTTTCTACAAGAAGACATTCCTATGCAGCTTGGAATCAGTATTACGGAATTTGTGAGAAGAAATTCTGTTGCTGATAAAACATCATCGAAGAATTTAATCCGCCCAAAATGGGGTGGGGAGGTAAATCAATGAAACAATTGTATTCAGTTTAGTTATTCTAATCGATTTCTAAGTCACCGGATTTAAGGGCGTCGTTGCGCTCGTTAATCTTCTTGACATATTCATCAATATTCTTGCTGGCGACAGGGAATCGTGGGTTAATTAAGAACGGTCTCAAATCGAATCTGTTGTCGTCTGGAGAATATTGCTCTGCATGATAGGCTGGGGTCATTGTCGTCATTTTATGCCTGTTAATTGCATAGAAAAACCAAAAGCGCTTCACCTTTTCAGCGATGAGATCAACACTATAATTGTAAGGTGGTTGGGACCATTCATGGTAAAGTTTCATAAACATTGCTTCGGGACCACACTTTTCAACCTTTCTCAAGCGTCCGAAGCTCGATAGTTCTTCGTAAGTCATCCCCATGTCTACCTCATCAGATTGAACGTAATTTTCGGTGATAGGTTCTAACTCCGCCGTAGGAGTCGCATCCAAGAATTCTCTCAAGATAGGCAAATCAAACTCCTGTTCTGCCCATTTAATAAATGCTTTGAGGTCTGTCTTCGAAATACCTCCAATTGGATTGATATCGGCACTAGAGCAGTCATACTTTGTTAGGTATCCTCTCAAACACTCATCCACGTTTGCACTCCCCAAAACAAGTAAGCCGCCCTCCCTATTACGACTCCAAGGCAATAACTGAGCGAAAAGATAACTCAACACCATTCGCAAACGTGCTTGAATATTCTGCAAAGCAAGATTCTCGGTTTGTGTGCCACCAAATATCTTGAAAATCGGCTTCTTTCCCGTTGCAACCTCAAAAACATTTATCACCGCATCAACTAAAGTGTCCATATTCATGTCAATATGGTAGGATCCAATTTTTGATGACAACGTCTTAGCTCGAGCGCGAGTTTCTCTTGATGAATTAACGGTGCCCATAAACGAAGAGTAAAATAACCTATGCGCAATTTCTTGTGGTGATTTCGGAAAAAATTCTGGTTCCTTGGTTAAAGAACGAATGTCCAATAGTACCTGTTCATTCCCATCTTCAATTGCTTGAACCACAAGTCGGCACATGGAATGGACTATTACTGCGGTGGCACAGGAATCGATACCTCCACTCAATGGCAAAAAGAACCCACCCGTTTTCGACCTACGCAAATAATCCCATAACCAACATGCCGGTCCTAAAGCAATCTCTTCTTCGGGTGAATGGTATCGAATCTTCTTCAACGGTTTTGTTGGTCTAATGTTCGGGTCAAGATCATATGATGGTGGAGACAACTCAATTTCAGTATCAATGGTGTGGTATGGCGTTGTCTCATTGACGGACTGAAGGGCAGCAGACTTCTGGTTACGGTAGGCTCGAACATCATCCAAGTTTATTGTGGCCAGAACCACCTCAACATCAGAAAGGGAAAATTGAGATCCTTGGGCAACCATTTTTCCGTTAACTATAATACAAGCACATCCATCATAGTACAAACGATCTCCATCACAACCCTTCTGGTTAGCATAGAGATAAACGCCTCCACACTTCTTGGTTGCCTCGGTGATTAATTCCAACCTCGTATCTAACTTTCTGAGTTCATGATGAGAACCAGAAGAATTGGTGATAATTTCCACTCCATCTAAAGCCATTGAAATATGAGGCGATTGAGGAGTAAACAATTCTTCACATGTTTCGGCACCAAGCTTGGTTTCTAAGGTTGCCAAGACACAGTCACCGATGACTACAGAGGACTGACCAGTCAACTTTTGAATTCTCTTCGGAAGAGGAAAAATTTCATGATACTTTGGTCTGTTCCAGGGAGTAAAGTAGCGCATTTCCCTATAATTTCCATCATTTGCTAAGTACAACTTTGGTCTAATCAACAAGATCCGTTGATTGTAAGATAAGATTCGACAGTTGTACTTGATAGACTTGTGGATTATGGGCATTCCAATATCCAAGATAATGTCAGAAGTATCATGGTGGCTCAAAATCTCAGAATACATCTGCCACGAATGGTCGTATAGATCGTTTTCAGAGAAATGATCCAAGCATCCGTATCCGCACACTTCCAACTCGGGACCCACCCTAAGCTTGGCTCCTTGATTCTTAGCTTGCCTAATACTTTCAAGGATCCGGTCCCTATTACCTTCAAAATCAAGAGCCCATTGATTCAAGTTACAAGTTGCGATAGTGACGTAGTGACCCATTCTTGAAATACTGATTTGTTGAGCTTGGGAGCGACTCATCAAACAACCCAGTTGGAAATCTATGCACTCCCAATTCGGAAGCCAAATTAGTCCGACACCACTCCCGAATTCTCTAGGTAATGAACGTTCAGAATAGAACTATTCTATGAAAAGTGCTTACCTATGAATACTATGATATACCACCCTCGTCAAACCTCATACCTCAGTACGGTATCTCTTGAAAAAGGCCACAAGACCAAATTTGTTTCCGTGAACTTTCGGCGGGTTCAATCAGTTAGTATAAAGTTAATGAAACATAGAAGAATTTGTATTGAAATGGTAGCACCCTGGGCGGAATAGGAGTGACGGTAGAAATTCCCATGCTTCAATGATTTACGTAGTTGGTATTGGATTGTTATTCTCTCAAGTCTGGAGTCCTACAAGTAACAATCTGCAATTGAATCAACATATTTCTTTACATTATAAACATATCCCTTTTAGTTCACATTTAAATCACGGTTTTTGGATCAACTCCACTTGCAATATTGCATTGATGCATCAATCTTTTTTCGTCAACCCCATTATTAATACCTTTGAATTCACCTGTGACTGAATGCCAGACACCTCTGTTGAAGAAAATGACCAAGTCACCTTGCTTCCATGAATGAGCCAAAATATTCTGAGGAGCAATTGCTGGACGCATCAAGGAGTGTGCTTTTGCCCTTGCATCTTCTAACTGTAATGTCTTTATGTTATCTCCGATCTTGGTGTGCAATTTGTAGAGGCAGCACCCGTGAACTTGCAAATGGTGGTTTCCAGTAACGGGATTGGTCCAGACCATTGGCAAGTGCTTGACCTTGGAATCTTCCCATTCTGGAAGATCTTTGAGGTCGTTCTCCTTGCCCTCCGACACCATCGTTAACCCATCCTTCGTAGCCTTGGCTGGAGAGATAAAGATATAGGGGTGTGGAGCATATTCAACAGTTGTATTGAGAGCGAATTCCTTATCCTCGTCGGAAAGACGTTCGAACGCCTCTGCTCCACTCACAAAGCAAGTCGCACCCTGAGTTAACTCCAATACATCTCCGCTTCCGTCATCGTAATCAATAGTTTGGGTATGGTTTGCTGGTGGGACAGTAATTCCCAACAAAGTTGTGACCATAGGTGGAGACAAGTCATAAAGTGCAGAATCAATATGCCAACGGTAAAACCTTGTCTTATGTTCCTTTGCGATCTCGTCATTTGTTAAAGGTGTGTGGTGAAAAGAAGTGTGAGATGGGTGAGTAAGAGAAATCTCCTCATCGTTTTCGTTGCCCAACTCACCTGGCTTGAAAACACCCTGTCCCAAAATTTGAACTTGCGGTTGTGATTTCACTGAAGTTCCGTCCTTTCTCAAAACAGACTGCTCGTGGCGGAATTCCTTGCCATGTCCATAGCCACCCAAGCCTTCGGATTTGGGTTCGGGAATTGTTGGATCAAAGCGCTTGGTCAATAAGTACTGGCTCCTGGGAGAGAGCTTTTCTTGCTCAGGAATAATAGTGACAAGATATGTGAGAGTTGCCTCGTACAACTTCTTAAAATCAGGTTCGTTCAAGTTGGCAGGGTCATTATTTGCATAGCTGGGGAGTTCGATAGTACATCCAAAGCCTCTTGGAGAGGGAGTAACCTTCAATTCAGTGGTTGTCATTGTAGATTGATAAATAGTTGTTAAGAAAGGAAGTGTTTAGGAAACCTACATTTTATATATGTGATAACTGAAGCCCTTATCTATTGAGTGGATCACCCCGCGATTGCCGCGGCCAAGCCGATGTTTCAAGCGGGCTGCCGATACAAACTATTATTTATGTGCAATATTATGCTAACTCACCGCGGCATCCAGTTTCTAGAGACGAAGTTAATGAGGCATGATTGCCCTTTCAAATGTGTTTTTTTTTCTGGGAATTGAAAATGGTGCACGTTCAATGTTGTCAGAAATACAATGCTAGTTGGAATTTCCATGTTAGCGCCTCCCCTAATGAACTTGAGGTAGATGGTTACCGCGGAGCAACTAAATGATCGGTCAGCCGATTACATTAACATGATTGCTTGCCTACCATCGGAATGCCGCTCCTCCTTCGTTATCGAGCTCCGCAAGTCCTCTGATGCTGCTAATACCTTTTATATATTTTAATGAATGATGCATGGAAATTGTTGCAGCTCTATAATTTTTCATTGCTAGTGCATTTCTATTTTTCCTGATTTCAAGGAACCTTACCAACAAATGCGAAAATTTACTATTTTAACGTGTATAACATTGGATGCAAAACAATATCTTCGCCATTAAAAATCCAAAACTTAAGAAATGTGTGGATGAATTTGACTTCTCATTTTCATTTTTAATTCTGAATCGATAATGTCTATGAAAGTCTGAATTTGCTGCACAAAATTATCATTCTGACCAAACTCTTGATTCTTTGTGTATATTGAAGAGTTTTGCGAGCTCGATTGATATGAAGATAGGAGACAAGACGAGACCAACGCCTCTGATTCTGGTGAATTTTCTGACCTCTTAATTAAATTTTCTTTGTTTGATTCTACTTTCAAGTCTTCGGAAAGCAGAATAAATTCGAGCAATTCATTTGTGTTGCGCTTTGGAGTAGATCTGGTGGAACAAAATAAGTGGTATTGTTGATAGAACTCAATTGAAGGACAGGTTGGAACAATTGAAGAGATTTGATCCATGGGCCTAATGTGTACGTTGATGAAGAAATCTGATGGCAAAAAACAAGAATTTGATTCCCAATGATATTTGAAACATAGCCTTGTACTATAATCCCAAGCGGCGATGTGAGGAGAACAATAGTACTTGTAACTAGTACCATCTAATTCGAGCCAAGGTGACACTTGTATTTGACTTGAACAGTGATGGCTCCTCATGTTTAATTTGAATGTGGCTACAAAGTGGTTGGCAATTCTTGGAGTTAAATTTACACAAATGCGTACATGTCATTAAATCCTATCAAAGGGATTGACATTCTTCGCATAGTATTGCTCCATCGACTGAACAGGTGCGGTATGCAAGCCTGTATTCAGCACGTCAGAAGACACCAGAGGGGGGATGCTGAACGAGACTGGTGCATTGTTGGTAGAAGAATTGAAATGCGCATTATCAGCTGGTGGAAGAATAGCTTGAGCAGCTGCAGCTCCCACAGTTGCAACAAGTGGCGTCCTTACCAGCGCTGCTCCTGGTAATTGAGATAAGTTAACAGTAGATGTCGAATGGACAGAGTTCAAAGATGGAGGTGCAGAAGGGGGCAGAATTGCAGATACTAATGACGCTTGCAGATGTGTTGCAGAGACCGCATTCTCAGACATTGACTTATAGGATGAAGCCTCTAACAAGATTGTCAAGTCCTTCGTCGTTTTAGTCAACAATGCCATAGACTGTCTCACTTCATTAAGGATAGGCGCATCTCTCATTATTCCCTTCACTGAAGAAAATGTCTGAAGGATCGCTTTCAAAAAAAGATTGATATCATCCCAAAACAGTCTTCTCACCAAGGGGGTTTGATTTGAGCGAATACTTGAAAGCTTTATTTTTAACCTCTTTGTAATATCCATCGACGTCATGCAAACGTTAGTCAATTCCTTAAATTTTGTAGAAACCGTCAGATTTATCGATTGAGACCCATTCGTATTTGCAGAAGCAATAGCACTCTTTCCAATTGCCTTTGTCAATTCACTGAACACAATTTGGGCGTTTGTGGTCGCCAGGTCAATGCATTGGTACAATTTTTCATCTATTTCTTCCATTGAAATGTGATCTGTTTCAACCATGATATTGTTCGAATCAATAGCTGCTGCCAGAAATTCTTCAGACGTGACAGCAGATTGGACCTGCTTGAATTTTGGGTCCATAGATGTCAAAGTCAAACCTGATTGATTCCTCACAATTGCGGATGGAACTTTCATGGGGAATCCAAATGGGTTAAGAAGCCTATAGGCATTCTGCATTTCATTGAATGATCCATATAATGTCAAATATACCATTCTTACGAAACAAATGTCAATCCTGGCAACAAATGACGCTAGGTTATCCGTTATGACCTCAAAGATTTGCTTGAAAGATTTGATACAACTATGCAAAGCATTCATGAGGGGTTCATAGTTATCACCACTATCTTCAGCAGCTTCAATGCTTTCCACGAGCAAATCAATGTTGCCTTTCGTTGTGTGTAAAACAGGAACGACCTTCAATACAACTTTTCTATCTGAGCAAAAGCCAGTAAATCGTTTGAAGGAAGAATGTACCTCACTGAATGAGAATAACAACTTCCTTGCTACCTTCAAAGCCATTGCCAAATCCGGGCCACTGTTAACTTCAAGTTGATGCGATTGTGTGAAACTTGAATCATTTGGGTTTTGAATATTTAGCGACGGTTTCCTTGAAGCACTCTTTATTGGAGAAATCTCCAGTGTGGATGAAACAGGCTGTGAACGCCTCAGTGGTTGTTCACTCTGTGACAAGATTGCGAGCTCCTCTTGCGAATTTCGGTAAGCTTCGTCAGCAGGTCGTTCTTGAAGCGTAGATAAGCGCCGAAAGTAAGCCCCTGACTTATGTTCCGAGTCTGTTAACTCACTGCTCTCCAACATAGCATTTATGTCCTTCAATGTATTTGAGCGACTTCGGTTCCGGCTCGTTGGGCGGCTTAAAGAAGCTGCAGAATTCATTCCAGATGGAGAAGTGGAACGAGATATACTTGCTGTAGAAGTAGTATAAGTGGAAGGAGCAGAACTGATATCAAGATTGAACGTGGAGTCCTTCCTTTCCAATAATATCGAAATCTCACCCTTCTCACCATTTGGAAGCAGCAGCTTTCGCTCAGGTTTGCTTGGAGTTATCATATCTTGTGCATTACCATGGATGGACTGAGACCTTGTGGCATCTTCAGGGGTAGTTTTATTGCTGTTGATAATAAGGCCCATTCTCCTACTAGCCTTCAGTGACTTGCTCCCTGATTCTGAGAACGAGCGGGTTCGAGCAACACTTGGAGTTGTTGGTGCCTTTTGGTTATGTGTTTGAAGCTGTATATGCTGCTCCAAGGTAGCACTATTTGAAAGCAAGTACGCCTTCAAGTCATTCGTGCCACCCTGCATAGCCTTCACCATCTCAAGTGTTGGCATCAATAGCGGGTTATCTGCCACCCCTATGGCGTCGAGGTTAATCATTTCACCAAGTAGAGGTGGTAAGTAGTTGAATTCATTGTTCTTAATCAGTAATACCTTTAGATCCAGCAAGTTGCAGAACACGGACCATGGAAGCGAGCTCAAGTGATTCAGAGAAAGATCAAGGCCCTCTAGATGCGGACAGCACGTACCTATTATTGCAGGCACGGCAGTGAAGTTGTTATTATGGAGATCAAGGTATCTCATATAAATACCACAGAGTAACTCAAATTCATTCGGAAGCGTTTTCAAGGCATTATCAGATAATATCAATCGCTCTAGATGAACCGGAGGACTGAACAGAGACAAAATATCTGAAAGAACTTCACAAATTGTCCCTAAACTGATTTCAGACGGAAAGTTAGCAAGTCTGATGACAGCAGTTCTTTTGATTTTGATTTGATCTAACTGGTCGCGAAATATGTGATAATGCTCCGCATGTCTTCCTTGTTGTAAAAGCAGAGTCATTGGAAGATTTGATATGAAGTTACTTGAAGAATAAGCAGAGCCTATGTGATACCAAGGTCTTGAATCAGAATTCAATGTTGGGTGTGCATATATACACAGGGAATAAATTGAACTTGTTACGCATTATTGTGGATAATTGATATTCAAAGATCGATCGTTCAAAGTTTCAGCGAACACATCAAGTGCGTTCGAATTGTAAGGAGAAAGCGGAATATTATTAACACACGAGACTGGGAATAAAGTGGTGTTTTATTAGAGAATTCCCATTCCTCGTCGAACCGGAAATGTAATTGTTGGAGAGGGATGTTAGTCAGAAAGGTATTTTGAACAAACGCTGATTTACAAAACAAAGGCAAACATGACTGTAAGTAGTAGTTAAAGAGAATGGGAGACTCACGCGACGATAGACGGTTAGACGGGTAGACCAACAGATGGTAGATCCAATAGGTAAGTCACCATAGAGTGACCCCGGGTAGTTCACCTTACCTAACTGTAAGCAGGACTTAAGGATTCAATAGTAAGAAGTCTTTGTACGACTTTCCTTTTGATAGACAACATTATCAGGTCATGAGCTGAATTCTCTCAATCAACTAAGTTTAGGCTAATCTTCTCTTAGAATCTGACACTTTAATACCTGTTGGTGAGTTTTGGAACTAAGTAGTTAGTGAAGCTTACCAGAAAATTATACCAAGTTTGCTCCGATTAATGTCTTCCACAATTTAGGCTTTATCAATAAACAGAAAACATAGTACTGGAAGACGAACAAATAATCAGACAAGTGGAACTGCCCCCTTTTGAACTTCAGTCCCTGAGAGATCATAAGAAAGCAGGAATAGCACATAAAAATATAGGCAGCTGATCATACTAATCATACTAGGACCAGCTAATACTTCTAGTAACCATTACAGCACACACTTTTAGATAACCACAAAATTTTTAATAGTAGTTTTATTATTAAGTACCAGTGAATGTGTTCCTCAAAATGTCTTGAAGTAGGCCAGAGACATCAGTATGGGTTAGTGGATCAAATGAATATAATACGGACATATGACCCATTGAAGTCATTGAAAACATTCACTAAATGATTTATGATTGATATTGAAAGGAAGTGTCCCAGCACCCTAGGAAGTAACGCCCCTATTAACAGCATCAACTCTTTCCTGCCACACTGTCTTACCTGTGCAGCTGCAAACTGACTTGTCATTTTCCCATGCGCCAGCACTTCTGGCAATGACTCCACAAAGCGCATCACTGCTAATCTCGGTTTTCAACTTAGAAAGCACCATACTTCTTCCAATTAGCTCGTGAATCTTTAACTTTGCTTGAAGAAATGATTGACCCGAGCATAATTCAGAAGTAGATTGACTGAAGGCACCTATGGAACTGATCTTGGTGGAAATGTCCGAGAGTTGATCAACTTCAATGGGTGCAAATGGGTGAAATATTCCACCCGTAGAAAACGCACCTTCACTTAAATTTCCCGAAGTCCTGATCAGTGGATAATATGTACCTTTTGGAAGTCCATTGACAGTTAAATCAACTAATAGCTCATCGTCACTCACAGCAACAAATCTAGCTAATCCTTTAACAGGTCGTTCAAAGTCATTGGGATCGAAAGACTCTAGGATACATACGGCAGCGGAGTTTGGCTTACCGGTTCCTCTAATAATAGCATCTTTACCTGTCTCACGAATCTTTTTGACAATTTCAGAGGGTGGCAAGCACCCAACCACTGTTACCGTTTCTGTCGTTAAGTCAACTTCAATATTCTCAAGACCTTTTAATGATTCGAGAGCATGATTGACGGAGTCTACACATGACTGACATTCCATTGGAACATTGAAAACAATTTGAAACAGCTGAGTCATGATTAGGGTAGTTGTCAACCAAAAGTTTGGACACTCAGTCTTACACTTCGCTGACAAACTATCACGTGAATGTCGCAAACAAGTACCAATTTTCGGGAACTCAGCTATTCTCTTTTTTTGATTTTTTTAAAGAATACTTATTTAGTTCTATATTTGGGACGATGTAATTAATCATAGACCTATTATGATGTCTAAAGGAAGAAGTCATGGAACGGCACCATACTTAACAATGCACTCACCACCACCATCCCACTTTCTCAAAAACGGTATGCTACGGAAACAGGTATATCAAACTGCAGTGGTGCTTATTCTTCAGGCAACTAGGTTAAAATTGGATGTCAATAAAGCACATCATGGACATCAATATGTTGCAAATTCTTCCGATGCTGGGTTCTTTGCGGGATGCAAACAAGGTAGTAAGTAAACTCTGCACATAATGGTGAAAGCACATAATTAAGTATAACAATTTTAGTAAAAATTGTTTCTTAACATAATATATTTGGTACTATATCTGGGACCATAATATAAGAGCATAATCATAGTCCTATTGAGAGGAGATAAACTAAGATTGCTGAAATGCTGCTGTCATTTCCGCTCTCACTATACAACCTACACATCTGCTTTAACTCAGGTAACTAAATTGATATTGGATGTCGATAGAGCAATGGCTGGAGGGGCAGTAACCTTCTTGGCTCCTTATTCGACAACGAAGGTATTCATGTTTGATGATACGTAGTTGTCGATCCAAGTTACGAGTATGTTCTAATTCGTTTTCATTTGAAACATTTGTATACTAGGTATTATATCAGAGACCTATTGAATTTTTTTCGAAGCATTTGTATTATTAGATACTATATTATTGTTTTTGATTTGAAACATTTGTATATTGGGTACTATACCAGGGACCATACTGAGTAGCTTGGTCATAGTGGCGTTGAAAGTAGATAAACTAAGGTTGTTGAAATGGAGAAAAGCGATCTAGAATAGATCTAATCTATTAGCTATATTAAATATTAACCACCAATTGACTTGTTAGGAAACGTAATCAACGTATCCTCACGATCAATGGTTCCTCTAAGAGAAGAGGCCGGCGGGGCCGTAAACGAAGATCTAGGCTTCGTCATAAGTCCAGAACCATCTAGTCAGGACTAAGATGTCGCACATCTTAGATTCAAGTCAAGGATCTGAAATGTAGATCCATGTTTCAAATGTTCCTAGGCCCCCCCTAGTGAAACATATCCTAAACCAATATCAAACCATCTTTGATATTGGAAGGAGCTAGACTCCTTAGAATTGAGGTATAAATATTAGAGGTCTGGTCCTTTGTCCTTAACCAGGAGATCCTCTAACCTTAAGCTTAGTTAAAACTTTAAAGTACTATATTTTTTTTTTTTTAAACATTTGTATATTGGGTACTATATCAGGGACCAGGCTGAGAAGCATGGTCATAGTCCCGTTGAGAGTAGATAAACTAAGGTTGCTAAAATGCTGCTATCATCACCAAAGCTCTCACCATTCGGCTACGCAAGTTGCCACTTCCAGAAAAGAACATGTCCAGATGCAACAACCGACAAGTCAGCTTTAACTCAGGGCACTACAGAAAAATTGGATGTCGATAAAGAACATCCCGTGGCCGAAGGGGCCGTAAACTGTTCCCTTCTTGGCTCTTGAGGTGACGAAGGACGTATTCATGTTTAATGATACGTACTAGGCAATCAACATTACGGGCATGGTCTAATTCAACAGGAAGAGGTGCGATCATTTGGGCGAGGTTAAGTTCACCCAGAAGACCCACCGCAGTCCTTAAGGCCTTCGTACAGTTGCAAAACTGATAGAGATGCCTGATTAGAACTGCATGAGGGATTGTTTAAACATGCTCAGTTCGTCTCACATCAGTGGGTCCCGAAATGCGAGGGAAGAAGGAGCCGATGTTGAAGCGATGAAACGCCTCCAAAGAATGGCCAAGTTGCCATTCCAAGTGGTAAAGCTCCTTCCAGAACTTCTTCTAATGTCTATAAGAAAGAGGAAGAAGCCGCAGAAGTTGCTCAGAGCGAAGGACCGTATCTTTGCGGTGGTGTTTGCGGCTAAGAGAAGCAAAATTCTTTTCCTGGCACCATTTTCGTTCTTCAGGACTAAGTTGGGCTAGGGCCTGGAGGATTTTAAGTGATTATCGATTATCTCCTAAAACTTCCGACAATCTTTGACCCGATTGAGGACATGACTATAAGCATGACTCCGTGGCCAAGCTGGTTAAGGCGTAAGACTGTTAATCTTGAGATCGTGAGTTCGATCCTCACCGGGGTCGCTTTTCTTTTTTTATTTGCCAGATTCCAATTTCGTAGCTCTCTGACTAGGAATTCTTCTTCTTTTTTTTTCTTTCTTTACCTTGTTCTTTTTTAAGTCTATAGTAGTACTTTCAGTCCTGCCTCGGTTACAAATTTGGAGGGATCGTTCAGGTTAGTCTACGCTACTTTTACATATGAAGACTATTATGATGAACATTTCCCGAATCTTTCTTTCGGACAGAGTATACGTTTGATGTGTTGTTCAAATGGTAGTATGCTGTAGTCCCTCTTGAGATCGTAATAACTGTGAAGCTAACTACAACTGTAATCATTTGATTTTTTGAATGTTTGAGGTGCATTTACCTGAATAGTGGGATCTGCGTTCCCAAATCGCAATTAATCGGTAGTTACACATAGATAGAAGTATCCAGATCTGTTCGATAACTACTTGATTTACTCAAGTCTATTACGCATCAGACTTGGGTTCGTATTCTAAGTGAGGAAAATTCGGTCACAAACACTACGTGTACATTTGCAACCAAATATAAGGCCTTTCCATAACTGATAGTGCACAATACCGTCTGTACTCATTTAAGGGCTTTGTTAGGACCCCCCTAGTAAGCAGTTGCCAAAATTCATTTCGTGCAACCATCTTTTGAGGTTACAAAGGAAGTTAAAAAAGTTTCATTACGCGAAAAACCCATTGAAATCACGACACGGAGCTTTCTAGATGTCTAAAGCTTTTCTGTAAGATTCCATTATTGAAAGTTTTCAAAAATAAAGGATTAATTGGCCCCAATACCTTCAATAGACTGAATTCAGTTGTTTTTTACACGATAAGTAACCTGCGATACCTGATCAATAATCTTAGATTTTGGTGAGTTCAACTGATTCTAAGGTAAACTCTTCTCTCCTTGGAACTTAAGAACCTTATTCATATACAATTGTAAATGCAATCAGAAAAGGCGGTACGCGCACGTCAAGAAACTAACTCACCCAGTTTACTCCATTCTGAGTATCTTCAAAAAGAAGTCAAAATGTACAGTGCCGCAGCACAGGTAGGCGGATCAGCGAGTCCACCATCAACTGGGACTATGACGCAAGCTGGAGACCGAAAGAATAAAGCCTTGAATGATAAGCAGATTTACCAGTGGATCTCGGAACTTGTAACTGGGAGCAACAGAGAGAGAGCATTATTAGAGTTGGGCAAGAAGAGAGAGCAGTACGATGACTTAGCATTGGTTTTGTGGAATTCTTTTGGAGTGATGACTGTTTTGTTAGAAGAAATAATTTCTGTTTACCCGTTTTTGAACCCTCCCTTGTTGACTGCGTCAGTGTCGAATCGAGTTTGCAATGCCCTCGCACTTCTTCAGTGCGTAGCTTCCAACGTTCAAACCCGTGGATTATTCTTAAATGCCAACTTGCCGTTGTATTTATACCCCTTTTTGTCCACCAATGCCAGACAACGGTCGTTTGAGTACTTGAGACTCACGAGTTTGGGTGTTATTGGTGCATTAGTGAAGAACGATACTCCCGAGGTGATCAACTTTTTGTTGACCACAGAGATAGTTCCGCTCTGCTTGAACATCATGGAGATATCTTCTGAACTCTCTAAGACTGTTGCCATCTTCATATTGCAGAAAATCTTGTTAGACGATCAGGGCTTGTCTTACATCTGCACCACGTATGAGAGATTTCACACAGTTGCTTCGGTGTTGTCAAAAATGATAGATCAGTTGAGTTCGACGGCAGATCAAGGTCTGCTGGGGCAACCTGCGGATCCCACGCAACAACAGAACACAGCATCTCAACAGCCCCATGCATCGAGCAGTTCTGGCCGGTTGTTAAAACACGTTGTCAGGTGCTACATGCGCTTGTCAGATAATATCGAGGCCAGAAAAGCTTTGGCAACAATTTTGCCCGAGCCGTTGAGGGACGGCACGTTTTCCAGCATTCTACAAGATGATTTGGCCACTAAGCGGTGCTTGGCGCAGTTATTGTTGAACATCAACGAACAGCAGTAAATGCTTATAGGAAAATCATCTACCCTCATCTGTTGAACATTAATGGACGGTGGCCATAAGGAATATACAATAGAAGGTATAGCTTACTGTGCTTTGAAGAAATGCCACCCGTGCTCAATAATTAAACTCGGAACGTAAGTAATGAAAAGCCTTTAACTGCAAATTGCTGCCAACCCATGCAATCAACAGCAATTTCTCTTGATTGTCCTATTTTCGAATCGATACATAAAGCAGTTTGAAACAAACCGAGCTCGGTTTGTTCCCCATCATTGTTGAAAGCTTACATGGCAAAATGCGCAATTGCGAAGGAACATTCACCCGAAAGACTCCTTCCCTCCACAATCTCGACCTCAGGTACTCGCTATGTCACTGATTATAAAATTCTGACACACTATTCAGATGCATGAGACACGTCTTATCGACACGTCGCAGGACCACGTTTCAGGTACATTTTCCATGTAAACACCAGCCACACGATTCCAGGTCCAACCTTTGAAATTGGCGAGAAAAAACTGTATGTAAAAGGAGCCCCTGCTTTGATGCATCCCTGCTCCGGCAGAAGAGCAGCCAGGCACTTGAGGTAGGAGGTACTTGCGCAATTTACGACAGGACAAGCGCGATTGCGTGTCAGATCACGATGTGCACCTTGCAACCATTATGTGATTACCTGATTTGGAAATGACTTTGAAATGTTCTTACCCGAAGTATATAAGGCAAGACCAATTCTCCTTTTACGGTGAGAATCTTTAGAAGTCAAATTCAAACAGGTCACAGCCCCCACACTCCTTTTCTTTCACAATCTTTTGCGACACTCATTTTTAATTTCTCAGTACTGGCTGTTCCTCTTGACGATGAGATTCTCTTCTTACTTCATTCTCACTGCTCTTACTGCCATTGCCGGAGCTTCTCCAGTGCCTGCTATTGAGTGGGTCACCATTACCGCTTACACAACTATTTTATTCTCGAACACCGAAAATACAATTGTTGCAGAGAGTTCCCAGGAGACTTTGGTTGCGGAAACAATTGCAACCAGTCAAACTGATGCTACATCCACATCTGAAACTGTCGATGACTTTAACTTGAAGAGCGCCTTCAAGGCCCTCATTGCTACATCTAGTGCTGCTGACGATGCTGCAATTTCAACCGCATCTACCTCACAGGTTGTTACCGTTTCGCCTTCTGCTTCAAAACTCGAAATCTCGACATCGACAACCCCTGCCACATCTTCATCCGCCACTACTTCAGGCTCATTTTCAGGTGAGGGAACTTTCTACGATACTGGTTTGGGTTCTTGTGGTGTGACCAATACCGATACAGACTACATTGTGGCTATTTCACATGAGTTATACGACAAGTACACCCCCAACGGCAACCCAAACGACAACAGCTTGTGCGGAAAGAAAATTAAGGCTTCTTATGAAGGCAAATCTGTCGAAGTTACGGTGGTTGATAGATGTGAAGGCTGTGCCTACTACGACTTGGATTTCTCTCCATCAGCATTCTCTGACCTTGCTAGCCAGAACTTAGGAAGAATCGACATCACATGGGAATGGGCTTAGTTAGGAAAGCGATCATTACGATAATGCTATACTGGATTTTATATTTTTGTTGACATACATCTGAATAGAACATAAACCATAAAGCTTGACAATAGTAACATTATTATGGATTTCCATCCTATTTCGCACCCATGTACAGCTCTCAACCACTTGGCAGCAAAACTCATGGATGATTATCCCTATGAATTCTAGCGTTGATTTGTGTCATTGTGAATCTTTTTTTTTTTTTTTTTGTCTATGACAATCAATCCTCCTTTCTCGTCTATAGGAGACTAGTTTCGCTCCTCAACCTTGGTGTGCACCTAATCAGTTAAATAGCCATTCTTGACATTCGAACTAACTGAATACTCACCATGGAATCCGACGACGAATTCGTTGACCAGGTGGACTCCGATCCAGAACTGCGGGATATGTCGCTCTCGCCGGAACCCCAGGGCATGGCCAAGAGAACCCGATCGAGAGCAACTAATACGGACTTGAAAAACTCATCTGGTGGCTATGCATGGGAAGACGAGTACCAGCGTACATGGGACGTGGTAAAAGATGACTCGGAGGGCCAAAGATCGATAGAACTGCTAGTTCAGCAGATGATTGAGGCTAGAAAGAAGAAGATAATGAAAAATCCAACTACTCCATTTCAAAGAGGAATCATTCGTACACTTGTGGTGATAATCGATGGATCTCTGATAATGCTGGAGAAGGATTTGCGTCCAACCCGTTTCGGTGCCATGCTCACATACCTACAAGATTTCATTGTAGAGTTTTTCGACCAGAATCCCATCTCGCAGTTAGGTATTGTCATGATGAGAAACGGAGTGGCTCATTTGGTAAGCGAGGTAAGTGGACTGCCGCAACACCATATTGACAAGTTGAGGGCATTAAAGAGCCGTCAGCATAACAGGTATGAACCAAAGGGCGATCCTTCACTCCAGAATGCTCTCGAATTAGCTCGTTCTCTACTTATGGCTAATTTTGGCGGCCCAGCCGCAGCATCAGCAAAGAATTCGAAGGAGATCTTAATTATTTTTGGAGCCCTTTTTACGTCTGACCCAGGTGATATTCACAGAACTATTGACTCCTTGGTTAAAGATAAGATAAAGGTCAAAGTCATCGGTCTTTCGGCACAAGTGGCTATTTGCCAGGAAATTGTTAACAAAACAAACTTTCTGGGTTCAGCAAGCCACAAGACAATTGTCGATAGTACAGCATCACAATACTACGGAGTAATCATGAATGACGCTCATTTCAAGGAGCTCTTGATGGACTGCGTCGAACCTCTTGCCGTTACAAAGGGATCCGCAGAAGCACAACAAGAACTTACTAAGGGGGTGCCACTAATTCGGATGGGTTTCCCACTGAAATTTTCTCCGAACGTGGCAACTTCTAATGCCCTTGTATCAGCGAACTTCCCTCATTTATGCGCTTGCCATCCAACCCAGTCTTCCGAGGAAGCGAAGGAAACAGTTGTTGTCCAAAATGGCCAGGGAAGCAACCTGAACGTGACAACATCTAACGTAGTGGGATATATCTGCCCACAATGCCGCAATAGAGTTTGTCATCTTCCTACAATCTGCCCGGTATGTGGGTTGATGTTGATCTTGTCGACGCACTTGGCCCGTTCTTACCATCATTTGGTTCCTTTAAACGATTTTGAAGATGTTCCCGTAGCAGCTTCATACAACAGCACATACTGTTACGGATGTCTCCTTCGATTTCCAGATGGTACCGAAAACTCTGAGGATGCTCTAACAAGTTCTAGATACCGATGTTCTAGATGTTCAAGTGACTTCTGCATTGATTGCGATGTATTCGTACACGAAGTGCTTCACAATTGTCCTGGTTGCGAGAACATGAGCTGACTCAGAAGGAAAAGAATATTGCATCAACTACAACATAATACACGAGAGACCAAAATTCCAAATCATCAATGATTAAGCTTAAGTACTATACACAAGGAAGGCCTATTTGCTTCCCCAAGAGGAGTTGCCTCCACTCTTACCCCATCCAGAGTTCTTACCTGAATTGGAATTTCCCCACGCAGAGGTGTTGCCTGAATTGTTCTGTCCCCAAGCAGAAGAACCACCATTGTTGTTTCCCCAGGCAGAATTACCTGACTGGCCCCAAGCAGATTCTCTTCCACCTTTACCACCACTTGAGCCGGACTTACCACCCCACGTTGATGAATTCCCCCCCGACTTGCTTCCCCAAGCAGAATTGCCTCCGTTGTTTCCTGAACCCCAAGCAGAATTGCCTCCGTTATTTCCAGAGCCCCAGGCAGAATTGCTTCCATTATTTCCGGAGCCCCATGCTGAAGCGCCACCAGCACCACCACCGGAGCCCCAGGCCGAGGCACCACCAGAGGCATTTCCTCCCCAGGTAGAAGCATTACCAGAAGAGCCCCAAGCAGAAGCTCCTCCTCCAGTTGATCCCCAGGCAGAAGCGCCCCCACTTGAGCCCCACGCAGAAGCACCACCGGCATTGATGGCTGGGGTTTTTCCGCCCCACGTTGAAGCACCACCCGTGGAATTAACGGCAGGAGTTGCACCACCCCAGGCCGATCTTGCTCCTGAAGAGAAGGCGGGCCCAGAAGACGAGCCTTGGGGGTGACGTGGACCGTCCGATGCCCCAATGAACCTCAAATAAGGAATTGACTCTCCTCTAATCATCACACTTAACTTCGTCTTATTCACCTTAATCTTCTTGGATTTGGTATGCAACTCAATTCTGGCGTCAACATCGTCGGTTTCAACGACTTTGCCCATAAGACCCTTGTAATTACCATTGTTAACGACAACATCCTTGTAAAGCAATTTATCACGACCCCCGGCACGTACTTTCACGCCCGGAGTCGCAACTGGAGCGAGCTTCAAGTTGGGATTCATTCGGCTCAAGTCTGGTCCTAAGGTTTTGGAAACCATCGAGTTCTTTGTAGAGACAGTACTAACATTCAACGCATTGGTCACAAATATTCCCAAGTTCTCTTGAAGTTCATGCGACTCCACAAATAATGTGCTCTTGTAAATATGCAAAATCACACCTTCTTTCCTTTTATCACCACCATTTTCTTTCACAGTATCACCAACGTTTATGCTAAGACCATTTCTGTCAGTGGCAACTTGTTCTCTGCGTGTCAAGGCGAGCTTGGAGGCGATTCCTGTTGGCTTAACCGAAACCAATCTGCCGTCCGAAGTCAACACACCATAAAGACCCTTTTCGGCTTTGACGATAGTACCAACAGTGGAGGCATTGAGCTGAACCAAATTCTTAATCTCATACTTACTGTTGACAATATCAGCACTCGAGGAGGTATCAGTTGCTTTGATAAGGTAGTTTGCGAAAACACGTACATCCTCCTTGGTCTGGTCGCTCAATAACACAACGGAATCACCGTCAATCTTAATGACCAAACCAGTTTGGTCAGCATGCTTGCCTTCAATTACCTTGACATGATCACCTGGAGTGAATACCTTACGCAAATCATTTGCTGGAACAGTCAACTCCTGATTGACAAATTTGAGATCTCCACTATCTGTGACGATCATCGTCACTTCGTTCAAAGACACACTTAAAACCTTACCAACTGTCTTGGCCTGTTCTCCACGACGGACCTCAACATTATCACCTGGCTGGAATGAGCTGACTTGGCCAGTTCCTTGGTTCTTACTGTTTTTCAAGGAGGCTGCTACTGCGGCAAGATCCAAGCCATCTTCTTCAGCATTACCGGTTTGGAAGCGATCCAATTCTTCCAAGGTGGGGTGGACATCTTTGGTTTGGATGAACTGCAACTTAAAATCTTTAAAAAGGAAGCCTTCCATGTATTCATCTCCACGATAAATGTAACTTCTGGGTCCTCTTCCAGGTTGTAAGAAATCACCATCATACATTCTGGCTTCCTGCTCGTTGAACAAACGTGGAATGGGTCTGACCTTCAGCTTGACTCTCTTTCCATCGGCAGATATATCATCATTCTTTCCGTAATCCAAACGTGGCACTAACTTACAGCGCACCTCAAGACCATTTTCGGACAAGTTGTCCACGATGGCCAAATCACCTTTGTATTTACCACGAGTGATTCTGATGTAAATACCAGGAACAATCTCCACATCAGACGACTTGACCTGCTTGAGCAAATCAGGATATTCGCTCACAGGAACGATGATTCTTTGTTTCGCATAAACGTTAACCATACCAGTCAAAGCACGTTCAATGGCCTCAGGCTTCTTAGCTTCAATGTAAATGTAACCTTTGAACGAGTCCCTCTGGAAAACGGACAAAATATCAAGAGGACGAGCCAGACGAGCCAAAGTACGCTTCTTCTCATAAAGTTTGCGCACCAAGTCTTTCTCTCTTCCAGGAGAACAACGAATAGCGAAAATGGCAGGATCGTTAATCGAAGGCATCAACAACTTTTGGGATACCGTTCCACTCGCAGTGGTATCACCACGGTAAACAGTATGAGTCTTTCTATAACGTTGCTTCAAAGTTTCTGCCAATTCTTCTGCGTCTTGATCTTCAGCCTGTTGACGACGCTGATCGTATTGTCTGTGGAGCCTGTCATCATTGGCATCAGGAACTTCTCCCTTGTCGACATGCTCATCGGAGATGAATTGCTCGCGCAAAAGTTCAGCTTCTTCATCGTCTTCATCAAGTTCGTCTTCCTCCTCATCGTCAACCTCGGCTTCGATATCAAGGAATTGGTTGGCTCTTCTCCGCTTAGCCTTTCTAGACAGGCTGACGTCATCATCATCTTCATCGTCGTCTTCATCTTCTTCATCTTCATCAACATCGTTTCCTTCTTCGCCTTGTTCGTTGACTCCTTGAGACTGATCAGCGTCGGAATTATCATCGTCATCAAATTTCACCGAATCTTCCTTGGTTGGAAGAGATGGTGCAGAGGGAGGTACAGACGTCTCCAGCTCGGAGTCCGACTCATCTCTGACACGTTTAACACCCAAGCTAGTGTCCTCTTGCTTTAAATTCTGCGGGACGTCAGACATTTAGGTGGCAGACTACTTGGGTATTGTTGAATTAAATTTATCCACTATGTGTGCGTGGTAGTGCGCACACCGTTGTATCAAGTCAGCTAAAAATTTACTTCCCCGTTTCTTGCCCCTCGCAATCAAAAAATGAATCCCGACACCGTCGTATTACTAGTCGAAGCCATGCGCGCCCTCAACATTAGATTCAACTTTCAGTTTGCCTTTAGCATTCAGAACTTTCTAGTTACATTTAATGGCCAGGCAGAGTACACGGACCAAATGGAATGAGTTTGCTGTGCGAACTCATCTAAAGATCGTTTTCATATATCTCTTTCTCACCTTTTCTCTTTTTTTTTTTCTTTTTATTTCGATTTCCTTTTCTGCTATTCTCTAACTTCCTCGATCTCCTCATTTGATTCGTCAACTCGTTGTGTTGAACTATTCGCTATGCCATTTGGAACAGTTAAGCTACAGCATAACTGATTAATGATATATAAGCCATCCCGTTTCCCAGGACTTAGTACCTACGTGAAATCCATCGCAAGCACAAAAAAAAAGATAAGAAAAGAAAGACAATGCACCCTTTAACTTTGATGTATGCCTTGATTCTCCCTGGTGTGTCTGCCGATTTTGTTCGACCTTTCGGAAATGACAATGTTCAGCAGATTAAATGCAACAGAGGAATCCAACGGCACCTACTTGAAAATACTACCGCAGTATATTTCTGTAAAGACAATATGCATATGATTTTCCATTCTACGAGCTTGAATACACTCGGCCCAAACCGCCACAACCCGTTTGCCAGCAACGAGGATGAAAACGACATGAGTAAGAAATGGTTGGAGGTGGAGACCAACAAGTTTTCGGTCCAATCTGATGGTGGTATTCCGTTTACAAGTTGCCTTTCACTTGAAAACGGAGGCAACGGTGCAATTTCTGCAACGTTTGGAGATACTTTAGGGACAGCCGCTAGCCTTGATCTTGATTTTGCTTTGGTAAACGCCGGCCTCGCATCATTGCACTGGGGATTAGTTGGAAGTGTTGGTGGTACTTTTGCAACCTCTGCGGAATATGCTTGTGGTGGTAAAGCAGGACAGACTGTCCAATTGACTGTGGTGCCTGCCTACTACAGATTTAGAGAAGCTAAACTTCGGTATCTTCAGATGGGGAACAGTAAGACGAAGCCTGTCATATATAACGATTGGGAGTATATTCCCGACACCCAAGTGTTGGCATCGAGCCCAATGATGAAATGCGTCACCAGTCCAGAGTTATTGAGATGTGACAGCAGTGTTGTCATGCCAAGAAATACGAAATAGGTTGCAACCAAATCAACTCTTAGCAAGATGTCATGAAAATTTTAGAGTTAAAAATTTACTCAAATATGTGAAATAATTGACTTAATAAGTTTCTTGTCTGATTAGCCATCTGACTATTGTGCGGTGCACGGGTCCTAAAAATTAATGGGAAAATGCCGGGAGAAGTCATCGCCATTTAGTCACAAAATGTCTAACGAAGTTGCCGAGATCGCTAGGGAATTGAAAACTTGTTTGAAGCAATTTCCAAACTTCCCACAGGAGGGTATCCTTTTTGAGGATTTCTTGCCAATCTTCGCCAACCCTGATTCTTTTAGGAAGTTGGTGAAAGCATTCCAGTTGCACTTGGAAGACAAGAAGGTCGACTACATTGTTGGCTTGGAAAGCAGAGGATTCTTGTTTGGCCCTGCCTTGGCTTTAGCTTTGAATGCTGGTTTCATCCCAGTTAGAAAGCCCGGTAAGTTGCCAGGTCCAACCTTGAGCGCAGAGTTCCAAAAGGAGTACGGAAGCGACAAGTTTGAGATCCAACAGGATGTCATCCCCAAGGATGCTAGTATTGTTATTGTTGACGACATCTTGGCTACCGGAGGAAGTGCAAGTGCTGCTGGTGAGTTGGTGTCCAAAGCTGGTGCCAAGGTAATTGAGTATTTGTTCGTCATGGAGTTGGATTTCTTGAAGGGTAGAGACAAGTTGGATGCTCCTACGTTCACCTTGTTGTCTGGACAGATCGAGAAGTTGAAGAATTAGAGTGTCTAAATAGAGGATAAGATTATGGACTTTTAATGAATAAATTTACCGTACAATCAGAATAACCGGAGAATTCTCTATGTATTAATTCTTGAAAATAAGGAACGCAAGGTCGTCGATGTAGAAGTATGCAAAATATCCCTGTTCGTGGGTCACGTAAGAACCAAAAGATTTGCCCACAATTACATGCCACGATGCTCCGTATAATAAATCCAATTCTTTCTTCAAGTACGTGGCAATGTCCTTCTCCACCTTGTATGTGACAGTAGCATCAACTGCTAGTTCAAGAACCTTTGTTTGAATCTCTTCCAGCAAGTCGGAAGCTTTCAAAATAGCTTCAGGCGATTAGTATGATATTTGTGATTGAAATGGGAAGTTACATACGTGTCGACTCCAGTGGTTTGAAGGTATTTGCGCTTACAGTCGCCATTAGTGATAACTCTTGTAGATATTAGTTCAACAGGGAAGTTGGCGCACTAACTACAGGAGGCACCGAAAATGCCAGAAGTTGCAAAGTACAAATACCAAAGACTCGTCGGCGAAGAGTAAAAATGGCGTAGGATCTGACAGCTACTGAGATAAGAGTTTACTATTTGAAAAAGTAATTTGCTTGAATTTATTCGCAAACCTGATCAGGAAGCGATCAAGGAATAGCCGAGGCTTCCGTTCCTAGAGCAAAACAATACTTACACCAATCGTCTTGACGAGATTCTGACTTGTTAGCAAAGTGGATAAAATTAAGAATTAGGATCATGAACCTTAAGTGGGGTAGTAAGTTGCATTAAATCACTATACATCACTATCATTCTCACCCTGATTCCTACGAAGAAGTCAATTCCGGAAACCCAAAAATTCACCTGGCAATTATATGACATTTTCTGTGACAGACAGGCATAAAGTTTGCCAATACCCCACCAAACAAGATTCTATCTGTGGGTTGCTCACAATGCAGTCAATTTGTAAGCATATGCCTTTTAAGCTCCCAAACTTCTCACTACTATTGCCTCTTTCCACCCCGCATTTTCACTATGAGCAAATATGGATTCCTGAAGATTGCAAGAGACATCTCTGCAGCATTGCCCAAACCAAAACCTCCGACAGCCCAAAAGATTGAGTTGCCTCAAGGGGAAACAGAGAGAAAGATTTTGGAATTTGCCAAATCTGAATTGAACGAAAAAACCTTAAACCATTCACTTCGAGTTTATTCATACTCAGTAGCAATCATCAAGGACCAATTTCCAGAGTGGGACCTCGATCTTGGAGTTTTATTCACTACCAGTTTGCTTCATGATATTGGTACAACAGAAAAGAACATGAGGGCCACCAAAATGTCCTTTGAATTCTATGGTGGCTTGATTGCTCGCGAATGGGTATTGGAACATACCGAAGATAGTGAGTACGCTGATGCCGTTTCTGAAGCGGTCATTAGACACCAGGACTTGGGAACAACAGGCTACATTACAACATTGGGCTTGATTATACAGATTTCTACTATTCTTGATAATGTGGGTAAGAACACCCAGTTTATCCACGAGGATACTCTTGACTACTTGAATCGCAAGTATCCAAGAGATGGTTGGAAGTCATGCTTTGCGAAAGTAATCGATACCGAGAATTCTGAGAAACCTTGGGGTCACACGTCTGCTTTAGGTGTTGACGACTTTAAGAAGGGTGTGTTGGATAATAATTTCAAGTACACCAAATTGTGAGTAGGTGATGGGTGACTACATAGTACCCAAATAAACAACCGTTTAATAAAGAACTAAAAAATATCAAAACATCCAACATACAAAATGCTCACAATTATGAATAATAGAATGCTTTCCTTTCTTTTTGGATTTGCTTTGTCTGGCCGAATTAAACTGAATGTAGAGCATCGTGCTTGGTCATACCGCACTTGATCCTCTCAAGCGCTCAAGACTTCGATCGCACAAGAATTGGACCAAAATTCCACTTTCCGTAACCATTATTTAGAAAAAACTACTTAAAGCTCCAACATGGTCATTCGACTCTCAACTTTGTCTGGCCACATACAATCCCCAGTCCACTTTCTCTTCTTCCACCTAAGCTTCGATAAGTTATATGCACAACATCGACTTCACCAGACTTCTGCAAAGTTGACATCGAAATCCTTATCGACAACATTTAATCATCACCGAATTCAATTATCATGGTGGATGCAGCGTCAGCGCTGCGGATTTCCACGCACTATTATAAGATTGCTCATTTGCTGCTGGTCACCTTTGCCATATACACTGCCAAAGAGCCCACGGTGGACCAGTATCTTCTAGAGCTTGAGCTCCAAATCCGAAATCAGCATCCTAAAATTTTGCTTACCTATTACAATAAGTCGTTATATCACTTTCGGTTCGATCATCTCAAAGAAGAAAGAGACTTTGTCAATAATGAGCAACACCAAAAAGATGATACATCCAACTTGCAGTTGCACATACTATATCCACAATTGTCTCTCAAACATGAATACACAGTGGGTGCTGATCAACTTGCTAATCCTTCTCGAGTAATGAAAGGTGTCAAGAAGGATTCATACTCGAAAATTGATCTACCTGAAGGGCAACTTGCGTTTGCTAGTCTTTCCTTTCTTAAGGCAGTCAAGAAGACCCTTGTATATAACTTGTCAGCTTCTGGAAACATGCTTCTTTTTGGTAATTACGTCGTTGCTCGGGTGGCAGAAACGTCCGCCCAATATTCTGTTGTGCAAGTCGACCCAGTACTACTTGCGAACGGGGATATCGTTGTTTCGCTTTCTCAACGTAACAAATTGGCTCTTTTTGACTCGGCAATATTGAATTTGGACCATGTGTTTCAAGAAATGGCTTCTTGTTTTGTCATCTATGTGGTGCCTTCAGGTCTCCGCTGTCACCTTTACGACACATCGAGCATGCAACACAGCTTCACATACACCCCACCCAAATCGAGTGTAAATCTTTTACGACTCTTAAAGCTCAGTACTGGTGTCGAATTGAAACAGAAGCAACAAATTTTGTGGGTTAAGTTGGTCCCCAACTTGCAGCATCTTAACAATCAGACTTCTAAAATTTCTCACTTCGTTCATGAAGTGGATAATAAGAAATACATCTTGTGGCCGTGGGAGCTTTGTCTCTTGCAATTTGGAAGTGTGGAGAAAAATCCAATTCATGATAATTCGCCTCTGAATGTGGACCCGTTGTCGTTGATCTCTGATTTCATCCAATTCTCAATTCTGCGCCACGAAAATGATAACGTCGAGAGGCATATGGAAACGCTGACAGGACCTGGATCAGCTACTAACCACATCACGACTCACCCACCATTTAGTGTTCCGAGTGCATTCTCGATTGGCATGAGTACGGAGGGTAATGATAAACACGAAGACACACACATGAGCATTCTGGAAACAAACCCCGAAGTTCTGGGTCTTTTTGAGATAGACCACAACGAAGATTTGTTTGGGAGCGAGAATGTACTAGATGTTCCTTTACTGGGTAGTCAAGATACAAAAACTAAAGAAAAGGGGAGTGAGCTAGAGATGAAAGAGGATGGCGTCGAAGACGACAGTGATCTTTTTGGTAGCAGCCCGGAACTGGATTCCAAACAGGCTGGAGAAGCACTAATGGAAGATTTTGATCCTCGGAAAAGCGAAATTCACAACATGGAAGTGGACTCCCAAGAAGCATTAAGCAACTCGGAGAAGATTTTTGAGGACCCACAAGGTTCCGAGAACGAAGCACTCGATATCAAAAGTGAAATACAGCCTCCAAGTGCTTTCCCAGGATTTATAAATATTCCAAGAGACCAGATGATATCAGGTCCTGCCAACATGACTCCCATGTCTTACGATGATCCAGGTGCACCTCCAGCGATTATGCCTACACCAATGATCCCAACTCCAGTAATTCCTCAAAACGTTTCCGATGTTCAAGGCGGTTTTGGAATGCAAGCAATTCCTCATCCTCACACCACCCCGAAAGTTCCACTGCACCTGTTTCCTCAACCAGGGAAACCATTGAATCCATTTGCTAGTAGAGATTCTAAAGAAGCAATACAAGGAGAAGACAACTTAGCTTATGTTTTCTCCCCAATTTTGTTCAACCCGATGATCAAAAGCAATATTGATACAAAATATGGAAAGGGTGGAAAATTCTATGTTGCCCGTGAGAGTTCCACTGGCCCAGAAGAATTCAAGTTCAGGTTACGAGAGACAAGTGTTTCTGGATTCGATTCGAAAAAAGAACTTTCTGAAGGCAAATTTTTACCTGAATTGCTCGATTCAGTCAGCTCTTCGAAGGATTCCAAGATTGATAATACTTTCTTCCCAGATGGAACGTTGATTCAAAAAGAAGATATACACGAAGAAGTAGTGGACGACGATGTAAATGAGGAAGATGAAGAGGAAGATGAAGAAGATGAAGAGGAAGATGAAGAAAGTGATGTGGATGAGGAAGATGTGATTGCTTTGAAAACATCCCCCCCTTTGAAATTAAATACCCATGACATATTTCAAATGCTGAATGCAGCAGAAATACTGAAGGGACTCAATGTGACTTCTTCTTTGCAAAGTAACCAATCAAACAATTTCTTGTCCCCCGGTTCGAGCATTATTAAAGTCCAACCATCAAACAAAGTCGATTCTCCGTTTGGATTCAGCATGGGCACTTTGGATGTACCGACTTCATCCCTTTCTCCACCAATATTGAACGATCTTAAGCAGGATAGTCTGCTGGGAGTCATTAACAGAAGTGATGATTTGAACCAGCAAACTGACAACGGTGGGAACAAGGAGCCTGGCACTGCCGAAAGTGCCAACACTCCTTTATCTAATTCAAGTTCTGGTAATGGTATTTCGGAATCATCCAACTGTCTTCCTTTGATTCTTCGAAATATTAACGTTGTGAGTATCCCTAATTGCTTTATTGTGAAGAAAGCTCCTGGCGTGTGGGGAAATGTACCAATTTCTACCGGGTTCAATATGGATGTGGATGAAGAAGAAGACGAATTTGATGTCACAGACGGTACACTCTCTGTGAGATTAATGGACCTTGATGAGTGTTTGAAGTGGCTCATGCCGAATCTTGTCTTTGATTTAGGCTTGATCAATTTCGAGAAACGGCTTCAAATCAAATTTCCGGAGTTCTTTTCTGAAGAGCTAGCCGACAACATCACTGATGGTGAAGTGAGCTCTGAAGTTAAGGATTGTTTTCTTGCAACCTTCCCTCTCAGTTACAGAGTGAAACTCAGCGAGTTCGTAAATGAAAACGAAGACTTGGCAAAGGATGTCTCAGAGCCACAGAGAGAAATTGATAATCGATTGAGTTTCCTTGACGATATCACAAATAATGATATTCTAGACGAGGAAACCTCTTCGAAGAAAATGATGAAACTTCATTGGGATTCTATTCATCCTGAATTGAAAGTGAATCAACAAAAGTTCAAAAACTACTGCGAATTAGTGACTTCTTCTCAGACAAACTCCGATAAAAAGAACGATGATGGGTCTGTATTTTCTCTCAACGAAGTGAAAACCAAAGTTTTCAAGAACGGGGACAATATTATCAACTTAAACGTCACTGGCATCAAATTTTGGAACTACTTTAATTTCAGTCCTTTGAACGGACCCAAACGGTTTCAGGTTCTCGTGATTTCTGAAAATGACGCTAGAAATCAAGATGGAAATCTTTTTGATTCTAGTAATTTGGATTTCCTAGAGTTGCTTAGAAGCAACTATAAGGAGGGCCATTTCGGAACGATTAAGAAATTGAACTTGCAAACTTCCGATACTAGACCTGACTTGGATGGTATCAGTAATGGGCTTATGCTCGTTGACAAAGGTATTGGTGAAGGTGCTTACAGAGAGTTTTACAAGAAGATCAACAAGAAACTCAAATCTTTGGCGGAACTAATCAAACTTGATATTATCAACAAAACGAACAGATTTGAGTTTGACCGACCACTTCTTTTGCTCTTCGTCAACTTTGATTCCTCAATCAATTCAGTGTTACAAATCTCGAAGATATGTCGAAACTTCAAGTTATTCTTGAATGACCACCAATTATCATTGGTGAATACCTTCACACAAATCATACCGTGGAATTACATTATTACCCAATCAGACATGCGCCGCCGACTTCGGTATTTATCAAACTCAAAATTATCGAAAATCTCTATGAGTCTATACAACAAGTGTCCTAATGTCGACAACCATGATTCAAGATTCAACAGAGACAATACGAGGAAATTATACACAAATTTGGTGAAGGAACCACCTTCGACTTTGCACTTCAAGTTCATGAATAAGGTCAACAAGGAAGGTTACACTTCTTCATTCCATGATGATATATTCCTCCATGTTGCGTATGAAAGATCAGTGGACAAGAGCTGGGTTTCAGCAGCATGGTCAGATCCATTGGGAATAGTTACCCATACGAAGTCTTGGTACTGTCTGTCTAAAGCCAGGACAAATGGTGCCGATGCACATGAATTGGGTTCGATTATCAATGACATATGGGATATCTCCAACAATTTCTTCAAAACTTTGAATGATGATGCTGTACAAAGAACTTGCGGGTCTGGAGCAAAAAACTTCTTGGTACTCACAAGAATTAGTAGCATTATCCCCGACGATGAATTGGTGTTTTGGAAAAAGCTTACGACAAAACACAAAGATATTTCACTCCTTGTGCTTTCCGCGAACCGTTTACCCAAGTACATTTTCAGTTCAGAGCCCAGAAATGTTCCATCTGGGACATCGGAGTCCACCACAGGTGTGAAGAACAACTTCGACGAGACAACGCCTAATTTCATGCAAAACCTTGGGCAAAACCGCAATTCTATTTCATCGAGCATGTCTGGTCCAGACTTTTTCAAGTCTATTAATGGAATGGGTAATGTCATGAGTCCATCGTCATCAGGTGCTGGTTTTACTCTTACATCGCCAATGAACTCTAGTGCTCTCAGTTTTCATTCTCCGCAACAGTTCTTGAATGCGCCCTCCAATTTTCTATCACCACTGGATGCCGCCGGTACCGCAGGTACTGGACTCGGACTTAACAGTATCAGCATCAATGAGGCCGATTACATCATTAAGGACCCTTGCTTAGAGATTTTGGGAGTTATACCCAAGATCCCACTTCCCTCATTTAATTCGCCTACCAGGTTGGGTATGCGGATTGGCTACTTGATCAGAGAATCGAAGACTGAAAACGCAAACTCAGAAGTAAAGGATCTTGTTTTCGAGGTAACCCTTCTCAGCTGCTCCTCTTACTGGAACTTGGATGCAATCATGAAGATTTTGCTTAATCAGTACAAGAAATTGATTGTGCTCAATGATGTGATGGGTACGTGCGACCGCGAACCTAAGAAAACCACAAATACCACTGAAATCAGAAGCTTGGTTCCGTGGCATATTAATGCGGTTGTGAAAACGATCGACTACTTAGTTCACGTGAATGTGGACGAGCCGACCTAACTGTCTAACAGCTCATATTCTCTACATGCACTAGTTTAATACACCACCCATTTAGTTCCAGCCTGCATGTAACTGGATACACCGCGTTGTTTTGCACTGATCACACAGTTAAATCAAGGCTAAACAAAAGTTAGTAATTACTATACAATTAAAGTCCACGAATAAATAACTTATTGAATTTCGATAGTGTTATTTATCTCATATCCTTCTAATAAATTTGTTCTCCATTGCCTAGGCTCCAATGGACTCCACACAAGAAATAATAAGAGGATATCTCGATGGAGGGAAGTATCTAAAATCAGTCGACTTATCTGATTCCGAGGACGAATTAGATATTGATTTGCTTGTGGATCCTCTAGATGAGGCTCCTGACTTTGAAAATCATCCGGTCATCTTGCCTTCTCCTCATACACCGTACAAATCTCCACTAAAGGCACATTTGGAAAAACTTCGAGGCAGTCCTGTAAAGACTACCAGATCTCCACTTAAGGCCAGAGAAGAGATTATAGACCAAAGCTTCTTTTCAAAGTATGACGAGGATGAGTTGATCGATACTCATAAGTACGTGAACAAAGTTCCGGACTACATATCCAGTTCCAAGGAATTCGAAAAGTACTCCCTTCTACTAGCGTCTTCGACGGACAAGCTAATGAAGCAATTGTCGGTAGAGAGAAGGAAGAACAACGAATTGGAGTCGAAGCTTGCGAACTACGAAAATGAAAGATTTCAAGCTCAGGTGACCAAAGGAGATTACGATCTATTGAAGCAACAATTTGCTGGTCTACAAGAGAAGAACGATCAAATGCTGCGCAAGTACCGTCAGCATGAAGACGACAATGACCGTCTAACAAGGGAGAATCTGTTACTTCGCGAAAAACTCATCAAATACAAGAAATTGTACGAAGATTTGCGAGACACCCTGTCAGTTGATAAACATTCCCCAGGCCAGTTCGGAGCGGGATCACTTAACAAACATCCTTTTGGATCGACCTCTCAGGAAACACTTCATCCCAGAGCTTCGAATGATATTAAGATTGACAAAAGTCGACTTTCTCCAAAAAATGAAATCGATCTTGTTGATGTTCAGACTTCATTACACCTGCTCGCACAGCTTCTCGCACAAGCTAGAAAAGATTCTTCTGCGCAAAATCAAGTTGAACCGCCGGCCGCAGCTCCAGCAGCTATTGAAGAAATGCCACCTTATCAACAACATCAATACTATCAGGCCCTCAATGGAGTAGTTCAAAGCGTGGAGCGAATTGAGGAAGATTTAAAACAGATCAACTCCACTTTAAGGCAAGAGCATGCATGGGTATCAGAGAATGATAACAGAGTCGATCAGGATCGCGTTAGCAGTGATGCATACACCCTGCAACAAGACGTTGGCTCCAAATATAGACGAAAGATCAGAGAACATAACGAGAATGAGTTCCATGAAACCTCGGATCTACCCAATCCCAGCTTAGACAGCAGATGTCAACGCCATGGTCAGCCAACATCGAGTTGTTCTGCCTGTGTCAAGGCATTCAATAAGGTCAGTCGCCCTACGTCACATTCGACTACGAAGGACGATTTGCAACCGGAGGGGAATACACAGGCGCTCATGGGGCGGTATATGTGGAACAAGACAATTTGAATTCTTTTTTTTAACTACGTGACGCTCATGATAACAACATATGAGTAACAGGATGTGAGTATTAGAATGGGTATGGAGGATTGCGATAATACCAGATGGGAGTTACGAGTATACTAACTAGACTCGCAGAGGAACGCCGTTGGATAATCAAATACAATGGTTGATATGTCGCGGTCAATGTTGCAGAATATTTTTTGGAACCTACAGGCTTGAGTGCAAGACTTACCTTCCACTTCGCATATTGATCAGGACCCTGACTCAAAACCATTCGTTTTCCGATGTTGCTGAGATTACCACTCTGTTATTGGGAAATGGTATCTATAGACTTGCCTTATTGTACTCTCACTTGCTTTGATTTAGAACCAACAGTTGAAGAGATGTCTAAACATTCGAAGACCCAAGGAAATAATTATTGAATATGAGGACGAAGTGGATGTTACTTGGAGTGGCTCTAACGCAGAGAGAGAGTTCGTGGGTTCTACACTCGATTGCATCAGTTTCGAAGAAACACTTTCAAAGATAGAATCTGGATTCACTGTATGCTTTATCCTAAAAGAGAGTCCACTACCTAACGTATATAAACTAAGCGAGTTCAGGGTTTCCGCTTTATGTAGAGACGTGACAACTTAGTTGACACGGAGTTGGGACATCGTAAACGCCAAGCGAACCCGATACGAGTCAACTACCAGTCACTAGTTGAAAGGTTCGTTATTAGTCGTAACAGATAGTGAAATTTACCCTAGAATCGTCCATCCAACGTGAATTCTGGAGGATTCTAATGTGGTCATTGAGTATTTCGCTATTTTTAGCAACTGCGATTTCAGAAACAGGCTCTGAATATATTGTACAGCACTGAGAACTTTCTGTTGATCTAATAATGAAACGCCGGATTTTCCTTTCAGGATGATGACAGCCATTTCTGTCAACCACAATCGGCGACAAATTCGAACCGATTTGGTCGTTATATCGGGGCCTCTAACCTTGAACCTACCATAGGCAAGCGATTACTTGTTATGTGGTTCCCATTAAGAAGATTGTGGAAGGCCACCACCAAACTATCACTTTCACATGTAAATAAGCACCATAGTCAGATTTACTCTCTATCTCAAAGGCTGTTGCGCAACTGCACTGCATAAGCAAACCATCACAACTGAAATCCAAGTTCCGTAGCGCAAATCTCAAATGGTGTTTGATTATGGTCGCACAGCACGAATGCACACACATGTTGCTGCCCGATAAGGGAACGATACCGCCACATACATTCCTTCACGCAATAAGCAATAGCAACGCGGCCCCCACCATACACAAGTTCGATTCGTGGGGCTGAAATGACATAGATGTGGCGGTGAAGGATCATTCCCGTTTCATTAAGTCAATGTTTTGATGCAGCGAAGGCTATCGTCGCGCATTTTGCCCGCGATCTTTGCTACAGTGGGAAATGAGAAGTGGGAATTGGTATGGGCTGCTCAACCCGGCCCTGGTCACGAGGCACCAATCCAGCGATGAACAAAACAAAACAATCGGCGACGCAACGAATGTTGTCCTAGGAATGTGGTAGATGCGAACATGTGCGTTGCTGCCCAGAGCAATCCACCATCTACGAAGAGCAGCAACTTCACAACACGCGAAGCCAAAACATTCAAAAAACCTACATTGAGAATTGCACTCTTGTTGATGTCCAACTCAAATGAGGTGTGAGGAGGCGAGTGTAGCCCTCCCCTCAATCAATGCAATCTAGAAGCCCTTTACCCATTTTTTTTTGTAAATCGCTGCGCGAGCAAGCGATAATACTTCATACTTTGAAACGAATAGCAGTAGTTTCGTCTACATCGCATCAATGTCTTTCCAACTCCATATACCTGACAATCTTCAAAAAAAAAATGCTTGCAGCTGCGCGCACGCGGACCTTCCGAAAAAGAAAAGTTCGAAGTAAAGATTCATACTCATAAGCCCAATACAACCCCATTGACCCGTTGGAACCGTTCCTACTAATCACGCAACACCACTCCCCGATGTTTTGCTCAGAACCATGTTTCGTATTCTTCCAGCATATTTCGATCGCAACCCGTGCTAAATGGATCGTTCGAGTAAAGCCGTACATGCAGGTGTTTACAATCGTCCCCAATATGGGATAATGCCCGTAGGAGTGTACGCGATGCATTTGTTCTCTCACGGCATTTTCGCTGACACTGCTCGCTTTTTATGCCCTTTACCTTGGCCTAACTACCACGCCTGCTCATTAGCTTGCTTCTTTCTGTTGTTTACTTCGTCAATTCGGCCCTAACTTCTTCTTCTATTCTCCAGCTGCCTCGTTCTCTCCTTCCATCGCAGCCTCATCCTTGTTAACGCGTTGCGGGCCATTCCATGTCCACTCTTAATAACGAAAACGAATTTCGAGTGACTCGATCTCGAACCAAGGGCTCCGACAACTCCAATACTGCCCAAGAATCTGTGGTAAAGTCCAACGATGTGGTTGTTTCATCTTCACGCCTGTATTTGGGCGACGTCTCCCGACAGTTCGGAATTGCTCGTCCAGCCGCTCTCCCAACCACCAGAAAACGGCCATTGGGCGAGTCTGCAAATGCTCGTTTAACCAATAGTCGCCCCGAAGTCGCCAAGGCCAAGGATGTGAGGCCAAAAACAGCTGCCCCATTAGCACCTCTGCAACTAATTCCTCACCGGTTACCTCAAAAGAGACAGGCCACTGAATCCAGTACAAATCTTGTGGAAAAGCTCCACCACGAGAGTGACGAAGAGTCATCCACAAAGTTTAAAAAATCCAAGCGTACCGACTACGAATGGCAGGATCTCGACGAAGAGGACTTCGATGACCCGTTGATGGTGAGCGAATACGTCAATGAGATCTTCCCCTATTTGCATGAACTCGAGCAGAAAACCTTGCCAGATCGTAACTACTTATTCAACCAAACTCAGCTCAAGCCCAAAATGAGATCCATATTGGTCGACTGGCTTGTGGAAATGCATCAGCGGTTCAGACTCTTACCTGAGACTTTGTTCTTGGCCATTAACATCATGGACAGGTTCATGTCGGTGGAGGTGGTTCAGATCGACAAACTTCAGCTTTTAGCTACTGGCTCTTTGTTCATTGCTGCTAAGTATGAGGAGGTTTTCTCACCATCTGTCAAAAACTATGCATACTACACTGACGGTTCATACACCGAGGACGAAATCCTTCAAGCTGAGAAGTACATCTTGACCATCTTAAACTTCGACCTAGGCTATCCAAACCCAATGAACTTCTTGCGCCGAATTTCTAAAGCTGACGATTACGATGTCCAGCTGAGAACCTTGGGCAAGTTCCTTTTGGAAATCACCATTGTCGACCACCGCTTTATCGGCATGCTTCCTTCCCTCTGTTCAGCAGCAGCTATGTACATCGCCCGTCTAGTATTGGGCAAAGATCCAGTGTGGAACGGTAACTTGATCCACTATTCTGGTGGCTACCGTGTCGACGACATGAAAGAGTGCATTGAGCTCATAGTCCAGTACCTTGTTTCTCCTGTGGAGCATGACGAGTTCTTTAAGAAATACGCCACGCGTAAGTTCATGAAAGCAAGTATCATCTGCCGAAGCTGGGCCAAGAACTTCGTCAACGACAGAAAAGATTTGTTTGACGAACGGCTCTTGACAGAGAAGATCAATAAGTGAGGCACTCATTTTCATCACTCTTCATTCAATAAGCATTGACTATCCAACTCTATTTCAGCGATGGTCACAACATCTGACTGTTCGCTTTTGCATTTTCACTTCTAATAGATTATCATGAACACACGGCTCCTCAATCTACAATTTGCATTGGCTGTGTTTTCCCCAATATCTAATGATTTTGATGTTATCAATTTAAATTTAAGTTGCAGTTATTCACATGTAAGACCTCGTGTCGATATCATTCCTGTCAGGATTAAGTGTTTCCCACTTTGCACCCATTTCGCATTCGATCCACCCAACACCTTTTCTTTATAAAACCAGCAACTTTTGATCCTTCAGGCTGTTTAAACGAATCGTCTGCCATTCTCAAGCCTCTCACTGTCCTTTCCAAGAATAATATGCCCTCAAATCTCACAGTTTCTGATAATTGTATCGGGGTAAAAGATGCTGCAAACTCTCTGCCCACAGTGGGATTACGGCAGCTACCAGCCCAAACTGAACAAAATGCGAAAAGAAAAGGCGGAAAACTCACTCTAGTACTTGCTGGAAGTAGCGGAACCGGAAAATCCACTTTTCTTAACACGTTATTTGGAGAAGAGCTCTTAACAAAGACTGCGATCTCACCAGGTCAGGAGGTGAGGGAGAGAAAATTTGAACTAATCGAGGATGATTTTACTTTGAAACTTACTGCTGTAGACATGCCTGGGTTTGGGAATAAAATGGATAACCAGTACAGTTGGGTGCCAATTGTGAGGTATATTGACCACCATTTCAAGGCACATCTATTACAAGAGGAACAACCCGACAGAAGAAAAATGAGAGACAACAGAGTTCATGTTTGTCTTTATTTTATTTCCTCATCTAGTACATCCTTGAGCCAATTGGATATCGAATCTATGAAGGAGATCTCCAAAAGAGTTAACTTGATTCCAGTAATTGCTCGAAGTGATACTTTGAACAGAGAGGAACTCGGTGATTTCAAATTACTGGTGAATAATACTATGAAAGCATACAACATCGAGCCTTGCCAGTTTGTATCAGACCAGTACGTGTTGGGTAAGATTAAAGCCGTTTCTCCTTATGCGGTCATTGGCTCTAATTCTTTCTTCAAAAACGCAGACGGGAAACTTGTGAGAGCACGGAAGTATCATTGGGGAATAGTAGAGATAGAAAACCCGCTTCACTGTGATTTTGTTCAGCTTAGAGAGCTCCTTCTCTCTGAGCACATGATTGATTTAATAACATCAATGGAATCACACTATAACCAATTTCGGCTGCTATACTTACAAGAACGAGTGAGCAGATCGGTGAATTCCCTTGGATTTAATTACAGTCTGACTCCAGACCCCGAGACTGATGGTTTACGCTCGTACTTGATATATAAGAAGGCAAAGGCACTTGATACCATCAAAATGATAGACGGAGGGCAGGACTTGCAAATAGAAGCTCTAGAAGCAGAATCAAGAAAGCGACTTGATAAGTCTATTAGACTTGAAGAGACCAAGTTTAAGCAATGGAAATCGTCACTTTTGGAACGCCAAAAAGCGTACAATAAGGATCTCGAGAATGATTTCTCAAAAATTAAGAGCCTACAGAAGGAAATTCAGATTTTATCCCCAAAATCAAGAGAAGAAGTTGAAATTATTCAGCAGCCAACCATTGGTTCTGATTTCTCGCTAAACCAACTGAGTTTTTAAGTAAGCTGCAACCGTTTTGGTGTGATCGTGAGAATAGTACTTGGTTGCCCTAATGCACGAGAAAACCCGTGCACCAAGATACGGGTATTTACTAGCTGAAAAAATTTCTCCCAACTTTCTCCTTCAAGCCTCCTCATTGAACTTATTGTTTCTGGAGCTTCCATTGAGGAAGAGGTATGTTTTCGATGAAAAATCCACAAGATGTCAACAGGATGAAGTTTTTTTATCAATATATGTTTTTTCTGGCATCTCTAATGTTAGAACCTCACGGTTCGATGAATAGAACTCTTGACACTATCTGATGACGCAATTCAAGAAACGTTCTTGTTTTGTATATTTGTGGAGCTTTTACTGAAAGATTTATAACTAACAAATCAGACTAGGTGTCCCTTGAACTCAATAGCTAATACATTTCGCTGGTCGAATCAATTGTAGGTAAATCCGAAACACTTTCCAAGGAAACTTTGTAACATTCATACTTATGTTTTATCTACCACAGCTCATGGACTATCCTGAGTTCTTGTGGCTTGCAAGTATGAGATTTGTAATTATCGCTTTACGAAGTTGTCATCACATCTAAGCTTTCTTCTAGTTCACATACAAAGTTCCACTCTATGCTTTAAGAACTTATACACTCTACTACAAATTACAATAGTTCATACATCATCCTATTATACTCAAACATTGGAGCACACTCAACCAAAACGATCATCCATTATCCACCGAGAAAACAATTTTTGATGTCCGTGTCTGTCTCAAAATTGTAGTTATAATTTATATGAAGGGAACTAAACCTCAACGACTTTATGGAGTTGAATATCAAAAATCCCGAAAGCGAGCCCGAAGAGGATTTTGAAGCAGCATCACAACTCCATATCCCCAATGTTCGAGTTGTGAACTTGATCTTGGACAATTCCTCATTTATTCGAGGTTTTGGAAATATCAAGCGATGGTTTGACCAAAAATACATCAAGTCTCAGCTCATGCCAGAAGGCAAAGAACCTAAAGAAAGCATCCAGTTGAACATTTATATTCCTTCTTATACTTTGCATGAGTTGGAGTTCTTGAGAAAGGGTTCTTCACTGCTGGCCACAAATGCACGTAAAGCTCTTGCGTTTATTGACCAAATCTTCGACAATGAAGACTCACAAGGATCTTTTAAGTCAAACTTTGTTGAAGGAGTCGAACTAGAGAAATCTAATGATTCAGTGGGCCACACGCCTCTTCGATACAATGTTTACATTGAGTACAGAGATGCATCTTTTCCAACTTGGAACAAGTGCTTGCCTTTCAAATTGTATGATTTGCATGTTGACGACTTCCCGAACCATCAAGCAAAGTTCTCCTCTAATGAGATGTTGGGGAGCCTGACTTTTGATCCAGACGCACAGGCAGAGTCTTCAGAAGGTCCAATACAAACTCCAACAAGACTAAGACACTTGATCAGGTCTTGTGTGTTCAAGAGATTCATAGAAGCAGGTGGAAAGAGTGCTTCTGAACATGAGCAGTGGAAATTGATTACCGAAGATATAGTAACTAGATTTTGGACCAACAGTTACGGAATTGACTGTTTGAACGTCAATGAGGCCGAATTACTCATTTTCCAATCAATGGACATTACAAGCTTTAATGTAATGACTGAGGGTCAAAACTTCAACTCAGAACATGACGTTTATGATCAGCCAGATAAAGGAATACTACACCAGAGAATTGATACAACTGCTTACGAATATCACAAAATGTCTGAGCAATTATCTGCTCTTCAGGAACTGACGGAAGCAGAGGCTGTAGGAGCTTCGGCTAAGTCTCAATCGAGGAAAAAGAAGTCAAGAAACAAGAAAAGGGAGACGACTCCGCCAATAGTCCCTTCCGATGCAAAGGGAGATGACATCAAAAGAGAGGAGTTTGAGAAAATAAACTTTGCACCTCGAGTAAAAGGAAAGTTGTGGGTCCCCCCTCTGAATAAAAGCAAGAAAAGATCTTGATCATTGCGACGTTTCCATTTGAGGTTTCCATCCGAGCAGTATGATCACGTATACAATTAGAATTTCTGTTTGGTGTGAACGACACTGATGTGTTCTTGACATATGCAATGGACGTCTCTTAGAATCTTGCTCATCAAGTTTATTACCGTCATAAGTTGATATATGACTTTCCATACGAGTGTTCTCAAACAGTCCGAAGTCACCACTTCATGATTCAAAGCTTCAATATTGAGCGATGAGAATTATAATCGTTTACAAGACAGTGAACAGAGTATCCTAATCTGAATACTATCACTATTATGTACATTTGATTACGTAAGTTCATTGATCTAAGTCTTGTATATTTGGTTACCTGTCTTGTGTGTATATTGAATCTTTTCGTATTTATTGAACAGAATACAGGACACATACGTCGATTACACATATTGACATTCTGATGAAGCGAATATTCCTTGGGCCAATTGGAAAAATTAGTTAATAACTGAAATTAGCCTCATTTAAAAGAAAAGTATACTTTATTGGCCTTTTCCCTCATTTGCAGATCTGTGGTTGAGAAATAGTAATGGCTGCAAAAACACCAATTCCGTTATCCAAATAAAACACAGCAATGTCGAAGATCAAATTTACTTGGCTAGGGGTTTGATTTGCATGCATAGCGAATGATACTTGACGATGAATTTGAGATCAAACTCTAATATCTTTTTGGTGGTATAGTCTACTGTCACTTAGATTATATGGGAGTTCGCACATAAAGCCACAAAGTGAATTCCCACCTACTTGAGTTTTCTTTCATAACCCGTCTTTTCCTATCACTACAGCCTAAATCACTAGATCTAGCCTTAATTGATACGAAAACTTTCCAAGAACCGCAAACTTTCCAGTTCCCATTGATATTGCCCAATTATGGTCTCTATCTCCAGAACTATCCGCCGTTTCACGGCCACCGTTTGTGCTTCTACAGCCACTCCAACCATCACCAGCCCCAACATTCCAGTGCCTATTGAAGGGTCAATTGGAATGCACCCATCAACTCAGGGAACCACGGTACAAGTGGCCACTAACGTGACCTCCACCAGCATAGAGAAGACCACAAAGGTCAAGTCCCACCGTTTCAGAGAATTCAGACACTGCAAGAAGATTGTCACTAAAGCCAGAAAACTTAAGCTGAAGATTAAAAAGACCTTCAGAGTCTTGAGAGGTGCTGGTATTGTGAGCGACAGTATTGATGTTTGCGTTGCTGGCACAGTCAACCATTGTGGTAACAGCCAATCCTCCCCAAGAGATACTGGCGATTTCTTTTACGACGCTGACGTCTACAATTGTTCAAAGGCTTTGTATGACAGTCCAGTTGGAGACGCTGTTTCCTCAAATAGGATTCTGGCGCTCTCTCTCATTATGACCAATGTGACTGCTCAGACTTCTGTGGCCGCTTTTGAATTCCAAAACCACCAGAAGATCATTGCAGACTTCTTCAATAAAGAAATCTACAATGATTATGACGAAAAGGTCACTTCTGTTACTTCTACACTCAACCAATTTTCTCCTCTCTTTTTCAAGAGATTAATGTACTTTTTTGGAAGGTTGCAGGAGTACTATCCAACTTACCTTACTTCTGAGATTAAGTTGGCATGTGTTGGAGAGTATCATATTTCTAGAGGCAAGTGGAAGCCAATTACTGTTGAGATGCCTAATGCTGTTGAGATGCCTGTTGAGGTACCAAAGATCGTTGAGGTTCCAAAGGTTGCTGAGGTTGAGGGTTTTGTGGCAGTTAGCGAAGAGGTACCAGTTCGTGATGTCGACTGGTTGGCTCCTGTTAAGGAGGAAGAAGATGAAGGGGACTCTTCTAACGAGGATATTGACTCAATTGATTTGAGTCAATTCTATGCACTGGATAGTCTGGAAGAGGAAGTCGAAAAAGAGGAGGAAGAAGAGGAGGAAGAGGAGGAATTCTTGGACTTCATTATCGACGCTTTGAGAACCTTCCCTGATTACAGGAAGTACAATGTTGCAAACGGAACTCAGATGAAACTCAAGGAGACAGAAAAAGTCTCTGTGGTTGAGTTTTCTGATTTCGATCAGTTGGTGAAGTTTCACTCAGATGAAACTCCTCTGGCACTCTCGCCTATGACCGATTCTGAATCGGACGAGTTAAGACCTCTCAAGAGTTGTCTCAAGAGAATTGAGACCCTGTTTCCCGAGATTGAAGATGTCGATCCTAATGCAGTGCAAATGGGTGATGCTTGGTTTGAGGATGTTTGTGCTCGTTTTGTTGAAGCCACAAACATTAGGGGTACTTCCCACCCAGAAGATGACGAGTACTGGGAAGATTTGGAGACCTTCATGGCGGTGTCACAAATGACATTCTTAAAGCTTGGTGTTGGAATTAATGAGATGAAGGTCTGTGGTGTTAAGGAATTTATGGCACACTGCGAATGGACGGTGAAGCTTTCTTGCAATGTCTTCTACTCTTATCTTGCAATGGCAAATAGATATGAGGTTGTGTTGGATGCCTTCCGCCATGTCAACGATTTGTGGTCGTTGAACAATGTACGGAATTCTCTTCTTGCCGAGAGAAAGCATTACAATACTTTGAAGGAGGAGCTTAACTTAGCCATTGGAAACTCAAAGTTCTTGGCCAATGACTTATGCAACACGCTCGACGACTATGCCGACGACTCACGGACTTGTGTCAGTACTGTCAAAACAGTGGTGCGGGAGTTTGAGAAGGTGTTCAATAGGAAATTAGTTCCTGGCTTCTCCAACTTCTCCGTAGATCAACTTAAGGAGATGTGTGGAAAGACTGACTTTGATGCTGAGTTTGGTCAGTACGTAAACGAATACCTCTTTGAGGCACGTTCAATGATGAAGTGCCATATCAATGAGGTCGGCGAAGGTGCTAAGGTTTTGGAGCTCTTGGATGCTAGTTTGGAGAGAGCCTTGACAAACTTATACCTAGATGTTGAAGAAGAATGGCATGTACATCACAGCCGGATTGTGGTACCTGGTAGAAGAAAGTGGACTTAGGGAACTAACGCTTTGCCAGTTGGATCCATCGATGCCGATCAGGACTTACCACCAACGGGGATGATTGAAGAGCGCGTTTGCGAGTGCTCTCTCGCTTAGGTGGTGGTAACTTTCCTCCAGAGAAACATTGTGGTTCCAAGCAAGACTGGTGAATACTCTCTTGATACTTCGATCATTTGATGACCACATGACTTTATGTAACATATAGTGTTTAATCACTCTTTAACTTGGCTTGTAGCTGAAATTACTCATGACTAAAAACAGACAGCTTTCAGATTAACATGAACCATCACATAAATTATTCTATGACCACGATTCATTCTTCATTTGGTTAATTAGAACCCATAATGACTGGTCTACCTCATGCAAATGGTAGGCTGGGAAAATTATCTGAAACCAATGTCGATTCGAATGTCATTGATTGAAAAACTCACGTCGGTAATGTGAATGTTGCTTTTGCTTAAAGAACTAACTAGAATTTGAGTAATCTATTGGTATTGATTTTCAAATTCACCTATGCTGATCTTGTTATTCGTCATATTCCACCCATCTACCAAATTTCCCAAATCAAGATTTTCCATGAACCCAAAACTGACTCCGTCTCGTAAAATTCCGATGACAAGCCTCTCTTTTTCGCAGCCCCATCCATTATGTTTTCCATCCCATTTATTACACTCCCGCATCGTTACCTCCTCCATACAAGCCGTTAAACTAAGTCCAAATATCACCAGTACTTCTAGTAGCCAAATTCGTCCATACGCCTAGAAGCTCAACATGGCCTGGTTATCCGGATACAGGGCACTAGGAGGCGAGACGCCCAGCAATTCGCCTCTCCACATTGTTCTCCAAATCTTTATCCTTCAGTGTTTTTATTACTTAACTGCACTCACCATTTTCTACTTGGTGGCACTGCTCAACGGTTACGAATTCTCCATTGACTGGATCTTTTCATGGGAGCTTATCGAGCCAGATAATGCTATGGGGCTCACCCTATTTGCCATGTGGCTCATAGACTCACTCCTTTGTGTGTTATTCGTGACCATTATCGTGGGCCGGTCCAAATTGGCATGGGATTTTGCCGTGACCGTTCACATTATCAACTTGGCCGTAGTGTGGCTATACACGGGACGGTTTCCGACGCTGCTTTTATGGTGGTGTTTGCAGATATTGAGCGGAGTGCTCTTGGTTACGCTTTCGACATACTCAACGCGATGGAAAGAGCTCAGAACGACGTTTTTCGACAATATGCTCGAGCAACAGGAATTGGGTCAAGTACAACACCCTGAAGGTATCCAAATGAAGGATTTGAGTGGAAGTCTGAGCTGAAAATGATAATACAAAAACATTTGAGATGTACGAACGAGAACTAAGAATGAGAAATCGAAAGGACACAAGGAAACAGCTTGGTCAGAAGTTTGAGGCATTGAATACGAAGCTCTGACCGACATATTTAGACGACGAAAGTGCGGATCTCGAAAAGACACTATTATGAGGACATGTGACAAGGATGCTGATACCTCACATTTAACGTACTATAACGTAGAAGTCTGGCCTGTGGGGGCTCTAAGCGTTTTGTAACTGGTACCTGGATCCATTAGCGCTGGCAAGATTTGTGGTCTTGCCATGTGCGCTACAGCGATCTTGCTTCAAGCAAGGAATTCCAGCTGCAAATCAGCCGAGAGAAGTACCCCTAGAGTGCAATGAATTGATGGTTCATTATCAGAGTACCAATGTCTTTCAGCATTTTGATTATCAGATGCTACCAAGGTGCATCAACGTCTACTACTAGGACTCGTGCCTGTCAGTATGTGAAGATCTTCTAATTATAAAATGCAAAACCATTTTACATGTTCAAGAGGTGTCAGCAGGTGTTCTTCAATAGGAAATAGTTTGAGGGAAATTACAAATATTACGAATGAAGATTACGATTTTCAGAGCCTAACAACGAGGATGCAAATATAAACAAAATGGAGAGGTTAAAAGATAGTTGCTGCTGTTGTTTGGAAATTGAACGTCACCATGGTATTTAAGTAGGAGTTCACAACTTTCAATGTCTCATTATGAATATGATTTATATGGTTCGGACGGTAGGTGATACCCACAGTTCACTAAATGTAAATGTCTGTAATGATTGCAGAATGCCAATCGTGGCAATAAATAAACTCTGAAATCAAAAGTATGCCAAATGTGCATTAAAATATATTGTAGGAGAATTGAATTTATTTAGTGTGTGGAATTGACAGACTGAGGGTTGAAGGTTCACATAAGGTATGTCACTCATAACCTTCCCATTCAAGAAAAATATCTAGCGATGATCAACGCTCAGTCTAGTTCCAAATGATAGGATATGAAAGAATTGGAATAGCTGGACTACTTTGTCCCCTCTTTCATCAATTTGTTGTTGGCCCAAATCCTTCACCACCTCTAGGTTTCAAACCACTTCTCCACATATTCTTCACATGCCTGCCCCACCTCATCTAATAGTGATATATAAAGAAGTAGAAGTAGATAAATTTAAAGTTGATTGTACAATGACTGATAACTCGCTTGCTGAAGAAGGATTTGAAGGATCCCAATTGTTTGACTTCATGAGAAGTGTGGTGGAAGATGACCCAGAACTTAAAAAGAAGTCTATCCAGAAGGTGAATGCGGTCACGGTAATCACGTTGAAGAACGCCAAAGGCAACACCAAGTCGTGGTTGTTAGACTTCAAGAAAAGTGGAGAGGTAACCAAGTTGGAAGGGAAACCTCCAAAGGCAGAGCTCCAATTGCAGATGAGAGATGTGGACTTCATCAAATTGATCAACAATGAAGCAAATCCACAAAGAATGTACATGGCGGGCAAATTGAAGATTAAGGGTAATATTGTCAAGGCTGCATCCATTGAGCCATTCTTAAGATCGGTAGACCCAAGAGAGAAGGCTAAGTTGTAGATGAATGCCAGGAGATTAATACAAATTATGACTTATTTTTATGTAGCATTTAATTTGGGAAGAAAGGTAGTTGATCTTGAAATATAACGAAACGAGTGATCATTGTTTTGTGATTAGAACATACTGTTTTTGTGGAATTTCATGTGCTTTTGTCTTCTACCATTGAACCGTCTTCATTTGGATCTCCTACTCACCATACTGGGCATTTCACATATATCATATATTGGAGTCATAATGTCATAATAATATTAAGAGAGGGAGACCCAACAACCAGCAGCAAGCGAATTAGTCAATTGAGACACCATGCGTGGAGGATAGGTTTCTGGCTCCCTGTCGTGGTCATAAAGATTAGGATATTCCTGGCATATTCTAGTAATCACATAACTTGCTTCCGTGATGGCAAACTGCTGACCCAAGCAGACTCTGGGGCCGCCATTGAATGGTAAATATGCCCAACCGGGTTTTAAGTTACGGTCGTTCCAACGGTCCGGTCTGAAGACATCGGCATCCTTACCATAGTACTTCTCGTTTCTGTGAGTAGCAATGATAATGTATGCCACCACCTGGCCCTGCTCAACGAAAAGTGGTTTGTTACCATCCTCACCACCTCCTCTTGGTAGTGTGGTGTGTTTATTTGCTTGACGGAAGTTGATGGGAACACTTGGATACATTCTCAAAACTTCCGAGATGATGTTCTTTAAAAGATTACACTTCTTCAATGCCTCAAAAGTGATATTCTCCAATCGGGGATTTTCGCCATTCCCAAACTTCTCGTACACTTCCTCCTTCAACCTTGCCCAAATCTCTGGGTGCTTAGCCAACTCATAGAAAGTGAATGACAATAAGCCAGCAGTGGTATCTCTTCCGGCAATCATAATGTTAAGTGCCTGATCCTTCAATACCTTACGGTTTCTTGTCTGCTTAGCCAACTCATACAAGAAGATGTATCCATCAGCACTCTGCTTCTCAAGCTCTTCATTAGACATGTTGAGAGCTGAGTCAACGTAGTAGTTGGCAAAATTGTGGACAATCTTGTTGCACTTTCTGAACTCAGAGAAGAAAAAGAGGTTGGAGAACATATAATATTGTTGCATCCAAGCTCTGGAAGAACAAATTTCCTGCGATCTGTTGAAAGCATCAAAAAAATCTCTCTGTCCATCGAATTGCTCTTCTGGATACTCGCCAATGCTTTCGTCTGACAAAGAGTTTGCTGAATGTCCAAACAAGAATTCAGTGGAGGTGTCTACTGTAAACTTGAAGAAGAGGTTCTGCAAGTCGAATGGGTGACCTTCAAATTTTCTGAAGTGCTTGAACAATCTTTGAAGATGGGTCTCCAAAGAATGAAGATGACTAATTTTTTCTCTGGAAAAATTTGGACGCAAAAGTGCTCTGGACTGTTTCCATCCATCGTTATCCAAGGTGAAAATACCATCACCCAACATTGGCGAAAAATGTGCGTGACGGAATCCTAAGGCAAAATCATTGAACTGAGTAGCCAAAAGTGCTTTTATGTTCTCTGGATCGGTTGTCACCACAAGTTCCTTGTAAGCAATTAATACCCTCATGTTCTCATAGCTGGAGTTCCAAATCTTCCATAAATACTCAAGCAACTCACCATTTTTCTTCAAGCGGAAAATTAAGAGAGCCCGACGACTATTGATAATTCCAGGATTTCTGAGCCACACAGGCTTGCTTGCACCCAAACGATAGCACAAGTAGGCAATCTTAAGTTTACGGTACACATAACAAGTGATAAGGAAAAGAAACACAACCTCAATCCAGTAAAGCAACAGGTTCTCGTGCAAACAATTCAGTGACATTGTGGCCAACTTCTGGGACGCAAATTGAAACTCCGACAAAAACATACTGAAAGATACTTGAATTGATATCAATTGCTAGCTTCATTCTAGCTTCTTATGAGGGACAGTTCTGCGGGGACAATTGTGCTGCGAAATAATTTCACAAGCTAGACAAAGCTCAAAACCGCAAACTCCGATCCCGCCATGTACTTGTTCCTCTCCATCGATAGTGCAGGGATGGTCGAGGTAGGCAGCCAATAGGAGAAAGAGATTGAAGACTTGGTTTAATTGAAGAATTAAATTAGCAAGTATAGGATACAGCAGTGCCTATCTCTTGGATATTCCCAAAATTGAAGGAATGATAACAATAGTGTAATTTGAAAAGGGACCATTTGCACATGCGAAAGGTGAGTACTGATGAGAGCACTGACGGGGTAGTGGGGAACGGAGAACTGTTAACTCCAGTATTGGACCAACAAGTGAATGTCAAGATAGAAGCTCCGATTACTGAATTCTGCCAATACCATCAGAAAGAAAGGAATTCAAGGCAAGCTAAGTTATACTTCAGGTATTCTTTTGGATTCGAATCACTTTTTTTCTGGCGGTGGTGGTGTGTGAATGGAACTCCTTAACCAATTCAAAATGGTTTGTAGGCTTTTGTTACGTCTATCTAATACATGGCGACTATAATAAGTGCCTGTTCTGCTTCCAACTTTGTAGGTGAATACGAAAATTTAGATGTCGCTGAATTGAGAATTTTAAGCGTATTTATTATTCTTCCACTTGCTATCATGGTCTTAGTTTATGAAGACGCAGGTATGGTCAATTACATGTTATCGAATGTGCTGAAAGCCATAAGCACTGCTCAATATCTCTGGAAATATACCGTAAGTCCACAGTTGTAATCGGCTCAAAGCATTCGGAGCATATCCGGAACCCCACGTTCCTATATTAAAAGTGTTATCTGACCTTAGTAATATGCACAGGAAACCTCAGTTTTTTGATTTGGAAACAATTTGGAAAGTTTGGATGTGTAATTATGCTTTTGTTCTAGAACTGGTGAGTGACTAGTTTGTAATTCTTTCAATCGAGAGACTGCTATTTTGTTAATTAATAAGCTTTTAGAACTTCTGTTTATTTATCAAAGCACTTGAGAATAGGAAGTAGGCGACAAAGAAACGGAACATAAACATCTCACTCTGTTTAGAAGTTTCCTCCAAACATGCAACGTCCAACACACTAAGCAGCAAGCATTGATTTTGAGGAATTACCCGATATGTTTTACACGCTACGAAGCTGAAATCAGCTCCTTTCGAAAATCTTTTTCAGTATGTTGTGAGCCAATATCAAACATGTCTTGATTTTCTTAGTTAGACTATTTGATAGGGAAAGCTACTACCATGTGATAAAATACCATCAAATATACGCTCTCACCTGTATAGCAAATTTCAATTATCACATGGTGGGTACTAATTATAGCATTTGATCTCTAGAATACTACCACATGCGTTAGTAACGAAGCCGTAGAGTAAGTTGGAGTTGCTCGCAATGCTATTATTGTGTAAAAGGTCTCATGTATGCAGTTCAATTATCTTCGTTCAATGATGTACGGGTGTACAAATTGTATGGTGCCGATGCTCTGCCCTCTGAGTATGTCAAGAGTTTGAGGAAACCTGTTGTACTAAGAAAACACTCCGCCATTGGGAGGGACATGTAAACCAAGAATTCCTGGATATTCAGCGATTGTAATTCAAAATATTGACAGTTAGGTACGATGAGTTAATTCCCCATTGCAGATGTCACATGAATTTTGTGGACTTGCAATCGATTTATCGATATGTAATCGATGCAAACCATAAAGTTGTGAAGTTGCCAACTTCATCTACACCAGCACTTGGAGCTGTTCATGAACATCGAGTTCCAAAGTAGCAGCTTGTAGATCGATGTCAGGTGGAATTCACTAGACTAGTATGAACGCAAAATAACAAGTAGAACCACTGAAAAGAGCTATAAAACGACGGAAACAAAACATCATGTGCTAATTCTCTGACTACTGAAGGCCATAAATAAATTTTGTTTCATGATCACTTGAGATCCTTAGTATTTAAATAAGTCACAATCTTGAAGTATGGAGTAGATTAGCATACTCTCTCTAATCATCGATTTGGAAAGAGAGGTTGCACAAAACTATAGTGAAAACAACTAGAGACTTGAAGAAGAATATTCTCGAAAAGCGAAGACACTAATTGACAATCAGAAAGCTTTGACTATCATTCAATCTATGTTCAAGATCAGAATCTAACACGTATGGCATTCGAAATTCATCCATAACTTGACAGTTGTGCTCGCTTCTGTACATCCTGAATCATCTTACAGTTACATATTGTCATACTTTCTTCATTATCCAGACCCAATTCATAAAAATCAATTGAACTTCAGCCATGTAATCAACATTTACAACTTGGCCTTTGCTTCCTCATCAGCCTTGATTCGCAATGGCTCCTTCTTGATCATCTGGCTCCACTTATATAAATTAGGAAACTCCTTCTTCATGTCCTTTCCTTGACCCACCAAATCAGCACGATCCAGGAAGAGACCATTGTTAATTGGGAAATCCAACATGAAATCAGCTCCGGTCAAGTGATCTCCTACAAAGTATCCTCCTCCCTTCTTAGCCAACTGGTCATCCAAGTACCGGAAGTTGGTGAAGAGCCTCTTGGCGTAAAAAGTCGAGTTCATCTTCGAGAACACTTGATTGGTGACAAAACGGAAGGGCCAAGGAACCTTTTGTCCAGCGATATTACCTACTAAAATCGACACCAAATGGGGCTGGATACTTCCCTCAGAAAAGTGTAAGTAGAAATCCACCAATTCCTTGTCATTATGAGTTTTGGGCGTGAACTTGCCGTCCTTGTCGTAGTACTCGATCAAGTAATTGACAATGTGGCCCGACTCGCCAATGGTAAGTGGCTCTGAGCCTTCCTTAATGATGGTCAACACTGGAGACATTCCCGTGGGGAATACATCGAGAAGCTCCTTAGGAGCAAGATACTCCTTGGTTCTAGGATAAGCTTTGATCTCGTAGTCCACATTCAACTCTTCTAAGAGCCAGGCAATTCTAGAAGCTCTGGAATTCTCGAGACTGGATGTTAGTGAAGGAACAATTGAGTGGGGGCAAAGTAGTACAAACTAGTGCAAAATAAACTTGTCTGGGGATGAAAACATAGTGAACGTAATTGGGTAAATGCGGCAAGAATGTGATATTTATATCGTGTCGGTTCTTCAATTATATCCTGTAGTTTGTGGAGATAGTCTGCATGGTGGAAGAGTAGATGGTTGCTGGTCCATTTGAGATTATTGACTGTTTCAAGTCATCTATTAACGGCTGAACATTCGTAACATTGTATTTTGTAATTTTTTGTAGTGTTTTATGTGACTGATTCTTCATGGTACTACTCTTAGAGCAAACTTGGATGTCGAAGTTGGATTTTGGTAAGGGCGGAGATAATGATGAGGAAGAGCGGATATTAATTGAACTTACAGGGTCACTAACCTCCAGCTTGCACTGGCAAGTGACTTTGTCGAAAAGTGGGGCGCAATTGAGAAAGTTGGGTGTTGTGCTCTGTGAAAGTAGGCGACTTTGGTGTAAATTGTCGTGGAACACCCATGTTAGGCATGGAAGTTAGATGTCTGGAAAAGTTGGACGGCCAATGAGTGACGTAGATGAAGGCAACGACATAAATGAAGTCAATGAGAGAATTGCAGTGTTATGTCGCTGGATGGGAGATTACTACGAGGTCAAGTGAAGGCAGTCGTGATGCCAGATTGGTGATGACCAGTGATATTCATGTCCAATGTGCATGCCTACAATAGAATTAGTGCTATTGTTAAAGGGGAAAAAGAAACTTTGAAAAAATGTAAGGAAGGGAACGTGATGAAATTGGCTACAAGATACAGAGAAAACTCACCAATAACTTGGATTCTTGAAGGAAATAGTGGGTCATGATGTAGCCTGAGAGACATTGCACTATACGTTTAGGGTGATGAGCATGACCTTATAATGAACAGACCCCAGCATGGCGAATTCTGACGAAGAAGGCTCTGAATGGTTACAACGCGGGCTTAAAAAACGGTTTTAATGTGCGGGCTTAGTGATGCTTTGGCGGATTCTAATGAATTTGAGTGACTGCCTTTCTCAGATAGACATTCTCGATTGATACAAAACGAGATAGATAAGGAAAAAACAAGAAAATAGAATCAAAGAACGAGAGCCAAAGAATGGGAACCAAAGAAATAGGACCGATTAGATAATCAACAAAAAGGTTGAACGAAACGATGATCCAGATGAAAGTTAATTACAATCAGTTTATTACTCTGTTCATCCTTACTAGCAGGTCTAAAGAATGATTTCTGATGCTGAGACCCTGCCCCTTCAGGAAACTCAAAAAGCTTCTAATTACAATCACTGGTCGAATCCTTAGAACAAATCCAAGCAAGCTACTTCCTGCCCCACGGAACAGTCAACCTACAAGTTTCACATCAAAGAAAAGTTGCTATTTTCCCACCAACGGTCAAACCAACAAATGAAACACTCTTCACTGCAACATTTAGAGAATACAGTCCTTTTTCTGACCAATAGCATCCATGTCCAGCCCCATAAAATCAAATCATCCAACAGAGGTCTAAACCTGTCATTTAGACCCTTATACAGAATAGTGCACACAATAACTGATAAGACTTGTGACAAAAATCAACTAGTATACTAGTGAAAATTAGGAAATTCCATGTGAATATTTTAAACTTCGCCAATAAAGACTACTCACAGAATACATCAGTCGATTCATGGTAACGTCTGCGGTCCGTCAGCGGGGCAGATACAGTAAGAATGGATGCCGCCAATGCAAAACGAGAAGAATCAAATGTGACGAAGGAAAACCGGATTGTTGGCAATGCTCTCGGCTCAAAAAGCCGTGTCTGTACCTACGAAAGGATAGGGAAGGAGAACCAGACGGTTCTGGCACCCACTCTGTTCAAAAACAGCGGAAAGCCAACGAGAGAACCTCTCTGGAGAGATTAACCAATGCCATTTGGGAGAACAGAGAGAAGGTAGGAAGGCAAGAAATTGTTAGAGAGCAGGAAATTGTAAAAACAACACCCAATAGAGGTGATTCAGAAAGTTCCACGAGTTCAGAATCTTCTAGAGAAAGCTCCCACCAGCCGCAGGCTCCAGTGGCCAGTACAAGTCTAGTAGAAATTGTCAGGGGTGATGCGGGAACTGGAATTCAAGATCTGAGCGGCAACGAGGGCCAGAGCATTGCAAATGAGGCTATTACCACGTTGGTATTTCCAGAAAGGCATCAGCGGAGAGATCAAAGGTGCGCTGAACCCATAAATCATTACGACCTCAATTTATTAGCTTTGGATCTCGACAGCATCGTCAACAACATGATGGATGTGGATCAAAGTGGTACAATCAATGAGTATTCGAGAATGGGAAATGAGATTCTTGAGGAAAGCGAAGAAGGAAGCAACCCAGGAGATATACAACCAACTAATAGAACATACGATGGTCGGGACGGGGATGATTATATTCCTCGCAATCTACCCTTTGACTTTATCCCTTTTACCCGCAATAATGAAAAGTTGTATTTCGAGGAATTCTACAACAATCTATCCACTATCATTCAGCCCTTCCCTTCTTATGATCCCATTCATGGTTATTACTGCACGACTCGAGATATTTTCCTTCAGGTGGCCTCAAAGGAGCCTTTTGTGTTATCTGCTATTTTATCACAAGGAGCTAAGATGAGTTACGAAAAGCATGGCTTGAAAGAAGACGAGGAAGCATCCTACAAATACTTAATTAAGTGCTTAAGACTTTTCGAGCCTGCTTTGCTTCACAGCAGAGAGCATAGTGACCTAGTCAGCCATAAGATAGAGGCTGTCCTATTGACCATTCTCATTTTAGCATCAGCTAATGCATCGATGCTGAATTCTGATTGGCGCTCCCATCTTAGGGGCGCCAAAGAGCTTCTACTCAAGTACTCAGCCAATAGCAATGACAGCCTGTTTGATATGTCTAGAGTAATGGTTTTTTGCAAGCATTGGTTCATTTCATTTGAAATATTAGCGGGGCTCAGTTCAAGTAGAGGTGGCACTCTTCGAAAAGATACGGAAATGGACCTTATCTTGAACGCAAGTGAACACGAAATGCAAATTCTAGAAAAGATGGGAATTGTTCGGCCCGACGGTTTCAACCTTCTTGTGGGAATACATCACTCTTCTTTGACGCCGATAAAGGGCCTTATCAAATTGCTCAACCGATCCAGGAGTGAAAATGATGCATGTAACACCTTTGATGTTATCGAGTTACTATCTCAATTTCACGAGCAATTGAAGATTAAGTTTGTGTTTCGAGAAGGAACGAAGAATGTGGATACTTTCCTAGGGACTGAACTTCCAAATGGCTCATTACTTGAGTACGTCAATCTACTGAATGGAAATCTTGTTATCAGCTGGATGGACATATCACACCAGTCATATGTTCTCGCATCCATGATTATCTTATTAAGAAAAGGATTGCAGTTCACTCCAAGCAATCCGCATGTTCAATGTTTGAATAAGAAACTACTTAATTTAGTCTCGTTCATAACCGACTGCCAGGAATTATCCAGTAACTCAAAGAATTCCATGCTACTAATTCAATGGCCTATCCTAATTGCTGGTCTAAATTGCATTGGAGATGCAGATCGGTTGATTGCAATGAAATTTTTCAGGAGTTTGGCCAATATTGGAACCACCAATTCCACTTACGCATTACGGAAATTTAACAAAGTTTGGAAGCAGCCGAACACGGAGGCAAGTGATTGCCTAGATAGCAGTGATGTTGATGTTATGACATACTGAAAGCAGGTCAGAATGATTGTGGCCAATCTTTTGCGTGGATTCCGAGAATACATTTGGGCGGCCAAATCACCCGAGTATCCTGTACGTTTCCCTCAAATTCCGTGGAACCCTACCCAAGAATGCCTAAATGGCGGATTTGCGAGGAATCGTTCTAGTGAGTCAGCTTGCGAATATGCAGGAGATAAGAAATTAGATAATGTCTAGTCGTTTCCGAGGTATCGATATCAATATAATCTTTATCGTACTAAGATGTAACTCATGCAAGATATTTTGAAAATTAATATCCATCATAAATATAGTGCTTGCTGCTGATCTAGAGAATCATATTCAGAATCAAAAAGAACTACCATGACTTTTCTGGATCTACTCATGAAGTTAGAAGTTCCACATGAAGGGCACGAAGAGCCCAACATCTTGAAGAATCCAGACTTGGAACCAATGCCCGCCGAAAGAAGAATTTGGGGATTTTGGTCCTTCTTTGGCTACTGGGCAGTTCCAAACATCACTGTTTGGACATGGTCCACTGGTAGTGCAATGCTTGGTTTAGGGTTGAATATCCAACATACCATGGGTGCTTTAACCCTTGGAAACCTATTAATTATTCTATACACCTGCTTAAATTCGAGTATGGGATCGAAATACCATATTGGATATACTGTGTGTATGAGGGCAATTTTCGGAATTTACGGGTCAGGAATCGGAATCATGATCCGTATCATATTGTCAATTGTGTTCTATGGTTCTCAGAGCTGGCTTGGAGGCTTAGGACTTGTAGTGACATTTTCAAGTTTTAGCAAGAGCTTTATGAATATGGAGAATACATTTCCAGAAAGTTTGGCCATGACTACTCGTGATTTTATTGGGTTTTTGTGCTTCCAAATCATCCAAATGTTCTTTCTTTTCATGAAACCAGAGAAGATGAACAGGTATGTGAATGCTTCATGTGCCGCTTGTATGATTGCATTTATTGCTATTTTTGCCGCTTGTTTGGCGAAAAATAATGGACCAGGAACTTTATTCGCCGAACCGGTAACTATGTCTTCATCTAAAACAGGGTGGATGTGGCTATACTCCATGACCATTTGGTATGGCGCATTGTCTCCAGACGTGACGAACCAAAGTGATTTTTCGAGGTTTGCTTCTTCTCCCAAGAAAATGTATTTGGGAATTATTGTTTCCATTTGTGTCACAGGAACAATGGTACCTCTTTTCGGTCTCATCTGTGCTTCAGCAACGAAGGATTTGTATGGTGAATCGTTGTGGTTACCAACAGATATTGTTCTCCAATGGTTGAGTGAATCCTATGGCCCGGCGTTGAGGGCAGCCGCGTTCTTTTTGGGATTAGCTTTTGCTTTTTCCCAACTATCGTTCAATGTGTTGGCAAACGGTTTCGCTGGCGGGATGGACCTTGCAGGTGTGTCTCCCAAATACATCAACATTACCAGAGGATCCATTATTACCGCCTTACTCTCTTGGGTGACGCAGCCCTGGAATTTCTACAACACATCATCTGTATTTTTGAGTGTGATGAGTTCTTTTGGTGTGGTTGTCACGCCGATCATTGCAGTTTTGGTTGCTGACTTTCTAATTGTAAGAAAGTCCATTCTTCCATTGATGGATCTTTACAGTACAAGCAAGAATGGCACGTTTTACTTCACTAGGGGTTTCAATTTGCGGGCCATATTTGTTTGGTTAGCTGGTGTTGTTCCCGGACTCCCAGGATTGGTTGCAACAGTACAAGAATCCAGTATTCCAGAAGGATTGAACAATTTCTTCTACGGAAATATTGTATTTGGTTTTGGTTGTCCGCTCTTGCTATACGTTATAGTTTGTAAGATCTTCCCACCAGCCAACCTTGGTGTGGCTGATGAAGACGATCACTTTGGAGCATTTACTGATGAAGAGAGATTGAAGCTTGGAATGAGCAAGCTTGAGGTTCTTGACGGAACAGAGATTTCAGACATACAAGAGGACGATATTCTCGAGAAGGAGAAAAATGATATCCGTGTTAGAGAAGATGTAATGGTTTAGTTCGTGTAATAGTTTATATGTGATACACAGTTTGATAACTTTGCTGGAAGTATTATAAGAGAATAATCATTATAGTACATTTAAGTCAATTTAATAATCGATCAGAATCCAACAAGAATTAATTAATTATCAGTCTGTAATTATACTTCCCGTTTATTGTAATCAAGTAACATGTTTGTAACCTACTATCTGAGGTGGCAACCGCCCGGTTCTAGTGAACTGCTTCACCACCTTTTTGAGGACATAAAAGACTTAATCGGAGAAGGTTGGAAGATATGCTCTAACAGCTTAAAAAAACTTGAAGTGAGACGTGGTGGGATATTTGACTGATTTTGCAAAGGAAGCGCAGAACTGAAATTCTAATCACTACCTTTGGATTTTCTCTGCTAGAGAGTCCAACTCCGTTCGTCTTTATGGACATTTTACTTGCCTTAAACGTCCTCAAATTCTCCACCTTAGCACCCATTTTTTGGTTGATCTTCTCCATCTAGGTTTTGTATGGCTATTACTCTTTGCAAATGACGTTGTCTCTAAAGTCAAAATCTTCGCTGTCATGAGAAGAACATGCCGAAGCACCACAGGTTATTGTTGGAAATTCATAGATCCAAAGACTACCCCCATGAATGAAAAGTCTTTGGGCTTCTGAGCCTTGTATTTCATCACAGATTCGATATCCACCAGCTGCACTATAGGGATTTAGAAGATGGGCATAGTCTTCAAGTGCGAACGTTGATGTCTCCGTTTTGAAAATACCACGCACAACAAAAAGCACCCTAGCTTTCACTCTCTTCCTTCTCGAAAATTGGGAAGAGTGAGACACAGCTTTAGTGGATGGTTTTCTTCGGAAAATTTGCTTCCAAAATTGCTTCATTTCTATTGTTGGATTATAGGAACAATGGATGCTGGGACCTATGTATGTTTTAACTTGCAGCGGAGTTTACGAAAGAAATAACTTTTTCACACATTTTATACCAAGAGCCTGTTTTTGGAGAAACTGCAACCTTGTCTGGTTGGAAATTTATTGAAACACCAACCATGAAAGTATTATGCGAGTAGTCAGTCAGTTGCGATATTTGATATGCACATTCACAACTTGCCAGGTTGAATTGGAGGAGACGCTAGAAATCTTTCATAAATGCAAGAAAAAAAATTCTGATGGAACTAAAAGGGTAAGAAATGTCCTCTGCAAATGGATTTGTTTCATATGCCAGTTCATTTGAAAAGCTCGTAAATTGCTCTCTTCATGCACGATCGACAGCCCGCTAAGAAATAGTTGCAAATGAATTTGTTCATGAAATGTTAAAAGTACGGAAGGAGTTTTGATTTTCCGATTGAATACTTAATTTGAGTTGAGAAGTAAATACTAATTCCATAACAAGAAAGCTTCGTTGTGACATTCGCAGTTCTTACAAATTCTTCACAATGTTTCGAAAAAATAAGTATTCTATTCAAATATCTTAAACAATCATTATGTCTTACTCACATAAGCCTCCGTCTCCCGGCATCTAAGATACTAATCCAATTAGAATGTAACACATAATACAACTCAGAAGCAGCCAACACGAATATACCAATCCCCAAGCCAACCCAAAGTCCGTAGAGTTTGAATCCGAATGTGAAGGCCAAAAGCAATGCCATGGGCAAAGCAATCAAATAGTAGATAATAAGATTGAGTCTCGATCCAATAGCTTGCCTTCCTTGACCCCTGAGACATCCTGCTAGAATGACATTAGGACAGTCGTATAACTGATTGATTCCCAAAATAGCAAGGAGCTTCAGACCTAAATTGACTACTTCCTTGTCGGTGGTGAAACACCCAGCGATAACCGTTCGAAGACCAAGAAGAATACAAGTGTCGAGAATTCCCACGAAAACGGACACCAAGTATGTAACCTTGTTGAGTTTTCGAACTGCGGATATGTCTTGCAGACCTACTCTATCTGCAATCTTGGTGGAAAGAGCAATCGAAACTCCAAATGGAATCTGAAATGCTAAAGTAGCGGTGGTGGAAGCAATGGACTGGGCAGCGAGAGCAGTTGTTCCAAACTTGGAGGCTGTCAAAGTCAAGACCTCAAATGCAATGAATTCAGACAATAGCATTGCCGTTCCGTTCATTGCTAATGAGAACATTGATGTCCATTCTCTAAGGTTGAAGGCTCCCTTTAACTCAAGTCCAAACCAGCATTTTTTCCCATCAATCAATAAAACATAAAGAAATAAAAATACACTCATTGTCCAATAACTAATCGCAATAGATATTGGGGCACCGACAAACCCAATCCCATAAGTCTTACTCCATACCAACAAGACATTTAAGCCAATATTGATAGGCACAACTAGAAAGAGGGAATACTGTGCGGCTGTATAAATACCTTGACATTGTAAGAATCGTTTACCTGTCTCGAAGAGGATATATCCCGGAGCACCAAAAGATAAGTATCTCAAGTAGCGTTGTGCAAGAATCAAAAGATCTTTTTGCGGCACAATGAACTGAAGAACACTGGCGCTAAAACACCAGAAAATGATGACTGGAATCGACGTCACCATAATCATGGCAGTTCCTCTTTGGAAATACATTCCAACCAACCTGTGGTTTCCTGACCCATATGCCTGAGCACAAAAGGTATCTAGCGAAGTAGCCATGCCGTTGAAAATAGAGTTACCAACATTGTAAGTAATTGTAGCCAAAGAGACGGCTGCCAACTCTTCTTTACCTAACTGACCAACTGAGAAAATGGCAAACACAGTAATGCTATACTGTAGAAATAATGTTACAATTAAAGGAGCAGAGTTTCTGCCCAAGAAGATGATTTGATCCCAATATGTTTCCTCTGATTCTGTCTTAAAAATAATTTCTGACTCCACTGAACCGTAGTCCTGTCTGGTAATACAGGCTGTAAGAGTGTTAGCCTCATTGGTGCTTTTGTTGTCGATTTCCATAATACGAGAAGGTAAATTGAATTTGAAGGAGAACAAATGATCTAATCATGATTTAATTAAAGCTTTCCATTAAATTCTTATCTGTGATTAGCAATCTCTTAGGTTTATTGAAAATTGCGCTGATAGCATTAGCGTGGAATTTATTGCGAGGGAGAACTCAGACATTATTACGCGGAAAAATATCACCATGAAGACATTCCAATAAAACCTTTCCAAGAACAACCTAGAAGCCGTTATCTTGCATTAGTAGTACTTACGAGAATATGATATGGAATCTCATAAAACCTGCTGCAAGGGTGTTGTTGCTCTTTCCACCATATACAGTTGATTTGCGAGGAAAATTTTAGTCACAAGCTCTATTAGTCTCGTTTGTGAATTTCCCGAGGAAAAATTCGAAAACTGCTTTGCACAACTAGCAAAATTGCGCGCAAATAAAGAGTCTATTTAATGGTTGCAAAATCACTAGTGTCAAATCTTTAGTAATTCATTGAATAATGATTATGAAAAACACCCTATTGATCCTTTTGACAGCACTTGGCGTCCATTCGTCTGTTCTCCCAGAAAATCGCCAGGTTATCTTGCAATGTGAAAGTTATGACAGTTCGAAAGCTTCTCACTTGAAGACAGACAGAGTTGTGTCCACCACATCCCGTAAAGGCACGGACATGTCCAACGTGGCCTTCTTGGACCGTTACTTTGGATCTTTCTTCGATGAATTTGAGATCCTGGCTGCTAATTCTAGAGCCCCAGACGGCTCGGAAAAGTTGCAGCCACATGCTCTTAGTGACCATTTACATTCTCTTATGATAAACGATGACTACGAGTATCCAGACAAGGATGACTTAAGAGATCTCAATGGAACAAGCGTATTGTACCGTGGAGGTGAGTTTGGTGGACTTGTCACTTTCGCTCACGTTCCATACGCTAACTGCTATGACCCTGAGCTTTTCGACAAAGAAGAGTTTGACATTGCCATTGTAGGAGCGCCATTTGACTCTGGAGTATCGTATCGTCCTGGTGCCAGATTCGGACCCAGTGGAATCAGAATGGGATCTCGTCGTTTAGCACCTGCCTACTCTGTTTACAGAAACAATTTCGACCCATACTCGAATTGGGCAAAAATTGTTGACTGTGGAGACCCACCAGTGACTCCATTGGATAATCGTATTGCCTTGGATCAGATTTACCGTGCAAACCGTGCAATTGGACGTCACAAGACCACCAAAAACAACAAAAGTAAGGCACCCAAGATCTTCACTCTTGGAGGAGACCATACAATCACCTTGCCAGCCATCAAGGCTGCGTACGAGAACTTTGGACCTATCACTGTGATTCATTTTGACTCTCACTTGGACACTTGGAACCCTTATTACTTTGGAGGTAATGTGACCGATTACCAGTCTGTAAACCATGGAACCTATCTCCACTGGGCACATGAGAAGGGACTTTTGACCAACCTGTCCATCCATGCCGCAATTAGAGGTCCATACCCGGGACCTAGGGATGTTCAGCACGATAATGATTGTGGATTCGATCGAGTTTTGGCAAGGGATATTGATAAGATCGGTACTGCTGGAATTATTGAGAAAATCAGGAACAGGGTTGGTGATGGAGCTATTTATATCACTGTGGACGTCGACTCTATGGATCCAGCCAACACTCCTGCTTCTGGTACAGTAGAGCCAGGTGGATGGACATCCAGAGAGTTGCTCACGATCTTGGACGGATTGGAGGGCCTCAACATTGTTGGAGGAGACGTCGTAGAGGTCGCACCACCATTTGACACAGTTGCAGAGTTGACTTCTATTACTGCTGCTCAGGTTGCAGACTCAATCATTTCGTTGATGATTTTAAAGGAGGATAAAGAGGGGAAGAAAGAGGAGAAGAGAGAAGAAGATAAGTAGAATCTTTCAATTACAATCTTCAAGACAAAGTGATTGCTAGTACTTGAAGAAAAGCTTGAAGTAATTAAGATGTTTCTGTTTTCATCAAGAACGTAGATTTCAAAAAGTGATTTCTTTGCTTTCGGTAATTCTGCTTTACACTGGCAGTGATATATGAAAAGACGATAAAAACCTGCAACTGCAATCAGAGACTCTAAAGGTGAAGTCAATTGTGGACATAGATCAAAAGTTAGGTAAAAAAGGGGAAGCAAAAGGAGAGATCCTGATACATCAATCCAAACGTGGGTGAAATTTTATAAGGATTAATGTAAATTATAGGAAAGTTCCAAATTGCAGGTAATGAGAAGATGAAATATGAAAAACCCTCCTTCCCGAGTAGAACGCAAAACAATATCGTTAATTGCTTAAAAGGGTACCAAGGGATAATATTCTTGATCTTTTAAACTTCAATAAGAAGCCCTTTTTAGTTCCAAAAATTAATTTCAAGTCGAACTTTCGTTTGAAATGCAGGCCCTTTTTACTTCCAAAAATTAATTTCAAGTCGAACTTTCGTTTGAATGCAGATCAATCGTAAATACGATAAGTTGTAATGCATATAAGCCGAAATGCAGCTAGGATAAATTACAGTATGTTTGATCGGCTCCTGATTTAAAGATCGAGAGACAGGTGCAATTGAAAGGCTTCTTTACAACTTCTTCAGTGAAAGTCGTCCCTTTTTAGATATAGATCCTTCATGATCACAATTTACTCTCAAATTCTCGTTCAAATTGCCGGGGTTCAATTCTTCTGCTTCAAAAATCCTTCCTGAATCTGATTGTCAATACTGTTTCGACCATCAGGATACCTTTGACTGAAAAGAATCCTGGCAATTTGATTCTACCAAACAATAACCATCTCTACTTGCTAACCTATCTAATTCTCAATGTTCGCACTCTATGTCATCTTTGCACTGCATAGTGTTCTCACGTAAACGAGCTTCCACAACATTTCAATAGCGAATAAGTCAACCACTAAAACCTGGAAAATTCTAAGTACTAAACACACAAAAACTCTAGACTCAAGAACAGAATACATATATAAGAAAAAAGAATGGAAGAATAAAAAGAAAAATCACAAAACCAGGAAATAGAACTAAGGCAAAAGAAACGACAATTGTAAATACTTGAGGAGAAAAAGCCTCGTTGTTTCACGCGTGGCACGTTGGATGAACAGCTGAAATTGCCCTTTATGGCCACGCAGATCCACTTCTAAGTCCGAAGTTTTTTGAACAGTGGGTACAATTAACTCGTTTGATTTTCCATTGAATTAACACACGAACCTGACCAGTAATGGAAGCCAGAAATCCACCACGTGCTAAAGATTTTCAGAGGGGGTCTATGAAATGCAAGGTCATTTTCTTGGTATTCTGGTCCTAACATTGATTAACGCCGCGTGCACTGCAAAGGAATACCGAAGTTTTTATTTCATGCGTCGTGGGACCACTTGTTGTTTCCATTTTTACATATCTTTGCAGAATCCCGAACTCGGTGCCTTCGCGTACTAGTGTTGGCCACAATTCAACGTTGGGCATACAACGTCACGCATGTAAGAAATATTGGTACAAGCATGCCCGAAAAGAAAATTAGTATGCGAACACTGGTATCGGTTCCCAGGAACGATGGGTATGAACACGTAATGTACCAAGAGAGCGAGCACGTCTGTCAGTTCAAACCAATGTTCGTGAACGCCTTCTCAATAATAGAATCGTGAGCCCCGACTTTGACAGCTCTGATTTTAATTTTTCATCTTACATACAGTCCTTAGTGCACTTCCGACCAGTATGTATCTATTCTTATCTACATGCAAGATATATTACCCTCGAATTATTCACGCGCTATTCCGAGGGTTCGCAAAGGTATGTAGATATATGCAGTCTGTGCTGATGTTTAGGCAGCCCATGCATGAGGCTGAGCCTCAATCCCACATGGGAGAAGCGTACTTGCTTCAGATTCCCCCAGCCCAGCCAGTTGACTCTTGAGAATTCATCATGCAGATATTGCACGACTCACTGCAACCTGCATGGTAATGTATGTGCCTCGTAACCAGTCAACGTAAAGACTCCTCCGTTACCAATTTCCGGTGGAATGCTGTCCTATTTGGTATGGAACACTTCTTCGCCGATCTTTCATCCCCCGTCGTCCACAAACATCTTTCTTCATCAGTTCACATCTGTGGTTTGATTTACCACTCTTGTCATGTCATTCACGAGTTCCATTGCCTCCGCAGGTGAATATGTGTTGCAAACGGTCAAACATCCCACTAAGCGGAACATCATATACTTCTTAGTGATTGTATGGATCAACGCCATCAATTTTTATTTGTTTCATCACCGTCTCCAGGTTCTCACCCACTTCACCAGCTCCATGAATGACGTGGCACCCGTTAATAACTACAAGGGTCATGCTATTCCACGAAAATTGCTTGACAATATCGTGTTTAAAATGTGGGAGAAAAACGACAATATTGTTAAGGACTCCCGCAGAATAGATACCCATCTGGGAAACTATGACAATTTCTTTGCAGCTCATGAAGTCAGTTCTATTGTTGGATTGTCCTTCAGTGAACGTTGTGATGCTTATTTCCGCTCGCTCTACGCAAAGTCTAAGGCATGGCATGTGGATACAGATAACACTTACGAAATCGATATGGATTACCAGATGGATTGGGAAGAATACAAGAAAAAATACACCAACTGGGCCGTTCAGCAAATTGCCAAAGAAAAGGAAATAAAAGAGCTGGAAGTGGACAAGGGAAGTAATGAAGTGCATGATATAATTGGAAAAGCCTGTGACGCTCTCAAGGATAAAGCCAAAAAGGATGAGTACGCTATGAGAGACCTGGTGGCTCACATGCGTATTTTCAACCGATGTTATGTCGAACGTGAGGATACACCCTTCCGTAATGCCCAAGATAAGTTCATTCAAAAGCAGAACGCAGAATTGAATTCCTTGTCCACCAAATTCGTCTCCACAGACGCTGAGGTCCACTTGAACAAAGACGCTTTCCATCTGTGCAGTGATTTACAAGCTAAAGTGTATCCATGGATCCATGATAGTTTCCCCATTTACCAGAGACACACTGGCGACATCTTACGGTCTCCTCCACGTATGTCTAAGTACGTGTCAGAACATGAAGTCAATTCCCCTACTGACCATAAGTATTCGTCTGGAAAGGGAATCAAGAAGCCAGTGCACTCGGCGCTCACCGACAACAAGCAATGTTGGATTAACGAATTCAAGAATAAGATTTCAGGAAAGGGCATTGTCATTCCGTTTACTCTGACCAGCTTCGAAGATACGCTCAATTTGATTCATCTCTTGCGTGCTTTGGGCAACAAATACCCGGTCCAGATCGTTTACTACAGTGATATGACCAAAGAACACAAGGAAAAGTTGGTTGATGCTGCTCGCAGACCATTCACCGATATGCCCCAATCATTTTCAAAAGTCTCAGACTTGATTGATAAGCTGGCCTTAGATCACAAGACTAACGGTTTTATCCCATTGGAATTGTGGTTGGTAGATGCCTCATCTATGGTTTCTGAACATTTTCAGACAAGGTTGAGTACTGTTCCTATCATCGCCTGGGCTTCTGTGGTCAACTCATTTGAAGAGTTTATTCTTATGGATCCTTTGGCTTCGCCATTGCAGAACCCAAAGTATTTCTTCGATCTTCCTGAATACCGTCAAAAAGGTGCATACTTCTACAGAAACAGAGCATGGGAGAAGAGAGATATCCACGACGCAAAATTCTTTAACAAAATGTCACCTTCTTTAGTAGATGAAACCACTTTTGGAATTCCAATCGCTCCTACCGAAGTGCTCGACATTCCGTTCTTCAGCCATTTGTCGCAGGTCCAAGACTCTCGTCTTGCGGTTATTAACAGAGCTCGTCACTTCTCATCAGTTATGATGCAGTTACAGTTGGCACAGTTCTTCCCTGCTAATTATAGAGCCAATAATGGTCTGGAAATTTGGTTGGGTTTCGCCTTGAATGGAGACTACGATTTCCATTTCCACGATACCATGCCCGGAGCTTTAGGCAAATTGACAGACCCAGCCTTGAGATTGATAGGAGGTACAAGGAAGCCAGACTCGAAAGAAATCTGTAGTACTCAAGTTGGCCATATTGATTTGTCTGGCGACACCCCTAGCCTTGTATGGGTTTCTGGTGGCTTCCAAGGTTGTCCTTGCCGTAAGATTGACTTTGGAGCAGAAAAGGCCTCAAAGATATTTCCTTGGACACATATTTTCGAAGAAAGTGATCTCCAGAGCTACTATAATGACCAGATCCAGCTAGAAAATGCTATTATTCCTCCATTTAAGAGTTTGCAAACGTTGAAGTTGGATAACGATGAAAAGGAACCAAACAAACCATGGGAAAAATTCGAAGGTTGTGAGGCTAAATTTTTCTGTGGGTACTCCAGAGTGGGAGGGAAGAAGGGCGACAAGGATAACACTGTGCTAGGTAAAGTTATCGAATTTGATAGGAAAACCATTGATCTTTTCAAGTTCTACGGAGATATTTGGAGCGGCAGTGATTAGTTGGAAGCGCATGTGGGATCGTGTGCAGCTGCGCTCACAAAGTTGCCACTTTCTTGAGTGGTTAAAATAGACAATGGACAGCCATACCTTGAATATTGAGAGTAGAGTTTAAGAACATTTGTTTCAAAACCTGGTCCCAAAACAGGGCCTGACAGAGACACATGGGTATGCTGAGAACAGCTACTACCTAGGTGATTTTTCTCCCTCGATTGGGTGTGTAAATAAGATAGGCGTTCATGGAACCAAGATTTCAAGAAGGTGCTATAGAGACGTGTGACCCCAGACACGTCCTCACTCATTACGAAACACGGAATGCAAACGCCTAATACAGTAGGATTCCGTTACATTGCTGATAAGGCTCTTGGTGAGATGGAGAAACCATCCAAACCATACGAGATTTACGAGGTGAAAGGCGACAAAATAATTCCCAGCCATTCGGATTTCAATTTTAAAATCGCCAGTACTGTGGTTGAACGTCACCTAATATAGAAATTGAACGCCCTGAATCTGGCCATGCAACTTGTGCATGGAGACCTAACAAGATCAAAACCAAATTCTGCAAGACCGCATGGGAATGCTCCCTCGGAGCTCTATGTCGTTTGATTTTCTACCTGATTCTGTCCAGCTTATGTAGATCCAATCATATTCCTGGTAGATGAAGATTGCGCAACTCTCTCTGTCAATTCTCTTGTCAATGTAGGCTATGTGCTGGACACAGATGGTCAGTTGATAGGAACACAGGCAGATCTAACTGCATTTCAACTTCCGGTCTTCACTGCATATAAGGAAAATATACAACGTCTTATATACAATATATATCATATTTTAACATACAGTACCAAAGTATCGTGTTCCCAATCTCCATTCAAACTCCTCGGGCAAAACTAATCACAAAACGATATTGCGTCCATGGTCTTTCCTCGAATTGGTGTCAGATCAAAGGTGGAGAAAGTGATACTATTAGTGGTAGTTGTTGCGGTAGTGCTTCTCTCGTTGCATTTTTTCAACTACGATGACTCACATTTCCACAATCTTGTCAACTCCTTCTCTGCTAATAAGCAGGCGACGTCTGGTGTTGTGGATGCCAACTACGTGCTATTCCCTGCCAACTACGACTTGAATCAGACTGCTCTACGCACCCATTTGACCAACACATCTAGCAGTGATTGGAAGGTCATTCAGGTACGCAAAGCAGATGTCAAGCCCGTAGCTCCATTTGTCCAACAAGATTACATTCCACACAAGGAATTTTCGCTTTACCATTCAACTGCGCTGGAGGTCAACGAGTGTGACGCGCTGGTCGGTGTGAATGTTGATTCCCTTACCGTGTCGAAGAGAACCGCAATTCCAGCGGACTTTCGCTATATTTTGGAACTGATTGTGCATGAGCATGACAAGTACAAGGATCCATACTATAAAGACATTGCTCCGTTGATTATGAAACATGTACGCGAGGAGCTTAAGATGGACTTCATCGATCCGTTCTGGTTCCGCCTCTCTGGATCATCGGTATGGCTCAAGGACCATAATGTTCACTTTGTTATCTCCAGATTCATCTTCACTGATAAATTGACAAAGAACGACCCGCTCTTAAGTTTAACATTGGGCCAGATCTTCGATGAACACTGGAATGAACTTAGAGATGTCCGCCTTGTGTTCCCCACCAACGATGTTGCTGACGAAACAGCTCCGGTGTTCAAATCTGGAACGCAGAGTTTTTCGCTGTACCGTTTCCCACGTATTCTTCCAATTCCCTTCCATCACGACTATGGAAAAGAAAAAGGCAAGCTTTTTGGACCTGAAGATCCTCGTTTGATGCTTGTAACTAATCCCGGAGGTTACGAAGAACCATTGATTGTGTTCAATGCTCAGCACTACAGAATGGAGAAAGAAGATGGGAAAGACGAATTACAGAAGGTTGGCTACAGATCGATGTTCTTTACCCTTCCATTCCAATTTCAAAAGGCCAAGGGTGTGGATGTGGAATCGAACAAGAAGGCGGAGAACAAGTGGTTCACCAAAACGTCGCTCATTGATGTGCAGAACATGAAGAAGGAGAAGAAAAGCAAGAACTGGACACCTATGGTGTCGGCCACCAACAGTGTAACATTCAATGATTACGATAATAGCATTCTTTTCGTAACTCAGTTGGACAACTTGAAGGTAGTGAGGTGCAGTTTATATGAGGGCGTTAATTCATGCTACGAAATCTTCAACACCAAAGGAGGCGTTGGAGATTTACGCGGAGGAACGCCTTTCATCAACATCAACTCGCTTATTGCACAACAGTACCCTGATTTGGTCACTAAGCTTTTCCCTCCTGGCCGGCAGGTGTACATTGGTATTGCCAGAGCACATTTGAGTCTGTGTGGATGTGGTTCGGCCTTCTATAGACCAAACATTGTGGTGATTACACTGGATCAAGCATCCTATTATGATCACAAGATGGAGGAGGACAGAACAAAGTTTTTCTACAAGGTATCTCATGTTTCGTCATCGTTGTCGTTGGAGGTCACGATGGATCCATGGAATCCAGAAGATCCGAAGTCCATCTGTCTGAGTGTAAATGCGCTCATTCCTAATGGAATCGGCGGGTGGAAGATTGATACGTTGAAGCAAGTGGAAGATAAGTGGGAGGTAGACGATACCTTGAGCTTGGCGATATCTGTTGCAGACAATTCTGTAGACAGAGTTTACTTGAGAGGTGTTCTTAATGCAGTTCTCAACTCATACGATCATTCCACTGTATTCGGTCCTAATGGGGTCGAGAATGGACAGGTGATCGATTTGCCTGTCTTGTCAAAGGATGGTTCTATAGAATCTGAACTTAAGGGCTACAACAATGACAATATTCAATGTGCCATGAGGACAAGCAAGGATTTTTGCGCGGCTTATGGAAAGGAACAGAAAGAACTCGTCGATGGTCTTCCAGGTGCCGATACTTCCGAGCTGAAGGAAGCTTTTGAAAAGACGTTTGATGAATTCAAGAAGGCATTGGAGAAGGTGAAACAAGAGTCAGTGAAAGGGTCGAACTGAAGATAGAAGGTGTTATTAAGGTTAAATAGAATGTAAACTTTCGATCGGATCATCCCTTGAACTACTTCGCAGTGGGACAACAACTATGTATACAAATGAGTGCTGATCTACCACACTTGCCAGAAATCCCGCAATTGCCAGATCGTTGCATCTTATTTAATGCCGAGTAATTGGTGTTTTGAAAAAAGCAAACCGACATTAACCATGAACAATGGTTAGATCGTTGCCAAGTATGATTGACCTGAAACCACATTTTCCAGGTCTATCGTTATCACCCAGAAAGGCACAATTGGGATCCATATTACTCAAGTTTGCTTCCATCTCATGCACTTCTGCAATTCAATCCATTGTCTTGCTCACGGATTCAACATGGTTATGCTGCATCGAACAATTCTCCAGAAGTGGATTCAACTTAGCAGAGCAAGAGGTGGTGCAGGCGATCAAGTAAATCGATTCAGCAACCTCGCGCACAAAAGGAAGGAGAGAAAATTACTGTTGGGAAACTTTAGAAGCGAAACCCATTACCAAATACGATGCAGAATGTCACACTACCGAAGACCGTTGAGGTACGGTCATTCAATCATGATGCATTTGCTACAACAGGTTTTTTTATATAGTAGCCTCAAATTGCAGACAGCGATGTAAATGCCAATTGATGAGGCATCAAATCACTATATGCAATACTTTACACTGAGATCCTCGAAATTGTCTTTACCGAGGGTACATTGCAGGGAGTCGCAGGCGCTTGAATTACAGGCAGTCCAGAATATTACATCTTGCATATATTGTGCAGTTTAAAACTGCACACAACCAAGCCATAACGTTAAGCCATTCGCGTTCTTTTCTCCTATGTACTTCGTGGTGTTGTGGGTTTCTGCTAGTTCTTGATAAGAGAAAATATATTGTCATTTTTGCCCGATGACAGTGGAGCTTACCTAGTACTGATATCTTCTTTCATTGGTTTTGTACGCAGTTGTTAGCTGTGATTTTCTCTCGTTTCAACCATAAGCTTGAGAAAAAATCCCTTTCCATGATGTTCAGGAAACTTCGTTTCTCTGGTCGAACCGAATGGGTTCTTATTTCCATCGCCATCATATCCTTCATCATTGCGGTCATCCAGGTCTCTAACTATAATGAAGCTGCTCCTTATGAGTCATCGGAGGAAACATTTCTGCATTCAGATCTTATAGCAGGAGCTGGCAGTGGCTCACTAGTCCATGCTCAAAAATCCGAAAGAACAAAATCAATTTTGTTGCCTGCTGGATTCAATATTCCAGAAGATTTAGTAAGAAACCACCTAAAAGATACAGCATCTTCAGAATGGCCAATTTCCCAGCTTCTATCAAGGGAGGTATTGAACCAACCTCCGGGAGAAGAGTCTCACTATAGAACGCATGAGCCATTTTCCATGTACCAAGAGTCCGAGGAGGGAGATTGTGAAGAAGATTTGAAACACACCATTGAAGATTTAGAAATCAGTCCTCGAGAAATTATTCCAGGAAACTTCACTCGGATTTTGGAAATCGTGATTGAAGAACATGACAAGTACAAAGATCCGTTCTACAAATACATCAGGCCTATATTAATCACTCATATTCGTGCCGAATTTGAAGCTAACTTAGTGAATAGGTTCTGGTACCGTCTTTCGGGGTCATCGGTTTGGCTAAAAGACTATAATGTTCATTTTGTTGTGTCAAGATTCATGTTTGCTGATAAAGGAGAACGGTCGACTCCAAAGGCAAGTTTTGTGTTAGCACAAGTTTTCGACAAAAACTGGCACGAACTTCAGGATGTACGTCTTGTGTTCCCTACAAACGATCTTGGAGGTGAAGAAGATCCAACTTTCCACTCAGATGGCCAAACATTCTCTTCATACAGATTTCCCCGGATCTTGCCAGTGCCATTTGATTTTCATGCCGACGAAAGAAATATGGGCCCTGAAGATCCTCGTTTGATTTTGGTGAGAAACAAGAATGGACACGATGAACCAGTTGCCATCTTCAATTCTCATTACGATAAATTCGAAACAAAAGAAGATGGAACTAAGGAATCTAATGCATTTAGATCAATGTTTATGGCTTTTCCTTTCCAATTGACTAAGGGGAAAAGACACTTGCCAGAACTTTCCGATGAAAATACTGATAAACTCTATTTCACGAAATCGCTCGAGTTGGAAGTTGAGCATCACGAAAAACCGAAAACATGCAAGAACTGGTCTCCAATGGTAAGTGATTTTGAGCGTGAAGTTAACGGTGGCTTTGATACAAGTATCTCATTCGCTACCAATCTCGAAAACTTAGAAATCGTTCGCTGCTCTCTCGATACTGGTAAATGTGGCCGACTATACAAGAAAAGTGGAGACAATATTGGACCTCTTCGTGGAGGAACAGCATTTGTCAACTTAAACAGCATTTTGAAGCAACAGAGACATATTCCTCTTCACAAATTGTTACCCCCTGGCCGTGAGGTTTACTTCGCCTTCGCAAGAGCACATTTGCATAAATGTGGATGTGGAATAGGTTTCTATAGACCAAACATGGTGGTCATGGTCAAGGATGAGGCCAGATATTCAGCTGAAAGTGATGGTGGTAAGGTCGAGGCAACAAAATATTTCTATCGGACATTATACGTGTCGGACTACTTGTCATTGCATGTTCCTATTGATCCATGGTATGTCGACAATCCATATGGTATGTGTGAAGGTACAAATGCCTTGATTCCCAATGGAATTGCATCTTGGAAGCTCGATTCTTTGACACACAAAGAAGGCAAGTGGATTGCAAACGACAACTTGAAGCTTCAGTTCTCTGTCTCGGATTTCAGCGTGGACAGAGTCGACTTCAATGGCGTTCTCAATATGCTTCTAAATCTAAAAGGTAACTCTGCCTTCTTACCTCCACCATCAGTAAAGGGCACAATCTTCGAGCATCTGAAAGTCACCATGCCAGAGTTAGGGCCCCAAGGTGAACTCACAGAATCCCTTGCAGGTGTTGGTAAAAAGAACATCGAGTGTGCAATCGAGAGTTCGAAGAAATTCTGTGTCGCGTTCGCTCGCGAACAAGAATACTTTAAGAACGAAAAGCCTAAAGTGGATAAAGCTGAAGCAAACAAGAAACTCAAAGACCAGATCGCAGAGTTCCAAAAGATGTATGAAGTGGAAATTGCACAGGAATCTAATAAAAACCAGCAGCTTGATAATCCTGAAGAGGAGGAGGACGATTATTGAGAAAGATAATAGGAGTTAATACTCAAAGTTTGGAAGTCGTGGAAGCTTCTGCTGAATAGAGCTAATCAATCTCAGTATTTAATCTTGAACGCATTTGGGGCTGAGATTCCTCTGTAGCGCAAAAGAAGCGTAGCTTCTATCGTTGACTTAAAGATTTGTATTCTATGAGTGTATCCTATTCCTATAAATTAGTTTTGATAAGAGAGTGAACTAAAGATAATAAGGCAGTTGTTGAAAAAGAACATTACTGGAAGTCGTTGAATACCTTCTTCCACTGCTTTAGGTTTTCATCTCTCATATCCAACATCATGTCACGACAGGTGTTGATATCATTCACGTATTCACGTTTTTCGATAATATCCTTCAAGTGATCCCAGCTGTCAAATTGAACAAAGCATTTTTCCCATCCAGGCAAGTAGAAATCAACATACTCATGCCAGGTATCTTTAAACACTTTCTTTGTCTCAAAAACGTGCTCTGTCTGTCCACATGTGTTTTCGTTGCAAATCTTGGTAAAGAATTTGGGGCTTGGAATAGCCATTAAAGTTCCGTAATTAAGATTCTCCCACATTTTCATGATAGAAACTTGATAAGGCAAATGTACCACAATAGAGTGGTATCTACTCAAAGTTCTTGGACCTCCATATTGACCCACCAACACCTTGCAGTCATGACCAGTATGTTTTTTAACCAACAGATGCATGAGTTCTTTGTCCTGGTCCACACGTCCGATTAGAAGACAAGGCTCTTTGTTCACTTCTTCTTTACTGGCGGCGAGGGTGGTGAATCCAAATGGACGAATTAGCGGACTCTTATCCTTTTCAGGAACGACAACACCCCTACTCTCCATGAATGGAATCTCGAAAAGATTATTGACCACCAATTTCAAGTTGTAGCCATCTTTTCTGTTTAAAGCTCTACTCACGTCGTCGTGGAAGTCTTTCTGTTCGTCGTCACGAACTCCGTAGTCAAATCTGTTGGTCACAACAAAGTGTACATTCTTACACTTGTGTTCTCCCATTATAAATGGCCATCCGTCTGACAAGGTATCAGAGATGAAAATAGCATCGTACTGCGAACAGATTTCATCTCTCTTCCCAGATTTCACTAAAGAGGCATATTTTTCTTTGGTATCTCTGAAACCAAACCACGATTTGCAGTCTAAAAATTCAACATTCTCGAGCTGAAGGTGGTATGCCATATATCTGAAATCAGCAGTAGTTCCAACATGCCGAGAGATAAAAGCTATCTTCTTAGCTACGTCAAATTGTGCCTTGGGTTCAACAATATATGGGCGCTTTGAACAGTCCTCTTCTTTGGAGATGTTGTCCACGAGTTCTGACTTGGAGTCAGTGAAGGCTGAAGGTATTGTATGATGCTCAATGACCTTAGAGGAACGAGAGTAGAAAATACTACCTCCAATGACAACACCCCATACAAGTAAAACCACCACAAGGACTATGTGGACCTTGAACTTGGAGTTATGGGGGAACATGCTTCCTAAAGCCATAATACAAGAGCAGAGCAGTCTACGAAAAAGATTACCATAAATACATAAAGCACGGTGTCCCACTCAGGACTGTATCCATTCACAGCATTAACTCAGCGAAAATCCAAGCTGATTGTTAATTAATCTACCGCTTTTATTACTCCGTGGTCCCTTGTGTCTGCATAAGAAGGCAGTAAACATGCTTCAAACCACAGGTGATGCAAGGTGAAATATACAGTTCTACTTTATGCGCGAATAAAAATTGGTACTGCATGATATACTTACGAGATCTCTCAACATCCTGAGATTTCTTCAATTGAATCAATGGACGACTTTGAGCTTCTAAAAATTTTGTTAGGTTTTTCGGGAGCAGGGTCTGTAAAGACGGATATTGGTATAGTTGGGAAGTTCTGAAATAGAGGAAAGCAGTTGAGAATATTCCTTTTTTTCTTTCTTATTTTCTCGATTATCCATTTCCGAGGGTCCACTGCGCCTACAATTGGGCCATGCACCAACCAACTACCAATTTCCTTCGGGAATGGCTGAATACTTATGGAAGGTTAACCAATTACTTGGCGCTGTCACCTACCACGTTCGCTTATATCAGGTGAGATAGTGTCGTGTCTACTTCTGATGAAGTTTTGCGATGGATCACTATATAATTTTGAATAATATTTGTTACTCTGGATCTTATAAACATTTCCAATATGGAAGTTTCAAGTTCCGGTGAATTCTGTATGGTAGTGTGGTAAACTATTCTCTTGCAAAGTATATGTAGCAATTATGCAATGTAAATGAGAAGGGTGGTGAAGAACGTAACCACATCCTCTTCCTGTTGACTACGCGAAAGAGACGGTGGAAAGTTTCCGATGAGTCGGGCCAAACACGGGACCCGATATGGCAGTCAAGGTATAGCCTCATCTCTTCTTTTGGATGTCGTACTTGTCGCATATCTTGCAGAATTTGTTTCTATGACGTTCTCGATACGGAAAGTTTTTTAGGGAGCAAAGCGGCAAAGAGCGAGGCGGTAAAGAGCAAGGCGGTAAAGATTAAGGCGTGAGTGTGATATGGGCAAATGCCTGCAATTCACGAATTCTTGAAATCTAAGAATCATGAATTCTGTATCTCTTTAACTCATGAACACAAGAAATTCAAAGTGGGTAAAGTTGACACCAGTAAGATGGGTGAAGAGCAGTTAGAAAGTTCGAGGGAAGATAGGGAATTGTGCACAATCAGTGATCATTGATAATGCATTTTCAGTGGCAGCACTTCTGATAATGCCCAGCATTAAAGTGAAGTGCCTATCTAATGATATCAAAGCCCCTTTGAATAAATTCATAGCATCTCAGTATATCATCTCAGTATGCCCGGGAAAGAACATTCTACATGACAAGTGTGTCAAAAATGTACTCCTATGATTGATTACTATTCCACATTGCCACCCATTGATGTCTACTTCAATAGGGAAACTTACTGACAAAAGATTACTGGAGGTTCATTAACAACTCCTTCCACTGATTGAGTTTTTCATCTCTCATATCTAACATCTTATCACGACAGATGTTGATATTCTTAATGAATGTTCGCTTCTCGATGATCTCCTTTAAGTGATCCCAGTTGTCAAACTGTAGGAAGCACTTCTCCCATCCAGGCAAGTAAAAATCAACATACTCGTGCCAGGTACTATCATCAAACACCTTCTTTGTTTCGAAAACATTTTGTGTCTGCCCACACTTGTTCTCATCGCAGATGTTAGTAAAGAACTGTGGGCTTGGAATAGCCATTAAAGTTCCGTAATTAAGATTCTCCCACATTTTCATTATGGAAACTTGATAGGGCAAATGAACCACGAAAGAGTTGTATTTGCTTAAAGATTTGGGACCCCCATAAAACCCAGCCATCGTCTTGCACTCAAAGCCAGTATTGTCTTTCACCAATTGATGCATGAGTACTTTATCCTGGTCTTTGTTTCCGAATATAAGACAAGGCTCCTCGTCAGCTGCATCTTCGTTGACTGGAACCGATGTAGTTCCAAATGGACGAATGACCGGAATCTTGTCCTTATTTGGAACAATCACTCCCTTGCTTTCCATATATGGAATCTCAAAGAGATTATTGACAACCAACTTCAAATCGTAGCCATCTTTTCTGTTCAAAGCCCTTTTGACATCTTCATAGAAGTCGTTTCTCTCCCCATGATGAACCCCAACATCAAACCTGTTGGTTACAACAAAATAAACATTCTTACACTTGTGATCTCCCATGAGCAAAGGCCATCCGTCAGCCAAGGAATCGGAAACGAAAATAGCATCGTACTCCGAGCAGAGTCTGTCCCTTTCTCCTTTTTCAATCAAAGTGGTATATTTCGCTTTGCTTTCTGCAAAATCGTACCACGAATTGGAGTTGTAAAAGTCCACTTTCTCAAGCTGAAGGTTCTTTACCATGTATTTGAAGTCGGCAGTAGTTCCATCGTGGCGAGAGATGTAGGCTATCTTTCTAGCTAAATCAAATTCCGGCTTTGCTTCCAACCCGTGCAGAGGATTAGGACCCTCGACTGCGCTCGTTGTGTCCTCCTTTGAATCAGCCATGGAGTCTGTGGTGACTATAGAGGCTGTTTCTAGTGCACTAGATGAGTAATAGAAGATACTTCCTCCTATCACGAAAACCCACACCAACAACACCGCCATGACCACATTGTGGATTTTGAATTTGGAACCTTGGAGAAAGTTGATGTTTCCGTAGGCCATAGGTAAAGTGAAAAAATCTATCCACGTATCTACGCTACCGTCTATTCGGAAAGTCACCCAACACGAATGTTGTGATCTGGCACATTGCACCATGCAAGGGAGCTAGTATCCATATTCTGACTAGGTAAATTAGTTTATCGTGGTTCAGTTTAGCGATTTCATGTGGTTTATCAATCTCTCACTCTGTCAATAACATTCACTTACTGCATCCAGATTAGACTTCAACCTGTGGGTCCTGTTGCCGATATTTTCACTGGGCCATATTTTCTTACATTCGCCTTGCATACAAAGCCACTCAGAAGCTTCAAACCAGAGACGACCATCAAAATAAGGATGCTCACGTGTAAAACTACTGTATATTAGAGCGTATATACAGAACATGCTCTATGGGTGATTCCCTGATGTCAAATTGCTTCATGATCTACAACGCAGTTTTTCCATGCATCAAGGATTGTTGATTTCCTGGCCACTAAACTCTCGGAATCAGATGGGGGAAAGGCTAAAATGTTAGTGAAATGGTTTGATCAGAGACATGTTGTATTACATATATTTATTTTGAATCCCCAGAAAGAACTGAGCTTTTTGAGAGCTTATGATTTTGGATTCTTCAATATCCGAGGGTGCATTGACAGCTTCAGCATCGGGCAAGTTGGCGGACATAAATCCGATATTTAATTATTTTGAGGTGCCTAAAGTTTGACGGGCGTTTTAAGGATTTACTTGGCTTCTTTTAGTGTCAAATCTTTTGGTGTAGCCAGTAGTGCTTGAATTTTTGTAAATTGGCCATGAATATAATGTCATGAGGTTCTTGCTTGGACGAAATCCTCGCTTCCTATGGCATCGTTTGTTAATTTGCCGAAGGACCATTTTTTTATGGTGAGTGATATTTTGATCCTTGGTTGGATGACTTGCCGAATCAGTGAATTGATTTCTCAGCTGAAATTAGTTGCACCCATGATCCAGAAAATATGATCCTGGGACATTGTAAAACTGCCAAAGAAAAGGGATTCAGAAGGAAATATTGAACAGACATTGATTGAAGCAAAACAGCAAAGTGGCACTTATTATCTGAGAGACTAGAGATCAGACTATCGTCTACAGAAGGGATAAGGATAAGTCAACGTGAGCATATGGTGGGGATGAATCACTAAACACAAATCATCCAAGTAAAATTCAAATTGACGTAGGAAAGTTCTAGGTGATGGCTAAGAAGGGAGTGGTTCTAATATCGCTGAGCTTATACTGAAATTATCAGATTCATGAAGGGCATCCTGTAAATTCGGGGTGACATGGCAAAGGATAATAGAGAGACAAAAAACCAGTAGTTGATAGAGAGATGCAGAGAGATAATAACGAATCTTCTTCGCATTAATGCCCCTTTCAAGGGTAAATGATCTCACAAGGAGTGATTGACAACAGTAAGTGGACAACATAGGGAGGTAGAGGTTTTTCTTAGGGAGGTAGAGGTTTTTCTGAGGGAGGTAGAGGTTTTTTTCTTAGGGAGGTAGAGGTTTTCTTAGGGAGGTAGAGGTTTTTCTTAGGGAGGTAGAGGTTTTTCTTAGGGAGGTAGAGGTTTTTCTTAGGGAGGTAGAGGTTTTTCTTAGGGAGGTAGAGGTTTTTCTTAGGGAGGTAGAGGTTTTTCTTAGGGAGGTAGAGGTTTTTCTTAGGGAGGTAGAGGTTTT